TAACAAATGTTTAGCGTATTATTTATGATATGCTCCTGCTTGTGAGTTTTATGATATGCTCCTGCTTGTGAGTACTTAGCTGGTGGTCTGTGCCTCAACTGACCACCAGCGCATAAAACCAATTCGAGCTGTGTTCCTTTTTCTCGGTACAACCGAAAAAAAAACTTATAATGATTTTCGTACTATAAAAAAAAACCCACTGGAAAAACAACACTCATTCTCATTCCGCGCAATTTCGGGCAAGGTCATCACGATCCGAGGTCCTGGTCGACACTTTCTGAAGATGAAAATAGAATGAAAAGAAACTCCGGCTTCAGCATCGCAGAGGTTGTGCACTAGCTTCAGACGCTGCAGCACCACCAGCAGTTGTGCTGCGCTAACTTTATTTGGTATTACTGACCACCTACCATCTGGCACTGAGACGGAGCCGCCGCCAGGGCCAGAACGAGTTCTGGTTCGTGTTTCCAGATTACCTCGGCCTCCTCTTTCTCGAGCTGTTCAAGGTCGTCGCACAAGCGTCGCTGGGATTGGTTAGCCATGCACCACGTTCCTCCGCCGTTCACCGCAGCGACGCCAGCGACCGATAAAGCGGCCAAACACCCTGTTGTCAGGGGAGGACAATAACCGGAAGTCACGCACGCCAAAGCAAGCGGCCCGACACCCAGCGTGGCTACTGGAACGGCAGCCAGTTGCGCATCCTCGGCGCTCTGGTGTTTCTCACGGACATCTCGTAGCCACAGGGCCTCAATATCTCGGCGCCGACCTTGGATCTCGTGGCGGGCCAGGGACATGTGGGCGATTACCAGCTCGAGCTCATACAGGCCGGGCTCGTCTTTCAAAACCGGTATCGCATCCCCAAGTTGGTAGTAGACTCGACCGCCAACGGCAAGTCGTTTGGCGCCGTCGGTGCATTTCGGTTTGATTCGGTATTGCGGGAAGGGGGGATGGTGGTGCAAGGTCGTGCCATTCGGACCCTGCATCCAGGCCGGCGCAAAAGGGACAACGGCCTGCAGTGGAGTGGTTCGCAAATCGTTCATGGCTTGGTTGAGGCGTATCACTGGGATGAAGGCCAGACCGTCTTCAGCATTGTGCCGCGGGTCTGCTTCGAACACGACCAGGCCCTCTGCTGGAATTGCGTGCCTTTCGTGCGTCAGCCCGTTTACGACCGTGATATGCGTTCTCGAATTACTAGGGGTTGGAGCGGAACTTCTTGCACCCCCTCGGCGGCGGCACCGCAACGTCGCACTGCCAACTTGGACGGCACCAACGGCAGGAAGAAGCGACGAAGAGCCCAGAAGTGCGAAATGAAAATAAGCAGAAAGAAGGAGGAGGAGGATCCTTCACACCTGTTTTTAGCTATACGCATTGCTATCAAGTGGAACATGATGTCGCAGACCACCCGGAGGAAACGAGCAGGGAGGCACCGCTCTCAGGAGAAACACCTAATCGGCCAGCATTGTCTCCCGTTCCTTGTACCAATCGCGCCATAATGCAACTACATCTCTTCGAGTCGCGGGCACTGAGGTACACTGTTGCAGCTTCTTCTCTTCGAGCCGCGGCCGGGTGCGCGCCGTCTGCTCACAAGCTTACCCTCTGTGGTGCGGCTGTCTACTCTGGGACGGTCCGGGGCTTGGGCGAGTTTAGGGTCATATCGGGCACCATATATGTTAGGTGCTTGTCCCTTAACTCTGTAGACACTTCGCTGCCTCCGCCCTGGAGCAGCTTGCGGCAGAGCTCACCTCCCGTTTTTTGTCACGATCAGGCGCTTCAAGGTGCTAGCTTTTGTGACCCACTAGCGCCTTTTCTCGGTTGGATCTGGCCGGACCTTCGTCTTGTTCTACAAAGTCCACATCTACTATATTAAGATGTGGCCTTTACCTTCGCACGCGGACTATCTGAGATTCTTCCACACAGGCAGCATACTGGAGCGCGGAGAATCAAGATATTGATGAGTCTGTAGCTTGAATCAAGAAACGATGTGGATAAATCGGCAATCTCTATTTGAGAATAATCAATATCAGGATCTATCGACATCTCAGCGGCTCGGTGTTCGGATGAATATCTAGCCGCCTCGACTCGCCTCGGTGCGGTTGGTTTTCTTGACCTACATCTTGGCGTGGCCTGTTGTTTTCGTTCTTGCGCTTCCGTTTGCGGAGGAGGATGTGGCGCCACGGCCTTGCTTAGCTCGCTCGCGGGATGAAGAAGTGAAGAAAAGACCGACTACGAACATCTGCCGCGCCCTCTCTCTCAAAAGTTGTTCTTGTTATGCTTTTTCATACTTAGTCACGTTCCTGTAGTTGCTCGCAGCCCACCGTTGTAGATTTGTTTGCATTTTGCGTTGTGCTACTGCTTCCAACTGATTCAGACGCTGACGCCTTCACGGGAGGCTCCTGAAAGAAAATTATTTTATTCGAGACCGCTAGACTAAGTTTTTTGCCTCACACTACACGCGGCGCATTTCCACTTTCACCTACTTCTCTTCCAGCTCGGCCACCGTCTGTCGGTTTTCGCATGTCAGTGTAGAGCTGGTGCTTGCGTGCGCTGCGCCTCGGGAAAGGTTCCGGTCCGCCCGCCCTAACACCCCTCGCCCTTGGATGCTTTGCCCGCTCGCCTTCGCCCTTCACCTCCACACTAGACGTCCAGCGCGGAAGCACAGCGTTCAGGATTTCGGTGGTTGTGGTCGCAAGTTTCTAGTCACGGTCTATAGCCAGTTTGAGGTCTTTCATCACCTCAACACCCGTTTTCCATCCTACCATCGGTCTTTCTACACTTCTCGCACCCATGGCGCGAGTTTGTCGATGAGCGCAGCGCTCACCGCTGATCGGATTTTTTCCGGTTCGTATGGTGTAGCTTCTTGTTTTTCGGTCACCGGGTGGCACTGTATGGCGGATCGCACACCACTTGGTAGTACGCCCGGGTAGATGTCTCCTACCTCTTTATAAAAATTGAGAAATTGCGGCACACTGCTGGGCTTCTTGATCAGATAAATTCTGAAGCTTAGCTTTTTGATTCTCGGCTGACTGAGGTACTTAGTGCGGATTTGCGGGATTTCCGCTGCCTGGCAGTCGAATAGCAGATGGCCAGTGGTCGGCACTGTCCTGCTCTTGCAGAGGGGACACACCATCACCACCCCGCCCTCGGCTTCTTTGTCATGCAAGATTTTGCCCATGCCTAGACGCCCTCTATGTGTTGTCCCTACCCATATCGGGAAGATTATACTATTGACGAAATTCGGCCACCCTTCGCTACTCTGATAGGGCCCGATCTGTCTTGCTCTCTCTAGTAAGTAGGGGTGTGCAGAGGATCCTGCGTCATACTTGTTCAAGATTTTCTCTTCTAGAAGCCTGCGAAGCAAATTTGCAGTCAGCGCTTTCCTATACAACTCTCTACCCACCTCTTCTCCCCGCTGGTGATCGAGCCCCTGCGTCGCCATCTCGTCCGCCCAGTCGTTGTAGTAGTTGCCCAAATGCGACCCTGTCCATGCAAATTCAAAAGAGCATCCTGGAGCACATGCCGCTTCTAGTTTTTCTAGTTCTAGCACCACCATGATAATCATGGGGTTGCTACGGTCTCTGTATGCCTTCAGGGCCATTAGCAGCCCGTTGCTATCTATGTAAAACTTATGCTTCTTAATTCTTCGAAGGGTGGTAGGATCGACCTTATTGATCAACTCGCGAATGTGATGGATAAGACCAAAACATTCGCCATCAAAAGAATCAGGATCCGCTTCTGGGATCTCTGACACGATGCCGCAACAGCTCACCACCAGGGGAGCGGGGGTCTCCTCCTGGAACTTGCATCCCGTCCAGGAGGCACCGCCCCCGCTGCCCGTTTCTCCTTTTGCTCCTCCGTCTGTGCATGAGACCATTACTGTTGGATCTGCTATGGCCCGCTGGATCTCGGCCTCTGTGATCTGGGAGATCAGCAGCCTGCACTTGTCTTTCAGCTTGTGGTCGTCTCCGCATGCTGCAGGGTCTGGGACCCCTGAAAATAAGCAGAAAGAAACAACATGCTAGCAACTGCAGCACTTTGAATATTGCAGGACCCGAGATGAAAAGGCGAAAACATCTTTGTCTTGTATCAGATAAAAGAGCTGCTGTATAATATTTGTTATTGTTTGTTAATGTTTGTTGGTCTATTTCGTGCGTAGCGCTAGCGTTACACGACGGACGGCGACAATTATTTTGTTTCAGATGAAGTGCTGTAGAGCGATTGCTCGTTTAAATAAAAAAAGTAGCTGTAGTGAAGATAATCCCTGTTGTCTGTATAACTTCTTCTTGATGGAAATCCTAGCAGCAGATTTTACACGTAGAGCAGCAATGAACTGGTGAGGTTATGTGACCCTCGGGAGGATTCAAGTTCAACTTCAATACTTCAATTGATTTAGGTTACTCTTGAAATAAGCTTATAGGATTGTTGAGAAGTAGACGCGAAATAGAGCGGATGAATTTGTAGTACTTGATGCTTGAGCAATGTGTTGATGTTGTCGAAGAAAACGACTCCAACTTTGACCTGTATAATGTACGTGGTTTCCTGAAGAAAATTATGTCCGGCAAGGTCTAGCATTAGCAACATGAAAACAGGGCTCTTTTGTATCAAACTTCCGCAATGAGAACATCACAGTGGTACCACGTCAGCGCTCTGTGGTACCAAACTGTCGCCCTAGCGGCACCGATGGATCACCAAAACAGAATTTTGGCATAACTTCTTTCGCCAATAGGATCGATTGGTTCGTCTTTCGTGCAATCATTCTTGCAGGTGGTGATCTAGGTTGTTTTTGTTTTTCTTGTTCCGAAATTTGACATTCATATTGATCATGATCGTACTATGTGAGAAGTCGATGAGCAGGCATCTAGATCAAATTTATCTTCCTCAAAACTGTTTCTGACCAAAGGCCTGTTTCGCGATCTTTGTTTCGTGCGGTACGAAGATTTGAAATGAAAAACACTCGATGTTGGGACCTGTCACCAAGCGGAATTGCGTTGGTCTTTCCGCCCATGATACCATCTCAACACAAGGCCGTGCAAGTAGATTTTATATTGTCTTGTTGCTCTACTGTCCGGATCTGACGTTTTACAAAAATGCGCCTACATCTAGTACCGCCCACATGGAGGGTCAACATTCCAACGCATTTTTGCAATCTGAAGTGAAGAACATTACGGAGGGTTCATGTTGTCCTCCTACTTCAAAACGCATTGGCTTTTGATCTGGGTCGTGTTTTTTAGCCGCCGCGGACGGCTCCTTCGTAGTTGCAGGACTTTGTTCGGAAAAAAGGAGACAAGTAATAGATACTACTTCATGATCTTCCACCTCCTATGCTCCTCCCTTCTTGGATTTCGACGGCGTGGGTAGGTCCGAAATCAGACTGCTGCCGACAGCTACCCGAGCACTGGGACTGCCACGACTGGGGTCTTCATGCTCAACTACTTGTGGTTCATCTGCTGCTGCACCGTCGTAGTGAGTATTCTTCCTCTTCGGCGTAGTATTTCCAACACGAACGGCAGTAGTGTCTCCACCTCCACCAACTGCGCCATCCTGCTGTCGCCCATTGCTTGTGGTCGTCGCGCCTGCTGACCGCTGACGCCAGAAACTTCTACTCTTCGCTTTATTTTCAACATTTTTGTTTTCGCCCGCTGCGCCGCGGCTTGATGCAGATTGATGCTGTTCGGATGAAAAGTTACACTCCTCTGTGTGTGGGAAGATGTTGCTGTCGTCATTTTCGGTGATGCAATTGTGGTTCATCATCTTCGAGATGTTGTCATCTTCCTCTCGCGTCGACGCACTTTTTCGTCGAGTACTTTTCTTCGAAGGAGCTGCCATCGAAGGCTGGCCTGCTGCTCTTGGAGCGGAGGGGTCGGGTGCAGAAGCAGGAGGAGTTGTTCTTCCGCTAGCAGGGGCGACGACCTGGTGTGATCGACGTCGTGTACGTGATGACAATGAAGAGCAACAGGAAGAGCGTGAGTGTGTTGTTGATTTTTCACAACAGGAATTCCATCATAATGTAGTTAGACCAAAGGTTATTTGTCATTCTCATCATGGGATGTTCGATCCTTATGGAAGAAATGAATTATTGGAACCTTCAGCTTCACGATCAAACATCAATAACCCTAGCCGATAAATTGTAATTGAATACAGCAGCTATACGTCGTCCTGGGCAGAAGTAGCAGCAGCAGCTCCTCTGATGTCGTGTTTCCTTTCTTCGCCAGATTTACTTGGCTCATCCTTCGTCTGGGCGCCTCGTGTGGTGTCACCGTCTTTTTTGTCGGCACAACTGCTACTTTTCCCCGCCTCTGGACCTGCCCCGCTTCTCCCTTGGTCCTTTTCCCCCTTTTCCACCGCTTTCCCGAGCATCACGCCCAGTAGCGAGACGTCCTTTTCTAGTTCTTCGGCCTCTTTCTCCAAAACCTTCAGGTTCTGGTCCAGTGTGTCCGTTCGCTTCATGTCAGCGGCCATCAGAGCCGCGATCACTTGCGAGAATCCATCATCTATCCTGTGCAAAAGTATCGTACTCGTAGTAATTGCTGTCATGCATTACAATTTTTTTCCCGAAGGTAAATCCGTATGAGAAATTTTATTTCTCATGCTGAGGAAATTTGTAATGCATTTATACGAGTACGATACTTTTGCAATGCATATCATCTCCACCGCCACTTCCTGCCGCTGGCAACGCCCGGTTGAGCCACTCCTTGTCTGGTTCCGGCGCCGCAGCGGAATTTTCGCCTCCTGTAGCCATGAGTTCCGCGGATGCGCTGAGTTCCTCTTCCAATTTTCTCAACTCTAACTGCCACATGGCGACCGCGGTGAACAGCTGGAACCTGCGCTGTACGGTCTCGGCGAGAATTTTCAGCTTCTCTACCTGTTCTACGTCTTCAATCTGGAACTCGGAATATGAGAGTGCACAACTTCGCCTCCCCCTCATTCGTGTAGCATGAACGGCAATACAAGCGTCAGTAAGAGTGTTGGCTTTGCATGACAAATTTGCACAGGACGAGTATAGTACTGTTTGGGCTTTTCTGGAGTTTGTCATGCAAACAGTGCCAAGGGGCAGCGCCTGGATTTGGTAGTAATTTACATGACAAATGAGGGAAGGGGGGAGTTATGCACTGTCATACGTAAATCAGTTTCGTCACAAAATCCTGCGGCTTGAACTCGTCCCACTTTATCCTGTGCAAAAGTATCTGATACTCGTATTGCAATTACAAATCCTTTTCTTAAGCAGGTCAATCCACATTACAAATTTTATTTCTCATGCTAAGGAAATTTGTAGTGCATTCATACGAGTACTACGATACTTTTGCAGTTCATACACTTCACGCCCTTGCGATTATGCATGGCAAATATCGAAGATCTGGGTCCTCTGGAGGAATGCGCATGTTTGTCATGCTTGTCTGGCATGAATCCGAGGTTTGTGATGCATGTTGTGCACCACAAACAGCCCCTCTTACCTGCCATGAAAAAATGCGGAAATTTGTCATGCGTAAAAATAGAAATACGCACCACATAGCACGACCTCAAGAATCTGTCATGCGTAGCTCCGTACTGCAGTGCGCCCACCATTCTTTATTCACAGACTGGCATCACAAGTTCTTTCCAGACGCAGACACTACATATTATGTGCAGCTGATAGCCCTCCTTGTAGAGCAAAAACTGCGGCGTGCCGCGGGCCATCGGGAGCCCTGGAGGAAAATCGTTCTGCTCCACATTGATGCGCAGAAACCGCACCGGATCAAGAAAAGCGAACTCTTGCAGGCGGGCCTGATTTATTTCATTGCAACATTATGTACATGCTCCAGGAGCGGTCTTTGTGCAGTATTTGATGTGTACAACGTGAACCTTCACATGATCATCAAAATACACAATAAATCGGAATCACGTATTGAGCACATGGCAACATCTTGCACGGAATGGTACATGGTTTTATGTTGTACCAAGCTCTCCATCATGGGGCGCATGAGGAAGCACAGAAAGCAGGTTTCCTATTACAGTGCACAACCCTTCCTCCCCCTCATTTGTGATGCAAATTCCAAGTCTACCTTTTGCCTGTTAGCACTTTTTGCATGACAGATTCCGAAAGCCAAAACAGCACTGCAATCCTCTAGGAATTTGTCATGCAAAAGCAGCATCTTTGCCACTTGTGTTGCTGTTCATGCAACACAAAGGTGGGGGAGGGGGAGTTGTGCTGTTTCATATTTCCTCGTACATCTGCAAAACCACGGGGTACTCGTGCGAGTCTTCCATCACAAACTGCTCGATATCCTGTGCAAAAGTATCGCACTCGTAGTAATTGCAGTCATGCATTACAGATCTTTGTCTTAAACTAAATCCGCATTACAAATTCTATTTCTCATGCTGAGGACATTTGTAATTCATTTATACGAGTACGATTACACTTTTGCAATGCATACTCGAATTGCGCCGCGGAGATAGTCTGGATACCCTTTTCCTTGATAACAAAGTCCTCCTGCGACACGAATTCGTAGAAGGGTTTCACGGTGGTCTGGACAAATTCCTTCATCTCTATTAAAAGATCCTTTTCTGCCGCCCTCGCAGCCATTTTGCGCCGTTTCAACTCTTCGAGAGAAGATGTTGATGAATTGGAAGATGAAGTTGAAGTAGTAGTCCCACTATTATCGTCCGACTTTTGCTCATCAGTTTTCCCTTCTGCAACCGCGGCTGGGTTCGACAAGTTGAACTCGAACTTTCCCTTGCGGTGCCCCCGGTAGGTCATGAATTTCACCGTGGTGTGCGCGTCAACCGCGAGGTTCTCCTGGATCGTGTAGTAGAACTTGATCTCTTTTGGCAAGCTGTTCCGGATTTTCCCTGGCTTCAATTTTTGATATGGAGAGAAAAAAGTTTGTCACAGTCACTACCTTGCAGGTTTTGCATTACAAATTTTTTGAGCATCGCAACTTTTCCTTGTATTGCAGAAACACTAGCGAAATCCCTTACGAAGTTTGGCTGTGATGCATTTTTACGCATGACAGAAAGTTTTGTATTGCAAAAATGCGCATGAGTGATCGTGACGAACTTTTTTTGGTTGATATTTGATGCGGCATCTTCTCTAAGTCCTCGTCCGTTTTCGGCATGTCCGGTATCCCGATGATTTGCGACCCGATCAAAGGCCTCGACTCTGGATCAACCCCATCGGCGTCCGCGCGGACTCTCGTCGTGATCGTGCCCGGAGTCATGTTGTAGTCGACACTGCCCCGGCCGGACTGTGCGTAGATAATTTCGTTTGCCGGGGTGAAACTCCCGGCGTGTTTTTCCTGGTTGGTACAGTGCTCGATCACCATTTTTTGCAGCTTTATCCTGAGTAAAAACGTCTCCACCCCATAGCTGTCATGCAGATTTGCGATTACAGGAAGATTTGTAATGCGCATCTCCGTGAGAGGCATTTCCAGTCGCGGTTTGGAATTTGTAATGCTGTAAACGGGATGAGCAGATGGATTTGTGATGCGGCTGCACTTGCTAAACTGCACTACACTACGGACTGGAATTTGTCATGCGTTGCTCTGAAAGCTTCTGGGTTTGTGTTGCTAAGTTCCCAACTTGACTATGGGGTGGGGACGTTTTTACATATGATAAGCTTCCGGATGTGCTTTTTGAACACCGGATCGTGGAGCTGCCTGTCATATGCAGTGCAAAAGTATCGCACTCGTACTAATTCTAATTGCGCTTAGGCATTACAAATCTTTTTCTTAAGGCCAATCCGCATTACAAATATACTTTGTAATGCTAAGGCAATTTGTAATGCAATTTAGACTAGTTCTAGTTGTACGATGCTTTTGCAATGCATATGTCACTGCTGGCGACGATGACGAAGAGATTGTCCGAATTGTCGAAAACCTCGTCCGTGATGAGGTTTAGCGCCAGGACTTTCCTCAACTCAATCGATATCCTGAGCAAAAACGTCCCCACGACCCCACAGTCATGTTGGGAATGTAGCAAGGCAAGTCTCCAGGTTTTGGGACCTGTGCATGACAGGTTTCCCTCTGCAGTGTAGTGCTGGTTGGCAAGGGAAGCCGCATGAGAAAGCCATCCGCTAATCCTGTTTACAGCATTACAAATGCCAAAACACGATTGGAAATGCCTCTCATGGAGCTGCGCATTACAAATGTTCTTGTCAGTTCGCATTTGCATGACAACTCTGGGGTGGGGACGTTTTTACGTAGGATAGCCGACTCTTCATCTTCGAACTCCTCCTCGTCCGTTAAGAAATTATCTTCCTCGACTATGGATGTGTCAGGATCGAAATCAACAAAATCGAAATAATTTGTGATGCATAAAATCGATACCAGTTGGAGTCTGAGTTTCCAAGTGGCGCATGACAAATTTTGGGAGCACCAAAACCCAGTCTGTCATGCTGTTTAGGCAAAGAAGGCTGCGCCTGTCATGCTACTCCGGCAGCACATTGTATCCCCCTAAACAGGCTTACAATCGGTCTCATTTGCCTGCTCCCCAATACAGGCCCTCAGTGCCCTACATTTTATGCATCACAAATTTTTCGACTCTGTCGATTTCGATCCTGACACATCCATATCGACGTCGGGAATAATATTCCCCTCCGAATCTACGTTCTTCATCCGGAAACCGACGAGTTCCCAGAACATTTTTCCGGATTTCAAATCGGCTAGAATCTGCTGCTTTTTCTTCTCTGAATTCGACAAGTAGAACCCGAGAATCTATGCAATGCAAAAGCATCGCACACGTACTAGTATAAATTGCATTACAAATTGCCCCAGCATTACAAATCAAATTTGTAATGCTGATTGACCTTGAAAAAGGGATTTGTAATGCATAAATGCAATTAGTACGAGTACGATACTTTTGCACAGGATAGGATCCCGCCGAATACGATGGAAGAAAACACGTAGAGCGACCTATTGGAAGGAAAAATCCCCCCTCCCCATATTGAAAAGGTATGTCTCCGAAAATTTGTGTTGCTGATTTGAGGTCACAAATCACATTTGTCTTGCAAGAAGGCAACTCTACAGTCTCCGCCGCATTATGTGGACGGTAGGTTTGTGATGCTGCCTGGGTTACAGCATAGACATTTGTGATGCTAAGCGTCCACGTCAAAGCCCTGTACTCAGGCGCGGCATATGCCTTCAATCCTGTACTGCAAGACAGCTCTGATTTGTGTACGGAAATCCAGCATTAGAAACTTCGTTTGATATGGGGAGGGGGGATTTTTCCTCACAATACGACCCACGGAAGACCTGCTGCGCCCGCGTTTGCCAGGGTACGGAAAAGTCGAAAAAGGGGAATGGGGGCTTTGGCTGCTTCAAGGGGTCAATGCCGCGGGTGTCGGGGATGTAGGTGCTAGTACTACTTTTGCTGGGGTTTGCCGTTAATGTTTTGTCGGATGGATTGTTGTTTTCTGTGGCGAAATGTCGTAGTACTTTTGCTTGGGCGGGGTTTCCAAAAGCATTTTCATGTTGTACGAAGACAGGGGAGGACTGTAAGAAATTTTTAGGTCGGTTGGACAGCACCATCTGCTCGTTTGGTCGCGCTGCTCGCCCTGCGGTGCTGCTGGTTTCGGTTTGCGACAATAGTCCTCGATAAGGAAGTCGCGTCGCCCTCTTGATGTCTAAACCGCTGCTACTGCTACTGCTGCTACCTCCAGGAGATGCCCCTCCTGCAGCTGCATTCGTTGTTGTAACAAAGGTCCGGTAGGCGTAGGATGGGCATGGAAATAAACCACATGCTGGTGGCAGTAGAGTGTGAGGGAACATCATCAACCCGTGCTGCATATTAGCAGGGTCAGGGTAGTGCAGCTGCGGTCCTCTTCTAGAGCTTCTGTGGCGCAGCAGCGAACGGCGCACAGAGCAGGAACTTGCGGAGGACGTCATTTCTTTGAAAGGAAAATGAAAAAGGGGTTTTTAGTGTCGGATCCCCAGAGGCGGAAAATGAAAAAGAACAAAAAAAGAACAAAGATACTCTGACTCTGGCTCTACTTCTTATGATGTAGTGGTCCATGACACCGTAGCCTGAGAAGTTTTTCAAAAAACGAACGAGAAATACCTTGAAGGATGATCTTCACATGCGACGGCTTGAGATTTGCATCTAGTTGTAAGTCCTTCCTCAACCGTCGACTTCCACCAGAAAAAGTTATGTAGTCCAGAAGATCTTCATCGACATCGTGGCTGCAACCAACAAAAAAAAGAACAGCTGCGTTGCGTTTTGGCACGTCCGACAAAAATTTTGATTTCGACAGCGGTCGGGGCACCCAAGTGGCGTTTGCACTGCCCTCGGTGGTGAAGTATCAGTGAAACATCAAACTGTCACTTCCACTATCGTCCTATCGTGTGTGTGTCAATGTTCTTCGCGCTAGTACAGTTTGCATTTCATGACAATGTCGCCGCGTAGTTTAAAAAAATGATATATGCGCTCCGCATTCGCGTTGTACAAAAGTTCATTTGATAAGGCACAATATCTGCAACCAGCTCGCTGTTTGTAACTTCGTCGCAACTCCTATCACAAGTGAGATGGTGGACGCAACATTCTTGCTATTGTTCTTGGGCCATCACATTATCACATTGTTTGATCTTGTTGCGTGTCGATCGTAGTTCTTGTACTTACTTCCAAAGGGTGATACCAGTAAAGATGTATTTTGTATTTTCATCCGGCGGTGCAATTCAAAACTACTGCGTTATTTCTTGTACCGTACTCTTGACATAATGCTTGGAACAACTCCACCATTTTTTTACCACCTCGAAGACTTCCCCCCGCCATTTTCCTTCCCGCCTCGTCGCCCCCGGCTTTCCCCCCTGCCAGACCCGTAGTCCCTGTCCCTGTAGTTCCTCCCCCCGGTGTTGTAATCATTTCTGCGATCGTCAGTTCTCCTCTCACGCTGATCACCACCACTTCTATCGCCCTTGGAGTTGTAGTTGCTCACACCTCCGTTCTTGCTGGTCTGCTATGCATTGCAAAAGCATCGTACTAGTAGAAATCGCATTACAAATTCGGTCATCATGACAAATGTAAATTTGTTATGCTGTTTTACCTTGGAATGGAAATTTGTAATGCATGATTTCGATTACTACGAGTACGAAACTTTTGCACAGGATATCTGCTGCAACCCGCCTCCTGGTCGCTCGATTTCTACGCTGTCTTTCCTTCCGACGTCGTGTTTTATCCTGTGTAAAAACGTCCCCACCCCAGAGTCAAGTTGGGAACTCAGCAACACAAATCCAGAAGTTTTGGAAGCCACGCATGACAAGTTGCAGTCCGCAGTGTAGTGCATGATAGCAAGGACAACGGCATCAGAAATCCACCTGCTTATCCTGTTTGCAGCATTACAAATGCCGAAACACGATTGGAAATGCCTTTCATGGGGAAGCGCATTACGAGTGTTCCTGTCATTGCAAATCTGCATGACAACTCTGGGGTGGGTACGTTTTTACACAGGATATGTTTGTCGCCTTCTTTTTCTCCTTCCCTGTCACGGGGAGTTCTTCTCTTTGTTCCATCGCGGTTGTCATGATCAGAGGCTTTTTTCGCGTCGTGGTCCCTGTGACTACGGTCGCCGCGGTTATTATTATTTCGGTCGTAATTATGGTCCCTTCTGTTGTTGTCATTGTAGTTGCGGCCACGATCGCGATCTCGATCTCGACTTCTGTATAGAGACGAAAAAGGTGATCTTCAGCAGTGTTCTTATCCCTAAAGGAATTCGCTGCATACCGTCGGGATTTGCCCTGTTTTTTGCGCCAACGCAGGCGCTGCAGCTTTTATGGTCGCGCCTGCGTAGGAGTGCTGTTGCCTTCCCTGGTGGGTTTTTTCACGCGGCCCAGGCGTCTTTCTAGAGGAACCAACAGGCACGCTAGCACCCCGGCGAGCCTAGACATAGACTAAAGAGGCCCCCCCCACTGCGCAGATCGACGCGCCCCGCGGGCACTCACAACACACCCACCCGGTGTGTTGTGAGTGGGCCCGCACACTGCCGCGGCCGGCTAATGGGCTCGCACACTGCCGCGGCCCGTTGCATTGCCGGCTAATGGGCCCACACACTGCCGCGGCCCGGTGCGACCGCCGGCGTAGCCCCGGCTTGGGGGGGGTCTTTGGGGAAAAAAAGAGCCCCTCCAAGCTGGGGCATCAGCTCGCGCCCAGGCGCGCGAACTTGGACGCAGTGGCCGGCGGTTATTCTGTCAGCGGGCAGCGCGTTCCCTGGCGCATGCGCTGGGGCTGCGCTAAGCACGAAAGCGCGACCCTCTGGAGGATGCGCGGCGAAGGCTTTGGATAGCCCTGGGCGGTCTCGCTTTTGTTGGCCTCAGACACGCCAGGCCTCGCCTAGAATGAAAAAAACTCACGAATCGCGACGGTATGGCGCGATTTCTCTTAGGGATAAGAACACGCGGGAAGATCACCTTTTTCATCTCTATACATTGTAGTTGCGGCCACGATCGCGATCTCGATCTCGACTTCGTTCCCTATCGCGGGCGCTATGTGGCTTGTAAAAATCACCCTGAACATCCCTGCTCTTCTGGTTCAAATTATCCCTGTTCGATGTGCGACCTCCTCCGTCTTCTCTTTTCTTCGCTTCCTCCCTTAAATCCTTCATGTCAATATCGAGCAAGTCCTCCTCATCCTCCGCATTTTTTGCCGCTGCAGCCGCCTTCATCTCTGCTTCCTTCTCATTGGCAATGAAATGCGCGGCGCCCTTCGGGCGGTTCTTGTTCGGTATCAAATGCAAAAACATCGCAGTGGTCGTGCTAAAAATTGCAGATTTGCATTACAGATTACTTTATTATACCTAAATCTGCATGACAAACTACTACTAGTGCGACGCTTTTGCAGTGCATATTCGGCCCGATTCGGGAGGTTTGGTTCTGATCCGCGTTTTCTTTGGATTTTTTCTTGTACTCGAGATACTCCTGGACCCCGCTGGATTTGCTGGACTGCGACTCCGCGAGCTTCTTTTTGTAGGCAAGGTATTCCTGCACCCCACTAATGTGCTTCTTCGGAGGCTCTTCATCTTTGTTGGTTGTTATTTTACTATTTCCATCAGGTTCTACTTTATTGCCTGAACTAGATGCAGCTGGTGGTGCAGCTGATATGTTGTTTTGCTTGTGATCATGCTCCCCGTTTGCGTTTTTACTGGAGTCACGCTTTATTTCCTCTTGATTTTTACCCTGTAGTTCTTCTCTCGGCGACTCGCGTATCTTGTTCTCAGCGGACTCTACTGGAGGATGAGCTGCTGCTGGTGTAGCGGTTTTGTTGTTCTCTACTTTCTCCTTGTCCGAAAACTTTTTCTCCTGCTCGCGAACATCACCACGATCGTCTCCTCGCCGTCTTTCCTGGAGTTCACCACGGTCTTTGTAGTCGCGGTCGCGCCCACCTCTTCGGTTGTTGTAATTGTCGTCTCGATTTCGATCGCGGCCACCTCCACCGCGGTTGTAGTTATTGTCCCTGTCATAGCGGTCTCGGTCGCGGTCGCCACGACCACCACGATCCCGGTCTCGATCCCTTCTGTCATCCCGCTCCCGATTGGTATTTGTTATCCTGTGCAAAACTATCGTATTCGTATTACAATCATGCATTACAAGTGTTTTTGTTAATTCAAATCCGCATTACAAATTTTATTTCTCATCCTGAGGAAATTTGTAATGCATTTGTACGAGTACGGTACTTTTGCAATGCATATTTCTATTTTCTTCGCGGTTTCTGTCGCGGCCGTGTTCTCTTCCAGAATTATCGCGGTCGGGTTTTCTTCTTTGTCGCGGTCTGGAGGTGCTACGCGGCCGGTCGCCCACCTGGAGTGGTGTTTCGTCTTTGTGATGAGCTTCTACCAAGACCTCATTAGCAATTGTAGACTATGCTCCGTTTTGTTGATCACGATGCAGTACCCGCAGTTGCACCAGATGCTGTCTAGTACTTTGCAAATACCTAAAACACGAAAACACAATCATCTTCTTCTAAAATTATCCTAAATACCCTCTGTCGATCCCTTTCCACCTTTCGGTCGTACTCCTCAAACACGTTCTTGGTTGGATCTCCGAATTTGACTTCCTCTTCCCTTCGACCCTTGTTGTTTCCACCACCTTTCGTGTTGGAGGAGGAGGAGGCTCCGCCGCCTTTACCCGCAACCCTGTTCTCGTCCTTTCCACCGTTTTTACCGTACTTCGCATTCAACGCGTTGTACCTGCCTTTCTGTTCCGCGATCAAAGCTTGGTTATGGTCAATATGCATTGCAAATATGATGTCTGGGCCTGGAAGGTTGTGAGATTTCTCATGCACATTTTGCATGATGCATGATGCCTGTGATGCATGCCCCAGCATTACAGATTTTGTGAGTGCTTCCTGATGCCTATACCGCATGAGAAATACCCCCTCTGCGTGGCAAAATCTGAACTCCTCTTGCTGCTCACGCAATACAGATTTTTGTAGAATCCAAAGGTCGCATCACAAGTTGAATCCGTGTTCCAAACCCAGACATATTTGCCATGCATAGTCAACCACGCTCTGCAAAAGGCCCTGCACCGTGGCAAACTTGTTCTGCGTCTGCCTTGTCGCGTTGCGGCCACTCTGGGCAGAGGGGTCGAGGAGGGGACCTGGATAATTTTTGTAAATCAGTTTTATTTTCATGATGGATCATTGGTTTCACGCATTACAGAAGTTTGACGACTCTGCGACGTGTAAAAAAGCAACATGTTCGTGTTCCGCATGACAAAAGAAAGAAAAAATGAAAACCTACGTACCTGGATCCTCCATGAAGTTCTCAATATCCGTCACTTCGCCGTCCCCCATGTCGTCATGCTCATCCGTTGTTGTCGTGCCCTCCTTGCGTATACTTTCCCGGCACTCACGGATCAAACTGCATAAAACGTGTCTCATCTCTATGGAGTTCTCAAATGTTACATTCTCAACAACTGTTACATGGATTTGTAATGCAAGAATGGACAAAGTGAAAGGAGGAAGATTGCGCCCTTTGCATCACAACTTTGCCGCAGATTTAGATGCTGTTTAGCCCTTCTGAAATTTGTCATGCGAAGCAGCTTGATCACCTGCCGGCTTTAGCTGCTTTTGCATGACAAATTCATGTGCTTAACAGTTGAGAATGTAACGTTTGAGAGTCCCATAACCTCCTGCTCGTGATCCTCTTCCGTCACCGGTTCGCGGGTTTGCGGGGGCAGGAATTGCTGCTGTTGGTGGTTGTATTGAAGGTGTCCTGTAGCTGCTACCTGTGAGAGGTAAGGTTGCTGTTGCTGTTGCTGGTTGAAATTTGCGTAGGGGTTGTTGTTCTGTGCGAATTGGTGGTGCTTAACAAAACCGCCCGGGGAAGTGCCGACTGCAACTGGCTGTATTGGCATTGCTGGGACTGCACCTCCATAAGCTCCTGACACACCAGCACCGGCCCATCCTTGATTATTCATCATCATTGGCTGCCCTCCTGGTGCCCCCGCTCCTTTCATGACAGCCGCTTGTGGTAGTGGTCGCAAGCCCGGTGGAAGGGGGCGAAGCTGGGGGAACAGGGGGTTGGGGGCAGCTGCTCCGGGTTGTAGTGGCTGAACAGGGACAAGGGGCACCATTCCGGGCGGAGCTTTGGATTGCGCGGGCAGCATCTGGTGCTGCATCGGCGCACCGTAGCCGTAGGGGTTCATTTTATCTTTTTTTTCCTACAACGGGAACTGCTTCATAAAAAATAGCACTGAATTTCTGATGTTTATCGATCTGGCACAGACACTGTGGACAACTACGTACGTGCATCATGTGGACAAAAATGAAGCGCTTAGAGTAGACATGACAGTAGTACAGCAGCCAGGGCAGCATAGAATCGCAGCCGCCGCGTGCAGCCTGAGGGTAATTTTTTTTGACTTTTCTAGTACTTAGCAAGCGGTTCTTTCTTCTGCTTGCAACTAGCATTTGATTTCATCGGGTGGTCTCGTGAGTTATTATACTTACGTTTACTTCGCTTCTTCATGTTCTTTTCCCTTGTCGGTCTAGATCTTGTTGTTCTGGGTATTAAATCGATGAGTGTAGTAGCTTGTCAAGAAATTATGCTAGGTGGTGGTCGTACTAGAGGCGATGGCATTGAAAATGGAAATTTGATGTGATGCTAGTTTTCAGCTTCTATCTACAGCCCGATTAAAATCTCAAAATTGTAGCATGCACACCAACCACTGCGCTACTCCTCCCCAGGAAAGAACCCCAAGAGTAGACCCTCTCCAAAAGTAAACCTCAACACAATAAGCAATCTCATCTTCTCGAACAAGAAACCACCCACAACGCTATACGCTCGCTGCACTCAGAGTAGCGGTCCACTTCTAGACTCAACATCGAGCTCAGAAGGCATCAACCTGCACTGTGTTTATTTTCGCTTGTTCCGTTTGCTCCAAGCAGCACACTAGAAAGAACATCACGATCACTTCGCGTGGCAGGACAAGGACTGCTCACGGAATAGGTCGTGGTCGCGGCGCCAACGCTGATACAACTTCAAGACTTCTTTTTGGGAGAATGGGTAAGTATCAAGAGCCACATCTGGAGGTGGATCCTACTAGCAACAACGTTTACTGCGTTACATCATGTTTGGATCGTTTAAATGCTTTACTCTAATTCATGTTCTTCATCGCTGTACTCAATCTACTTAATTCTTTGTTCGTAGAAGTCTTCTACGACCGCTACGCACCTGTTTTCGTTTTGGTTTTCTATTTTGCTCGCTATACCAAATCATCATGTTCCTTGTCACACGATCTGCCGTCCCAGCCGTTTCCCAATGTTGAGAATCACCTTCACTACGTTCTCATCCACGGACCCCAAGTCGTTGTTCGTCGCCATCTATCCTGTGCAAAAGTATCGTACTCGTACTAATTGCGTTCATGCATTACAAATCTTTTTGCTAGGGCAAATCCGCATTACAAATTTAATCTCTAATACCAAGTCAATTCGTAATGCAACTTATACTAGTACGTTACTTTTGCAGTTCATACCATCTTGCAATGCGAATTCAAGAAATTCCGAAGTTTTAAAATGATCTCGTCCTTCTGATTTGCGTCCAGCTGGCCGAAGAAGTTGATGTCGATAACCTCTATGAATTGCGAAAGTGTCTGGGTCTGGAAGATTGCAACTTGTCATGGTAAATTTGAAGCATGCAAAAATCTGTGCTGCATGAGTGCCAAAAGCTGTACACTTTTGAACAAGTTGGAAGGGAGTTTCTCATGCAGGATAGGCATGGCAAAGACCTCGCAGAGTCTGTCATGCCAAGTCCCGCATTCCAGACCTCATGGGTCATGGAAAATGTGCATGACAAGTGTACACTTTGCCAGACCCAGACATTTTTGCATTTCATAACCTCCCGGATAACGCAACACCTCCTGTAGAGACTGAACTTCGACTGACTAGGGTCTAAACCGGAGAAGTACGTCACGTGCTGCTGATTGGCGCTATTTTGCGGCTGATGCTGTACCAATGTACGGGGGCTTTGGAGGTTTCCGCTACTCCCGCTACTTGTATTCGCAACGCAACTCCCGGGCAACAGCCGGTTTGTGATTCCGTTCAAGAGCAAATGCAGTTTGTAGTACTCCCGGAGAAATTCTTGTTTGTAACTGAACCCATGACCCCCTGCGCCGTAACTGCCCCAATACCCTCGTTTCGGCGAATGACTGCCTCCGCCGGCAGAGTAGCTGTCGTAGCAGGTGTCTTTCTCGACGGTCTTGTAGTACTTTTCCAAAAAGTTGATTTGGTTGCGGTCGAGTAGAAGGGCCTTGAAACGCGTGCTGAGCGGTTGTGCAGTGACTACAGCGGCTTGCGGCGCAGACCCCCCTGCTGGTACAATTTTCGCGAACATCAGCAAATCTGGTGGAATTGCTTGCAAGATTCGGACGAAATTTTTCAGGAATTTTTGTTGCCAGTAGACGTCATCGTCGTAGAAATTGTAGATCGCAGATTCCCACAACGCGATACTCCAGATCGGTGAAAAGTACTGCTCGAAAATCGACTTGGTGTTTTGTCCGAAAGCGTTTGGCTGCAGCAAGAACTCATCGCTTAATTGCTGTTTTTCCGCTTCTACGGTCAATTGCGCGATTCTCTGCTGAAACAGCATGAACTGCTCGCGGTTCTGCGCCAGGGAATTCATCTTTTCGTTCAACGCGTTCAAATCCCGCCTCCCGGTTTCCTGCTCCGCGATGCGCAAAGACGCCTCGGTGCGGACCCGCTGCTTCTTATGAACTCCAAAAGTATCGCACTCGTATAAATGCATTACAAATCAGCATGAGAAATAAAATTTGTAATGCGTATTTGACTTAACAAAAAGATTTGTAATGCATGACTGCAATACGAGTACGATATTTTTGCACAGGATACTTCTGCTCTTTGAACAACAACCGGAGAAACTCCACTAACAGCATCGCCCTATCAAATGCAAAAGTGTCTGGGTCTGAAAGATTCTGAGACTTGTCATGCGGTTTTTCCAAGCTCCACCAACTCTGGAATGCAGGGCGTAGCATCACAGGTTCTGCAGCCCCTTGGTGATACCTATTCTGCATGAGAAATGCCCTCTCGTCAGCATGGCCAGAAATGGGGACCTCTTGCAAGTCATGCAACACAGATTTTTGTATGATTCGTAATCGTAACACGCATCACAAGTCCGCATCCTTCCAGACCCAGACATTTTTGCATTTGATAGGCCCTGACTTCCATCAAATCCACGCGGATCTGCTGGTCCTCGGTCTGCTGGTCGACAAAGTCGATTTGTGTGCCGCTGTCAACTTGAGTACCGGTTGTAGTTGACGTCGCCCAAGCGTCTTGTTTGTTTTGTTGTCCTGGTGGTGTGATCACCTGCTTCTTCCCCTCGATTTCGTCGCAGACGTGGGTCCAGATCTCTGACCATATGTCTAAAGCATTCCGTAAAGAATCTAGTGTCATCTTCAATTTATCCCCGCTCTTCAACAACTTCTTCAGCGCGACGGCCGCTTGCTTGATGTGCTTGGGTTTGTTGTTGTGCCACTTCAAAATTTGGTACGCGTAGTCCATTTGGGGATTGGCCTGGTTTTGCTGGATGATGTTGGGGTTCTCGGAGAGTAAAAACGCAACTTCAAAAACCCTTTCCCACATTTCTTCCTTCTTTTCCAACGCTTCGCACCGTTGCGAGTCAAAGAGCTCGAGGAGCCCCTTCGGGCTTGTCGGGCTGGAAATTTTAAACCCGATGAAGTTCTCCCATCTGTGATTGCCGGCAAGCTCGTCCACGATCTTTGCACTTTGTTCCATATGGATGTGTCAGGATCGAAATCGACAAAATCGAAAAATTTGCGATGCATAAAATCGATACCAGTTGGAGCCTCAGTTTCCAAGCGGCGCATGACAAATTTCGGGAGCACCAAAATCCAGTCTGTCATGCTGTTTGGGCCAAGGAGACTGCTCTTGTCATGCTACTCTGGCAGCACATCGCCTTCCCCTAAACAGGCTTGCAATCGGGTTCATTTGCTTGCTCCCCAACACAGGCCATGCGTGCTCTACATTTTATGCATATACAAATTTTTCGATTTTGTCGACTTCGATCCTGACACTCCCATATTCGTATTCCAAGCGGACGAGGTAATTTGAGTTGTTAGTCGCTCCGTTTTGCTCCACTCGCAGTTTCGGCAACACCATGCACTCCTCTTGCATCAAACACTTACCTAGAGAAATTAAAGCGTCTCTTCGCCCGTTCTCGTTGCTCATCCACTTGTAAAAGATCGGGTTTAGCGAGTTATTCACCCGATTGTTCAGCTCGGGCAGTTTCGGTAGGCAGCCGCAGAAGAAGAGGAGTCTTTCCAACAAAAACTCCCGGTATTCCATCGCTTTGAAATACAGGGAGAGGAGGTTGATTTTTTTGTCACCTGGTGCAACGCCCACCTCCCGTTGCAGCCACAATGGTAATTCCACGTGCAACTCCTGGTGGGGGTTTTGAATCTGCACGCCTTGCAGGTGTCCCGTGTTCTTATACGCGTTGGGTTGTTTTATCCCGGGAAGCATCTTTTCGAGCACCTTATCGGCTAGAATGCTCCAGGCCTCTAATTGCTCGCCGGCGATGTGTATCCTGTGCAAAAGTATCGCACTCGTATAAATGCAAGTCTTGCATTACAAATTTTTTTCTTATCGTAAATCCGCTTTACAAATTTCCTTTCTCATGCGGAGGAAATTTGTAATGCATTTATACGAGTACGATACTTTTGCAACGCATAGTGTGTGCTTGCTTCTTCGGAACGTTTGTCCAGTACCAGTAGGTCCTTATCCTGTGCAAAAACATCCGCACTCCAGAGTTGTCATGCAGATCTGCAAGCACGCGAGCATTTGTAATGCGCATCCGCATGGTCCGATAGGCATTTCCAATCGTGTTTTGGAGCTTGTAATGCTGTAAACAGGATAAGCAGATGGATTTGTAATGCGACTTCCCTTGCTAAACTGCACTACACTAGAGCCTGCAATTTGTAATGCGTGACTGCTAAAGCTTCGAGGTTTGTGTTGCAAAATCCCCATCTTGACTCTGGGGTGGGGACGTTTTTCCTTAGGATACTCCTCACGAAAGAATTGTCCTGCTTCTTCCCCGTTCTTGGGTCCAAAACCGTGACTGGAGCTCCTGCGAGGTTCATCTGCTGATTATTTGTCACAGCTTTATTCGCGGCCACGTTGGCCGTGGACACAACGGCAAAGGGGTCAAGAAGTTTTTTCTCCGTAGGTTGTTGTGACAGACCTCCCTGCGGCACGGCTGGTCCCCGCGGGCTGAGCGGTGGCTGCTGCCCAACTGCGTGTTCTGGCGCGGGGGTGTATAAGTGCTCTTTCTGGAGCAAAACCAACGGCGGAAGTTCGTTTTTCCGGGAAGATTTATTCTGCAAATTCCCCCCGTGAATCTCCACGTTGATCTTCCCTCGTTGTCCGTGCATCCCGATGGAGCTCGCCCCATCATTCAGCGAATTCGGCGAGTTGCCGGCGTTTTGCTGCTGGTCTAGAAAATCTTCGTCGTCATCATCCTCATCACCGTAATTGTCCTGCTCCTTCTCATCCCCGGGCGCAAACCCTGAATTAGGCTGCACGATTTTGCGTAAAACGAAACACAAAACCAAATTTGCCATCTGCTCGTTCTTCCGCCACAGTTCCACTTTGCCCGGTATTCTGGATAGAGGGACCGTTTTTACTTGTCTTTTCTGCCCCTTCTCATCCAACTGCGTATGCACTGCAAAAGTATCCTATCGTACTCGTATAAATGCATTACAAATTTCCTCAGCATGAGAAAAAAGTTTTGTAATGCGGATTTGCCTTAAGAAAAAGATTTGTAATGCATGACTGCGATTACTACGAGTACGATACTTTTGCACAGGATACTGCGATTGTTGCAGCAATCCCTGCTCCGTCTGCTCCGATTTGTACAGATGCGGGGTATATCAAATCGTAAAAGTGTCTGGGTCTGGAAGGTTGGAACTTGTGATGCTAACTTTGGACTCTAAAAAAATCTGTACTGCATGAACAGCAAAAGATGCGTAATTTGTGCTACGCGGAGAGGGCATTTCTCATGCGGTATGAGCATCAGAAAGCCCTCGCAAAATCTCTGATGCTAGGGCATGCATCACAGACCTCATGGGGCATGCAAAATATGCATGACAAACTCCTGCATTCTTCCAGACCCAGACATTTTTGCATTTGATAGTGTATCCTTCGCATTCGTATCAACCATGGTGAAGAAGTAGGACAATAGCATGTCGGTGCCGAAAAACCCATGGGAAAAATACAGCCAGTCGTTGCAACACTGCTCGTCTTCAGAAAAGAATTCGAGAAAAACCTGACTTATGTCCTGCGCGTAGGTCTTCTCAATAATCTGCTTTTCCGCATCGGAAACAGTTGATGTTCCCTGACTTGCCAAGAACTGCTGCAGTGTGGTCTGGTCGATCTTGAGGAAAGTGATCGCTCGCAGAAAGGCGCAGAAGAGTTCGGAGTATGAAATGCAAATGTGTCTGAATCTGGAAGGATGCAACTTGTGATGCTACCTTTGGATTCTACATCAAATCTGTATTGGATGAACAGCAACAGAGGTGCGTCTTTTGCTACGCGGAGAGGGCATTTCTCATGCGGTATGAGCATCAGAAAGCCTTCGCATGATCTCTGGTGCTAGGGCATGCATCACAGACCTCAGGGGCCTTGCAAAATCTGCATGACAAACTCCTGCACTCTCGCAGGCCCAGACATATTTGCAGTTGATACGGAGCCTTTGGTAGCGAATTGCTGGTATTCCTGGTCGTCCTCGTAAAGATCTAAACCACCGGTCGCATTACCAGTACTACTACTACCTCCAAACGGCGCTTGATTCGGCGACAACTGCACCTTCTGGTCGGTTATCCCCGGCCACTGGTTCGTGAAAAGCTTCGAATACTTCACAAACATATCCAGTGCAAAAGTATCGCACTCGTAGTATTAATTGCAATCATGCATTACAAATCTCCTTTCCAAGGTAAAACAGCATGACAAATCTTATTTCTCATGCTGAGCAAATTTGTCATGCGATTTATACTAGTACGATACTTTTATTGCATTGCATAAAACAAACGCACGAGCAATATCATCAACTGCAACCTTTCCGTTTGTACCCTTTGCCGATGATTGTCTTCCAAATGTCGCCAATCTCGACCCGCGTCGTAGATATTCAAGAAATATTCGCTGTTTTCCTTTTTGAAAACATCAGTGGCAAAGTCCAAAACCCGGGTAAGTAGCTGCTGGCAATACTCAATATTCGCTTCCAAATTGTCCAGAGCGAGCTTCTTCTCCCGTGCTTCGCCTGAAAGATGCTGAAGACTGTTGTTGTTCCCTGTAGTTGTACTTGTAACACCACCGGTCTGAGAAAAATTACCTCCTGGTTTGAACATCTCAAAATCTCGAAACAGCGAGTCCAAGATCGGGAACATCTTTTCCAGCATGCTCGCCACCAATTTTTTCCCGTGGGTCAACGAGTTTTGATCGTGGAGCTGGGCACTGGCGGGAAGCCTTTTCGTCTTATTGGACAAATTGTACCAAATATTATAGTACAACCGCAGCGCCTGCGTTGTCGTCAAATTCGACATGGCAGGGCTCCCGGGAAGGTCCTGCAACTCCGTAACCCCTGGGAGTCCCTTGTAGCATAAGACTAACCATGTCAACCGCCACAGCACGTCCTGCGCGTCTTGGTCGTTGGTGTCATTGTTCATGTTCATCGTATTGCTGTTGCTCAAGTCAGACGGGGATGATAAAGTTGACGTGGGCGTCGTTGACGCGAGGGTAGACACCGCTTTTGTCAACGAGAGGATTATCTCATGGTAGATGATCTTGTCTCCGGCTGGGTTCGAGTTCGTGCTGCCAGTACTATCAAATGCAAAAATGTCTGGGTCTGGAAGAGTGCAAGTTTGTCATGCTTGTCTGGCATGACTCGAGAATCTGTGTTGCATAGGCACGAAAGAGCCATCCTAACTGTCATGCGAAAAGGCAGCTTGCCTTGCGGAATACGTAAGACATGGCAGCCACTACAAAATTTGTCATGCATAGCTGCGTATTGCGGCGCATCTATCATTCACTTTTAGCATTACAAGTTTCCAGACCCAGACATATTTGCATTTGATAAGTACTCGAAGCTGTGGTGTGATCCGCTGCGTTCATTTCCGCACCGGAAGTATAACAGTGCACAACTCCCCCTCTGCCTCATTTGTATAGCATGAACGGCAATACAAGCATCAGGAAGAGTGCCGGTCTTGCATGACAAATTTGCACTGGAGTACAGTGCTATTTGGGCTGCGAGATCTTGTCATGCAAACAGTGCCAACAGGCAAAGGGTGGATTGGGTATTTTGCATGACAAATGAGGGGGAGGGGGGGTTGTGCACTGTCATAGGAAGCGAGTTGCGCCGCGAAGTCTGGGTGATTGTCGCAGAGCCGGGACAAAATGTCTAGTAGTGTGTGGAGTTGCTCAAGTTTGAAATTTTTGAAGTTGATACCATGTTGCTGGTTTTGCTGCTGCATAACAAGATGAGTTATTCCCGCCTGCTGTTGTTGATGCTGTTGCACTTGGTTTATGAACGCGTCCCGGTACTCTTTCAACCTTCCCATCATGCTGCGAAAAATCGTGAGGATGATGTTTTTCATGTCGTTTGTGACGGTTTGCTTCGCGTTTAGCGGTAGTAGATCCATGATAACATCGTCGTTGTCTTGCAGCATAAAAGTCAGCATGGACAGTTGGTCTTCCAAAGGGCTCGTTGCTTGCTGCTGAGTACCATCGGCCAGGTTGAGCGCTGCATTTATTCCGCTTTGCTTCTTCTGCTTTTCCAAGTGGTCTTTTTGCTGGATTTGCTGCACCACCATGGTGGTGGTGGTGCTGGAAGCGGCAGAGGCAGCGGCTGACATGATGCCGGGCGGCGGGGTGTCAGTGTATTAAAGCCGCTATTTCATTGCTTTTTCTTTTTGTAAGGAAAAACAATGTAGCAATAAAAACACCACTAGCGCGGCCGCCTTGCATCTGGCTTTTCTACTATTAAATAAAGGAAGTGTTTGTATTGTTCCACGGGGTATTAAGTGCGAGGTGTGAAATAAACTTCCAAATAGTAGAAAGAATGGCGGCAGTAGCGATTTTCGATTGAAAAAACCAAAATACTCAAGTCCGCTGTGTAAAATTTCGGCGACAAGAAGTGCTAGCAATAGCAAACGAGAGCAAGTGTGAAAGGAGCCCGAAAAAAAGACGGATAAATGGTTGAAAAACTTTATTCACTTCCAGACCATAGATTTCGTAAAAGTTTTCGAGTCTCTACCTTTATCGAGATTTCTGTTTCCGTTCGTGGTCCTGTTTATTTCGGTATTTTTTCGCAAAGACCACGAGCAGGTCTTTGCCAATTGATTTTGCAGCTTGGCTGCAGCTGAGTGAGGAATCTGCTTTGGCGTGATCCAGCACATTTCATGCGTGAAGATTAGCGTCGGTATATCTCCTATTTCATTCAGCAAGGTAGGATGAGTGGACTTTACGTCGTCCAAAGTGTTGCTCTAGAAGTTCCCGGTCGACGGTGTCTTTAATTTGCAGCAGGGGAACATCACGATAGACATCTATCAGTGTGACAGAGGAGGATGTACAGTCGCGCTTGGTAGGACGCAACTTTGTTCCGCACCCTCCACGACCAGCGGCACTTGCAAAAATGCCACTTAGCGTTAGCACTGGTTTTCCAACATAGTATAACATAATTAGTCCTTCACAACTTCTGTATTCTCACCAGGTTCTTCGACGCAAGAAACTCATTTGTTGCACCTTGTTGCCTAATACGTCTGCGTGGTGAATAAATTTATTGTCTTTGAAAACAAAGCTGCGGCTGTACGCGAAAATTCTCTTTCTCAAATCACCGGCAACGTCCAGAGCGTATCTTTTTCCTCCTCTGGCGTCTCCGCCAGCATCTTCATATGCGTTGCAAATATGTCTGGATCTGGAAACTTGTGATGCTGGTGGGAGAAAGACCAGCACACCTCAATTGGCTGCCAAGCATGACAAGTTTTGCAGATGCTTCAGCGTTGTCTATTCTGCATGACAAACCGGGCTTCTGCCTGAGAAAAGAACGGCGCTGTTTGGTAACGCGCAAGACAAACTTGAGAATCATGCTAGCAGAGCATGACAAACCCTGCATCTATTTCCAGACCCAGACATATTTGCAATGCATACTTCAGTTGCAGCCCCAACAGCGTCTCTAACTCCGCGGCTTTCTGCTTGGCACCCTGCCTACTCGGAATGCTTGTCGTTGGCGAGTATGCATTGCAAATATGTCTGGGTCTGGAAGAATCCAAACTTGTCATGCAAACTCTGGATTACGCAAGAATCTGTGTTGCATGAAAGCCTCCAGAAGCTGTTCACTTTTTGAACTGCAAATAGCAAGCTTCTCATGCAGAGTCGGCATCAGGAGACCTGAACAAATCCGAGCTTCTCATGCTCTTGCGCGCATTCCAGAGCATCTGTGAGATCCAAAAGATGCATGACAAACTTGCAAACCCTTCCAGACCCCGACATGTTTGCAGTTGATAGTGAGCTCCTTGCGTCGATGTGCTTTGTTTGGTGCTCGGTGTACTGATTTAAAACCAGTTTCACCTTTTCTAGCCGGGATTTACTTTGAGAAGACGCGGTTTTCGCCGTGGTAGTCTCTTTCGACACTTTGTCTTGCATTTCCGTTGTAGTACCTGCTGCTTCTGCCCCCTGTACAACTTCTCCTGAAGTACTACTCGTACCACAAGCCCCCGTGCTGGTTCCAGCAGCTGACACGGTGGATTCGATCGCCTGGTCTAGAATTTTCGCCTATTCTGTGCAAAAGTATCGTCCTCGTATTGCAAAATCACGCATTGCAAATCTTTTTCGTAAGGTAAATCCGCATTACAGATTTTATCTCTCATGCTAAGGAAATTTGTAATGCATTTCTAGAGTACTATACTTTTGCAGTTCATATCACCAAATCCTCCACAAACCCCGCGTGTCGCAAATTCTGCTTCTCCAAAAACGGTTCCCACTTCTGCGGGAGCGGGATTTGTGCGTTCACGTCGGCGCGTTTTAGAGTGGTGTCGTATTCGGAGACTAAATTGTCGAAAACGGTCATGGCCTTGTGGATCAAAGAGACCTGAAATTCAAGCTGGTCGAGAAATTTCGACTCGTGTTTTCTCAAAATCCGCAATTCCAATAAATGCCCGGAGAAGATGTAGGCTAGGAAGGTGAGGAAGAGAAGGAGGGAAAGAAGAATCGGCTCGTAGAACATGGCGGAAGTGTTGAAGCGGTAGAGAACCTGATTGTATTCGGGTTTGACTTCGATGTTGTTTATACTGCGTGATTGCATCATACGGGCAGGTACGACATTACGCATGACAAAAAATGCGAATTTCCCCGTCGTGGTAAAAAATCTTCTACCTGGAATTTGTATTGCAGGATATTCTTCTCCGGCACGAAGAAGTCATCCAATTCAAATCCAACCACTAACCGTCCCCCGGAAAAGTCCAGCCAGGAATTCTTTGTCGCGTTCCACGATTTCATGATGTGGCCGTGTTCTGGTGAAACCAACTTCGGGAGCTGGAGTTTGATGTCATGCGAGCCCTCTGGGAGCAAAATCTCCACGGTGAGTTTCTCGGAAAACGTACGGATAATCGGCGGGGAAAGAGTGACGTTTAGCACGTGGAGCGTCGGATCTTGCGGGTCGACCTGAGTTTTGATCATGATCATGTTTGTGGTTCTCTTCACATTTCATTTAAACCCGGTCTCTTTTCGTACTACATGCGCTTGTTGTTGATGCATGACAACACCAATTCCAATTGTGGTTCTTGGCAGTACTGCATGACAAAGTACGAGTCAGTACCTTCAACGCCGTCCGTGTTGGCACGTCGTAGGAAAAGCTCCAGTCGGCATTCCAACCTCCTAGTAGCGGGTACCGAGGCCGCAGTTGCGCCAGCACGTATCCCTTTTCGTCTCTTCTGGCGTTCGAGGAGGAGATGTTACCTTGGATAGAATTTTATTTCATCTTCTACGCGTGTTGTACCACTACCACTAGTGCTGCCCTCGCTAAATACATATGTATCTTGAGTATGCATGAGTAGAAATTTACTAAGTAACGGCGTTTCATCTCATGCAGCGTCTCCTGGTGCTCTACGACTTGTACTAGACACATAAAACATCAAAAATATAAATTGCAATGTAAAAATAAACCGATCTCATCCCGGTAGTGCAGATTCCTGGCCGTGGGAGGGAAAGGACTTACTGAGGGTGGCGCGCTACGCGCTGGTGCGCCCGCAGGTTCAGGCGAACCAACTAGCTCCGGCCCCGCCACGGTGCCGGTAGGGGGTTTGCGCTTTGTTTGGGTGGCCACGTTTTGCCTCGCGGGGGGCGGCCCCCTCTTGGTGTGGATGCTCCCGCCGCCCTGCACGAAGAAAAAAGCGCCTTTTCTCAGTGCCCTAAATGGTTACTCCACACAGCGCGCCCAGTCCCATTGTGCTGGTTGCACCTGCCTGGCTGGCCAGGTTCTTTGTCGAGCAGTTTCCACAGCTGCGCCCCTATGGGCCCCGTCAAAAGCAGCCCTGCCGTCTTGGAGGCGTAACTAGAATGACGAGCAGCCGCACGCAAGGCTCGCAGCTTTCGGAGGCGTTCGCAAATTCATTGGGAACATCCCCGAAGGCTGGCCCCCTCTCAGCTTGGGGTGGCACTGGGTTTCTGTTTCCCAGAACTTCTCCTGCTCCTGGGGGCTGGGGCGGGCCGCTGTCACGCCTACTGTCTTTCTCCGGGGGGCTCAGGCGGACGGAAAAGCCCTGCGCCTGTAGAGTTTTCGCCCCCAGGAGAATCCCCTCCCCTTCCCCGCGCCTGCATCCTTCCTAGTATGAAATCGGGCCCCTCGTTTTCTTGTCTACTCCATACCTCTCCGGCGGTCGCGGAGCGACCGCCCGTGCTAGATACAACTACTCGTGCTACAAACACTCCACCATTATACCGATCTCATCCCGATAGTGCAGATTCCTGGCCGTTTTCGGCAACACCACAGAGAGTTCCTCCATCTGCGTGAGCACAGGATTCGGCGGCATTTGCATCCCCCGACTGCGGTAGTCTTGTATCGCCAGGAAAAACTGTTTCACTGTAAACTTGTAATGCAGAAAATGCATTTCACAAGAGTTTGTCTTGCTACACATGCAAGACAGTGGATCTTTAGCTGTGTTTTACCTTAGGAACCTTGCATGGCAAATTTTCCTTGTCATGTAGAACAAACTTGTGATGCAAAACCTGCAAAATCCTTACAGTGAAGCTGTTTATTTTTTCTTGCGATATCTTGCCACGTGAAGGTAATCCGGTTGAAAGCACCGTTCATTGCAGCACCGCCGTGTTTATGCATTGCAAATATGTCTGGGTCTGGAAGATTCAGATTGCCAGGGCCAGGCTGGTCATGGATATTGTGCATGGCCCACAGTGTCTGTAATGCATGCCCTAGCATCACAGGTTTTTAGAGGGCTTCCTAATGCAGCCTATTCGGCATGATAAACGCCCTTCCAGCGTTGTAGCACAAACTGGACTCCTCTTGCTGGTCATGCAATACAGATTTTCTGGGAATCCAAAAACAGCATCACAAGTTGCAACCTTGTTCCAGACCCAGACATATTTGCAATGCATACTGCTTCAGCTTGTAATCCTCCTTGAAGGCAACGTTACCTTTTAGAAGATGATTCATCAGTGGCATTTGCATTTCATCTTCACGGCGCAGCATTAGCATGAGAAAAACATTTGTAAATGCACTTCAATGCATGACAAAGACAAAGTCTTTTTACGTAAAAACTTACCCCAATGTGACACTTCAATCTCCCTCCTCACATTCTTAAAGTACGCCTGGTGTGCTTGGTGCGAGAAGTGTACGAAAATTTTATCCTCCCCGATGTCTCCTAATTCCCCCATCTTGAAAGGCCCAAACGTGATTTTCTTAACCCCCGGCGACTTGTCCACTTTCACGAGATTTTCATTATTCGGGAGATAATTCTCGATCTGCACCACACTCCCCGCCGCGTTGACCCCACGGACCGCGGAGCCAGGTAATAGGTCGGGCGGGAATTCCAAGATTGTGGTTTCGGATTCGATCGTCTGTGCTGCTGGGATTAAAAGCGAATCTTCGTACACGAGCCACTGTTCTTGGAACAGATTGGTGAGTTCTTTTGGCAATGGTTCATACGGCTTGCCGACGGAGAGGACGTAGGTGAGCTGGAATTTCTTCTGGGATAAAAGCTATCATTTGTAAAAACGTCCCCACCCCAGAGCTGTAATGCAAATCTGCATGCTGCAAATGTTTTTCATGCGGAGACCCATGAGAAGCAGTTTCTACAGTCGTTTGCGATTTGTGATGCGCACATCCGCGTGCTATGCTAGATCTGTGATGCTGCTTCACTAGCTAAACACCACTACACTGCGAGTCCAAATTTGTCATGCGCAACGGCCAAAGCTGGTTGATTTGTGTAGCACATTTTCCATCTTGACTCTGGGATGGGGACGTTTTTGCTCACCATAAGAGCTCGTCTGGGGTCAGCTGGATGATGGCGGAGCTGAGTTGATAGTAAGTTTCGTTTTTTGAATAAACTCAAACTGCATGCATGTAAGCGCATCACAAACTCAACACAAGATGAACCAGCTCTGTGTAAATGAACTATGCTCGTACACACTCCAGCACTTCTTTTATACCCGTTCCCCTCTTCCGCATCGTCGACAATGGTCACATCCAAGTTTTTATTGTCCTTCTTGCTCCCACCGTCGTTCCTAAACGATGCTGCCACGTGGCCGACTTTGCCGAGTAACGAAGATTTTTTCCAGTACACGGGAAAGAAGTTCTTTTCGGTGCTGGATGCTGTACTTCCATCCGCCTCTATTTTCAAGTCCACTGTTACCGTCGCGATATTCGTTCCAAGCTTGATAGTGCGGGTGGCTTCTTTGATTTTCAGCTCCGCCAGAACTACAGAGGGTAGTTGGGGAAGGAAGAGAACGGAAGATGCGGTGGCGAGTTGCAGCACCGCCGCCCGGTTGGAGAGAAGTCGCATTTCGATAATTATACAACCAGTGGCTTCAGCCTATGTCCTGAACCTGACGCCGTGCAGTATTCTCTAGTGACCACTAGTCATAGCTGCGTTCTTGAAAATGGCGTTGTTTGGCAGCATCATCTGGAAAACGTATTAAACGTGCGAGACATCAAAACCAGTGCACAGAAAAAAACCCGCAAGGTGGAACAAAGAGCAAAAGGAGTGAGGAGCACAAGATCCGCTCCTCCAGGGGCGACTACTTGCGGCTGATCGAGAAAGATAGAATGATCTGAAGTTGTCGTTGTGCACAGAAGAAAAGAACGCAAAAATACTACGGGCGGTAGTTGTTCCAGAGCTACGTGATGCTCTACTTCTGCTCTTCCTAGTTTTAATATTTGAGCACCTGCAAGAAGAGCTGGATCTTAACCACATCAATACTCGGATCGCAACGACAACGAGTTCTGGATGAAGCTGCTAAAAATGCAGAAATGAATCGAACACCGACGTCAGGCTGACGCTAAACTGCTTCCAACCTCATTGTCGCAGTTTCAACATCAACATCCAGAGAAGTAGATGAAGAAAGAATTTCAGATTTTTTCAAAAGCGTACTTATGAAGTTGATGAGACACCAGCGAGTTTTCTTTTAGTTGAAGAAGTTAAACAATAATTATGTCGTTTGTAGAAGGTTTCAAAGTTGTAAAAATTCATGATCAATTGTGACTCGCATCAAACGAGTAGCAAATTATATGGTGCCAATCTATCAAATAGATTTATGGCAATACAGGAGCACTACATAATTTAAGCAACGCAGTGATATCATTATCATGACAGCGAATATAGTCGTCTGCTTTCAAGTGGGTAGAAAATCATTCAGTTTCTAACCCATTCATAAACGTACTAGCGGTTGGCAAGACGATTCAAACGGCATGTCCTCGCTTGATACGTCGTTCTTCAGTCTCGTGGAAAGGGAAACCAAAAAGTCGTACTTAGACAAGTCAAATACACCGGCCCCACTGCGCCATTTGTTTTTCGTACTTACTAGCGGGGTCCACCTGCTGGTCTTGACTCTACACGATTTCTTCTTCTAGATTCCAGAACCAGATCCACTGGATTCGAAATCACCCTTCTAATAACGGAGGAATATTAGTCGCCGGCAAAAAAATCTGTTGCACACGATGCACCCTAGTTGTGACCGGAAAGGGAAACAACTACAGGACGAATGCGTGAGCAACTACTAGTTGTGTTTATCCAGGCAAAAAAAGAGAATCATCGTACCCGTGTCGTCGAGCAAAGCCTGAGAGCGAAACTCGATGCAGGAGGATGTTTTCCAAAGCAGTTCGGAGAAATAAAAGTATCTCCAGTCGCAACTTTACGGATAGGACTATGTATTGGCAAACGGCTCACTCTAGGTACAGGTTGCGTACGAAGATCAGCACTCTACTGCCATCTAATTGTTAGCAATGTTCACGTAGGACTAGGAGTTGTCATTATCTCGGGGCATTTTATTCAACATATCTTTTTTTCTGCCGCACCGCAAATCAAGTTTGTTGTGCGACAACTTACAGTTTTGATTTCGAATCGTATGATATTTTTCGATGTTTCCAACCGCCAAAATCTCAGTTCTCCTATAGCAAATCGCGTATTTTAGCAAATTTGCGAGTGAAAAAACCAACATCTCGTGTATCGCTTTATTTTTCCACCGCCCTGATGAAAGGTGCGGTCTCAAAAAATTTTCCAAACCAAAATCCGCTGCAATATGACTTATTTCCCCGTCGTGCCGTTCGATGTCGCGATACTCTGCCCTCGTATCCTGAGTAAAAACGCACCCACACCAGAGTTGTCATGCTACTCTGCATGCTTAAAATGTTTCTCATGCGGAGCCCCATGAGAAGCATTTTCTAATGCGGTTTGGAAATCTGTAATGCGCCAATCAGCATGAGATACTAGATCTGTGATGCTGCTTAGCTAGCTCAAACAGCACTATACTACGCGTCCAAATTTGTCATACGAAACAGCCAAAGCTTATGGATTTGTCTAGCGGATTTCCCATCTTGACTCTGGTGTGGGGACATTTTTACTCAGGATACCTCGATCCCTGTCGCTAGTCGTCATCACAGATTTATTGCCATGAAATGCAAAAATGTCTGGGTCTGGAAGGTTGGAACTTGTGATGCTGACTATGGACTCTAAAAAAATCTGTATTGCATGACCAGCAAGAGGAGTCTAGTTTGTGCTAGGCGGGGAGGGCATTTGTCATGCGGAGTAGGCGTCAGGAAGGCCTCTAAAAATATGTGATGCCAGATCATGCATTACAGATATCCTGGGTCATGCAAAATATGCATGACAAACCCGGCAACATTCCAGACCCAGACATTTTTGCATTTGATAGTGTATCCTTCGCATTCGTGTCGACAAGGGTGAAGAAGTAGGACAAAAGCATGTCGGTGCCGAAAAACTGATGGGAAAAATACAGCCAGTCGTTGCAGCACTGCTCATCTTCAGAAAAGAATTGCAGGAAAACTTCGCTCACGTCCTGCGCGTACGTTTTCTCAATAATCTGCTTTTCCGCATCGGAAACAGTTGCAGCTCCCTGGCTTGCCAAGAACTGCCGCAGCGTGTCCCTGTCGATCTTCAAGAAAGTAATCGCTGCTGTGCGACAACTTACAGTTCTGATTTCGAATCGTATCATATATTTTTTATGTTTGAAATTTTCTCCAACCGCCAAAATCTCAGTTCGAAGTCGCGATACTCTGCCCTCGATCTCTGTCGCTGGTCGTCATCACCGATTTATTGCCATCTCCAGTGTTATGGAAGCGTCACGTTTGAAATCGTCAAAGTTGAAATAATTTGTAATGCATAAAATGCATGCCCCGAGGTACGTGTGTTGCAGAGCAGGCAAGTGAGGCCGATTGTAAGCCTGGTTGGGGTTACAGCTCGAGCTGCTAAAGTAGCATGAGAGAATCGCTCTTCTTTGCCTAAACAGCATGACAAACTGGATTTAGAAACCGCCGAAATTTGTCATGCGCCACTTAGAAAATGGGTTCCGACTGGCATCCATTTTATGCATGGCAAATTATTTCAACTTTGTCGATTTGAACTCTGACACATCCATAAGTGTTGTCGTGATTTTCTCCCGTAGCTGCGGTGTCAGAAATCCCGTTAACTACCGTACTATTATTCACTGTCGCACTTCCCTCCGCTCTCCGAGACCCCGGCGCGGGGTGCTGGCCGGAGGGGGCGGACGTAGTTCCGGTTGATTCCCTGCGGGACGTGGTTCCGTTAGTACTCGCTCCGTTCAGCAAAATGTTCCCGACAGAAGAAGCCGTTTGCAACAACCCAGAACTGCTGTTGTTCCCAGAAGATGCAGCGCCATGTAGTCCCCCGAGCAGTGATCCCGCAGTGCCGGAGAACCCAGGCGGAAACGCGAAAAACCCGGTCGCGTCAGAAGATCGGAGAAATTTCGTGGAAGCCAGTGTTGGTGGCTTTCCATCGTACTTGTTCAAATTCTGGAGGTAAGACTGCTGGTCGGAGGCAAATTTCTCCAGCGTCGTGATCGACTCCTCATTACTCCGAGAGAAGAACAGCGAGGTAAAGTCGTGGAAACTCGCAATGCACCGCTTCGGGTATGCATTGCAAATATGTCTGGGTCTGGAAACTTGTGATGCTGAATGGTCATGATTGAGTGCGCTTTGAGTTTGAAGTGCAGTGAAGCATGACAAATTCTTCAGACGCTTTCTCATCGGTAGTACGCGTTACAAACAGCGACTTTGCATGGCGAAAGTGTGGCGCTTTCGCTGCTCATGCAATACAGATTTTTCAGGAATGCGCGACACGCAACACAGGTTCAACCTTTCCAGACCCAGACATAATTGCGTTTCATATCGGGAAAAACGTGTCCAATTCCTTGTAAAATTCATCCACTTTCTCGGGTAATGGCGCCCGGCCGTTCAACACTTGCAATAAGTGCGCTAAATCGTACAAGCCACGGAAAATCTGGGCCGGGTTGATGTCTTTCGCAACTCTGTCGCGGTAGTCGGGGAGGGTTTCGATCTTCGCGTCGAAGGGGATCATCAGGCCGTAGCTGGATTTTGATGTTTTGAGAAGGTCTGTCATGCAGTTATGCACCACAAGATTATCTCTCTATTTGCAATGTCGCATTTGAGAAAGTCATCGTCATGCTCATGGTCTGAAACCTAATATAGCAAAAGATAAAACTATACATTGGGATCCAGATAATCTCCTCGTCCAGCACCAACCCAGAAGTCATAAACAGCTCCGCAAACCGCTTGCTATCAATGCACGCCCGCTTGCTCTGCATGGTCGGATTTTGAAACCTATGAATTGCAAAACAAGTATCGCGCTCTTACTGGTGAAGATCGCAGTGATGCATCACAAATCTCGATCTTAAGGGAAATCCTCATTACAAATTATTTTTCACATGCTGAGAAAATTTCTCATGCGATTTCTAGCAGTACGATTACTTTTGCAATGCATAAAACGAGCCCGCTTCCACCAATTTCCTCATCGCGTCGACGGAGTAGAGCTCGTTGTGCAGATTGTAGGTGAAGTGGAACCTGATACAGTTTTGAAATTGATTTTGTCATGCATAAGCAGAATGGGAAAGTAAATCTGTCATGCATGTTTTGCATATCAAAAACAAAACCAAGCTATATTACCGAAACGTCTTGTAGGTCGGGGCGTCCGATTCCGGATCCTTGCTCTTGCGCCGAATTGTCAAGTCAAGCTGGATCAAGTTGGTACCTGATAATGAAGATTTTTTGTCATGCAAGCCTGTCAAGGAAACTGGATTTTTCGTAGTCGCTCTATGCATGACAAAGAAGCAAGTTGTGTAGTACGCCCGGTTGTTGTACTATCAGAATTCACTCTACTATACAGTCCACATTGCTCCGCAAGGTCGCGTAGTGGTGTTCCAAAAACGAGTCCACCGGATTATCCTGTGCAAAAGTATCCGATACTTTTTGTAGTCGCAGTTCTCCATTACAAATCCCTATTCCAAGCTAAACCAGCATGACAAAATCCATTTGTAATGCTGAGCAAATTTGTAATGCGACTACAGCTAGTACGAAGATACTGTTGCAATGCATACGGAATCGTCGGCCGCAACACCAACCCCGGGAAAAAGGATTCCACACCGATAAAGTTATCGTAATCACGCTCCGCTAACTCTCGGAAGGCCTCCTCCACATTATCCGCGTAAATGTTGAACACGTTCGAATACTGTGGATGCGGGTTTTGCGGCGTGATATTCTGCCCAGCCGGGGTGGTGGTCGGGTTACTTTGGTTGTAATTTCCAGAACCCCCGGCTGAGCCAGAAGCGGTGTTGTTGTTTCCTCCAGTTGTTCCGTTTTTCCCGTCCGATCCGTTGCCGTTGGACGTCATGGACGTAGCGGAGTTCTTGTTGGAGCTGGAACCGGTCAAGTGGGAGATGACGGAGGTCTTCGACATACACTTCTCCCGGTTTTCTTGCTCGGAATTCGTGTTGATGACATTATGGTGGTCCAGAATGTTGTTCATAGTTGATGTAGCGCAGCCGTCGTTGTGTTCTGTGAGCATGTGGTCTACAACTTGGTCGCCCACGGGTTCGATTTCTGAGTCTTCCAGAAGTTGGGACCCGAACTGAGGAGCAATATTACTGCTATTAGCCGGATTGAAAGTATTGTCTGCGCAAAAGTCGTCCAAAATTCCTTGTTCGTTGTTGACAACATTACTTTTACCGTAGTCCTGTTGCATGATAGCTGCCTGCGGCACTGCTGGAACAACTGGTGGCGGCGGTGGTGGATTCTGGGGAATCTGAAAGTTGTCCTGTTTCGTCAGCGCCGCGGCAGCGGCAGCAGCACTGGTAGTTGCCGCAGTGCCCATGCTTGCCGGCAGCGGGGGTTGCTGAGCAATAACGGCAGGAGGGGCAGGTCCACCTTGGGGTGCTCCTACTGCGGAGGTAGTCATTTTAGTGCTAGAGTTCTCCGCCGGTGAGTAGCTTGTCGACTGGTTGCGACTCAAGACCTGCACACTACCCGGCTGTAAATGCTGGCCAACTTCCATGGTTAGCTGTCCTTCCGGCTTTAGCGGCTGGTGACCAACAGGAGCACTTTGATGGTAGGATGGAGCAGCAGTGGCGGGATTATTGCTAGTCGGCTTGTTTTTGCAAGACCCAGCGGCTGCGCTTGGAAGAGTCGGGGCTTGTTGCGATGCGAAGGGGAACAGGCCTGGTTCTTGGTGATCAACTACAACAGTGGCACTCGCTGTTGTATTCGGAGGTTGCATTGCAGCGGTACTGGCTTCTCCTGGAGGCTGCAACAACTGTCGGGAGGACGGCATGGGGACCGGAATGCTGTAAACATCAGGAAGCTGTTGGTGCTGCGGGGGCTGCTGCTGCGAAGAATTGATCGGGAGTTTGTGTTGCTGCTCCGCAGCAAAAGCCGCGCGCTTATTCACACGCTGCTTGTTTGTAGTATTTCGCCCGACGGTAGAAGCGGGAGAACCCTTGGCACCGGCGTCACCGGCGTACTGTGACTCGGCGTACGGCTGCTTCGGATGCAGTGGCTGCTGACCCTTACCAGAATTATGCGGGTTATGCAGGGGCGATGGCAACTTCGTGTCACTGTAATTGTTCATTGGGGTAGTACAACTACCGTGCTTTCCTGCAGCTGCAATAAAACCACCAGAGCCTGCTCCTGCAGCAGGAAAGTTATTGCCCTGTTGCTGCGAAGATGAAACCAGCAACGACGGTCCGCCCACAATGCCCGGCGGAAGCATTCCCCGCGGCGGCTCCGGGGGCGGGCAAACGCCCGGCGGCGGACTGGTCGCGCCGTGCCGGCCCCAGGATTTGGAGACGGAAAGCGGCACGGGGAGCCCGGTCTGGTTCATTCCCGAAGCCCCTGGGATCATGTTGTTCATCGCGGGTGGAGGAGCAAGGTTCGTCATATCGACGTTAAACGGGGGCGCCTGTTGGTCAAATACGCCTGCGCCTGCAGCTCCAAGTGCAAGTCCTCCTGCATTGGCCGTTGCAGGAGCAGCCTTGTTGGCTGTACTAGATTGCCCGATCTGCGCGTTCGCCCGACTTATACCAGAAATCAGCATCGGGGGACCAGCGGCGGCCATGGACGAATTCGTACCAGAACTACCAATCGCGTGGTCGGGATTGATATTCTGCGGCTCACCAGGTAGCTGGGCTTGGGCATCTAGAAACGTCGCTTGTTTAACATTTTTCCCCCCAGATGAACTGCAATCAGCGGAAGCCGATGAACTACCGCTGTGCGGCCCCGGGGTGGAGCTCTGCTCGCGGGATTTCGACACTAACCCCTCGAACGGCACGTGTTCCTGACAAGAGCCATCCGCCTTGCTGTTGAAGAGCCGCTTGCTGCCGGAGTTCAGGTTTTGCAAGTTCCCGGCTAAAGCACCGCGACCGTCGTGCATCAGTTCGTGGTGCAAAGGGGTGTTGGTGTAGTCGCCACCCATGGGGACGCCGTCGGAGAGATTGTCGTAATTGTCGCTGTTTGGGTAGTGATATATGCATTTTATTTTTATCGATCATCTAGTACTAATTGCAGCACAAGAATTTTTTTCAATCATTCAGAGTCGTAAGTTTGAGGTTAGCCTGAGTGAGGTATAGGTATACCACGATGCGCATCTGTGATGCATATGCATTCTTGCTGCAATACAAACTTCATACCTGTAGTCATCTTCCCCATATTCGCTTCTGGGAGTGAAGCCGTCCTTGGTTTCCGCGGTATCGTCCAATGGCTTGGCCGGCGAAACACCAACTTGTTGGGCGCGGTTCATTTGGTGCGTCGGGTGCTGTTGACCGTGAGGACCACGCCCGGTGGAGGTCACATGCTGCTGCTGGTGCGCTGAAACACCTCCCGCCGGAACTGGAGCCCCGACCTGATAAGACGAGGCAGCGACCTGTTGTCCAGCTCCAATGCGGTTGTTCGAAGAGGCTGAGGGCTGTTCGCCGTGCTGCAGTGGCGGCGGGGGAGGCGCGGGCAGGTCGAGCTGTTTTGTATTGCGATCGGTTTTTCAAAATTGAAAATTTCAGAAATCATACTAACTTACAGAGTTTCTTTTACGAGCGACGTTTACCCACCCATGCAAAATAAATTTTGCATGACAAACTGGAAAAATGACGTAGAGCATACCTCTTGCTTCCGCGGCAGCATCGGTGGCTGCACTGGCTTCGGCAATTTGATATTCCGTGCAGACCCAGAATACGGTGTGTGGGCGCTGGATTGATGTTGTTGACCAGAAACTACACCTGGGTTGTTGCCGACCTGGTAGCCATAGCTGCCAGTACCTTGTTGCTGTTGCGCGTGATGCTGCTCCAAACCCCGGTCACCACGATGAGTGTGCTGCTGTTGATCTCGATAATTGTGTCCACCACGCTCGCGTTGCTCGCGTTCCCCTCCACGCCCCGCGGGGGTCATGTGACCACCGACACCACCACCCAAATGCTGGTGGTTGCCGTGTGCAGCCATTTGCATCGTGTGATGCTCTGCCCGGCCGACCGGCGAGTTGCCCTGCGGCTGGTTGTGCATATTATGTGCGTTCATCTGCTGAAACCGCGGCGGGTTGCCAGGAAGGCCACCATGCGGCGCATGATGAGACTGGGCAGCTCCTGGCGGGCCACCGTGCAACGGCTGTTGATTGTTGTACCCGCAGCCTGGCGCGGGCGCAGTCCCCGGACCAGTGTGCGTTTTATTCACGTAATACTGTTGTTGACCATTGTAAGCGGCGTTATACACAGACTGCGCGACATGGTGCTGGGATTGGTGATGTTGCGGGGGAGCAGGCACAGGCACATGTCCCGACTGATGCGGCGGTGGGATGTGTTGGTTGTAGTTAGGTGGATTGCTGTGCCCACGATGTTGATCACTCGGGTTGTTGTACTGCTGATGACGATGGTGATCACCAGGAACATTGTACTGCTGCTCATTATAAGGCTGATGCGCATGCGCCCGTTGATCGCGATGATACTGATCCATCCGGTGGTTACTGTGCTCGCGCTCACGGGAATTGTACTGTTGCCCTTGATTATGCCCGCTCATATTCGCACCGCCCCGGAGATGCTGCTGATGCTGCGGCAACGTCGGCGGTTGATCCAAAAACGCCGAACCAGCTCCATGAGAGTAGTACCGCTGGCGCTGTTGGCTATCGCTGTGATAAGGCAGTTGCAAGGTACTTGCAGTTGTAGTACACGGCAGCGGTGGGCCATGCTGTCCAATAGTAGGAGGGCCTGACAATAGCGTGTAATCCATTTTCTCGACCTGCTTGCGCACGGCCGCGGCACTCGCTGCCAGCTGTTCTTGCTCCGCTAGCAATTTCCTTTCTTGCTTCTCCTTCTTTCGACAACCGAAGCCTGGCATCGGCGGTCCGTCCACGGTCGTCAGGGTCAGCAGTTTGTAACGCGTGCTATCATCATTTTCGCCCAAGTCACAGTAAGAACGAAGGTGAAGCATCTGGTCGCGCGTGTAGGTAAACGTGTTCAGCATGTCTAAGTGCTTGTCTTCGCTGGAGGTCAAATTTTCGTCGTGGATCTTCGCCGCTTCCAGGACCTCCTTGTCAATTTTGAGGCTTTTTTCATTCTCATGAAGGTCGTCGTGGCAGGAGCTTAGCTGCATCGTGTTGAGATTATTCTCCGGCGGGAGTGGGTAATACGGAGGGTTGCAGGACGAGGAGCTCATCGTATCAACATGCGGCTGTTGTTCGATCTGGTTGAAAGCCTGGCCCCCGTAAGTGGTAGTGGCAGAAACTTGTTGCTGGTTGTAGTTCGGTGGCGGGTTCGGAGGGTTCGCATTCGAATTAGGCAACAAAGAACCAGTCGCAGAAGTCCAGTTCTGGTCAGCGTGCTGTTGTTCTGCCATCATGTTGCCCATACTCGCATTCCCGGGCAGTCCCATCTTGGTCGGAAATTCGACTTCCAACCCCAGACCAGGTGGCGGCAGAACCGGCGGCTGCGCGGTAGCCGGGTCCGTGGTCCACAACATTCCCTGGGAAGTACTGTTCAGGCCGCAATCAAGCAAATTGCTGTTGTTCGTATTGATGTTGTTCCCCTGGTTTTGCTGCTGTCCACAGGTGGAGTTGTTCGGCGGCACAGGACCTGGACCACCCGCGGCACTGCAACTTCCCTGTTGGTTCAAATTGACCACCGCACCAACATTGGACGTTCCCGCGGCCACAATACTCACTCTCGGTGGCGGCGGATGCTGGGTCAAACAAGGCGGCGCCGGGGGCGGCGGGCCTATCGGAGGAGTTTTCGAAACGTTTGAGAATTTCCGTTGTTGCGGGGGAAGTGCCGATGCGTGCACGTTCAAATCCGGGACAACTGCCCCAACAGGAGAAACCTGCGGCAACGTCAAAACGGGCTGTTGCATCGGCGAACAGGCTTGCTGCTGCTGCGATAGAGGACAAGAAGTGTTCGTGTTGTTGTTCACCACATTCGGGTTGTTGTACCCCGGAGTGCCGAACCGCGGGGGCGGGTTGAGAAGATGTTGATTGTGTGCTGCCGGGGCAAAGCCTCCCGCTCCAGAAGTGTAGCAGCTGGAAAACTCCCGTTCCGGAGCAGTAAGTTTGTTGAGCGAATCTAACTCGTCGGATTGTTCCACACAAGTCCGCATCGGCGTGGAGTCCGACCGCGCAGACGTTTCCTCGATGTTAGCCATATTGAAGTTGTGGTGCATCGCCGCGCAGGTTCCGGGCGGTTGGTTAAATTGCAGTTGCTGCATCGGGTGGGGCAAAGCCGGGATCATGGGGTTAATACCGTACAGGCCTCGCTGAGTAGAAGTCGCATTTTGACCACCTTCCTCAACTTGCAACGTGTACTCAGCATTAGTACAAGAGTTCATCCCCGCAATTTTATTTTCTTCCGCTCCTACTGCTACTCCTACACAGGCATCGTAGCTCTCCTCTTCCTCGTCAATGTAACCACTGAAATTGTTCTCCTCCATCAAAGTCCGCATTTTCGGATCCATAAAATCGCCCGTATTGTGGGTGCCGCTATCGTCACCACCAGCGTCACCTTTTTCCAGCATCACAGACCGGTTGATGTCATGAGCAACACGATCTTCGACGACCAAGGGCTGCATCACAGCCGGCGGGGCCGGCGGAAGTTCGATTTTCACGAGACCCGGTGGGGGGGACTGGTTCTCAATCAACATCATCTGCGCAGCAGCGTGATCCTGGTGCACCATCGTCGTGTTCCCGTCGTCTTCCAAGAAAGCCACCTGCTCGCCATGTTCGGCCTGCTCGTTGCCGTTGAAATTCTTCTGCTGGTGCTGCTGCCCCCCGATCAACATTTGATGTTCCGTGGGAGAGGTTTGACAGGTCGTAGGGCTCGAAGAGTGGTACAGCAAGGTCGTGTTCCCCAGAGCACCTCCGTCAGGAATGGTCGCGTTCGAGCTAGTCGCGGTCACATTGCAGATGGTCATCTGGTCATCTACACCGGGAATCAGAGCAGAGGTAGAAGTCGAAACCACATTCGGTTCTTCGATTATCGCCGCAGAAGTGTTCGTCTCTCCACCGGTAGGAGTCGAGCCGGAGATTAAAGTCGCCGGGGATTTCGCCGTAGAATTGTTACCAGACAGCTGTTGAGCATCGAACGGAAGGAAATTGTTCGAGGTGGTTCCCGACGACGACAAGGTCGCCGCCACGTTTGCCGCAGAGCTAGTATTGGAAGAGAGAGAGGAACTAGCAGCGAAGGCTGCACTCGCTATCGTAGCATTGTTCGCAGAAGCAGCTCCAGTTGTATTCGCCGTAGTACTACTCGAGCCGGATTTGTTCAAGCTATCGCTCGTTTTCACGTTCCCAAACAGTTGCGCCGACAAAGTCGGCCCGGACGGGGTGGTGATAATCGGCGTCTGCGGGATCGGGAGATAGTTGCTGTTGGAAGAGCTCTATGCACTGCAAAAGTGTCGTCCTCGTACTAATTGCATTTATGCATTACAAATTTCTTTTTCAAGCTAAATCAGCAAGACACATTCCATTTGTCATGCTGAGCTAATTTGTGTTGCAATACTACGACTACAGTATTTTTGCAGTGCATAAACTAGTGCCGGAATTGAACGATCCTGCGCGAAGCATCCGGGCGGTGACGTTGGAGGAATTGATGTTTTTCAAACCAGATTGATGCCCATTGGACTCGCGCAACAGAGTCGCAACGACGCCTAATTCCGGAAAATCGTCTTCGTTAAATTCCACCTCCGGTTCACTGCAGTTGTGGGCACCGTCCGCCGAAGCGGAGGAGTTTGCGGCTAGAGATTTTCGCGGGGCGGACTGGGATTTCTTGTTCCCATTTTTGGAACTGCTGTTTTGGTTGTTGGTGCTGGTGTTGTTCCCATCAGTATCCTTCTTCTCATTCCTCCCCCCACCTCCGCGGTTCCTTTTCCCGTCACCGCCTCCCCCCCGGCCGCCGCCCCGACGGCGCCGACGGTTGTCGTTTTTGTCCTTGTCGTCGAGGAGTACACTGGTGTTTTCGTCGTTGTTGTATGCAATACAAATTTCCCCTACATGTACAAGATGCATCACAAATTGCACCAATTTGGGGCGTAACACTTGTCATGCTAAACTAGGATCGAAGCCCAATTTTGTCATGCAGAGACTGCATTTGTACGTGTACGGGAAATTTACTGTGGATATGTTGGTGGTGTGCTTGGTCGTAGAAGTTGTAGTAGTGTGGGACTGTTCTTTTTGAAGAGTCTGGTAGTTTTCCTGGTTCTGCTGGGCGTTATTTCTCTCTCCTGCCCGAAGGTCGTTGTTGTTCGTCCCCGCCCCGCGTTCCGTGGTCTTCCTGCCATTGTTATTCCCCCCGCGTTGTTGTTGTTCACCTCCCGCGTTCGCTCCTTGCTGTTCCCGGCCTCGGCGACGGTTTCCCCCACCGTTCCCACCGGCTTTGTCACCTCCCTGACCGGCTCCAGCAGCCCCGCGGTTCATGATCCTCGAGGGGGTGTTAATGCCGTCTGTTGTAGTTGTGGTTGTCCCAGTGGCCCCCACGCCTAGATTGTACAGTTGCTGGTTGTTGTAGTGAAAAGATGAATATGAATTGCAAAAGTATCGTACTCGTATAAATGCATGACAAATTCCCTCAGCATGAGAAATAAAATTTGTAATGCGGATTTACCTTGAGACAAAAATTTGTAATGCATGATTGCAATACGAGTACGATACTTTTGCAGTTCATAATGAAGTCCCGATGCTCGCTGGAGTGGTAACCACACCCGGCGTATCAAATGTAAAAATGTCTGGGTCTGGAAGAAGGCAACTTGTCATGCTAAATCTGGAATCCAAAAAAATCTGTATTGCACGAGCAGCAAAGGGAGTGTAATCTTTCCTACGCGGAGAGGGCATTTGTTATGCGGAATAGGCATCAAGAAGCCTTCAAAAAATCTGTGATGCTAGGGCATGCATCACAGACATCAGGGCTCAGGCACGACGTGCATGACAAATCTCAGAATCATCCAGACCCAGACACTTTTGCATTTGGTACGGCGCTCCGGCTAAACTAGTACAAGAACCGGCTGTACTAGCAGTGATATTACCAGATGTAGTAGTAGTGCCTCCAGAACAAGTCGCAGCAGCTGCTGCGATGTTTCCCTGTCCAAACACCGTTTGCTTCTGGAAAACAGATATCCTGTGCAAAAGCATCGTACCCGTACTAATTGCATTTATGCATTACAAATCTAGTTCCTAAAGCAAATCCGCATTACAAATTCAATTTGTAATGCTGAGCCAATTTGTATTGCAATTACCACTAGTACGATACTTTTGCAATTCATAACAGAAGCGGACGGCGGGCCACCGAGAGGACCACTTCCGGCGGAGGAAGCGGGGGTGTCGAGGTCGTTGTCCCTTTTGCTACCACCTGCTCCGGGCTGTACTGCTGCTGCACCGGAACTAGTACCAAGTACTAGTTTCTGCCGACCGCGACCGCCACGGGTCCTTTGCCAGTTCTTGTCACCGCCACAACCGCCGGGGGTAGAAGGGCCGTCGTTGTTTCGGTTGTTGAAGTATGCAATGCAAAAGCATCGCACTCGTATAAATGCATTACAAATTTCCTCAGCGTGAGAAATTAAATTTCTAATGCTGATTTACCTCAAGAACAAAATTTGTAATGCATGATTGCAATACGAGTACGATACTTTTGCACAGGATATGAAGTTTTTCTCAGCCGATGTAGCTCCACCCGCGAAAGATGCCATCGCGAGCGTGATGATGTCGTGCTAGCGATTTTTGCTATTACGATGGCTACTTCGCGACTCCTGCAGCTCGGGGATGAAATTATACCGGGTCGTTCTTGCCGGTTTCTTGTAGACGAGAAACAACTTCGAAAAATTGTTATTCCCAACAGGTTCTATGCTTCTTGATACCTCTCCCTCGAAAAGCAAAAATGCGATAGAATCTACAATTTCTATTGCTCCTACAGGTCGATTGTGAAATTCACATTTGATGCTTTTGTAAAATTCATAGAGCTATTCCTTCTGATAGGTTGTACTACTGATTTCATAAAAAAGTCGCTTTTTCGAAGAGAGTACTAAAGTGAAACATTTTGTTACCGTTTGATTCAGGTACGAATACCAGCAGTTCGTGGTCGTGCTTTTTTTTTTGTATCGCTAAACTTCGCAAAAGGTTAAACCATGCCTCTAACTCTACTGCTCTAGATAGGCAATACCTCGCTGCTTTCAATCGTGGAATAGAGACAGATGGAGCGCTTGTTGCAATTTTTTTCTATTCTGCGGAGATCTTCATGTCGATTCTTGACTATAGTTGGGACGCACTACGAGGTTGGGCGGATTTGAAGCACTTTTGTTCTTTTTTAGGTCTATGATTTTCATACAAACCACTACTCATACTCAATCACACCACACTTGAACTACTCATCTTTTTGCTCTTTTGTTGCTCATCTTGCTCGGGAGGTGCAATAATTATCATACTTACAACCTCTCATGGTGCTCAGGGAGGTTCTGATCTTCGCACTAGACGTTATTCACAAAAGCTAAACAAGGACGTTCAGCGGGGTTGCAGCTCTTGTTCTCGTCGATCTCAACTTAGAATTGTAGAAGTGGTTCATCCTCGAAGAAGATCCGCTGCAGACAGTGTTTCTTGCTGCTCTGGAAGATTTCTTTTAGCAGGCTAGCGCTAAGTAAAGTCGCTGTGGTCATACAGAATAAACCTACACATAGATCGCGGGGTAGTTGTAGTTGTTCTGCGATTCTATTACTTGTTTTGAACAAATTCAGCTTTTTCATCCTCGCGCATGCAGCTCTTAGCGTTGTTCTCGTCGTTTTGCGAGAACGATTTTTTTCGGCTTCTTTTTACCACGGCCTTTTAATATCTTTCGAAGCTAGCGGAAAATAAAACTACAGATCCTGCTACGCAGCTGCGCTTGATGTTGATCGACCATGTACTCCTGATCTCGATCGTGCTCCCGATGCGCAGTGCTATGCGTCGAGTACAACAATTCTGTGCACGGTAGCTGCACACTTGTTTTCATCACAAGAAGAGGGCCACGCGAGGTCCTCGCGTGATACAGGACACGAAAGAGAAAGTTGCGAATGATCACGTCGCGTAGCTTTACGCTACCACCTGCTGTTGCTGATTTTTCAGCCACGCTTCGTTGATCAGCTTCATTTTCTCCACGTTTCGCTCCATCAAGATTTCGATGATTTTTGCCGCCCCGAACTGCAGATAAGTGCCAATATCGTCCTGGAGTTCCTTTTTCAACGCGTTCAGCTCGGTTGTCGCTTGCTGATGCATATCCTGTGCAAAAGTATCGCACTCGTAGTAATTGCAAACATGCATTACAAATCTTGATGTTCTACTTAAGCTAAATCCGCATTACAAATCTTATTTCTCATGCTGAGGAAATTTGTAATGCATTTATTCGAGTACGATACTTTTGGTTTTGCAATGCATACTGCAGCTCCCCGACGCTTGGATCCGCGGTCTTTTTGCTCCCAAACCAGGAAGAGGACGTGTTTTTCTTGATCAGAGTCGGCAAGGGGATATGGACAAAACAATACTGTGTTCCTGTGACTTCTTCTTGTGCTTGTTTCTTTTCCTCTTCGTCAACATCCAAACCCAAAGAGACCACGACATACATATTTTTAAACGGCAGAGCAACTGCTTGTGCAGCTACCTAATCATGACATCAAAGAAGCAAGATCGTGATCATAGGAGCAACTGCATTTGTTCTGGCATATTATTGGTCGTCGATTCGTTTGGTCGCGTGGATAACGAACTCCTCCATCAAGCATCTTTCGAGCAACGCCTTGCAATACCTGTCGTGATTCAAATAACTTAATAATTGCAGTGGAAAGGAACATACTCCGCGTCCACACTTCTTTTGGTGGGCGTTGATATCATGATTTCATCAACATCTTCTCAGCACAGCAACTCTTCCTTCCCTCAATGTTAGTACTCTCACTTCTCTGAACAAAATATTAACTAAGCTGCGACCGTAGTACAAGGGACGAACAAAAATCAAGAGAAACTACAGAGGAAGATGGGTGCACCAGCGCAATCTTTGGTTACCATCCACACCACTGCGAAAGCGAGTGCGATTATGGTGCGCATCTGTAACTGTTGCAAAGCTCGCGCCGTCTTTGAAGAACATGTCAAAAAAAGAACTGCGCGAAACATCGAGCGCAAAGAAACACCTAAGCAACATTGATATCCATAGCAGGCTATAGTACTTTATTCTGGATGAGGTTCATCTTGAGGAGCAAAAGAAGGAAAGACAAACGTGTGAAGAGACGTTTGTAAACTTGTCACCAGAGTCTATGTCTAACTCTAGATTTTTAAGTAGTACCAACAAAAGATGAGAAGCAAGAGCAAAGCTTAGCTCTTTGCGGCCCCGAGCAGGGCCGCTCCCGATGCTGGTGCAAACCGACGTAATCAAACTACAACGTCACAAATAACTTTAATTACTTACCGTACTGGAGGAAGCTTGTTCGCCCCCTTCATCAGGCATTTTTTAAACTTAATTACATATCGCTAGGCAGCGAGGAAGGTGAAAAGTGAGAGAAGGTGAACCGGCTTCCATTTCTTCGGGGTGCAGCTACACGAAGACTGTATGATTCTTCAGAGCTGGAAGATCATAGCAAAATATTTTTTTCACATGAAATTTTGGAAACTTTTTTTGTATCTCTTTGAGAAGTTTTTTTCATTTGTAAATGGGTACTTATAGAGTGTTCTTGAATAGGTATCAAATCTTTAACAACATGGAGCATACTGTGCCAAAATCCTAAAAAAATCCAGTTCCAAAAACAAAGCATAGTACATCAAGAGCAATGCATAAACAAAAGAATTTTTTGTTGAATAGGTGTAGAAGTGCAACCTTCTAAATCAGATACAAGCGTGCGGATCCTAAAAATAAATAGCGGTTCGGAAAAACATTGAAAGCAATTGTGTAAGTAGTTCTGTCGTTGATTGTAGAAAAGATTTATATGGAAATCTCGATCATCAAAAAAGTACAGCCATCCTACACGTGTGTATTGCTTTTTCGTATTCATAAATATTCTTCTTGTTGTCTTGTCTTGTTCATCCTCGCAAGAAATTTTTGTTCCGATCTGCTAGCCCTATGTTATAGAAACTTCCTTATCCTTCGTAAACACAAACAGGTGTGTATCCGATACCTCTTGGTTCGCAATACCCTGTCGTGTCCAACATGCGACTTTCTAAATACTGGAAGTAAGTACTTCCTGGTTGTATTGTGCGACTTTCTAAGTATGTGGAAGTAACTACTTCCTGGTATGGATGACCCCGATCTTGTTCCTACGGTGCAAATGCAAAAAAAAAATGAAACAGTAGTGCAACAGGTGCACGACCACCCCATGCCACCGCCCAGATACGAAACGTATCTAGAACGTCGAATCTACACATAGAAGTCAACACCTGTCATGATTTGATATCGTGACTTTTTAATATAGCTGGTGCTGGATCCTGTTACAACGGCGGTGGATTCTGGTAGTAGGTGTTTGTGTAGTTGCTGTCGATGCCCCCGAAAGAAGTAGTTGTCCATCTAAAAAGAGATGAGCCTGTCTACAACTATACTCAGCTCCCTAGACAGGAGTCAAAGCGTGGCTAGCGCTCACACATTTCCTGATACAAGTCGTTCCGCTCGCGCACGAAGGGTGGCGCGATGTCCGGCAGTGCCTGATACTCATGATGTTCCTGCCGCATCCAGGGTATTTCAGCATCCAGATCGAAGTCATCTTCTTTCCAGGAGGAGTAGTCGATTTCGCTAGGAGGGGTATCGACATGTTGGCAAGAGTGTCGTGCTACTTCGTCTTCGTTCAAATTGCATTACAAATACTAATATTCTCGTAAGCCAAAAACTGCAAAATTTGTGTTGCTGACTCCGAGAAGATGTCGGAACAAGCAGCCCTGTCACATGCTGGGTTCTTGCAACTGAAGATTATACACGACGACGAGGACGATACTTTTGCCGAGGATACGGGGGCGCCGGCGGGCAAGATGCAAATTCTTTCGCGCTTAGTTTTGCACCTCCGTCTCCTGCAGTTAGGTCGTAATCCACGAGGTGCATTTTGTAGTGCTCATGCACGCTGGCATCTAATGCTGCAGTTGATGCGTCAACGTCTGGAAGCTGCCTGAAAAAGTCGAACATCTTTTCAGCATGACCATGACTTTTACTGGAGCCACGGTTCGAAAAACTAGAGCTTTGATGTTCATCGGCTCCTGTTGTAGTACTGGCGGTGGCGCTGATTCTACTTGTTGATGAGGCAGCCGCTTTTGTAGCTTCTTCCTCTTCATCTTCTTGTTGTGCACGACTGTTTGAAGCGAGAGCAAGATGTTGACCATCAATATTACTCGAGAATCTTTCCTTTGGTATGTCTGGTGGCATGTACAAAGGGGTAGAACATGCAATATCCTCTTCTTTTTGTCACCCGCTGAGAACGTCCATCCTTCAAATTTCTAAGTCTTCCACTTCCTGGCTCTGAAAAAGTTTTTGCCTTTCGTGTGGTTTAGCTTGCCTACCGTGATATCTTTTAGCGCAAGATTACTGCTTTGGAAAAGGTTAGAAGCTACTTGTCTGCGTGGGGAGTTTTCTAATTTTTCAAGCGACATCTACTATAGAACTTTTTCCGCAGTACACCCGAGAGCTGTTAACGAACGGATTCGAGTCTAGACCACTACTCTTCTTCAGCTCCTGCGTGTAATGACTTCTACGTGCTCATTGTTGAAAAAGCGAACTTACATCTACCCATAATCCGTTCCCATTTTGCATGACAATTACCACTATCCTACTCGGAGATCGCTTGCAATTTACAAAAGACCTACGCACTTTATTCCCCGGAACGGATCTGCGTTGTAGATTGGCTTTCTCATCTAAATTTGAAGTGAACGTGGCGAGTTTTAGTATTTTAGTTTCCGTTTTTGTCTTTGTCCAAAAGTGTCCCTCTATCTGCATGAGCGTGCCCTTGAGCCAAGATTTACACTTTTCAAACACAGTCGCCCGAGCTACACTGAGCTTGCATCTGAAAGCTACTTGATCCTCAGGCTGACGTATAAGCTGTCAACTTGTAGCTGTCCTTCTATCGTAGCGCACTCATGCTAATTCTACTCCTATTCTCCCTTTTCTTTTCTTTCTCCTTTTCTTCCTCCCTGTTTGTTGATTCGCGACCCAACTCGGATGCTCCCCGCAATGCGCCGCATGGTGAATATTACTCGAGAATCTTTCCTTTGGTGTGTCTGGTGGCATGTACAAAGGGGTAGAACATGCAATATCCTCTTCTTTTTGTCACCCGCTGAGAACGTCCATCCTTCAAATTTCTAAGTCTTCCACTTCCTGGCTCTGAAAAAGTTTTTGCCTTTCGTGTGGTTTAGCTTGCCTACCGTGATATCTTTTAGCGCAAGATTACTGCTTTGGAAAAGGTTAGAAGCTACTTGTCTGCGTGGGGAGTTTTCTAATTTTTCAAGCGACATCTACTATAGAACTTTTTCCGCAGTACACCCGAGAGCTGTTAACGAACGGATTCGAGTCTAGACCACTACTCTTCTTCAGCTCCTGCGTGTAATGACTTCTACGTGCTCATTGTTGAAAAAGCGAACTTACATCTACCCATAATCCGTTCCCATTTTGCATGACAATTACCACTATCCTACTCGGAGATCGCTTGCAATTTACAAAAGACCTACGCACTTTATTCCCCGGAACGGATCTGCGTTGTAGATTGGCTTTCTCATCTAAATTTGAAGTGAACGTGGCGAGTTTTAGTATTTTAGTTTCCGTTTTTGTCTTTGTCCAAAAGTGTCCCTCTATCTGCATGAGCGTGCCCTTGAGCCAAGATTTACACTTTTCAAACACAGTCGCCCGAGCTACACTGAGCTTGCATCTGAAAGCTACTTGATCCTCAGGCTGACGTATAAGCTGTCAACTTGTAGCTGTCCTTCTATCGTAGCGCACTCATGCTAATTCTACTCCTATTCTCCCTTTTCTTTTCTTTCTCCTTTTCTTCCTCCCTGTTTGTTGATTCGCGACCCAACTCGGATGCTCCCCGCAATGCGCCGCATGGTGAATATTACTCGAGAATCTTTCCTTTGGTGTGTCTGGTGGCATGTGCAAAGGGGTAGAACATGCAATATCCTCTTCTTTTTGTCACCCGCTGAGAACGTCCATCCTTCAAATTTCTAAGTCTTCCACTTCCTGGCTCTGAAAACTCATCAAGAACTCCTGTTGTATTTTTTGCCGAACCACTCCAAACAGCCCTGCGTTTCCCTGGCCGCGGTGGTGTTCTGGATCCGGACCTCCCGGAGGGGGCAAAGAAGACCGACGACCCAGAGCCAGAGCTGGGACGTGGTTCCTGCTGTTCAAGTTGTTTCAATGATGAGTGCTGGTCGACCTTCGTTGAATTTGTACCCCCGTTGCAGCTGCCCGAGAAACAAGAAGACGTAGCTGAAGCTGTTGCATTTTTAGTACTATCCACCATATAGTTGTTCCTGGCACAACCATCGTCAACCTGGTTTAAAAATACTTCGCCCCCTCGCAGCACAGCGGCCTTCCAGCGATATGCACAGGACGAAATAATAGATTGCTTCCGTCGCACTATTTTTTCGAAACTCGATCGGTTTTTTTTTATCGTTTACTTCCACTTCTTGCTTCTTCTTGGGATTTTGTGCCTTTTGGAAATAAGTTCCCTGCAGCACAAGTTGCGCGGCTGGGTGTGGTAATAATAATATTTTCTTCTTCAAATATGGCGCGTTACTACTACTTGGCTTAAATTATCCCTTTGATGGCTACTTCCCACGTCACACTCAGCTTGTGGAGCGGAGAAATGGGGGGCGGGAAAAAGCTAAAGCGTTGTCTATTACTATTTATTAAAAGGAGGAGGAGGAAACCTCTATAGTAAGCTTCTATTACTATTTATTAAAACCAAAAAGCGATGGCGATCGGTAAAGTTCTACAGAATCTGATTCCGTAGAAGCGCTTGATCTGCCAAAAGAAAAGTTGTATATTATAGCATTGCTCTTCATCTCTTTATACTAATGGATGAAAAGTTTTCCACTTGCGTGGACGGGTTCGATCTGGATCACACGTATTGCAATAAAAAATGCCCCCACCCCCGAACTTGAAAGCATTTGTATTGCAAACCTTTCCAAATGAAACACTCGCCCTCTTGAATGTATCAGCATCACAGATTCCCGATCGCGAATAGCAAAAATTTGTATTGCAAAAGATCCCAGCAAGAGCGGTGCTTGTCATGCAAGCGATGCGAAACAACACTAGAATCTGCATCAGAAAGATTCATACTGCTTTCATGCATGACAAAAAGTTTTCATTTGGAAACTTCGCATCACAAATTTTTGCAACTTTGGGGGTGGCGGGCACTTTTCACTGTAATAACACGGGTGCAATGTCCACACACGTATTTTTTGAGGTTACTATTCGTAGTTCACAGCTCGTTTTAGAATATTTGCTTTTGCGTACTGCTACTGTCTTGTTAGGTCACTTCCGAAACTGAAACTAAGTTTATTTACATACATACAAATTGAAATTCGATCGAGTGAAGATGTTCGATCCTGATCAATAGCCTCCTAGTTTGATCGCAACCGGCTGCACCTGCAGCAGAGGAAAAAATAGTGCCTGGCAATCTTTATCTTCATCCGGGTGGCGTTCCCTGCTTACCCAGCGCTCCAAAAATCCGAAAGAAGAAGTAAAGTTTTTACTCCGCCGCATTAGGCTTGAGGTTTGGTCCTCATGTTCTTGCCCTTGTTGTTCACCTTCTGCGCCAAAATCGTCCTCGTTGTCGTTGTTCATCACAGTTGCAGCTCTGATAAAAGTTCTTGCTCCCTTCATGATTCGTTCGTGTCTTGCGGTTGCACCAGCATGGTCCGGGACAGAATTCGAAGAGATGAAAGCCTTCTTGCTACTCGGACAACTGCTCCGTTCTTTGCCGTCTGTGTTCTTCATGGTTTGCAGCTGCGGTGAAGAAGAAAACGATGAAGTGGAAGAGGTGGACGTCGAGACATCAAAAGGAGCTTCGACTTCCGGACAAGAAAATGAGCTTGTTTTAGTACAATCACCTCCTTGCGCGGAAAGTAAAAACCCGGCCGCGGCCCGACGGGACGACAGCATGCGGTCAATGGCAGTCGAAGCGGAGCTATGGATTGCAAATATCCCTGGATCATGTCTGGGAGATTGCGAGATTTGTAATGCTAGTCTGGCATGACTCATGGGATCTGTATTGCGTGGCAACCAAGAGCTCCTCTTGCCTGTCATGCAAACACGCAGTTTCTCATGCGGAATACGCAACACAGAAGCATGAAAAAACTTGTCATGCTTGGCGGCGCATTACAGTGTCCTTATTATTGAGTGACCTGCATCACAACTTTCCAGACCCAGACATATTTGCATTTGATAGGAGCCGATCAAGGTTGGTGGACGAGAAGTGCCGTCGCGTTGGAGATGGTGCACTTCGCTTGCAGTCGTCGCACCTGCTGCCGACCAAGGTGAAGATGCCGAAGTAGATCCCGCCGCCATAATATTTCCGCTTTGATGTTGTTCCAGAGCAACCGGGTTCTTGTCCTCCTGATGTTGGAAAAATGGCATCAGTGACAGTCGTAGGCTTTCCTGTTCCTCTTCAATCGGGGTTAGCATCCGGGTGAAGGCAATTTGGCTAGCGGCAATCATCTATGAACTGCAAAAGTATCGCACTCGTAGTAATTGCTCTTATGCATGACAAATCTCTTTCCTCAGGCAAAACAGCATTTACAAATTTCACTTGTAGTGCTGAGCTAATTATTTGTAATGCAATTTATACTAGTACGATGCTTTTGCACTGCATATCATCGGGTGCTCGTCACCAGAGGGGGGGGCAAGTTGACGCTGTGTTAGTTTTTACAAGAAAACGGGTCGCCCTGAAGGGCGACCCTTTCTTGAACTTGATTTTTTTGCATAAGCATGATCATTAGGATTGTTGGGCTGGGCTTCCTGGGAAGGAGGAAGGGCGGGGCAGGGGTAGCGCTCAGGAAGAGTAGCGCGACAGGAGATCAGTGCGCGCGCTACATAAAGTTGTAGGGGCAGCAGCTGTAGACAGAAAGCAGAAAGGCGCCTCGGGTACACACAGAGCAGCTGCCTGCCAGCTCTGAAGTAAGAAGCCGACAGGCCTTCTGACACCTGCACAGCGGAAGCGGAGCGGAAATGTGGCGACCCAAAGGCTCAGGCAAGTCGAGGCGCCGTCTCCGGTGCGTGATAAACTACCTAACAACACTGCGAAGCGGCCCCGCTGATCATGCGGCCCCGGCGATGGGGCAAGTGAGTGTCGTGGTGCAGACATTCGCCGGGCTTTTGCGTTCGTACTGTGGTGGCCCGGCCCTATTTCTACACCCAGAACACCTCCGGGGCGTGGGGACTTCAGTTGCTGCGCCCGATCATGCGCGCGCTAATCTATCGAAGGCGTCAGCCGCGGGATGACGATCGATGGGGGGGGCCGGGCGATGGAGGGGCGGCGGCCGAGTAAAAACGCACCAAGGCAAGGGACGGGCGGGCCGAAGTGGTTGGGCTTCGTTCTGGCCGTGTGCCAACTCAAAAGAAAAGCAGAAATATCTTTTGGCGCCCCTCCGCCCAGCAACTACGCAAAAGAAGCCGGCGCCGGGGCTCGCTTGGCGGGCCTTCAAGCAAAGCAGGCAAAGCTCCAGGGCAGAAGGCCCGGGGGAGCGAGGTCCCTTCCGGGCTAGCCAAAGGGGGGGCCTTAGAGGGGGCCTCCGGGGCGGCCTTCCCCCCGGGGGCCGCAGGGCTGCCGGTAGGGCCTCAGGCTCGGGCATTGGCCGGCGCAGGGGCTTGCTTGGCGGGCCTTCACGCAAAGCAAGCAAAGGCTCAGGGCAGAAAGCCCGGGAGAGGGAGCGAGGGCCCGCCCGGCCCGGCCAATGGGGGGGGCCTCGGTCGGGGGGGCCCCCGGGGCTTCTGTTCGGGCGGGCCTCGCGGGGGGCCTCAGGCCCGGGCATCTGCCGGCGCCGGGGCTCGCTCTGCGGGCCTTCAAGCAAAGCAAGCAAAGCGTCAGGGCAGAAGGCCCGAGTGAGCGAGGGCCCTTCCGGGCGGGCCTTAGGGGGGCCTCCGGGGGGGACCTCGGGGGGGGCCTCCGGGGGGGCCTTCGGGGGGGCCTTAGGGGGGGTCTCCGGGCTGTCATGAGGGCCTCAGGCTCGGGCGTTTGCCGGCGCCGGGGCTCGCTTGGCGGGCCCTCAAGCAAAGCAAGCAAAGTTCCAGGGCAGAAGGCCCGAGGGAGCGAGACAGGGAGGGCCCTTCCGGGCTGGCCAGAGGGGGGGGCCTCGGCCGGGCGGGGGGGGGCCTTCGGGGCGGCCGCAGGGGGGCCGCAGGGCTTCTGTTCCATCGGGGGGGTTTTGCGGGGGGCCTCCGGCTCAAGCATGATTGAGCCGGCGCCGGGGCTCGCTTGGCAGGCCTTCAAGCAGAGGGAAGCTTCAGGGCAGAAGGCCCGAGGGCGCGAGGGGTTCCGGGCTGGCCAAAGGGGGGGCCTCAAGGGGGGCCCTAGGGGGGCCTTTGGCGGGGCCCCCGGGCTGTCAATAGGGCCGCCCGCTCGGGCATTTTCCGGCGCCGGGGCCCGCTTGGCGGGCCTTCACGCAAAGCGAACAAAGCTTCAGGGCAGAAGACACGAGGGCCCTTCCGGGTTGGCCAAAGGGGGGGGCTTTAGGGGGGGCCTCCGGGGCGGCCTCAAGGCTTCGGCTCGGGGGGGCTTTGCGGGCGGGGGGCCTCGGGCTGGCTCGGGAATGTGGCGGCGCCGGGGCTCGCCTGGCAGGCCTTCAAGCAAAGCGAGCAAAGCACCAGGGCAGAAGGCCCGAGGGGGTGAGGGCCCTGCCGGGCTGCCCAAAGGGGGGGCCTCAGGGGGGGCCTCAGGGGGGGCCTTAGGGGGGGCCTTAGGGGGGGCCTTAGGGGGGGCCTCAGGGGGGGCCTTAGGGGGGGCCTCAGGGCTGTCAATAGGGCCACAGGCTCGGGCATTGGCCGGCGCCGGGGCTCGCTTGGCGGGCCTTCCCGCAAAGCAAGCAAAGCTTCAGGGCAGAAAACACGAGGGCCCTTCCGGGCTGGCCAAAGGGGGGGCCTGGGCAGGGCGAGGGGGGGCCTCCGGGGCGGCCTCCGGGGGGCCGCAGGGCTTCTGTTCGGGGGGGCTTTGCGGGGGGCCCCAGGCTCGGGCATGTGCCGGCGCCGGGGCTCGCTTGGCAGCCCTTCAAGCAAAGCAAGCAAAGCCTCAGGGCAGAAGGCCCGAGGGAGCGAGGGCCAAAGGGGGGGCCAAAGGGGGGGCCTCAGGGGGGGCCTTGGGGGGGGGGCCCATGCGGGAGGCCTCACGGCTGTCATCAATAGGGCCGCAGGCTCGGGCATTTGCCGGCGCGCGCCGGGGCTCGCTTGGCGGGCCGGGCCTTCACGCAAAGCACACAAAGCTTCCGGGCAGAAGACACGAGGGCCCTCCCGGGCTGACCACAGGGGGGGCCTTCGGGGGGGGGCCCCCGGGGCGGCCATGGGGGGGGCCCAGGGCTTCTGTTCGGGGGGGCTTTGCGGGGGGCCTCCGGCTCGGGCATGTGAGTGCCGGCGCCGGGGCTCGCTTGGCAGGCCTTCAAGCAAAGCAAGCAAAACTTCAGGGCAGAAGGCCCAAGGGAGCGAGGGCCCTTCCGGGCTGGCCAAAGGGGGGGCCTTAGGGGGGGCCATTGGGGGGGGCCGTAGGGGGGGCCGCAGGGATGCCTCAGGGCTGTCAATGAATAGGGCCACAGGCTCGGGCATTGGCCGGCGCCGGGGCTCGCCCGGCGGGCCTTCACGCAAAGCAAGCAAAGCTTCAGGGCAGAAGACAGGAGGGCCCCTCCGGGCTGACCAAAGGGGGGGCCTCCGGGGGGGCCTCTGCCGGGGGGGGCCTCCGGGGCGGCCTCCGGGGGGCCTCAGGGCTCCTGTTCCAGCGGGGGGGCCTTCCGGGGGGCCTCAGGCTCGGGCATTTGCCGGCGCCGGGGCTCGCTTAGCGGGCCTCCAAGCAAAGCAAGCAAACCGTCAGGGCAGAACGCCCGAGGGAGCGAGGGCCCTTCCGGACTGGCCAAAGGGGGGGTCTTAGAGGGGCCTCAGGAAGGGCCTCGTATCCCGTTCGGCTTTTCGGTAGAAAACGAAAAGCATTCCGAAGAGCCTTGCCGGCGCCTTCGACTGCGCAGCGCATAGCATTGTCCAGGAGGGCTACAGGGCATGCGTGTCATGCATTCCGAAGCGGCCCCGCCAGTAATTAAAATCAAAGGACAAAGCCGGGGCGGTAGCCAAAATATGAAGCCAAAGCCAAGGACTCACTTCGTGACTTTGTTTATTGTGTCCAAAACCAAAGCGGCCCCGCCCGCAATCAGAATGAGAACCGGCGGACCAGCCAAGGTAGACAGCGCGTGGCGCCGCCCGGGATTGTTCGGTCGCTGCCTGCGTCAGAGAAATGGTCGGCGATGATCTGCTTGGCTTTATGTTCTGGGGCAGACGTCTGCGAACGCTCGCGAAAAAAAGAGGGGGCCTAAGGGGGGGGGGGGGGCCCAACCCACCCCCCTTGCCCTTGGGCAAAAGGGGGGGCCTCAGGGGGGGCCTTAGGGGGGGCCTCAGGGGGGGCCTTAGGGGGGGCCTTTTTTGGCTCTGGGCGTCTGCGAACACGAAAAAAAGGGGGGGCCTAAGGGGGGGCCTAACCCCCCCCCTTTGGGCAAAAGGGGGGGCCCCAGGGGGGGCCTCAGGGGGGGCCTTAGGGGGGGCCTTTTTTGGCCTCAGGGGGGGCCTGAGGGGGGGCCTCAGGGGGGGCCTTAGGGGTCGAGGGGGGGCCTGAGGGGGGGCCTAAGGGGGGGCCTGAGGGGGGGCCTGAGGCCCAGAATAGCGCTAATGATCATTATTAGTCTTGTAATCTTGTAATGGGATGGATTCAGCGATTCAAAAGTAGGCAATTCAAAAATTTCTTATCCTTCATCTTGCATCTTCAAAACCTGAAACAAAATATGATCATTTTTGTCATGAATTTTCAATGATTTCTTTGTCTTTCCGAATCGTCGCCAGAAAAGGTATGAAATTAAATAGCTAGGTCAGTCTCAACTTGAACTAGATTATCATTTGCATTTGTCATGCCAAAAATGAAAATAGTTCGTTGAAGTATTTCACATGATCATCAAAAATCAAACTATAAAAAGTAAGGAGCTGCAGTGCCGCCCTGTTTGTCTGGGGCCCCGCACGGGGCCCCGCGACAGCTTGGCGACGTACTTTGGGAGCGGAGCAGCACAATCTGTGGCGGAGCAGCTGCACAGTCCTTATTTTTTGCTACCAAAAAATGAAATAGGAATGACATCAATTTAGCTAGTTCAAGTTGAGACTGACCTAGATATTTCAATTGCATAAATCGCCGATCTCGGTTTCGCCGCTACCTGAATCCGCGTCGTTGCTGCCGAAATGGAAACCGTTTTTGGAAAAAGAAATGACATGCATCTTCAAGGAAAAGAAATTTTTGAATCCGCTACTTTTGAATCGCTGAATCCTTCTCATAGTTTTGCATTTTTTTTTTTGTGAGCATCAGAGTCACATGCGCTTCGGTCTGTTTTCACCATGTTGATGAGGACCGGCGGCGGCAGAGAAGATAGTCTTGTTGCAGAAACTCGGAATTTCGTTGTCGCTGAGAGAAGCTAGCATGAATATGATGACATCATGGGAAATAAAAAAGTTTATATTACAGTAATGTAATTATAAAATTCTACCCTGCTCTCCGCATGCTCTTGCATTAGCACTGCTAACGCCCCGTTGCCGCCCGCCTCGTGATGCTTCGCATGCTTGGTCCTCCCGGCAGATGATGACTCAGAAGCTGCTGCAATGGAACTACCGCGTGATAGTACCGACCGAGAGCGCTTCCGCGGTAAAAACGGCATCTGAATCGACGTTGGAAGCACCCCCGGAATCGTCGGAGGTCGTCTATTATGCATTGCAAAAGTATCGTACTCGTCGTATAAATGCATCACATTAAAATTTATCATGCGGATTTACCTTTCGAAAAAAATTTGTAATCCATGACTGCAATTACTACGACGAGTGCGATACTTTTGCACAGGATATCTACTCCTCAGCGTTTGTTCGCCAGAGAAAGTAAAACTGGACCGAAGAAAGTCACGCTCATCTGCGGGATGAAGATCTTGTTCCCTTTTTGGCGGAGGGCGCTCCTGCTGCAAAAACATTGCCTGCTCCTGCTGGTGCGCCTTTTGCAGCACTAGTTCACGTAGAGATCGTGCCACGGTAGTAGAAGGCCGGTCTACTTGAAAGAACGGGGTACTAGCAACACCATGTTGTCCTCCTGCGTCGAGTTGTGGAGAAGGTTGCTCCGCATCTTTTTGTCCACCTTCCGCGGCCAGAAATTCTTCCAGTTGCTGGCCCGACGGGGGGCGGAATAAACCCGAATTGCTCCTGGTCTTCTCCTTGTCGCTGTCAGCCACGGCGACCACCTCTTGCTCCAGGTCGTGCTGTTCCACTATCAAATGCAAAAGTGTCTGGGTCTGAAAGTAGAGTGCAGACCTTTGCGATGCGGTTTTTGCCTAGCCCAGACCCGATCTGGGCAACATGCAAGCGCTAGCATCCCAGATTCCGAGCAGGTACTTATCCCGATGCCGAATCCACATTACAAATGCCTTCTTTCTGTAAGAGCCTGCACGATTAATCGACCCCCTTCTCGATACCGAGAAGCCCCCCCGAGTCCGGATTCTGACCGACCTTACCCCCCCACGCCCCCCTTCTCGAAATCGGGGGGCTTTTTATCGCGAACCCTCCGTCCGAAACTGAACGCCAATGCTACGGCGCATTCTGCGCCATTCCTTTCTTTTTTAAGATTACAGCGCCAGACGCGGTCTCGCTTCGAGTAGATGCTACTTAGTAGCAAGCGAAACAGACATCGCCCACGCTGTGGCGCTTTTTCTATTTTATGTAGTTTTTCCCGAAAGAGCGCAGTCAGCTGGCGTTTCGCTCGGCTCGCTGGTTTTGCAGCGCTTAGCAAAAAGCAAAGTAGCCCCCTGCTTCTTCTGATGTCGGCCACTATTATCGCTAAGACGGCCAGGAAGTCGTTGGGGGGAATGAAGGGCGAAAAAGTAAATATAAAGTTAATGACTGTAATCCTTAACTATTTAGGATAGATCTGATACATGTCTCGGATAGATCCGGATTTATCACGGATAGATCTTGGATTTGAAAGGTCGCACGCCGACTTTTTCGAAAAAAAAACAAAAAACTTTGACCGAATTTGCATTGTTTCTCCTTGCATGAACAGTCGATCGCCGTGGGTTAATAAGGGATGCCCACTCCCCCGGATTGATCCCCTCGTGTAGATCTATCCACAGCGCGCGACAATTTCTGGACCAGATATGTGATCTTTCGTTTGATCGTGACACGTGATCGGCTATCTTTTTCGCAATGTTGAAGAGTATGATTTGACGGAGTGAAAAAACATATGTGTCGGCAATCGAGGCAGCTCTTGTGATGTTTCTACGCCATCTGAACGCGTTTTGGTTTTGCTTATGTCCACTTGCAGTTACATTCATGATAATGATGTTGATTGTCAACATAGAAGGAATTCTGACTCAGCATCGAGCTCAAAACAGTGGTCGAAATGTAAATGTACCTCTACAACGTGCATGTCATGACAATGAGAGGAAAGTAAAAACATCATCAACATTCAACGAAGAGCTTGAGCGCATACGTCTATACCGCACAAGAAACGAAGGATCAACTTAAACCTAAACATACAGCAGTAGCTGCGTCATAGATAACGTGTCTCTCATTGCTTGTAGTGTCGATCAAGTGTCACGCAAACGCTTTTCCTTCCCATATCGTTATCAACCACGATCACATCACTTGGATTTCTTCTTGCTCTTCGGCGCCGAAGATGACGATGAAGAGGCCTTGGCTTTGGACTCCTCCTTGCGCTCCCACTCTCCGTCATCGTTCTTCACGACACCGACCAAGTCCGGGGCGTTGTTCACAATATCTTCGTCGGCCTGAACGTAATTTTTAATCTTTTTCATTTTGCAACTGAAGTTGAAGTGGATGCGCAGGGTTTGAGTATCATTTTAATTCTCGTCTCCATTTGGCTTTGCTATACATGAAAGCACGCAGCTCAACTTCATTCATATTGATATTCGTGCATGTCTACAAATGCTGACACATATGCACAACAAAAAACAGCACCACGAGTGTCACGTTGATGGACAATCCCTTCCGCTTCGGATCCACGTCATCCGGAAGCACGAAACCCTCCAACTTCACGGCTTTGGGGCCGATCTTCTTCCAGTACGGCACCGCTTTGGGCACCAAGTGGCACGGCGTGTCGTTGGGCGTGAACTTCATCGCGGACGAGTACTTTTCCATGATCGCGCACATCGCCAACATGTCCGGGTCGTCACCGATGTCGACGCTGTGTTTGCCGTCCATGGACTTCATGACAGGGCCCTCCATGTTGAGAGCAATGGTCTTCAAGTGGTCCTCGGAATGTTTCGCGTTGACCTTGCGGCCCTCGGCAGCAACCAAGGCCTCGATGGGGATTTTCGGGGCGTCGACCTTTGTGAACTTCTCCATGAAGTCCGCGATGTCGTCAGACTTCGGGTGGCGGGACATTTTTTTTGGCAAGTGGAGCCGCGAACTACCGGAAGTTTTTTTCTAGAAAGTGCAATTGCGAAAAAATTGCCGCAGTTACAGTATCAATAAAAGATGCGGAAAGGCAACAGAGTCAAAGCTGTGATGTGTGAATTTTATGAACTGCAAGTGGTCAAGCATACAACGCCCTGAAGTATTTGGGTTTGTGCAGTCAGTTGGGGCACGCTTTTGATTTTCTGTTGGCATTTTGATTTTTATTTTCCGATCCACTGAGTGATGAGTCTGAGTCTCAGGCTCAAGCTCAACGCAAATTTAAATATTTTGCGTGATCTGATCGCGAAGGTACTTTCGCGCTCTTCTCATCTTTCAGAAGGGTCTGCCGCTACCCTGACTCTGGCCATTCGTATTCTTGGAACTCTTGTTTCGCTTTTGATTTTCATTTTCATACTACTGCAAATGCTACACTAGCTTGAGATGTGGCTGTGCCTGTAGCAGTAGCTGTGCTTGAGCTTGTGCATCAGTCTCCGGCGCCGACAATAAAAGGGAAATCATCAAGAATGAACACCAGGTCTTTCAGCTCCAGCGAAGTGGGCAAAAAACATGCAGGCAACGACCGCCGTCATTTGATTCCCCGTAGCAACTAGTGCAACCACTTGAGTGCATGAATCTGAGTGTGAAGTGACCTCACGCGTCATCAACTGCATCAACGACAACCTCAGCAGGAGCAGCACGGAGATTCTGCTAAAAACAGTCCACGCTTAATCACGTTCGCGTTGTCATTCAATATCAATCTCAAGTGGAGAAAATAAGTGGTAAATCAGAATGGGCTACATTCCTTGCATTCTGTGTAGTAATCGACCTCGACTTTGGTTGGCAGTGATACTTAGGCTATGCAGTAGTGATATCGGACACGCCATGTGATATCAAAAACATTATCATCTCTCCAAAGTGTTTTCATATCATTATCATCACTATTTGCTTCGCATGCACATACTCACACTCAACGCTAGCGGTGATGTACTTGGCTAAGGAAGTGTAGCTGGAAAACGATACTGGTGATCAAAGCGAACCCGAACCGCGACGCGCATGTTTACCAGAAAGACAAACAAGCGACAGCAGTGCAGACCGATGTGACTTCTTCCACGCCAATTGACATGTAGTGAAGACAGACACTCCGACCGTCACCAGCACCACAAAACAAAGAGTGCGTGAGAATCAAATTCTGTGATCTACAGGCGAATCATAGTTGCAGGGAATTTTTTGTATAATCCGGTAGGGGCTTTAAGGTTCAAAAGTCGCTGCGTTTCATATTTTAGATTGCCCCTCCTTGATAAAAGAGAAGAAGGCAGTAGTTCGCACGCAGTAGACATGATTGAAATCAACCCCCTACCTTTGCATCGATGCGGAGGCACGTGCACGTAGTGGAAGATGCAGGGCAGATGGAAAATTGTTTGGTTACACTGGTAAAGGTGAGCATAGTGGAATCGAAGCTGCGGCAAATTTAAACCTACCGGCACAAACACGGGGAAGGTGCTGGCAGTAAAAAAAGTAGAAGACTTCAACATCCACGCACTTCAATTGTATCGAGAGTCATGATTCTTTTAAGTTCTCAGTCGCAGCTATCACGTTCACTTCCCTAGAAACAATCGAAGTAACGAATTGGCCAGGCTCAGTGCTAGTCTGATTGTTCTTGTGCTCGCTGTTGTTTCTATTACTGTTTGTGATGCTTCGCGTAGTTCCACAATAAATAGAGATATTGAAGACATTCTGTGTGAGGCAGAGTTTGATTTTGAAAGTCAAATTCAATGACAACAACCACTCGCACGCTTTTCATCTCGAGAGAAAATTTCATTCTAAATGATTTGACTTTCTTTTTTATGTAGAACGACCCGGAAGCTTTTTTTCATGTAGTTCTTCAAATAAAACTATTTTAATTTTTATTTTTCACAATCGATCTCTTCATAAAATTATAACTATTTTCGTACCTCAACTTCCTGATTTTATTTTCATTTAGATTGACTTTCACAAAAAATCAAATCGAAACAGATTTGCCGACGAGTTGAAGCATAGAGCTGCGACCTACAGCTTGGAAGCGAAACTCAGCAAGCCGATGATCACGTGGGCAGCCAGTCCTACGCAAGAAATACGCAAACCGTCATACCTCGCGACATCATCAACGAGCAGCACAACCACGACCAAGCCGGGCCTCCCCATCCCCTTCGCGATACAGTAAACATTTTGGAGCAGAGAGCAGGTATTCAATTTGTTTTATCAGCATGTATCTAGAAACGACATGAGGCGTTGGCGCAAGCGCACTTTCGTTTTCGTTCATATAGCTTGACTCATGACAGTGCGAAACAAAAGCTGTTGCGTTTTATCTTTATGCCCTATGATTGTTGCTGTTCTAGTTTCATGCACATCTCAGCTTCCGCGTGCTTCTTGTTTACTATAAAAATGAAAATAATCGCTATTGTCGTACTGGTACTGCTACTGGTTCTGGATCTGGTAGTCGTAGTGTGGAAGTAAAAATAAACCCAAGTATCACCGCGCGACAGCGAAAGAGAAGAGGAAGCTCGAGCGATGCTGGGATTCAACAATCAAACTCGAACCGACATGACAGATCTTAGCATCAGTTCCGATATTCATACTTCAATTTATAATTTTACTATCCTTGATATCGAAACGATGAAAAAACTATTTATAGCCTGACTACTTCATACGCCCCATCAGGTAAATGCGACCGGGACCTACAGCAACTCTTTCAACGGTCATGCACAAATGACGGTGACTATCTCCATCGCAACAGAGGCGCAACGGTGATAGTCGAAACCACAAATCTGATACAGCGACGCGGTGATAGGTTGACGCCGTGTCCGAGCAAGTACGAGCGCGGCAACAGCAGCACACGCAAAAACTCCGGACTGGGAAAAGCAGATCCAAATGGCATAGGATACAGGTATGAAGCTAAATGCTAACACATTGCCCGCCGATTGTGCTTGAGTCTCGGCTCCTACAGTATTAGTATTTGTATTCTCATCGTACAAAGCAAAACTATAATGGAAGTTTTGGCGTGGTTACTATTAGGAAGAAACCGATAAGCAAGGACATCGAATGCAAGGAGCTGAGTAAAGGTTGCAACTGCAAGACCGAGAGGACAAGCATTGCTCCAGACAGCTGTTTCTAAACCTATTTTTTAATAGAGTTAGAAAGTAGAGAAACGGTCTTCACTGATTCTTGTCGTCTATAATGCTGCTACTCTTCCGATTAGAACAAGCCTCCTGAGCTTTTCTTTTTAATTTTGATTGTGGTGGTGCTGGTAGTTGTGCGTGTAGTTGTAGACTCTATGTCACTAGCACTCGCTGTAACTAAAACTATGAAAATAGAAGTAGTTTTTCCTTTCACTTTGTATATTCATTCTCATTCACTTCTCACGTTGAAGTAGTTTAGCTAGCCTCCTCTTCCTCGGAAGACGACGAGTCGGAGTCGGACGAGGAGACATTGTTCGCGTATTCGTCGTCATTATCTCCGTCAAAGAACTCGCTCAAATCATCCTGCATCTGCTGGAAGTCACGCTTGTACTTCTTGACGTTGCGCTCGTACGCGAGGTCGTCGGACGCGCGGACGGGCATCTTGACGGTCAAGAACTGCCGGCTGTACTCACCAGTGGCCTCGCAGGGACCGGTCGCGCCGGGGCCCATGGGAATCTCGACGTCGACGAGTTTAATCATCTCGGAGAATTCGTCATCCACCGGATTGGCATCAGTGGACTCCTGGCTGGTCTTCGCGGCACCGGGGGCCACGGTCTTGGCGGTATACTTCCACATGTACTTAACGCACGTGGTCGGACACGGGAACGCTTTCGCGTAGATCGACTCGTACATACCGCCCAACGACAACGCGTTCTGCGGGTGCCGCAGCTTGTTCAAAACAAACTTGCCGCCATTGTTGATCTCCTCGTCTCCGAGGTTGTAAAACTGTTTGCAGAGGCGGAACTCCGAACGCAACTTGATGAGGTCGCGCAACTTCCCCGAGGCCGGCTCCACCGCCTCCTTTTTGGACTTCTTATCCTTCTTCTTCTCCTTTTTGTCATCCTTCTTGTCTTTCTTCTCCTCATCAATCTGCGGCTTATCCTTCTCGACCTTCGGGTACTTCACGTAGTCAGCCTTGGCGATCTCGCGGACCTTGAACCACGCCGGACTAACGTTGGATTTGTCCTTCAAGTACTCGATCGTCATTTTGTACAGGCTCTCCTCGTGTTCCTTGGCCTTCTTGGCATCAGCGGCTTTTTTGATGGCCTTTTCAGCGTCATCACCGGCCTTCACGCGGCGCGCGCTATCCTTGATCAAAGTTCCGATCGCTTCCTTGTACGGCTCCAAAACGCGGATCGTGTTGATGACGACGTGGTCCGCATCCGGGTCCTTCTTTTCTTCATAGAGCAACGGCTTCTCTTCCAGCTCGAGCCGGATCGACTCGTACTTCAAGAAATCGCTCAGCTCGATGTAGCGAAAACCGATGTCGCAGATGGTGTCGATGACGTGGTTGGTCGTAGCGATCTCAGCACCCTGATTATGACGCTGAGTTTTAGTTTTATGTCATGAGTAAGAGGAGTTGGGTTTTGGTTTGTCTCTGTCATCATTTCGGATTAAATCCCAGAAGTTAAGGCTTTGAAGCCTTAACCTAAGGGCTTGAAACCTTAGCTCAGGTTTTAGAATACGAATACGAAAATCCAAATCAAATGTTGAAGTAGAAGCACATGATCCAAAACGCAAAAACGCAAACATGTTATGTAGTACATCAGAAGCAGCAAGGTGCTTCGCCAACTCGGCGCCGTTGTTCACACCAGCGGCGATGCGCTCCACCTGGGATTCGTCATCCTGCTTTTGCTTCTTGCTCGGCGGGGATCTGGCCTTCTTTTCGATATCCCGCTTCTCCTTCGCAGAAATCTGCTGCTCCTCGGACTGGCCCTGCATGGAGGACTGCGACAGCTTGAAGCTCACCATCTTGGACTTCTTCATCGACTTGGACTTCTTGGTGTCGTCGGCCACGTCCTTATCATCGTTTTTCTTGTTACCTTTGCCTTTCTTACCCTTTCCTTTCTTACCCATCTTGGCCTTTTTCTTCGCTGGACCATCTTCTTCTTCCTCTTCTTCATCTCCGGAAGCCTTATCCTTGTCCGCGTTCTTATCGTCGGCGGGGACGACATCCGCGTTGTTGTTGTTAGTGGTATTGTCGGCGTCCTGCATGATGGCGTCACCGGATTGATCGACCAGCTCCGACTCATTCTTCGACTCGCCGGTCTCATCGGACGAGTTCTTGTTTTTCTTCGAATCATCGGCGATCGGCTTCGGCTTGACGATGCGCTTGCGCCGCGCCATGTCTTCGCTTAACCTCCCATCCTCGGTCAACGGCATCAGGTAGCCCTGCGGCACGTAGTTCTTCATGATGATTTCGCTCCAGTTCTCACTGGGCTGGTGCCAGGTGGTGATGGTCCAGAACTGCTGCTTTCCGTCGTCGCTGGCGACACGCTGCCCCGCAGACCAACCGTACGTCGGCATGGGTTCGCCATGACTCTTCGCCACCAGCTCCATGTTCGGCAAGCGGTCGTTGCGCATCAGGTACATGTTGATGATCAGGCCCGGCAGCATTTTTATGCATTGCAAAAGTATCGCACTATCAGCAACTGCGTTTGCGATGTCTTGCATGACAAACACAGAAACAAGCCAAAATGAAAATCCATTTCTAAATCTAAATGTAGATCAAATACAAATTTAAATACGAATTCGAAACTCATGCGCTCATCTCATGCATTATATCGTATCTGCCACTACAACTAGTTACTGGTATGAGTGCGATACTTTTGCAGTGCATAACCTTCTTGGTGTACGTGTCGTGATCGAGTTGTTGTTTCGGCTCGAGGACCCTCCTGAACACAAAACCGTCCTTGGGCGTCAGGAGCTTCACGGACGCCGGCGTTATATTTTCCCAGTTTTTCTCTTCTTCCGCTTCCGACAGGTCCATGTCATCCTCCTTCACTTCCTTCTCCTTCTTGGGCGGCGCCGTGATCCGCTTCTTGTAGTCGGAGAAGTTCTGATACAGCTGGACGATCTTCTTACGGACCTCGTTGCTCGGGTTCTTGTCGCGCATCTGGGCCGGCTTGAGATCCAGGCCCAAATCCTTCTCGACTTCGTTGATGTGACCGTTGGCGTTCGCTTGGCACAAGCGGCACAAGTTCAGCTGGTCCTGCTGCAGCATCAACTTTTCCGTGCCAAAGGCCTGGGAGATGCTGTGCTTGGTGCCGTACTTTATTTCGATGTAGCAGGCACACCACAGGTCGCACGCCTGGCTACCGATGTCGAGGCCCGTGAATTTAGCGTATTCGTTCTGTAGATGTAGATGTAGTTGGAGATGTGCAATTGCATGCGTAATCAGCATAGACATAGAAGCAACGTCGCGAGTGTTGTGACTGAAAAAAAAGCACAAACTAAAACAAAACAAAAACTATATAACTGAGAATAGGAGTGCGAGATTCTAGCTCTACGTCTACCTCATGCTCATCGTCGTCCTTATTACTCTGTAGCCTACAGCTTCCAATACCAATTCCTAAATAAAATCATAATCAAAATCAACTGGAACTGACGCTCATGCTAAAAAAGAAAAATATACTTTAAACTGGGGAAACAGGTTCGCGTGCTGATCCGGATGCAACTCGCAATGGATGGTGGTACCAGTCATCGTCCACGGCTCGAAGATTTCGCGCTTCACGATGTGCGGCGTCTGTTCCACACAAACACCGGTCGTGATGCCTTCCACGCGGCGCTGGGCGTACTCCAAGATGCCACACGGGATCGCCATCGCCTCCTGGCACTGTTTCTTGTACGTGGCAAAGGATTCCTTCAACGGCTTCAGCACATGCAGTTGTTCAAAAAACTGCACAGTTTTTAATTTTTTGATTTCTTTGTGCTTGTATCGGATATGCATTTGCTTTTGCTCTCTACATGCGTGCGCGTCTGAAACGTTATCACTACTCTTTCGAAAAAGCAAAACGAACACCGAAGTCAAAGTCAAAGTATAACAGCATATGCATGACAGATTTGCATTTCAACTTGAGACGAAAAACAAAATCATAACCATTACCATAAGCAGCAAAAGTAAATAGATAAAAAATGCAGTCGGTTTAAGAAATCCATCTCCCATATTGCGAATCTGGATAAATCTTTCGACCAACGCAACATGGTCGCTCAGGGAGTGGCGCAGAGTGACGCACTGTTTTGTTTTGATATTCATAATCTTGATCTTTGTATTGCATGAAAATAGAATCATTGATGAAAAATCAATGGCATGGCATGTATACTAAGATGTATGCAAGACAAACACGCAACCTATCCTATATAGAAAAGAAAATGAAAATCGCGCTATACTTTCAGGCTCAGCGGCTCGACGGTCGCGAGTCCGACGTTGCCGAAAGCCTCGCGACTGTGGTTACCAGACAAGCGCCCGCACTTGTTGTCAGCAGTGGCGGAGGGACCGTTGTCGACCAAAATCATTCCTGAGGGATATAATAGTTTGAATCTCATGCGTGATGATAGTGCAAAGCTAAAGAGTTTCATATGCATTACAAATGTTCACGAAAGACCAAAAAATCAAAAAAAAAGCTGTACTCCAATCATTTGCCGTGTATCTTCCGATCCGGAGGGCGGTCTGTAATTTGAGTACTTGAAAGGGATTACAGTCCCTGTTTAGTTTGTGTTTCTTCGTGACGTCCAAGATAGCCTGGGTCAACGGCCGCACAAACACACCATGCTCATCCGGAATTTGGAACGTGTTGATGGTGAAGTTGCCGATCTCGGTGGTGGTTTTTTGACGATTGTCATAGAGGAGGACCTCCTTTTCCGTCTGTGCGACGGTCACGGAGGTGTGCGCCATCCTGTGGTCGGAGAGTGTGTGGTGCTCTCCGACAAGTTGAAAACGACTACCAGAAGTAGATGATTTGAAGCGAAAATTGTCTCTCAGCTACGGGCTTTGGGATGATGGTGAAGGTTGAATTGGCATGAAATCAATGTGAATTATCCTCGCGAGTTGTTCACTTTGCGATCAAATCTGATGATTTTCAGAAGATGCAAAAATCATCATTTTGGATTAAATCCCAGAAGTTAAGGTTTTGAAACCTTAACCTAAGGTTTTGAAACCTTAGGCTAAGGTTTCAAAACCTTAGGTTAAGGTTTCAAAACCTTAGGCTAAGGTTTCAAAACCTTAACTTCTGGGATTTAATCCAAAATGATGATTTTGCAACTCTTTCAAAGTCATCATTTCTCATCCAAAAAAAGATCTCCGACAACACTTTCAAAGCAACTACACATCAACAAAAACCACCGACGAAGGAACGAAAGTCACTACTTTTGCTCTCAAAAAAGGTGTCAAAGAGCAGAGCTTTCCTTTGCATTTGATCAAAAAAGTGTCTGGAACGCCAGCAATTATCTGCATAAAAAACACGGCGGCGCCCTCCTCGTTGTCTCTCGCAGAGCAACCGCAACGCCATATATTAGAGATTTTCCAGCTCGTTGAAGTAGCTCTAGGCGCTGGAGTGCAAAGCCTATTGCTTCTCAATATTCATTCTGCACATAGAAACCCAAAGAAAAGCTCGAAGAAATCAGAAAGAAAAGCTCTAAGAAATCAGAAAGAGAAGCGCACTATTTTAGCTGGAATACTTTTGCACTTGCCGCAGTTTCTACATTATACAGCGCAGGAACCTTTTGCGAAAAGCGTCTTTCTTGATCGTTTTTTCCAATAGCTGCAACAGCTTACTCCGCAGCTTCTATCTGTAGTTATACTTCTTTCGCTGTAGATTTGCGTTCATTTTTATTCCTTATTATATTCCTAATACATAGTCAGCGCAATAACAATAAGAGCACCAGTTCAAGTAGGATTAAGAGTAGTGATGTGGAAAGTGCAAACGCGCTACAGGTGCAAACACAGAGACATATGCAAGCTCTACCGCCAAGGCTCACCGTCTGAGTCATCATCTCCGCTGCTGCTTCCAAAACTTGAATCACTTTCCAACTCCGAATCGCTTCCGTCGTCACCTGCCGCTGAGCCCGCTTCGAACACTTGCTTTTTGAACTCCTGGCACACTTCCGCTGCTTTCTGCTTTTGCGCCGGTGTCGGCATAACAAACTTTTTGGGAAGTTTGTCCTTTGCGCCCACGATGTTTGCCTTGATGTAGTTGCACATGTCCAAAGACACCTGCAACCGCGAAGATTTTGTAAAGCACCGCCGAGATGCTTTTTTTTTCGTCTTTAATTCGCCGGCACCACTCCACTGCAGATAGGATGTCTTCTTTGTGCTTCGTAAGCACGACCCCCGCCACACATTCGTCTCCGGATTGTACGTGGCGTACCCGTTGTACGCCTTCCACAGGTTGCTTATCATCATTTCTGGTTGTGCATCGATCCGGTTGAACGTCTTCCACTTCTTATCCCGCTGCCGCTTATTCAACATTTGCTTGCGCTGCCGAGCAACGAGGACGTCGTCGTCTTTTTTGTTTTCTCCTTCGTCGTCGCCAGGCAACAAGCCCTGCAGAAGATCGGCCTTTTTTGTTTTTCGTTTTTTCTTCAGTTCCAACAAAGACCACGTTTCCCGCTTCCCGTATTCTATCAACGCGAGCTCCTCCGTCTGCATCTCATCCACGAGAGTCTCCCCGTCTTGCGCCACGTACTTCTGGTCCACACTGCTCTTCCATTTCGCTGACTCGTCGTAGTAGATAGAAAATCCGCCATCCGAATCACTATCATCATGTCGGACAGAAAAACCGGAAAAGTCAGCACTTTTCAACCGCAGTGTGAGTTTATGTTCGTCTGTCACCACGCCGCCGTTGATGTCTACGAACGTGGTGGGCCGTCGCTTCCGGGAAAGGTTGTTCACATTCACGGCGCAGTCAACCATAACTGTTTCCCTCCTGTTCGGGTCCAACTCGGTTTCCTCTTCCTTGATCTCCACTTCCACTCCGCCGATACTGATGTCGATGTTGTTTTTGCCATGCAACAAGAGCTGCTTTGGCACCGCAGCAGAAGAAGATGATGATGACACAGCGGCAGTCGAGTTGTTCATCGGACGCACATCTTCATCTTCTTCGTCTTCCTCCAGAATAGGCGGCAGCAAAGTGGTATGAAGATGCGAGCTGTTCGCGTTCTGCTTCTTCTTGTTCCGAGTTTTATTTTTCAAAATCGTATCTACATCCAGATCGGTTTCGTTGTCTTCCCGCACGTCCTCGTCAGGATTTTTGCTGATAATATTCGCTTCTTTTTTACTTCCGGCCGCGTGCGACGCCGCTACCACCGCCCCACTCTTGTTAACGTCTTGTTCTTTTGAAGATGCTGCTTTCTGCGTTTTCTTTTTCCCTTTTTGCTTGTTGTTTTCACCTTCGTCTCCTTCGGGCAAAAACTCCGCGCTGCCATCATTTTGCTCTTCCCCGGACGTAGTTTTATCCGCTTGCTCTTTCGGAGGATACCAGGCGGCGTATCTGTAGATTAGTTCCGACAGCCGCATTTTTTGCTCTGCATCGACGTAGTATTCTCCAGTACAATCAACGTCGTCGACTGCTACTAGGTGCGCGTCATTATTGCAGGAGTCGACGCACAGCCACTGCGTTTCGATCTTGGGTGCATCGGGCCGAAGTTTGAAGTAGATCAAAGTACCCGGCACGATGTCAGTCTCCGACATGCACAATGCCGGCCACTCTGCTTTCCTCTTTGTCTTAGCGCCTGTTATTGCCCGGCCCGGATTGTAAAAGTTCTCCTTGCCGAAGTGCTTCTGAATCACATGACACACGTCACTGAAAACGATCATCGGCGAGGAAGTGAAATACTTCTTGGCTTGTCCGCTCCTCCGCGCGTGAGGGCAGCACACCTTGTTGCGCGCGTCCTCAAATTGCTCAAAGGCTGCCAGGTAATTGTTGCGGTTGAAGCCCCTGGAGTTTTGTACTGCGTTTCAATGTTGATCATTTTCATTTAGCTCTCGCTCATTATCAGTCACGTCGATGATTTTACATATGCACTAGCATGCAAGTGGAAAACTAGATCTAATTGCAAAAGTGTAAGTCATAGCAAATGTAAATCTAGATGACAACAGAAATTGAAATCGAAATGAAAATTAAAATTTTTTAAAAATAAAAAGCCAGCAGCTTTTTATTTTTTATTTTTCCCAGTACCTTGCCGACGCCAACTCCATCCCTAAATTTCCAGTGTTGACCTCGCGGTGTATCTCCGTCGACGTCGAGTTCAGTTTCTCGCAGTCCTGACTCGAAGGGAAGAGTGCGGACAGCAGCGGTTTGAGGTCGGCCACAAAGGCCGGCGACCAATTCGGTATTTGATCCGGTTCAGGCCCGTCTATCGTCGCGTCGTCATCAGCCGCTCGTTGTAGTTCACCGGGAAAATCTTGGAAAAAGTCGAAGGAAATTCTGTCGAGTTTGCCCTGTTTCCCAAGGCGGATCAGATCCTGTGCTGTAGCCCGCACCTCGCCGCCCCTCATGAGGCCGTGCAACCGGTGTGGAAAGCTCCGTAAGGGTTCCTGCCGATGAAACAGGTCGTCGATAATGCGAAGAAACGTCAAGCAGCACCGCCCGAAGGCATCCTTCGCGTTCCCCAGTTGCATCGTGGTCAGCGACAAGCGGTTCCACAAGCGGGCTTTCTCGATCGGCTTGACACAGTGGCGGGCCAACTCGAAACTATCCGCCCCAGAAGTCGACAAGCCGTGCGACCGCATCACGTCGGCAGAGCAGTCGAGGACGACACTATGCTAATGAAAAAGTAATCTTCAGGCTCGCTTGCGTGAAGCTAAAGGTAAGGCTACGGAGAAAATCTAAATCTCGAAAATCTAAATGCAAATCACAATGTAAATGATAACGAAGTAGAAGCTGTGGCTGTGCATGCACTTACGCTAATAGTTCCACACATACTTATAATTTGTATATTCATTTGCATTAACGATAAGCAGATGCAGACGCAGATCCAGAGCGTCTGCGACTGCGTGGTCGTCCAGGAATGTAATGCAGAAGCAGCAGTGCCACCACTGCGCCACATTCTATTTCTCTTTAAATTCGTAATCGTATTTCTATTTGTATTGCAATTTCTATTTCCTGTAATGCAGAAGCAGATCCTATAGATAAAGACCAGCCATGATTATGCCTTACCTTTAGACTTTACTTCTACCTGAAGACTCATTCTTCAAATCACATCGCCGAAGGGGAGCGGGAAGGTTGCAGCGTGATAAAGATCCAGGGAGCTCTTCAGTGCGGTAATGCAAGTCCACCACGGTTCGCTGGTAACTGCAGTCCAGGCGCGTCTGATTAAACTACTTTTGTTCTTCTGATATTTCTTCTCCCGGTCTGCTGCTAGTCGTGGAATATTCACCGCCAGAATGGGCTTCTGTTTCATCAGCCCACTCACAGTATTCGCCAAGCTGAGCCAGCGGGTGCGCACGTAGTGGCTCACTTTTTTTGGTGCATCCTGCACTTCGTCGTCGTGATTGAATTCTGTTTTGCCAGCATCTTTCCGCAACTGCAGACGATTGCCCGACTCAGTCGCTTCGTGGTATGCCCGCAGTTCGTCTCCTTTCAAAGCCTTGCCGTCGAGAATGACCTTTCCCTCGCGCATGAACTCCTCCACGTCCTGCATCACAACCTCCTGGTCTCGCGCCCGCGCGTCCCGCCGCTCTTTTTGTTTTCGCACATCACCGACAGGAATAATGCCTTCACGATCTTCCCGCGGTGCACGCTTGGGAAGCTCCTTCTTCGTGAGAAACATACTATTAATGACTTTACTCACTGCTGTTACTGTCTTCTCGATTTTCTTGCCATAGGCGGCAGAGATGCACTGCAGGGCGGTTTTTCCCAAATTCGACATCTCTATGCATTGCAAAAATGTAAATCAAAGTACCGCAGTAGTCCTAGCATTACACACAGCATATGGCTATGGATACGGTGTCCACGCTTCTTTTTGTTTCTCTTTCACTTTGTCATGCGCGATCGCGTTCGCAACTAATAGTAGCGATACTTTGACTTGTGGTTTTGCACAGGATAATATGATGGAGCTGGCAAAAAATCGACGTGCGTGACCAGTTCGGTTCTGCCGGTCGCTCTACCACCCGCCGCGTCTTGTTTTCGCAGCGAAGAGCTTCGGTCAGGTACACCGTATTGTCTCCCAGTTTGACCATGTCTGATCCACAATCGGACGCTGTGATGCAAGCAGGCCTTGACGGGGGGAGGTACCCGCCATACTCCATGTTGCTGTAGACCCCGGGCAGGGGTAGCCCCACCTTCCACGCCTGCTCCCAGTATTCTCCGAAAATTAACCATCCCCATCCAAAGTGCACGAAGAAGTAAATCATCAATTTTCCATTTTTGCATGACAAACACAAAACGCGCAACATGTTTTGCATGACAAACACAGCATGGAGCTGGTGACGAATAGGGATTGTTAATTTTCAAGGAATAAGTATATGTCGTCGACTACCGACAGAAACCCGCCCTCTGTTCCTATCGGCTCCAACGAGAAGTCATACATCACCACATCTTGCCCGTTGTTGATGGACCTGAATAAGTACACCTTGGCGCTGAGCTGCTTCACGTCGCCGAAAGGGGTACTGTCCGGCACGATCCTCGTTACTATTTTCGGTGGCCTGTTGGGATTTTGGCCCGGATCAGTCGCCACTCCATTGCTCGGATCTGAGCAAGGTGGGTAAACTAACTGTCGGTCTCCGTCCCAGTTCAAATGACTCGACTCAATTCGTTCCCGCCTTCGCATCTCCTCATCTGTTTCTCCACCTTCTTGTTCTACCAGCTCCAAACTATTAGTGTTACTGCTCGCCGACAAAAGAGCGCTTTTTGCGGCACTGCTCAAATTCTTCTTGTTTAATGTGAAAACTGGAAGAACAGACTCGCTCACCTTGTAGCTCAAGCCCTTTTTCTTCGGCGGATCGTCGTCCATCATGGTCGTATCAACTGCAGCTAGTTGTGTGTGCTGCTGTCCGGATTCGGAATCTGTATTGCTGTTTTTGAGATGATGGTGGCGGCTGCTGTTTGGAGCCCGTGTTGGCGCGCTTGTCAGTTGTGTGCTGTCGTTATTGTTTGTCGGCAAGCTGTTGCTCTGGCTTTGTTGGGCAGCTAGATCTTGTGTATCTGCGTCCTGCAATACATGTGCAAAACCGTACCGCTTCTTCTGGTCAGCTGCTCTTGCTACTTTTACCATGCCGGGAGTTGCATAAAAATTCAAAATCTTCATCCGTATGATAAATCGCAGTGCGTCTCGGTACAGAAATTCGTCCCGTTTGGCCTTCATCCTGTACTTCGCCTTCGCGCGAGCGATCATCATTTTCAAAACCGTCCTCATGTCCATCGCCTCTGCGGCGGATGTTCCGGACCGCGCCGATACTATCGCGTCAGCGTAGAGGTGCGGGCTCATGTCTGGCAACGCTTCAAAAGCTTGCAGTAGTTCTTCGTCGTACGCCTCGACTACCGCGCTCTCGTCTTCCTCGTCAGACTGGTCCAGCAACGCATAGTCATTTTCATCATAATCGTCCTCCGATGATGATGAGCAAGAAGCGTCTCCCGGATCTTGCTGTTTGTTTTTCTTCTTCTTGTTTTGCAGTTGCTGTTTGCTTCCTGCCTTTCCACTGGTGATTGCCGCTTTCGTTTTTTTACTACTTTTTCCAAGCTGTTTGCGTTGCGGTTTCGTGAGCTTGTTTTTCACTGAGCTCGCGCTCCGGATGTTGTCATCATTGAGGCTGACACTACCTGAATCCGAGTGCGAATCTTGTCTATTAAAATTCCACAAGTCACCGACATCGGTCTCGTGAAGCTGCAGCTTGTTGCCATCGGTCGGCCCTTTGTAGTTTTTCATTGTATTTTTCACCGAAGAAGAAGAACTGAAGTTGAAGCTTGAGCTTGGCGACGTTTTATTTGGTACGAACGGAAGGCCTGCATTTCCACTTGCCATTTTTTCCTCATGTTCGTCGAAGTCTTCTTCTTCATCGTACGCCTTTTGTCTAATGCCGAGTTCTGCAAAAGCGTTTCGATACGGTACGAGGGAGCTGCTGGAATTATTGTTGTTGTGCGCGGAACCGCGCGCGCGGACTTTTTGTTTTTTCATTTGCTTCCGAACCTCCTTGCGTTTTTTTTTCTCCTCTTCCTTTCTTTTTTGTATCACGGCTACCGGCAAATCGTCACCCAAGATGTCATCTTCCTCGTCTTCGCAACTGGAACTAGACGAACTGCTTGAAGCCACCTCTTCGCCCAGTCTCGAAGACGAAGAACCAACTACACCTGCGCTGCGTGTTCCTGCATGTACGGAAGCAGCTCCAGCACTACTGCTCGTCGCTGGGTTGAAGAAGTTGCTTGCATGCGGCACCGCCTGCTGTTGTATGGAAGTAGTAGCTCTCTTTGGCTCCGCTCCCACCTCCATGTCAATGTCCATGTCCTCAACCACTTGGGTCTCCTGGTCTCCAGCCTTTCGCTTCTTTTGTTCTTGCGCTGCTACATCTTCAGCACCTCCGCGTTTGGCGATGTCTGCTTTTCGTTTCAAAGCCTTTTGCTCTTGTCGGTCTTTCTTTCGTTGCATTCGCTCACTTCGTTCTTCAGCAATCGCCTGCAGCAATGCATTTCGTAAATTTTGATCCGAAACTGCGATGTCGCGATTGTCGATCATCCGGCTATCGAGATCATCTTTCACCACCCCCGCAGCCATCAAGACCTGTCTTGCGCGTTGGCCGCCCGTTCCACGACCCGAACCAACGAGCCACGCGTTCCGGAGCCACTTTCTTTTCTTCGATGCGGATGCTGGTAGTGTTGGAAATCGGACTTCTGGCTCGTTGGGATCACCGCCGCCTATATCTCCGCTGTCTTGCATCTTTTTTGCAAGGTCTGCTATTCGGGCCTCTTCTTCCTCTTCCTTCATCTTTTTTTTGCTCATGTACTTTTTCTTTACTTTCTCGTCCGCCGGAACGTCGTCGGGCATGAAGCGACTGTAGTAGATGTTTTTCACAAAGTCCTGAAACGAAACGCCCTTCTTTTGTTCATTCTTCCAGCTTACACCTAAAGACTGCTTGGACGGTATTGTTTTCCGGGCAGATGTTTTTTCTAACACCTTTTCTGTTTTTCCGTTCTCTACTGCCCACTCCAATAGCCGAATAAGATCTGCAACCGTTTTGCACTGATCCATGCGCTCCTGCAGCCCCTTCGTGGGGCCGATGGTGATTATTTCTTTCTTCGTCCGCGCCATAGCAGTAGCGACGAGACGAAGACAACTAACCCAACGCCAAACAGCTTACGAAATAAGCAGGGCAAAGCCGAGGAGGATGTGGATGCGGATGTGCACGCGGATGGCACCAGGTAAAAACATTTTTTCCTTTTTGATATTAATATTTGTATTGCTGTTACTTCGTTTTGTTATTAGTTTGATTTTCAAAATTTAGAAATTGAAATAGTAATAGAATAGAGATATGAGTAGTGTCAAAGTGAAAGCTCATACGCATAATCATACACGTTCTGCCTCAGCTTTGATGCTGAGGCTCAAGGTTAGTTCTAGTTTTCCTTGTGTTGGTGCTTGTAGTAGTTGTGTTAGTTCTGGTTCTCAAAGGAGTGCGTATTCGTATGCGAAAACGAAATCGAAAACGAAATCCAAATCAGAGTTTCAAAATAGAAATACTAATAAGAATAAGCTCAGCAATAAAATGTTTTATTTTCATTTTCAATTACAAGATCAACAAAATCAAAATAGAAATACCAAAAAAACGCAGGTTGCTAAAAGTGAATGAAGCGATGACGAGTAACGGAAGTTTTAGCACGAGCAAAGTTGGACACTCAAACGATTATCGCTACCTATAGCAGTGCAAGCTCGATGACGAAAGCAACACGCTGGAGGACCTGCTTTTATGACTGTTTCGATTTCGAGAAGCTTTGCAATGATGAAAAGGTAGAAAACCAAAACAGATGAATAGGCAAAACGATAGTGGCGACTTTGAATTTGATTCACAGCGATTTGATGCGATTTGATTTGTATTGCAGCGATACCTGCAACCACGCACACTCACACTCCCAAACGACACGGCGACGCTTGAACCCAATTGCAATTTGTGTCATGGCGTTTTATTGTTTTACTTTTGGTTTGTGCGAAAAGTACTACCCGCTCTTTTGCGCTCTATCTCAAAATCGAAACCTACTGGCTTCCCAACGACAAAAACAACCGACACCAACCAAAACAAAAAACAGCCTTCAATGTACCCAAATCAAATGCACAAGCAGCGCCACGCTATGACGAGCTTCGACTTTACCTTTAGGAACATCAAATCAAAAATAATACGACGAGGGGACTCAGCAACCACCTACTAGCTCGGGGCGTATCAATGCAACTTGTGCAATTCCTACTATTTCGCTTTTTGTGTCGTTTCTGTTTTGCATAAACAAAAAAAATGCACAGCAACTATCGTTCATTGAGTTCCTTTTCATCTTGCTCATCGTTTTACTTTCATTTTCTTGGTGTTGTTGAAACAAATTCGACCATCACACCGCCGCAACACCACGCCGAGTTGTAACGTCGCCACACTGTTTTGCATCGCTTCCACCTACCTCTGATCTTCGACAACATTACGACTGTGGTTTGAAAAGTATTAATTTTGAACAGAAGTCTCCATGTTTTTCGCGTCTCGGAGCAGACCATCAAGTTCAGACCGACCATCCGAAACAACACCACAACGCTTCGCCACCGACCTCCGACAAGATGAAAAAAACAACGAAATAATTTTTCAACTTTAGATTAATCCGAGACATGTATCAAATTAATCCGAGAATGTACCGGATTTATCCGACATAGTTAAGGACTACAATCATTAACTTTATATTTACTATTCCCTCTTCATTCCCCCTAAGGAAGTCGCTTATGAACGGACAAAATACAAATTGGCCCCAGTGCGTGCATAAGTATAGCGCCACTAGAATCAATGAAACAAGCGACCTACGAGAATGGCGCAGCGAATGGGGCTCCGCCCGCTTTCAATTTTTCCAGCCCCGGACGGGGTAGAAGCAAGCTGCACTTTCACCGGGGGCATCGGGGCTTTTGCGCAAACCTACCCGCTCTATACAGGCGGCCTTTTTCCACCCAAGCGGCTGGGCGGAGAAAAGCCGTCTTGGAAATTCAAAAAATTTGCAATTTTCAAGCGGGCTTGTTTCCAAAGACTTGCTCGAGGAAAAGCTTTCGCGTGCGGTCGGGTGGAGAAAACAAAGCCCGCGTGAAAATTCAAAACATTTGGAATTTCCAAGCGGGACTAAACTTTCTCCAAAGACGTGCTCGGGAAAGATTCTTCTCGACCCAGTCCATGGGGAAAAACCCGGGCGGAAATTCAAAAAGTTAAAGTTTTCGACTTCCAGGGTGGTTCTTCTTCACCCGGGCCCCTCGGGAGTCGCTTTTTGGAGAGCAGTTGTAGCGCAGCTACTTCGCAATAGAAACACCCTGCGCGCACGCAGTAAGACAACAGATCTCGCCCCAAGTAGATCCCGGAAATCTTTTTCGCAACCTGCGGCCCCTTTTTCAATCGGGCCTTCTTTTATACGCTTCTCTCGAGTGTTGTCCTCTCTATGGGGGACGCGTCGCTCTCTACGACAAAAAAAACCAATAAAGCGCAGCAACCGCTTGCTTGCGCCCCTGGCCAATTGCTGTCGGCCTCTTATTTGGCATTGTGTGGCGGGGCTTTAGAATTCAAACTTTTTCGCACCTATTCCTTTTGTGGTGCGCTTCTTGCGGATCGCAGTTTTTCATTTACGACTCCGTTCTCTTTCTTGTTGGTGGTGGTGTGGTTTCTAAAAAGTCAGAACCTTTTTAGAAACCACACCAAGAAGAAGAGCTTCTGCTCCACTAAGAAGAGAAAAAAGTAAAACCGCACTACCACCCCGCGCCCGTATTTTCTGAATTTGCCATCTTTGGCGCGGTGGACGGGGGAGTTCCGATTTTGCATTTTGGATTTTTGAAGTCCGATTTTGGATCGGAGTAAATCGCTGAGGTTTTGCGACGGCCGGATGACCGACCGCACCTACCCCCCCCTTCTCGGTATCGAGAAGGGGGTCGATTAATCGTACGGGCTCTAACAGGAAGTGGGGCCACCTTATTTTTCTGACCAACATGCAGCATGGCAGATTTTGTTCGATGATGTAGAATTTGCATCACAAATTCGAATCCATCCAGACCCAGATCGATATCTGCAATGCATATCCACATCACTGTTAATACCATGGTCCACGGCGTCCTCAGAAATCGCCTGGTGCTCCATGTGCTTCAAAAAATACCGCATGTCCTCGTCCGTCCTCTCCTCCGAGATGGGAAGGTACTAACTTGAAATTTGTCTGCAGCTAAAAAAATCAAAATTTTTGGTAGTGCAGTTCTTGTTCTTCTCTTCTCGCGGCCCGGACTGCAGCCCGCTTGCGAGCGCTGCGGACTCCGTGCTGGGGAACTTGGCCGAGGTGTTGCGCTCCATTCCTGCGTCATTTGCTCGAAGGTCCCCCACGCGCTTGATTTGCTAGCTCCACACGGAAATGCGGCAACAGGTAGGGGCTTCCGACTGCCATTTTTCGGGGAAGTTTCGCACCTAAGATAACAACATGACGCGAGCCTCCGAGAGGTGCTTGGGCGCAGAGCCCCTTCCCCCAAAAGTGGCAATTTGTAATGCGCGTTTCGCATTACAAATGGCCTTCTTTTATGACCCGTCTTGGGCTCGCTCTCCGGGCCAGGTCACAAATCTGAGCCCCTGGATCAGCAGAATGCCGTGCTGTGAGGGTTCAGATTTTTGATGCAAAACGTGGCTCCGCGAAAAAACTCTGCACCTCGGCAACGAGGTCGCCAAGTGGAGGTGCAGAGTTTTTTGGCGCGAGGGGGGGAAAGTGGGGCAGATAGCTCGTGTTTGTCTGCGCCGCCAAAAAACTCTGCACCTCCGAAATTGGCCTCCAGATGAGGTGTCCTCGGACACCTCTTCGGAGCCCTCCCGAGTCGCGGACCTCCGGGGCGACAAATTTTGGCCGCCCTTTTCGCATTGCCCCGACCTGAATCGAGCTCAATTTGCAGGCAGAAGCCTGCAACTTGAGCTCATCCCTGAGTCGACCTCCTCCGAGGCCGCGAGGTTTGAACCAAAAGCGAGCCTCTGCTTCAGCAAATTCAACTCATTCCCAAACAAGACACTCACTAGGTAAATCGTCAGGAATCAGGAGGGAGTGCGGGAACTTGAAGACCTACAACTGCGAACCCGGGTGGACGACGTCCACCGATAGCGAAGCACCGAGTCCCCCGGTGGCTGAGCTGTCTCCTCTGCTTCGTCCGCCGAGGCCGTGCCGGAATACCTGGCCTGCCCATTTCCTTGATTTCGTTTCATTGTGAAAAAAAAGAAACACACAAGAAGGTGCCCGAAAATGTAGGATGCAAAAATTTTGATTTTTTTAGCTGCAGACATTTTTCAGTTTAGTAGCACGTCCTCGTCCGTCCTCTCCTCCGAGATGGGAAGGAGCTGAGCGGCCATAGCGAAAAATTTTGTGGAAAAATCATCGGACGAGCTCTTTTTCGTCAGCGTTGTGGAGCTGCTGGCGCAAAAATCTTCTTGAATATTACCGATCGCAGGTGGAACTACTACTCCTGCAGTGGAACCACTAGCACACAAGAACCGGGGCGCGGCTGTGTCGTAGTCCACCTGCAAAAAATCCTCCTGGATGAAGATCGAAATAGTAGAAGCCAGAAAAGTAGAAACGTCTTGTAGTGCGAAACAGTTGAGGAGAACTAAAATGTTGACCCAGACAAAGGTCGAAGTCGATGCCCCCGTCTTGGTTGAAGCCCTGCGTGTAGCAGGCCAACTCAGCAGACGCGGCAACATCTTTCGCGGCCTTCGCGGTGGTTCTGGGTGAACGGATGAAAATGAATCTGAAATGCTAATATCCAACTCCAACACGACGACTTCTATCGTGAAAATAAATATCTATTTCGAGCAGCCACTCGGTATAAAGAAGTCGAAAACACCAACGAACTAATGGGCCGTGTAGTACAATCTGTTGTACTTTAGTAAGCTAATAGTGTAGGTAAAAGAAAATCAATGGAGGTAAGGAGCTGAGAGAAGCGGAGATGAAAACTCTAGTTTGCTTCGTCCCCGACAGATCGCAGAAACGACCTGCTTTGATTGAGGCTGAAAAGGAAAGTTTTAATACAATTCTGTGGCGGTTTTGGTGACATAAACACGTGATAGTAAATTTGTGTTATTACCCAAGCGCGTTTGTACTATCGTAGACAGACGAGGGTAGAAGTTCTAGTTTCTATCGCTTTCAATTTACTAGAAAACGAGAAAAACTCGGCGCGCGGCGGCCCCAGAATACGATCGATGTTACGTCCAAAATCGTAGAAGATAAACTAAAGTTAGAATGGGATAATTATAGGAAGGTAGATTGGTAGTTGTCAGATTTTTCTTGCCGTAGTTTCTGTCGCTGCTTGCTTAATCAGCTGGTCGTGTAGCACTAGGGCAGAAGTCCTGGCACGGAAAGAGGTGGACGATCGACCACTTGCGCGACCGTGGTACCCAGGACTACTTTCTTTGCTCTTTCGCGCGTCGCTTTCGAGGTTTTACAGTTTTTGGTCGTGAGGCGGAGGTAACTAATCGAAATAATTTTATCCTCTGTAAAAAAGTATACAAGTCCAAGGGCTTTAATATCTGAATGAAGCGCCTAATCGACGCATATCTCTTGTAAATCAATACTCATCTCGAGAATTAGCCCTCTTCAGAGGCATCGGCGGCGAGGTGGGCGACTGATTTGTACAGTCACTATTTCTGTTCTTTCCGGTACAGGAAAATGTTTCCTTTCATCAATGAATTTATCAACTGCTGAAACCGTGATACCGAGAAGAAGGCAAGGCCCTCACGAAAAAATTCTTGATGAGAATAGTAGCAGTGATGATTAAACTCATCCAAGTTTCCCACATTCATCAAGGTGGCGCTAAGTACAGAATATATCGGTTGAAATAAAAAGAAAAAGTGAAAACGAAGCGCCACAACCTCGTCTGCCGATCTGAATAAAAGAGCATCAAGATGAGTAAAAGGCCTCAGGTAAGATTCCGGTTTTCGTTGTGAGAATTTTCGAAAATAAAGAAATTATCATGACAGAGTCGAGAAACAAAGTGCTGTCAAAGTGTCGTACGCTGAGTGTCTGAGTAAAAAGCCATCGAAATTTTTGAAACAAATACAACAGTAGAGTTAGGCCACAATAAATCTAGAAGCTGGCCAACTGCTGTACTGCTACTGCTATAGTGCTCCTTAACGAGCTCCTACCACTTTCATTTACGACTTGGAGTTCGCTCCATTCTATTCAATTCTCGATTTACGACAAAGAACAAAATTGTACACACGCAGCCTAAGTGTATTTTTTCATAGAAAACTTCTTCAGCCGTCAACGTCAATTATTGCCCGTAGCTATGGTGCGATGAGATGAAAGGTAAACTTCTATCGCAGGAGCCATAGCAAGGACGTAGAGCCGAAGTTCGTTTTCGAGGAGCTAGTTAGTAGTAATGGAAATAGTAAAACCGAAAAGATCATAAAGCTTTGAGAATGGACACTGATGTCCACTGTGATAGATACTGTCGTTGACGACTGGGGGTGGTGCGCGCACCACTTCTTTCTAAAAAAACAATTTTACTGTCCAATAAAGCCCTGGAGGAGCAGCTCGATTTTTAACACTAGACGTCCTGTCAAGTGAGTAGCTGTCGTTCTGTTTGATACACTGACTAATATTTGCGTTTTTGGTTTCCCTTATAATTGTCGCGCTTTTCGCTTTGCGTACTTGTACTTGTGTCTTTTTTTTTCACTAAAAGACACATAGAGCAGATCAGGTGGAAATAAAGATAAGTCTAGGAATTCCGTTCGTTATAGAGAGGTTCTTTAGTAGTTGTCCAGGTAAAAAGTAGAATAAATTTAGCGTTTGTAAATCCAAGTCGTAAGACGTCCAAAGAAATCAATACCGACACTGACACCCACAATCGTAAAGTAATACTCTCTACTGTACTTTCGATAAAACTTTCTTTACAATCACTTCACATCTAATAAGAGCCTGTGAACTATCATTTTGATTTTTGAAGATGTTGACATCACCACACCAATGTCTGTAGTTCAAGATGTTGATAGCCCGGTATAGCTGGTCCTTTGGATTGCTGCGTTTTAACGCCCATCATGATTGCAAAATATAATCCAGGAGATCCACCGTCTAGTTCTTTTCATCCTTCCCAAGTAGTTTCATCACCATACCTTCCACCTGCGCCTACTACACGAACATTACTCCTTGTCTCTATTTCTGCTAAAGCGGCGCTGAAATCCGCTCTATTTCCACTGTCAATTTGATCTTGTTTGCCACACTGATGAAAACAAGAATATGTTGTAACCAGGACTAGATCTTCACAAGCATGTATGCAAGTGCAGCTCTTGGCCGCCTTTTTGTCAGCAAGGTAGGGAAAGGAAATATTAGAACTGATACCGCCAAAGAAAAAAAGTCGCAGCCGCTACCACCACACTTACGCCTACGCCATAGCATTAGCAATACCCAGATGTGGCAGAATATTAAGCATGATCTTGAGCCAATTGGAAACGCGGCTTCTCGTTTAGCAGGTCTAGATCTTCTTGATAGGTCTTCTCTCGTTCTCTGAACATCTCGTCGAGCACGTACCCTTGTTGCAAGTCAGGAGCATAATTGCTACAAATAATACGATTGCTGAACCTACTAGAACTGCCAGTTAAGCAGGAAATGATGAAAATCATAGCAAGCGAAAGAAACATTCTATACTTGAAAAGCGACAGTCCCTCCGATGGCACGATGGAATGGAGTTATGGAAGGTAAGAAATAGAAACAGCTTGTCTTTGTGGTCATGCGATTTACGTACCTTGCATCACAATTTCACATTGTGTAATCCGCATGACAAACTGTACTTCAGTTTTCTATTCATAAGTCGTCGAGAAACGTCATGACGTCGGTCCACAGCGTATGCCAGAAAAAAACTATGTTGGTGTAAGTCTGTGATGCAGAACATGCAAAAGAGTTACACTTGTCATGCTGGATCTGCGTCATAGGCTACTTCCATACATGTTTCCACGTACTAGCTGCGCACGACAGGTAGTTTTCCCTGTAAAAATGCAAAGCGAATTTGTGATGCTGCTCATCCTACAAAGTTACACTTACACAGTTTTTTTCTTGGATACAGCGAGTTCTCCATGTAATCCTTCAAGTTCACTTATGCAATACAAATTTCCTGTACATGTACAAAATGCATCACAAATTTCACCAACTTGGAGCATGCCACTTGTCATGCTGAATCGAATTAAAAGGAAGCTTTGTCATGCAGAAACCGCATTTGTACATGTACAGGAAATTTACTGTGGATATCACTTGCTTCTTCAGATCTTATCGCAGTGTGAATAAAGTAGAGTGGTTTTTCTTGTGACGATTCTCTGTTGCACATTTCGCACGAGGACAGACGTAGTGTGTCATGCGTGTTGACAAGCACCGCATCCTCGTCCACCTCCAAGCGTGGAGCGTTGCAAATTGGTAGTGCGTGACCCGCCCCATAGTTATGTACACGCTTTTACGCTCTCACTTGTCAAAATTTGCAGGAAAATAACCCGGTAGAGAAAAATGCGGCAAAGCGAAAGTACCCCGACTGACATGAAAAAAAAAACGCCACTCCTTTATTTGCACTTTCATACAGCGAATGTGGCGGACTTTCCTCCGGCGCCCAGTGCCTTATTCTTTGGAAAATTAATTTCACCAGAAATCTGTCATGCGCAAGTAGAACAATCGCAGCAGCAACTAGAGAACAGCAGAAGCTTTTTGTCGGATACCTTTTTCATGCGTTGCACAACAAGGGCAAAGTAAGAGGAGCCACGAATTTCGATCCTAAAAAAAGCAAAGTACTTCTTACTATACCTGCACTTGGCAATAGTAGTCCGTTTCCGCCCCTACTGGATCGGACAACATCAACTCGTCTATCGCCCAGGGCTGCACTACAGTATCCTGCGTAAAAGTATCGTACTCGTAGTAATCGCAGTCATGCAGCATTACAAATCTTCATCCAAAGGTAAAACAGCATTACAAATTCCATTTGTCATGCTGAGCTAATTTGTCAACATGCGATTTATACTAGTACGATACTTTTGCAGTTCATATACAGGCAGTTTCCGTTCCGTATTCATTTGTAGCATGCGCTGCTGCAAAATCTCTTTCAATCCGAAGAACCACAGATCTCTGGTTTCCCTTCCCGAAAACTGGAGCGACCGCTGTAAAAAGCCGCCACCCTGCTTCTCGTTCTTGATGTAGCTTCCCGTACCCGGCTTCCACCCGTCGAGCGAATTCGTGAGGTCTTCGAACGTCCTATGAGAGTTGTGCACAACCCCTTGCTCTTTCTCTTTTCGTTTGTTTTATGCAAAATAGCGAATCCGGGTCTACTCTTGCCTTTAAGCACTGCGCGCATGACAAGTTCTTGACGCCCCCGCCCAAAGCAGGAGGACTACAATCCGTGCCCGGACTTGTTGTCAGGCAGAAGCTATAATAGCCGCGGCATTCTTCATTGCTTCTGTTGCTGCTCATGCTAGACAAATGAGGCGCAGAGGGACGAGTTGTGCACTACTTTCATACGTCAAAATCGCCATTGGAAGTTTCGATGTGTTGTTTTCCGCTGCGAGGGAGTTTATGATCTGCTCCGGTTTGGTGCTTTGTTGGTCTGCTTTGTTTCCCTTCTGATTCATTTTGTTCTCTTCCTCGTCGTCGTCCGGTGTTGGGTTTTTTTCCTTCTGCGCGTGATCGCTTTTCTCCTTCTGCAGAAACCCGCTCGGGGGTAACGCCGCTGCGGCCGGGACGGAGAAGTCCTTGGGCCGGAGATTCTGCACGCACTTCAGCGGAATGCGGATTTCTTTCTTGTTCATCTCGGCTTTATTGTTATTTGCCCCAGTAGTGGCTGTGGCGGCAGCGGCCCCGCCGAATTCCAGGACGATGGCGTCCATTTTGTACGCAAGGCGAACAAACGCTTCGCGCTTGACAAGGTCATGGTTGGCACGGTGGATCACCGGGAACGCCTTGCAGAGCAGTTCGGGTTGGGGCCGAAGGTCCTCGGCGTGAACCAGGGTGGTTGGGGCGGTTGACATTTTGTTTTGATATTGATACGATGTCGTTATGGTTTATTCTGATCAATAGTACAATGTACGGGAATTTTGCGTCGTGTATGAATTCTGTGTAAAAACAGGAACGTCAACGCACACACCGTCTTCACCGGGAGTTCAAGAACAGGATCTTTAGACACTTCATTTCACACTCCAGCACTCATGGGTCGCTCAGGTAGATGATCCAAAACGGAGACGGACTATCTATGTTGGCTGCCCTCGGTCGCTCACCGCACTTGGCGCGATCTCTGAATTACCGTCCGTCCCTCCCCGCCTTCCGCACGGCATCACGGAGGGGAACCCCGAAAGACTGGCAACTCTTGACGCACGGACGAAAGAACAAGCATGCGCATTTGTTGTGCGGATGAGACTTCACCGCGGCCCAGAAGAGCCCGGTGGATGTAGCCATAGCACTATGAACTATGTCCCGGCGCGAGAGAAACCATAGTGGCATCTACCTCGCGGGGCGCTTGATATCGAAATGAAAAATACGAAACAAAGGCAGGCGCGGAACACGCCCCGGGGCGTTGTCAGGCTGCACACAGACAGAAACAAGCGGTCGCGCGCGTGCGAGGGCCCGCCGGGGCGCAGTCCCACATCAGGACACACACTGCAAGCAGAGGCGCGCCCTGTCCTGCCAGCCTGCAGAAGTGGCGGCGCGGGCGCGCCCGCGCGCCGGGAGGCGGGCCGGCACAACAAAACCGGGGCGGCGCTTCGTCCCATCGATCAATCTATCCTTCCTACCTGTGGAAGCGGCCGGGCTGCTCCATTCTTCCCGGGCAAATATTTACATACTCACTGACCCCCGGCATGAATGTGGCTGCCCACGCGCGCGCGCCCCACACCCACGAGAGGCGGGGCCGGCACGCGGCCAGGATCGGCGGGGGTCGCTCGGCCGTTGAACGCCGCCGGGGCAGGCGGCCACCCGGCGCGGGCAGAAAAAACAGACAACACAACCAGGCAGAGAGAGCCGGGAAGTGGCGGCCTGTCCGGTGCAAGCCCATCCAAGTGCGTTGTCTGGTTTGCAATCGTTCGGGCTAGGCGACTGGCCGCCGGAACCCCCGCCCGCCTGTCCGCGACGATCTTGCCTATGTTTGCGGGCTTGATGTCGCGGCGAAACGGGCCGGGCTAGGAATTCGGGCCGCGCCAAAGCGCCGCCCCGGCAAAGAGGCAAACGAGGAACACACGAACGCAAGGAAGCGGGCGGCCGCCCCGGGTGCCGCGACAAAATTGCCCGCCTTGGCCATCGCCATGGCCTTGCCCTGCCTCTGTCGGCTCTCTTCCCCGCCCTTGTAGTTTGGGCGGTCCGCCTCGAACGAGGCCCACGTCCCACAGAACACAAGCAGTGGCCAGCACTCGACTTGGATTCTCCCAAACGCGCGCCCGCCGGGCCATCCGGCAAGCGGCATGGGCCAAACTTGCGAAGGCGGGGGGGTGAGGCGGTCGAATAACGTAACCCGCCGCCGGCCGCCCGGCAAACAATAGCGGCGCGCGCCGCGCCTATGTTTACGGCCCGTCTGCCTCTCGGGGAAAGTGGCCCCCCGCCCCCCAAGCGGCCCCCCAAAGGCCTGCGCGCCTTGCGCCGAGCTCGGTACGGCTCGCCAGCCGCCGCCCCACGCACTGCATTACCCTGCTAGGCAAGCGCCTGCGCGAGGCCTGTGGGCCCTGTTCCGATAGGGCGGGACGCCGGACGGAGAGCACCTCCCTGGCTATCGGGCCCAGAAGTCCCGCGCCCGCGGGGCCTCAACACGGGCGACATTGGTCAAGCAGCGCCGCCGGTCACTCCTCCGACTATGTGCCCCCTGCCGAGGCACTGACGCCATCGGCCGTCCGTCGGGATGCTCGGCCGCAGGGGCTTTCTGACTGTAAACTGCGGCGCAGGGGGCCACTCTGTCGGCCATCTGTCATCAAATACACTACCCAGGCAAGAACTCTTGGACAGGCGTGCAGCCGCCCTCGATCTTTATTGTTTTGCTTCAAGATGAAGAACAAGAAGCCCCGAACACTCCCGGCGTGATAGTGAAGCCTGTCACTCCAAAATTAGATTGATTCAACCCCAAAGGAGGAGGTTCAACGTCAGGCTGCTCAGGAGGCAAGTTGCCATTGCTCGACCATATCCACAGCTGTTGAGTGGAAAGCTACTGGTTTATTGAAAAACGATGGCACTACATCAGAGCACAGCATGGCCACACGAGGACCACCCTCACGAACTTCTTGTGGCCAGCACACGCTTTATCCACATCCACGGATCATTAGATTTCAATTTTTCCCCACAACTTGATGCTGCTTCACCTTGCTCTTTGTCCCTCATCACAGCCTCGTCCTTCCCAACATCCAAACCATCACCAGCTACAGGTGATCCCGGCGACGGCAAGGTTAAATCCACCGGTTTCCCGTCAATCTCCACGTAATCCAGGCGTGGGCCCGATGTTGTTGAAGATGATGAAGTTGCAGCTCCCGGAAGACGAGCAGGATGTTGATCCACAATATCCACGTCGTTATCAATCCGCGCGTAAAAATCCACCAACGGGATCATGTATGCATTACAAAAGCATCGCGCTAGTAGTGATTGCATGACAACCTATTTTCTCAGCATGACAAGTCACGCAGATTTCACTTGAGAATGAGAAGCAGCTTTGTCATGCATGCGTGATTGCGATTACTAGCAGTACGATGCTTTTGCGATGCATATCAACTTCGGCACCGCCACCGCTAGCGCTTTTGCCGCCGTCCGGGCCCGCGCCGGGGGCACGACTCGCCCCGTTTCCTTCGCGCGTTTCTTCAAGCGGTTCGCGATAATTTCGTCGCTGGCGGTGATGGCCAAAATCGCAATTTTGTACTGCGGGTAGTTTTGCCGGATGTACGCGATTTTCTTCGTGTAAAATTCGTAGTTGTGCAAAGACCCGTCGACCCAAAGGGTCAAGTTTTGCTTCATCGCCACTTCCTGCGCAATTTCCGCGATGTACCCGGATTCCTTGTGGCACAAAGTTCCGGCCTGCCGGAGGGACTGCTTCAGGTACTGTTTCCACTCGGGCATCAGCGTTTTGAAGTGGTCCGGATCGATCTTGCTGATGGATTCCAGTTATGCAAGAACGCAAAAGCATCGTACTCGTATTGAAATCATGCATTACAAATCCTGTTCTTAAGGCAAATTAGCATTACAAATTTCATTTCTCATACATACTGAGGAAATTTGTAATGCATTTATACGACGAGTAGGAGAACGATACTTTTGCATTGCATACCAGTGGCAGGATGTTTTTGCTACTCATCCAGCCCAAGACCCACCCCTTCCCGTATGGAGCTCTCAAACGTTACACTCTCGACTTTTACATGAATTTGTCATGCAAAAGCACCATCATCATCCGCGCGATCAAGCTGCTTCGCATGACAAATTTGCCTAGGGCTAGACAGCACCTAAATCTGTGCGGGATTTGTAATGCTGCAGGCGTAATCTCCCCCATTTCACTTTTCCCATTCTTGCGTCACAAATCCATGTAACAGTTGAGAATGTAATACGTTGAGAACGCCATATCCCGCTCCCCATCGACCCGCACGTTAGGATGAGCCAGGGACGGTTACTCTGGTAAGTCGGGGAGGTAGAACGTTTTCGGAGTAACACCGGCGAGAAATGCTGTTGGGGATTTGTGTTTGATGCAGTTGGTGTAGTCACGACTCCTGCAGATGAACCACCAGAAGCGGAATTTGTCATGCTGTTGTCTGTTGTTCCGTAGTACAGCAGTCCATTGCTGTTGCTGTTCAGCAACACAGATTTCCGGATGCAGTTGTCCTGCCAGTGCTGTCTCGATTCGCAGTAAGCGCCATGGTAACTGTAGTCCATTAGCGTTTGCCGAATCTGTTTGAACGGTCCGACAAATTTGTTTGTATTTGTTTTATTCCCTCCTGGAGGAACATTGTCGCTGTCATGCGGCACCGAGTAGTTTTCCTCGGTTGATTTGCTGAAGTCGTAATTCTCCGGAATTGTGTAGTCGTTTTTCGAGATGGTTTATCCAGGAAAAAACACCCATCCCCATCCAATTTGTCATGCAAAACATGCATAAGCCCTTTTGTTTGTCATGCAAAAAATGGATGGGGATGAGTGCTTTTTCCTGGATATGGTTCGGGCAAACGACGGCCGCATCTTGCTTGCGGTGCTTCCGAGAAGGTCGTCATCTACAAGAACTTCATAGTGTGAAGTGTCGAGAGGATGATCATCCGCACTGCTTCTCCTCCCAGGGAGGTCGCCTGCAAAATCCTCGTTGTCGTGCAGCAGGAGGTTATTATGGCTTCGTTGATCAAACTGCTGCATCATTGTAGTGCCGGTACTAGCTGCAGCGCCGCTGTCTTCGTCCTCATGCACCGAGCTGTTGCAAATTGAAAAATCGTCCGTGTCGGAATCAAACGGCTGGTGGTCCAAGGCTATCGTCGTCGCTGTCGGTGCGTCTTTGCTCACACTTCTACTCGGCGCGTCGTGGGAAGCTGAAGTAGGGAGGTGGTCGAGGATTTCATGTTCTGGCGCGGGCGGTGGGGAGAGGCCGGGATGATCTTGGCCCGCACCAGAACATAGCTGATCATGCTGAGCATGATCAGCTATGTTGCTGTGTGGGCCTTCATTAGTTTCTGACACTGTTTCCGAGGATCTTCCAGAACTGCCCCTGCTGCAGCTGCTGGTCTCGCTTTGATAATGTTCCTTGTCAAACAAGGTTGTGTGGTAAACAATTTCGTGAACCAACATCCTCAAGTACGGGGTCGTTTCGACAGCCCTGCAGAACGAATCCATGTAGATTTTCGGCTCGTCAGCGTGGTCGCTGGTTCCGCTTCTACCAGCGGGAGCAGGAGGAGGATAACTACTTGCTTCGTCCATCCCAAATTTCCCCACGATCCGGTTCAGTTCTGATTCATTTAGCTCCACCTGCACCAACCCGAATTTCGGATCAATCAGGCGTTTAAACTCCGATTTATGCATTGCAAAAGTTAGTATCGCAGTCATGCATTACAAATTTTCTTCTTAGGGTAAATCTGCATCACAAATTTTAATATTTCTCATGCTGAGGAAATTTGTAATGCATTTCTACGAGTGCGATACTTTTACTTTTGCAATGCATACGATCTCGTCAAGAACGCTTCTTCACTGTGATCAAACTTGCACAACCGGCGCATCTATCAAATGTAAAAATGTCTGGGTCTGGAAACTTGTGATGCTAAACTGCGCATGATTGAAGCGCTTCCAATGGCAGCCAAGCATGACAAGTTTTTGAGAGGCCTGCTGATGCCTAGCACGCATTACAAATTGCGTTTTTGCATGACAAAGAAAGCCTCTGTTTTGCTGCTCATGCAACACAGATTTTCAAGGAATGCATGACACGCATTACAAGTTCCACTTTTCCAGACCCAGACATTTTTACATTTGATAGCATCCGTTGGAAAGCTAACCGGGATTCCTCTTCCTGTTGGCTCAAGGTGCGGGTGATAGTAAACTCTTCATCCGCGAAGGGGGGCAACGGGGGCGGTGGCGGTTTGGGCGGTGGCGGTGGTTGGTCCTCATGAGCTACAGGATTATTTGCTGTCAATACGTCGACTGTAAGCGTACCGTCGGCTGTCGTTGGAGATGAAGTCGCTGCAGCTGGCGGAGGCGATGCAGTAGACGGTATGTTTTCCATTTCGGTGCTGGTCGGACTAGAATTAGTGTTCTGCTTGTTGCTTAGGTCGTCCCACGCCGGAGAGTTGGAAGATGAAGGTCCGTTTTTTCTTGCTCCGCCACTCGATGAGGACGAAGAACCCGTAGTCGTTTTAGCACACATGATTTTAGTACTTTGCACCGTCGACAAATACCGAGGATGCTGCGGGACAACGTGCGCGGCTGCGGCTGGCCTTCTGCTAGAAGTAGACCACAATATTTTCCGTCTTCTTGCAGCTAGTAATGCACCCACGGAGCTGCAGGACGTGGACGACGCAGCAGATGCTCCGACGTTTATAATTTTTGCTCCGCCTCGCACCGCCGTCGTAGCGACGCTCTTGAACATTTTTGTTCATCACATGGTAGTTGAAAAGAAGTCGTGTCGTCTTCTGCTTGCATCAAGAGGAGATGCAGCCAAAAAGACAACTTGTGAAAGTAGCACGCGGCACCAGTCGCGGTTGCAAACGAAAAAACCCGGTAATCTTTTTGGTTTTCATCCACTAGTACTTCTCGCAGAGGCAGATGCGGGACCAAAGAGGTAGTGGAGCTCCTGGAGAAAACAACTCTCATCTCTTTATTTTCCTGTCGTCCGCGTAAGTTCTTTCGGGCATGACGGCTTAGACACGCAAAAAAAAAAGAGACCCTGAGGCTGTGAGACCCAAACCAGCGAAACACGACGGCAGCGTGGTTTTTTTGTGTTTCGAATGACGGGAAAAAAATAAGCATACCGTCGTGATTTCGATTTGTGTGTTTTTTTGGGGGATCCGCCCGTTCCCCGGGGATCCGCCCGTTGCCCGGGGATCCGCCTTCGCCCAGGGGATCCGCCCGCTCCCCGGGGATCCGCCTTCGCCCAGGGGATCCGCCCGCTTCCCGGGGATCCGCCTTCCCCCAGGGGATCCGCCCGCTCCCCGGGGATCCGCCTTCCCCCAGGGGATCCGCCCGCTCCCCGGGGATCCGCCTTCCCCCAGGGGATCCGCCTTCGCCCAGGGGATCCGCCCGCTCCCCGGGGACCCGCCCGTTCCCCGGGGATCCGCCTTCGCCCAGGGGATCCGCCGGCCCGCTACTCGGGGATCCGCCTTCGCCCAGGAGCCCGCCCATTCCCCGGGGATCCGGGTTCGCGCAGGGGATCCGCCCGCTCCCCGGGGAGTCGCCTTCGCGCAGGGAATCCCTCCGCCCATTCCCCGGGGATCCGCCCGCTCCCCGGGGATCCGCCTTCCCCCAGGGGATCCGCCCGCTCCCCGAGGATCCGCCTTCGCCCAGGGGATCCGCCCGTTACTCGGGGATCCGCCCGGCTCCCCGGGGATCCGCCCGTTCCCCGGGGATCCGCCCGCGCCCCGAGGATCCGCCCGCTTCCCGGGGATCCGCCTTCGCCCGGGGGATCCGCCTTCGCCAAGGGGATCCGCCCGTTACTCGGGGATCCGCCCGTTCCCCGGGGGTCCGCCCGCTTCCCGGGGATCCGCCCGCGCCCCGAGGATCCGCCCGCTTCCCGGGGATCCGCCTTCGCCCGGGGGATCCACCCTCGCCCCCGGGGGGTCCGCCCTCGCTTCGGGGGGTCCGCCCTTTCCCCGGGGAAATCCTCCCGGCTGGGGTAGTGCGTACCACGGGAGAACGGGCTCCGGAGGAATCCTCTCCGGAATCCCCTCCCGAAATCGACGTTGTGCCGCCGGGGAAAGACCGCGAAGGACGGCGCCAATCCGGTCAGTGGATTCCGGAGAGGATTTCGGAATCCTCTCCGGAATCCTCTGTGGAATCCTCCTCCGAAATCGAGGTCGTGCCGTCGGGGAAAGGGCGCCAAAGACGGCTCAACTTGGGCCAGAGGATTCCGGAGAGGATTTGGGAATCCTCTCCGGAATCCTCTGCGGAATCCTCCCCCGAAATCGAGGCCGTGCCGTCGGGGAAAGGGCGCCAAAGACGGCTCGACTTGGGCCAGAGGATTCCGGCGAGGAAAGGGCGCGAAACACGGCTCAACTTGGGCCAGAGGATTCCGGAGAGGATTTTGGAATCCTCTCCGGAATCCTCTGTGGAATCCTCCCCCGAAATCGAGGTCGTGCCGTCGGGAAAAGGGCGCGAAAGACGGCTCAACTTGGGCCAGAGGATTCCGGAGAGGATTTTGGAATCACTCTCCGGAATCCTCGGTGGAATCCTCCCCCGAAATCGAGGGAGTGCCGTCGGGGAAAGGGCGCCAAAGACGGGCCAACTTGGGCCAGGGGATTCCGGAGAGGATTTTGGAATCCTCTCCGGAATCCTCTGTGGAATCCTCCCCCGAAATCGAGGCAGTGCCGTCGGGGAAACAAAGGGCGCGAAACACGGCTCAACTTGGGCCAGAGGATTCCGGAGAGGATTTTGGAATCCTCTCCGGCATCCTCTGTGGAATCCTCTCCCGAAATCGAGGGCGTGCCGTCGGGAAAAGGGCGCGAAAGACGGCTCAACTTGGGCCAGAGGATTCCGGAGGGGCTTCCGGAATCCCCTCCGGAATCCTCCGTGGAAAATGTGCGCCGGTTTGCCGGGGCCGCCAGGTTGCTCGCAATCCGCAGCAGACTGTGGCGATTTAAGCACACGAGACGCCAACACAGACGCGGCGCGGTTGTGTACACAAACAGCAGCGGAGTCCATGCGCGCGCCGCCTTTTCGGTTGCATTGCGACACACTTTAGCACGACCTAAGCCGAAGGTTTTCCGGGAAACCTTAAACGACGTTTCCCGAGCGGAATCCATTGATTTCTGGGTCTCACAGCGTCATATTCTCAAAAAAAAATCGTTGCAGTAGTAGATCAGAGGCGCGACGCCAAGGGCTGAATTACATAGTCACAAGCTCATTCGTTCTCTGGTGCTCTCTCGCTACGTTTTTTTTGTTTGATCGGAAAAAAATGAAGTTCTAGCATTAAAGTTTGTTCGCGCAACAGGTGGTTGGGAATGTGCTTACTTTCAGCTTGTTTGAAGTTCTTTTTTGTCTATTCGGATCGTGTAGTAGATGCTCAAGTTACAACAGATGCACTGCAGCGGGGGACGAGAGGACAAACATAGCGGCACTGGATGTTTTAGTTTTTCCCCCGATGAATAAACACGAAGCAAATTATGCGGCTTGTTGGAGGTGGTGGCCGTGGCTTTCGTACCATAGCAACACACTAGCTGTGAATATATCACCTTGATATCGCAGCTCTCTCAACAGTGTCCTCTTCGTCAGGACCTGGTCCTGGTCACCAGGAGCATTGACTTCATTAGAACAGCACCGCGCCATGATAGTATTTAATGCTCAACACTTTTTTGATGTTGAGTCTGGTCTCGTGTCTGTGCCACTCACGTAAGTTTATGTTTAGGTAGGGACTGCACGACACAAGTTGCTTTCCTTGATATGGTCGTATGTAAAGCATTCGTCGCCAAGGAAACCTCAAATTTCCGTCTTTCTAGCGACAGTATGTCGCCATCGTTTTCTTTTTCAGTAAAACCATATTAAGTGCTGACTGATGTCTATCGGCGTGGGTCCCATGAGATCCTGCCTCCATATGGGTCTCCCTGTGCATGTGCTAGTCGTCGTTAATATCCCAACCACGTGGCTTTTTTTTTTATAGTTTATTTAGGTTTTTTATTTTTTTACAGACAACGTAAAATAGTAATAGACGACTTTTCGCCAAGAACCTCCTGTAGCTGCACACAAATCATACACAGTGTTAATGGTAAGTCGAAACATGTTCAGGATTTTTTGTATGTATCCACAGTTGTACTTGTATAGCATGTAGGGAAGCACTGCCTGGCGCTGCAGCACCAGATATACTTTGGCACGTCCGCAGCAGCCTGGAAGTATTCTCCTCCATTTTATCTGATAGTGCGTTCATTTTTCTCTTTACGCTCTTGTTCTTCTTATTCTATGCAGTGGCGCACAGAGGAATATTTCATTTTCAGATTTTCATGTGGCGCAAGGAAATACTAAAATGAGGAAAAAAAAGCAATCTTAAAATATAAATAGTAGCTTCAGCGCATGCCTATCGCCCCGTCCCCCCGTAGTTGCAGCTCCTTCCCTCCATACTAGTACTATCCCCGGTTGTAAAGCCAAAAGCGACTTTCCGTCAATTCATGCACCGCGGCAGCCCTCTACTTCCTCTCCAGTATTTCTATTGCATAGGTAAATCGGCTTATCGGCATGTTTAGAAACTCCTCGCGCAATAGAGTCGCTCCCGGTCCAAAACGGCTTGCGTGTTTTCCTCATTCAAGTTGCCACCAAGCCCGTACTATGCATTGCAAATATGTCTGGGTCTGGAAGGTTGCAACTTGTCATGCTAATTCTGGATAGTGCAAAAATCTGCGTTGCATGAATACCAAAAGCTACAGCGCACTTTTCACCAAGCTGAGAGGGAGTTTCTCATGCAGACGAGGCATGATAGAGGTCGGACAGAATTTGTCATGCTGGGTCATGTATGACAGCCCTCACGTGTCATGGAAAACCTGCATGACAAGTCTTCCAACCTTCCAGACCCAGACATATTTGCATTTGATACGTACACTGGAGGCTCGGTAAACATGATTTCCGTCCGGATCTGGGGGGTCGATGTTATGAATTGCAAAAGTATCGTACTCATAGTAATCGCAATTATGCATGATAAATCTTCTCTCCAAGGTAAAACAGCATGACAAATATCATGTGTCATGCTCAGCTAATTTGTATTGCAATACTACGAGTACGATACTTTTGCACAGGATAGATGTAGTTGTGGCATCATTTTTACCACCACCACCTGCAGCTTCATGATGTTGTTCAACATCCGTACGGGAAGTAGTACTAGCACCTTGTTCTGTCATGACCCTCACCACTCGTATCCGTATCCGACTTTTCAAGGATTTGAAAAGCAGGTAAAGCCCCACAAACTGTATGAACTGCAAACGTATCGTATTCGTGTAAATGCATGACAAATTCCCTCAGCATGAGAAATAAAATTTGTAATGCGGATTTACCTTTAAAAAAAAAATTTGTAATGCATGATTGCAATACGAGTACGATACTTTTGCACAGGATAAACTGCCCGTTTTGGCGATTGAACGTCAACCCGAGATGCATGGTTATCGGCTGGCCCGTATCAACTGCAAAAGTATCTGGGTCTGGAAGGACGCAAGTTTGTCATGCTTGACTCACATGAGTCTTAAACCTGCAATGCGTGAGCAGGAAAACAAGAGCCTCCTGCCTGTCATGCAAAAATGTAGTTTGTCATGCGGAAAGCGAAACACAAAGGCGCCCAGAAACTTGCCATGCGTGGCTGCCTATAGCAGTGTCCCCACAATTCATGAATTAGCATCACAAATTTCCAGACCCAGACATTTTTGCATTTGATAGCCCGACCTCGGCTCACTAAAGGGTTGGCCGTTGGTCATCACGATCTCGTCCAAAGTTTCTTTTTCTAGTTGCACACCCAGATTTATCTTCACTGGTTGTGGTTGTGCGCCGGTACTGGTGGGGTATTGCTGTCCTCGTGGATGCTGGAGTAGGTTTTGATGTTCTGGTGGTAGCTGTAGCGCAAATCCAGCAGGACGACCACTTGTTGTACCAAGACCATCGATCCCGTAGTTCTGGGGTGCTACCACTGCTCCCGTGATGGGGTCGAGGAAGACCATCTGCGGCGGATATTGGTATTGCGCTTGCAGTAGTTGTGCAGCTCCTCGCATGACTGCACTATTGTCATGCATCGCTAGCGTGCGTGTGGCCGCGGCGGCTTTGCCGGGGGTGATCAAGGAAAGCCGCAACTGCCGCGGCCTCGCCGGGTCGTTGGAGGGGGTCATTTGGAAAAAATCCAGGGCCGCCTGCTCCCGATTCTCGCATTCCTCGGAGAAAAAGACGTCTTTCAACAAGTTCTCAAAGATTTTTTTCCGCACCGCGTAGTCCGTACCGATAATTTTCTCCTGGTTTATTCTAGTCGCCTTCCTGCGCCGCCGGTCCCCGATTTCGGTTTTGATGTACAGCACGTCTTGGGATTTGTCAAACAAACGCTGCAGAAACTTGTTCATTTTCTCCACCGATAATGGGAGCGCGAGCCGCTTCCTGATTTCTCGGTACAAAGCCGTGTCCTTCTCAAACCGGCGCTGCGTTTCGTGGAGCTTCCACTGGCGCATATCTTGAAAGGCTCGGGAAGACTCGTGTTCGGCTGCCTCCTCGTCGGCGATATCAAAGTCCGTTACGCCATGCAATTTCTCCACCGCCCAATCAGGGAGGGGGGACCAGTACCCGCGGCCCCCTTTGGCTCTCGAAAGTTGCATCTTTTCGCGGAAGTCTTGCGTGAGGGAGGATAGTGCTTGAGTAGGACGACCACTTCTTGCACGACCTCCGCTCATTGTACTACTGGGACCCCCTCCACCCGCCTCGCGACGGTCGGCAAATTGATTTTGTCCACCAGGTGGTGTTCCTGCGGAGGACACAGATTCTGCAACTCCTGGCCGGCGCGGCGCAGCCCACGCAGTGTGGCCCGACGAGGAGGTGGATGACGACGACCAGGGATTATCGGAAGGAGATAGACTTCCGTGGAAGTGACCCGCTGCGGTATCAAATGTAAAAATGTCTGGGTCTGGAAACTTGTGATGCTGAATTGCGCATGATTGAAGCGCTTCCAATGGTAGCCAAGCATGACAAGTTTTTGAGAGGCCTGCTGATGCCTAGCACGCATTACAAATTGCGTTTTTGCATGACACAGAAAGCCTCTGTTTTGCTGCTCATGCAACACAGATTTTCCAGGAATGCATGACACGCATTACAAGTTCAACTTTTCCAGACCCAGACACTTTTGCAGTTGATATGCGGACGAACTTGACGTTTCAGTGATGCTCTGGGATGGTGCGCTTCTTCCTCCAAGCTGGTCCTCGTTTAAAATTCCGTTAGTTCTTTCCGCATGTGGAAGTTGATCTAAATCTACTTCATTCGGGTAGGATAACAACAGTTGGTTCACCAGGGGCCAAATGCCCTCATCGTGTTCTTTTTTCATCTCCTTCCTCAACTTTTCCGGCCATTCCGCGTTTCCGCTCTTCAAAGCTGCGGCAAAATTCGCGTTGTCGACCGGGAAGTTACGGAGAAATTCGTGCACGGTGGCGACAAATTCGGGGGTGTGGAAAAATTCCTCTTCTACCCCTGGCGGGGTACTCGAGGACCCCGTGGAGTCAGCCTCAGGAGAGGACTTCTCGGCATTCATCTCGCTAGCCGGTAGGTCTTGAGGAGGTACTAAATCTTCCTGTAGCTGCACGCGGGCGTGCGGTATGAAAGAGCCGGCGCCGGGTTTGAACTTGAAATAGCTCGGTGGAGGTACGGAAGACATATTCATCATCTGCACACCTAGTACACCTGAAGTAGGCGTCGACTGCTCCGCTGTAGTTGTCGTGCTGGCCAGCACCTCAGAAGCTGCAGTGTGGTTTCCTCGTTCGCCGCGCAGGCGCAGCGCCGGTTGTTCCGGAATCGGAAATGATACAGCGGTGGTACTGGTACGAGAAGAAGACGCCCCCGGGCCAACATCAGCACCTCCACTCGATAAAACATTAAACGCAGGAGGTGCAGCTTGTCGTAGTCCTCGTGGTCCTGCTTTCTTATCGGAGATGGTGACGGTTTCTTTTCGTGCACCAGCAGCAGGAGCTCCAAAGAATGATGTGGCATCTGCGCCCCTCCTTGCACTACTACTCGCACTCGCACCAACATCTACTACTTCCAGCTGATCTTGCTTTGGTGTCGTAGCAGGAGGTGCAGGACTAGAAATGGTATTGTTGAGCCTAGTAGATGTAGAACGACTAGGACTTATGTTGGTGGACGACGACGAGGACGACCCACTGGTGGGCGCAGCTTTTGCTTTGTCACTATCCCATCTACTACCTTTGTAGTTGTTCTGTAGACCGGATGAAGATGTTCTTGCTGGTCGTTCTTCTTTTATTCTGGTGATTCTTCGACGTGCCGCATCCAATTCTTTCTTTATTCCCTCTCTCTTCCAGGGCTTGTTCCTAACAGGCGATGGAGCTGGTGCGCGAGGCAGCTGCGCACGTTTAGAAGTAGTACTCTTCTTCGCAGTAGACGAAGCACCACCTCCGGCTTGACGTGCAACTGTTTCTAAGCTTGGAAAATCGTCGGGACTTTGGAGCTGAAAGGTCACGGTACGTCGTCGAGGATCAGGGCCAAGATCATGATGTACTTCATGACCCCCTCCTAGTACAACGTGGGGGCCAGTATTGTGTTGAGCAGGAAGATCTTCTTCTATTTTGAAAATTGGAGGCCGCGGATCCACCAGGTCAATATCATCTGTGCGACGAAAATGAAATGAGGTGTCAGGTGCCGTTGCCGAAGAGTTGTAGACAACTTCCGCTATGTGAGAATAGAACCTGGTGTTGTTCTCCGCTGCGTCATTGTCCACGTTGTGGAACAAATCAATTTCATGTGCATTTTGAGGTCCCTCTCGCGAAGATCTTGTTCCTGAATGAAGATCATTCGTGGTACTAAAAACTGTGTCATTGTTTCCGGCTGAAACATCGTCAGCTACAGGAGGATCATCAGCATCACGTCGAGAGGACCTTGTCGTCTTTGCAGCCTCCGCGCACCAGGTCGATGTTGAAAACGACGCGTTGCCGTTGCCGCCGTGGTTGCCGAAAATCGACGTAGTATTAACTTTCCCCTCGCCGGAGAGGAAAAAGTTGTAGAGGTAAGCCGCCAAAAATGAACGCAGTTTCAACATCTTGGCTTTTTGTTTTCCTTTTTCAGGTCGTGGCCGTGGGAGAAATAATGTATGAAGTAGGCTTTTACTAATGGCTAAATTTCGATCATGAAATTCAAATTCAGAGTTAAACACCCACGAAGTGAAAGGGTGCAGCTCCACCTACAACGGCTTTTCAAAAATTTAAATCCAAATAGTCGAACAAAAAATATAAAACATCAATGTCGTGGAAAATTCCTATATGCGATTCTTGCGTAGAAGTTCAATGATTATGATATGAAAGAGAAGAAAACGTACTTGATCTCAGTCTCCTGTTTCTTGAAGGAGACACAGCCTCTCGTAAAAATGTACAGTATTCGTATATTGAGAGGTTCTGGTGGCATGCGCTCTTTCATCAATCAGGGCTATGAGTATGAGTACGTACTTTTGACCGTATCATATACTTTCTTGACGTGATGCGATGTATCACGCACAGAGTCGACGTCGAGCGGAGTATGAGCAACAATACTTCTGCTGCCGACAGGTACTAAAGTTGATGATCCCGTTCGTCATGTTGATCAGTTCTCCCGCTGGAGCGTGCGACTGTAGTACGTTAGAGAGATCCTTCTAGACCACAGTCGCATAATGGACCTTGACCTTCTAGCTGCCGCATGACAGCACTATACACTACACAGGACCTTCGTCACCTTCTTCTTGATGATCTGCATCTGATGTTCACGAACACAAAGCGGTGCAAAGCTGAGTCCCGAGAAGAACGCGTGCTAGAAGTTGTGTACTCTTTTGGCTCACGGTTTTTTTTTTCATTTCCTGCGAAAGAACGAAGGTTGTGTCGTGCACAAAAAAGCTGTGCGAGATTGCGAAGATTTGGCTCTCCTTCTTTTTTACTTCTATCTTCGAGCAAACTTCTGAGTTCGAATTGTCTAACAAACTATGATGACAAAAACAACTTTATTAAAACAGGTAGTCTATCTTGACAATTTACAAGGAAAAATGTCTTGTCGCTTTGAATGTCGGTGTCGTTGTATTGAAAATAAGTAGTTACATCGCTTGATTTGTACGAAAAAAAGAATCACTATCGCGATCCCCGCTGTTAAAAGTAGAGCCACCTTTGTTAATAGGCCCTGCTTTCACAGTAGACTCGTTCGTGTTGCAGCAGCGCTTTCCACAGGGACGGTCATCTTCACGTACACGTAAGTACTGCAAAAATAAAAAAGATACATCGCACCGGGATTACACTAGCACCTCCAGCATCCGGTGCCAAGCAGAGCAGATAATATCATTTGATTTATAGAGCAGCAAAACAAGACCACTGGGTCGTTCTGGAAACTCATCGCGACAAATAAGATGAAAGCATCAACAGCTTCTCCGCGTAGTTCCATACGTGCTGGAGTAAGTTCATTTTTTTCGTAGTTGAAAAAGAAAAAGCAAAAAAATCATATAGATGCTGAGTCGAAGTACAACTTGGACCCAACTCTATAGTTTACGCTAGTTAGTATAGTCGTCGTAGCGGGTACAACGCTCACGTGGTTTCAATATTGCTATCATATACACTGTCGGTTCAATATCTCCAAGACAATCCTCCGCGCCGCACCCTCACTTGGTTCTTTACGAAGAGACCCCGATCAGGGAGCCGGCGATACAGACTTGGACGAAGCCCGCGAGCAGAAATTTGTAGTTTCTTTCTCCCTCGATCTCCCCAAAGACCGCCGCACCCCAGATCAACGCGACCAGCCCCGCGAAGGAAGGCACTAGGGGATAGGCGATCACGAATCCCAACGTGTCATTCGCGATAAACCAGCAAATCTGGCCGAGACCCCAGATCACGCCGGAGAGGAAACCGGGAAGGATGGTGCGGGGAGACACGTAGGCCGGTTGGTTCTTGGAAACGCAGCAATAGATCAACCTGTAATTTGGATGGATTTGGTATTTGCTATGGTACTAGGCCGATGAGGATCCTCGATGAAGAACATGATGATGCTATTCAGTTTTTGCGGTTTGGCATGAAAAATGTGCATCACAGCTTGTCCTTGTCACCCTAATTAGCATGGAAAAATTCTAAGTAGACTCAGAAAATCTTATGCTAGTATATGACCTGCTCAAACGTTAACGTTACAATCTCAAACGTTACAATAGAATTCGAAAATCTGTGATGCAAGAAGTGCATGATCTAGCCAAGTCTCATACGACTGCGCATGACAAGTTCCGGAGTCCCAAACCGCACTACAATCTGCCGAAATTTGTGTTGCAGAAAGTGGAGTGGTCTGCGAGTCTGTCATGCTCATTATGCAAGACAAAATCCAGATTCTATTGTAACGTTTGAGATTGTAACGTTTGAGCAGGCCATATAGTAGATTACATTGCGATCGTCGACATGACGAAAATTCCCGTGTAGTGCCAGAAAATGTAGTATCCACAGAAAATGATTTACCGTGCACGCACGACGTGCATGCCCGCATGACAAATCCCTTGTCGTATCTTATTCACGCATGACAAGTTCAATTTGTGCTTCTTGCCTTATGATCAATTAATGCATTTTGGACGTCGTCCTCGTCGTGTACAGTAAATCAATTTGTATTGCGTATGTAGCTGAGGATGTTTTGCGGCGCTCCGGGATAGCGGTCCATCACGTAAAAAACCGGGTTGAAGGTGACACCGTAGAGTAGCCCGCTACACAGACAGAGGATGAAACCTTGAAAAAAAATTTTGTCGTACGTGACTACGCATGTCAAGCAGGCACCACAATTGCAATGCATGGACCTCGTCCTGCTGGCCAGGATACATCATGATCTGCTCAGAAGTTGTACTGTAAAAAAACCATCTTGATGCACCAAACAGATGATAGGAAAAACAAAATTCCTACCGACAAAGCGTTCCTTAGACGCTTCCCACCATTCGTCCATTCGTTTCGACGCCATGGACTTCCGGTTCCCATTATTCGCCCCAGCACCTTCGCACTCCGACACCACGGCGCCCAGTGCGTGGTCCAAGTTCTTCTTGACTCCGTCGTGATTGTTCACGGCGCTGCCATATGCATTGCAAATATGTCTGAGTGTGAAAACAGAAACTTGTGATGCTAATCTATGAATTGTGGGACACTGCAATATCATGCAGGCACGCATGACAATTCGCTGGGCTCCTTTGTGTTTCGCTTTCCGCATGACAAACTACATTTTTGCATGACAGGCAAGAGCAGGCTCTTCTCCTGCTCACGCATTACAGGTTCAAGAGTCATCTGAGACAAGCATGACAAACTTGCATTCTTCCTGACCCAGACATCTTTGCAATGCATATACCACTGACATTGTTCCCCGACGGGGGGGCGGTGCCTAAGAACGAGCCGGCGATATGGAGCCCTCAGGTTTGAAATTCTCTGTGATGCATAAAACGCGACTCAGGAAGTGACTGCATTGCAGAGGACGTACTGGGGACTGACTATTGTCCTGCTATGGGTTAAGAATTGGGCTGCTAATTCGCATGACAGATGAGTACCCCTTTGCACTCAACAGCATGACAGACATGCTTCAATAAGTGCGCGGGAAATTTGTCATGCGCGGACTACAAATGGGGCGTCAACTGGGCTCGCTTTCCTGCATTACAGATTATTTCAACTTTGAGAATTTCATCGAGCCTGAGGCTTTCATAAGCGACCGGGCACGCGGACGCGCAAAACGTGTTCGGGTGGAATATGGCATTCTCAAACGTTACATTCTCAACTACATAAATTTGTGATGCAGGAATGGCAACAGGAAAAGCCCGGATCTTGCAACTCTTGCATCACAAATTCGGCACAGATTCCCATGCTGTTTAGCCCTTCCAACATTTGTCATGCGAAGCAGCTTCATTGTGTGCATGTTGATGCTCATTTTGCATGACAAATCATGTAACAGTGGAGAATGTAACGTTTGAGAGCGCCATATGGAAATCGCGGGATTTCAACCGCAGAGGGTTGTGATCCAAATCCGTTTCATACGCCTTTTTGTCGTGCGGAGAGTCGCGAATTTCCCTCCGCATGGAGTTCAAACGGTGCAAGTCCTCCTGAATGCTGTACTGTGCCGTCTTCCCTACTTTTGCCAAGGATCGACGCGTTGTACAACTTGTGGTGTTGTTCGCATGTTTATCCTGTGCAAAAGTATCGCACTCGTATTTCAGTATATTCGTTCGTGTGGATCGGCTCTGCTGACCGGGTAACCCATCGCCTCACATACAAAACCCTAAACCCTAAACCCAAATTTCAGTATATGCATTACAAATCTTGTTCTTAAGCTAAATCCGCATTACAAATTTTATTTCTCATGCTGAGGAAATTTGTGATGCATTTATACGAGTACGATACTTTTGCAATGCATAATGTTGGCCCATCCCCTGATAGCTCGCGTGGTATTGCTTGTGGGATCTGTTATTTATTCCGACTTGTTATCAACTGCAAAAGCATCGCACTCGTATAACTATAAATGCATCACAAATTTCCTCAGCATGAAAAGTAAAATTTGTAATGCAGATCTACCTCAAGAACAAGATTTGTAATGCATGATTGCAATAGGAGTACGATACTTTTGCACAGGATACTTGCGTATCCGACCGTCGGCCGTTGTAGAGAGGCGAGCTGTTTCGAAGTAACTCCCGTTCATCGGATATCCAGTGCGAATATGTCTGGGTCTGGAAGAATGCATGTTTGTCATGCTTGTCTGGCATGAATCTTGAATCTGTCATGCACGTTACCCAAGAGCCCCACTTTTCTGTCATGCAGAAACGCAGTTTGTCATGCAGAATAGGCAACACCTAGAAGCTCGGAAACTTGTCATGCTGAGCCAGCATGGGTGGCCTCCTCATGGTACGCCACCCAGCATCACAAGTTTCCAGACCCAGACATATTTGCATTTCATATCCGACACCGTGTTTCGATTTCCGTACGCACCCGGTGCGTAGGCAGAGGCGTTGTAGTTTTGCTGGTGTTTCATGTTATTGCTTCCCGGGAGATTCTGGCTATTGCTGTAAAGAAACCCTGCTTCATCTGGAGAACTGCGGCAGTGCTCCTGGATAGACACCCGGCCTAAATTGTTGGAATTGCAACCATCTTCGGAGGGGGAGGGGAAGCAGCCAGCTCCTCCTTTTCCCCGGCGATTATTATACTTGTATTCCCCGGTTGAGGCAGAAGAAATTCTGTTCGTTGACATGGAGCGAGCAAAGCCACTCTGGCTATGTTGCTCCGGAGAATCAGAATTCACCATGTGGGGGCGGCCTGCGGAGGTGCGGTTCCGAATCTTGTGGGTGTCCTGGTCGTGGTTTTTTACGTTTATAATTTGTTATGCGCGGTTACATTCATCAGGCACACTTGTCATACATGCAAAGGACTTGGGCAACAACATTACATCAAAATTATACCAGCTCCGCTAAGTTGTTTGTCGACAGCGACCGGTTCCGCGTTCCCATGTTCAAGGAACCGCCGATCGTGGGGTTCTTCCTGACTTGCCCGCTGACGTTGTCAACATTTTTGGGTTGTTATGAACTGCAAAAGTATCGCACTCGTATGAATGCATTACAAATTTCCTCAGCATGAGAGATAAAATTTGTAATGCGGATTTACCTTTAAAAAAAAATGTGTAATGCATGATTGCAATACGAATACGATACTTTTGCACAGGATAGTTGTTCGGGAGCTGCCAAAGATTCCGTCAGGTTTGCCCCCATTCCCGGTCCAAACTGCCCTTGCGGCGATTTCGTTTTCTTTTTGTTCTCCATATCCGCGAGCAGTAACGGCTGTTTCATGGTATCAGCATTCGAAGAAGCTGCACCACCACTTTCTCCCGCGACTGGCGTGGCCTTCGTATTGGTTCTTGTGGTCTCCTTATCGACGACGTTTACCGGGGAGCTTTCCTTGCTGCTCACGTTGATATCCGAATCCACCGCTTGCAGAATCTCCACGTCCGGTCCCTCGCCCCTTTTGCTGACCTCACTCAGAAACGACCCCACCGGCGGTTGTTGGTCGTTAACGCCCCCTGCTGTGCTCAGCATTTCCGATCCCACGGACATTTTGCGGTAGTTCGTGACCCTGGAGCCGTCGATATCCTGCGCAAAAGTATCGCACTCGTAGTAATCGCATTCATGCATTACAAGTCTTTTTCTTAAGGTAAATCCGCATTACAAATTTTCTTTCTCATGCTGAGGAAGTTTGTATATGCATTTATACGAGTACGATACTTTTGCAGTTCATAGTCAACCGGGTTTGTGAGTTCAATAAGCTGTCCCGCCTCGTCCAAATTCTCCTTAATTTGCTTATTGATGTGATCCGGTATGTCAAACTTCCCGCTGCTCTTGCTCGTTTCTTTCGTCTTATTTGTTCCCTTGCTCATCGGCGGGGGTTGAAGATGCTGGGGATGATGATGTCTTCTGCTGTTATTATTTCCGGTAGTATAATTTTCCGGACTTCTCTTCTGGTCACTCTTCACAGACTTCCTTCTACTCCTGCACACAGTGGAAGATGCTGTATCCACAGAAAAACCTAAAAAACCTCTTCCCCATCAAATTATAGCATGACAAACGAAGGCTCTTCTTCGCATTTAGGCATGACAAATTGGATGAGAAAGGCATAGACAAAGAGCTGTTTTCAGCATTTTCTGGGGATACAATGCTGACCCGGTTTTCGATTTCGATTTATCCACTACTTTCGGCGTCATCGCGTGTCCCATGGGGTTCGTGGCGGAGCAGACGGACACGGAAACACGGTCATTGAACGCTTCCTCATTGTCTTCGTACTTTTTCTTCTTCTTGTATGGAAGCGTCAGGTTTGACATCGACAAAGTTGAAATAACTTGTAATGCATAAAACGCATGACGCAAGGCGCGTGTGTTGCAGAGCAGGCAAATGAGGCCCGTCTTTGCCTAAACATGAGAAAGTCGCCCGTCTTTGCCTAAACAGCATGACAAACTGGATTTAGGCACCACCGAAATTTGTCATGCACCGCTTTGAAATTGGGCTCCCAACTGGTATCGATTTTATGCATTACAAGTTATTTCAACCTTGTCGATTTCAATTCTGACACTCCCATATCTTGATGTTTTTTTTCTTCGCATAGTTGTACTGCTTCTTCCCCTATCAAATGCAAAAATGTCTGGGTCTGGAAGATTGCCAGGTTTGTCATGCATATTTTGCATGACCCATGATGCCTGTAGTGCATGACTTAGCATCACAGTTTTTTGGAAGGCTTCCTGATGCCTATTCCGCATGACAAATGCGGTCTCCGCGTAGCACAATCTGGACTCCTCTACTTGCTGGTCATGCAATGCAGATTTTTTTAGAATCCAAAAACAGCATGACAAGTTTGGATCCTTCCAGACCCAGACATATTTGCAATGCATATCCCCCTCCTGGAGCCCGCGGAGCCGGTGCCGGGGGAGCAGCCCAAGTTATCCTGGTCGCTGTTATTCGCGGTGGAAGTTGAATTGTGGTTCTTACTCGTTTCGTCCTCGTCGTGCTCGTCGTGCGAGTTGTAGTCGCAGTAATTATCGTTGTTCATATCATCGTCGGTGCTGTAGCCGGCTTATGCATTGCAAAACTATCGTACTTTGGTACGAATTGCATGACAAAGTTTTTCCATATTTATGAAAAGCCGTTTGTCATGCTGGATTGCCCATGAAAAAGAGATCTGTAATGCATATGATCTGCAATTACAATATACGAGTACGATTTGCAAAGGCATACTGCTTCATCGTCGATGACCTCTACGTCGATTTCTATTTCTTTCCCACTTTTCTTATGCATTGCAAAAGTATCGCAGCCTTAGTAACTGCTGTTATTTCCTAAGGTAAAACACCATTACAAATTTCATTTGTAATGCTGAGCTGATTTGTAATGCGCTTTATCCTACTACGATACTGTTGCAATGCATAGTTCTCGTCAAACACCATTTCTTTCACGATCTTGGTCCGTGGCGGTCTGTTGTGGTTCCGGTTTTGGTTGTTCCGGAGGGCTCGGTGCTGATTATGGCCACTAGAAGTTGGCTCTTCCTCCTCAGTGTCCTGATCGCCACTAGAGGGTTGCACGACCGTCGGTTTGATTTGCATGTACATGAAACACGCACCGCAGGCAAACGCCGCGCCCGCCATATTCAGCATCGGGTACGATACCGTAGCCTTAGTTGCACCCAGGATCCCGAAAAAACCGGCGGACCATCCCACCAGCATGTTGCACACATTCCAAACGCAAAGACCAAGGGCCATGCCTGATAGTCATAGATTTGTGGTTTTGTTCTTTCAGATCGTGTTGTGTGATTGGTTGTTCTTGTGCCGCGAAAGGGTGAAAGAAAAAAAACCTGTCATGCTGATCCTGATGCTGAAGAAAGATGCTCGGCTAAAGTAAACGTTCCCAAAAAGAAAATGTACCAATCCGGCTGATGATCGGGATTGCCATCAAGTTCCCCGCGCACCAGGCCATGCCTCCGCCCATCGCGTAGTGCGGTTTCGGCACGGTGGGGAACCCGCTTAGAGCAAACAAGCACAAGCCCGTGCAGAAAATCCCGCAACACATGGTCCACTGAAAGAAGATCCCATTCCCCGTGGGAAAACTCCGAGCCGGCACGAAGTTGCTGCCGAAAAAAATGCCCGCGAAGATGACCGCCAGAATACCAGCGGTTACGTCTTTCGAGGGTTCTGCTTCGGGTCCTATGCCATCTGCGGTCAAAAGCGGTAAGCAGTCCTGCCCGGCTTCACAAGAACCGTGTTGGCCACTAGCGTCGCTCGGCAACTCCAGCCCATGTCCTCCGACGTGCGCATCCCCTGGGGCTCCACCAGTATTGAATAACGCGTCCAGAATGTTGTGTCCCTGCAACGGCCAAGTTTGGACCAAACTGACCGCGGTTTTGGAATTGTCCAAATTCTGTTGGGAAGAAGAACCAGCGAACAAATCCTCATGGGTAGACGCAGTCGGGGCCATGAAAGAAGTCGATGTGGATGGTGTTGACATAATTTGTTTCATCTGGCTTTGGTCAACAACATCTGGTGCAGCAGCAGCTCCCACCTGAATGGCTTGCTGGGAGGTTGCGGTCGGATCAACATGATTTCCCGCTCGATCGCTGACTATAGTCGCGGAAGGAGATGACAAAACCGCGATGGCTGTCTCTGCCAGGGCTCGAGCTGTTGCACCTGCCATGGCTAGAAAAAATCCGCGGTGAACGAGATTTTTCCGGTCCTTGTCTTCCGGAAAAAGCGGCGGTTGTTGGGTCTAGACCTTCTGCCTCCACCAGCGGCCACGTTGTCGTGGCGATTGTTCAGTAGCTAGGTAAGTCGTTTTGATGTTCGCCTGTAAGAACAGGCGAAGACGAAAGAGACGAAAGGGAAACAAGGAACCTGTCCGTCTCCCCTCTAGATCCCGCAAAACAGCTCGTGCTGCGGGGGTAGCTGTCTGTCGTCGAGGGTATGGGAGTGTCAGAATCGAAATTGACAAAATCAAAAAATTTGTGATGCACAGAATCGATGTCAGTTGGAGCCTCAGTTTTCAAGTGGCGCATGACAAATTTCGGGAGCACCGAAATCCAGTCTGTCATGCTGTTTGGGGAAAGAAGACCGCTCCTGTCATGCTACTCTGGCAGCACATTGCATACCCCTGAACAGGCATACAATCGGCCTCATATGCCTGCTCCCCAATACAGGCCTTCAGTGCTCTACATTTTACGCATCGCAAGTTTTTCGATTTTGTCGATTTCGATCCTGACACATCCATAGAGGGCTGTAGTGACGTAACAAAGAGACGAAGGTGGTACTAGAAAGAGCAAAACCAAACCAAGAAAGCGAGTTAATACCGGTGTGTAGTTTGTTTCATTGAGAAAGGAAACAAGAGACAACAACTTCTCTTCGACAAACTAGTACAACAAGGTACGACCTTATGGGGTGAAATTCGTTGATGTCCTCAATATCATGTGTATTAGTGATCCAAAAATCAACTACTAGATCGATTGCAGCGGCAAGTCAGATCGTCGAAACCAACGAGGAAAAACAGAGATGCGGCAGGTGTTAGAAAAATAAAAAGGTTGCGTCAGATCTTGAATCACAAATAAAGAAAACGATTTGTCATGGCCGGCAGAACATCCGAACATCGTCACATATTGAAAGCCGTCAAAAGCTCTCCCCGACGTGTCGTCGAGCGGGAAGTACCACGGTGCTGTAGCACCACGACCACCACGACCTTCCTTGCAGATTTTCGTCCTTGTATTTTTCCAATTTTTTTGTTTTCAAATACATTCATGGTTATGATGTGCGGTCTTTGTGAGCATAAACTCGGTGATGTAGTGGTGGGCTGGAAAAGAAAGTAGAAAAACTACAGTGGTGATACGCAGAAAGTGGATCATTCGTAGGCAAACGAATGGTCCACAAAAGGTGAGACGGAAAAAGTTTCGGCGCGGCGATACTGCTACGTAGCATAGGATGTGAAAAATTACTAGTTGTGGCATTATAGTGGCTTTTTACTGTAAAGTTGAAAGAAAGAAATTGTGAAAAAAATTTCCCAATAAGTCACAGAAAAACTTCCATACCAGCTTCGACCAAGCAGAGCTCAAATTTACATAAATTTACAGCCTTTACTCCATGTATTTCATCAAAAAGCATTGCAGAGACGAGTAGAACAGCAGCAGCTCCAGGGGCCTGAGCTGCAGCCAAGAGAGGTTTTCGTAGTTCCTGGCGCACTGTCGGCTATTTTCCCTGGGAAAAAATAACGGGTGCAGCCCCGTCCTCTGGAAACGCGATTCGAATCTTTACAGCACCTTATTATTCTTTTCACTTGTAGTTCTTTTTATGCATATTTTTGAGCTAGTACTGTGGTCTTCACTAGAAAAAAAATCTACCAAGGTTGAGTAGAGTGGATTTAGAAAAAAAAAGCCAAATCTGTCATCCCGCACGACCGTTCTGCAACCTACTGTAGCACTGCCAACAGAGTCACTTTTGGATGCTGAGGTGCCCCAGTGCAGGCATGACAAGTTTGACTTTTCGTGTAAAAAAGGTGTCAGATTTTATTCGTAAAGTATTAGTAGTGGAAAGTGTCGCGGTCATAAGATCCTCATACTTGTTGGTTTTTCATCGTCGTCGAAAGAAACCCATTGCAGGACGAAAGTAGAGTTGCTGTGAAGAAGCAGCTTGCTCTGGTGCAAAAATTTTTGCATCGGAGCAAGTTCCTGATCCTGTGTCTGTGATAGTTGCAATTGCATAAATTCTTACGTCTGATGCTTTTGATACGTAGCTTGTGCTTGTTTCAATCTCCAATGAAACTACCCTAGTGATGAAAAAGAAATATGTTGACCCTGTTTTGCAGATTTGATGAAAATCTAGTTGAAACGTTGAATAATCATGATAGTCTGATACTGTTTCCCCATAAAGAAGTAACACTACGTACTGTGATAAGTTATATTTTCGATACCTCATACGGTCTAATAAGTACTTCCGTTGTAGAAGAAGATTTTTGCAATAGAAAAAAGTTCGAATCTATACGATAAATTTGCTATTTTCATACGGTTTTTTTTTTGTAATACGAAAAGAAAATCGAAGAAATAAGGTGAAAAAAGAATAGTCTTTTGGAAGAATTTAGATAGAGTTTCTGGTTGATTGTTGTGCCTCCACGAAGAGTTGTGATAGTGTGCGTGACCACGCTGGGCATACCTGCAACACAGGAACGGGCGCCGGAGGTCCTTCGTGCTTCACGACCTGGCTCCCGCCTGTGATTGGAAATATGCAGCCAGCTTGTCTACGCGATTTGCTTGTTTTCTCGAAATGCGCTTGACGTTTATCCGTCGCTCCAAAATTATGTTGTAGAAGCAAGTCGTGGCTTGGTTAAAGTGAATATTTTTGCAAGAGCCAGCACAGCTTGAGAATTATTGCACTGTAGAAGTAATCAGCTATGATCGTCCCTAATTGACTTGTTGTGTTTTGTTTTCCTGTTGCCTCCCCTATCTTCTGTTCCAATTGGTTCTTTGATGGTGTCGGTAGTTTTTTCTCGGTAGGTGACCTCGAGCCTCATCTTGATCGCGCATACGCAGCAGGTCGCCACGCATAGACGAGAAAATGAAACCCAAGCTGCACCCAACGTCCTGAAGGTCGTTTGCAAAAACGACAGTCGCAAAAACGGCTTCTAGATTTTCTGACTCGTGGCTACTGCGTCTGTGTTGAACTAGATGATCTATCACCGCACGACGGCGCGCAGGTAAGTAGTTTCTACCTAGTACCTGCGTGACCACGCACTGATCACGGAAGAAAGACCCTTCACGCGTTTTGATCGTGCTCCAATGCTGTATCTCACTTCTACTTACGACCTCTGCCAATTTTGAATTTGTTTTTTTACATTTTTTTTCTGCATATGACGCTGGAGCTGGTACTGTACCAAAGTGATTCTACTTATAGTGCCGTTTGTGAGATAGCCACCCCTACAAGCTTCTCACCTTCTTGCCACTCCCGCCCAAAAAAATCGGAGTAATTTTGCCGCTTTTCCAACTTTATTTAAGCTTCTGATTTCTCTGAGGTACAGATAACGATTGCGATGCTCGTCTTTTTTTGTTTGAATAAAACCCCTTCGTTTCGTTGTACTACTGTGTCGCTAAAAAAATGTATAGTAATGCCAGTGACTTTGATGATTTTTGCACATGATACGATGTCGCCATGGAGGATAGGATTAGAAATTTGATTCCAGATATTATTTCTTGCGGTTGCCACCTGGCAAACTCGTCCGGTTGCTTTATTTGCTGGCTTTCCACTTTCCGCGGCGCTTGTCAACCAGGTCCATCAGCAAACAGCGGACGCGTTTTGGAACCTGATAGGTATTCTTAGTCATGTGAGTGTGTTTGTCATGCATGTTTTCATTAGGATACATAATTCTCCGCACCTGCCTACAACGCATAACAAATTCCAAATTAAAGTTTGCAACCAAATAAATCACAAGAAGAGTGTTGTTATCAATTAAATATACCGAGCTGTTGACATCGATTTTTCCCTTGAAAAAGTTCTGGAACAAATCGTCCATCCATGCTTTCTGACCCCGGTCATGGCAATCAAAGTGCGGCCCAACGATGTCGATCAAGGTTATGAGGCACTCCAGGCAGATCGGCGTGTCTTCCTCTTGGAGCATTTGGGCGATCGAGGGAAGCAGGCGGGAAGCGAGGAGTTTGCAGTTTAGGAGTTTACCGATAAACCGCACGTTGCCCATCAGCTTCTTCTTGTACCTGAGAGTGATAGAAGTGTTCTTGATGTTCATCATCTTGAATAATACTCGGAAACCAGCATGGCAAACCTAATTGAATATTGGCTACAGTTTTAGCATGACAACCTCTTCAATTCCCTGTAACCTGATCTACTAGATCTGAAATAAGCAGTACTTGTGCTCTCGCTCGATAGCCTCGTCGTCCCTTACGTTCGCATCCAACACTCCCTTCGGTGGCTGCAAATTCGCCTCGAAGAACTCTTGAGTCCGAGAAAGCAAACAATGCCGAAAGCTGTTGTCTCCTTCGATACCTGTGTGGTTTTGAAATTTTTTCGCATGAAAAAAAAACGCAAGCGCAGATGGCAACGGTGACATTGAATGACATAACGAGACCGATCCAGTACAAGATTAGTATCGCACTCCCACTCGTACTAATCACAGTTGCGCATACCAAATCTTCTTCTTATACGTAAAAAAATCCGCATCACAAATTGGAATTGCATTTCTCCTGTACCGTAAGCCTTGTATTTCGACTGGTTCTCCGTGAAGTGCTGGCTCAACCGGTTGCACAGTTTCGTGTAGAGGTCGTCAAAGTGGTGCTGGTATCAAATCCAAAAATGTCTGCGTCTGGAAGATTGTGAGATTTGTCATGCTTGTCTGGTATGACTAAAAAGTTTGCGATGCGTGCCCAAGAAGACACCCTTTTGCCACCTGTCATGCGAAAACGCAGTTTGTCATGCGAAAAACGCAACACAAAGAAGCGCAGATATTTCTCGTCATGCTTGCCTGTGCAGCATTACAGAGCATTCACTATTCCCAACGAAGCATTACAAGTTTCGAGGCCCGGACATTTTTTGCAGTTGATAGCTGGGTGGTGACTTTCTCGAAAATCTCGCACTATCCTGTGTAAAAACGTCCCCACCCCAGAGTTGTGATGCAGATTTGCCATGACAGGAACATTTGTGATGCGCAACCCCATGACAGGCATTTTCAATCGTGTTTGGGAACTTGTAATGCTGTAGACAGGATCAGAAGGTCGATTTGTGATGCGGCTTTCCTTGCTAACTTGCACTACCTTACGGACTGAAACTTGTCATGCGTGACTCCGAAAACTCCGTGGTTTGTGTTGCAAAATCCCCATCCTGACTCTGGTGTGGGTACGTTTTTACTCAGGATACGCACATCAGCGCGTTTACGTGGTCCGGGTGGGAGATGCCGACGTTCAGAATTTCTTCCAACATTTTCTCAAACGTACCCTCAGAGATCTTGTTCAAGATGGACTTGAACTTCCGGACGATTTCTGCATCAGCGGACGCGGAGAGTTCTGTTTTTGATGTGGGTCACAAGTTAGGTTGTACCAATGCATTTTATTTTTTCGCAAGCCTAAGCTCGACTTCTAGAGCTGCCACGAGAACTCAATAAACCAACAAATTTAGTGCATTTCTGTATACGTTTCTTCTGCTGCACGGCCCACGAGGATTCCGAAGAAACCAAAGCCTGCTTCCTCCACCCCTGGCGCGCTTCGCATTCCTGCGTCCCGAAGATCTTGGATGACTCGCGATTGGCAAACCGCAGCATGAGGAAAAAACTGCGGCTGTACTTGCATTCAGTGACATTGGACAAAGGATCTAAATCCTCGGGCGCCGGAAGGCTACCGCAAGTGGACCTGATAGGTTGGATTGTGAATGGGAACAGTTTTTGCTTCTTGTTTTTACGTATTTATACTCAGGGCCAGGCGTAGAAGCTAGCGAGCAACATCATCGACGAAGCAGCATTACACCAAAATCCTATACCCTACTTACATCTTCTCAGTGAACCAAAAGATGAACCACGAACAACGATCCAAATAAATAAGTACTGTGTCCCCAAGCCTCCTCCCTTCTTGTTCCCCACGGCGATTTTCGGATCGAAGGCTCCTCGCGGTGAGACCGCGATCCCGGGCGGGGGCGACATGTCATCTAGGTCCAGCACCGGACAGCTATTTCCCGCGGCGGACGTCGCACTCGAGGGTACTAACGGCACCATGCAGGAGGAGGTTGTAGACATGACAGACGCTTGGTGCTGCAGCAAGTTAGCCGTGCTGCTGCTGTTCTGACTACTCGTCGCGGTTAGCCCGGGCAGCGGCGGCAGTGGGGGCGCTTTGGATTGCGGCCCGGAGGCAACGGAGGAAGGTAAAACTTGGTTGTACTCCATCATGTCTTTCGGGACGTGGATGTTCGGAGTCGACATGTTGATCGGAATGGCCTTCCCGCCCGCCAGAGCAATCGTCCCCTGCTGCTGAGCGTTGCTATTTTGCTGTGGCGTGGTCGAGGTCAAGGGTTGATGCTGTTGACCATGACCAGTCGCATTCATGACCACCGTTCCCTGCTGCAAATTAATCGTCTGCTGCACAGAGGCTCCTGCGCTTTGCGCGGACATGGTCTGTGGCAGAGATGGCGGGTTGCTGCTTACAGTCCCGGCAGCTCCACCTCCGGTAGAGGTTCGCGGCAAAGTGTTGTTCTGTGCGGCGCCGCTATCAAGCGCAGCCGGCAGCGTCGCCGGAATAGCAGGTGGCGTCTGCGCGACCGTCTTATTGTTTGCCGTTGTGCTTGCTGTGACTGCAGGTTGTCCTGGTTGAGCTGCACCCGCTCCTGCCGGCGCAGCTGCAATGCCGCCTGGCTGCAATCCCGCTGTGGGCGGCAATGCCGGCGTGGTTCGTGCAGTTGTCGTGCTCGAGGTAGCGGTTGCTTGCTGTAGCTGTTGTTGACCTGCGCCGTTGATTGATGCCGGCGTGCTGCTGCTTACTGGAGGCAGAGGGGGCGGCACGCCTGAAGTCTGCTGCTGCCCTTGCGCTCCTGGAACTGTCGCTGAGGTCGCGCTTGTAGGCACGACGGTGGCTGCGCCTGCTCCACCAGCGGCAGCCGCTCCCACGGCCGGCAGAGGCGGTGCGGGGGCGCTGACCTTGCTGACGGGGGGCGGAAGGCCTTGGGAGGTTTGTGGCTGCTGCTGTTGTCCCGGGACCTGGGGCAGCGGAGGTGGCGGTAAAGATGTTGTGGTGCTTGTACTCGTCGCAGGCTGCGCAGCTACGCCACCACCCCCTGCATTATTGGCGGCTAGCGGAGGCTGGAGCGAGTTGTTTGCCGCTACTCCAGTTTGGCTCGGCTGTTGTGTTCCTTGTGCTACTGCTGATCCTCCTTGTTGCGTAGTGGCTGCCAGTGACTGCGCATGCGGCAACATGTTGTTGGCACCAGACGCCGCAGCTCCAGTGGTGGTTTGCTGTTGCTGCTGCGCAGTCGTGGTGCCAGTGGCTGAAATCTGCTGGCTCAGACTTATTTGCGGTTGAGCTGCAATGCCGTTTTGATTTTGGTTTTGCTGCTGCTGGTTCAAGCTCTGCGCAGTCAACGCTTGCTGCAGTTGTAGGTTAAAGTTGGTCTGCTGTTGCGGCACACCCACCTGTTGAACTCCTGCGTTATTAAACATCGGGCGCTGCTGATTAATATTTACGCCAGTTCCAGTTGCTCCCGCAACTACAGAAGTGGTCGACAGATTGGTCTGCGACCGGTCCATTTGATTCAAGTTTTGTTGGCTCAAGGTCTGCTGCTGACCGACCATTTGCTGCTGGCCAAAGGTATTATTCGGGTTATTGTTCTGCTGATTGAAATTGGTAAGCTGCTGCTGCTGCTGCGCTTGGTTAATATTCATCGCGTTACCCAAATTACCTTGCTGCTGCAACAGTTGCTGTTGTAACTGGTTCTGCAGCTGCATATTCCCCTGCATCAAATTGTTGTTGTGTACTCCACCCTGCTGGTTTTGCGTGTTCATCACGGCATTGCCCATCATCATGTTGTTTTGCTGCGGCTGGAAGCTCTGACCATTAGCATTCATGAGCCCCTGCTGCTGCTGCTGTGCGTTGTTCATGTTTTGTACCCCAGCAGCTTGTAGCTGCCCCTGGTTGTTCATCAAGTTAGTATTCTGCTTGTTTTGCTGCTGCAATGCCGGCGGCTGCTGGCTCTGCGGGTTAAACTGAGCATACACCGGGCTCGTGGTGCCCGTCATGACGCGCGGCGCCGGTGTGGAAGTGTTGGTGTTGGAACCAAGATTCAAACTCAATTGACTTTGCTGTGCCGCGACACTACCGGTAGCCGCGTTAGTACCTCCGGAGCCAACGACAGTACTGCCCTGCTGATTTGCAGTTCCTACAGTACCCACGACCGTCGAGGCCTGGCCTGCCGGGGTATTGTTTTGCATCTGCTGCTGCCCAACTCCAATGCTGGACGTCGTGTTGCTCATGTTTAGCCCGGGAACCACACCCTGTTGCGTCGACGGCCCAACAGCACTCTGCAGTTGCTGCTGATTGAAGTTCTGATTCATCGTTTGCTGCATCTGTTGTTGGGTGTTCATGGTGAGACTCTGCTGCTGCATCTGGGGCTGCTGCTGCTGTTGACCTTGAGATGTTGAACCCATCTGCTGCTGCCCAACATTTGTACTCAGACCACTCGCCAAGTTGCTTTGCGCATTCAGCATTTGCTGCTGAACTATTTGCTGCTGCTGGAGCTGCATTTGCGTCGGGTTCTGCTGCATAGTGGTCTGTTGCTGAAAAGTAGAGCTGTTCATAGTATTTGTTCCCTGCTGCTGCTGCGGCTGTTGGAACTGATTTTGGTGTTGATTCCCCGTCGTAGTTCCCATCAGATTACTGCCTCCGGCGCTCATGTTTACCGGCTTCCACTCCTGTGCGCTCGGGTTCAGCTGTTGCTGACCGGATGCAAAGGAGGCGGTTGAGTTTGTGTGCTGCATCATTTGCTGATTGTATTGCAAACCACCTTGGGTAGACGTGTTCTGTTGATTCATGTTCAGGTTCATCTGGCCCGTGTTCATGTTTTGCTGCATGCTGTTCATGTTGTTCGCCATGTTGCCACCTTGTTGATGGCCCAGCATGTTGTTGCCACTCATCGACTGTTGGTCATTGCTATTGCCAAATTGCATATGACCACCCATATTGCTCCCCATCTGCTGGTGCGACGTCTGCTGTTGTCCGTACATGTTGCTCTGACTGTTGAAGCCCATGTTGCCCATGTTGTTCTGTTGCTGATTCTGCATGTTGCTATACATGTTGCCCATGCCGCCCATACTGTTGTTCATCATGCCAGAACCCGTGTTATTCATCCCCATGTTGGAATTATTTGCCATGGCTCCAAACTGGTTTGTCCCACTGAGAGCACCTCCGCCGAACATGTTCGCGTTAGTCCCCTGCTGGCTTCCTTGCTGCATCATACCGGATGTGTAAGACGCGGTGTGATTCAAGCTGGTGTTCTGATTCGCTCCTCCGACAGCTGAATTGTTCGCGGAAAAGTTGTAACTGTTCGCGCTGGTACTGTGCGTCAACACGTTCTGGCCCTCACGCAGCTTCTTGATCTTCTCGTCCTTTTGCGCCGCGTATGCAAGAAAAAAACTGTGTAAATGTAAGTCTCTTCGAAGAATAGCATCACAAGTTTGCTCTGCATGACGCAGAAAACCTGTCATGCGTAGCTAGTACTTGAAAACACGCACGAAAATAGCCTCTGATGCATGTCCAGCATGACGAGTGTACCAGTTTTGCATTTTCTGCAACACAAAGATACACTTACACAGTTTTTTTCTTGGATACCGCGGTCTCATCGGGCCCGAAGTTCATCTTGATCACATCCCCCTTGTGATTCCGAACCTCAAAAGAATTGGCGTTCGCATTAGTGGTCGTGCTGTTTTGCTGTTGTTCTGTCGTTGTTCCTGCAATTGTGGTACCAGTTGGTCCTACTTGTTGCTGGTGGTTTACAACTCCGCCGACAACACTACTATTACCACCAGCCACGCCGGATATCAAAGTAGAGCTCGCGGATTGATGCGTGCCGGCAAGATGACCAATCGGGTTAGCGAAATGCAGCCCTCCGAGTAGTTCCCGAGACTCCTTCTTGTTCTTGTTCGCTTGGAGCTTCTCGTTCAGCATTTGCTGCAATTCCGCCGGCGTGAGCCCGTCGATCTTTTTCTTATTCGACGCCTCCAGGGTTCCTCGCGGCGGCTTGTCTAAGGTGCTGCTCACATTCCGGGACAGATCGCTCTCCGTCGCGGAAGAAGCGGCGTTGGGAGAAGAGGCGTTGGCGAGGGGGGTGGTGAGACCTCCTTCTTTGGCAGTTGCAGTTGCAGATGCAACACCTGCAGCTCGTTCCACAGCAGTTTTGGAAACCGCGACTCCAGATGCTGAGACTACCTCCGCCGAAGTTGCAGTAGCAGCAGCTGCAGTGACAACAGCGGCCGAATTGTTTTGTTGCTCGCCAATTACATCCGCTGTCGGAGGACAAGTCGAGGTTTTGTTCTCGACAATATCCGTATGACAGTGCACAACTCCGCCTCCCCCCCATTTGCATAGCATGAACGGCAATACAAGCATCAGCAAGAATGCCGGATTTGCATGACAAATTTGCAGTGGAGTGTAATGCTATTTGGGCTACCAGAACTTGTCATGCAAACAGTGCCAAGAGGCAAGAGGTGGATTCGGTATTTTGCATGACAAATGAGGGGGAAGAGGAGTTGTTCACTGTCATAATCCGTTGTCGCGGTAGTCGTTGTGTTGTCGCCAGAGGTGCCGGAAGAAGCGTTGTCCGCTGAAGACGCTCCACCGGTAGTGGTCAAAACCAGGTTATCGACCGCTACGGTATATCAAATGCAAAAATGTCTGGGTCTGGAAGAATACAAGATTTGGTTGGTTGGTTGGGTAGCGCCTGTCGCCGGTGCAGGTCCCGCCCTCCATCGATTGCGATCCGGAGTAGCCGGACTTGTCATGCATGTTTCTCATGATCCATGATGCTTGTGATGCATGACCTTGCATCGCAGACATTTAGAGGGCTTCCTGATGCACCTTCCGCATGAGAAATGCTCTATCCGGGTAGCACAAACTGCTACTGCACCCCTGTTGCTTGTCATGCAATACAATTTTTTTTACCGTCCAAGAATAGCATGACAAGTTGCATTCTTCCAGACCCAGACACTTTTACATTTGATACGGTAGTAGTCGTCGACGCGGGCGGATCCGAGACGGCTGGGGAATTCTGCTGCGTTCTTTGCTCCTTACCAGTAACTGTCGTGGCACGGCTGTCGTCCTGTTTTCGATTGTTTTCATTCCGATATTTAGCATGACAAACATCGACTCGTCGAAATGACGACAGACAAGACACTACCACTAGTCAAAAATGCTCGTTATGCAATACAGATCTTGCCCTCCTAACCATCTCGCATCACAAATGAATCCAGAATGATCGCCATCAATGCATTAAAACAAATAAACTCTCTATACGATTGGTGACTGGCTGTTGCCCACGACTCCTGTGCTCGAATTCAGCAGCGCTAGCGAATCGTCCGAACTTGTTAAGCCCAGCGTCGTGCTTTCCAAGCTGGGAAACTTCCGACAGACGATTTCGTCTTCCTCGTAGCTGTTTTCGCACGAGCTCACTCGCCCGTTTATGAACCCGGTAGAAGCCCGGGTCGTCGCCGTGGTCGCTTTGGACAGTTGCTGTTTGCACCGCTCCGGATCGCCGTCTTCGCTACTGGATGACGAAGTGGCGCCGCCAACGTCCGTCTTCGTTGTGGACGAGCTCGCATCTTCCGTCATACCGGACTGCAGTTGTTTTTCGGTCACTGCATTATTACCTGGCTTTTGCTCTACCGTAGGACCTTCTTCACTGCTAATACTTTCCTTTTCCGAAGAAGGCAGGTCAGTAGCAGCAGGCGCTGCTTGAGCAGATGAAACTACGGAGGACATCACAGCTGCGCCGGGGGCAATAGAACTAGCGTCCTTCATCTTGTTCACTGAGACCGACTCTACTACACCTGCAGTCACAGCACCACCGCTGGCAATGTTGATAGTATTGACTGCAGCCGCTGCGTTTGCAGCTTGCGTTGCGGCGGCGGCGATCGCCACGGTCTGGGCGGAGGCTTTTATTGACTTCGTGCGCTCCGCAAAGATGGACTGGATTTTGTCTTGTAATTTGGACGGATCCTGAAGCAGCTCTTTGTTCTGGGCGGTATTGGCAGCTGTGCCTGAGTTGTTGGCTGATGATGTCCCGTCGCCCTTGTCGTCCCCCTGCTGGCCACCTCCGTTATTTTGCGTGGAATTTGAAGATATGAAATCTAAAAATGTCTGGGTCTGGAAGAATGCAACTTGTCATGCTGATTTTGGATTCTAAAAAAATCTGTATTGCATGAGCAGCAAAGAGAGTCCAAGTTGTGCTACACGGAAAGAGCATTTGTCATGCGGTATAGGCATCAGGAAGCCCTCACAAAATCTGTGATGCTAGGGCATGCATCACAGACATCAGGAGTCATGCAAAATGTGCATGACAAAACCTAGCAATCTTCCAGACCCAGACATTTTTACATTTGATAGAAGAAGTGATGGTAAAACTTTGGATGTTATCCGCCCGAAGAGTCCCGACCATGGGAGCACCAGCACCTGTTGCGGTACTACTCAGGTTCGTTTGAGACCCAGACTGCGGCAGTTGTTGGCTCTGCTGTTGCTGTAGCTGCATGTTGTAAGAAGTGCTGTTCGACGTAGCAGTTTGCTCAGTTGCAGTGGCATTGAGAGGACCAGTGGCAGACGTTTGTTGTGCTTGAGCTGCATTGAACGAAGTACCGAAGGATGCGGCATTTCCCGTTCCCCCAAGCTGTTGCTGCTGTCCCGTCGCTGCTGTTGCTGTCCCACTCTGCATTTGCTGCATCGACGTTACCGCACCAGTAGACTGGAGGTTCAGATTGGACATACTATTCAAACCTTGCTGCTGTTGACCACCAGCAACTCCAGAGCCGTATTGCATCTGCTGCTGCTGGACGCCTCCAGTAGAACTAGTGCCCATCATGCTGCCTCCACCAGTCGTGCCACTACCGTACCCGCCAATGTTTTGCTGCAAGTTCGCATTGGATCCGGAGTTCATTTGGGAAGATGAAAATTGGGCGGTGTTTGTTCCACCGAAATTCGACGTCCCTGACGGCTGGAACTGAGTGCTCTGCGCGTTCATGGTACTAGAAAATTGGTTTTGGTGCTGGCCGGAGGTCGTAGTTCCGAACTGATGAGAACTCTGGTAGTTGCTATTTCCCATTGCAGCAGCATTTTGGTTAATGCCGCCGCCACCGCCCATATGGTTCTGCATGTTCATCTGGTTTTGCATGTTGCCGGACGTTCCGCCCATGATATGTGACGACATAGTATTATTGTTCCCCCCAACATAGCTGCTCGTGTTACCACCGCTATGGTTGTGAAAGGAGTTGCTCTGGTGCATAGAATTTGCGGCTGCGTAGGAATTAGACATGTTCTGCTGCTGCTGAAAATTCCCAACTCCGCCACCCATTATCAAGTGTAAAAATGTCTGGGTCTGGAAGATTCTGAGACTTATGATGCACGTTTTGCATGCGCCATGATGTCTGTGATGCCTGCCCTAGCATCACAGATGTTTTGAGGGCATCTTGATGCCTATTCCGCATGACAAATGCCCTCTCCGGGTAGCAAGAATCGCATTCCCTTTGCTGATCATGCAATACAGATTTTTTTGGAATCCGAATGCAGCATCACAAGTTGCATTTTTCTCTACCCAGACATTTTTGCAATCCATACCCATCATGCTCTGCTGATATTGACTGTTCATCATGCCGTTATGTTGACCGGAGGTATTTGATCCAAACTGGCTCTGCATCATGTTGCCATGATGTTGGCCGCTATTATTCCCACCACCGTGCATGCCGCTGTTCGCAGCTCCCTGATGCATACTGCTGTTGTACTGGTTTGAAACCATATTGGACGTCGACTGTTGGTCTCCCATGTGGTGCGCCGAACTATGGGCACTGTTGCTGGACCAGGTGTGCGCCATGCTTTGCTGGTTTAGGTGGCCGGACGACTGCATGCTGTGTCCCATGTTGCCGGCACCGCCCATCGCACCAGAGCTGCTGTTGCCCATGTTCATGCTGCTCATATCAAAACCAGAATTCTGGTTGTGCGAACCGTTGTTCATGCCGGTCATGCTGTGCGTGTTGCCCGCTACATTGGAACCCGAATTGTACTGGGAGGCGGTTCTGTTTATGTAGTTATTTGAACATTTTGGTTGTGTTTTTATGCATTCTTTTGTGAAACAATTCAAAAGCTATACCATGAAATAAACCTGCTCGAGATTTAATACGCCAGAATTTGAAAGATGACTAGTACCCTTGTCCCCCCATCGCCCCCACGCCGCCCCCTCGCTGGTCAGCATAGCTCTCCTTTCCGCCAGGGCCAGCACTATTGCCAGCGTTGCCTCCTCCCGACCCGTTGTAGCGGCCCCAAACAGGATTCATTTGCGACACGGTGTTGGTCTGAAAAGTATTCACCATTTCCGCGGCGGGCTCCTGCGTAACCGTCGATGCGGGAGTTACCCCGCCGGAGTGGCTCCCGGCGGTCGTCCACATCTTTTTCCAAATCGACTTACGTTACAAGAAACAGAGATTGTATTTTACAAAAAGTGCCGTGAAATAATAGAGCAGATGAAATCGTGCAGTAAATAATCTTCATGAAACAACTCGCAAAAGAATACACAACTACTCGCAATACTCCGATAGAATTTTACCGTTGAACAGCACTAAACTATTCTCCAACATAAAATTCTTTCCACAACTACAAATTATTTTTCACAGAACAATTTACAATCTTTCGTAAAACTTTTTTTATCACAATGTAGATTCGAGGTGGTCGCTCTATTTGCCTTTTTCTAAAGCAAGGATAGATACGGTTGTAGAGATTAATCGTAAAAAAGAAATCGCGGTAACAGATGCAAATGATCGTCTCGATTTTTTTTTTTTTGGTTTTTAGGTATTTTTTCTTTGACAAAAGTATAATCTTCCAAAAGCAGCTATTTTGTCTTGCATAAACCTTATCGCTGTCTGATATAATGTTGAAATATGCTAGAAACCTTGCTCGCACTACTGAATCCTCTTTGTTCTTTCGTACTAGGGTCTAATTTCTTGTTTGCGTTTATTGTGCAGGCGTGAAGAAATTCTACTTCCTCCAGCTGTACTACGCAAGAATGTTCGGTCTCCCCCTCCGTGAGAGAAATTCTTTCTTCACCAAAGGCGAAACACAAAGATTCCTGTGTCAGACAGCACCGTCAGACAGCACCGTCAGAAAGCACCTCGTTTTATTCCGCGATACAACTAGTAGAAGAGGGACAGTAACTAGACGACTTTCTCCGAAGTAAATAAGGTTCTTTTTCTAAACTAAGTAAAAGCGTAGGAGTGTCTACGCGACTTTCTTTTTAACAGTCTAGGATAATTTTTGGTATGAGTATTTTTAACAGCCACTCTGTAGTTGTGGTTGTCAAGGGAGTAAAGTCGCTGGGCGGGTGTCCGAAAAGGAGCTGGCTCTAACGATAGAAGCGCGCTTTTTTAGAGGTTTCTGGCTAGCAATATCTTGTTATCAGACCTTGAGGTTGTTGTGCTTTGTCAAGACAGTGAGCAGCTTGGTACAGGTACACAGAAAGAATAACAGAAAAAATTATGTCGAAGAAACGATAAGAGAGCCGCTTTTGATAAAATCAGACTTGCGTGCCTACAGAAAGCGCGGTGCCGCTTCAGTGAGCCTGTAGCTAATATGCCACTTCTTGTACTAACAACAGGTCGCCCGAGGCGTCTCTACGCTCTTGTAGGCAAACAGGCAAAAGCTGTAAAACTGGCAGAGATAAGATACAGATCAAAATCAAAGGCGCGTGTAAATACGGTTGATGTGCTCTTCAAAATTGACAGATCACAGCAGGTACAGATAGCAGAGCCTCAGTAGTGGTCTTTCGTAGCGGGACAACAGTTAAAAAATCATTGATGAAAGTGAAACAAGAAGATATAAAGAGCGGCAACAAGAATCGCCTTGAGGGAAGCAGGAGTGTCTGCTTGCACTAATAGAAATTTATTTCATCAAACGGAGGAGCTCGGTGAGCTGAGCGAAGAAAAGAACTCGGCTTACTCTTGCTCCGTTTAGTATGAAGATTCTCAGCACGTAATATTGTGTCTCTTTGGTCCAATCTTACCACACAACTCGAATTGAATCGGCGGTGGCCTCTTTAGATTCTCTTTCTAGATTTCTTCCTATAGAAAAACAAGGAAAAAAATCTAAAGCAGTAGTCAAAATGTTGACCACGCACTCTACCTCCGGTGCGATAGAACCAAAACAATATTACTCAAAACTTTCTACTAGTGCGCTACACCGTGTGGTCACTTTTGGTGCTGTACTATTGTTCCTTTGCTAAATATTCTACAAATCCGTACTATGATATTTTCACTGCTCGAGCGAGAGCATAGTTTATACCGCAAAAATTTTCTAAAGCAAATAGCGCAGACGGAGCTCCTCTCTTTATAAATACGTTTGGCTGATTCTACTGTAAAAAACTCGACACTATGGAAAAATATCGTAGCCCTGACCCTAACTAGTGAAAAAATAAGTACGAAAATATCGAATATGTTCCCCTGCTCTGGGTGAAACTTGGCCTGTTGGATTAATCGCAAAGCGCCTTAGCATTAATTCATATTCAAAATGATTTCAAAATGAATTCAAAAAGTCAACGTTTTTGACTTTTGGCTGCCCATGAAAATGCCGAATATTCGAACAAAATGAACGACGCGCCTCGGTTGTGGACCATTCGCAAGCCCTATGCCGTGCGCTTACGCGGAGCATTTCGCTTGAAAAACGCAGCGCCACCATTTGAATGCGTCTCATTAGTTTGGGAGGGTGCTTGGCTTGGAATCGGCACGGCCACAAGCTCTGGGCCACGGCATGGCGGCTCAAGATTGAACCGCCAGGGTCCCTCTAAAACCCAACTGACAGACACCACGTCCGCCCAAAGCCACGACGCATGGGGCCAACGCAATTCCATTTCCGAGGCGGCCGAGAGGGCCCAGATGCACCCTCTCCCCTCGATTGATCGGGCCTGATTGGTGCCTAACATAAAACATGTCATGCCACAGACCACACCAATACCAGAGCGATCACGCAGAGTGCCCAATTTCATAAGGAAATTGGCGGGCCTATGCAATTTCAAAAAGAAATTGGCGACCTGAACGGAATTCAAAAAGAAATTGGCGGGGTTGATGGAATTCAAAAAGAAATTGGCGGCCCCGAGACAATTCAAAAAGAAATTGGCGGATCTGGGCAATTTCAAAAAAAAGTTGGGAATAAGTTGGAGACAAGTTCAAAATTAGTTGGGTCAGGGATTCTTAGTATGGGAAACAGAAAAAAGTTGGCTTCCAACTTATTTCCAACTTTTTTTTGAATCTGGCGAAGGGAGATTCCTCAAGACCTGGACCCTCTTGAGTTGGCGTGCTTTACTGCATGCCCCTTCAAGTACGAAATCCCCCATCCGAAGCGCTGTCGAGAAGCCTTTCGGTGTGAAGGTCGACCCTATCAATGCCCCGCAAGCTATACCCCAACACCCTGAAAGGAAGAGGGGCAGGAAGCGATCACGAATGAAAGCCTTTACACAAAAAGCGCCCCAACAGCTGGCAATAAGTACGAAAATATCGAATATGTTCCCCTGCTCTGGGTGGCATTTGATGGCAGCAATCCACCTCTTCGGGCGATCCACCTCTTCGGGCGTGCCTCTGCTCATCCGCCACAGGGCCTCCCAGCGCTGCAGAGCCCGCGGCGCCTTGAATTGCCGGGGTCGACTGCTGGCTCTGGGTCAGCTTCTGCAACAGCTGCCCTGTCCTTTTGTTTGCACTACTCCATTGCGAGCGAAGGGCAACACTCGACCAGCCGACCACCCAACCAGCCACCTCTCTCTCTTTGTTGCTAGAAGTCCTGCTGGGCCGACATCTTAACAAAAGCAAAGAGAAAGATACCTGCTAAGAGACGAGCACCCCGTGGCGAATAAAGTTCTACATAAAATATTTGCACTTCAGAAGCATGGTCGTTCCCGACCATATCCGCCGGGGCTGGCATCCCGGCTGCTGACTTCAGCAGGCTGCCTACTTTCTGCTTCCTTTGACATGGACGAACAAGGGTGGGTTACATCTGCTTTTTTTCAAAAAGGTCTAACCCCCGCTAGTGGGTGGGCACTAGCGGGGGTTAGCTTCGGACGAATGTAACCCACCCTTGTTCATTTGTTCTAGGATGAACAAAGGTGGGTTACATTTGTCTGACCCTAACCCCCGCTAGTGCCCACCCACTAGCGGGGGTTAGAACTTTTTGGGAAACAGGCAACCTAACCCACCCTTGTTCGTCGGATCCAAATCATGGCGCTTCACGTCGCCGGGTGGGCTCCGGCGATCAGAGTCGGCGAGCCTCCAAAGACATCAACTACAGAAAACATCTGCAGCGTACCACCCAGAATAAAATGTGCCGCCATGATATGGGGCGCGGATCAATATCGCGCACCAGGCCATGCTGCAGAGCCCTACTCCCGACGGGAAACTAAAGGGCTACAAGGCGAATTTCGCACCCGCCATGCCGCGCGAAGGGTGAAATGGGACTGGGCATAACAAGTCACGACGCAATACCTTGAGCCAAAAGCCTCCCACTGCAACACGCTTGACATCGATTTCATAATCCACAAATCTCAATAAGCGACGCTTCAGGTTGACATCAATGCCCTGAATGCCGAAAACCTGTCGCGCCAGATCTGCACAAACTTAATTGAGACTTGTGGACTACAAGATCAATGTGCCAAAGCTTGCGACGTCGGCATTTTGGCTCAAGGTACAATGGCGCGAGTTGCTACGCCCAATCCCTTTTCACCCCTCACGCGGATTGACAACCACAGCGACGCACCCAGGGGCCGCCCGCGTGGAGGACACGCATGCAGGAATTTTTGGCCCCCTAGATACCACCGGAAAAGTGCTTTTCTGTTCCCTCAGCACGAGCGGCCTTATTCAGCATTTTACTTCTCCATGTGCTGCCGCTTTTTCGCGTTGTTTTGCGCTGTAGTTTTTCTGTTTGTGATTTTTCAAACCGAAGCAACTGCCACGACCTACTTGCGGCCCCGCTTTGCCCTTTGGTTTTCGCGCTGGAACCCGCGTCAAAAAGTAGAATTGTGACCCCGTGCGTAGAATTGTGACCCAGTACGAAAATATCGAATATGTTCCCCTGCTCTGGGTGAAACTTGGCCTGTTGGAGTTGGTTTTGGAATTTGGTATTATATCTAGTTGATGGAAAATGGAAAATCAGAAGACGCGAAGCTATTTTTGGTGGCTCCTACTCGGGGTTTTGATTTTTCCCTTATGTGGTGACAACTAGCTACGGAGAGCTGCAGGAAATTAAGTAGGATCCGCTTCTGAGGACCCGTCGGGAAAAGAAAAATAGAAATTCTGCAAAGATCTTCGCGTAGGACCAAAATCGTAGTTCTTTTGTTTATGCTTATGCAGCCACCTTGAATTATACGCGTGGAAATGCACCACACGAGTTGATTTTTTATTTTTTGCAATGTATCTATTGTAACCTTCTACAAACGATCTCTTCGCGATTGTTCAGAGCTTATTTTACAAGTATCTTTTAAACAAATTTCATAGAACTGGATGATGGAGGAAGAGGAGCAATGCCTCTATTTTGTTGATAAATTTCATCCCATACAAAAGATGATGATGATGATGACGACACTGAGTTTTCGATTTTTAGTTTGGAACTCAAAGCAGCTATTGGCGGTTTCGGAGTTTGTGTTTGCTTATGCTCATGGAAAAAAGTACGTGAAAAAGGACTACGTAGTTCAAGAAAAATGACCTTCCTTGACTCTGATGTTGCGAAGCTCGTCGCACTGTGCGTATTTGTAGTTCTGTTTCTTCTGACAGCTTCAGATCAGGTCTCTATTCTACTCTCTCACATCTAAAATTTTGAGCGTTTCATGAGCTGTAGCTTTTGAATCTCGGTGGGTTGATGTGATAATATTTCGCGCTAAACTGCTGGATCGGACCTCAAGCTCATGCTGCCCTCTGGTATCCGGGGCTTCATCTGCAACCTCCTCCTCGTTTTGTTTTACCCGTAGAAATAGAGTCACACTCGGAAATCTAGTGAAGAAACAAGCTTCCTTCTGTTGGAATGCGGCTGAGTGAGCGTTCCCGTAGTCGGCCTCCGATCAAAACACGCTAGCCGAGTGCACTGGTTCCGCCGGGCGGGGTCAAATCCAGACGTGGCAGCCCAGGAGGGAGGCTGCTGGAGCTTGGCCTGTGCTGTAAGTAAAGCTTGCAGGAGGCAGGCCCGCGGGCCACGACACGCGCGCGGCCTACGTGCCAAGAAAACTAACAACTGCCGAAACGGCGACGGACATTGCGACTCATCAATTACACCGCGCCAGGGGTGGCTGGAGTCACACAGCGGGCGCAGACAGAGACATCTGTCAGGGCCGCCCCCTCCTCCCAATGGCGCTTACGTTGGTTAGCGAGACAGAATCAAAGCGGGCGACGGCGCTAGCGATGTGCAGGGCAAGCACCCAGCCCCTGCGCGCTGCCCTCCGGCCCGGCTGGCGACAAAGGGGGCGGCCAGGCTGAAGGGCATGCCCGCCGCCCCCCTGCCTCGCGGGGCACGGCGGCCGACCAGCTAGCACCAGGGGGCGGCGGTGGAGACACAACCAGGACCGCCGCCGAGCCGCCCGCCGGGGACGGAGGCAGAAAAGCAAGGCGCGCGCGCCCGCTCGCCGCGGGCTAGCTAATGGGGTCCACTGGGGCCGCGCGCCTCACTGCCTTCGTTTCGCGCCGGCCCGCGCTCCCGCGCCGCGCCACTTTTTTGTTGTTTCGCTTCCACCCACTTGCGCAGGTTTCCGGCGGGCCGTCCATCGTCGGCAGACGCCGCGGCACTACAACCATAGCCCGCCGCCCCGCATGCCGGAGGACATGCAACCGCAGCCCCCGCCACACTAATAAGGCAAACAACGGCCGGGGCGAACGCTCTCTGCGGCTCGGTGCAGGTTCTTGGGCGGGCAACCCGCCCTGGTCGCTAGCCGCCCAGCGCCGCCACCGCAAGGACCGCGCGAGGCAGGCAGCCACGGAGAACGAGGCACCGCTCCGGCCACTGGCTTCTCAAGCCGGTTCTTGGCTGGGAACAAGGCGAAACGCTCTCCATCGGTAGCTCTGAAGCAACTCGCATGCAGCTCTCCGTCTAGACGGACTTGCCTTTCATTGACAAATATACTTTTGTCTCAACATACATTACCAAAGCGACCCCTGTGGTCACTCAGTAAAGCTCGTCCGGAGCCACTCCAAAGCCCGCGTCCCTCATCCGCGATGATTTATTGGAGGTGCCAATCACTTTAGATATCCTACAGCAGTAGTACAGCCACTCCTTTACCTTCCTTTTTTCCTCACAAGTCAGCCTCTCGATTGGAACTGCAACTCAAAGCTGTGCCGGCAGATGAGCTTCAACGCCTGACAAAAGAACTCCCATCAGGCAAAATTCGTCAAACATGCCAGCCTGGCGCAAGTCATCGGCCGAATGCCATTCGCGGGCCCACCGGAATGTGGTCCAAAAACAAGTCGCGTCTAATTAAGACGCACAAACAGGTCGCGCCACACGGGAGACACCACTGACTATCTAGGCTACGACTCCGGCCAAAGGGTCGGGTGCCGCGCCAGGAGGCGCACCAAACTAACACACACCCACGCACGGACGGGCGCAGGGGGCCCACACTGTCGCGGGCAACCACTTCACCCAAGCCGGCACTCACACCGTCACGAACTGCCGCCCCACGATGAAACAACGTTCGCGCGCGGGGGCGGCGGGCCGGCAAGGCCAAACGAGGACGCTGCGCAGCGCGGGCGTGGCACCGCACACGGCAGGCCATTCAGAAAGAAACCAAAAGCCGCCACAGGGCAACGAACGGCGGCCGGGCGAAAAAGCACGCGCCAGCGTTGGGCGCTGGCCCGCCGGCCGGCGCAGTCTGCCGGCGTGGGCGGGGGGGCGTCCCACCGGGCTGCGCTGGCGGCTTTACTGCTTGGCGGCGCGGGCGCCCTCTCCCTGTCGGTCGTTGCCTCCTGGCGCTGGCCTGTCTGGCGCGAAGCCTTCACGCGCGACGTCTTCCGGCTGTTCCCTCGAACAGGCTTCGGCGCAGCGGGGTCTCCCCCGGGCCTGACAGTAGGCGGCCGCGAAGCTCTGGGGGGAGGGCAACTCAGCAAAAGCTAGCGCCACTTCCAGGTGCCAATGTGCTGGCAACTTCCCGAAGACGCGGAATCACCGCGCTGCCGCCATTGCAGGAAGCGCGGTAGTCGGTCACTGTGAGGAAGGAATCTGCTTCTGTTGCAGCTGTCACATGCTTGCTCGCGGCGGGGAACAAGAAGGAGACACGCTCGTCATTGGGCGCTGCTAAGCCACTCCGCTCTCCATCACGCGCGGAATTGCTTTTCTTTCAGCACATCTCGTAGTTTCATAGATACATAGTAGAATGATCCACTCCTGGTACGCTCACGGCCTCCCTCCTCGTCACTAAAGTACAACCCTCTGCCGTGCCCGCCCCGGGGCGAAAACGGACCAACGCACGTCGAAAAACAAGAAAAGACAACCTCTGCTGGCGCTTCCTGCTAAACCCGCCGGAACCAGTGTTCGTGGAGGAGGGTCCGCTTCTACTCCCTGTTAACGTGCGGCATTACAAACCTGCTGAAACGCGGGGAGACAGTTGTGATGGCAACTTCGGACAACGATTGTACGTGCGTATCTATGGTTACTGGTGTTAAAAACTCCAGTCAAAGCTCAATACTAGCCAGGTTCTTCGTCGGTCTTGTCCTTTGCTAATTGTTATGGTGGCAACATACTATTATTTTCCGTGATTCTAGTCTCTTGTTGGTAGAAGAAAACGAAAAGGTCGAAAACCATAGTGGTACTATCGATGTCAAATTACTGGTTTCTTTGCAGAAAAGCCGAAACAAATTACATTTTTGGTCGTTAGAAGCAGGCATGGCTACCATGACACGTGCAGCTCCAAGTCAAGCTCACAGGAAAATTTGCATTTTTCACTCTCAGGCGTCGTTTCACTTTTTCATGCATTTCCATTTTCACTATTTTGACTTATCAATCTTACTGTTTTGTTTTCTACAGTCGATGAAAAACACTTTTCTCGGATGGTTTAAACTTCTGAAACTTGTCGATGAATGATTGAAATCTATTGCTAATTCTATACCGTTCTAGTACTTTCTGGTACTGTAGCTACTCCAACTTCTATTTTCATTTTCTCCCCGCCTCTCCTGCCACAGAACCGCCATTTCCCGCGTCTCCTCCCCCACCATTATTCCCGTAGCCACCAGGAGTTGCTTCCACCTCATTGTTCCTCGGCTTCATCGAGAAGCACATCCCGAAACGGCTATGAACTGCAGAAGTGTCGTACTCGTATAAATGCATTTGCATTCATAAATATCCTCAGCATCAGAAATCAAATTTGTAATGCGGATATACGTTACGAAAAAGATTTGTAATGCATGACTGCAAAACCAATACGAGTACGATACTTTTGCAATGCATAACAGCCACCCGCTAACGATCTCCGCTTCCTTTCATTCAACTGCCAAGTGGATGTCTTCCCCACAATGTTGTCCGACTGCAGTTCTTTAATTATGGATGTGTCAGGATCGAGGTCAACAAAATTGAAAAGTTTGTGATGCGCAAAATGAATCCAGGGCACTGAAGGCCTCCCTGTATTGGGGAGCAGGCAAATGAGACCGACTGTGCGCCGCCTGTTTAGGGGTATACAATGTGCTGCCAGAGTAGCATGACAGAAGGAGTCTTCTTTGTCCAAACAGCATGACACACTGGATTTGGGTTCTCCCGAAATTTTTCATGCGGCACTTGAAGACTGATGCTCCAACTGACATCGATTTTGTGCATCACAAGTTTTTCGATTTTGTCAATTTCGATTCTGACACCTCCATATTAATCCGTCCGCTTTGAGCACTTCCGGTGGCCGTGGTTTGTTCTTGTACAGTTTCAAACGGTAGATCGCCTGTAGTTTTTCCGGGTACGAGCACGTTGTGCATCATGTTAAACTTGGCCTGTTGGAGTTGGTTTTGGAATTTGGTATTATTTCTAGTTGATGGAAAATGGAAAATCAATATCGGGATTTTGATTTTTACCGGATGTGGTAACAACGAGCTACGGAGAGCTGCAGAAAATTAGGATCCGCTTCTGAGGACCCATCGGGAAAAGAAAAATACGAAATTCTGCAAGGATCTTCGCGCACCAAAATCGTAGTTCTTTTGGTTATGCTTGTTATGCAACCACCTTGAATTATACGCGTGGAAATGCACCACACGAAATGATTTTTTTTGTAATGTATCTATTGTAACCACCTTCTACAAACGATCTCTTCGCGATTGTTCACAGCTTATTTTACAAGTATTTTCTAAACAAATTTCATAGAACTGGATGATGGAGGAGGAGGAGCAATGCTTTTATTTTGTTGATAAATTTCCCATCCAAAAGATGATGATGACGACCTTGAGCTTTCGATTTTTAGTTTGGAACTCAGAGCAGCTACTGGCGATTTCGGAATTTATTTATTTTATGCTTATGGAAAAAAGTACGTGAAAAAGGACTACGTAGTTCAAGGAAAATGACCTTCCTTGATTCTGATGTTGCGAACTTTCAGTGCGTATTTTTGTAGTTCTTTTTCCTCTGTTGACAACTTCAGATCAGCGCTGTTTCAGATTTCTACCGTCACATCTAAATTTTTGGCGTTTCATGAGATGCAATTAGAAATTTTCTAATCTCGGTGGCTGGATGTGAGAGAATGCCTCGCGCTAGTAATCGGGGCCGACAAGAATATCAGAATCGTACATGTCGGACCTCAAGCTCATTTCGGTGTTGCGCTCGCCTGTCCGGGGTGTCCTCATCACGAGTCTGCGCGCAAACAGGAGGATAGGGATACGCGTCAATAGAAATAAACAAGCTCTCCTTTTGCGTATAGAAACAGCCCTCGCACTCGGACTTGCAAATACTTAAACAGACTCCGCCGGTCTCAAAGCGATATAGCGTCAACTTCGCCGGAGCTGACCAGGCCTCCAATATGTGAATGTTGAAAACCAAATAAACCTGTCACCAAGCAGCGGCCCGCGAAAAGCGGACACGGCACCACCGGCCTACATGCGTTGTAGCTAGAAGGGCCCCCAGGCCCAGCCGTCTCATAGTCCGGCCACATCGAGCATGAGACGAAGGTAGGACGGAGGGAAACAGGCCAGCACGACCGCAACTCCAACGAAGGAATATCGCGCCAGAGGGCGCGCGCAATTATGCGCGCGCACGCGCGCGCCGGGGGGAGGCGGGCGGCACGTCTCAGACAGAGAGGCAAAATCGCGGCAGGCAAGTCCGCCGACTTCCACACCCCCGGGAAACATGCAGAAAAGGTGGCGAGGCAATATGTATCAACGATGCAACACCGGGCGGCCGGCCGGGGCGAGCCAGCTAGACCAAATACCCCCGGGCCGTGAAGGGTCTTCTACATAATGGCGCTGCCGCGGGCCGCCGGGGTGCATCAATCTGCGCGACGATGTCGCCCAAAAGGACGACGTCGGAGCTGCGCCGGATGCGTGTTTCCGCTTTGCCGTGTTTTCCCTTCGTCCTGCGCTTGAAAGCAACGCTGAACACAGACCGAAGGCCCTCCGGCGCCGATCCGTCTGCCTTCGCCCAAATCGAAACGCTCGGGCTCCCGCCTCTTCCAGGGCCATACCTGCCCAGAGTGATAACATCGCTGGGCCGTGGAGGGTCCACCAGTGGCGCTCCGTCCTGCCGCGCGCCGGCGGCGTACATCTGCAAGACCGACCGTGCCGCCCGCAAGCCACCGGGCGGCCGGCGGAAATGAGGCGCGCCGGGGCGCTGGGTGGGGCAGTTTCTGGCGGAAGGAGGCGACGCGCGCAGCCTGGGCGACGCGATTGCGATAGGATACTCAGCTTGTTGGCCGTTGCGTTGGTTTGGCCCGCTTCTCGGCACTCATACTTTTTTTCCTGCTGATAGGGCCCAGCCACATCTCGCCCACCAGCCCCGCGCCAACACGCACACACAGAAACAAAGGCGGCCGCGGATATCGAGCACAACACAACACACGAGCCAGCGCCCCCTCTCCCTCCATGATCGCCGCCTCTCGGATGGCCGGCATGATCGCGGCCGGCGCAAGCCCTGGGCGCCACCGTGGTAAGCATCAGCGCACTAGAAATAGACCACCTTGGAAGAAGCTGTACCTGCTGCATGTTGATCATTGGCTGGAGGGGATGGACGACAACAAGCATGAGTCACACTCGTCATTGACTGCTTCAAAGCCTCTCCCCCCTCAGTCAAGCTCACACAAAAATGCCGGTCTAGTTTACTCATAGACCCTCCACCGCTCCTGGAACGCTCTGTCCCGACCCGGTAGATGAGCCATGTCAATTCCCTCGACCGGCAGAAGAGTTTTGTCTGAGCAAGCTGCCTGAGGAACTCTCATCAAACAAAAGTCGCCAGCTATACCTGACGCCATTCGGGGCACAGCCGGAGCGCTGTCATGCTGCCCGATAATATATCATTTCATTTTATTTGAAACACACACACAGGCAACATCGGCGCCACACAAGAATGAAAGCCCACCGCCAGCACGGCTGTGGCCCCAACGAGAGGTCGCCACGCCAGAAAACGGGCCAAGCACGCACGCATGGGCGCAGGGCAACACACAAACCCCCGGAGCGCGGGCAGCGCCCGCAACACCGTCAACAACTAGCTCGCCCACCGGCCCCTTTGCACAGACGGCGGAACACGCTGGGGCATGAGGCGGCCGTTGGGGTAAAATTGAGGCCCGGGCGGCCGACAGGCAGACTGGCTGCCCGCGCGGCCGGCCGCAAAGAAGATGTGAGAGGGCCACCATTGGGCGACCGGCGGAGGCAAACAGGCCGCACGGGCACCAGTGGCGCCGGCCGGCGAGGGAGGGCGGCAAGCGGGCGGCGGCGGCGTGCGCGGGCTCGTCTTCGCGTTTTTTTTAGCGCCTTGCTGCTTTGGGAGTCGGAACACGGCCGCCGCGCGCTCTGGAGCTTCTTGCCAGACTTTGCTGCGCCATCGAGCCGGGCGATGCCCTACTTTCTTCGCAGCACCCACCCGGCCCACGGGCCACAGATCAAGTGCCCGCGGGCGAGGGTTTTCGGGGTATGGAAGAACGCACTTGGCCGCGCCATCCCCCCCCTGCGGCGGCCACTTCGCGTCGCCGCCATTGCAGGCAACGCGCTAGCCGGCGACCGCGAAGAGGGCGCCTGCGCCGCCTGCAGCCGGTTGCCATGGTAAGCGCAAGCGTGCTTCGCTAGAAACAAGGACGAGGCCGCGCAATCGTCGTCGGAAGCTGCAACCGAGCCACTTAACATACCATCACATCACGACAAGGAATCGCTTCACAAGTTCTATATTTACAGAAAGTAGAACCGCTCCTGAAACGCTCGCGCTCTCCATCAAGGCTGTAGATCAGCCACGGCAGTACTGCCCTCGTTTGATCCCCCACCGCATCAGACTTGCGGCGAAAACGTAACACCACACGAAAACGAAAAGATGAGCAAGAACCGCTGGCGTTTCCTACCTGACCCATCGAAAAACCAGTGTTCGTTGACGAGGGTCCGTTTGTATTCCCTCCTGTTGACGTGCTCCATTACATCAACCCTGCTGAAACGCGGGGAGACAGTTGTGATTGAAACTTCGGACAACGAGGGTGCGTGTCGTCGTGTATCTATGGTTTACTAGTGTTAACTCCAATGTTCAAAGCTCAATACTAGCCATGTTCTTGGTCTTGCCCCTGGCGAAGAGAATCAAAATGTAATTATTGTGGCAAGAACATACTGCTTTCCGTGATTCTATTCTGTTGAAACCGTACTACCCGTAGTCATTGTGTGGGGCGTTAGAAACCATGGCAAATAAACTACTTCATGGTCGAAAGCTTGCAACACAAATACAATTTTAATTTTTGTCATGAGAAACAAGTATGTCTACCATGACACGTGCAGCTCCAAGTCAAGCTCACAGGAAAATTTGCATTTTTCACTCTCAGGTGCCGTTTCACTTTTTCATGCATTTTCACTATTTTGACTTATCAATATTACTGTTTTGTATTCTACAGCCGATGCAAATTATTTTCTCGGATGGTTTAAACTGAAACTTGTCGATGAATGATTGAAACCTATTTCTAATTCTATACCGTTCTAGTACTTTCTGGTGCTATAGCTCCCCCAACTTCTATTTTCATTTTCTCCCCGCCTCTCCTGCCACAGAATTTCCACTCCCCTCTCCTCCGCCACCATTCCCACAGCCACCAGGAGTCGCTTCCACCTCATTGTTCCTCGGCTTCATCGAGAAGCACATCCCGAAACAGCCACCCGATAACGATCTCCGCTTCCTCTCATTCAACTGCCAAGTGGATGTCTTCCCCACAATGTCCGACTGCAGTTCTTTGATTCGTCCGTTTTGAGCACTTCCGGTGGCCGTCGTTTGCTCTTGTACCGTTTCAAACTGGTGTAGATCGCCTGTAGTTCCACTTCCAGGTACGAGCACGTTGTGCATCATGTTAAACTGATCTCCCTCCAGTACCTCATTCTTCAGCGGCGACTGTTTCCACTTTCCTTTCTGGCTCGCATGATTGTTCACGGAAGTGGTCGTTGTCAGGAAACTCCGGATGCTGGAGGTTATTGACGCTAATCCTAGACCCCGTAAAGACCTGCTGTTTCCGTAGTGCACTAATTTCGTCGTGGATTTTACTCTCCCGACTGTCGACGTGGTTTTATTCCCGGTGGTATCCTGTGCAAAAGTATCGCGCGCGTAGTACTAAAACTAATTGCAAATATGCATGACAAATATTTTTCTTAGGGAAAAACAGCATTACAAATTAGAATTACACTTTTCTTCTTGCCAAAATTTGTCATGCAATTTCTACTAGTACGGTACTTTTGCAATGCGTAGGTAGTAGATGAATCAAACCCGGCGATTTGTACCCCCATTCCGGATTTCGTCTTCTCCAAGGGCATGTCCTCTTGAAAATCCAACAAAGTTCCCTTGGGCGGGGCGCGCTTGCTGTTTTTATCCACGAGAATGATGTCTCTGGAGGGGTATCCTGTGCAAAAGTATCGTATTCGTAATCGTATTGCAATCATGCATTACAAATCTTTTTGTTAAGTCAAATACGCATTACAAATCTTATTTCTCATGCTGAGGGCGAAATTTGTAAATGCATTTATACAACTAGTACGATGCTTTTGCATTTGATAAGGGGAGGTAGGCGTCAATTCCTTCTTTCTGAATCAACTCGATTCTTTCCAAAACGTTTTGCTTCACCACGTACCAGCAGTCTTATCCTGTGCAAAAGTATCGCACAACTCGTAGTTTAGTACTAATCGCAATTATGCATCACAAATCCAGTTTCCAAGGCATATCTGCATTACAAATCCAATTTGTAATGCTGAGCCTATTTGTATTGCGATTTATACTAGTACGATAACTTTTGCAATGCATAAGTCTATCATGTTGTCGATCCCGAACAAAACCCCGTCTTCGTGGTTCCCTGGTTGCCATATCCTGTGCAAAAGTATCGCACTCGTACTAATCGCAATCATGCATGACAAATCATGTTCTTAAGGTAGAACAGCATGACAAGTTCCAGTTTTCATGCTGAGCAAATTTGTAATGCAAATGCCATTTATACTAGAAGGGTACTTTTGCAATGCATATGCCACGGTACCCGGTGGTTCAATTCGACCGTCACTTGATCTGTTGAGGCTGTAGAGGAAGATTTTGTTTTTACAACTACCGGGGGGGTAATGGTATTACTGGCAGTTGCAGCAGTTCCTGTGTTGCCAACTCGTGCTCCCTTGGAAGAAGGTGATGCTGCACCTGCAGTAGAAGGACAAGTTGTCTGGTACACTGGGTGTGTTTTCGCCAAATCTATTAATGCGATACAGGACTTGGCGTGTTTGTCTGCCACCATGAGCAAGGAGCAGCCGATGAATTCGTGGCGGCGGAAAAAGGGCGAAACTATCGCGTCCATGCGGAAAGAGTGAAGGCTGTGAGAATGTTGATGGATTCCAATCGGGTAGAAATCACCATGACAAACTCGATTTGTCTTCCATGAGAATGCATGAGAAACTACTTGATCAAAAATTCAAAACAGTTCTGTACTCTTGCAGGAAGTTGTCGCAGATCTTCACGCATTTTTCCAGCTGCTCCTCGTTAATCTTTATCCACTGCAAAACCACCGTACTTCTAGCTAGTTGTAATTATCGCCATCGTGCATGAGAGATCCTCCCTCATACCTAACGCTGCATCACCAGTTGCAATTTCAATCGAAAAGAATATAGAAAAAAAATCTAAATTTGTCATGCGATGACGATCTATACAACTGACGAGTACGATCCTTTTCCCCGCCTCCATAACCTCCGATGGCGCCGTTGGGTTCTTTCCACCTGTCGACTTCGCTTTCGACACGGTTCTTGTGGTGACGAGCGGTAGAAAAACGGTGGACAAGAATTTTACCACGTCCTCCTTCGTTTTGTTCTGCTGCAGTTCTGCCTTCGTGATGCACACCTTATGCCCCGCGCAGCCGTCAATACGCCAACCCTCTGCGGCGGTGGTTGTTTGCGAATCATGGATGGTCATCCACCTGATAAGCGAATATAATAGTGGTTGGCGTTTGGTGATGCTGATGTCAACTAACATTTTTCAAGAGGGTGGCGCAATGGAGAAACTACTGAAATGATCGGATGCAAACTGCGCATGACAAATCGGCATCATGAAAAATATACACAAATTATACCGGAACTTCGTTATCTTCCTTCTTTTATCCTGTGCAAAAGTATCGTAGTCGTACTCGTATCAATGCAAGTCTTGCATTACAAATCTTTATCTTAAGGGAAATCCGCATTACAGATTTTCTCTCTCATGCTGAGGAAATTTGTAATGCATTTATACGAGTACGATACTTTTGCAGTTCATATCTTTCCTTCTCCTCGTCTGTTAACAGCCACGGTGCGAGTGCCTCTGCTTTCAGAAACAGATCCTCCCTTAAGGTCTTATGGCGTTCTCAAGCGTTACTGTTACATTCTCAGCTGTCTCAGCTGTTCCGTGATTTGTCATGTGCAATGCGCATAAGCATCCACACGAGAAAGCTACTTCGCATGACAAATTTTTGAAGACCTAAACATCAAATTTGTAATGCGAGAGGTGCAAGCTCCAATGTTTTACTTTTGCCATGCTTGCATGGCAAATTCATGTACCAGTTGAGAATGTACCGTTTGAGAACGCCATAGGTTTCGTTTTTCGCTTCGGACTCCAGGAACGTGCGGAGACCCAGCTTGCAGTCGAGGACGAAACTGATGTGTGGTTTTTTTTATTTTTCGCATAGGTACGCATGGGTAATTGGAATTGCATGACAGAATCTTCATGTGATCGCAATATGCATGACAAACTTCAACTTCTGCACCTACCAAAGCACCACAGGTTCATCTTCAAAACACCAAAACACTCGAAATAAACATCAAGTACGCTTCGTCATAGTCCTGGTTCGTCAGGTTCTCCAGTCGCAAATATTCCTTGCCAGTTTCCGGATCGGTTGTCTCCCCGCCGTAGTGCGGCGTCCAGTTCTGCAAGGGGTCTGCGGAATTGGAATATAGTTCCTTGTAATTTTTCGCCTCCACTGGGTCCTTCTTTTTTAAAATGTACCCACTCGCCTCTTCATCGTTCAACACTTCTTTCACCACGTCTCCCGCGTATGCATTGCAAAAGCACTGTACTAGTAGTTGCAATACAAATTTTTCCAAACGAGTAATGTGGAATTGGATACACGGACAAAATTTGTCATGCATGGTTGCAAATCCAAATTAATATAGTACGGGTACGATCCTTTTGCATTGCATACTGCGTGTCCGGCCGCTATTCTGGTCAAATGTCGCATGTTGGACCGGTGGGTGATCCGGGTTTTGGGGACGGGACTGTGATTTTCATTTTCGGTTAAGGTTCTATATGAAAGAACGTGAAACAATTGCAATTGGAACAGGAGCTAAATTTGCATTATGCATTTCACCCTAGGTAGAGGCAGCAAGAAATGCTTGCGCCTCGTAGTGCATTGACACAGCACAAGTTAACGACGTATTTCTATTTACTATATTTTTACCTCAACACCCTTCTGCTCGATCCCGTCCCGATTTTTATCAAATGTAAAAATGTCTGGGTCTGGAAGAATGCAAGACTTGTGATGCAGGTTTTCCATGACCCACGAGGTCTGGAATGCGAGACCCAGCATGACAGATTTTTTGAGGTCTCTATCATGCCTTTCCTGCATAAGAAACTCCCTCTCAACTTCGTCAAAAGCGGACAGCTTTTGGTACTCACGCAAGGCAGATTTTTGCGTCATTCAGATTTAGCATGACAAGATTCAACCTTCCAGACCCAGACATTTTTACATTTGATAATTTTCATCAAACTACTACACGCCCGCTTCGACGACCCATCCTCACCCGCGTGACTTGCTGTTGCGGACGAACTTTGCCCATCGTTGGTAAAGTTCCGCTCGATCAGCCGGTCTACGACCACCGCGGGGGAGTCAATTGTCGGGGACTCCGCGGTGCTGGAGGGTACCGCGGTGGACTGGTTATTGTTGTCTTTTTCGAACGTGTCTACCTCATGATTGCTATCGTTGTTCGCGGTGGGTGAGAAGTTGCCGTTGTGGTTGTGAAAGTTGACGGAGTTCGGAGGAAGGGGCGGCGTCGCGTCCGCGGGTGGAGGGGAGTCGGAAGTGGGGCTCGCGAAGTGGGCTTGGCGAAGGGATTCCAGTTGGGCGGACGTGATGGGGCCGCCCATGGTGGGTGCTGGGAGGGTTTTTATTTCGGTGGCGAGGTGGCAACGCTGCTCGGCCCTGGTGCTGCTGACGGCCCCATTAGCAATAGCATGTAGATGAAAGTCGATTTTTTTTGTTGTTCACGAACGTCAACAAACAGACCTTTTCCTTTCTCCCTCTCTGTCAGGAGATCGCGATGCTTTGGTCCCATCCTCCACCACACTCAGGACCGACCTCTTCACGAAGAGGGTCCTCACTTCGGTGTGAGTGAACACAGCTGGCTGGCAGGCTCCAAACAACCTCCGGTAGCCCACTTGATAGGTTCCATGACAATCGTGTTCTTCTTCATACACACAAGTACAAACTAACGCGGAGCGCGGCATGCTCGCCCCCGACGAATAACGCGAACGGGCTGCGCGACGGACACACAGGCAAAGCGCGCGGCCCACTGCGACCGCCCTGTAGCCGCTATCGCAATCTTGGGGGCCCGCCAACACAGCCAGCCCACCGGCCCGCCGTCCGGGGCTTGCGGCAACAATGCGGACCACACAACAACAATGAACCGAGAGGAGGCGCCGGCGCCCGCCACCCCTGGACGGGGTAGGGCATGCCGGCAAGGCCCACCGCGCGAAGCGGCGCGGCCAAGCGTGGCGCCGCGCGCATTCTGCGCGCCCGAAGTCTGAAACCCCGCCGGGGCAAAGAAAGAAACAGGCAAACCCACAGGCGCGGCGGCTGCGTCCTGCCCTGCCGATGTTGATCTTAGGGTGGAAGCCAGCGACCGTGGCGCGACGGCTCTTTTGCTTCGGGCCCACCGCGGAAGAACGCGGCCAACTCGTCGGATTTCCGCACAGTCTGCGATCCCCGGACCGGCTACCATAGCGAACTGGGCCGATTTGCTGACGCCTGGACGCTCACCGCCAGCGCCGCGCCACCCGGCGGACGGGGGGGCGCGCGCGGACACGCCAGCCAACGCAAGCGCTTTGCTTCGCGGAGGAATGCCACAGGCTATCCGACTTATGGCACCAAAGAAGTATTTTGTTTTCAGGGATACATACTCTCCTCCGGGAAATCTTCGTGCACTGCATCTCACAAGGCCCTCTCTCCGTTGTTTCGCTACATGTTTTCGCTCACTAGCCGTAGTAGAAGCCCCTCACCCTCATACCGTGTGAAGATGCAACCTAAGTAGAACAGTAGACTACCTTGGCTGCGTAGCCAGCTCAATCAGTACCGCGACATGGAGTCTTTTTGTTCACCAGTTTCTTTTCGTCTTCGTTCATCCGTCATGCTGCTGCTCACAAGCACAGCCACCTCCAGCGTTTCATCACGTCCGCGACAGCACACAGTAAAGTGCCGAGGGAGCAACTGCTGGGCCAAATCAGCAAGCTGCAATGCTATTTCATCATTAAATTTCCTTTTCCACCACCACCAGCCACATTCCCCAACCTCACCTCACCTCCAGAAGATGAACCCCGCTTGTAGTTCTCATACCTCAACTCCTGGTGTCTCCGCATGACATATGCCGTCGCGACGAAGAACACGTACTGCATACACATGGCCGCCACCAACTTTTGACTTTTCCCGCTGAGCGCATCACGAAAAATGTTCACCGTCGCCCCCAGCCCGGCCCCGTACCCGCTTCCGTTGACAAAGACCAACACAAACCCCCACGCGGCGTTAACGTAGTTCGGAAAGTGGTAGCTCACGATCGGGTGGGTCCAGAACCGGGTTGTAGCGGAAGAGATCTGATTGACGGGGTTCTGTCGTTTTCTTGAAGATAATGTTTCTAGTTCTCCTTCCTCTGCAGCTGAGCCTAAGTCGTAGTCCTGGTACACTTTCCGATACTCCTATGAGAGTGCACAACTCCCCCTCCCTCTCATTTGTATAGCATCAGCAGCAACAGAAGCAACGCTACAAATGTAGCTTTTGCATGACAAATCCGTAAGTGGAATGTAGTCCTACTTGGGCGTTCAAAACTTGTTATGCGCAGAGTGGTTAAAGGCCAGGCGTGGATTAGGTATTTTGCATGACAAATGAGGGGGAGGGGGAGTTGTGCACCGTCATAACTCCTTTTCCATTTTCCCGATCCACATTCCCGAAACCAGAAACTCGAACATCAGAAAACCCGCGTTATGACCTGCAAGAGTATCGAACTCGTAGTAATCACAAATTTTGTTTCTCATGCTGAGGAAATTTGTAATGCACTTACACGAGTACGATGCTCTTGCATTTCATACGCGTTTAGCAACCCCCAAACCAAGTACTGTTTCTCCAGATCGTGGTATCCAAGAACAAAACTGTGCGAGTGTAACAACTTTCTTGGAGAAATAGCATCACAAGTTTGGTGCTCTGCATGACACAGAAAACCTGTCATGCGTAGCTAGCATGTGAAAACGCTTACGAAAAGAGCCTCTGATGCATGTCCAGCATGACAGGTGTAATTGTCTTGCATCGTCTGCAACACAAAGTTACAGTTACACAGTTTTTTCCTTGCATACGTGCCAGACCGCGACGAAGAAAAAGATCACCCACACATTCGTGAATTTCCGCTCCCGGCTATCAAGCAAAAAAGTGCTAAATGTGTTTACAGATTGCAGTCACGCATGACAAATCTTGCCCAGCATGCATGCTATGCAATACAAATTGAAATTTGGGCACCTTTTCTTCATCTGATACATTACTGCATCACAAATTCCGTTGACGTTTTTAACACTTTTTCTTGTGATACCGGCCGCCTAAGGGGAGGTAGATGTACCTGATCAGCCACTTGTTAAACGAGCAGTGCCAGCTATGGAAGCGTCAGGTTTGAAATCGTCAAAGTTGAAATAATTTGTAATGCGTAAAATGCGATACAAAAAGTGACTCTATTGCAGAGGACCCACGGGATGCAGATTATAGTCCTGGTAGGGGTCAAAAGTTGGACTGCTAACTAGCATGACAGAAGGCAGCTCTTTTGCCCTAAACCGCATGACAGACTCGCTTCCAGGACCGGAAAGGTTTGTCATGCACCGACTACAAACTGTAGGTCTAACTGGTATCCGTTTTATGCATGACAAACTATTTCAACTTTGACGATTTCAAACCTGACACGTCCATACCAGCCCTGCCAAAATCCTTGCAGCGTCGTGTTGTTGTTAAAACACCCATTCTGCATGTTTTCCACACAGTCAATATGCGTTGCAAAAGCATCGTACTAGTTTGAACCGCATCATGACAAATCTTCTCAAGAAGAGAAGTGCAATTTGTGATGCAGATCATTCCGGTAAGAAACTAGATTTGTCATGCAATCTTTCGATTTGTGCGAGTGCGATCTTCTTGCAATGCATAATCGATCCCCATCAGCAGCGTCCAGAAGCGGAAAAACCGCCAGAGGGTTGCGAATTTCAGCCAGAGGACACAGAGAATCCAGTAAATCATCTTCACTGCGAGGTAGGAGGTGTCAGTCGCGTCTGACTGGTGCAGCTTCATTCCTACTGATTGCGTCGAGTCAGTTGATTTTGTCGTGTCGCTTGACGAAGAGAGCAGTTTCGTCTCCACCGGGGGTTCCAGAGTCGCTCCGGTAAGCCATTTTGGGATGAGAAACTCCGAGCGAATGATGGCGTAGACCGGCATGAAGTGCAGGAAGAATTCGAGGAGAATGTAGCAGGGGAGAAACTTTCGGAAGAAGTATTTGACGGCAGCAGAAACCGGGATTATTTCTGCTGCAGGTTTTGCATGCCCGTCGGCTGTAATTGTTGTGGTTGATATTATCGACGCATTTTTCAAAAACTCGTCGTAACCAATGAGCGGACCCGCGATGTAGAGCGGTGGGTAGAACACGTAGGTAAGCAGGTTGGAGTAGGAGAAGGTTGATGGTGATGTCGATGCAGCTGAGTTTGTCATGCTGGTCTTGCTATTTGGCGATCGAGGCGAAGTAGTTGTTTGTGATGCTGGATTCGCATAATTGTTCTTTCTCGCAGTGCTTCCTGAGCGGTGTCGTACGCCATCACGAACTGCTCTGCTTCCATCTGGAGACTGTTCGACGTGATTTAGATTTTCGCTTCCACCTCCTGCTGCGGCCAACTCCACATCCCGCACGACAGGCTCATTTCTGTTATTCTCTATTTCCTTCGCGATTTCGTCTTTTCTTCTTGCGTAATCGATTCCAAAGGAGAGCAGTTTTATCACGATGAAGCGGCAGGTTACGTGCACGTCCAGAGGCCCGGTCAGCATCGGAAGTTTCGTTGATTTTGCGGTGTGTGAAAATGGAAAAGTAATTTGTAATGGTGTTTGGCTGATTCTTTTACGGTAACCCACACCGTCGTGAGTGATGCTATACAGGAGGGCATGATGCAGTCCATCTTAGGAGAGAGATAACACCATCGGGAATAACATGATACACCAAGGTGTTAAAAGACTACGGTTCTCGCCCACTAAACTGTTTTCCGGACAATCGCTAGCATACCATCGAGAATAACTTTATCCTCGATGGTGTCCCAAGGGTTTCTAAGCTGCGATCACTATACCCTCGCGTATAACTTCATGCAGCATGCTGCCACTGAGGTTGAAGACGTTGGTGTGCCGTTTTTGATACAGCCGCAACATACTGCAGTGCTTCGTACACCGTTCTGCAAAAGAGTCACACCACGACCATCACAACCGACATTTCCTCTCCCATACTCCCGTCACAACCGCTATTCGCACTGCTTCAAACGTATCAAATGCAAAAATGTCTGGGTCTGGAAGAATGCAAGTTTGTTATGCTTGTCTGGCATGACTCGAGAATCTGTGTTGCATAGGCACAAAAAGGCCCTCTTACCTGTCACGCAAAAACGCAGTTTGCCATGCGGAATACGTAAGACATGGCAGCCAAAAAATTTCTCATGCATAGCTTCGTATTGCAGTGCGTCTATCATTTAACTTTTAGCATTCCAAGTGTCCCGACTCAGACATATTTGCAATCCATAAAACGGTCCTAGCACCATCTCCACCATCTTCGCATCCAAGTACCCGCTAATCGTATTCCAATCCCGCAAGACAAACACGAAGACCGCAAACGCCCAGGAGAAAACCCGCGGAAACCGGTTCCATTCCGCTCTCACGACGGAATAAAACACCGTGTAGAGGAAGAGCACGTAGAGAAAGCCGAGTATTCCGTGGAGGTAAAGCACAAATCCACAGCCCAAAAAGAGCAGAACGTGTTTATTCCGCTTCGAAACCCGGAAGAAAAAGCTGAAAATCGCCGCAACTAGGAGTAAAATCGGCAGGGATTTCTTGATTTCCCGCCACTGGATGTCCCCGTCGTCACGGCGGATTTGGTTGTCTTGCGGAAATTGAAGAATAGGCGCAAGTAATCCAGCGATCGCGGCTTCCCGAATTTGGATTGGCGTGATAACTACACTCGGGGGTAGCTCCACAACGCCATTTGGCTTCAACTGCAGGTACCGTGCGCACTGCGGGGTGTCCAGGCATTGGCCACGAAGTTCTGCGGCGACTCTCTATCAAATGCAAAAATGTCTGGGTCTGGAAGAATGGAAGTTTGTCATGCTTGTCTGGCATCACTCTCAAGCCTGTCATGCACATTACCCAAAAGCCCTGCTTTTCTGTCATACAGAAGCTCACTTTGCCATGCAGAAAAGCCAAGACTACAGCACCTCCAAAACTTGCCATGCTTGCCAGTCAGTTGAGGCGTCCTCGTCTTTCTCAACCAGCATCACAAGTTTCCAGACCCAGACATTTTTGCAGTTGATACTCTCGGGCCGTCGACGAACAGGAAGTAGGCTAAAATTGCGGTTGCGGAAATCCATTCAAGGTAGTAGAGCGGGCTGGAGGGAGGGGCGGCTTGCTTCACGTTGATGGTCTTGTAGAAGGGGATTTTGGACGAGCGCTTGTTTTTGGCAGAAGAAATAGCGGTGGACGAGGAAGACATCTTGTTCCAGGAGACTAGAACTACGCAGTGGATTTAGATGCTGTTTTGCAAAATACGGTGACAGATACCCCCACGACATCGCTTCAAGTGATACATCAAAACGAAAACGCCAGAAGAACTCCTCTCGGGTTGATGAACCGGAAATACCGATCTAGATGTGAGTGGTGCTGCACCACTGGCAGGGCCAGAAGAAAATACCTTCAAACAGGAACACTCCCTGGAACACGACAAAGGGAAAGTCACATATCAGAGCCACAGGGGGCGCTCAGAGCCAGCGTCCCAACGCAATGGGCGCTGGCTTGGGAGGTCCGAAGACCCTTCCAATGCAGTCACAGAGGTCAAAATCCGCGGCAGCCAACGCGCTGCCCTGTTGCCGGAGAATAGAGCGCCACAACGAACTCACAGTCTCGGTGGCCGCGCTATGTGTGTTAGATAGCGCGCGCGGCCCGCCGCATCGGCCAGAAGACAAACTCGCTGCGGCCCGCGAAATTATCTCCGCCTCTTGGGCCCGACCGAGAAGTGGGCGCCTGGTAGGGCGGGATGCGCGCATTGCATAAAACCTGGGCCACGCGCACGGGCCGCCCCTCCCAATGCAGCCGGCGGCCGAAGCATGCGGCGGCAAAACCAGCAAGCGCGCGCCGGGGAAGGCGGGCCCCGGCGAATCGGGCCGCCTTGGTTCGCACTGAACACAGGGAGGCGGGGCGTCCGGGGGGGCACCAATCAAAAGAAGAGGCGGCGGCATCTCGCCGCTTGGGCTCTCTCTGACAAGATGAGCGGGCCGGCGGGTGTGGTGTTGGCACGTGAAGACGGCCTCCATCAGTTCCGTCGGCAAGGTCCACCGAAACAGCGCGCGGCGCCGGGTCCTTCATTCTGATCTTCGCTAGCAAGTCCATCGCCGCACAAGTAGCGGACCGAAGCCACGGGAGCAAATGCCCGCCGGCGCCGATGAAGGTGAAATCGCAAAGGGCTGGCGCCGGGCGGGCTAAGGCCAACGGGCCCCGGTGTCCTTAGGGCTACGGCCGTCGCCGCTTCCCGGCTGCGACCCGCGCTCCTCGCTGCGCGCCTTGCAGACTAAGTACCCGGCCCGTCGCATTGCTCGCCGCCGCCGCGGCTGCCTCAAATCACTCCCGCCCGGCCGCCATCTTTTCACACTTTCCAGCTCCTCCTAAGTTCGAAGCTGAGTTATGGGAAAGGATCAGGCTGCGCGGTCTCTTAGAATCAAACAAAACATCTTCTCTAGGAAGTGACTCTCTGCTCACACAAGTAACGCTCTCAAGAACGCATGTGCCACTCAATCATAAAAGTCTTTCTGAAGTCGTACTCAGAGGTCAGCCGGTACTATGGCAAAATACTCACATGAACGAGGGATACAACCTCGCCGCGTCTGACCAGAACATCGACGGAAAATTTTATGAACAAGCAACAGCGGATAGGTTTTGGTGCTGCTCTTCCTGACAGGGGGAGCAAGAACGACGGCTGGCAGAAATAGTGTGGTGATTCGATGGTGCTGTTGTTGTTGTTTCCAACGCAAGATATGCTGTTAATTATGGTCGTGCACGTGCTCGTGCAATTCATGTTTTTCTTTTCATCGTTTTTACTTTCAATCGCCTCAACAACAATGTTGCACCCAAGACCCTCCTCCACATCACCGCTATAATGATTTTCCATCAAAATCCGCCTCATCGACTCAAACTCGGATTGTTGTCGAGGCAGATGTTCGAGTAGCACAGATGGCAGTCTTATCCAGTAGAAATAAACTTTTGCGCACACTGTCGTCCAGTTTGTATTGCATGTCCCGGATGAAAATCAGATAAACAAATCTTCTACTTATGCAATCATGCGGAACATGCAATACAAAGATGGCGCCAAGGATGTATGCCCATCTTCCTCTCTTCCTAACTTGGTCGTGTCGCCGCAGATTTGGTCCACATTCTTCGAGCAGTCGCTGTTTGGATTTTTTTCAAAACGAAATTTGTCATGCATCGACGCCACGAAAGTGCCCCCATGCAAAGCCAAAACCTGCATGACAACCTACTTCCACAACAACATCAAAAAAGAAATTCCCACTTACTCGTCCTTGCAGCCGATCTTTCTGCACACGCCCATCCTATGCAGGAAAAAAACTGTGTAAGTGTTAATCTGTGATGCAGAAAATGCAAAACAGTTATACTTGTCATGCTCGACACGCATGATCGGCTCCATTCCTATGTGTTTTCCCTTACTATCTGTGCATGACAAGTTTTTCCTGTCATGGCAGACGAACTTGTGATGCTGTTTTCCCAAAAGACTTACACCAACACAGTTTTTTTCTTGGATACTTCCCACACGTCGCGCAGTACACCGTACAACCGTCAGTATGCATTACAAATCGTTGTACTTGTATGATTCGCATTTGTGCATGACAGATCTGGTTGCTTAGCAAAATTGTGCATGACAAATTTCTTTTTCTACTTTCTTGCAAATAAAAACTTGTCATGCGAACCATACTAGCTACGATCCTGTTGCCATGCGTAATCAGAATCCGTCAGCAAATCCGTTCTTTCCCCAAACCATTCCGCGGTTTTCCCACTGGCGGTCTCCTTACTCGCATCATCTGCAAAAGTATCGCACAACTCGTTGTAGTTCTATGACTATGTTGCACTTGTGCATGACAAATCCTGCTTTCTACCGGAACCAGCATGACAAATTGCATTTCTGTTCTTGAGAAGATTTGTGATGCGATTCATACTAGTACGATACTTTTGTGATGCATAACTTGTTGCCTTGCACTCGCCAAACACGACCTCGTCCATGAGCTTTTTCTTGTCGTACCGAACCGACGCGGTTATCCCTCCGGCGGTTAACAGAGTCTCCATGTTATCCCCGTTGCCGACCTTGCTTTCCAGGTCGTCGCAGCTCATGGCGGTCACGGTGCCGTTGTGGTAGAAATGCCGGTCGATCATGGAGCGCGGGTATGAATTGCAAAAGTATGGTATCGTACTCATATAAGTGCATTACAAATTTTCTCAGCATGAGAAATAAAATCTGTAATGCTGATTTACCTCAAGAAAAAGATTTGTAATGCATGATTTCCATACGAGAACGAGTACGATACTTTTGCACAGGGTAGCGGGGTAGTGGTGGTCGTGGCGAGAAAAGCGGCGCAATCCCCGTAGCCCGGGTAATTCACGGTGAGCTTCTCGGTGCCTGCCGCTAGCTGGACGTTCCCGTCGCAGTCGTACTGAAACTTGTTGTACGCGCGGTGACAGGTCGGAAGAATCGCGGCACACCTTCCCTTATTCTGTGCAAATTCATCGTGCTCGTCTTAATTGCAGTCGTGCAAGACAAATTTCTTTTTCAAGCTAAATCAGCATGATGACAAATTTATTCATTTCTCATGCTGACCTAATTTGTATTGCAATACAAATACTACGACGAGTACGATACTTTTGCAATTCATATCCCTCGTAGGTCGGCGGATTGATCTTGTACGTGTCGGTTCCTTCGTATCCAAAGCAGGCGAGGTAGTACCTATTGATCAGTGTAGGTTGGATTTTGTCATGTGAAATCTCTAGTGGAGAAAAACAAAAATCTGTCATGCATGTAGCGGAATCTTCATCAAGATGAAATAAAACATCACTAGATTCAATACGCCAAGCAGCTCTGCTGGCAGACATCCGGATTCGAGGCCGTGCTGACCGCAAGGCAAATGTTACTCACGGTTTGCCCAACCGTTGTGCGCTGTTCTGATTTCTGCACAGTTGTAGTTGTTTCCTCGCGTTGCATCAGGCTTCCGGGCGAAGATGCAGTTCGTGAAGCGGAGTCTGATGGTTTTGTTCTGCTAGAAGTACTTCCTGTTGTTGCAGCCGCTTGTGTTGCGGAGGTTTCGGCTGCTGCTGCTGCTGTCGGATCTTCTTGTTTTTCATATTCATTTTCATTGCCAGCTTCCTTTTGTTCGGCTTCCCCTTCACCGCCTTCTGCTGCTCCGTTTTCTCGATCCAACAGAGCAAATGTGCTGTCCGTTGTTGTGACCGTCGCCCCTTGGGGTTTGATGTCCATGTCCACTATGGTGGCGGAAACAGCCGAGGCGGAGAGGAGAAGGGAGGAGAATTTTGAAAATTTGCTTCTTGAAGCCGACACGCGTCCGACACAGGAAGACGTCGACATGGTCGTCTTCATCTTGCTGCGCGATTTATCATTTTCTGAGTTGTTCTTGTAATTGTCACTTTGTCCTCGCATGATCCTCGTCTTGCGGGCGTCGTGCACCTGTGCAAAAAGATCATAGCGGCCACATGGAATTCCAATTCGGTCTCCTGGCCGATTTCGTTTCGGTGTGGTGGATTCTCGTGAGGAGAAAGCTCCTCTTGTTGTCAGGTCGCAGCCGCAAACCTCCCTGTTCTCATCGTCCTCGGCCAGAACGCACGATGCGCGTCTCCTATGCACATGCACATCTGGGGCGATTGCTGCCTGCTGTGCCTCGGCGTACTCCATCCGGGGCTTGGGTGAAGATGTTGATGTGCTGGAGGCGAGACAGCTACTGCCGCAGCACGATGTAATTGTGCGCATTCTAGAAGCAGCCAAGGATGTTGATTACCAGCAGAAACCCACTAAGAGTTTTTTCATCACATCGCAACAAAGAAGCAAGTTGCGCTTATTGAGAGGCACTCTCCCACCTCCACAGTTGCACTCACGCTCACCACCTCCAGGGTTGCAATGCAACAGCTACCTGCCCCACTCAAAAGCCATTTTATTTCTCGCAGCCCATCACTGCGTATTGGCATTGGGCTCAAGCTCAAGGGTGGACATTCACTACAATCACCGTCTCTAGTACTTTTCTTTGTCACCTCAATCGCCCCGGAGGATGATCGCTGCGTTCGCGATTGCGTGCTGCCAGGTTCCAGTGCCGCTCGTCTTCGTTGCAATGGAGAAGGTGCAAGGAAGAACATACAACAAAGGTGCGCGTGCGCTCAAAGGCATCGCGCTGCAAGGGCGCGCGCCTACTGCTACTGTGCGAGCGAGACGACCCCGTCTGCTGTTATCTGCTTTTATTTTACAAACCAGGGCGATTAATGAATAGATAGAGACCCGCTTGGCCACAACGAAGCTGCGCAGGCACCACGTGCCCAAAACGACCAAGCGACTCTGCCAGCCTGGGCCGGCCGCCGGCCCAAACCATGCGCGGACGCCGGCCCCAACTCGGCATCCGACCGAAACAAATGCCGAGGATAGGGGGCTGCCACCTTTAACAACGAACAAACTTGGGCGGGCGCCGGCGCGGAACGGGCGGGCCACCCTACGCAAACGGGCGCGCGGGCCGCCCCAGGCGGTCGCCTGTGCCTCGCTGGCAAACTTGTTAGCAAGCTCTGCGGGGCGACCGGCCGCCGGAGCGCCGGCGCGGTGGGGTGCCTGACTGCGTGGCACCCTGTCCAGAGGCGGGCGCGTAGTTCTTCGCTAAGCATTGCCCGCGAGCGCCTGCGCCCGACATACGCGACCAAGCAAACCCACGGCGGCCGGCCACGCAGCCAGCTAGGCTACCCGACAGGGCGCGCGGCGCAGGAATACCAGCCGGCCAGGAGCGGGCGGGCCACGCAGGCACCAACGCACGCACCGGCACCCGGCCGGGGCGAAAAAGACGGCGCCGCTTTGGGTTTGTGTTCCGCAAGGCCGTCCATGCCGGGCGTCATCTCTTTCTCTCCCTCGCGCCTCGCATCCGAAGAGAGAAACACGCCCGCGGCAGCTTGCGCGCCCCCCCTTCGCGGCCTTCGCGAGCCTGGCTCTGTGCTGCGCGCCACAGGGCTCGGCCCCCGGGCCCCCCGTTCTCCGCTACGAGCGCGCCGGGGGCCGCAACGCTCCCACCACGGGGAGCGGACCAAGCGCCGCCGCGCAGGGGCCCCACCCGGCGCAGCTCGTTCCCGGCTGGGGCGCCGGCTCTCCGCAAGGTTCGGAAGCCGCCGGCGGGGGGGCCCCCTAAAGACGGCGAAGACGCACGCACCCGCCTCCTGCTGCGGCGCAGGGAGTTGAAGGGCTTCGCATTAAGGGCCCTGCGCAACCGGGGGGGGGGCCCACGCGCCCTTGCCCCTTCGCTTCCAGCGAATCGCTGGCCTTTGCGGCTGGGCCCTTCTGCAGAGCGGCAATGGGGCTCGTCAGGGTGTTGTCGTTGCTTTGGAGGTCGTTTAGAAGAGACTTATTCTGATTTACGTCACTGGCGCTGGCCCCTGCTTCACTACGGGCCAAAATGAGAAGCCAAAACGTAAACGCTACAAACATCTTTGGATAGATGAAGAACACTGAGACCACTAAGAAGGCGCTACGTTACACTAGCTCCTGACTTTGCTGTTCAGGTACCGGTCGTGCACATCGACCCGATAATCATGGTGCCCTTTTTTCATTTTAAGTGCTTCTTTTCCTTTGAATTTCGCAAACACGACGGATCCGTACATTGACATTCCCAAAACAAGCTCACTTTCACTAAATTTCTATTTCCACGCAGCTGCCAAGTGCAGATCTAATCCAATCGTACAAAAAGCAAAAGGTCTACGATCATGTCGAAAATAAATATGGATCGAGGTCTGGACTTCTTTACAACCAGAGCCACTTCATCCTCTTTCCGTTTCACTGCACGGAAGGAACTCAATGGCACCCGAGATTCAATTATCCCCCTGTAAACTTCAGCCCGCTCCCAGAATGGGGGTCGATCGACGAGGGCTCGATCGACGCCATGATCAAACGGCAGAAGCGTTGGTTGCTGCACTTGACACTGCAGACAGCGTCGACAAGGAGGACAGGCCGCGCACTCTACTGTCTTGGCTTTCGTCTTCTACGTTGTTCCCTTGCTGTTGCTTGAACACACCTCCCGCTACTCCTATCGGGATGCGGTCGTGCTGTTTTGTCGCGGATAAAAATTCGCCACGATCTTGGTCCAGCCCCGTGCTGCGTAGTTGTTGACAATCTTTTCCGTTTTCATGCGGCCGGAACCTACTCCCCTTCCTCAACGTCCGGCCCGTCACTCCAGGAACCGGAGACGCTAACCCCTCCGTTGTTACACTGTTGCAACTACTGGTCGGACTTGTTTCTTGTGCTGAAAAATCCCCCGTTCCTCCACCATGAGTATCTCTTTCGCCAAGAGCAGGCGCATCACTCTGTGGCCCGTCGTCCTCCTCCTCTTCCCAATGTTGCGCCTCACCGTCAGCAATCTCTGTGTGGAGAGGGCTGCTTGGCGGAGTGTTAGTACTAGATATCCGAGGAAAAACAACTTCTGCGGTAGAGGAGGAAGCTAGTGCTGCCGGAGTAAAACCCGCTGTGCTGTAGTCAACGGCCTCAGGACTGCGACTGCTTCTGTCGCTCAGAATGTGTCCTACACGAAAAAGATTCAAGTGCCGGAAACTTGGTTCTGGTAAATGTGAAGAGTGTTCCATCCGGTAGTTCTTCTTTTGGTTTTGGCGATTAGAAGACGAAGAGGACCCAGCTCCCGGTTCTTCCAGCGACGGTCTTCGCGCTAGATGTTTGGACACTTGTCGAATCACTTTGCTCTGTTGATCATGATCTTGAAGATCTTCGCTAGTTTTCGATGTATCATCTCCTGTAGTAGTTGCTCTCGTTGTGCTGTTCTTTGCCACACGTGGATCCTGATGAAAAGGAGATGATGCTGCAGCTGCTTGTATCTCAACGTCCTCCAGTCGCACTTCGTCCTCTGCAATCCCCATGTGGTGCTTGTACTCTGCCACAATCTCGTCTATCGGTGTAGTCAATGACGCGGGATCATGATTCACCTCCACGACACTGCTCGTAGTACTAGTACCTTCATCAGCTGCGGCCGCTTCCACTTCGCCACCGGTTGATGCTGTTCCACTTCCACCTCTCCCTGCCAAACCACTTACACCACCACGACCAGCACCAGGAGGTGCTCCTTTCAAAAACCGTTGCAACCCGCCGACGACAATTTTCACCCTTTCGTCCCGCTCCTTCCGTCGCCATTCCCGGTCAATCGCGTTTTTGTCAAAAACCAAAACGGAGGCGAGGGGGGTGGCGAAATGAACGTGTTTATTTTCATCTAGGTCCGCTGTGGCAACCGCAACCGCTGGTACGCTACAATCGCTTCTTGATTGTTCCATCTCGGTATCATCAACGGCAACAGCTGCACTTCGAATTGCAGCCTCCCTTCTGGCTCCCTTCATGCACGACCTCAGATCCGGAGGTGGAGGCGCGCATTTCACTACGACTTTGGCCGCCGGAGAGAATTCTACTTGTTCTGATAGCCGTGGTTCATCGATCTCTTCATCTCTAGCACTTTCCGACCGTCGTGCACGAGGAGACGCCGGCAACCTGTTGCCGCCGTTGCAACACGGTGGACTGCAAGGAAAGAAGGCCGCTCTGGGCCGATCATGATCTTCGTGTTCTTCTCGTGCAGCGTTGTGTGAAAGTGGTTTCTTGTTGATGCCCACTGAGCCTCCCGCCCGTCCGGATAGTGGTCTCCTCGTTGGTCGGAAATAGGGCGCTGTCAACCGATTTCCATTGGCCGAAACCAAGTTATTTTTCCTCTGGCATAACGCAAAGTTGTCCACAGCGTCCGTACGGGGCGGGAACGGGTCTCGACTGATTGGAGTTCTCCCACGATGATGAAAAACGCCTGCATCTTGATGTTCTTCGCTGATCTTCTTCCCAAGTGTGTCTTTGTGCCGTCGAGTCCGGTCGAGAAGGAGCAGGGTGTCGCGGAGCCGCTTCTTCGCGAGTTCAAATTCGCTTTGTTGCACTCGCTTATGCACTTCCTTCTCGTGGTCATCGGTGTAATCATCATCTTCACTTAGTGCTGAGATAGCTCGTACCAATTCAGCGCTGCGGCTATCAGCATTATAATCTTCGAGGACAGCGGTGGAAAAATCCTCATTGATTCGCGCCTGCCGGCGAAGTGTGTATTGTGCTGGGTTGTACTCGCTCGCGGGTCCTGCATTGTATGCGTTTTGTGAAGAGGTAGCCGTCGACGATGCCGGTCGTGGAGTGGTATTGAGAAAGGAACTACCTTCGGCAGCGTGCAGGCGCTCCTCGCGTAGTGATGCAATTAGGAGGAGCAGGAGGCAGCGGCGAAACATCTCCCATGCGCCGATGAAACAAGCTGCGCGGACAACTTACTACTGCAGCGCCGTTTGCAGTGGATTTGGTTTTGCCGTGAAGCCCGCCTCCTATGGATGAAGCGGTGGTGGGGCAGCAGGATTTATCCCCCTTGCACGCAACGGCGGCAGAACCAGAAAGAGACGTAAAAAAGAAAGTCGCACGAAATGGAGAAAGAACGAACACGAAGATGCCACCGGAGTTGGAACCTACATCAAGACCTCTGGGATCGTTGCATCGTTTGGGCGTGGCTTAGCCCATGGTCGTTTTGAAAATGGGTTTGTGCGGGCTTGGGCATGCAAGGATCAATTTCTGATGCGGCTTTTTGTTCATGATCATGGTGGTCTGCTCATTGCTTTTTCATAACCGGGCGACCCCACGATCGCGCTTTTAAGTGTTGCAATGCTTAATACGCATCATGCCCACAATGGACTAACTATCCTGAACACAGAAACAGATGAAGACCAGATGACGCGACTCACCGAGCGGAGCCTTTATCTATTTCATTCCCCCGCACGCCGGTGGCGCAACTGGCTGCCAGCATTGCATCGAAACACCGATCAACAGAGGAGGGGCGCAGGGCTCAATAATGGAAACACAATCACTCAGATGCAGGTGGAGGGCAACCTGCGTACTTTCCCCATGAGACGGTCGGCGCCCATCCATGCATCTGTCACCAAGCAGGCAGCCGTGCCGTGGCGCGCGGCGCAGTAGAACACCGCTCGCACGCAACACCGAGGCCCGGCCGCCTTGATGCTGGGTAGGCTGCTGGGGGGCGGGAGACCCAAACAATCACTCATGGGGCAGGCACACGCCCGCCCGCGCGCCAATCGCTGGGCCAGGCGCACACCTGCCAACACAATGCCGCGCGGGCAACGGGCCGCCCGGCCCCTCCCAACCGCCACACACGAGTCGGCAAACTGACCCGGAACACAACCCGGGCACACTGCCGAACAAACACGGCCCGCCCGGGTGCGCGGGCGCTGCAGCCACCGGCGGCCTGCTGCCGGTCCGGTCGGCGCCTTGGCGGGTCCATGGCGCCACCCAAAGGGCAGCCGGGCGCGGTCGCACTTGGGTAGGCGGCAACCGGCCCGCCCGAGGCCCACGGCGATAAAAAAACCGGGCGCGCGTCGGATCGCGATACTATGGCGCTTCTGTCTCTACTTGGCCGAGCTTAGAAAGCCGAGCGCTAGCCAATTTGGGGGGCGGCGAGGTTCTTTCTGACATCGCGGGGTGTAAGTGCATTGCTTTGCTGTGCACATGCCCCACAAGGGTAGGCGCAGACCGTCCCCGCCGATTGCGTCGGCTTTGCTGCGCGGCTGGGGTTATGGCGCTGCGGCGCTCGCTTTTGCTGCGCTCACAATGCGCGCCGTCTCCCAAACACCCGGCGGCGGGTCGCGGCGGGGGTCGCCTGCGACTTGCGCCGGGGCACACGGGGAGAAGAGAGGAACCCCGAAAGCGTTCGCGACTCCCCAGGTGCGCACGCTGCGTCTCCTTCCGGGCACGCCCGACGCAGCCTTGAAGCAGCCGCCACATGTTGCTACTGTTATCTCTGTGCGCTCGTACTCTCAAAGAATTTGCTTTTACGTTTACTGGGCACGTCACCTCTCGCTCTCCCAGGTCCGCCATTCACTCCAAGAAACTCCCGTCAGCGATGAACAACCACATATTATAAGACAGCGCATGACTGGCTCTGGCTCCCTTCGCTTTCGCAATCAACTTCAACGAAGACGCTCGCATCAACTAGAAGTCCTCGATACCTACCTCACTCTAAATCCGAACTTTTCCGGACAAATTTCGGATTTTCAACATTGTACACTCACAGCTATAGTAAGTTCTCAGCCTTGTACTCGGAAAAAACATAAGGAGCAGGCTCGTCAGATAAAAACAAAAACTCTACAGCAGAACTCATCAAACTTGATGGTCTACACCTTCACCACAACAGACCTCCTCCGCGCGGGGGTCAAACGGACCAAGAAGATTACGGCAACCGCACCCAAAAGTAAAACGACCGGGAAGAAGAGAGAATCATATACTGTTCCTGTTGGGCTTGTGTTAGAATAAATTGAAAGCTTAGCGATCCCGTTGGTGCTTGTTGCTGTACTTCTATCGGATTCGTATCTACTCCGCGGGGTCGACGAAGCAGAAAAAGAACTTTCCACCTGGTGCGAGGACGTGGCCCTGTACTGCTGCAACAACAGCGCCCCAGAATCCTCTCCTGAAGTATACGGGAGGGGCACCTGGTGCTGCAGATGCTCCCCCGGTAACGGTAAGGCTTCAAGAGCCTGCGTGCTCGTCGAGTCCTCAACCGTCAGAAAAGATGATCTTCCTGCCTGTCCTTGTTGCGGTTCTAGTTGTCCCGCTAGCTGCATCAAGTGACCTCCACAAGCATCATCCTCAACTTCGTCCTTATTGCCACCGTCAGAAGCTCCGACCACTGTGCTGCTTCCATCTACAACTTTAGCCCCGCTGCCAGGAGTTCCTGTAGTACCTCCTGCTCCGTCAAACAGAACGTAGCCCAGGTCCAACACCTCGTCTCCGTGCGTGTGAATCAACCAGTTCGCAAACGCGTCAAAAGATTCCGCGTTGTACACGGGACAGGACGGAAAGCTAAACGTCTGGAACCAAGGAGGAAAAAAACCTGTTGAGTCCAGCAGATAGGCTCTGTGCCGACCATTTCGCCGGCTTCTCCGCAACACAGACAAGTCGGTCATGCGCGATTCTTCCTCGTCCACGATGCCCTCACCGTAGTTCTGTTTCAAGGGAAACATGCGATTTTTCGGCGTCACCGCACCACCGGTCAGCACAGCATTTTCCCACACGGCCTGACTCCGAATCCGGCAATAGCGGTAGGTGGGGTCAGCGAGGTGGTGGTTTTGGTGTTTGTTTTTAATTTTACCTTCCGCGTGGAGGTCTACTGTGGTAGTAGTACTTGTTGCGACCTTATTTCCTTGTTGTCCAAGGTACTTTGAGATTCTGAAGAACATCTGCCCGAGGTCTACCCTTTGCGCGGGAAGCATGTAGATTGGCGGGGTCCAGGCAGAGAAACGGCGTGCGTCGTCGTGTGGTGTCGGAATATCATTTAGAGCCTATGCATTGTAAAAATGTCTGGGTCTGGAAGATTGCAAGATTTGTCATGCACATTTTCCATGACCCATGACGTTTGTCTTTGTGATGCATGCCGTAGCATCACAGCCTTTGAGAGCGCTTTGTGATACCTCTACCGCATGAGAAATGCCCTCTCCGCGTAGCACAAACTGGAGTCCTCTTGCTGGTCATGCAATGCAAATTGTTTCAGAATCCAGGGACAGTATCACAAGTTTAGAATGTTCCAGACCCAGACATTTTTACGTTTGATAGAGCCAAGACGGTAACCACTCTCGCCGCGTAATCAACGGGGCAAAGCCGGGACATAGTAGGGCGTGGTGCTTGCCTAGTATGTTCGCTATTTTCATTCCCTGCAATAAAAGCTGCTGGCATCCCGGGTGGAAACGATGCTTGTGCTTGTGGTTCGGTTCCTGTTTGTCCCGCATGCTGCTCGCCGTTGTAAAAAGCCCCTAGCTGCATAGTGCCCGCCACGTACCGCACAAACCAATCTTCGTAGTTCGCAGCCCCCGTGTCCGTCGCAAAGCCGAGCATGCCACTGCGCAAAACCTTGCTGCTTCGTGGACCGCGCGTTTCCAGAAGCGGGAATTGTGGTCGTGGAGGTGTTGACACGTTTTCTAAAAATGTTTCCGATTCTTGAGCTTGTTCTTCCGATGCGAGTCTGATCGCTTCCAGCACGAGCTCTTCCCCAACCCATTTCGACACCGCGTAGCCGTTGTCATCTTCCGGAAGATTTGTTGTACTCCCCACGTCCTTTCCCGAAAGTCGATTCTGTGGCAAGGGGCCGAGGGTTTCATCGTAGTCCTGCTGAACGAGGCGAGGAGGACCTTCCGCATCTTTATCTTTTCGAAACCGTTGCAGGCCGTCCACACTGACCGTCGACACAAACAGCAGTGTGTTCTTCTTGAAGTCTGCTGGCAAGAAGGTTGTACTTTATGCATTGCAAATATGTCTGGGTCTGGGAGGATGCGAACTTGTCATGCTGGATCGTACAAACATTTGTGTTGCATGACTACCAAAACCTGTCCATTTTGAGCAAGTTTAGAGGCAGTTTGTCATGCAGGATAGGCATGATAGGGACGTCGCAGAACCTGTCATGCTAGGTCCTGCATTCCAAAACTCATGGGGCATGGAAAATATGCATGAGAAGTTTGCATTCTTCCAGACCCAGATATTTTTGCATTTGGTATACTTAGCAGCCCGACATCAAGATCTTCTACATGCCCCGCCATCTTCACAATCTCGCGAGTGGCGACCACGTTGCCCTGCCGTAAAGATTTGTAGGGGAGTAAATGGTCCACTTTTGCGCCGCTGTGGATAAAGGTGTCGCAGTTGTTCCTAATTTCTCGGAACATTTCGTCCGAGATGCACAGCCGCGGGCCGTCGCACGCCAGGTCTCCCTCGACGGGGATGACACGGTTGGCGAATTGTGTTTTTGTCAACTGAGTAGAATCACTCGACGTCGTGTAGAGAAACCGCTTCTGCACATCGTACAGACGGTCGAGAAGGAGGGATGAAGAGGAGCGATCCTCCTGCCCCCCTTCGGTGGTGGATGTGTCTTGCGTATAATCAACTACCATCTTCTGCGGGCCGCGCCGGCTGGGCCTCACAAGCGCGTACACTTTCCGATTTTTGTAGTTGTCACTCCTCAAAACGTCCCGTAAAACCGCACTTCCCAGGAAGCCAGAGCCTCCGGTGAGAAAGATCCCGTTGCGATCTTCATTTATTGGTGGCGCACCTCCATGTTGATGCTCCTGTGGCTGCTGTTGATGTTTGGGGAGCGAGTAGAGCGACTTGGAGTTTTTGCTCACCTTCTCCTGATCTACAGCGTTCTTGCTTATCTCCTCGATGGAGTCGTTGTGGTCCCCCGGCGGTGCATCATGATCATCTCCGAAAATATTAAAGTCTTCCGCACGCCAAGAGGTTTCCCTTTCCCAGTCGTAGTTCCGCTTGTTGTTGGCCGCTGGTGTTGCCATCATCCTAACAGGCTCAACATCTTCCCCAGCTCCATCTTTCTTTCGCAGTTCCTTCTTCACGAGCTTTGCCACGTTAGCCAACGACGGTACCGGGCTCGTCGCTCCACTCGTTCCGCTGCATAACAACAGATCCCTCACGCTCAGTTCCGACAGACCAAAGTGGCGCTTGATCTTGCCCTGGAGCTGAATCATGCCGAGAGAATCAAAATTTGGACCGATTTCTGCTTCCCAAGCGGCTTCCAGTTGTTGTAAAGTAGCAGTAGTTGTAGTTGGTCCTTCTGCATCATCAGAAACGAGTATTTCATCGGGGTCATCTCCTGGGTCTGCTTTCATTTTCACCGCGTCGTCCAAAAGCTTTGTTAGCTTCGACACTTGCTGGTCTTCGCGCACTATGCATTGCAAAAGTATCGCACTCGTTTAACTGCATTACAAATTTCCACCTCAGCATGAGCAATAAAATTTGTCATGCGGATTTCCCTTACGTAATGCATGACTGCAATTGCTACGAGTACGATACTTTTGCACAGGATACGCATCCTAGTCTTTCTCGCTACATCTTCCAGTAAACCATCCAACTTCTCCTCGTACTTCGCCCGAATCTTCGGCCGGGCTTGCTTCCCCGGGCCGGTGAGAAGGTGGTTTTGCAATGTGAAAGTCGCGTCTTCTTCCGTGTCCAGATAAAAAGCCTATCCTGTGCAAAAGTATCGTATTCGTACCAATCGCATTCATGCATTACAAATTTATTTCTTTCTCAAATTGAATCCGCATTACAACAAATTCCATTTCTCATGTTGAGGAGATTTGTCATGCGATTTATACTAGTACGATGCTTTTGCAGTTCATAAAGCCTTCGGGTACTCAAAAGTTCGGAGTTGCGTACTTGCGCCGTCTGGATTCAAATCGTCGTGGTCGTCCGCGGACAACATCGTTTTCATATCCCTAGCAGAGAGTGCCGTTGAAAATGAAAACATCATGTTTCCGGCGTAGTTAATATCCTTTTTATTCGAGTAAATCTGTAGCTCGCGATCCTGCTTCAACGCATTTTTCATGATGCGCAGGATCGGGTCGGAGATTCGCATCAGTTGCCGCTCGATTTGGTGCTGCAATGACCGTATCAAATGTAAAAGTGTCTGGGTCTGGAAACTTGTGATGCTAAAATGTGCATAATAAAAACACTTCCGAATGCAGTTCGGCATGACAACTTCCCAAAACGCTTTCTCATAGGCAATCCGCATGAGAAGCTGCGTCTTTGCATGCAAAAGAGGCTGCGACTTTTGTTGGTTATGCAACACAGATTTTCTAGGCATGGAAAGCTAGCATTACAAGTTCCAACCTTCCAGACCCAGACATTTTTACAATCCATAGACCGTTTTTGTAGTTCGACTTCGTTTGCACCTCCAGGAGGCTGATGTACTTCTATCGGTTTATTTGACGGTATCATCACCGCAACCACGCTGTCGTGCTCGCTGTCTCCATGCACGAAAATCTGCTTGATCTGCGGAATTCTTTGCAACAAATACTGCTCGACTTTCTCCGGCGAGACCCACTCCCCGTTGGACAGTTTGAAGAAACTGCTCTTCCGGTCAATCACCTCTAAAAGCCGGGCGCCGGTGGATTTGTCAACCGTCAGGTGCCCAATGTCCCCGGTCGCGAAAAACTTCTTCTGGACTTTCTTGTTCCCTCCTGGGTCGTCATGATTTGTAGTCCACAGCGTGACAAACGCCTCTTGGTTCAAATCCTCCCGATTCAGATAGCCCTGAAACAGGGTCTTAGTATGGACCAGAATTTCCCCGAAGCCCTCAGCCGCTTTGTACTCGCCCCAGTCGCGCAGCTGCACATCCACGTCGTCCTCCAACCGGTTGTCCTTCCCGTATGTGATCGGGCCCGCTTCCGTGGACGCGTAGTTCTCGGTGACGGTGGCGAATTCGCCAAAAACTTGCTTCAAAAATCCTTGTACTTCCGGCTGCGGCTTCGCACCCCCGGTATTCAACGCACTGACCCGCCGTCCCAACTTTTTGCGGAACCTGTCAAGGAGATGCTGACCTTGGGCCGTTTTGAGAAGTTCGTCTACTCCACCAGGCGTAGAAGTAATACTAGAAGTCGGAGGACGAATACTAGTTGTTAATGCATCCTCCGACTTCTTTTTCTCCCCCAACTCTGCCAGTTCATCGAGAAATTCCGTGTACAACGGCCTCCAAACGGCCGGCACCTCAGAGACAGCATCCGGCTCGACTTCGGTCATGTGCGAGAACAGTATGACAGTGCACAACTCCCCCTCCCCCTTATTTGTATTGCGCGAACACCAATACAAACACTAGCACACGTGCATCCTGTGCATGACAAGTTCATGCGCCCAGTGTAGTACTGTAGTTTGGGCTTCCAAAATTTCAATTTGTGCTTAATGCAAACAGTGCCACAAGGCGAAGGCAGCAATTGGATTTGGGATTTTGCATCACAAATGAGGGGGAGGGGGAGTTGTGCACTCTCATAAACAGCTGCCCTGGGTCCGGTAGAAACGCGTACCGGGAGCCTTGTCTGATTGCGGAGGCGATTCCGTAGAGGAACGAGCTGACGTGAACCGGCGTTTTGGACGCAAAGACGGAACTCATGGTATCGAAGTAGAGGAGAGACCGGTAGGACTCCCTCGCAGTAGAAGAAGTGCTGGTCCTCTCGTATGCAATGCAAAAGCATCGTACTCGTATAAATGCATTACAAATTTCCTCAGCATGAAAAACGAAATTTGTAATGCTGATTTGCCTCAAGAGAGAGATTTGTAATGCATGACTGCAATTACTACGAGTACGATACTTTTGCACAGGATATTTCGAACAAGCCTGGGTCGGGTAGTCCGGGGAGAATTGTCTCTTGCTTGAACGTATGAACTGCAAAAGCATCGCACAACTCGTACTAATTGCTTTTCTGCATTACAAATTTTTTTCCTAAGGTAAATCCGCATGACAAATCTTATTTCTCATGCTGAGGGAATTTGTAATGCATTTATACGAGTACGATACTTTTGCAGCTCATAGAACGTTTCCTGTGTCTGAATCGCCCCCTTCGGCTTGGCGCCGCTAGACCCCGAGGTATAGAGCAGGCACGAGATGTCCTCCGGTAGCACGCGGCACTCCGGCTTTCGGATATGGAAGCGTCAGGCTCGAACTCGACAAAATCGAAAAAATTTGTGATGCATAAAATCGATACCAGTTGGAAGCCAAGCCCAATTTTCAAGCGGTGCGTGACAAATTTCGGCACCGTCAAAATCCAGTCTGTCGTGCTGTTTGGGGACAGTAGGCGCCTTTTGTCATGCTACTTTAGCAGCTCTATCGCAGACCCCAAACAGGCTGACAGTCGGCCTCGTTTTCCATGCCTGCAAGAGAGGCGCTCCATGCCTTGCAATTTATGCATGAGAAAGTATTTCAACTTTGTCGATTTCAATCCTGACACTTCCATATCGAAAGAGAAACTCGTACTGTTCATGATCGGGATCACTAAAAGCAGCATTTTGAATATCCAAGAAAAAAACATTGTTAGTGTAAATTTGTGATGCAAAACCTGCAAAATAATTGCGGCTGTCATGCTGATGTGCATTGCAAGGTCCATTCAAGCGCGTTTTCACGTACAATCTATGCATGACAGGTTTTTGCTCTCATGCGAGACAGATTTGTAATGCTGTTCCTCCAAAAAAGTTACAGCTACAATCTTTTTTTCCTGGATATTGAAAAGACTTGTCGGAAATGATGTCTGTGTACTTCAGGATTTGCGGTTCTGACTCTGACTCCACGCCGGAAAAGATGTTCGTCAGCTGTTCTTGCGGCTTCTGATACAGACGCTGATCCTCCTCGGCGGAAACAGCAGGAGGTGTACCAATAACAATGAGTTTGACCTGCTGCAGAAGTGCGGTATTGTTGTTGTCGCCTCCTGTTGTACTTCTGCTATAATTCTCCCTGATGATGTCGCTGAATTTTTCCAACGCTTCGCCACCCGGGACGAAGACGGCAGTTAACTCTGCCTCTTCCATGACGTGTTTCAAAACACTTTTCTCCGCATGGTGGGAGAGCCCGACAAAGGTGATGCCGGAAATTTATGGCGTTCTCAACTGTTACATTCTCAACTGTTACGTGGATTTGTGATGCTGGAATGGCAAAAGGGAAAGGCCGGAGCTTGCAACTCTTGCATTACAAATTTGGCCAAGATATCCATGCTGTTTAGCTATTCCAAAATTTCTCATGCGAAGTAGCTTCGCCGTGCGGTGCTTGATGCTCATTTTGCATGACAAATCGTGTAACAGTTGAGAATGTAAGGTTTGAGAACGCCATAAAATTAAGCTTGCCACCGCGGCCACCGCTGCGTGCTCGAGCTGCCGTGCGGTTGCCGTCGCGAAGTCGCCACTGTAAATCCCGACGCGGATCTTCTTGTAGTGGTCGTGACAGGATTCACTTGTAGAGGACATCTTCAAGTCCCTGCCCCCTAAGCGAAGATCAAGATTCTCATCTTCTCCTAGTGAAGACAAGCTTAGCTCCCTTTTCAGGCTTCTTTCGAAGAACGCAACCAACTTCAAGGCCTCGTCGAATACATCAGCGTAGGACTTCCAATGCCAATTCAGCTGGCCGCGCAGGTGGTCCTTGTACTGGTGGAGGTCTTCATGTGCGAGTAAACCGACTTTATCTTCGAGGATGGTCGTCCTTCTAGTCTTGATATTTTGATGTCCACTTGATGCACTTGATGCCCCGTCAAACAGTTCTCGTCCTTCTTGCGCGCGAAAGCCAAACAACGGTCTAGGCCCGGCCGAAGCGCGGACAATTTCCCGCATGGCGGTGTAAAGGCCCTGCTGCATCGTCCCCGTTGTCCAGTCAGCTGGTCGTCCTCCTTCTATCAGAGTGCACAACCCGTCCCCCGTTCATCCCTCATTTGTCATGCAAAACCCCAAACCCAAGTGCATCCCTGTGGCACTGTCTGCATGACAGATTCCGGTCGGAAGTCCAAACAATAGCAATACTCCACTAGGCGCATGAATTTGTGATGCACCGGCTCCACGTGTGCTGGTGTTTGTCTTGCTGCTCATGCAACACAGATGAGGGAGACAGAGGGGGCGAAGTTGTGCACTCTCATACCCCCGAGACTCGTGCTAATAGCCACCTGCGTTTCGATCAGAAACTTGGAAGGCGGTGTGAGAGATAGGAGTCGTGGTGGTGATGTTGAGGTGCTGTGGTCGTGCGCTGGCGTAATGGTCTGAGCAAGTAGATTGTAGTTATGATGATTCTTGATCCCCCCGGCGGCCCCCAACACCGCCGCAATAGAACTTGTTCCTGCGCGGCAGCCGGTACTAGAATAATAAGTACCGTCATAATTCCAGCTACTGTTGTTTCCGTCGCCAGTACCCATATCCAACAAAGTCTTCACGGGCAGGGACAAAGTTTCTCTGCTGGCGGCATGGTAAACGTCGATCAACGCGTCGGTATGTTGAAATTTCAGCTTCATGATTTCTTCCTCGTTTTTTAACCTCAGCGAACTCTTGTTGGCCTTTTCGTACTTGCTCCAAATCTCGTTCGGAACCCAGGCACTGGACACAATCGTCAACAGGTTGTAGTCCTGAAGAGGGCTGTGATAGGCCGGAAACCGCATGGCTGTTCGATAAGGCCGCTGTATGGAGGTGTCAGGCGTTGGACATTTTTTCCAAAGTTGAAAAACCTTGCAGTTGCAACAGCAACTGACAAAACGCAACACGCAAGATAAAATTTGCCTGTGTAGTTGCTACAATAAAACGAAAACCAACCTGGTGGCAGATTGTGGTAGTGGATGTTGGGGAAGATCTTCGTGCTGCAGAGCATCTACAAGAAGAGCTCTTGCCTTTAGCTTTACCCTAAGCAGCATGATGACTACAGGTTGACTTTGCGTGTTTGGCATAAAAACGGTCAACATGATGCGCGGACTAGGACCTGTATATTATGAGTTCGTCTGGACGAACTGGCGTCCTCGCCGGTTTAGATAGTTTCAACACGTCGGAATAAGTGACACCTAAGTTAGTTCAACTTTGTCGAAGATTTCACTACACCTGACACTACTTCCATAACAGGCTGTTCTCCAATGACCAAGGTCGCGCCGTTTCGTAAATCTTCAACGCGCAGAGGGCGGAATTCAGTACCAATCCGTGGTGGTCCTTGTGATGTACTCGGTGGTGAATGACCTCGACTTAAAACGCCCCCTTGTCGACGTCCACTCCCGGCGCTCTTTGTTAGGACACCCCGAGTCCTCTGCTGACCTACATGACCCTTCGGTATCGGTGGAGGACTTCCTGGAGGTGCTTGCAGTTGATGTGAGGACAGTTCTTGTTGTACTAACGGTGCTGCGAAGTCGTAGTTGATTCGCCGCACACCACGGAAGCTGAACGTGGACCCGTCCTTCTTTTCCGGGGTGGAGATGAACGAACTCGAACTCTTTTGCGAAACACGAGTCATTTTGAAAAAAGCTTAAGTGGTACAAGTTGTAGTTTGTTAGTGAGAAAAAAATTTTCGTGCCTTGTAGTTTACGTGGACTTTATACTTGGATCTAAAATTAGTTTTTCCAGCGCTCCGAGCAGAGAAGCGGTAGAGATACAGATACAGAAAAATAAAAATTTAAATTATCGGGTACAAAGCACAACTGTTTATAGTTTTTTGTATTTTCGAGCCACTTATCATGTGCGCCGCCGTCAATGGCAATGTATAAACGACTTCTCTACTGTTTTATTTCATCTTCATGCGACTTTCGTGTTTGTAAGTTGGTGCCGACCACAAGAAAGTGTTTGTAAATGCATAAATTGATGTACAGTTTTTTCGGTGGTCCTTCTTAAAGTTACCGAGGTTCGATTGGAGAGCTGCACCGAAAGAGGACAACTGGATCCAACTTCTTTGAGACCCACAAACCGATGTCGTTGACCGAGATCGCGCGTAGCTTATTTATGGCTATGGGTTGATCATGATCTTCTGCCGCTTCTCGGAGTTTGTTAGAGCAGATGAGGCAATTTGTTGTATAATAATTATAATGTTTTGTGTTCTGCAGCAGCAACTTTCGAAGTTCTTCACCGTGACCAGATGAGACAGAAAGTGGGGCAGATCACCTTCATCACCGACGAAATAAAGAGCACTCGTGCACCATCATAGTAGATTTTATCGGCGAATACAGTTCCTGGAGCCGTTGTTCTCATGATTGTTGTTCTTCGGGCAACCGAAATCAAACTGTCTTCGTTGCAAAAGCTAGAACTCCGGCCCGGGCTCAGCGAAGAGAACATGTCGTCGTTTGATGTGCTACAGAGACAACCAATATCGCCTGTTCTCAAAAGACAAACGCAATGATTTTATTGACGCGCGTGCAGTTTAGAAATGCCCACCATCGCTGCTGCTCTTGCACATGTCATTCCAGTCGTGCGGCCGCCGACCTGCTGGGCCGGCCGAAGGCGCACTTAATTAGCGACGCAACAGAAAATTGCTAAAGAGCCAACCAGGATGCTGGCGCCACACTTCGTGGCAAGGCGCCCTTCACTACGTAGATACTGGGAGGGCCAGACGGCGCGCGAGACGTCCCCTCCTGTCTGTCTCACTCTACCGGCCGGGACGGCGGGCCACCCCGGGCCACCCAATTCACGGGCGCCACGGCGGAGGGGGCGGGCCCACAGGGGGGTCAGCGCGCGCCCTTGCTTGCTCGCCCCGCGGGCGGGGCAAACACACAGGCCAGAACCTACAGGGCGGGGGCAAACAATAAACGGGGGCCGGCGGGCTGGCGCGGTGGCCGCTTCCGCCGCGGCCTTTGGTTTGCAATAGAGCGGGAGAGCGACGCCGCGGCCAAATAGGTTGAGGCGCTACTTCGCTTCCTTCCACGAACTTTCCGGGCCCACGGCCTCGCTCCCCCCCGCCTTGCTCCCTTGCCGGCCCCACAATGGGCGCCACAGGAGCACGGCGCGGGCGACGGGCCAAGCCCGCGCGCTGCCGGGTGCATCGCGCCCAGTGCGCCCTGTGTCATGCGGAGGGACCGGCAGACCACAGGCAGGAGGGCAATAACCTTCGCGACACAATGCCCAGAGCTGAGCTCGGCACCAATCAAAGCCATCGCTCCGTCGGCTTTGTTGCTGACAGCCCAGGCCTTCATCTGCGTATCTGACGCAACAACATGGTTGGTATGATCATGCATACCTGGCGGCGCTCGGCTAATTTACTAACTTTCATCACTCACCGCCCATCTTGTCACTCCTGCAACGGGACATCGTCCACTCACGCCACACCCTCTCTCCCACATCGGCCGCAGACCTCACTTCTAAATAGTCATAATCTTCATTCTCACCCATCTCACCTGGTGGAGCAGGAGCTATCAGTTGGATTTCGCTCCACCATCACAAAGACAACACTGCACTGGAGCCAAGACGCGAACACTACTCCAACCAAATCATCTGCAACAACGCGAGGCGCCGCCACCCACCGCTGTGTGTGATTAGACTTAGAGATAGGCTCTTCTACCAAAGATGGCTGCATAAAGTGCGAGCTGTTTGCCTGTTCCTGTCCCCCCTGCCTGCGCACGTGGCGGCCGGCACTGGTCCTTGCGCCTAGAGTAGAGCTTTCCTCACACAGCCCGGAAGAACGCCGGGCGCAACGCGTGGCGCCAAGCAACAATTATAAAACGCCCCGGGCCGGCGACGGATACCATTACCATGGGCCCCCCGGGCCACGCGTTTATAGAGAAAAAGGTCGGCGCCGAACCTTCCCCGACCACCCACGCCGCTACGAACGCCGACGGCTAGCGGGCGGGCGCCCCCGACGAAGGGCGCCACACAGAAGGACCAGGGCAAAGGACGCGCCCCCCAGCCCGGCGGGCGCGCGCTGCCTGCAATAGCGCGAAAACACACCAAAGGGGGAAACACAGGAGCGGGGCCGTGCGCGTACGCGGTGGCGTCGCGATGGCGTTCGCCGCTGCGAAATCGATTGCATTTGCCGCCCGCAGTTGCGCGCCCGAGCTTTCATCAGCAGCGCCCTGGCATGCATGCTGCGGCGACGCCGGCGAGCAGAGACTAGGCAGCCCCTCCGGAAAGATCGCGCCGGCCTGGGCCAAATTAGTTCGCCGCGTCACATGCGCCGGCGGGGCAGCCGCTGGAGCGCCCGCGCCGGGCCAGACATGAAAAGCCCGTGCCCGGGGGCTGCCTGCCCGCGCCATGGGGCGCAGTCCGGTTCGGGCGCAGAGGACGGCGACGAAGACAAACTGCGCCGCTTCGCCGCCCGCAGTGCACGCACTGTATCGGCCGCCGCCGCTTGACGTACCCCGTAGGCAGAGTGACAAGAACAGCGGCACGACGACAAAAATGCCACAGCAGGCATTCGCTTGACAGAGGCTCTCCACACTGGCATCCCTACATTTTTTTTTCAACTGCCACTTTGCTTCCTTGATAGATATGCTGGCTCACTCGTCGCCCACCCCGCTCTCCCGCTTACACAGATCACACACGACAATCATGTACTTATGTACACAACTACTCATCTGCATTTCGCTGTCCACTGTGCCATCCACTCGCAAGCCAATTTTGTTCATCGTATAAAGTAATTTTGCTCTGGTTCATCTTCACGGCGCACAAGATGCGGAAGCAAGAATTTAAAACAGAACATCGTCGAGATGAAACTTGAAACAGTCTCACAGCACTCTTGTGTCTGCTCCTGCAGTTGCACGCAATAGTTTTGTTGTTGTTCATTGTGTAACGTGGGTTGAGCAGTGTAAAGCCGCTCCCGCCACGGCTGGACCTCTTGGAAAGAACTTCTGTATTCTTTAGGTTTCAAGTGTCCAAAAACTCATGTTCTTCATTCCGCATCACGACTTTCACATTCTTCAGCTAGCCAAAGAGGCGTCGGCGTCCATGAAAGGTGTAGAACTCATCTATCGTTGTTCCACCACCACATCATCATCATCACTCAACCCACAACCCCCTTCACTTCAACTTCTCTCTCTCCTTCGGCCTGTATCCTCTCCTGGTCGGCCGGTCATTCGTGAATCGTATCCTTCCGTCCGTCTTCTTAATCGCGCCCGCCCTATTCGGATCGTTGTTCGGAACTGTGGGGTTGTTCACGCCGAAGGTTCTCGTCGTGGTTACCACTGTTTGATCACCTCCAGCTCCACTCTGCCCACCATCTCCATTATTATCCTGTTCCAGTATTCCCAATTTTCTCGCTTGTTTCTCATTGTAGCCCATTTTGGAAATCATGCTACTTGTGTGCAAATACCCCAAAGAACTCCGCAACCGGATGATCTGTTCGTCCTTTTGGTCTTCCGTCAACCGGTCCCAAAAAATCCGGTGTATGGTCGCTGTCCGCGCCCCAAACTTGCTAAACATCGCCTGTTTCAGACTCAAAAACCCACCGGGAGTGTGCGGGACGACAGAGCAGTTGGCGTTGTTGGATTTGTTGTTTTATCCTGTGCAAAAGTATCGTACAGTACTCGTATTGCAGTCATGCATTACAAATCTTTTTCTTAGGGTAAATCAGCATTACAAACTTCACTGTCATGCTGTGAAAATTTGTGGTGCATTTATACGAGTACGATACTTTTGCAATGCATATGTTTCCTGCTTGGAACTGCAACTGCGGCCCCATCGCGGACATGCTGTTGTATTCCAGCGCGATATTTGGCTTCAACAAGTGTCCCGCGAAGAAACAATGCTGCTCATCGAATTCCCGGCCGACCGACGTGTTGATGCTCGCTTTTATGAATTGCACAAGTACAACTTTTATGATCGCACCACCGGTCCAAATTATCATGCCAAACTTGCATGACAAATCTGGTTCCTGAGGTATTTCGGCATGACAAATTTCATTTGTCGTGTTGAGGACATTTGTAATGCGAATCATGCTAGAGCTAGTAAGATGCTTTTGCAATGCATAGCTTTCGTCTGTGTCCGGTTCAACGCCTTTTCCACGTCCAGCTGTAATTCGTCCGACCCCTGCAGCTTATGCATTGCAAAAGTACCGCACGACCCGTAGTGGCGGCAATAAGTACTGCATGACAGGTCTATCTGCGTACGCTGATTAGCATTACAAACTCCAGTGTTAATCATGCTAGGCAATGGCAAACTTGTATTGCACTTCCTACTTAACAAGTACGACTCTTTCACAATCCCTACGGCTGCGCTTTCAGCAACATCCCATCCAGCCAGAACTCGTGCAACCGCTCCTGAATCCACATCGGGCAGGCCCGTTTGGTTTCGATCTCGATATCGCGGTGGTCCTCGGAAAATTCGTAGGCGTCGCAGGGGTGCTGTTGTTCGTCGTCGTGGTTTTCATCGTGCTGCTGCTGGTCACCGTCTTCTTGGTCATGTTGTGCATCACCAGCGTGTCCTCGTGGTGTGGCAGCCTCATTCACCTCCTCGTCGTTTTCCGCATCTGCTTCCGCATTGAAGGCAGCGAAGTCGGACGAAGTATCGTCGTTTAGCCGGTCCCCCGGGGAGGTGGAGGAAGAAGAAGCAGCGGAAGATGAAAAATCTGTATAGTTCTCGAAGTCCATCATGGGATGGTCTCCGGCGTTTTGCTGCATTCCGTCCCTGCAGCTCAGGTGGCTCGCCTCCCTTCGCAGCTTGGATTTGCGGCCCCGTGACGACGCAGAGGTGGCAGACACACTGCTTCTAGTGGTACTACAGCTAATATCCTCGGTTGTATCTTCGTGGTCCTCGGTGGGTGTTTGATCTTCTACTCGTGAAGATGCTGTGCTGTGATGTCCGGGCACCGAGGCTGACACATTGACCGCATCTGAACCTGGATCGTGGAGGTCGTCGTGCTCATCTTCGGCGCCAGTGTTTCTACTGTCTGAGGTTCCTTTCAAAGGACTCCTGCGACTTCTCCTTCTGCTTCTCGTGCTAGCGTTCCTCGCTGCATCTGCATCAGAAGTTATTTGCGTTTCGTCGTGTGATGGAGAAGTTGATGCTGAGGAAGAAAACATTTTTTCCCCTTCCTCCCGAAGAATTTCATCGTCGTTCAAATCCGTCCGATCAGAACACTCAAACTCATCTCTGTTCTGACCCCAAAACGCTCCCGTAGTTTCCTGCTCGTGCCGTATTCTCATCTCCAACCTCTGTTCGTCGAAGCAGGGACTCTCAAACCCGATGGGGACTGGTTTCGCGAGCTGCTTCTGGAGTTTCTGTTTCGTAGCGGTTGTACTGTTTGAGTTTGTCAACATCCCGGACGCGAAAGAAGGCGTGGCTGCCGCTCCATCATCGGATTTCCAACCCAATTTCGCCTTCCACCACTCCTTCCGCCTTGTATTTTGCAAGTCCCGGTAAGTTTTCCGCGTCATTGCGGTGCGGATTTCAGTAGGAGCCTCTGTAGTTGAAGTAGAACTGTCGTCCTCATGAGCAGCACATCCACCTCTAGGCGCAGCACTCGCAGATCCTCCAGATGCTTTGTCGTTGCTTCTGGTACTGTTCGACGGAGGTTTATTCTTGCTGCTTCCAGAAGATGAAGGTCCTGTTGCACGACTTATTTCCACAAAAAACGGCATCTTCGGTTTCAACACGTCCAAGGAGTACAGGGTCATGTAGATATAGTACCCCGTCCACCCGCACGCATCCACTTGCTCCCGACTTTGAAACGCCCGACAGCACGCCTCCATGAATAAAGGGAGATTTGTGTCCCAGTGTTGCATCATCACACAGGAAAACATGATCTGGGCCCAGAAGGTCGCTTCTTCCGGTTCTATTTGGTCAAAACCTTCAATTTCTTCCCCGGTTTGCGGATCCCGCATGACAGGTTCGCCTTCTTGAACCGGCGGCGGCGGGAGAAACTTCGCGACCTCATCCACTAATCTCGGGAACAAGCCGGAGAAATCCCGCTTCATTGAAGTATCTGTCGTCATGTTCTGGACCCCGAAGATTGTCGGCACAGCAGCAGAGTTACTAGTGCTTGCAGAACTTTTTCTCGAAGTTATTGAGTTGATGTCACCACAACTTCCGCCCAGATTTAGTGTCGCCAGAGACCAAATTACAGTCGCGAGCGTTTCGAACCGGTAAAACGCGTAGTTCGCTTCCACATTGCACAACAAATGCTCGCCGATTTGCCAAAATCGGTATTCCAATATCGCCATGGAAAAGAGCATCTGCGGCACCTCCTTCGCCCGGATTTCGTGCTTCTTCTCCATAATGTCAAAACACAACTTCTTGAAGTTCAGATGTTTCACGATTCTTTGCCTATCCGCCGTCGTGAAAAAACAATTCGGGTGCGCGACGGTTTGCGCCAAAATGTTGAATACCCGGACAAGAAAGCGCTCGTCCACGGAGTCGGATTTTTTCGAATAAGATTCATACAGCCGCAACACCCGCGCGGGGCTGGCCTTGATCATCAGACACTTTTTCGCGTAACGGGAGTCTAGTTGGTCGGGCGGCGGTCGTTTGAAGAGGTTGCCACGGAGCAACTCCTTCGGCTGCCAGAGTTTGAGAAATTTCGGGGAGACCATGGTCTGCGGGTACGTCAAGTCCGTGATCCATTCCGGCTTGGAGGTGCTGGTGATGGTGCGCCGGGTAGTTGAGGTTGGTACAGCTGATGGCGAGATGTAGTTCTTGACCCTCACCATGGAGAACAACTTGATCTGGCAGGTAGAGCGAAGTTGGCATAATCTCCTTCTTGTGAGAGCAGAAGTTGTTCCTCTGCTCGGTTGTAGTGCCGTCGGCGTGTATGTGGGCATCATCATCACCGCGCTACGGCTTGAAGATAGCACCGTCGTCGTGCGATGCGTGGGCATCATCATCACCGCACCGCGGCCTTCTGTCGTGGTGCAGCGCAGGCTGCGGGGAGCACGCAACAACGGCTGAGACGAGGACGACGGGTATGAGCGAGCCATTTTATTGGTTGTCAGTTTGCTGGAAGCTATACAACGCTGGCTAAGTGCGCAACGCCGCACAACGGCCCGAGAGCGGACCACGATGGCGCCGCGCCGGATTTCATTCTGATCGCGCCATGGTCATCACTCAACTCGCATACAGAAATACAAATAACGGCATGGGCTGTGTACTAGGAACTTGTAAACATTAAACCCATATAGCAGCAGCAGGGATACGAATATTAACATTAGTAGATCAACGGCAAGAACCCCAGTGGGCGATCTCCAAACAGAACAAGGGATCACAAGGCACCGACACTGTGCTTTTTGTTCGTGCATAGCCCCTTTGGGAGTGCGACAGAGGAACAAACATGGATGGCCAGCCTAGACCGGTAAAGGGAAGCGCCGCGCGTCGCCGTGGGGGTCGCAAGATTCCATATCTTACGCACATACTTCGGCACGCCGTCTAGTCTCGAGTAAAGCGCGAGGAAGAGTGGCGCGGAGACGCATTTTCAGGTCGAAACGCACCCACCTGCGCGCACGCGGTGGACGGTCAGGGCGAGTGAGCGAGCCGAGGGAGCCAAGGCAAATGCGGCAGGTCCATTGTTCTCGGATACGAACCGGGACCCGCGCCTCGCCCGAAGAACTTTCTTTCCCACCTTCCCTGGCAGGCCTGCCCCGCCCGCCGGCCGGAAAACAGGCGGGACACATGGGGCGCGGGCATGCAATACGGGGCGCCCGACCTTCCAAGCGATACATACCTACGTACGGGCCGGCTGGAAGGCACACCGGCCGGCCCGCCGCCAACCATGCCAAGCCAACCAAGCCAGCCAAGGCCTCGAGGGGCGGCACAGGGGGCGCCGGGCCACAGAATACACACAGGGAGCCGCGCAGGCGGGCGCCCAGCCAGCAGCCGGGCAGGCGGCTGGGGCCGCTCGCTGGCCCGGGGGTAAGGTAGGGCGCGGCCGGGGCCGAACGTGCGCCATCGCTGAGCCGTATAAGTTTCCCGCCCAATGGAACCAGCAAACGGGGCGGCGAACCGCTCGCCGCTTCTGCCAACTTGAACCCAAGCGATTTTGTCCAACCGAATGCGCTGCGAGCGACGCAGGCACGCAGGAAAGCTTACCGGCGCGCCTTCCGGGCCGGCCGGCGGCGCCACGCCCGCGCGCACGAGGGGCAACGAACCCGGCCGCGAAGGAAATGCTCCGCGCCCGGCGCTTTGGCTCTGCCCGGCCGGGGGCCGCATCGATCTGGGCGGGTGCGCGTCCCTTGACAGACCCAACGCGGGCCCGACACATCCCCCAGCCGCCTTTCCAAACCCGGCGCGCCATAATTCCTCCAAATCGCCATGGGGGCGGCGGGATTGTCACACAAGACACAACTGACCAAGCAACCCACAGCGCCCCCCTACCGCGTGCGGCTCTGGGTCCGATAGCCGCGCCCATCCTCCGCGCTCTCGTGGGTCGCTGCAGGTGCCCCGACCTTGCCCCGGAGTCGCTTCGTTGGTTGCTAATCACCCGCGGCCCGCGGGTCGATGGCTCGCGCACAGTGACCGAGTTTCGGTGGATGTGCGGCTTCATGCCCGATGCCTGGAGCTCAAGGCGGTCCAGGTTCGGGTGCGCGAATTAATGAGGGGCGCGGTCGGCCAATATGTCGGCCGGCTTCCGCGGGCGCCCCTTGTAGATAGTCGCCCGGCTGCGGCCTCAAATTTTCACGCGGGCCGCACGCTGCCAAGGGCGCCGGCGATCGACGGGGGGGGGGGGGGGCGGGCTCGCTTTAGCCCTGGCGCCGGCCAACGCTGGCCGACCCCGCCGGGCCTCACGGATGGAAGCACGCAAAGAGGCCGCCCTCCGAGCTGTTTCCGCTAACTACAAACATTGACAGGCGGCAAGGAAATGGGACAGCGAAACACCACTACCGCTGGCACTGGCCACAGGTCCCATCTGGATAAAGGTGCAGCGCTGGAACAACATCTACATCACGCAACCATAATCATGTGAAAAGCGCTCACAACGTCAGCATTTGTGCTTCAGAAACACATTGAGCATGGTCCAGTTGTGCTCTTGTTGCTTATCGTTGTTCATGTTCTCTTCACAAAAAATTAGCAAAAAGGACACTCATAATCCGTATTCTCAAATTCATCTTTCAACATTCCGATTCTATAAATAGCAGAAACACATCAAAGACAAAGCATATAAGTAGGCAGTCGCACTTGTTCGAAGCGTGCGCCAAAAAGTTTCTATGTGTCATCTCCTCGTAATTCTTAGATATCTTTGCACAAGAAGTCTAGTGAGAATTGCTGCGAGTGCAACTACAAATAGAAAATCGCTCACATCATAACGAGCCTAGTACAATCTCCCCACGACCAACCTACACTTCTCTTTTCTCCCCGCTCCGAAGAGCCTCACGCCGTGCCAGAAATTCATCCGACAATCTATGGCGTTCTCAAACGTTACATTCTCAACTGTTACATGAATTTGTGATGCAAGAACGGCAAAACTAAAAGGGGTGGCCTTGCGCGTATTGCATGACAGATTCGGCGCAGATTCTGAGCCTGTTTGGCTCTTCGCGAATTTGTCATGCGAAGCAGCTTGATCGTGTCAATTCTGATTGTAATTTTGCATGACAAATCATGTAACAGTTGAGAATGTAACAGTTGAGAACGCCATACAATCCTGCTGTCGAAGTAATTCTCCTTCCACAAAGAGGCTAAAAATGCGACATTAATCTCTTCCACCGAGAAGTCCTCCATTTCCGGTTTGGATGTAGTTCCGGTTTGATCATGTCCTGCTCTCATCCGAAACCCAAATAACCCCCGTTCGTCCCGCAATCGGTTGAACAGGTTCCGGCTGATTAGGAGTTCTGCTTTGTTCCCTCGGTGATCTTGAAGTAGATCTCGTGAAGATTCAGATTCTCGTAACAAACCAGTACCACTACCAGCGGTCGTGGTGGACAATGCAGCGAGACCACTTCGACTTGTTCCAGGATCTGTTGAAAATAAATCTTGGTCCTCCTCTTCTTGTGGTCCTGTTCCGTCCAACATTTGTTCCGCTGTAGTTCTTGTTTTCGATGGTCCAGCGCCTGTAGTGATTTTTCCCGATCCCGACATGCTCCTGGTGTCATCTTCATCAAACAAGGGAAACGCCACGTACTCTTCAATCGGGATCGTGGTGGTTCTGCAGGTTCTGGTGGTCGTGTCGTGTGAGCTGTGGCGAGCATTTGCAGTCGTGAAGCGCTTTTCTGATGCGAATACACCTTGTTGTAGTTCTCGCAGCATGCAGATGGTACCGTAGGGGTACAACGATGAACTGCTCGAGGGTTGAAATCCTCCTCGCCGCCCAAAATTAATGAACTCAGAGTTGTCGTCCTCACCACCATCCCGCCGACGAGATGTTGACTGCGATAGAATTTGTGCGCAGTGGTGGCAAGACGTGGTGCTGGTGGTGTTGCTGGAGGAACCGCCCCTGGATGCAGTGTAGATGCTTTCTTCATGCTCCTCGTCGTCTTGTGCCTCAACATCTACCGAAGCTGGTAGTTCTTCCAAAAGCTGTCCTGATGTGCTAAGATAAGAAGCCTCCCGTGGCCCACGTGACGAACTACTGCCGGCCAATGCAAGAGGAGCCACGTGTTGTTCCTCTTCCGGTTCCTGAGAATGAAGTAAAGGGTCAGCACGTCGTGAAGAGGACATCGACGGGTCTCGGATTCTCATCCGGAGGAGGGATTCCGCCAGTTTTCCATCGACGGAAGGAGGCCCGCCGGCTGCTCCACAGCATGCTGAACTACCTCCCGCTGCGACGGCGCCAGAAATTGTGCTAGTATCTGTTGTGCAACCGCCCGAAGAACCACCACTCGTCCCGAGGGCGGCCTGGTGCTCCGAAGGTAGAACCTCCACGTCCTGCGTTCCTCTCCTCCAGGATTTTTTGTCCCCACTGCCACTGCTAGCCCATATTAATCCACTCATGACTTGCCACCAGGTGGGCGGAAGGAGCGCGCTCGCTGCTGTTGCACAGGAGAATGCAGGTGCTCCACCTGAGCATGAAGAACAACCTTGGTGTAGGTGGCCGGACATCGTCCTACTTGTCGAGGAACGCGAGGAAGTCGTGCCCTGTTGTCGAGCTCTGCGTGGTCCACCTCTCTCGTCCTCGCCCCTCCGTTCCGGTAGGTGGCCGGCTTGTTCATCTGTGTCAACATCTTCACACGGAGAAAACCACTGCCGTGGATCGGGGCACCAGGAGGCGCTGCACAGTTGCGGCGAACTGGAACTACTGCTACTGCGTATGCAATACAAATTTACTGTACATGTACAAAATGCATCACAAATTTCACCGACTTGGAGCATGCCACTTGTCATGCTGAGTAGAATTAAAGGAAAGCTTTGTCATGCAGAAACCGCATTGGTACATGTACAGTATGAAATTTACTGTGGATACTGCTAGGAGGGGCATGTTCACCACTCCGCCTCTCAACGTTATCATACCTCTCCCGACTCACCAATAATCCAGCCAAAATCCGCGTTTTCGAAAACAACAGCACCCCCCGATTGCTGATCAGGGCGAAACAACCAGCATATGCTGAGAAAAAACGTCCCCAGCCCAGAGTTGTCATGCGAATGCGCAATGACAGAAACATTTGCAATGCGCATCCCCATGAGAGGCATTTCCAATCGTGTTTTGGCATTTGTAATGCCGTAACCAGGATGAGAAAGTGGCTTTCTCATGCGGCTGCCCGTGCTAACCAGCACTACACTGCAGATGGAAATTCGTCATGCACAACTCCCAAAACTTGGAGATTTCTGTTGCAGATTTACCAACTTGACTCTGAGGTGCTGGGGACGTTTTTGCCCAGGATAAAACCCCGTGCACCGTCACATCCACGAACTTCGGCAGTGTGGGGTCCGGGACCTGTTGCGGAAAATTCGTCCTCTGTGCCGGGGTTTTCTTCCGCAAACGCGTTTTCTTGAGATAAATTTTCTCCGGCTCATGTTCTTCACTGGTGTCTACTTCACTGCGGGGAATCCTGCCACTGCTGCTCTGTTGAGCACGACCATCTTCGTCATATTCTTGTTCATCATGGTCTACTGCTGCTTCCTCTGGAATTTCCCTTTCTTCCGGTTTCTCTTGCATGATTCCGTCCAGAATGGTCAGCAACTTCTTTTCCTTTTCCGAATACAGGTCCTCTAACGTGAGAGGGCCACGTCGGCGTTGATGTTCTAGTTCTTCTTCCTGTGTCGTGCCGCGGCGGCTTCGGGTGTTGTTGAGCGTGGAAGAAGCTGCAGATTTCCTGGTTTTAATTTTCTGCTTGCGTTTTCTCGTTTCTACTTGTTCTCCTCCCTGTTGCTCCGACGTAGTTGTCCCTCTAGGCGTCATCATGAATTTCCACATCTGGCTCATTCGCTCCGGGAAAGAATATGATCCATGCTGCCCATCTGCCAACCTTGCTCCTTGTTCCCTTGATGTAATTCCGTGGTCCCCGTCAGGAGTTGCTGCAGCAGCGTGACCCAGTTGCCTCCGGGGGCCTTGACGACGTTTGGCACTGCTTTTGTAGTCCCGTTTTCTCTGCTGTAGGTCTCGTTGAAGATTTGACATTGACGCTGATCCCTGCTGCCGCCCTGATTGATGTTGAACATCTGACAGCACACGGCGTTGTTCCCGGTGGTTATTTGTGCCACGACAGGTTCGTTCTTGGCCACAGCTAGGCAATACCATCATCTCCGGTATCTTCAATACCGGCGGTGGCGATTCTTGTTCTGTTGCACGACGAGGACGGGCGATGACGGCCGTAGGATTTTTGCCAACATTTGGTCTCGCCGTCCTCGACGGCCTTTGCCCGACGCCGAGGAGTTGCTCCGCTACTAGTCTTTGGCGCAAAAGCTCCTCGATGTTGCCGGAAGCTGCTGCACCAGAACTGGTAGCTGCCTGAACACGTACTAGCCTTGGAGTGGAGGACAGAGGAGGAGCAGGTACTACTTCTGCACCACCACGGTCAACATTGAAGATTCTTGGCACAGCAGCAAAAGTAGAGCTGCCAGAAGCCCCGCCTGCAAGAGGAACTGGCGCTCCACGCGGACTCGTAGCAGGAGCACGCGATGTTGAAAGAGGCCCGGATGTTAAAGTAGGGGATTGTTGGACGTCGAGCTGCTGGCCGTGAAGATCTCCACCTGCATGGCCCATCACGACCCCCTCTAACATAGAAGTCGGCGGTCGGTCGTGTATGTGGTCATTCGAAATAAAGGCGACCTGGTGAAGATTTGGATGTTGTGCCGCAGCTATTAAAGCTTCTGTAGATGAAGTAGAGGAGGAGGAGGAACTCGTCGAACCAGAAGCACGACCGGCAAGATTTTTGTCAGCACCACCTTGTTGTTGTCCGATCGTCCCACGGCCAGATGAAATTTTTATCCCGAGTTGTTCATCTTGCAATTCGTCCCTGATTTCATTCCTGATATCGACAAAGTCGCTATGAACTGCAAAAGGAAAAGTATCGTACTCGTATAAATGCATTACAAATTTTCTCAGCATGAGAAATAAAATTTGTAATGCTGATTTACCTTAAAAGATAGATTTGTAATGCAAGACTTGCAGTTATACGAATACGATACTTTTGCACAGGATAGTCGCCTCTGTCCCACAATTTCCGCAGAACCTCGTTTTTGATGCGCACCAAGTTCTGGAAATTCGCATCCAGTCTTGAGGAATCTGGTTCCTGTCGCAGGGACGAAGATGAAGACGCGCCAACAGATGAAGCGTGTAGTCCCCGATCATCGTTGTTTCTTGCACATGGAGGTGGATCTTCTGCTTGTTGCACTATTCCCATGATCTGTGGGGTCGTGCTGCCGAGGTGGAGCCGGTCTTGCGCACGGGATAAAGTAGTTCTTGTTGGCTTTATCCCCACCAGTTGCCCGCTCTCTTCGCAATACCAAGCAGACAAAAATGCCTGGTCAGTTGCTCGTGCTAGTTCAACATCCAAAGAGATGTCCGATGAGAACGCGGGGGCGCCACAAGTGCCTGACGGCGCTGAAGCTGATCCGCCGCCACTATAACTTTCTGGGCCAGGACCAGGAGAAGATCCTTGTCTCGCCATCTCCTCCACCGATGGCGCAGCACTTTCTACTTCCCCAACCGCTTCATCGTCTTCACAACTTTCATCTTCCTCACCGCTGCTGCAACTGCTTCCGCTTCTCTCCTCGTCAGAAGATGACGAACAGGACGGTAGAAGTTCCCCTTCTGACAATGCATGTGATTCTTGTTCCGAGCAGGAGCCCGTGGAGCAACCACTTGGAAGAAGTTCGCCTTCCGACAACAAACCTGATGATGTTGATGAGGAAGAAGGAGCTCTGGTTTTTGAGTTACTCCTTGCGTTTTGCAGTGGGAAGTACAACAAAAACCCGAGGATGTTTCGCAAAAACTCCGCTCTTTCGTCCCTCAACCGCGGCGGGCCTCCCCCGGAAAAATTCAACTCGGAGAAGTAGTCTTTCGTCTCGGAAAAACTCAACACGTTGCCACTGATGTTCTTCACGTACTCGTCCCAAAAGTCATCGACCGTAGCTTGCCCCGCGTTGGCATAGAACTCCGGGCGAATCGTGGCCACTACCGCTGCTTGAGCCGCCAACCCGGTGCGCCGCGATGGTCTTCTGCCGACTTCCCCCAATCCCCTCCCGGCTTTGCTACCAGAGCTCCGGCTGAAGAGAGGCGCGAGGGACAATTCTACGAAGAAGATTAGCCTTTTCAGCTGTTTGGCTAAATTCCTCTCTTCCCTACCCGTCCAGTAATCTTCCCTAGTACTGTAACTGTTTGCATCGGTCAACAGTTGCTGGGGTAAATTTGAAGCGCGGCAACAGGGGCAACCGCGTTTCAGCGTCTCCAATTTTGTGAAAAACTTCGGCAGGATCAATTTTCCCGTCATCTGATTGTACTGGGCTTTCAACTTCAGGTGCTGGCGCTGAGATTGTTGCAGCAGTCTCAGCTTTTCGCTGAAGGGAGGGTGTTGACGATCAGCACTAGCACGCTCGGCAGCTGTATTTTTTCGACGACGACGCCGGTGTAGTTCTTGCCATCCGAGTTGTAATTTGCTTTCGGACTGCTTTTGCGATAGGTTTTGCAAAATCTCGCTTTGGAAATCTCGCGGAAACTTGTCAAAGTGCAGCTCCTTCTCGTAAAAGTCGTCGATTTGGTGTTTGACAAAGAACAGTTTTTTCTCTACTTGCATTTCCTCGTCATTTGTCAAGCAACTCGTGCAAAAGCCGTGACTAGTATTATTTCTCGTTTTATTTCCACCCTTTGCGTTGTACTCGTTCACGTTCTTGCAACTGTACGGGTAATGCATCAGTGGGTGCGGCTCCAGACAGATCGCGCAAACGTCGTGCTCCTTGTTGGGGAGAGGACCTGTGGCAGCTTTTGGGTTGCCATCTCTAGAAGTACTCTTACCTCCGGGACGAGGTGGTCGAAATGTCGCTGCCGGGGTCGTCGTGTGAAGTGTCCTCTTCACCTCCTCATCTTGGTCCACCGGCGCAGCCGCAGCCGCGCTACTAGCATTACCTTGATTTCGACCCGCTGCATCAGCATCGGGTGTTCCTGCCCCACCGACGTGTTGTCGAAGTGGGAATAGAAGTGGATCTTCGATGCCACCGGCGGGGGAGGTCTTTCCACTCAGAAAGCGTGCCTGCGCCGCAGAGGAAAGCTGCAGCAGCAAGCCAATCTGGTGGAAGAGTTTCATCTTACGAAGCAGGAGCATCCGCGAGTTGCCTGTGAAGCAACCGTTGGAGTAGAGCATGACTCTTGTGCCCGTTTTACTTTTCTTTCGTAGCACGATCGAGTTCCGAATAAAATCGCTGGATGTAGTTCTCAGAGTGGAGCAACTAAGTAGAAGTGTGAGGACTCGCTTTGTGTTTTGCACACTTGCCTTGATCTCATCACGTAACAACTGCGTTCGCGTTGTCTAAACGAACCCTAATAAAAGAAAATTGAAAGCATCAACCAAGAGGGCCTGCAGGCCTGCGATGAACTGTGGCCATGGGTTGTAATCAGGGGGGCAGCGGCAGTTTTTCTTTTTTTATAAAATAATTTCCAAGCAAAACACACCCTCGAATGAAAAAGAAAACGCGATCGTCGGATGCCGACTCACCTGTTCTAGTGATGAGTATGAATCTAAGAGTAAGAACCACTACTTCAAAGTTGATCTTGATCGAGATGAACAAATAAAACCAAATTGCAGGGCGTTATAATGGACTGGAGCTAGATCTTGACTCCTCTACCACAGCACGGGCTTGCTTCGCCTTGGAATGTAAGCATGATCTTTGCGGCTGTTGGCCGTTGCTTGGTAGGCGTGCACAGTTCAAACAAAACAGAGCTGTTCGCCACTCTTGCTTCCGGTACTACTCACGCAGCTAGCTAAACAGCAAAATCTAGTAAAAAATCTTGCGATGGCAGTTGTTCTTACCTCAATGTAGACTGAAGAGCGAAGAAAAAATGAACACACGCAAGCCCCCTCATCCCACAAACTCTGGGCAAGTGAAAAACTCGCGAAAACGCCCGCGATGGTGACACGATGCTGCTGGTCGGTGCTGATAGATTAGGCCTGTTGCTTCAAAGCGCAATTACGCTTCAGGACATAGAGCCCGCGCCACGCGTGGAGACACACGCCTGGCCCCGCGAGCAAAAGGAGGGAGAAGGGCCCGCTGTGCCCACGTAGAGGTTGGCAACCAGGCTCGCTCAGCTAACAGTGGGTGCTGGCGGCGGACGGCCTATGCTTGTCGCGGCGGCATCACTCGACCCAATCAAGCCGAAGGGCTGGCTGCGCGATGGCGGCGGCGCCGAAAAATGCTGGCAAGCAAGCAGGCGCGAAGCACCTTCCCTGCCCCGCCCTCCGGCTCCGCTCGGCGCGCGCCCGCGTCGGGCCATACATTAGGCGGGGAAGGGCGGGGCAACGACAGGACCGGGCGCGCGGGGGGCGGCGATCGGAGACGGGCACGCAGGCGGGCACGCATGGCCTGCCACCGGCCGGCACTCTCTCCCACCCCCCCGCCCCGCCCGCCCCGGCCGGCAGGGGCAGGGGGCGCGCCCGGGCCACTCCTTACCTACGCCCGCGCCACGCCTACCCCGTCCAAGTCCCGAGCGGGGGCGGGGGCAAGCTAGCGGGGCCAGGCGCCGGCCGGATGGCGCCGCAGGCATGCACTGTAAGAAACTGAAACACAAAGAAAGGCCGGCCGGGAGGACCTTACTCACGAGCAAGCGCAATCCTACCCAAACCGCCGCCGCTGCCCCGCGCCTCCTTTGTCTTCAAATACTTCATGGCATCGTGGGCCGGGGCATCCCCCCACCCCAACACCCGAACGGGAGAAGCCCCGGCGACCGACCCCCCAAGGGCACGGCTGGCAGGCCGGGCCCGGCGCAGCGAGCCAGCGCTTGGGGAAATAAGCAGGCGATCCCCCGGCCGCCTGCGCTGCACACGCGGGCGCCCCCTGCCCCCCCCCGGCCCCACCCACCCCCCCATTGATTGGGGCGCTGGGTGCTTGGCTGTCCCACGGCGGTGCTTCGCCTTGCCGGCTGAGTTGCAAAAGCGGCGGCACGCTGGTGGCCGTCAACAGGTCACAGTCGCCACGGCCGCAGCCCAAGCGGCTGGCCGCGGGCCCGTTTCGCGCACGCCGGCATTGGGCCCGCTGCGCGCCTTGCCCCAAAATGCTAGGCCCCAAGGCGCGGCCGCGGGAGGAATACGAATATTGCGGCCGGCCCGCCGCAAATACGCGAGGCGCCCGGCCTCCCGTCGTGGTCGACTTGCGTCATATTTGGGCGCGATTACACCACACCCAACGGCCGGGGTAGGGCACAAGCCGCAGCCCCGGAGAGGACGGCGGAGGCGCCCCGGCGGGCACGGTGCGCAAATGGTTGGCGCCCACCCGCCCGCCAGCGGCTGGCCCCATTCGGTTTGCCTCGGCTGTGGTTTCACAGGCACGCGCTGGGAACGGACAGAGGCAAAAGTACGGAGCTAGAACCTTACTTACTTGTCCGAACACATCATGCTCGCCGTGACACGCCTCACTTGCGTGCTTGGTCCGCCTCAAGTCTCCCCAACAAACTGAAATCAGACGTGCGCAGCATAAAGTGATTGACACTGGCACTGTCATGTCTGCTTCCATGTATAAGTAATATGTTCGTTCGAAAGAAAGTTCGTAGTTTCTACGACATCTTCATCTAAACCGTTTTCAAATCCAATCCTATTCGACATTCCGAACGTTACGTTCGTTCACCTCGCTTCAAGAAAAAACCAAAATTTAGTATCAATTTGCTCGATAGTTTAAACTTGATTTAGATTTGCTCCTGTCTTATTTAGCGGTGAAAAAAGTAAACTGTACTACTGGGGGCGGCATGAGTAAGAAAACATCTTCGGGTTGGGGATCATGTTGATGTCAAGCGAAAAAATAAAGCTCTGCGTATCGATAGGCGGGTAGGTTTGGTCGATGCGTGCAGAAATGCATGGTCGTGATGTATGTACTTTATTTGGACGAAGCTCACCCTCAATTCCCGACCACCTTCGTGACCACCACATTCAAGTTCCCCTCGCGCAAGACAAACCAATCCGGTTCCCGTCCCCGCAGGGCTCCAGTTCGCGAAAACATGGCTGCGTCGGAGATAATTTCTACTTTCAGATGCCGGTTTGCCTTGCTGCTTGTGCTACTTCCGGCGTAATATCAAGCGCAAAATTATCGCACTCGTCGGACTTCTTCTTGCAACAGCACTGCATGACAAATCTCGTTTCTCAGCAAAGAAATCAGCATGACAAATTGCATTTTTCCTATCCTGACATCAAAACTTGTGATGCAATTCATACGTAGTCCGATAATTTTGCCATTCATATTCCGTACGTCACATTGAAATCCTCTTTCCACCAATAGGGCCGGGTGTAGTATCCTGTCCAAAGTATCGCACTCGTATTAATGGCAATTATGCATTTACAAATCCTTTTCTTAAGCAGGTAAATCCGCACTACAAATTTTATTTTTCATGCTGAGGAAATTTGTAATGCATTTATAAGAGGACGATACTTTTGCAGTTCATATGTACGTGCCGGTGACGGTTTCCTCATCGAATTTCTCCTCAATAAAAGCCTCTTCTTTGTAATGTGGAATCCCATCAACGGAGGAAAACGCGGGGTGTTTCGACGTATTTGTCTTTTTGCCGCCAGTAGTTGCTGTAGTACCAGGAAAAGATGTTGCGGCCGCTTTTGTACTACTAGTCTTGATCACGTCTTTACTGATGTCGCTGTCCACTTCGGCTTTGCTATCTGCTCCTTCCCCGGCTGGCACCAAGACATCATTATCCTGTTTTTCAAAAACATCCGAGTTCAGACACTTTTCAAAAATATCAAATGTAAAAATGTCTGGGTCTGGAAGATTGGAACTTGTGATGCTAACTTTGGACTCTAGAAAAATCGGTATTGCATGACCAGCAAGAGGAGTCTAGTTTGTGCTACGCGGGGAGGGCGTTTGTCATGCGGAGTAGACATGGGGAAGCCCTCTCAAAATCTGTGATGCGCGGCCGTGCATTACAGACATCCTGGGTCATGCAAAACATGCATGACAAATCTCAGAATGTTCCAGACCCAGACATTTTTACATTTGATAGAAAACCTCCTTCCCCAACGTGAACATGGTTTCTGTTCCCCACGACCCCGCGCGTTTCCCGCAGGAGTCCGTGTATGTTTTTGTACTGGATGCAGTATTGGTTGCCGGAGCAGTAGTAGTAGAAGGTTCTTGTTCCGAAGATGCAGATGTTCCCTCCTCCGCGGATGAACTACCCGCCTCTACTGTCGTTTGATCATGCTCGTCCTCGACAACGCTCCAACTAGCATCACACCCCTGCGGCAAACAGCTGATCACCAATTTCCCCGTGTCTTTCAAAATCCGCAACACAGTATCAAATGTAAAAGTGTCTGGGTCTGGAAGAATGCAACGTGTCATGCTAAATCTGAAGCATGCAAAAATCTGTGTTGCATGATGACCAGCCTGGAGGGAGTTTCTCATGCAGGATAGGCATGAAAGAGATCGCACAGAATCTGTCACGCTAGGTCCTGCATTCCAGGCTTCGTGGGTCATGGAAAAGCTGCATGACAAATCGCGCATTCTTCCAGACCCAGACATTTTTACATTTGATACACAGATTTGAGCCAAATGCACTGCGCCCTGATAGAGAGTAATTGTACCACGGAACAGGTTAAAACGTAGTCAAAGGAGTTGTCTTTGATGAAGGGCAAGTGCAGAGACTGATCGTAATTGACTTGGCAAAACTTCTGCTGCTGGTGCTGCTGCTGATGTTCATGATGTTGTACTCGGCTTTCAGCTTGATCGGAATCTTCTTTCTGGTGGGGTATTGTTGTTCCTTTTGCAGAAGCCGCAAAAGAAGAAGTTGAAGAAGGGCTTTTCATTTCTGTGCTTTGTGGCAAAACAAACACATTGTCCGCGGAGTATTTGTTGGCAAAGTCCACCGCTCCCTTGATGATATCCACACCGTAGATATGGGAGTGTCAGGATTGAAATCGACAAAGGTGAAATGATTTGTCATGCATAAAATGGATACCAATTGGACCCACAGTTTCTACTCAGTGCATGACAAATTTTATCCGTACCGGAGGCCAGTTTGTCATGCTGTTTCGGGCAAAGGGGCTCCCCTCTGTGATGCTAATCAGCAGCCCAATTCTCGATCCTTACCAGCACTACAATCTGCCTCCCTTGCGTCCTCTGCAATAGAGGCAATTTCTGCGCTGCATTTTATGCATGAGAAACTATTTCAACTCTGGCGAATTCGGTCCTGACACAACCATACTAGACCCGCACCCCGTACAGCTGCTGCAGCCACATCATTTTGTGGCCGCACCCGGAACCGAAATCAAAAATGGACTCGTTGGGGAGAAGCTGTAAATGGTGCGCGAGGGAGTTAATCATACAGTAGTGCCGGGATCTCTGGTCGAATTCCCACATTTCGGTGTCGATATCCATTGCAAAAGTATCGTCCTCGTAGTAATTGCAGTTATGCATTACAAATTTCTTTCTCAAGTTAAATCCGCATTACGAATTTCATTTTTTTACACTGAGGAAGTTTGTCATGCGATTTCTACTAGTACGATACTTTTGCAATTTATAGCCGAATTGACAGGTCGAAAACAGCTTGTGCCTGTCCATGCGGTCATTGTACTTGAAAGTTGCGTGGTAATCTTGGTTTTTGAGGACAAGCTGCTCCTCCTCTTCGCCGCCCTCTTCATGTTCGGATGATGAATTTTGATTTTCAGAAATGTTGGCGGTTCCTTCTCGCGCTAGGATCGAGGGACAATGAAGGTGCAGTTCCGTATCGTTCGTCTTCATTGCTGCGAAGGCGCTCGGCCCTCCAATTTCTACCGCATCTTGTTCAGGAGCTCCTGCGCTATTCGTATTTTTCCCTCTGGTGGCCGCTGCCGTGTCTGTTTCTGCCTGGTGGTCCAGAAATGGATTTATCGCCTTTAAATCCCTCACCCGCTCACGACAGTTTTCGATCAGCTGTTGACTTGTTCGGGCGACGTTGCAATAGGCATCAGATTCCGCTTTCATCACGTAGCCAGTTTTTGTTCTTCTTATTTCGCCGGTGGTGGTGGTCTCAACACTTTTTTGTCCTGCTGAGGAAGAAGTAGCTGAAGAGGATGCAGTAGCAGTACTTGCTGCAACAGCCACAGCGCACGTATTCATATTCTCCCCACCGTTCCCGATTTTGTGGAAGTTCATGTGGATGGCGATGTCTTGCCGGTTTAGAGAAGAAAACGGGGTCAGAACGGGGTCGACGAAGATTGTTTCCGATGTTGCACTACTAGACTCGACGTCTTTATTTCCTTGTTCAACATCCTTCCGCGCCGACGAAAAAATCCCCGCGAGCGCCAACCCCTTTGTCGTAAACTGACTGTACTCCGCGACCGTCCACAAATTTTTCACGTCGGCGCGCACGTAAATGGAGTGATACTCGGAAAGAACCACAATCGCGGCGAGGAGAATGCGGTAACAAGTGGTAGCTTGGAGATTCGCAAACAGGGATTGCTCCTCGAGGAGGTGCTGTTTGCTGGCTGTTCTATTTGATGCTGGTTGTACTCCCAGCAACCCGGAGGTGACGTTTCTGGTCGTGCTCGCGTCGGTACTTGGCGAAGGAGTGTAGTTGTCAACAACGCGGGGTGGAAATTTTTCTGCGATTTCAGGAAGGGATCCAGATGAAGTTGAAGCAGGTGGTGCAGCAGCAGTAATATCTGCAGCTGCGTTCTTGGCACTGCTGTTAAAAAAGAACCAACGCTTCAAAATTTCAAAAATTTCGCGGTTTTGCTGCGTTTGGTCTTCAACATCAACATGCGGTGCAGGTCGACCAATTCCGATAACGGCAGTCGGCTCTGCTTTCGTTTTCCCTCGCCAGGTGGACTGGGCAGTGGTTGGAGGTCGTGTTTTATTTTCCTCAATGTGATCATCTCCCATCACCAGCTGCAACACGTTTTTCGTGCGGTTTCTCACGGGTATTAAATCCTGAACCACATCCGGAAACATCCCGTTCCGCAATTTTTCGTGCAACCGGGAAAACCACCTAACCAAGTCCCCGTCCCGGTTTGCGAAAAAAGGGCTGTTGTGCAGCATCTGGGTCCTGACGTGATCGTTTTTCCCGGCTAATAGCCTGTCGCGGTCCCGCGCAACCCCGAAAAACCGGTTTTTGGTCGTGAGAAGCTCGGCGGATGAGGTGAAGTTGGTGTATCTTATTTTCGTTCTGGCGGTTGTAGAAGATGAAGATCTTTTTGATGTTGTCAATACTTCAGAAGGTGGTGCACGCGGCGCTGCTTGTTCCCTCTTGCCCTCGTGCGGCTCCGCCGGCGGTGTAGTGATTTTGCTTCCACCGTGACGAGATGTTGAGAACTTGAACTTCTCCAGAAGGTCGAGATCAACAGTTGCATTTGGAGCTGCAGGCTTTATTGTGTTCTTGTCCCACAGTGAGTTAGAACGCCGCAGGTCCACTTGGTCCATTTTTGCAACAGGGTCAAACAAAGAGTTTGTAAAGCTGGAGAAAATCCCTAACCGTTTCCCGAGGGCATTCACGATCTGCTTCGCGAGGGTGACGACTCGAGTAGAAGTGCTATTGTTGTGGTCCTGTTCATCTTCATATTGGTCTTGGTAGTTCACGGAGGTAGATGTAGTTGCATCCCGATGATTTTCTTTTCCTTCCACCAGCTTCCAAAACTTCAAAACGGTTTCCTTCTGCAAGTTTTATTCCCTGAAAATTAAACATCCCCATCCAATTTGTCATGCAAAAAGTCTGTGTTTGTCATGCAAAAAGTGGATGGGGATGGTTTTGGTTAATTTCCAGGGGATAAGTTTCCGGCAGTCCTCATTCCTAGCACCGGACAGCTGGTCAGGGCGAGAAGTTCCAGATTGGTGGAAGACGAAGAGCTCGGCTGGTCTTCTTTTGGTTGTCCTCCATCTACTGCGGTTGGTGTTTTCTGGGGCTTCCTGGTACCATCTTCGCTTGTAGTAGGAGTGGTTCTTTTGTTTTTACCACTCGGACGAGAAACAACTACCGTGCTTGTGGTTTTCTTGGTGATGTCAGACGACGAAACCATTTCTCTTGCCATTTTTCGTTGGGCTTGTTTTTGCTCCCCCGAAGGCGAAGAACGCCGGTGTGGATCATCATCTTCTGCCTCGTCGGCAGGGCCCCGCAGAATGGTGCGAGAGCTGGCCGGCGCAATCAATTCTTCAACTTGCACCGCAATTTTGCCGCCTGGCGAACCGCTTCCGCTAGCAGCAACAGCATGAGAAGTGGACGACCACGACGTAGAAGACGATAGAACACCTCCTGCCCGCAATAACCCAGGTGTGGGTGATGTGCTGATGGGAGAGGACGGGAAAATCTGCTGTGCCAAGGCCAACCTGGCGATACAACACGAGAAGAAACGGGGTCTGTGCATGATGATTTATGCCTGATGAGTGCTAGGCCGACGCAATAGAAGAGAACTGCTTCTGAGCAGGAAACATGAGCAACGCTTTGCCTTTGTGGCTAAAGCAGAGACGACAAAAATAAGAGTTCTTGTTCGGTGCCTTGTTCTCGTCTCCAGTGGCTCGCAGGATGACAAGATTATAGATACCGAAAAGGTCACCGTCACGACCACGACGACGACAACGGGCGCGTAGACGTGTCATGCTTAGAAGCATCAACACCGTCACAACGGACAGATTCACAACTGCGGTGAACACATACCACTAAAACAGGCGCAGTGCGCTATTACGCATGGCACGAACTTCGTGCTGTTGGCAGCGGTGCTCCTTTGGTTTGGATATCGATAACATTGCCATATCAATCAGTTGTAAAAGTTATCAACATTAACTCCACCAGTCTGTCATAGAGATAGTCTTTTACAATCGATAAAAAATCCAAGTTTTTGCTGCCTTTGCCGTTTACATTTTTGGATGAAAGATCAAAATCTTCTTTGAGTGCTCGTAAAATCTAGCCTGACTAGGAGTCCGTCGGTACATCTTTGGTACATCGAGCGTGAATCTAGTATAACGCCGTGGTGCCCCTCACAACAACTACATTCATAACATTGAGATGTTGATTGACTCAACTTCTGTATCTGTACGTGTACGTGTACCTCAGCAAAATTATCCGAATAATAAACATGGGAGGAAACAACAAGTGCCAACACACCAGAGCAGAAACGGAGCTAGATCATGGTCGTGGGTTTGTTCACATCGCCCGTACCAAGCGGCCACCGTTCATCCCGAGCTTGTTGGTCATGGTATTGTTCCGGAGATTATTGCTGTTCCCGCCGACCATACTGCCCATCCCCCCGAACCCGGCATCCGACAACAGCATCAGGCTTCTCAAATCCGAACTTTTCACCTGTTTCGCGTACTCAAATACCCAATCCGGCAAGGGTTCCATATGGCGTTCTCAAACGTGACACTCTCAACTGTTACACTTACATGGACTTGTAATGCAAGAACAGCAAAAGTAAAAGAGGCAACGTTACAGCTTTCGCATCACAGATTTGCCACAGATTATCATGCTGCTTGGCCCTTCGAAAATTTGTCATGCTAAGCACCTTGATCAAGTGGAGGCTGATGGCAATTTTGCATCACGAATCCATGTAACAGTTGAGAATGTAGCGTTTGAGTACGCCATATTCCATGTCCTCGCGAAATTTCGGCTGCCAGTCCAGAAAGTTGTCCTCCAGGTACACCTATCAAATGCAAAAGTGTCTGGGTCGGGAAGAATGCGCGACTTGTCATGCAGCTTTTCCATGATCCATGAGGTCTGGAATGCAGGACCTAGCATGACAGATTCTGGGAAGTCTCTATCATACCTATCCTGCATGAGAAGACCGCTCGTGTTGGTCAAAAAAGGACACTTTTTGGTGATCACGCAACACAGATTTTTGTGTGACCCACAGGACGCATCACAAGTTCCAACCTTCCAGACCCAGACATTTTTGCAGTGAATAACATCTGTCCCTCTTCCTCCAGGTCTTCCTCCTCGTTGATCGCTTCGTCCGCCCAATTCAGGCTCGATTTTTGCAGCACCGCCGGCTGGTGGGGCTGCTGCTTCGCGTGCTGTGGGATCCGGACGCCGCGGGCCGCCGTGCCAGCATGTGCCATCATGTCTTTACTTGTACCTCCGGAGATCACCGTGCCCGAACTCGTTCCCGTTGGGGTCGGCAGGCCTGTTTTTGTTCCATTCCCATTCGTATTTATGTGAACATTTTTTGGTTTTTTTCAAGCTATTAAATGCAATACCGACAAATCTTATTCTGGTTTCAATAACAAAACAAGCACTGTACTGTGTGGCTGCGTCAGGTGTCCGGATTTGTTCAACCCCTTCGCCATGGACAGAGACATGCTGGTATGGAATGGAAAACATCTTTATTTTGTCATGCTGTTTCGCAACATGATCATGAGCGCACACGTAAATAAGATCATCGTCAACCTCTTCATACAACTGATTATTCATTATTGCGCCATATTAGCTTCGACCGTATATGAGAAACAGCATGACAACATGCCTCATCATGTTCATCCTCGCACGAAGCCGTGTACTCGCTCAGGCTGGGGCTCGAAGACAAACTGCTACCGGAAGGAGAGGGCTGTAGTTTTAGTTGTAATTGCGTTTGAATTTGGTTTGCATGCATGCATGCATGGGAAAGAGGAATCGCATGTAGGTGTAGACATCATGACGTATGTGACACTCAGTTCCTCGTCATGCACCACATTCACCCAAAAAAAAAATCTTCAGCAGCAAATTCTACTAACCTGTGCCACGACGCCCGACTTTGCAGTCTTCTTTCCACCTTCCTTCGCCTCGTCATCATTTGCAGAGGCGGCTTTCTTCTTGGCCCGCTTCTTCTTCGCCTTGGTCGCTGCAGATTCGTTGGTTGAATTTGTACCGGAGAAATCGGTCGCCTGATCATCTTTCCCGCCAGCAGCAAGAAGCACCGCTTCCTGTTTGTTGGCATCTTTGTCAGTGCTGGTACCAGAAGTTCTTTCAGCAGTGGCGGAGTTGATATTGCTGTTATCGCTCTTCTTCTTCATCTCATGACTTCCTTCCCCTTCCGATTCTTGTTTCTCATGATTCAAACTTTCCACCCGGACGGTAGAAGTTTTCGTCGCTCCGCCCGCAAAAGTTTTCGTTTTTTTCCATTTGTCCGCTTTATTTTTCTTGCTATTTTTTAAGTCCTTCTCCAGAAGCGCCGGGTGGATGTTTGCATCGTCTATTCCAACGTCTCCCACAGCGGAAGTCGTTCCAGTTGTTCCCAATAAAAGCCTATCCTGTGCAAAAGTATCGCACTCGTATAAATGCATTACAAATTATTTCGATTTCCTCAGCAACAGCATGAGAAATAAAATTTGTAATGCGGATTTACCTATAAGAAAAAGAGTTGTAATGCATGATTGCAGTACGAGTACAATACTTTTGCACTGGATAAAGCCAGTCCGCCAGTTGAGTGATTGATTCGTAGAAATCTTTGACGAGCAGCTTCAGTGCTTTATCCACCTTGCTGTGCCCTACGTAGGACTTCAGAAAATAACCGACTGCACCAATAACGATGAGGGGAATCGCTATGCGATTGAAGTTCTCCTGTGCGGAAAACAAATCGTTGGCGAAGAACATTTTTTGGCTCTAATTTCTCACTGTCACTTGGTTATGGTTGAGCTGGAAATAAAATTTTTCTTCTAGTATATGTGCATCTACAAGTCGTTCGAGCTTGTTTGCCCAGGCTTCTAAATTGGTAGTCGTAGTCTGTTGAAGAATTCACGCGCATGCTACTGTAAACGAGAAAGACGAACCAGATGCACACGACCACAATCGTAAAAGAAACAGACGGACAACGCATTTTTGGCGGAAAACAAAAATCGGACAAGGAATCGGAAGATGAACCCGTTGTTCCGATGAACAACAATTAACAAAGAAAAGGAAAGCTAGCCAATAAGACTTTTGTACACACAGCCTCCTAGTAGGAGGTGATACTAACAACATGTGAGGTCGTGTAGCTCCTCGTCCTGGACGAGGTGCACCAGCAACAGGAGTTGTCTACTACCCTGTCGCGCTCCCCCGATTCAGTTTTTTCTGCCGGACGAAGGATAAATAGCTCCTGCTGCGTCTTGGTTGTATACAATTAGTGCTCAAAAACCAATCCAGACACATAGTACTTCTCATTTCGATCGTCCTTCATACGCATCGGCATCAGGACAGTGCGAAGATTCTTTACCTGCTGTACTATTTTTTCTGTCCTTTCCAGAAAAAGTAATGTGCCGTCAACATCACGTTTAGGTCCTCCAAAAGAAAGAGAAACCATCTTTTCGCATGGCCGATCTGACGACGTGTGGTCGTGCGGTTCTACTCGGGAGAGAGTATTGGTATTCTTAATTTCTTGATTATTGGGTACGCTCCAAAAATGAACTACGACTACTTCCCTGTTGTAGTGATGATGTTCACTAGCTTGTACGTACAACTTGATTTATTTCCAGCTATGTCCAGGAAGAAGAAACTAATCTTTGATGTTCCGTGGCCTCCACCAACGCCCGTCCTAGCCTAACATCATAGCGTTTCTTCACCATTATGAGCTATCAGCACCCAAACAAGCAGCACCTTCTGGGCGGGTTTTTCCGCTCTTCTGCGAGGATCTCTTTCAGAATTTCCGAGGATTTCTGTGTGTCCGGGATTTTCTTACCCTGTTTCCAAACCTTGGAGGCGGACCGCTTGTTGGCATCCTCGTTCTTCTTATCCTGTGCAAAAGTATCGCACTCGTAGTAATGCTTGCGTTTATGCATTACAAATCTCCATCCCAAGGTAAAACAGCATGACTAATTCCATTTGTCATGCTGAGCTAATTTGTATTGCAGTTACCACTACTACGATACTTTTGCAGTTCATATTTCTCCTCGTTGTTCGCGTTTTCCTTGTCCTGATTGGGACAGTTTTTCTTCGCATCCATGGAGGGCGAGGTCTTGCTGTCGGTTTTGTTCTCCTGCTCTCCTACTACCTCCAATTCGCTCGTCACGATCTTATCAGCAACCAGCGAGTTCTTCTTGTTCCCTGCCTTCAACACTCGGGCCTGTTCATCTTGTTCACCCACGTTTTTCATCGGCATGAGAGGGCTGCTGATCACCACGGGGGAGGCTCCCGGCGTGGGGGAGGTCACCGTGATTGTCGGGATTACCACATCACGCGGGTTCAGCGTAGCTTCCGGACCGCCGATGATAATATCCGAGTGGGAGGAAGTACGGGGAGATTTGATATTACCGGAGCCCAGCGGCGACTTCGCGTTCTGATCTTTCATGTTCTGGTGAATCGACCGAATAAGGCTGTTGCGCACCGGGGGCGCATCATCTTCTGCAGGAGACTCGGTTTTTTTACTGGTTTCGATTTGTTCCCCTTCTGGCAGCTTTGTGCTGACCATGGCTGAGTTCTCCTTGACTGCAGCGGTGGAATCTGTGATGTTAGCGAAGATTGATAGATGTAAGAACACCTCCGGTCGTGGGGAGTTCTTTAGACGAAACATGGCCGCGAACCAATTCTGTATTAAGTGAACCTGAACCCAAGCCCAAGAACTCCACGTCACAATCGAAAAATCTCCAATTTTCCTCGTATTCTTATGCTTATGTCGTTCCTCGAGTCCATACCTTTGCTAACTACACTATCCATACCTTTGCTCATAACTACACAACTATCCATACCTTTGCTCTCCACCGTGCTCGTGCCGCTCGTGAGATCGCCTATCACCTCCTTAGCCGAGTCTGCAATCGCTGTACTCACCGCCTGATTCAAAAATTTCTCACGCATTTGTCATGCAGTGTAGCAATTTGTCATGCAGTTTAGAAATTTGTCATGCAGTTTAGCAAAATGATTATTTATAATATGCACCGTATCGACAATCGCTCCGGCAGCTTCGATATCCTGTGCAAAAGTATCGCACTCGTAGCATTCGCAATTATGGATGACAAATCTCCTTTCCAAGACCAAGCTCAATCAGCATAACATATTCGATTTGTCATGCTAAGCGAATTTGTGATTGTTTTTGTATTGCAATCCGTACTAGTACGACACTTTTGCAATTCATATTCGATGTTTTGATCCTTGACGATACCCGCCACAACAATGTCTTCCATATCCTGTTGCGCTGGTACGCCTTTGACGTCTTTTTCAACCTGGGAATTTTATTCATGCAGAGGCATCGGAAAAAGGCAAGCATCATCGGCCTCATCAATTCAAATTCACTGAACGAGTACTGACTAGTACAGATAGAATTTTTATCTTGCAGCTATCTTCGCAAGAAATGCAGGTCGTTTGGTTTTGTCCGAATATTAAATTTGCTCCACCGCAACTGATGTTCTTGCTGGCACAGCACCTAATACCTTTTGCGTGTTCTGGTCATCAGCTGCTGGAGTGCTGGAGTTTCTTGTCTCACTCGGCACCGGCTTCGTATTCGTTCCCACAACGCTGTTCTTGACCACAGAACGCTTCACCTCCGCCATATCAAATTGCACCGTCTCCCGCGCATCCTGATCCTCATCAGCGGTCCCACGAGCCATCATATCAGTGGCCGACAATGGGGAAGAAGCAGATGCCGTGGTTTCTTTGCTAGCCGAAGTGGAGGTAATATGCTCCTTCTGGACGGCGCCAGCAGCTGAATCGGAGACAGCCGTGAAGTTAGACGTCGTGGTGACAGCAGAAGCAGCAGCATCTTTTTCTTTCGCGGATGTTGCAGCTGCACTCTTGTCCCCAGCCAGGCGAGCGCCCGGCGTGCTTTGCTCACGAGTTGTTGTTTCTCGCCCGTTCTTCGCAGCATCCGAAGCGGTAGACGTCGGCTCTTGAGCCCCTGCAGAAGTCGAAGTGGTTCGGCTCATAGTATCTTTGTTGCCTTGTTGTTCTGCCCCAGCTGCAGAAGTACTTGCGGAAGATGCGTTGGTGTTTCGCCTCGATTTTTTCTTCTTTTTTTTCTCCGCGTTCTTACTCGAGGAACTGGTTTTCGAAGACACTTTCGTGATGCTCGCGGACCCAGACTCGGAGGTTACTGGCGGCACGACGGGCCACAGACGACGCCCTGAGAACCCACGAAGATCCTGAAAAGATCACCCCCGACACCCCAGGGGGAGGGGTCGGAAAGATTCGGAGCGTCCGCCCCTCTGTAGCTTCCAGGGACAGCCTGCCGACGAAAGGGAAGCATAGACCGCTCGTGTAACGCGCGTTACACGAAGGTATGGTAGATGTGAGAAAGGGCCAGACGCCCCGCGGGCGTTGCCACAAGCGCTAGCTTGCTGGGAGTGACAAATAACCACGCCCAACAAAGGCGAGCGAGTGGTCGCGCGGTTGTAAAAGCCCTGGCGCGACGCGGAACAATCTGGGGCCCGGCAATGGACGGAACTGCCCCCGTCCGCAGGGTCCATCTCGCTTCCATGGGCCAGATATACCCGAGCCCGAGGACAAGGCCAGGTCGGAAATGGTCCAGCAAAAGACGGCGCACTAGCCCCAAAGCGAGTTTTTTTTTTGATTCAAAAACGAAGCCGCTGAATTTGTTGAATCAAAGAAACAGCCCGTGTTTCAAGGGTAGAAAGGCCACTTCTTGAACCCCGAACAAAGGATCCGACCAAGGTTCAAACAATGTTCAAAGTCGCCAATCACGGCGGTATGGCGAAAGCTTCAGAGGCCAAAAAAAAGTTCCTAAAAAGTTCCGTTCAAGATCCGATAAAGTTCCGATCAAGATCCTGTCCAGAGGACACTTTTTTGGCCACTTTTTTGCGCCGCCAAATCCATAGATTCTAGGCGGGGGAGGGGCCAGGAAAAGCGGCGAAAAAAGTGTCCTCTGGACAGGATCTTGATCGGAACTTTTGAAAATGGAGATGGCGGCCATGAACTCTGGAAAATGGCCCCGTGCCTGGCCGAATTCCACTGGAGAATGCTCCTGAGTACAAAAATTGTGCCGCGGGGAGAAAACTCCCACCCTTGTTTGACATGCTTTCTGCAGGATTGGCCTGCCGATCCCCGCGACCCCAAGAAGCAAAACACTTGGCACCACATCGCGCCAAAGGCCATCGCCTCTCTGCGGGCTCCCGGATGCTGGGCAGGTAGAATGCCTGCGGTCGAAACACCTCCGCGCCACCCCCTTTCCAATGTCCAAGACTACCGCGAAAAAACTACAGAAGCACACCAGAAGGGGGGGCAAAAGGACACGCTGGCCGCGGCGGGCGGCGCGTTCCCTGGCGGCTGGCCCGCGCCAAGTTTTGCGTGGCCGTAAAATACCGACATACCCCCGCAACGGGAAAAAAAATCGCGCTTCCCAAACAGGGCGGCCCTCGGGATAGGCTCGGCAGCTATGCGACACGCCCAGAAAAGGCCGCGCAAATTTGCTATACAAAGGAGGCAAAGCGAAGGCCAAAACATTGGGCCTGATTCGTAATTTCGGGGCGCCGAAGTAGCCCAGCGGCCAGGATCTTGATAGGATCTTTTTGGGATCTCAGACGAGCTGAAGTGGCCCGGCGTTCCGTGAGTAAGGAGGAAATCCGTAAGTTGTCGCCCGTAACCAGGGAGGTTTTGGACGTCCCAGAAAGCAGACTAGCGGTGGACTCGTGCAGTTTCGCAATAGAAACTATCTGCTCTTCCGCAGAATCCAAATCCGAATTCGCCCACCAATCGTCGCTGTCCTTCGGAGCGGCGGGGGCTTTCTTCTGTGCGGACGGCATGATCCCTTTGCCTTTTAGTTTTGCTGGTCGTTCTTGAAACAATGAAAATCAATGAGAAAAATGTTTACACAAAGTATGTGAAACCTTAGTTCGCAATTCCACCTGTCCCGCTTTTGTTCCTTCAAATTTGATTCTATTCAGGAAGCTCCTGCGCTATACAAGTTCTTTCTGAGTTTCACTGTCAAACTTCAAGCCCAGAACCTTGCTCCTTTGCCGATCGTCCACATTCACCTACGCCCCTGCTGTTGCTGTATCATGTCCAAAGACACTCCAAAAGAAACTTTAGCATAAACTTCTACCTAAGAACGCTGCGAAAGGGGAGTCTCTTCCATCAGGCAGCAAAAGGATACTTAAAACTGGGATCTTGATCTCGACCTTGACGCAAAGAAAACTGCAACGAGCCGAAAAGCCTAGACCTGGTCGACGGTGGTAACGAAGCAAACACGTGCCAACGTCCTGATAAATGTGATCGCCGTCCTCGCGGCCACGAGACCTGCGCGCGGTCTAAAAAATAAACACGTAACCGCCATAAGCAGTGTGCTGTGGGTGCGCGTGATTGTGAAAGAGAGGGAAAATAGATGAACCGAGAATTTTCAAAATGGATCCGCAGCAGCTGCAACAGCATGTAAAAGCGAACGAACCATGGCTGGGTGTTAAAATGTGGAGCGGAGACCACGACAGCAGGCGATGAAACCACAGATCCTATGCATGATCGCGCCGATGAACAACAAAGGCGTGACTTCTGTCATGAAGACGACATGATGCCTAATGGAAAAAAGGCCTGCAGGTGAGGTGCATTTGTTACAACTGCATTGATTTGTTCATCTCACCGCTGCATTTAATATTTTCACAAAATTTGTACAGAAATACAGAAATTCATTCGATCAGGCAGCGGCGGACTCGTGGTTTCGCACAGAAACCACGCTTTAGGAGTACAGGACCTCTGCCTTCTTCAACTGTACAGGAATTGTTCGTTTGTTGATATTAAATTCAAGCTGGTCGTGTCTGATAAATCCGGTAGCTTAATAGCTGGGTTTGAAATTGTCTGATTAAACTTCAAGCTTGTCAACAGCTGCTGCTAGACCACTTCTGGGCGCGAATCTAGCGCAGCACTTTCGTATTTGTCTGATTTATCGAGAAAAAGTCTGATCTATTTTTGTCTATTTCCGTATCACTCTAATTCCAGTAAACTGTTTTTGTGTCGTGTCAGCTCTGATAGCTGTGTCTGATTAAACTCTAACAGGTCCTTGGTGGAGCTTCGCGAGCGGCTCAGATGAAGCCGCTGCGTTGTGTCTAGCTGTATCAGCGTATCGTGTCTGTTTCTGATTATATATATTAGCGCAAATAACAGGTAAAACATCGGCTTTTCGATATTAGTAGTCTCAGGTATGGTCGTACGATTCAAGTCCTCTGCTTGCTTGATGTGGCGTTGTCTTTTTCAAAAGTAGAAAACAATGTCTGTGCTTGCACTTCTCCATCCTATCAAGAAGCCGTCACCTCACATTCCCAACGCAGACTTCAACTCCGGCAGATCCGCACAGCACGAGGCCACATCCAGCGCAAATGTCCTCGCTTCCTCGGCATTAGAAATCGCGTACTCATCGCCAGCGACGGCGGCAATTTTGGTCCAATCTTCGCCCACGGTCGCTGATGTTGATTTTTTTTCATGTTTCGCTTATTTTGGAATTAAAGGAAACAAAATCTCATGCTAGAGCTAGAAGCTCCTGTCAATGTCCTGCACGCTTCGCTATTTCAATCAAACACTTGCAGTTCGCATACAAAAAAAAAAATTCTACCGTCTATCCACACTTCTCGTTCCCCTCCTTTCCGCACTGCCGGCCGGATGGATTCTAACAGGGAGAAAAAATTCACGTCCGCATTGATCCGCATGCCGCCGAGGAGGTGGCATCCTGTGCAAAAGTATCGCACGACTCATAGTAATTGGAGTCATGCATTACAAGTCTTTTTATTGACGTAAAGCCGCATTACAAATTTCATTTCTTATGCTGAAAATTTGTAAGTAATGCATTTATACGAGTACGAGAATACTTTTGCAATGCATAAGTGGCTGAGCTTGACGACCTCGCCGCCGATACCCCCAATCAACTCCACTACGGCCGCGCAGGGAACAAAATTGTCGCTGTCCGCGATGGATTTCAAGACACACCGGAGCTTCGCCAGACAGAAGGGGCCTGAGATGGACCATAATTTTTAGCATCAGAATGTGATATCATGTGTAGATCTACGAAAGAAATGAAAAGCACTTGCTCATGCACATAATTTCTTTTTCGTTCTCAATTCTCAAGGATAAATCGTCACATCAAAAAAACTTAAAGTTCAACAACTTTAGCACCTTCCTTTCCCGCCTTCAAGCCGTCTACCAACCCCTTTTTCAATTCCACTAGCGATGCCGCTACTGGCACCTTTCCCGCCACTACTGCTTCGTCGTCCGTTGGCTGTCCAATGTTTGGCAGGTTCTTCTCTGCCTTTTCGAACATGAGATTGTCTTCGTGCACCTTGTGACTCGTCTTTACCTTGGCTAATGATATCCACCTGTGTGCAAAAGGTACCGTGCTTGTAGTATGACTAATTGACACCAGTAGATGCGCCTTGCTAGTACCTGACTGCTCTGCATGACAGATTCCATTTCTATTTTGAGAAACAATCCAGATTACTAGCAGTAGCACGATATCAGTTTTGCAACGCATAAATGACGTGTGGCAGCTGAAACTAGAATTCTTTCCGAACGCGTGGTGGCCGGTTGCGTATCAGGGGGTAAAGCGTTAACGTCGGCAGTTTAGATCGCACATTGCAGCCAGGCATGACATTGACAGGTTCTGGTTGTCATGCGTGCTAGGCAAAACACAAATTTCTAGGCTACAAATTCGCTCGCGTGAGCGTTTTTGCATCACAAATTGAAATTTTGTTTTTTCCGTATCCGTTAACGCGTTTTTTTCCAGTGATAGTGCGGCAGACGCATTCAGGGAAGACCGGATGTAGGCTGTTTTGGTGTTTACTTTTTTATCCTGTGCTGTAAAAGTATCACAGTCGTTCATAGATGAATCTCGTTCATGCATTCCAAATCTCGTTCTTTAGGTGAAATTCCGTTTCTCATCATGCTGAGAGAGTGCGCAACAGTCAACATCACAAAAACAAAAGCTGTACATTTTGCTGATTTCAGCTGCTCGGAGTAGAATGTAATTGGCACGTCAGTGGCGTACTTCACCGTGGTTTTCACGTCACTTCTTGTTCTCAACGGCTCCGCAACCCGCCTTGTGGCTTCCACTGTGATAGGATTGGATTTTCGATTCAACTTCGCAGTTTCGATGCCCCTTCTCATGCACAAGACACAGAGAAATCATCTTCACGTCTGTCATGCACTACCTACAACGAGCACAAGCATTTGGAATTATTGCGCACCGTCAACATGATGCATGTAGATGTAGCAAAACAATGATCTTCACTTTGAAAAAATCAAAATTTCAATACTCCTTGGCACCATGTCCTGCGTCGTTGTTGTTGGGAAGGGAAAAATACACTTGTCTTTCTCGACCTGCTCTACCTCCTTCATATACTGCTCTGCGAACTCAACTGCCTTGTCGGCATGTTGCAGCTCTCTTGCTATCCGCTGTAAAAGCATGGTAATAAGTAGCAGAAATCGCATCACAAATGCGGTCAGCATGAAAAATGAAATAGAAATTTGTAATGTTGGATAGGGTACAAAAAAATAGATCTGTCACGACGCATGACTGCCATTGCTACGAGTACGATACTTTTGCAATGCATACTTGGACCGGCGGAACTAAAGTTGTCTTCTGCGTGCGCGTCGAGGTTGCCTTCTCGCTGGGTTTAGATTATTTTTGAGAAGCACTACAAACAAAATACTCAGCTTTGTCTACTCAATCTTAACTACGCATGACAAGTTGGATCTGCAGCTGCATTGTTGATCATTCGCTTCTACTTTTTATGCATTGCACACTCATCAAAAACGCCCAGGGAAAGCAATGAGTTATACGAAAAACTTCCCCGTTTCGCCGCTTGACCTTTCCAGCTTGTCGTACGTCTATGGAAAGGAAAAAAACTGCACGGTGCTCCTGCTCTCTTGGTTTTGAATGCGATCAATCAAAGCACAAGCTGAAAAATTGCCGTCGGTTTGGCCTCCGTCCCATGCACAAGTTGTCCATGCGTTTTGAGACTGAATGAAAATGTTAGACGAAGACAACTGTCTTCAACATTGCCTTCTATGAGTAAATTGCCCGAGGAAAAGGCACGTACGATCAAAACCTGAGCAGTATCACGACCCCGCTGCATTTCACCATGGCGTACTACCCTGTGCCCGTATACCCTCTGGAAGGTGTCATCTGTTTCTTTTACCTCACTCGGTTTCTGTTGTAGAGGTTGGGTTTTGATGATGATGATGATGATGATGGTATCTATGAATTGCTATTGCAAAAGTATTGTAATCGTACTGGAGCTGGACTAGTTGTTGTATTGATGGCATTACAAATTTGCTCAGCACGACAACTGCGGTTTGTCATGCTAAGTCACGGTATTATAAAAACCGGATTTATTGTCATGCACTATTGCAACTACCAGCCACGTGTAGAAGTCTTCTATACCTTGGTAAAGTCCTTTAAGAGTCCACTCCGCCTGACGTGCCTATGGAAGCGTCAGGTTTGAAATCGACAAAGTTGAACAAATGGTTTGTCATGCATAGAAGGCAAGGCATGAAGTGCCTGTCTTGCCGGGATGGCAAGTGGGGCAGGTTGTGAGCCTATTTAGGGCTTGGGGTAGAACTGCTAAAAGAGCACGACGAAAGCAGTCTTCTGTGCCCAAACAGCATGACAAATTGGATTCGGGTGATCCAAAAATTTGTCATGCGCCGCTTGATAAGTGGGCTTCCAGCTGGTATCCGTTTTATGCATTGCAAATTATTTCAACCTTGACGATTTCAATCCTGACACTCCGATAGTGCCTCTGTGGGATGTATCGGCCTTGCCCTGTCTGCTCTCGGAGAACCAGCTCTTCATACCAGTTGGCCTATGCATTGCAAAAGTATCGCACTCGTATAAATGCATTACAAATTTCCTCAGCATGAGAAAGAAAATTTGTAATGCAGATTTGCCTTGGAAACAAGATTTGTAATGCAAGACTTGCTCTTGCATTTGTACGAGTACGATACTTTTGCACAGGATATGGCCATCAAAGTGCCAAATTTGATGAACCGGTGGTGCTGGAACGTCGGATCCGTGAGCGCCTGATTGTAGGCGTCATCGGAGGCCAACATCTTGGTCAGGTAACCAGAATAAACGCGGTTGATTTCTTTCTCAACAAGAACGTGGGTCCTAACGGTTTGTATTGATTTCTCCTAGGCTAGGAACTCAAAGCTCATGTTGCTGTTGTAGAAGTGATGAAAAGTATTAATCTATCTTTTGCAGGAGGTTGGTGGAGGTGACCCCCCCCTTTTGCAACGCGACAACTTGCTGCTCGAGGAAGAACAAGAAAATGTTGCGTTTTACCGCGTAGACTCGTGGAGGAAGACCTTCGCTCTAGTACCGACATCGCACGAATTCGCATCGGGCCAAAAACTACAAGCACAATACCACGCACTACACGACAATCGCCGAGCTCACTCAAAGCCAGCTTCACTCAGGATCACGAAATTCATCAAGCCGACGAGTTTACTTAATATCATTTCAAGAAGGCCAGCAACGTTCCTCCTGGTGCACGAAGAGCTGCGACTCTCTCCAACGATATCAAACGTGAAACAATGCTGACACTTCCGATGCTTTTCGTAATCACGAGAGCTTCTAGTCATCGTGGCGACGCACTACCACGACGCCGGCCAACGTAGAAAACACCTTTCGGTTCTTGCCTTTTACAACTGATAAACTTGTTTTTACCTTTTTGAGTTTCATCGAGTGGCAGTCCTGTGAGACAACTATAGTTGAAAAATTTAAGAATGGCGAATTGACTCCACCACATCAACCATTCTTGAGCAAACAAGCAGCAAAATGAACTGCAATCGAAAATAAATTCCGTATAGAATGGACTACTTCTTGGAAATCATGTCTCGTCCATTTTTTTTCCCTTCGCATCACGGAGAATCTATGGCTTTTTGTTGCCATTCGTTGTCTCTAAAAACTCTTTTGGTTTCATAGATAGAGAGCTCATCGTACTGGACGACCCTCTACTGGTACTGGTTCGCATTTGCACCGACACCACTTGCACCACTTCCGTGTACAAGAAATTCCTGGCTTGCGATTGCGTCACCGTGAAGATTCAGGTGCTGATGTCCTTGCTGCCCAAGAGCTGCAGCGCCGGCACCACTTCCACCTAACAGATTCAAATCTCGGTGTGATCCCGCGGCCACCGCACCAGCACCGCCAACCCCATGATCTCCCCGCTGCTGCGCAAGAAGATTGTAAAATGCCGTGGCGTGGTGGTAGAACTGCTGCATAGCGACCGCCTGTTGCTATCGCAAGAAAAAACTGCCTCACTGTGAACTTGTGATGCGTGGAATGGAGCACAGAGCTATTTGTCTTGCTACACCTGCAAGACCTTGACTCTTTTAGAGGTATTTTCCCTTTGGAAGCGCGCCTGGCAAATTTTCTGTGTCATGTGTAACAAACTTGTGATGCAGATCTTGCAAAATCATCACAGTGAAACAGTAGTTTTTTCCTGTGATAGTTGCGCTTCCTGCTGTACTACGGCTTGTAGTTGCATTGCAGCGTGCTGCTGTGCGGAAGTTGGGTCCTCACAGTAGACGCCACCGCTTAATAAGCTCGTCCCGGCGGTAGAATTGTTCGCAGGATCGAAGGGTGAGGGGGCTAGGAACTTGTTGTGCGGGTCAAGAATGTGACTGCTCTTGCTTGAAGATGCACCAGGACCACCAGTTGCTCTTGCAGCAGTTGAAAAACCATTGAACGCTTTATTCTTCTTAAACGTAGAGGTAGAAGTTGAGGTCGTTGATCCACCACCAACTCCCACCCCGCTGGTTGCCGCCTCGTAGTATTTCTTTTTGCTGCGGGGAAGGCGAGCGGACGAAAAGTTCGAAGAGGAGCTGTAAGAGCCTTTGTTTTCACGGTCCGCAAGATGTTGAAACTGGTGTGGTCCGGCTTTAGTCTTCTTGTGCCAAGAGTGGTGGTCGGAAATGTTGACGCTCGTAGTACCACCTGTTGTCGGGCCGCCAGATTTATTGAACTTGTTCTTCATTTTGTACTTGCTAGTTTTGTTGGCTGAGAAAGAAGCGCCGGTTTGCTGGTAATAGTCGGCGTTAGCGTAGTACTCATTGTCATAGCTGTACTTCTTGATGCTTGCATTTCCATTTCCGCCGTTCTTGTAGTTTGATTCGTAGTATTTCGAAGTGTATTTGAAAGTATCATCTTGCGAAAAAGCGGCCGAGGCCGTAGGCTTCTTCAATGCGTTCAAGGGACTAGTAGTTGCGGTCGGGACAATTTCTTCGTCCTCCTCATCTTCGTCCTCATCTGTGTCCGAGCTGCAGGTGTCCTCCTGATCTTTAGTACCATTCTCCTCATCCAAAATTTGGATCTCGGGCGAGTTGCTGTTACTACTCCGTAGCGACTCTGCCTCTAACACAGACCCCCCGGTGCGACAGGAGGACTCACCCGCGTTGGTCGTTTCTAACAGACTGTTGTCCAACTCGTACTTTGGGGAGCTGGTACTGGGAGCGGAGGTAGTCGGCGACCCGGAGTTTTCGTGGAGTAATTTAGAAGTGGAAGAAGCATGATCTCTTTCGGGACCAACATTTTTCTTCTTCGAGAACGTGTTCTGTGCCTGCTTCACAGGAGTTGACGATGCCATGGTCCTTGTCCTCTCCGGCGTGTTAGCATTCTTGTACTTGTTACCCGCTGCAGAGTCTGCTGGTGTTGTGTTTGAAGCAGTTGTACTTCCTATACTTACATTATTTCCACACGGCGGGTAGTTGTTACTCATTCCCCCGCCTGCTGAAGTAGACGCGGAAAGCATCCGACTTTGGAACACCTCCTGCGAAATAGAACCTGACCGTCGAGTAGAGGACAAGCCGATATTACTAGACCGCTGCTGGAGGTAACTGTAAGAACCTGAGCCACATTTTTGACGTTCCTTGCTACTAGCCCTCGAAGTAGAATTCGAACAATTCAACATCGTAGTTGGTGCGCCGTAGAAGTTATTCTTGCTTTTGTTCGTCATATCTAGCACGGGCGGTCGCTCCGCGACCGCCGGAGAGGTATGGAGGAGACAAGGAAACGATGGGCCCGATTTCCCTGTAAGACGTCTGCAGGGGCGCGGAAGGAGTGGCGGGGGGACGAAAACCCTGCAGGCGCAGGGCTTTTCCGTGCGTCTGAGCCCCCCGGAGAAAGACAATAGGCGTGACAGGGGCCCGTCCCAGGCCCCGGGAGCAGGAGAAGCTCTGGGTCCGGGGGAAAGAAAGAACAATAAATTTGCGATCTCCGGAGGAGAAGCTCCGCGGGTTCCCAATAAATTTGCGAGCACCCCCTCAGGCTGCGAGACTTGCGGGCGGCTGCTCGTCATTCTAGTTACGCATCCAAGGCGGCAGTCAGCCAACACAGTGGGACTGGGCCCGCTGTGTGTGGTAACCATTTAAGGCATCGAGAAAAGGCGCTTTCTTCTTTGTTTGTGCAGGGCGGCGAAAGCATCCACACCAAGAGGGGGCCGCCCCGGCCTGGCAAAACGTGGCGACCCAAACAAAGCGCAAAGCCATCCCCGGCACCGTGGCGGGGCCGGAGCTGCTAGTTCGCCTGCACTTGCGGGCCCAGCAGCGCGCGCCGCGCCACCCTCGGTCAGATAAATAAGGACTCACCCTCCTACGGCTGCGCCCCCTTGTCCCGGGAACGAGCGCCACGTCCCGCGCCACCACGCAGGCACGGGTTGCTCGGCGCTAGTTTCTCCACAGGGGGCGAGGGAAGCCAGGAGCGCGGGCGAGCTCTGTGGCGCAAGCTCGGGGCGAGCCGACCCGCGGGGCAATGGGGGCAGTTTTCTCCTAGTAAGCTCTCTACTAGTACGCTTACTAGTAGTTTTTTTGCTTGCTTGTCCGGATAAGATTACTAGCAACGTTGTTTACTAGTAAAATTCTCGGATTTTCCTTACTAGTAAGATTTTACTAGTGGAAATCGGGTTAGGCGCCAATCACTTTCCTTGCCGTATAGTATACCCTTCGAACAATTCAACATCGTAGTTGGTGCGCCGTAGAAGTTATTCTTGCTTTTGTTCGTCATATCTAGCACGGGCGGTCGCTCCGCGACCGCCGGAGAGGTATGGAGGAGACAAGGAAACGATGGGCCCGATTTCCCTGTAAGACGTCTGCAGGGGCGCGGAAGGAGTGGCGGGGGGACGAAAACCCTGCAGGCGCAGGGCTTTTCCGTGCGTCTGAGCCCCCCGGAGAAAGACAATAGGCGTGACAGGGGCCCGTCCCAGGCCCCGGGAGCAGGAGAAGCTCTGGGTCCGGGGGAAAGAAAGAACAATAAATTTGCGATCTCCGGAGGAGAAGCTCCGCGGGTTCCCAATAAATTTGCGAGCACCCCCTCAGGCTGCGAGACTTGCGGGCGGCTGCTCGTCATTCTAGTTACGCATCCAAGGCGGCAGTCAGCCAACACAGTGGGACTGGGCCCGCTGTGTGTGGTAACCATTTAAGGCATCGAGAAAAGGCGCTTTCTTCTTTGTTTGTGCAGGGCGGCGAAAGCATCCACACCAAGAGGGGGCCGCCCCGGCCTGGCAAAACGTGGCGACCCAAACAAAGCGCAAAGCCATCCCCGGCACCGTGGCGGGGCCGGAGCTGCTAGTTCGCCTGCACTTGCGGGCCCAGCAGCGCGCGCCGCGCCACCCTCGGTCAGATAAATAAGGACTCACCCTCCTACGGCTGCGCCCCCTTGTCCCGGGAACGAGCGCCACGTCCCGCGCCACCACGCAGGCACGGGTTGCTCGGCGCTAGTTTCTCCACAGGGGGCGAGGGAAGCCAGGAGCGCGGGCGAGCTCTGTGGCGCAAGCTCGGGGCGAGCCGACCCGCGGGGCAATGGGGGCAGTTTTCTCCTAGTAAGCTCTCTACTAGTTCGCTTACTAGTAGTTTTTTTGCTTGCTTGTCCGGATAAGATTACTAGTAACGTTGTTTACTAGTAAAATTCTTGGATTTTCCTTACTAGTAAGATTTTACTAGTAGAAATCGGGTTAGGCGCCAATCGCTTTCCTTGCCGTATAGTATACCCTTCGAACAATTCAACATCGTAGTTGGTGCGCCGTAGAAGTTATTCTTGTTTTTGATGTTGTTCGTCATCATATTACAACTCCGCCATCGCCGCGCCTCCAGCTTCGTCTCTTGGATCTGCGCCCGGAACTTCTCCATGAGCGGATTCTGCTTTCCCTCGACCGAAAAATGCAGCAATAAACTCGTCCGACTGGTCGTCTGGGAACTGAGACTCACGTTGTTCTGAAAGATTTTACGCTTCGATTTCTTCGTCAGTCTCTCGTTCAAAATTTCCTTCCTGTACTGCTTCTTCGCCGTGGCGAACCCGGACTCAAAGTTGCGCTGCCTGATAAGGATCAAGTCGATATTTTTGTATATCAAGCGGTGGCGGGGTTCTGTCCTTTACGTTTTCCAAAAAGATCACAAACGAAAAAGGTCGACGCACGAGGCACAAAAAAAGAAAACCATCAATTCAGTAGTTTTTTTACTTCCTCGCCCGTTGCGGTAGCCAGTGGTTCAAATTCGGAAGGACTTCTTTCAAAAAGTCCGGCACAAAAGCCACCTCCACCATAACTCCCGGGAAGTAGTGCTCCAGGTTTGTCCGAAGGTGCCGCGCAACCATCCAATCCTCCTCGATGGCCAGGAGCTCGAGAATGTCGTCGGGCTTTAGGAGAGAGGTGGAATTTGTCATGCTGTTCTGGTGCATGCTGGTGTTGCTGTAAAGGTGACTAGCCGATCCTGAGGATAGAGGTGGAGGTCCAGCACAGAAAGAAGTCGAAGTTGTGCTCATTGTACTAGTACCCCCACCCACAACATTAGTGTACACGTAGGACCAGATTCGCTGTGGCTTCAGATGAGAAGTGGTCATTCGCGCAGTTTCGCAGTTCTTGCCGCTAGAACTGCAGCCAGATGTAGTTCCGCCCTCATCTTCTCGACGTTCCTGCACCTCCTGCACAGAAGATGCAACATGATCAGCCGGCGCACTGCCACTCATCTTTTGATCGGAAGGATTGATGCCCATCGATGTTTTCCAGCTGCAGCAGGTGCCCGGCCCTCCTCCTCCTTGTTGTTTATTTCCAGCGGCAGTATTTTCCCTTTTCGCCGGGTCCACCACCCGAACCAAAACCGATTCCCGAGCGTGCACTCTAAATTGGTTTTTGTGCACTTGCTTCAAAAATTCCAACATAGAAATCGCGTTTGTCGTGTTGGCGCTTGCTGTTTCTGTGCTGTCGTCCTTCTCGTCATTGGCGCAGGTCGTGCTGTTTTTAATACCGAGTTCATTATCTACCTCGTAGTCAGAAGCTCCTGACCCACCGCCCGCAGGGGCCGGCACATCTGCGGTGTTGCTTTTGCGTGATTCTTTCGCATCACAAGTTGAAGTTTCCTCCTTGTTCTTTTGTCCTTCCTCGTCGGTGCTAGAACTACTACAAGTTGCCGCCTTCTTTTTGATCACGTAGCGTTTCTGCAGCTTCTCCGAGTTGTAAAAATCTTCATCCGTCTGAATTCCTTCTCTTTCCAGCCAAGCAAGCGTCTGCTTCCGCAGATGAGTCAACTTCTCTTGCTTCTGCTTCGCAGCTAGAAGATGAGCGGCTTGCGCTTTCTTCCGTTGTTCTTCTACTTCAAGCTGCTTTTCCTGTAGTTGTTTCTGCAGGCTGTCTTCGTCATCTTGCTGCTGGGCCGTCGAACAAGTACTGCTAGTACATGTTGTTGTCGTGGTCGTGGTAGAAGTCACCGGGTCCATTTTGTTCGGGGGTGAATTGGTGTTCTGCTCTGGAGGAGGAACAGCAATAGTTGAGCTACTTGTTGCAGATCCCGTACTGGGTTCTGCTGCAGCTTCTGGATGAATAGTACTTCCAGCAGTAGGAGTCGAGCCGGCAGCTGCGCACGAGTTTTCCATTGTGCTGGTTGTCTTGCAGGCACTAAACGCAGTTTCACCACCACCGTTTTGAAGCTGCGCTGTCGATGTTGTTGCCGAAGGATCTCTGTTTTCGAAACATATATTTCCCTGATGAAGATTTTGATTTACTAGCTGGCAAGACTGAGGCGCAGTTTGAGAAGTCAGCTCCTGCTGGCTGGAGTTGCTGTGCAGCTGCCGCCCGTGGTCGTGGTAAAAATCTTCATTCGGCGTGACATAGTGGCAAGAACTACTCCCTCCACCCAAATCTTCGTTCTGTTCTTGCGAAGACGAAGAGGTCGTGCTTAAGCTTATGCTAGGAACAACAGCCGACACAGAAGCCGCACCTCTTCGAGGAGCGGTAAGTTCGGTGCTAGATGGAAAGACCACGGCAGAGTTGTAGTACATTTTTGCGATGTAGTTTCATCAAGACGTCGTCTCGTATTTTACTTAAACCAACAACAGCCAGAGCAGCCATCCACTTCGGGATCTTTTCTGAAAGCGCCTGCTGCTCAATAACGCCACTACTTAATAGGCGAGTCTAGTGATAAACTTTATCTTGCTGCATGCCAAAGATAATTTCAAGAACAGACCACACCGACAGTACTACGCACCAGATGGAGCGCAGTGAGGCAAAAGAAAGAGTAATATCCTAAAGTCGCAGAAGGTAGCAGAACAACATCAACAGAATACTTACATCAAAAACGCAGCTGCTGCAAATATAAATGATCACAAATGCAACGAACACGTCCGATGAAAGAGGAGGAAAACAAATAGTGAACCAGACCGAAGACCTTGACCTGTCCTAGGGTTTCTCTTTCTTTTTATTTTTTGAAGAACACCAAGGAGCTGCAAAAAGATTAAGACGGTCAACTGCAGCCAATATTGCTAAAGATGCTCAGGAGGCTCGTCTAAGTTCATCTTATTTCGGTTTGTAAGTACAAGTACTTAAATCATCGCGCGCGTCGTCTTTGTAGTCAGCGAGGCTGCTTTCTTGGAGCTGCACGTGGGGCATGCTAAAAACTCCTGGATTGCAGCTCTTGTCGCTGAGTGGCTACTTTCTTCGCAAGAAAACAACAGCTAAGGACTTCCAAGCTCATTCCACCAACTGATACGCTTTCAAAAACCCCCGGGTCTGTTCAGCACTGCAGTTTTGGAACCTGGTCCCGCAATTCCCGCACACCGCCTGCATTTCGCAGTACACAGACAAGCACCCAGATATGAACTGCAAAAGCATCGCACTCGTATAAATGCATTACAAATTTCCTCAGCATCAGAAAGAAAATTTGTAATGCGTATGTAATTTAAAAAAAAGAAGATTTGTAATGCATGATTGCAATACGAGCACGATACTTTTGCACAGGATACCAGAGCAGACCATGCCACTGTTCACTAACTTGCGGTGACATGCGCAAACCGTCGCCAGGTTGCACATGGTATTGGCCGAATTGCTAGTAGACGAAGACGAGGTTGATGTCATGCCGCTTGTTCTCATCATGCTCAACAACACGCTCGCCGGCTCGAGCGGTTTCAGAAAAAGTTCCGCTTTCGGGCTCGGCTGCAGGAAAAGGGTGTACAGCGCCGCGGTGGCGTGAATATCCTCGACTTTGTATCAAGTGTAATAAGTGTCTGACTCTGGAAGAATGCGCGATTTGTCATGCAGCAATTCCATGACCCGTGAGGTCTGGAATGCAAGACCTAGCATGACAGATTCTGTGCGATCTCTCTCATGCCTATCCTGCATCAGAAACTCCCTCCCGACTTGGTCAAAACTGGACGACTTTTGGTGATCACGCAACACAGATTTTTGCATGCTTCAGATTTAGCATGACAAGTTGCATTCTTCTAGACCCAGACATATTTGCATTTGATACTTTGTCGATCTCCACGATTTTCCCGTTCGCCTTCTCTATCACACAGAAAAAAGCTGGCAGGGCATATTTGTAATGCAAAAATAAATAGACAGAAAAACTTGTATTGCATATCCTAAATAGCATGCTATGAGGCCGCCCATGGCACATTTTTCTGTGTATTTATTTTTGCATTACAAATATGCCCTGCCAGCTTTTTTCTGTGGGATATTCTCGACGCCCTGCTGAAGCAGAACGGAGCGCTTGCAGGTCGTGGAGATGTTGCGAACATCATCAACCGCATGCTGATCTTCAGACGGAAGAAGTGCGGATCTTGTTGTCTCGTTCGTGCCATTTCTGTTTGTTCCACCCATAGCACGAGCTGCATCAGAAGTTGCGGTTCCTGCCTCACTGCAAGACGCCGGAAACCGCAGTAAATCCACTCTGACCTTCTGTTGGATCGCGGACAGAAACGTGCGGAACAGCGCGTCATAGAAGGCCGCTATCAAACAAAAAAGCGCTAACGGTTTTCTTTTCACGGATTGGAAATATGCATTACAAATCTTGCCTAGCATGCATGCTGTGCATAACAAATTTCGGAACGTTTTGTGATGCGTTACTGCATCACAAATTCCGTTAACGTCAACACTTTTTCCTATGATAGCCGCGTATTGGGTTTCACTCACCGAGCCGTCGATGATGATGATCCTGCCGCGAAGCGTCTGCTGAACTTGGGAAATATCGACAGTTGCTGAAGTAACAGCAGTCGCTGCGCTACCAGAGCCTGTATTCATTTCGCTGTCGTGGTTTACGATTCCTCCCCCGGAAGACGTAGTTCCTGCGAGCCCCATCTGTGCGGTCGCGCTGGCGGTGATCAGCTCCTCGGCGTTTTGGAAGATGGTGACTTGGTTACTTCTTCGTGAAGCTGTTGAGCCGCTGGCGTGACCACCAGAGGGACTGTCTTCGTCCTCGCTGCCGAGGAAGAATTCCTCCTCCTCTTCTTCAAGCTCCAGCCTGTTCTTCTGTTTCAAAAGCTCCTCTACCTGTGGATTGTAGCTACCCAGAGCTGCTGTTTTTGCACCACCGGCTGCTGTCCTTTTGCTGCTGTTCTTCTTATTTTTATTTTTTCCCTCGAAAATATTAGAATTTGAAGACGTCGCCTTGGCATTCGCTATTCGCGTGTCGCCACTGGAAAACTTCGCGAGTAGGCACAGGGCCTTTGCGAGGACAGCCGGCATGAGGGAGTCGCGTTCCTCTTCGAACCAATCGGAAAAAATTTTTTGAGCAGCTGCGCCGGGGTCGCGATCTAGCCTTACCGTGGGGGCCTCAGGTCTATTTGTACTTCTACTTGCGGCTGCTGCTGGTGAAGTAGTGCTAGTCCCCGAGGCGCGAACAACCTGCTGTGCCTTGACGACTCTTTTCTGCCACACTTGCAAGGCCATCAGAATGTTCCGGATTAGCCGCTGCCAATGCGCATCAAACTCCGAAACTGGGACCGGAGGCAGCAACATGAGCTCACCCAGCTCCTGCACTTGCTCGTGAGGGGATCTCATCGCTTTGGGGTTTTTGAAATTCTATGCATCGCAAAAGTTGTACAATCGTACTAGTAGTCTACTTGCATTCTCCTGATTTATTTTTCCGAAGGAACTCCTGCTAGAACTTGTCATGCGGATTCAGGCAGGAAAGCTACCACACTTGTCATGTGAAATTGGAGCTGCATTCTACGTAATATTACGAGTTGTACGACATTAGTTTTCCTCAGGATACATTCGCGTTGTAGGGGAGAGCGGTGTTCAGCTCGGCAAGGAGATGATGGCAGTCCTGCTTCGCAGCACGAGCAGGAGCACCCGTCTGAGAAGAGCTACCGCTAGCAGAACTTGCGGAATGAATGAACTCTTTGTCCTCTTCGAAACGAGAGGAACTTCCTGCTCCAACATCCCGGCCTGTCCTGATTGTGCCCAACACGGCGACGTAGTTGCCAGCTCCTCCACTAGAAAACGCCAGCTTCACCAGCTTAGCGAGTTCCGGAATGAGCAGTCCGATGTCGGCCTCGTAAAACCAGAAACACGGATTCAGGTCCAAGACCAGCACGATCAGTTCCGAGGGCGGATGACTCGGCGGCGCGGCCAGGAGCAGGGGCTTCAGCGGCTGAAACTTGCTCTTGCTCGTCTTGGTGGGATTCGTTGCTATCATACTCGTCCCAGCCGGAGGCCGAAGAAGTGCATCTTCCGCCGGCGGCGAAATCATCCTCGCGCTGTCTACTAAATTGTGGCCCAACATGCAACCCGCGGGACAGAGGTTCAAATACAGCTGACTCTGGATGCTGCAGGTGTTGCAGAAGTGCGAGTTGCACACGGGACACTCGACTTTCGCGTAGTCCTGTTGACACATCGCGCAGCAGGGCAAAAACTTTTGACGACGTAGTCTGGATGTTGAGCTGGATGATGGTGCACCAGGAGAGGTGGAAGGCCCTATTTTTCGAACATTTGAACTACTGTTCGTACTGCCGATGGCGGGCGGGAACGCGGCCGGTGGCTGCATTAGTTTCCGTGCTTTATTTGGGAGAGCAGCAGCAGCGGAGGTGCCTTGTTCGGCCTGACGATGACCTGCGTCCTGGAGGCTGCTCGAGCCATCTGTTTTGAAGTTGTCGGTTAGCCGCACAAAGGGCAGCATTTTCTGCTCCGATCGGCCGTAGTATAGGTGGCGAGCAGCAACTCCTGTAGAGGACGATGTACTTGCAAATGCATGTTCTTGTGCCCCCACCTCCGACTCCGAGCCGCCCCCGGCCCCGCTACTGCACCGACTCTCCACCAAGCTGGTCCCATCCACCAGGTAGATGCCACAGGTGAAGCACTTTGCCGGCAGGGAAATGGTAAAATCCAAGCAGTTATGCATTGCAAAAGTATCGCACATGTACTAATTGCAACTATGCATGACAAATCTTGTCCTTAAGGGAAAACAGCATGACAAGTCCAGTTCTCATGTTGCTGAGGTGGAAATTTGTAATGCATCTATACGAGTACGATACTTTTCCTTTTGCAGTTCATAGCAGTCCGGGCACTGGTACAGGTATGGATCATCGTGATCCGTGGAATCTTCTACTAGGGCTTCGTGTTCCTCCTCCCCACTACCCAGCCGGTACGATTTCCCAAACAGTCGCTCGTACAGCGCCGGGTCGCCGATTGTCGTTTTTCCTTATGCATTGCAAAAGTATCCTCGTCGTATAAAAAATGCATGACAAATTTCCTCAGCATGAGAAAGAAAATTTGTAATGCGGATGTACCTTAATAGCAAGATTTGTAATGCATGAATGCGATTAGTACGAGTACGATACCTTTGCACCGCATATTCCCAGTCGCTCTTTGAAAACTTCGCTGCGACGGATGATCAACCTGGGGAAGCCCATACGGACCAGGTGGTGTTTCGTCGTTGTGGTTGTCGCGCTGTTGCTGACATCCCCGCCCTCGTGCTGCCCTTTCGTCGGCGCACTAGAATTTTCCAAGTGCGCGAACAGACATTCTTTGAATTTGTCAGCGTTGACCGCAATTTTGTAACTACTACTCAGTTCCTTCAGAATGCGCAGCTCCGGGGAGATACTGACCACGTGGAGCTCAATTTTCTTATCCTGTGCAAAAGTATCGCACTCGTATTGCAGTCATGAATTGCAAATTTTTTTCTCAAGGTAAATCCGCATTACAAATTTTATTTCTCATGATGCTGAGGAAATTTGTCATGCATTTATACGAGTACGATACTTTTCCTTTTGCAATGCATATTTCTCCTTCTGCATCAATTGCCTGCAGTAAAACTCGATTTGCTTGTGATTTTTGTCGAAAGTCGCGAGATTCGCCGTGCACAGAATAACCTCCCGTCGCCCATAGGCCGGACACTGCTTCAACTGCTGCTCGGCCAATTCGATGCAAGCTTGTAAGGAGAACTTCCCCGCGTGCGGACTTGTCGTTGCAACATTTGTAGAAGTTCTTGAGGCTGCTCCTGCGATAGGGTTTGCCAAAGAGGAAGTAGTTGTACTAGCGACCCCGCCGCCCGTCCTCGACAGGTGCGCCGACTTTCGTTCCAAGATGCGCACCAACTGATCCCGCTTGGCTGAGGAAATAGGGGAGGGAGAGGAAGAGCCTACAGTTGCGGCGGAAGAAAAGCTGCTGCTTGGTGGATTTATTGCTGTCGCCCCGTACGAAGATGCAGATGCTCCGCGAGAAGTTCTCATGCTGCTGTTCCCCGAAATCGGCACCGCCACCTCACAGCCCCCGTTCATCGCGAGAGACACGCCGAGCATCGAGATTGGGTTTTTCTTGTGGAAAAACGAGACAAAATCCACCACCGTTGTGGCCATGCCCTCCCGGTTGGACGGTTTCCACACCGAGTGAATTTCCGACGTGTCAATTTCCTTGGACCAATCCAAGATGACCATCACGTAGCGAAGTAAAGACGCGGAGGGCGGCGGGGGCTTCTTGATGATCCGGCTCGTACTCCGAGGTGGAAGTTCATCACTCCCTTGCCTTCTCGTCCCATCCTCGGCACCAAGGGTTGTGGCTGTCGTGGAAGGAAATCCTGTTGTTCCTCCGCCTCTGTAGAGCAAAAGTCGTTCGCGCTGCGCTTTTTCCTCAGCTTGCTGTTCCCTTAGTACCGCAGTGCTCCCACCAGTGTCTACCAGATTTCCGGTTTCCGAATCGACCTCCAGTCGGTCCCATTTCCGCAACTTCGCCCGGTTTTTGATTTTTTCAATTCGCTCGTCGTTGAAGCTGCGCGCATTCGCGTTGTCTTGGTCGACGTCCGTGTACTGTCGGAAGTCGGAGGAAGCAGACGAAGCTCCAGGAGCCGCGGCGTGATGTGCGGGTTTGATATATCAACTGTAAAAATGTCTGGGTTTGGAACATTCTGACACTTGTCATGCACATTTTGCATGAGCCCTGATGTCTGTGATGCATGCCCTAGCATCACAGATTTTTTCAGAGCTTCTTGATGCCTATTCCGCATGACAAATGCCCTCTCCGCGTAGCAAAAATTACATTCCTTTTGGTACTCATGCAATACAGATTTTTCTGGAATCCAAATGCAGCATGACAAGTTGCATTCTTCCAGACCCAGACATTTTTACGTTTGATATGATATTTCCTCCTGCAATCGGGTTGAAGGACGAGGACGAGGAGGACGAGGGACCGCCACGGCCTATCCTGAGTAAAAACGTCCCCACCCCAGAGTCAAGATGGGGACTTTGCAACACAAACCCAGAAGTTTTGGGAGTCACGCATGACAAATTGTAGTCCCTAGTGTAGTGCAGGGTAGCAGGGAGAGCCGCAATACAAATCCAGCTGCTCATCCTGTTTACAGCATTACAAATGCCAAAACACGATTGAAAATGCTCCTCATGGAGATGCGCATTACAAATGTTCCTGTCGTCGCACACTTGCATGACAACTCTGGGGTGTTTTATGTACTGGAAAAGACCAAAATTAAAGCACAGAGAAGTTTGGGGTGGGGACGTTTTTGCTGAGGATACGGCCGGCTCCAGAAGTGCCAAAGACATTGGTGCGCGCGTTGCTGTTGCCGTTATTCTGGTTCGCGGCCCGGGCTGTTGATGACGTGAAAGCGTTCATGGGGAGTAGGATCGGGCTCGGATTGCCTTTGCCTTTTTACCGTCGTAGCAGCAGCATGATCTTCACGGTTCGAAAAACAATGCGAATTACGGTGAATGTACAGGATTTGGCGTCAGAGTTGAAGTATATCACATATTATAAAGCCGTTTGCGACGACTTCATCTAGATCTACCGTTGCTTGGACAATGCGCATACTGTACATCTTGCCAGTCATTTTATTTGATCTAGATAGGAGATGGACTACGACCAAACGAATTTCTATATGAAAGTGAAGAAGAGCCTGCTGTTGATTATGACATTGCTCTTGGACGATCATGATGTTGTGACCAAAAAATACTTGGAGGAGAAGGTGCTCTTCATACTGATACTCCGCATTGATATATGATATCCCAGGCTGTACTATGGCGGAAGAGGAAATCAAAATTTCGCTCCAGTTGCTGTGCAGGAGAGAAGTGGATCCGTTTCTCGAGCTGATATTCGACCGCATCAACATCAAGGTAGTACTAGAAGTAGTGCTCGAGGTCTTCGATACGTGAAAAACGATCCGTGGAACTTCTAAGTTAGCTACGTACTTGCTACACCTCCAGCAACACGACCGTACCCGTAGGTGCTGGTACAACTGAGGGCGCTAGATGCAATGAATCAGAACAGCCAGCACATCTTCTCAATCAGAAGTCGCGTCGAGATCATCAAGATCGTAGTCTTCTCAAAAGCGAAAGGAGCGAAAATGTTGAAGACACAAGTAAACACGATGAACACCTAGCAAAGAAAGGATGCGGTCCAAGGCCGTGGTTCTCGCCGTCGACAGACTTCTTAATACCAGCCACCGTGCCTTAAATGCTTTCAATATGATCTTCTTCTTCTGCACTATCAACATCCTCGAAGATGACGATCATCGAATATGCTCCCTTATCCAAAAACGGATGACATAGACACTGACACGCGACGCATTCTCGTTGCGTGATGAAAGAGCCGCAAGTAAGCAGCGACCTTGATCGAAGGGCTGATCACGACTCCACCCGTCTGGTGCGGTTGGCCCTGCGGTTGTCCCTGCGGTTGTCCCTGCGTGGTCGTCCCTCCGGCCGTACCAGCGGCGCAACTACTCCATGTTGGCCGTGGTCTGTGTCTTAGTCGTACTCTATCTTTGAACAAATGAGGTAAAAAATGAAAAACACAACACGTCGAAACGTCAAATCCTACAGGAATCTTTCTTCTTGTTTTATCAATTGTTCACCAGCGAGTAATAGACTAGAGGTTTACTATCTTCATCAATTATCCAAGGGTGCTACTTTGGTAAATTCATAGCGCATTTGCGATTTGTATGTCAACACCTTGGTAGGTTTTGGTTTTTTCGATTCAGGGCACTATACTGAAGTTCATTCTGTATTCTCGAGTGAGGGTATACTGTACGTTTGCAGGAGGATTGGTTTCCCAGTCATCAACAAAATAATCGTAAATGTGGTAAAAAGCATGCTGTGCTTCTTGTCTAGTTCATTTTATGACACATCATAGGGATGTAATTTGGTACTAGCAGGATAGAAACCGTCTTGCTACAGGCTTCATCTGCATCATTAATTTTGATTTTCAACAAACGGAAATAAGTAGATGTTAAAAGCTGTAGCACATTTGTTGTAGTATTAATAGAAAAAGAAATGTAGGTGTACTATTAGTCGAGTGAATAAAAATTTGTAAAAGCCGCGCGGCCTAGTTGTAGGTGGACTTCTACTAGCGTTTTCTCTGCACTACTTTTGACTGAAGCCGCCCTACTTATTCAAACCCGAGCTCGGGCACCTTCATGTTGAAGCGGATGGCGACCTCGGGATTCACTTTTTTGTTCTTCGTCAACTCGGCGTCGGACCTCACTGGGCGGATCGGAACCCCGGCTTGCTTCAGCTGCAGGCCGATATGGATTGCAAAACTATCGAAGCACACTTCTAGTAGTGAGTGCATTACAAAGTTTCCCAGCATGACAAATGGAATCTGTAGTGGTGAACTGCCCAAGAAACCAGATTTCTCATGCATGACTGCAATGATTCGGATTCCTACGAGTGCGACAGTTTTGTACCACAGGATAGTTGACCTGCTTCAGCAGCTCGCGGTTCATCTTTTTCTCGTTCGCGTTCATTTCCGCTTCCTTCAGCTGCAGCTTTTTCTCGACCATCATCCTCCGCAACTCGTCTTCGTTTCGCTTCTCCACAGTTCGTCGCTTGCTAAATTTGTCTATGCAATACAAATTTCCCGTACGTGTACGAAATGCATCACAAGTTTCGCCAATTTGAAGTGTGCCTCTTGTCATGCTCATGCCAAACTAGTATTGAAGCCGTATCTTGTCATGCAGAGACCGCATTTGCACGTCTACGGAAACTTTACTGTGGATATTGTCCTTCTCGTTTTGATTGTACAGTGCATCCTCGGACAGCGTGCGTTGGAGCTGCGTTTTTTGATGTGATTTGTCATGCAGAAACGTAACCACAGTAGCAATTCGTCTTCGTCATGCTGAAGCTGAATAGGAAATAAAGCGGCAGAAGAATCTTACTCCTACCTGCCTCCTGCCCTCTGCCACTTCCTCGTCCTTGTTTCCCTTTGTGTTATGGCGTTTTCAAACGTTTTTGCATCGATCGCTGCTACATGATTTCTATTTTGATAATTTGTGCTGCAAGATGAGAAATGAACGCAAATGAGGACGAAGCTTGCAGCGCAGCTTTCACCAGCATGACAAGTTTGACATGGATTTGAATGTTGTTGAGGGCGTTAGAAAATTGCTATGCGAGAAAATGGCTTGATCATTCAGAAAGACAAAGAATGTCGGGCCGGGTGGCGAAAGTGCCTTGCATGACAAACCCAGTAGAGGAAATGAACATGTATATGTAACGGCGAACAATGTAACCACGTTTGAAGAGAGCACCATACCTCTCTGCCATCTGCTTGATGTGAAACTCCTTGGTCGCATACCGCATCGATTTCAGCATCTGCGCCTTGTCGTTTTCCCTCTGGATCGCGGTTTCTGTGATGCGCTTCTCCTCGTTTCTGGCACGCTCCTCGGCTTCCTTGAGCTTCTGGTCCGCTACGGCAGTCTATGACATTGCACAACTCCCCATACCCCTCATTTGCGTTGCATGAACAGCAACACAGGCGCTGGCAAAGATGCAGCTTTTACATGACAGAAGACTGTAGTGCTGTTTTGGATTCCCGAATCTGTCATGCAAACAGTGCTAACAGGCAAAGGGTGGATCATTTGGAATTTTGCATGACAAATGAGGGGGAGGGGGAGTTGTGCACCCTCATACAGTCACCGTGCTCGCCATCCGCTTCATGGCAGCGTCATTTCGCGCCACACGGGCGTCCTTTTCTGCTTATCAAATGCGAAAATGTCTGGGTCTGGAAGAGGAGAAGTTTGTCATGCACACTTTCCATGATACATGATGTCTGTGATGTATGCCATAGCATCACAGATCTTTTGAGCGCCTATCGATGCGCATCCTGCATGACAAATGCCCTCTCCGCGTAGCCAAATTTGGCTCCTCTTGCTGCTCATGCAATACAGATTTTTGTAGCATCCAAATGCAGCATCACATGTTTGGCTCTTCCAGACCCAGACATATTTGCATTTGATACTTCTTTATGCATGGTAAAATTCATTTGAGTCGACGATGCCTACCTTGCTACTATTTTTGAAACACGTTCCTACTTGCTATCACCCAGGAGGTGAACAACAAATGCTGAACGTCGGTAGCTGGCGTTTTTGCAACTTACTACAACGACCCAGTTGCTGGAGTGAGTAGAGCCCAACATCCTCGTGCTGCTAGTAGGTATCAGCAGCAGACTCGACTCAAAAGTTCAACTTGTTTTATTTCCTACGCTTGCCGTTTTCGCTCCTCCTCGTCCATGCGATCGTTGTAGAGCTGCATCAGCGCGCGGTCTTGCTCTGAATTGGGACGTTTTTGTTCATCATCAGCATGACAAATATCTTCAGCTGTGCTGTGTATGTGTTTTTGCTTTGCATGACATTGACAAAGAGCTGTCTGATAAGTAAGTACCTATCAATCTCTCCTTTGCTTCCTTTCTCTTGATCAAATCCAGCTCGTTTTCGGCCTGTATTCTGTGCAAAAGTTCTTGTATCGCACTCGTATAATTTATGCCAGTCCTCTTGCAGCATGATAAACCTTAACCTCCTTTTTGACGTTTATCTGCGACGAGAAATTCCTTTTGGAAATGTTAAACATACTCATGCTACTCATACCGGTACGGGTACGATAGTACTTTTGCAATGCATATCCTGCACATTCGCCATGTGCTCCCGCTGGTTTCGTCTTCTTCTGGCGAATTTGTCGTCTTCTGCTTGGATCTCCCCCTGGATTCGTTCCTTCGTTAACGTTTCTGCGATGGAGTCGACTCTTTTCTGCTGCATTTTTGTTTTCTTCTCCAGCTTATGAACTGCAAAAGTATCGTACTAGTATGGATTGCATTACAAATTTTGCTAGCATCATCATCATCATTGAGACGAACCCCCTGCGGTCGTCCTCACGGTGCCGTCTTGGCCCTAGGCTGTTTTGGACAGATGTTGGCTGTGCCCAGCAAGAGGACGGCTCTGCGTGGGCAAATGTTGGTAATGTCCAGCAAGAGCGCTGCCGTAGCATGAAAACTGAAATTTCTAATGCGGATTTACCTTAGGAAAAAGATTTGTAATGCATAGCTGCAATGACTACGAGTACGATACTTTATTTGCAGTTCATACAGCTCTAATTGCTCGTCTCGCATTTGCTTCTCAATCTGGCACTTGTGGCGCATCTGGAGAGAATCATGTGTAGGAAATTTGTATTGCATGATATTGACGTTGTAGACAGCTGCAATGACTTTTGCACAGCACACATTCGCGTGACCGTGACCAAAAATTATAGAACCAACAAGTAGTACATTATCCGCCTTATCTGCCTCTTCCTTTTCGTATCTTGCTACGTCCTCCAATATCCTAGGTGAACAAGTTTTTATTCTCTTCTTCACCCTCAACAACTACAGTGCGCAAAAACGCCTACGCGTCGCATGAAACATTTGATTAAAGGATTTTGTGTCTACATCACATTAGTACAGCACAGTGAGGGTGAAGATAACGATGGTAAAAACCTCATCATTCACGGGATATCCAAGGCCCTCGCGTACCATCTCCGATCTTCGTCCCTCTCCGTTTGTCTTGCGGTTTGGAGTTCCACCACCTGCTTGTTGAGTGCTGACCGGACGGTTTGCCCGGACTGGTGTGTAATCCATGAGCAAAACGATTTTGATGATAGTGGACCTACGTACTCGAAAACAAAAGTAGGTTTTTGGCACGACTACAACTTTCCATTTACTGTCGTACAAAAAAAATTGCTCCAATTGAACAAATTGTGTCTCGATGTAGTCTCGTTGATGTTCGTAGAACTACCGCCCCAACATGCTTTGTTTCAATGTGGATCCATGATACAACGCTGGTGACTCCTCGGCAGCTTCATCGGTCGTCACCATCAACATCGTTTTTCTACTGGATAGGCTTTCGGATTTTCTGCTCGATTACAGACCGGTGCTCCTTGAAGAGAGCGAAGTCGTCGAGTATGCGCCAGTCGGCGACGCTGTATTGTATTTTCAGTTCGCATTTATTTTGCATGACAGCCAGGGCTTATCTTCAAAGAAACTGCATGACAAAGTTCCTTATCGCAAAAAGTACAGTGAGCTCTCCTGTTTCTCTTCGCCGCCGACGCCTGAACCGGGGATATCCTGGGTTAAATCATCTTAAGTCACCAGCATTCTTTCTACTGCTTTTCACAAACAACAGATAGATGCATCTGTCATGCATCAAGCGTGCACGACAAGCAATTTGACAGTTCCCTTTGTGGTCCTCAACAGCGTCGGTTTCCGTTTCTTTCCCTTTGGTAAAGAAGGTGTACAAATAGCATCGCTTGTTCGTTATTTTTCTGTGCATATAGTCACGAGAAAGCTGACTCAAGATGACTTTATTGCAAACTTCCCGCGGGATAAGAGACGTGTGATGGCTGTTTTGATCCTACCTTGCTATTCGAGCTACTTCGGACTCGATTATGGAATTGGAAAAAGCGAAAAAGCTGCTGTGCTTATCATCCGTTTCATGCATCACAGATTCTCGTTTTAATATTTGCAAAAATGCCGTGTGATACTGACATCACAGGTTTCTAGAAAGATTCAGCATGATTCTGTTTCTGCCAGAGGACCCAGTAGAGTGATTTGCATTTACAATGTATGAACATGAAGCAAGAGCTCGTTCATCAGTTTTCCAGCACATAAATTGAGTACTTCTCGTTATCCTGGCCTACTCCGGACGCGGTGCCTGCGTTTTTTTTTTTTCTTTTTCTAATTTCAATTTGTTCCCTTCTCACTTAGATTTATGCACGACAAAGACAATGAGAGACCAAAACAAACGCATGATATTCGGAAACGGGTGTGAGTCTGGTAGCTCGACAAAAATATTTCAACTTCATCTTATCATCTTCTCATGATACCTGACCCGCTGGTTTTGCTTCTTATCTTTTTGTCTAATTTCTTCAGGTTGTTCTCGGTGATCGAAGCTGAATTGAGAAAGGATTCCACCTCGCTTTTCACTACCTCGGTCAATTGCGTCTTTTCCGCTTCCGTCGCGTTTTTGTGATCGGTGTTGATTACCCTGAGAAGATGAAGAAGTGTTTCTCTGTTTGTGATGCGAAAATGCATGACCAACTTCCAACGGGACGTGCCCGTGCTCGTGTTTGTGATGCAGCATGACAGAACAAGGCAGCGATGCAAAAATCACGCATAACAAAGACGAAACAAGGACGAAAACAGCGTCTATGACGAAGTAGGTACCTTTGCTTGAATCTCTCGATCAGCACGTCCTTCATTTGTTCGCGCTTTTGAATTATGCATTGCAACAAGAGCATCGTACTAGTAGAATTTGTCATGCTTATTCAGCTTGGAAAAGGCAACTGTCATGCATGATTGCAAAACTAGTACCAGTACGATATGGTTTTTGCAGAATGCATATGAATCGCCAACAGCTTCTCTTTCCTCTGTACCGTCATGCCGCCCCTTCCAAGCACCTCCAGCTGCTCTGCAGCCGCCTGCGCTTGCTCTGCCGTCATTATTGTTTGGAAGCAGGAGCAGCTGCTTTTTGTTGTATTCGCTGCAGAAACAAGTGCAGTTCTTGTATAGCTAGGGAACTAGTAGTAGTACGAAGCCGATCTTTATTCCGACCTCCTGCTGCTAGCGTCTTAGATTGCTTCGCCCCTGGTCTGTCATCGTTTCTTCTGAAAACACTCGCATCGGGTTCACCCAGGTACTACTTAGTAAGGTGGTCGTTAGATGGGACCAAGAAGCAGACAAGGTGTCCGCGACACCTAAAATTAGGTGTACGCGACACCTAATTTTAGGTGCACGCGACACCTAATTTCAGGTGCAGGCGACACCTAAAATTAGGCGTCGCGGACACCTAATCTGCGACACCTAATTTTAGGTGCACGCGACACCTAATTTCAGGTGTCGCGGACACCTAATCTGCGACACCTAAAATTAGGTGCACGCGACACCTAATTTTAGGTGCACGCGACACCTAATTTCAGGTGCAGGCGACACCTAATTTTAGGCGTGGCGGACACCTAATCTGCGACACCTAATTTTAGGTGCACGCGAGCGACACCTAACGACACCTAAAATTAGGTGTCGCGTGCACCTAAAATTAGGCGACATAATGCAATATGCTTCTTGACTTGTGGTCCTTTTACCTCTAGCATACCCACATGTCTTTAGTAGAAGCAGAAGGTCACCCGTCCAAAACTGCACTGCAAGATGCATCTCTCCGGCACACCGCTCTCTTTCTAACAGACACTCTCGCTGCTTTGTTTTTATTGATTCACTCAGGAAGAAATTGATTCACTCAAGAAGAAAATGCGGTGAGAAAGGAGCTGAAGAGCTCACTCAACTACGATAGAGGAAATTCACTCAGGTCTAGTGAGGGTGACAAGGAGAAGACACTCAGCTTTGCTGTTCAACTAGAATTGCTTCAATGCTCATAGAGTCCTCGTAGGACACGACTTAGAACAGAGACTTTAGCACCACGTGCCTTCTGGCAAACCAACAAAACCGCAGAGCTACTTATTTCCTATCGCTGCCACCGTCACGACGTCGTAGTCGTGAGTTTGTGTAAATGAAAACTGGTTTTAAACGCTGTTTCTCATAGATCAGAACTCAGAAAATGAGCAGGATGATAAGGAAAAGCCAAGAAATCGATCGAGCAAGAAAAGGAACGAAATACCAAGGAAAAGCAAGCAAATTCTTGCCACGATCGAAAGAAAAAGGAAAAGGAGAAGAGAAGAAGAGAGAAGACAAGAAATTAGGTCTGATTTACGCTGAATCCGCATGAAAGGCTGCCTTTTTACTACTTTCAAGAAGCTGAGCCACGGCTGCGGGCTTGTTAGGAATACGAGTTTAGCATTAGAAACTGGAAAAACTAGACTCGGGATTATGAATTTGTAATGCGTATTTGTGGCCCTTGAAGTGGTTCTAGACGTTGTTCGAATTTGATTTCGGTATACTTTCTTGCGTTTGAAAATAAAGCTCTCCGACTCGAAACTAGATCCTTCAATTGGTGGAGAGCCTGGGCATAGTTCGACTCAGCTGCAAAGATGCTTTCTACTGTTTTAGTTAGATTCCCCACTACAATGGCCTCGAAGAACCGAAGGAAGAAAGAAAAGGCGCTAAAGAAGGAGAAGAAGCACCACAAGAACGCCGCAAAGAAACCGCAAGAACAGTATTACACGAAGGGGGAAAAGTGTGCTTCAGCAGGAGACCAAAACGCACCTGGCCCGCAGGTGAAGTCGAGAAAAATGGAGAGTAGAGCTCTTAATGGAACAGGACCGCGCAAAGAATTTGGATTAGCATTAGACGATGCTCAAAAGGAATAGAACGGAGATCAACCAGACCAGTCCCAGAACCGGAGACCGCCTTCGTACGTTTTAGACCACGGGGAAGATTTGTTTTGAGACCACTGGATATATTTGTTTAACGAGACCTCAGTCGCGCTATAAAGTTCGCGGGAACTAGTTCGGAAAAACGTCGCGGCTGGGGTACGTTCCAGGATTTGTTTACGGATTCGGGTTTTTATTTTTACTACGGGATACGATTTCGGATTTCTATCTACGGACGCGGATCTACGGTTTAGCGATGGCAGCGAAGATTTTCGATTTGTTTCATGGCAGCAGGACCCGATGCAGTTTTACAGGCGCGCGACCATTCCGGCAAAAGTGAATTTACGGAGAACAGCTACAGCACATTTTGAAGAGCTGCTTGCTACAGAATTCCGGCCACCGTCATGACGTCGTAGTCGTGAGTTTGTGTGCATGATCGAAAGGCTTCTGATGCAGGACAGTGTCAAACCGAAGAAAACGTCGAAGGTGCATCATTTGCTCGTCCGTCACAAGGAACGAAGCCAGAAGTGATGCATCGATTCAATTTGTTCTTCGCTGGACAGTTGTACAAGTAAAAAGGTACCAAACGAAACTATTCTCTGTGGTGATGTACATTTCTCAGACCCGAATTCGCAGTGCTAGGTTCCACATGCTACCTCTTCCAGTGCCCTCGTGGACGAGCTGGAAGGGAGAAAGGAAAGAACAAGAACTGTGCCTACGTAGTACTTTGTTCTCAGGAAGTTGGTCGCCCACAGCTGCAACGCCAGTCTGTATCTGAGACGAGGTCGTGGGCTACCCGTTCCAGATCCGGTGTCACGGTTGATAGGAGCATCTTCCGCAGGTTGTACTACCGTCGCCTAGTGCTGGACTACTTATAGTTTTAATTGTATTTCAAAAAAACTACAAATTATTCAAAAGTCATCCAAAGACGACATGAAACAACCTATTTCTACATTGGGTCAAAATCGGATACTCGTCATACTGTATTGATTTGGAAGATTTCTGCTCGTTTACGTTTTTCTATGGCCTGCGGCCGCAAACAGAAGTCTAAAAGCGCCAGGAGCGCCTTTACGTTGCCTTTTACTCTTTCGCTTTACATGTTCAGATTTCGATGCGGCAAAAACGGCGACGCGGGGGGCGAGCACGCCCTTCCAAAACCAGCTCCAGGTGGACCGGCGGCAGCCCCAGCAGGCTGTGGTCCTCCACCCGTGTGTCCTGTCCCTGCTCCCGATGAAACAAGCTGTTGCTGTTGCTGCTGGGCCGTCGATGAAAAGACGATGTTCGCATTCCCTCCCGTCGGTACGACGAACCCGCGGACTACTTGGTACGGCTGGGAGCCTGTGTGAACCAACGGAGGAGAACGGTGGTACGGCAACAGTGGTGGAGATGCTGGCGCACCAGCAGTACTCGCAGCTGGTGGAAGAGAAGTTGTACTACAACCCGGAAGAACGGGCTGCAAGTTTTGCGCCGGACCGGGACCAAGGAATGTACCCTGGTGCTGTTGATGCAACAGCTGCTGTTGCAACATCGCCTGAGCTTGCACCGGCGAGGTGGCTCTCCTTGTCACGCCGGTGGTACTAGCCGAGGCTGCGGCGGCGATTGCCCCTACAGATGAATTGTCAGGGCTTCTGTTCCGCGAAATTACCCTGCCCTGCGCGTTCACTGGCGGACCAATTGAAGGGCTAGGTTGTTGCTGAACTTGCTGCAAAATCGGAGAGGCCGAGTGTTGTCGCACCACAGAACTAGCAGTCGTGCACGGAGTCGTCGTCGTTCCTGTGTAGTTAGTGCAGGAGAAACGCATTGAGCTGCCGCCACCAGCGGCACCACAAGCACCGGGGAAGCAAGTGGAAAAGTTCGGGAGATTCATGAGCGAACCTGCTCCGACAGCCCGCGTAGTGCAAGACGGAGAGTTCGGCGGGGATCCGCAACTCGCGGCGACGCTTGCTCCGGCTCCGACCTGCATATTAGGCGTTCCCAACTCCAGCAAACCTCCCGGCTGTGGTACCGCTGCCACCTGCGGGGGCTGTTGCGGTGCTAATAGCGTCGTACTGAGCAAGGGTGCATTAAAGCCGACAGGCACTGTGGCGCATTCTGGTGCATATTGCAAGTGCTCGTCCCCAGCTGATGCGGACATGATCATTTGCTCAACTCCGCCATGGTCGCTCATTGCATTCAATTGCTGCACTGCTCCGAGCGGGCTTGCAGGCGGCCACGCTCCTGCAGAGCGACGAACATTTGCGTGCGATGGGCCACAGCCACTGGCACTAGCAGCGGGCATATTAGTAGCACTCGATCCATTTTGGTGGTCCACTACATTCTGCTGCGTCGCCACTCCTGCTCCTCGTCGCGCATAATTATCGTGTAAACTGGTCGCCGAAGCGGAGATGGAGAGGGGAGCACGAGCAAGCTGCCTCCCGGGTGATCCTACCCCAACTGCCCACGCACTTTTCGTAGTCCTGGTAGTATGTGGGCGCACTAGGCGTCGCGACTGATTTTGATTCGTCGCGGAGGGGGAAGAAGCTGAAGCTGTTCGTGTTAATAGCTGCCGCCCTTGCTGGTTTACTTGGTTAGATAAGCCCATTCTGGTGTTCTGTAGGTCATCATACTCCACCTGAGCAGCAGCTGCTGCCCGTCGTTCGTTTTCCAGCTGTTGTTCCAATTCCAACTCTCGCACTGCTTGCTCGCGCAACTGCAACTCCTGCTCCCTCGCCAGCAAGGATTGGTTTCTCTCCTGTAACCTCAACCGGTTCGTTAAGGCCACGTTATCACAGCTTGACATGCGTCGAATACTGTTCACAATGTGCTGATGGTTCTCAGCACGAGACCTTGTGCGCGATTCAGGTTGTTCTACTGGGCTGTGGGGTTGTCCGGCGGTGGACGTGTCAATGTCAACACCAGCATGAGTGGTACCACTGACATTACCAGCTCTAGTTGCAGTAGCAGAGCCGGTTGTTGATGATGATGCGGCCGCGTGCGAAGCCACGTCCGCGTTCACGCGTGACGTATCAGCAGTCGCATTACCGGTAGTTGGATCTGCTGCTGCTGCTCCGCGACTGGTTGTCCTAGCCTGCTGAAACGGGCTAGTAGGCGCAGCACCCGCACCAATTTGTTGTTGCTCTCCGCCTCCCCGGGCTACCGCGCCGCCTCCTGCCCTCGCCGCGCAATTTGCCACCATCATGCGCTGCCGAAAGTACGCCGCCTCATTGCCCCCCTCCCTTGCCGTCCGCGCAGCCGCTTCGAGTTCCACGCGCCGCAGGGAATTGTCCAGTGACCCTGTCGTCTGCATCCGTTTCGGCGGCGGCACATCGGACTTTGTGGGGCGAAGCTGCCGGGGCGGATCTGCAGCTTGTTGTGAAGGTCTTCGCACGGTCTGCTGCGGTGGCGGGGGCAGTGCTCCTGCATGATGCGATGAGGAGGAGGACGTTGCACTTGCAGGTCCAGGTGCAGCCCTCGCAGCGAATGATGAATTACGATTACCGTGTAGCTCTGGCGTCGCACCAGAAGTCGCTGCACGAGTACTAGAACTACTCGGCGCGACGGCGGCGGCCCGCAGGGATGCTGACGCAGGATCACCCCGCTGCAAGTCGTTGCCGCTGTCACGACGACCAGCACCTCCTCCTCCTACCATCCCCAAGTTTTGCCTTGTTACAACAAACCCGGACGAACCTGTACTCCCGCCGCCAGTCTGGGCCGCGGACGCCGCGCTCGCGCGTTGGAGAATCAGGTCTAACCGTATCTATGAAAAAACACCCTTTTCCATTCTTTTTTTGTATGGCAAACACTGCAGCTTATGCATATTTTGCATGACAAATTGGATGGGGATGGGTGTTTTTTCCTGGATAAACCGCCGGGCGGTTTCCTGCGCGAAGTCGCGTAATTCGGTGAGGAGCAGCTGCTGTTGCTGGGACTCGAGTTCTTCCTCTTGATTTGTTTGCGGTTGTTCAGAACAACCTTGGCCCGCCGCCGCGGAAGAGATCATCGTCTCCCGTGTCTTCGCTTGGTGATTCTCTTGTTGAGAAGATACGTCGACAGGGGCAGCCACAGTAGCTGATACGACGAGTTGTGGACTGCTAGTACTACAACTAGCACCTCCCACAAACTGCGTTTGGCACTGTGATATTTGTGGGTGGCCAGCATGAAGATTCCGGCCTGAGTCGTGATTTTCAGGCACCAACACAGGTGCAACAGAAGGTGCTGCAGTGCTACTGGCCAGTCCTGCAGTTCTTGTTGAAGATGAAGCCCCATGATCAACATCAAGGGGAACAACTACGGCTGGCGCGGTACCTCCAGTCCCGCCAGGTGGAACATCAACTACACCTGAACAACCGATCGCCGCCGCCGCGCCGAGGAGATTCGCGATCCGCCTCCCCTGCATTTCCTCCTCCGTGTCCCGACACTGCAGGCTTACCAAGCTGCTCCCACTTTTCCGTAAATTATTAGGCGATCCGCTGTCCCCACCCGATTCCGAGCTGAGCTGGAAAAAATCCGTGCTTTCCGCCGAGGTGGACCGGTGTAGGTGGGTGGCTTGCTGCTGGTGCTGGCGCAGAAGTGCTGCTTCTTGCTGCTGGTCTGTCGCGGAACTGGAGCGGGGACGCAGAATCGAGATTTGGGCGGGAGGAGCTGCTTCTGATAGTGAGACATCACGTCGATCAGCAGCATCGTCTACTCCAACTCCGGTTCTATCCTCGTCAGCGGCTCTATGAGTTTCCTGGTTTTCTTCTGCTTGAGGACCTCTGCTCGGACCCTTTCCAGGTGCACAACCAGTTGCGTCACCTCCTACACTAGAGACAGACCCGAGTTGTTGTACAACTACCCCAGGAGGGGGTGGCAAGGGTCCCGCAGCCTCGGCTTTGACCGTAGGTCTAGTACTCGAAGTAACGGCAGTAAAACCTCCAACATCCCGTGCTGCGCTCGTCCTTGGGGTTGACTCATTACTCCCGGCGTGAGGGTAAGGCAAAATCGGCGGGACCGGCTGGGTAACGTCCAGAGCAGGGTCAACAACCCGGCGCTGCTGAAAAGATGAATCTTGTTGTCCTACTTCGCAGCTTCTTGCAGCCCCAACAGCACAAATCGCTGTCGAGGCTGTAGTTCCACCCGCGGGCAGCTGTTGTTCATCCCGTTGTCCGTGCTCCTCCGGCAGGTAGCACGCGGTCCTCAAGCCGACTTCAGCTAAAACTAACGGTGGCGGCTCCCCCAGAAACCGCTGCGTCGGCAAGTTTGGGTCGTGCGGCTGGAGCAGCCGCTCGGTCGGAAGGTTGCTGTAGGGCGTTGCGGCATGTTGAGCCGTTCCATCTCCAGGAAGATAGGGACTAGTTACGGGTAGAACTAGCGCTGCAGCGTCGCCTGCAGCACTGAAGACAGGAGGACCACCGGATGTGATTCCGTCATTTTCGCCAGAGGTCGAGCTCGTGTAGTAATAACCACGATGCCCCCCTTCTTCTTGCGCTTGCGGCGAAGAGAATACCGGGTTCCGCGCGGCTGTGGGCTGTACAAGAACTGCGGGGGCCCCTGCTGCTGCGACTGCTGTACTGCTACCGCCTCCCGTAGTAGTTGGCCAAGCGTTTAATCCGTCGGTTGCGGCGGAGGAAGATGAAGACGACGAGGTTGAAGTAGAGGGCGTTGATGCAGGGACCACTGGTGCGGCAGCAACGACACCAACTACACCACCAAATAAAACGACGTATGTACTAGTTGCTGGTGCGCTGTTGATGTCGGCGACTGGAAATGATCTGTCGATTGAAGAAGAGGAATGGAACAATAGTACACACAGGATCGAAAAAATCACGTGGAACAGGGGGATCTTACAAAACTGGGATGGGCGGACTTTGTGGGCGGGAATCAAAACGTCGAGTTGCCGCAAACCCATAATTACTTTCCGGTAAGAACGGTCCAACTTCGGAGCACAAATTTTTGTAAACTTCTCCTCATCCTCTTCTTCATCTGCTCACGACCGACACCAACGCAAGCGTAACTGAGGCTGACGCTGACCACAAAACTTAAACTACATTTGATATCGAATGTGAAAATAAAGCACCTTCGAATCGAAAAAAGCATAAGAGGTGGCTTTCACCATCATTCTGAAAATTGAGTATCGCACTGTGGACAACAAAAAAAAGGATCGAAATCGACGCAAACATGAGACTAGATCACGCCAATCACTAACACACGACACTGAACTACAACTTGGTCCGCAACTGAGATTGCGGATAGCTCCTGTGACGAGATCTTCAGCCACACTGAAGATGCTCATCGGTCACAGTCTGATCTAAATCTATCAGCGGGCCTTTATTTTATCTTCGATACTCATCAGCATCAACTTCAACATCTTCGACATCGTACAAGTAAGTAGCAGAAACAGAAACAAGCTAGTGCTACTAGCTCTGCATTATTTTCCGTGTTGATGTTCCGTTCTATCCGATCTTTCTAAATTTGAATTTATCAACCACGACCACACCATTATGTGTCGTGGTTTCACAACTTGAACACATTTTTCCACGCCCCTGCATCCTGAAATTCGGAGCTCACCCCCGACAAAACCACCTGGGCGGCCGCCAGCACGATAAACACCGCAGTGCTGATCAGGAAGAGGGACGCATACGGGTACTCGAAAATCACCCAGTCAAAGTAGGGCTCGTACTTGGTCGCTCGCGCCTGGCGCTGCAGTGTTTGGTTCGCCAGTGCGTTGTTGGAGTTCTGGGTAGCGTCCGCTTGAGCTGCGGAGGACTCGGGGTCGTACAGGGTTTCGTAGTCCAACCCGACATGCCCGCTGGTGATCTGACGATTTTTGCATTTTTTGATTTGTGTCGCCATACAGAATTTACAACGCTGCACCAGCATTGTTTTTGTTTCGGATGCGCCGTGGGTTGCATCCATGACAAAAGAAATGTGTAATCCATACAATACCAGGTCGTCCCCAGGCAGTGCATTGCCCATGTTCACGATTTGTGCGGAACACCAGCTAGCGACCTTGTACAGCCCTTCCACGTAGGTTGGCAGCAACTCGTGCTCCGATGGCGCGTTGTCCATTGCACTGCTGTTTCCCGCCGCGTTGCTTGTGCCATTCGCCGCAGTAGCTTGTGATGCTGGTGCGATGGATGCTGCTGCTTCCTCTCGATTCTTGTCGAAGTTGAAGTAGGACAGCAGTACCCCAGTCGTGCTGTTTGTGACACCAGACTGGTTGGGTATGCATTGCGAAAGCATCGTACTGGTAATTAGTGCTTCTACTACTACTTCTACTTGCCTTACAGATTTTACCAGAAGCATTAGTCATAATCCACGACTTCCAATTTGTGGTAATGCTGATTTAGCCGTAAGCAGCCCATCTGTCATGCATGACTGCAATTAGAACTAGAAGAAGTACCCGTACGAAGATACTTCTGCAGTGGATCATATTGGCAACGCCACTGCAGTTCGTGCTGGTTGTACAGGCGAGAGAGAAGTTAGACGCAGCAGCAGCCAGTTGCGCCGCCAGCAGTACAGAAGCAGCGTCGGAGAAATTCTTCTGCACTTGATTCGCGTCCACGGCAGCCTCGGTCAGCGTTTTGCGTATTGCTTCCTCCGGGTTGAACACGGGACTGAGCGTTTTGTCGTCTTTCCAGCTCGCGTGGTGGTGTACGGTGAAGTATCAAGTGCAAATATGTCTGGGTGGGTCTGGAACTTGTGATGCAAGCCAGGGAATAATGAGCGCAGTGTAATACGTGGCCAAGCATGGCAGATTTTTCCGTGGCTCTGTGTAGTTGCGGATTCCGCACGAGAAGCATGTTTTTGCATGACAGACACGAGGAGCTCTTCGTAAACACGCAATACAGAGCTCCGTGGCATACCAGACTAGCATGACAAACCCGGGCGGATTCTTCCAGACCCAGACATATTTGCAACGCATATGAAGCGCACGCCGAGAAACCGGTTTGTGGTGGCGTTCTGGAGCTGTTGTTGCGACAACGTCGACGGGTCCTGCACGGCTTCAGTGAAATAATTCGTGCTGTTGTCCACATGGTAAGCCGCGAAAATCTCCGGTATGGAGGATTTGAACACCAGATTATCAAATGCAAAAATGTCTGGGCCTGGAAGAATGGAACTTGTCATGCAGATTTTCTATGACCCGTGAGGTCTGGAATGCGGGACCTAGCATGACAGACTCTGCGAGGTCTCTGCAATCCCTATCCTGCATGAGAAACTCCCTCCCAACGAACTTGGTCGAAAGAGGACAGCTTTTGGCACTGATGCAACACAGATTTTTGTACGCTTCAGATTTACCATGACAAGTTACCACCTTCCAGATTCAGACCCAGACATATTTGCAATGCATACAGATTCGAACCGTACAAGAGCGACGAGGGGTAAGTTTGGTTTTGTGCAACGCCGGCGGAGATGTTGACCGAAGCGTTTGCTGAGACGTTGCTGCTCGACGTCCCGGAGGACGCGGTAGTAGGTCCGGCCGGTGACCAGTGCTCGAACTTGAAATCGCTGGCGTTCAGGAACTATGCATTGCAAAAGCATCGCACTCCCACTCGCTAGTAATCGCAATTATCCATGACAGATCTGATCTCTTTCTCATCCAAGTAAATGTAAATCAACATGACAACTTCCATTTTTCTGTCACCATGCTAAGTTAAAATTTGTAATGCGATTACAACTACTTAACAGCACGATACTTTTGCAACCCATAAACCGAGCGGGTCGTGGAAGTAACTGGCGAGCACCGTCTGCAAACTCTCGGTCAGGCTGGTCTGCTCCTTGGTCAGGATCTGCAACAGGTCACTGCTCACGTTCAACACCGCTGGCTGTACCAGGGCTGCAGATATGCATTGCAAAAGTATCTTCGTACCAAGTCTAAATTGCATCACAAACTTTTTCAAGAAGAAAAACGGAATTTGTATATGCTGATTGATCTGAAAAGGGATGTTTCTGATGCATGAGCATGGTAGCAAGTACTAGGAGAACGATAAGTACTTTTGCAGTGCATAGCAGATGCGTTTGATGCTCCACCACTGCTTGCTGATGGAACTACTACAACTGCATTCAGATTCAGCACCTGGTCCAGCACAGTCGCATTTCCCTTTATCGTGGTGTTGTCGTACAGAATCGCGTCTGGGATTTTCACTTCGAAAATTTGCAGCACGTTCACCGGTGCTTCGTGGTTGCCGCAGGCGGTGCCGAGGTGCGTGGCCTCGTAGATCAAAACGTTGGTGTAGAGGTCGACGTATAGATTGCAAATATGTTCGGGTCTGGAACAAAGTTGTGATGCAAGGAAGGCAAAAATACTTAACACACTGCAATACGCTGCCAAGCATGACAAGTTTTTCCGTGGTGGTTCTGGGTTGCGTATTCCGCATGAGAGACTCCATTTTTGCATCACAGTCAAGAGGAGCTCTTCGCGGCCACGCAATACAGAGTTCAGAGTCATGCCAGACTAGCATGACAAGTCTCACAATCTCCCAGACCCAGACATATTTGCAGTTGATACGACGCAGATCTTCGCGGCTTTGTTCATTCTCGAGATCCAAGAATGCCGGTCTGGCAGGCGCTTGGACACTGGTTTTTTTTTTCAAAATTCTGTCTTGTCATGTTTTACTACGCATTAGAAACCAAAACAGCAATCGAAGTGGCGCAGCACAAAATTTAAATTTTCTATACCGGCTAAAAGCTTCGACTTTGCTTGACAGGTAATGCAGCGTTCTCGGAACTTTTCTCCAAGCTGAACCAATTCCGCGTTGGTTGCGGGAGCCGGGGATGCGTAGGCAAAGAAGGTGGGGGAGTGAATGTGCGTGGATCTTCGTGAAGAGGTCTTTGCGTGCAGCTCAACAACATTGTCCTTGTCGTGGTGATACTGTACTGGCAAATAAAATCGACCTTGCAGAAGAATGAGTGCAAAAACAGCTACACAGAACGCCATGGAGATGAAAGCGACCGCGCGTAGATGAAGTAGTGGTCGCCGCCGTGGTTTAGTTTTCTTCCGCTGCTGTACTACGGGAGGCACCTCGTGGAACAGGGAATTTTTCTTCGTTGGGCCCCTTGTCTTGTTTGGCTTCCCCCCGGCCGCGGCGATATTTCTCATTTTGACGTGGAAGCTGTAGCTGGTGTACTTGTTCCGATCTATTTTTTTCCTTGCGGGTGATGTTCCTGTGGCGTCAAGGGAGCAGCGGACACGACGGCCAAGCACAGCTTCGGCGGGTGCTCTGAAGAAATAAACCGACGTTGACATTTTTTTACGAAGCAGTTCTATATTCAGATCATTCACATGTGTATTTCATGTTGAAATACAGAAAGAATGGCATTTATTGTACTCCTAAAACTATACGACGAACAGTTCCAGTTAGTAGACACGACGGCGACGACGACGACGCGATGAATGTTCTACTCCTAGGTGTACTTCTTCGCGGTAGTTGTGAAAATGAATCATGAAAAACCTTTTTGGTCTACGATGACGTCGAGTTGCACCTTAGTCGCAATGAAGCATGATGTTCATGCCAGAGACAACTCGAAAAGCACATCTCTCGCGAAGTAGTACTACAACAACTCAAAGAACTCTATCACTATGATGTCCCTCCAGATCATATCGAATTGCGAAGGCGCCGAAGACTTTTGCGCAACTACTAGTGCGTGGAGCAGGTACAACTTACTACATAGAAGAACCCGCTCGCCTTCACAACACCGCTTTCATATGAAAATCCAAATCTATATAAGTTTTTCAACTCGAGAACAGACACTGGGACTGGTTCGGTGACCCGAGCGATAAAGCGCATTACAGCTGGCCGGCGCTGTCGTTCGGAATGTTAACAGAAGCATGCGTTGCAGTCTCGAGGACAATTTCTTGTCCATCTACGTCGACTTTTTCCACGATACTAAATCACCGGGCTTTGTCATCTTCAAAACTTGCAGCTACGGGTCCACCTGATTTTTCACGCCGTCATACTACACGATAGATACTTTACTTGATTACACGAAAGACGACGACAGAAAAGATCTGCTGGAGGAGCGAAGTGCGTCTTCTCTGTACGTCTGATACTCCCTCTATACGTACGGATAGATCTAAACTCATCAGTATCAGTTGCCACGACGGCGGTTAGAAGCTTACTTCTGCACTGTTCCTTTGCTATTTTCAAGCTTTTCAATTATTGTTTATTGCGGATGCGGTAATGGTAAAATAAAAATGATTTCATCAAAACTGTTTCATCTGTTGCGCGGCGCACAAGTTTCTACATCTGTTCATCTTGCGACGTCAAATAAGTTTTCATTGTGTTGAGGTTATTTTTCACACTCGGAGATTTTGGTAGAGAAGGTACTAGTCAGCTCGCCTCTTCTTCGACCTCATCTTTACCCGCCGGCTCCGTGCCCACGAGGAAGGCCACATTCTTGGATCGTCCGGTATTCAGGGAAAGTAGCAGTGGTAGTTTTGAGTCAAATAGGACAGCTCTCTTCTTTTATGTTGAAGAAACTTGTCATTATGTTGAAGAAACTTGTCATGCATCGAACGCGGCCAATGCGCTTGTGCATCGTAACAATTTCATTCAGTTTATTTGCATCCACTTTGCTGTTGCGAAAAGCAAAAGACCACACCCTCTCCTGATCTGTCCCTCTAGACGGCAGCCCCTGCACTTTTCAAATTTTACGACGAAGTGTGAAGATGCTCATATGCAAAGTTTGTGTCTGCTCGTCGCGTACAAAAAGAACGCAAGACAAATGACTCAAATACAAATGCTTTCTGTTTGACTCAAAACGACCACGCGCAGTTCAACAGTGGGATAAAATCTCGAATACGTGTTGTCGAAGACCAGCACCATGGTTCCTGCGTTGAATGTAGTTGTAGTACGTAATGTTTGTCATGCGAATTTTTCATGAATCGAAACATCTGTCATGCGTAGCAGCAACAGCAAGCATTCTGCTATACAACTTTACTAGGAACTGGTTGATTCGTCAAAAAGCATCAAATCCATTCTATACTGTCCTCATCGGCCACCCAACTGCCTTCGATGGTGTCCACGTTGTCGTATCGTTCCACTGGTAACACGTCTTCCTGAAGTATCCAACTCCAAATCGGTCCGGGTCTGGAAGGAATAGAACCTTGTACTGGTCATGCATCACAGATTCATTGATCATGCTGCTCAAAGCGAGTGAACTCATTTTGCACTGCCTGTATTCAAAAACTTGTCATGCTGCCTTTGCCTCTATCAGGCTGTCCTTGTTCTATTGCATTCTTCACATCAACGAATATAATAGCGGAAGTGTAGAAGTGGATCACAAGTTGTTCTTATTTTTCGACCGGGACAGATTTTGAAAATTTCCCTGTGATATCCACGGAGCCGCCGTCCTGCATGACCCTTACGCGCACCCCGAAACCGATATCGAAGTCCTTCACCCGAAAACTCCATCGCATCAGGGTTCCCTTCTCGACCAGGTAGGCGGTTGTGTATTCCGACCGCGCAGACACGGAGAGCTCTTCGGCACCGCGGATCTGGGGTAAAAATTCAGATTTTTTCGACATAGAAGAGGTTGTAGCTGACCACAAAACGCGACATCAAATTCAAATAGAGCACGAGAAGCTATAGCAGCAGCAGAAGAAGACCGCGTAGGTATGTAGGTTAGCATTTCACGTACCTTGATCTCCTTCCATTTTTTTGCTGCTTCCCCCCTCTGGAGCAAGACTTCCTGTGCGGATTTTCCCCACACCAGGCCCACCTCGTCTTATGCAGTGCAAAAACAGCATGATCGTACTCGTGTAATCATCGCAGTCGCGAATGAGACATTTGCTTTTTTAATACCCTGAAATGGCATGCCAGGACCAACTTGTATGAATACTGCACTTCATTTCCAAAAATTTATCATGCAACTACACCGAAATGGCACTAGTACGAAGTAGGTTGTTTTGCAATACATACGTTTCTGATTTTCACGATTTTTCCCTTATCGTAAGGAAAAATCCCCCCTCCCCATATCGAAAGCGTATCCGTCTGAAAATTTGTGATGCGCATTTGTGACCTCAAATCCTGTCTGTCTTGCAAGAAGGCAAGTCCAGAAAGCGTTCCGCAATTTGCAGGCGGTTTGTGATGCTGTTGGGCTTAGAGCATACACGTTTGTCATGCGAGGCGCCTACGTCAAAACCTCTCGACTGAGGCTTGACATATGCCTGCAGTCGTCTCTAGCAAGACAAATCTGATTTGTGTACGCAAATCCAGCATCAGAAACTTCGTTTTGATATGGAGAGGGGGGATTTTTCCTTTTGATATCCCTTCCCCTTGGACCACAGCTCCTTCGATTTTACCGATGCTCGCTCCTTTACCTCCTTCGTCTTATCTCAGGTGTCACAATGAAAAACAGACACCTCCGCTTGTTCCCCAAAACAAAAAGTAAAAGTAGACCTTTAATGTGCCGCACCAGCGTCATCTGTACATCTTTCAGACCAGCAGTGTGTGAGCCTGTCATGTCAGAAGACATCAAGCCACAGCAAGGTCGAGTCAGGTGTGGTTTTGGAGTGGTGGAGAGGTCGAGGTGTATTATTTTCCTTGCGATAAAAGTACTCCTTTGTTTTTTCCTCTACTTTCGACTTGATCTCGCCGGATTTTTCGATGACCTTGGACTTGTACTCCTCCGTTTTTTCAAGCGTCTTCTGCACCTTCTCGTTTGCCAGGAATTCCCCGTATTTCTTCTTATGGCCGTCTCAAACGTTACATTCTCAACTGTTACACGATTTGCCATGCAAAATCAACATCAACATCAACAGGGTGAAGCGACTTCGCATGACAAACTCCCGGAGGGCTAAACAGCATTGAAATCTGTGCGGAATCTGTAATGCTAGAGGCGCAATTGTCCCCCTTTGAGTTTTCCTATTCTTGCATTCCAAGTTCATGTAACAGTTGAGAATGTAACAATTGAGAGTCCCATACTCCTTCGCCTTTTCTTGTGCGGTCGCCGCCATCGCGGTGCCCTTCTCCGTTAAGTTCTTTACCCTGTTGTTTTTTCTTCAATTTCCACCAAATGTTGAACGAGAATTTGTCATGCACATCGACCAAGAACTGTCTGAACCTCAAACGAAGATCGAACATTTGTCATGCGGACGCAAGAATAGAGGGTTTCACTGTCATGCAAGAGCAGTAGTAGAAAACATAACTCTTTACCTTTCATTTTCCTGCAGCTTCGAGTAGGTCTCCTTTGCCTTCTCCTTCGTTTTGTCGACGATTTGTATATATCCTGTGCAAAAGTATCGCACTTCTGCGAATTGCAATCTTGCATATACAGATCTCTCTCCTATAGGCAAATCAACATGACAAACAAAATGTGTCTCAGCTTCCTGCGAAAATAAAAATTTGTGATGCAATTTGTACTAAAGTACGATGCTTTTGTAAAAATGCATAGGGTTCCCTTTTCGGAGAGGTAGGTTACCGCAGCGCCGACTTTTGTTTGGTTCTTCGGTGGATCCGGGATCGGATCGGTTATCTCGGCTGGCCCGCTGCTGGAGTCCGCCATTTTGAGCGAATTCTGCTCGTCTCGGTAGCACAACGAACTACTGGCTGCTCTACTAGCTACGTTGTCTCTTTGTCTTTGTCTTTGCGTGCAGCAAGATTGTTTTTCTAGGTTGTACTCCAGGAATAAATCAAGTGGAAAAAGTTGTGGCCAAAATTTGTTTTATCGGGTCGTCGAACTACTACAGGTCCTGAGTTCTTGTAAGCAAAAGAAAATCGCTCATCGGTCCACGCCAATCAAATTCCAGGAACAACAGGTGGAGGTCCGATATTTCTAGTACAGCACGACCGTGTGAATAAAGATAAACATCATCCTGCTCCGTACTAGTGTAGTGGACTACAACTTCTGTACTTCCGCACAGGAGGCGAAGGAGGGGGTGATGCGACTCAATCTCAACTACCAGGGCTTCCTGCTGTTCTGCTCTATTCTATTCTGTTTCCTATCTTTTTCTTTCGCTCTGTCTTTGTCTCATCTCTAGTACGCGCTCGTCCCTCTCTCTCTGTCTCTCGGCTTCGGTTTTCCTCTTTTAATTATTCGGGATGCCTTACTTGCTTGTAAAAGTAGTTTTTCTGTCTTTGCGAGAAGCACTGAATTACCTTGCATAGCGGAGGACAGAACAAAGATTATGGCGTGAAAATAGGTATTCGTATTGTATTCAGGAGGCGAAAGTTAGTTGTGAAACAACATCTTATCGCACTAAAAAAATCGATCATACTCATATTTGGCCGAATTCAAGACACAAAAAATGCTACTTTTTTGAAAAAAGCCTGCGCTTTTTTAACAAAAATCCTGTATTTCGGCAGCGATTTTTCTTTTTCGGCGGAAAATTTGCATGGCTTGGAGGTAAGGCCTGGAGCATTCTGCTTGGGCGGCAACGTTGCTGAGCTCTGGACTGGCTGCCTGTAGTAGTTCAACTAGCTACGAGGAGGCGACTGGCGCGGATATGTCGCCCGCGACAATTGTCCTGGCTCTGCTCTTCGGCCTCTTGCCGGCCCCCTCTTACCGGTCCAAGCCCCTCCTCACCTACCGGCCCCGCCGTCGGGCGCTTGTCTCTCATAACTCCCGCTCCCAAGCCTGTCACATGGATGGAGGCAAAGGATCCACGCAGCCTGGCACATGCTCGGCCCAGGAGGAAAGGAATGGCCTTCAGGATGCCAGCTCTAGCCCCGCTGAGACGGTGCTGCGACAAACATGCATGGGTTGTGCTGGGGGCCGCGCAAAAGCCTAAGGGCTGGGCCTTCTATTTTGAGGCGTTCTGGGGTTCTTGGGCAGACCTCCGGTGGCATCCTCTGGCACGCCTCCACAGGATCGCCGCCAGAGCGATCGACCAGGGACGGGACCAAAAAAGGCCATCTCAAACAGCAATTTTCAGTGCGGAGAACGTGGAAAAACGGCCAACAAAACGTGGCAAAATCGGCAAAAGCTGACAGCTTTTGCGGTATGATCAATTTTTTTTAGCACGAGCTGAGTCCGGAATCGATCATATTTGCTGACCTGCGCCGTAGCACCGCGATTGGCGTTTTTTCAAAAACTGTAAATTTGCAAATTTTTCACCATAGCAGCGGCCCAAAAAAATTGATCATATGCCAAAAGCTGCCATTTTCTTTTAGAAAATTTGAAAAAAGTGAAAAAATGGCATTAATCATACTCGCAAAAATGTATGATCTATTTTTTTGGGACCGAGCTAACGGCCATTTTTTGAGGCCGATCGATCATATCGAAAATCGGCATTTTTTCGAACTTCGAAAAAGTGCGAAAATCTTGCCAAATTCAGCTGTGGAAGTTCAGCAAATCGACTCCGCTGATGGGGCGGCCCGGAAGAGGTCTCCGGCGCCCGAAAGTGATATGATCGATTTTTTTGATCCGCATGCAATGGCCGTCTTTTCGAGGCCAATCATGTGCCCACTTTGCCTTAGCTCATCTGGGGCCAGAAAGTGCGCGAGCAGTCTCTCCAGATTGGACGGCGTTGCCGGTCTGGGGGGGGGCAAAGCAGTTAAAATCCCGACGAGGAGCTGGTGGTAAGTAAGGCCAAGGCGGGGTATCGGGCTCCTCGGCATGTGCCCAGAAATGCAGGCCCATGGCCATAACGCCAACGAAATCAATGGGACAGGGCCGCGCAATGGTATTGGTCTCCAGTAGTTGCGCCATCTTCTTTGTGGTTTGTCTGACGGCCCTATTGGAGTAGCATCCGCCTCCTCATAGCTACTCGGCCTGCTGCCGCCTCTTAGTTGCTGGAGTAGCGAAACTACTCCAAGCAGCCAAAGAAGATAGGCCGCGCAATATTTACGTCATAAGAGCACCAAAACAGAAGCGGCTGCCCGGGTCTGCCGGACACCGCGAAAAATTTTTGAAAATAAAAAATTGAAAAAATAGCGATTTTTGGGCTTTTTGCGGCCCTGTATGAGTATGATCGATTTTTTTGGTGGGATACATCTTTGGAACTACTCACAACTCCAAATCTTGATGTGCATGGACAGGAATTATACTTCGATGCAAATGTGGGATGCTCGTGGTGTGGTGCATAAGCATATCGCGATTAAGCCTGAGAGCTGCGCAGAGTACTCATCGAAAAATAAAACAACAGGTAGCATCATGCAACTTATGCTTATTAAGCCAAAAGAAAATGAAATAAAAATAGAGATCCTGAATAAAATCATAGATACGCAGATATATACTGAAGTGTAAATCAAAAGCTCGAGAAAGTTGCGCCTCTTTTGTTTGTTTGTTTGTTTGTTTGTTTGTTTGTTTGTTTGTATCGTTGGGCCCGTGGTATCCAGTTGAAGGTTTTGCCTTCTTCTCTGTTTGTTTGTTGCTTTTGGATGCACGGAATCCGGGTGAAGTTTTCTTCTTCTCTCGTGTGGTTCTAGCGCTACTTGAAGAAAAAGCCAGTGTGCCAGAGCCGCTTGAGGCCTGTTGAGAAAAAAACGAAAAAGAAAGCTGAAAAGATAAAAAGATAAAAAGTTGGCGTCGATGAAGGAGAAGACTCTACTGAAATGTTACAAAATCTGCTTGAAGTGTTTCTGATGTCTAGTTTGTGCAAAGATTACGAAAAGAGTTGTGAAATTTCTCGTACGGTTTGAGAGTTCTACTTGCCCTGTCGTAGAAGTTTGTTGAAAGTGCAAAGGTTCTACAGCTATTTCAAGAAAAAAGTATCATGTGGAAAGAGCATGTTCGGCTTGGAACTAACAAAAGAAATCTAGAGAAAGCGAAAGCCCTGCTGTAAAATTAAAGTTGAAAAGTTAAAAACTTGGCGTTGAGAGTTACAAGTCTACTTGGAGTGTTGCTGTCGTAAACAAAGGTTGGTTTTGTTGCTGCTGCGAAAAAAAAGTCAAAGAGTCTAAAAGTTGAAGTCTGGCAAAAAGCGAAGGGTTCCTGAAACTGTAAAATAAAAATCAAAAGTGAATAGAACAAAAATGCAAAAGTTGTGCTGCAACGAGGGGAATTTTTTTTTTTCCTGAGATTAACTTTTTCTTTTTTTTTACTTTTTGCGTTTTGCTGCTACTTACTCTCCTTGTTGTGGGATGTTATTGTACTTCTTTTCTTTATTGCTGCAATACAAAAAAAGTGTGAAAGCGAGAAGACGAAGAAGAAGCGTGCTTATGGTTCTCTTGTATAAAAAATTTTGCAAGTAACACTACATTCGTTATCGCCGTAGATTCAAATACAATTTCTTAACACCATACTGGCTGGCTGGTTGCATCGTAAAAATTTTGCTATCCAATCTCACGCACGAGCAAACTCGAAAGAACAGCTGCTGCTTCCAAAAAACTCAATGTCGAAGAGGAGAAGACACATGATTTCTTTGTGGGAAAGAACCCAAATGACAACTGCGGCCCAACGACACCAAAAAGGGTCAGCTTTCCCGCCCGCGCCGGGGATTGCGTCCGGCTCTCCCGCCCGCGCCGCGGTTGAATCCGCCTCCCTACCAGTCTTGTCCGTACTTGGCAGGCTTTGCCTTTGGAGGTGGAGCGGTCGGCGCATTGACCAGTTCATGCGCCTGGTCGATATCCAATGCAAAGAACATGTCTGGGGCTGGCATAAAAAGGCTTGTGGCTGTGATGCTGAGCTCTGAATGATTGAACCACTTCCGAGCGCTAGTACCCAGCATGATAAGTTTGCAGAGCGCCTCGTTCCCATACGCAGCTCGCATGAGATGCCGCATTTTTGTGTGACAAAAGAGACTGCGTTTGCGTTTGCGACCACTATTTTTGCTCATGCAATAAAGATTTCCATTTCACAGAAACAGAACAAATGTAGTAAGACCTCCAGCATTACACGCTCGAACTTCCACACCCAGACATATTAGCAATGCGAATGCATAGTCGATGAGCTTGAACCATTCGTCCATCTGACCTTCAGGTATTGGCACTTGTGCTGGCTGCGACAACTTGCTCCTCGAGTCCGGGTGATAAAAGAACTGAAGCACACTCTTTTTCGCAACTTGCGCTCCCTCGCCGCTTTTATCGGGCAGCTCAAGCTTAGCCAAGTTGTCATATCTTTGAGGCGAAGGGCCCCTGAACACCTGTGGATTTACCTTCACAAACTTCTGCAGGGCGAAAAGGACCTTTCGCGCATCGTTTTGGTCTTCCTTGGGAACGCGGCCCAAGTCATCTGCGACTTCGTTTTTGAAGGGCAGTCGCAGTTCGTGTGTTTTGCCGTGTTTATCTGTCATGACCGGAATGTTGTTTAGGCGATTCATCGGGTTTTTCCACGCATCAGGAGAATTTTTCCACGCCTGAGTAGGATCCTTGTTCCCTTTTGAAAACGAAAAACGATGCGCAACGCACAGCGCAAGGCTTGGCGTGTGGTGCGGCGTCTACATTTTTTTCTTGGCCTACACTCTGCTCTGTGAGATGAATAAAGCTGGTGGCGAACCGCATGCGGGCAGCAGGATGCAAATTATCACTAATGTGTATCTTGTTGCGCCGGCATCACGGTTTTTACGAATGCGAAACCAGAATGCCGAGCGCCGCTCCAGGCGTGGCATCAATGCAAAGCTTGCACCTCCTTCACCACCACGCCTAAGTCCAATTGCGAGCGCGAAACGGCGAACAAGGTCACCTTCGGTAAGTCGCGCTGGCGCTCCTGCTGTTGACGAAAATCATGGTACTGATTCTCGGAACGCCTCCGCGCCTCCTTTGCTTCTTCCGCCTTTTTTGCTGCGGCTTTCGCCTTTTGCTCCGCTTCCTCCGTATCGCGCCGCTCCTGTTCCCGTTTTTGTTCCTCTGCCCACGCCCGGTCCTCCGCCTCCTTCTGCTCCTTCTGCCTGCGCTTTTCTTCTTCCGCGCTTCGCTTCCGTTGTGCTTCCTTCGCTTTCGCCTTTTTCTCCTCCGCTTCTTTCTTCGCCGCTTCCGCTTTTTCCCGCGCCGCTTCCGCGTCTTCCTTTGCGGTCGCTAAGAATGCTTTTGCTTTCTCGTCCTGTTCTTTCCAGAATTTCGCTCGAGCTTCCTTGTCCAGGTCCGGCTGTGCTCCACCTCCTGATGAATCACTTGAAGAAGCTTTCTCCGGACCCGCGGCGCCGTTTCTTTCGGATTCGGCTCTTGCCGCGAAGAGTGCTTCTGCTCTCTTGGCTTGTTGTCTCCATTTCTCCGCTTCAGCTTCCCTCTCGGCGTCTCTCCTTTCAGCTTCTTCCTTTTCTGCCTCGTGAAACGCTTTCCAGAAATCGTCCGCCTTCTTCTCCGGTGGTTTCGGCTGCCATGTCGGCACTCCGGTTGAAAAGTGGCACTCGTCCAGTGAAAGAGGTTTCTTTGGATCCTGGTCCCAAAGTTTATCCTCGAGGCAGTCACGCGCGCTTCCAAACCGTTCTCTTGTCATCTGCCAACCCCGGTCCGTGAACTCCCACGCTGTATACTCGCCGCTCTTCTCCATATTGAACAAGACATACTCCTCTCTTATCCCCAGGAAATCTTTTATCGCACTGGTGCCCGTGAAGATACAACAATTTACAGCACGTATTGGAAGAAGACGTCGTCCTAGTTGTTGACTACCAAGAGCAGTACCTTGATGTTCATCTGCAACTAAGTACAACAAAACAACAAGACCGGCTAGATGAAACGATTGATAGTATCATCTCCCCTTGGCCCTGGTCCTAGTGGTGGAGATCGTGGCTCATCCGAAATGAACTCTTAATTATATTAAAATTATGCATTTTGTGTCGTGTTAGCATCATGCGCGATAAATCTAATATTGCGTTTGCGCTGCGTACGCTTCTTGGGGTCGCACCATAGCTGTTTGGAAACAGCCTGTTTTTTGTCCCACTTCCACAGATCTCCCTCTGGATCTCCGTACCGACAGTTTTTTCCTTCCCACACTTGCTCTCGCCCGTTGTGCCAGTACTGGTGTGGAAATTTGAATTTAATCACTTTTTGTGGATCTGCAGCTGCCTCATGTGGCCCTGGTGCTGCTTGAGTGAACTGAAGATCTTTATTTTCACATCATGTACAAATCAATATGGTCTTCTAGTAGACTAATATCATTGCAAATATACCTTTCATATATATTTACGTGCAAGAAAGCAAATTAATACTGCTGGCTCTTCCTGCTCCAGCAAACTTCCGGGGGCGAGGATCCGGTCTTCGCCGACATCATCTCCCACGACCAGTGGGGGCGCAGCGTCGTGCCCGGGCTCCTGCTCGAGATATGCAACACAAACATGCCCTCGCTGCCTACAGCTGCTGCCATCCTCGTCCACAGGAAGCTTGCATCTTCTATCTTCATGAAAGGCGGTACTCGTGGTACTGGTACTGCAACAAAAAAATACTTGATCATACAACGAACCAGTGCATCTTCGTAAAGAACTGACCCTGCGATGGTCATCTGGTCGATGGTCCAGTACGTAGTGCACAGGAGCAAGACCTCTCTTGCTACAGGTTACAGCACATCCATCATCACACTTTCCTCTCGCACGCTCGGGAAGACAAAGGCTGAGCGCCGGTGGCAGGGAGGAACTAGATTTTTTTTTCTCCATATGTAAACAGTGTCCCGCTTGTCCAAACCGTCCTCGGCAATCGCAAAAATCTCCCCGGTCGCCGCTTCTTGCGCCGAGGAAGGGTGCGTTCTTGAGGCCGTTGGGCTCTCCTGTGTTTTTTAGTTTTTGTTTTATTCAATAGTTGACATCATCGTCAAGAAATCGGTTCGTCCAGTTGTTTTCTAACAAGCCAAACCTACATCAGTAGAAGAGCAAAAGCAAGCTATATCATATGCAATTCGACATGGGAGAGTGCCCGAGGAGGAGGACTTACCAAAAGCTTCAACATTGTCAGGAGCATAATACTTCGTGTTGGTGCGTAACGTGCAGCAACTGCAACAAAGAACTCGAGTAGAACTACATCAAGCCTGCTTAATCAGCCGTTTTTCTATCGACATAGCTATCTTTCTACCGGAGCTGCATTTTTTGAAAAGCAAGAACGACTAGAAGCAGTACCCCTTCCGCGGCGGCCCCTCGAACAAGTTCCGCGTCCTTGCCAATGAGTTCTTGCAAAGTACTGGACGAGGACGCGCCATCTTCCAAGGATTGCCCTTCTGGCCCACTGTCTTCAACTGCTGGTTACATTATGAGAGTGTACAACTCCCCCTTCGTTTTTCCCTTGATTCAAGAGGGCAAAAGTTGTAACCGCAACAGAAGTCATCTCAGCCCTCAGGCCCAACAAAGATGCAGTTTCTGCACAGACGAAATTAATTGCGCAACCCTGCAGCTTCTGTTTGGGCTGCTGGAACAAGACGAGCCTGCATTTATTATGTGAAAGCAGGGCCATCACAAGGCCAGAGCTGCAGCTGACATTGCGTTTTTGCATGACAAATGAGGGGAACAAAGGTGGGAGTTGTGCACAACTCTCGTAATGTCGGTCCAGGCGAATTCCGCTTCTTGAAGAACATTGTCCTGTTGCTGATCATCAACACCTCCCTCCTCATGCGCCGCAATCTTTGTCGTGCTGGTCGAAGCGGCAGCTGCTGCGTGAGGACCGGCCGGATTTTCGTCTTTCTTCGTCTCCACGACCGGCGGCACATACACAATGCCCTCGCGCGCGTCAGCGCGGAAGTTCGGCCCAAACAAACCGGGGTCGAGGGCCTGCGCGCCGAACGGAGTCTTTATCCTCTGCAAAAGTTATAATTTCGCTGTCGCTTTTTAAACAGTAGCACTGCTTCTTGGGATCTGCATCTGTTGTAGTCCTAATCTTATTTGCAATTGCTGATTTTGCATGACAGAATCATCTCAGCATCTTCATCGTCAGGAAGTAAATCTAAAACCAACACAATTCGACTAGACATGACGAAAACCATCTTCCACAGCACCCAAATCCATAATTCTTTGGCTTTGCGATAGCTTCTTGTTCATCTAGTTGTACTACCCACGCATTTATTTCGAAGAAGTACTACAGCAAAAAATTCTAGCAGTCCTAAACTTTTGCAATTAGATATAATTTGCGCCGTGTTGGGTGCAGAATAGCGTGACGACCGGGCCAGTGGCCGAAGATCCGTACATCGTCATCCGCTTTTTCTTGCCGGAGGAGGAGGTGGATTTCCGCACGTCGGCGGCAAAATCAAGCACGCGCGGGGGCATTTTGTTATTTGTTTCGAAAAAGAGTCGAAGAGATGACCACGCACTTAAAGTAGAGGATGAAAGCGAAGTACTAGAAGAGCACTTCGTCGAAACAAAATTTTGGTAGAAATAAAGTACAAAAATTTATTTATGGCTGAGAGTAGAACGACGGGCTAGAAATGTTGAACGTTGCTCGTCTATTCGTAAAGTCTTGTGCAGTACAGTTGGGGGTGAACTTGAGGTGTGTTTTGTTTTTGAACTTAAGAGAAATGAGTTCTTGTGGTGGGGACCACAAACTTACTTGTAGGTGAGAGGTTGATTTGAAAGAGGAAATACAAATAAGACGATGCTGATTTATTTCCTGTTACAAAGTAAAGGTGGAACTCGAATTGCTTGCTGTAAAAATCTATCATGCGGTCCTCATGGGAATGTACAATTACATGTTCGGGCGGAACGAACGCGAACTGCACGATATCGATATTCAGCAACATCTACTTCCGACGCTTTCTACTTGCATTGTACGAGCACCACACGTAGCTGCTGGTGCGACCGAGAGGAAAACTTTCTGTAGCTGCACGAAAGAAGAAATAAGTAAGCGCTCCGACAGAAACTTTGAAAACTTTGTGTCGCACGAGACGTCGCAGCAGGTGAGACCGAAATTTTGATTTGTGTTGTACGAGATGCATGTTGACATTTATCAAAGGCGCGCTGAAGCAGCAAGCTCACACGAGGACCGAACTACGAGTCACTCGAATAAATAACCGAAAGCACAGGACGATAGAAAATACGTTTTGGAATAAATCCGTGTCACGGAAGATTTTTCCGTGACGAAACAGATGAAGCGAAAATTACGATATCATGCTGGCGTCTTTCATCTCTTACTCGGGCTTTGTGCTGTAGGTACAACCGACGCTAGAAGTTAGTAAGTATACTTGCTTCCTGGCACACCGATGATGATGATGATCATGGAGGAAATCCTCGGAGACGTTTCGGTTTAAAACCGATGAAGAACGAACACATGATTCCTGTACATACGTTGCGTTTAAGAGTTCTTCGTCCGCGCGCTGTGACTCCGCACTGAATCGCAAAGAAAAATCAAATTCTGTTTTTGTTTTTTGTGAAGCGAGAATTGTTTTTTCCACGATGAGAAAGAAGAACGAGAAACATGATTTCTCATGCGCGAAACGAATTCGAAGCTGAACACTTCTCATGAAAAACGAGCAGTCTTTTGGGAATCTCAACAAATGAAAACTGAACTTCAATACGGACCTCGTCTGTGTTCTATCGTTCGGTAACATTGGTGGAGAACCTGAATTTACCCCATTACGCCTACCCAACCTCCGTGGATAGCGGTAGAGTTTTCCCTTTAACAAACTTCGGTCTTGCTTACTATCGTACAGCTTCTAGCTTGTTGAAGAGCAAGACAATACTATACTTCTTTAACGATCTTCGGTCTATATCACACATAGACGCTTCTTGTTCGTTAAAGAGTTAAAAGTCGCTTCGTCATATATCGCGTCCTCCTCTTGGGGCGTAGAGTCTTTCTTTTCGTACTAGTAGTTTTTCCAAAAGACTTGGGCCACTCGTTACAAGTTTTTTTATCGTACAAGTCGCAACTACATCGTCATACCTCGGTGGAACATCTTACTGCGTCGTCGTCTCGTTTTTTGTAGCCAAGTTTTTTTGTCGCAACATTTTTTCGAGGGCCAGACGCCTGTTTTTCCGACAAAAGAAGGTTTAAAAATTAAAAATTAACAACGAAATGCATGCAAATCAATAATTAATTTTCTCATCATCTTCTCATAGACCAAATTTGTATATTTTTTTTCGCATCTTGATCTTGTCGTCATTTTTCGCAAGACAAACTCAAAACCATGCCTCCGGAGCCGGGATACACGCGGTTCGTGCCCAACCGCGGCATGACCGTCGACGATGCCATGCACATATTTCTCTGTGTGCATGACAAACAACGAGTCTTCATCACCACGCTCAAGCCGGAAGACATTGATGAAGACGCGCCGGCGGACCTTGAGCTCGAGGACCAGAAGTACTGGATTCGTACCTTCTCCATGTACGACCAGAACTGCATCCCGGATTCCGCGGCGAAAATCTTGGACGACCACACTTTTCAGAAACTGGTCGACCTCTTCTACGAGAGCGACGACCACCAACAGTCCGAGCAGGAGCCGACGGAGGAAAACGACAAGGATCCGGACAACGCGCCGGGAAGCCCACCCGCGGAACAGTACAATACTCCGGGTTCCAGCTCCAACAGCCCACCGGTCTTCCCGCCGGTCGGATCCACGCTCACCTTCGAGCAGTGCATGCAGATTTGGAAAATGATGAACGGAAACAAACCGCAGGGGAACAACAACAACACGAACGACGACAAGAAGTACGACCACCTCTTCAAAAAACAACCGTGTACATACGTTGCGTTTAGTAGTTCTTCGTCCGCGCGCCGGTCTCACGGGACAGCAGCACTAGTGCCTTGATTTCGTGCAATCATATGTAGATTTGAAAAGGATTTAAGATTTGTCGTAGTTCTAAACAGGGGTCCTGTCTTTTTATCTGGGATTTTACGTTTTTTTTCCCTGACGGGTCGTGGAAATAACCATTGACAACCTTATTTGCTTTTCTCATTCCACTCACGTCGCGTAGCAGGGTTTGCTTTTTGCGTTGGTCTTGGTTGTCTATATATTGCTGCTTTCCTGAAAGAGAAAACTTGGAATTGAGATGAAGCGGGATACTACAGAGCAAACAAAACCGGCGAGAGCGTCAGTTTCCTTAATGAAGCGTCTATTTGACAGACAGACATTTTATCGGGGTACAGGTGTTGGTGTTTATGTTTTGGGAACAACAAAAACTACTCTTGGTTGAATTTCTATGGTACAAGTGGACAAATTTTGGTGTGCTGATGCTGAATCGAAGTAATCAAAAGAATAGAATTGTAACTGTAGTACATGTCAAAATAAATACTGTAAAAGCTTAATATCGTAGCATAGTTTAGTGTAATGTTAAAGTTCAAAGTTTGAGACTGTCCTGCACTTTCGGAAGACTTTTTTTGCGCATCATGTGCTGCTAGTTGTAGTTTTTCGAAGATAAAAGAACCGTGAAATAGGACTAGAAAATACAAGAAACCTCCTCCACTTTTTGTTCCTCACGCCGTGGCTTGCTGCTGCTGTTGTTCCAGCAGTTCCTCCACGCCCTTGTTGCCCCCAGACGCGGGCGACTTGTACTCACTCAACAGGTTGCTCAGCCGCTCCTTCCCGGCAATCTCGTCTGCCTCCAACGCCTGCATCTCCTTCAATTTCTTGTCCATGCCGTAAGTGGGGATCTCGCCCAACAAGGCTTTCATCACCTCATCCAAATCCAGCTCCCCACTGCAGTCCCGGTCCATGTGGAAAAATATGCGCCTTCGCCTCTTCACCGCGGCGTGCGTAGACGGCCCCGGGGGCCAGTGGATCCCGCCGGCCAGGGCTTGCTGGAATTCCAAAGGCGTCACCTGCCCATCGCCGTTGGCATCCAAAGCGGAGAAGATGGCGTCGCGAACGGATTGCTCGTTGACAAAGTCGCCGAAATAGGCGCGGAGGTGTTCGCGGAGAGAGATCATCTCTTCCTCGATAGGAAGGCGCTTTTCGAGGATCACCGCGTCGCGGGTCAGCTGGTTCGCCACTATCATATGTAAAAACGTCCCCACCTCCCCATAGTCAAGTTGGAACGTAGCAACACAAGTCCAGAAGTTTTGGGAGCCACGCATGACAAGTTGCAAAGTCGGTAATGTAGTTCATATTAGCAAGGACAGCTGCATCACAAGTCTATCTGCTTATCCTGTTTGCAGCATTACAAATGCCAAAACACGACGATTGGAAGCGCCTCCCCTCCCTTGGGGACGCGCATTACAAATATTCCTGCAATTGCAAATCTGCATGACAGCTCTGGGATGCTGGGGACGTTTTTACACAAGATAGCCACTTCTGGATCCTCCTCGCCGATATCCTTGCCCTTGATGGCACCCACGCGGCAAGAAAAGACCTGAAAGTTTATTTTAAAACGCATCGTACTAGTGGAAATCGCATTACAAATTTGCTCGGCATGACAAATAAAATTTGTAATGCGAATTTTCCTTTAATAAGAAGATTTGTAAAAATGCATGACCGTGATGACTACTAAGTACGTACCTTCGGATGCTTCGCCCACAAATCTTGCTCCTTGTATCCGGGCTGTTGTGAGGTTTTGATCCACGCGCCGAAATTATCCGCTGATTTCAAAGTCCACTTGTTCAAATAAACCCTTTCCACGTGCCGTTGCGCATCCGTCGTCATCTTCTTCCGGCTGGCGTTATCGCGATTGCGGATATGGAAGCGTCAGGTTTGAAATCGTCAAAGTTGAAATAGTTTGTCATGCATAAAGTGCAGCCCTCAAAGTGCCTGTCTTGCAGAGTAGGCAATTGAGGCAGATTGTAAGCCTATTGAGGGGTAGAAACTGAGCTGCTAAAGTAGCATGACAAAAGGCGTCTTTCTTACCCAAACAGCATGACAAACTGGATTCCGGCCGTACCTAGATTTGTCATGCGCCACTTGGGAACTGGGTCACAACTTTCATCCATTTTATGCATTACAAGTTTTTTCAACTTTGTCGATTTCAATCCTGACACACCCATATCGGAGCAAGTTGTTGTACGCCTGACGCATGGAATACCGCTTTTTTCCGTCCTTCCCAATAATGTAGCACTCCTCGTCGGTAAAAGTGACTTTGTTAATCCTTTGCATGAAGTCCCGCTCCTTGTGATCGTCCTTGAACTCCCGAACCTTCTCCTGCACCTCGTAGGGGTCAATTCCCAAAACCTCGGCAAATTCTTCGAACGATAAATCCCCCGACCCATCGGTGTCCAGAATCCGGAGCAAATTCGCCCTCCTCTCTATCCTGAGCAAAAACGTCCCCACACCAGAGTCAAGATGAGGATTTTGCAACACAAACGTAGAAGTTTTGGGACTCATGCATCACAAGTTCAAGCCCGTACTGTAGTGCAGGTTAGCAAGGGCTAACGCATCACAAATCCATCTGCTTATCCTGGTTACAGCATTACAAATGCCAAAACACGACTAGAGATTCCGCTCATGGAGATGCGCATTACAAATGTGCCTGTCAGTGCAAATCTGCATGACAACTCTGGGGTGGGGACGTTTTTACACATGATACTCTCCGCGTTCAAGTGGGAATTGGTCGCGTCCGGGTAGTATGCTCTGCAAAAGTATCGTACTCGTAGTTGTAATCGCAATCATGCATTACAAATCTCCCTCTGAAGCCAAATCCGCATTACAAATTCCATCTTTCATGCTGAGGGAATTTGTCATGCGATTTATACTAGTACGATGCTTTTGCATTTCATAGGTAGTGCATGCGCTGCAACCCGTGCTGAAATTCGTCCATGGAAACAGAATTGGACCGGTCGAGATCGTATGCATTACAAATATCCACCCTGGACGATGTCTGGAAGGATGTAAGAACTTGTGATGCTATATTTGGATACCACAAAGATCTGTATTGCATGAACAGCAAAAGAGGTCCAATGTTTCTTGCCACGGCCACAGGGCATTTCAATTTCTCATGCCGTATAGGCAACATCAGGAAGACCTCACATCAACATCTGTGGTGCTAGAGCATGCATCACAGACGTCAGGAGGCATGCAAAATGTGCATGACAAACCTTGCATCCTTCCAGACATGATCCAGGGATATTTGCATTTCATAGATCGAGCTTCAGGTAGAATTTGTACCACCAGCTCGTATCCGGCGCCCCCTCCGCGCCGCGGAGAAGTTTCCCGAATTTGTGAGCCAACCAGGCGCGGAAGTAGAGGAGTTCGTCCCCATCCGGGACTAGGTTGTACCGCCGCATCGAGTCCTTCACCTGCCCGTCGAAATACGTCACCCAGTGCACGGTCACATTCGCCCGTTGCTTCGGGGTCAGCCCAGCCACCGGCTGCTTCCAAATTGGCATCCGGCAGGTGTCCTGAAACGGCGCATCGAGCCAAATGCAGGCACCGGCGCAGTAGACAATTTGGTTCTGCTATCCCACGAAAAAAGTGTTACAGTTACACATTTGCTGTACCTTCAGCATCACAAGTTTCCCCTGCATGACAGAGAAAACTTGCAATGCAAAGATCATAAGGGAAAACAGGAAGGAAACGAGGCTCCAAAGCATTTCCTGCATGAGAAAAGTTGTCTGTGTTGCCGGTCTTGCAAGACAATGTGTAACTGTAACACTTTTTTCTTCCCATATCTGCCGGAGGTTCGACCCGGTTAGCAACGAGTGGACGGAGAGTTCTATCCTGCGCAAAAACGTCCGTACGACCCCATAGTCAAGATCTTGGGAACTTAGCAACACAAATCTGGAAGTTTTGGGAGCTACGCATGACAAGTTCTTGCAGTCCCTAGTGTGGAAGTGCAGGCTCCGTTCGTAAGGTGGACTATAGCTGCCGCATCACAAATCCATCTGCTCATCCTGTTTCCAGCATTACAAATTCCAAAACACGAGGACTACAAATGCTTCTCATGGGGACTCGCATAATTACAAATGTTTCTGTAGATGCAAATCTGCATGACAACTCTGGGGTCGTGGGGACGATTTTGCTCAGGATAAGTTCCCGCTGCACTTTCAATTCCGGCGCGGTCACGAGGAACGCGGTGCCGACAGCCGGGTCCGGGTCGATTTTCACATTTTGCAGTAAGTCGTCAAGGTTTTTCGTCTCGCGGACAAAATTTCCGAAGAACGACTGGTCGTCCCGAGTAATGGACGGAAATTTACCCATTTTTTATATTATAGTTTCCTGATGTGCTGTTTAGTGTACAGTAGTCTTTTACTTAACGTCGCCGAATGAGTAAATACCCAAAAGGTCGTCGTCGTGTGTAGTAGTCGTGTTTCTGATTTTGTCGCCTACTACTTTCTTATGGGGGTCGTGTTCTTCTTCGTCTTGGGTAGAGAAATTGAGAGCCTGTTTCATGTTTCTTCATCCATTTTTAACGTTTTGGAAAAGCAAAAATGCCAACAAGCTGCAACGAACGATGAACAAGGCGAAGAGAAACCACGGCACAAGTACCGTAACTACAGCACAGAACGACAACGAGGTGGGAAATGAAGGACGAAAAGGACGATAAGCACGACTTTTTGCACGAAAATGGAACCTGTAAAACAACGAGGGAGAGTATTTTATACTCGATAATTTGCACGACTAAACAGATTTTGTTTTATCACACAGCGCAATTATTTTGTATCTGTATGGGTTCCTCAACCGAAACTTCTTTAGAAGGTTTCTCTTGTTTCTCTTTTATATTCAGCATGTGTGGCTTCATTATTCTCGTCCTGAAGCAGGAACGATAACGATTACACGTCAGACTCAGATCATATCACCAGGGGCTACTTACGACCGATTTCTTTCTCCTGTTGAAAAAGACTGCGTTTGCGTTTTTTATTTCATTTCCTATCAATTGTTCAGAAGAGGTAGTATCAATCATGGAGGACTAGGCTCAGCGAGGAACACTCTAAATTCAATCTACGATGCTGCAAATTCTTGCAGCTAGTCTCGGCCTTGCACGTATCTTCGTCTACTTCCATGGACAGTTCGTGGTCTTGCTTGTTCATTTCCGACACAAGTAGAACTAGAAGACACAATAACTTCCTAGAAGCTCACCCAATCGGAAAGCAGTGCGCATTACAGCTCTGGTATGTAGTGTCCAAAAATCTTCTTCGCAAGAAGATATATGGTTGTCTGTTGAGTACTAGAAACTATGCGTGCTGGTGAAGAAATAAGAAGCGCCGCGTATTATATCGCTCTCCTCATGTCTTTTCAACGTTATGTATGTTGCAGTCAAGATGATCTGTTGTAGTTCTTTGTCATAATTCTAGAAACACTATCTTACAGGTAGGACGGCTCATCTTCTTCTTCACATTCAGCACAGTGCAAAAAGTGCTCTTGATCTTCAAAATGTTCTTGCGTTGGGAACGTCAACGTCGTGTGATCAGGCGTAAGTTAAGTGCGATGTCAATGCCAATAAGTTGGCGGCCCCGCATTTTCATCCGGAGTTGTCGTCCAACCATGCTGCAAGCCAATTAGCTCCGGCCTAGAGCATATGCGAGTGCACAACTCGCCCTCCCTCTCATTTGCGTAGCATGAACAGGAGCAATACAAACATCGGAACCTGTGGAGCATCTGTGGAGCGTTTGCATGACAAATTCATGCGCGTAAGCAAAAGCAATGTAGTACTGCTTGGGCTTCCGGAATCTGTCATGCAAACAGTACGACAAAGGCAAAGCAGTGCCAGCGCTTGGATTTGGTAGGTATTTTGCGTGACAAATGAGTGGAACAAGGGAGATGAATTGTGCGCTCTCATAAAACTTTCCCCGCTAATATCCCGACGGCCGCGGTGGAAGAGGTTGCCCACGATCCCACGTGGTGCCCCACTACCAGTTGCACTACCTGTACCTTCGCGGGCGTTAGTCGTCTCCTGCGCCAGACCACCTATGGGTTTATCGTCCATCTGCAAATTATTAATCAGCTGGTCGCTATTTGCAATCCTTTCTGCAATACTTTTCCCTAACGCAACCCGGTGCCCTTGTGCGGCCGCTACTCCCAGAGAAAAGCAGCAACAAATACCGGCTGCTTGCGTCGTCGCGATCTGGCACGGTGCACAGCAAGCGCAGCAGAGGAGCTTGTCTGCGCCGCAACAAACTGCCGGGACGGTCGGGGCCACGGCGGATGAACTTGTTCCCATCTGGCAGAGCGTCACGCCCAGATGTGGGTTGCAGCAAAACTGCGCACAAGGCAGACCTGCGGGCCCGAAATTGTTCGCACAGCACGTCGGGTCTGCGGCGGGTAAAACGAAGTTGTAGCACGCACTCTGCAAGGTGTGTCCAGCGGCGCAATTCGACACCGTGTTGACCCCGCAGAGGACTTTTGATTTTCTCCGCATCTCCCGCTCGTGGCTGTCCAAACCAGGAATGCAAAGGACCTTCACCATCTATGGATGTGTCAGGATCGAAATCGGCAAAGTTGAAAGTGAAACAGTGAAACAGTTTGTCATGCATATAATGCAACGTTGAAAAATTTGAATTTGTCTCTATTGCGGAGGACGCACACGCAAGGCGGGAGGCGCCAGATTATAGGCCTGCTGAGGGGTAGAAATAGAGCTGCTGAAGTAGCATGACCAAAGGCGTCGTCTTTACCCAAACAGCATGACAAACTGGATTTAGGCTCTACCTAAATTTGTCATGCGCCACTTGAAATCTGGATCTGGGCTTCATCAACTGGCATCCATTTTATGCATGGCAAATCATTTCAACTTACTCTGTCGAAGATTTCGAACCTGACAGATCCATAAGCCCGCCTGTACAGTGCGACACGCGACGTGTTTCGAATGTGAAGCCACGGATATGATATCCTCGGCGAGGTTATCGCAGCAGTTCTCGCAGCAGGCTCTGAGTCCGTTTTGAAGCAACGTGCGCCTGGATGGTTTATTGCCGATAGGCATATCGACAATATCCATATCATGCTGCTGCGGTGGAGCTCCTGTATCGGTAGCGGCGAGAACCGTCGGAACGAAGTGTTCTTGAAGTTCAGAAAGTCCTCCGAACAGGAAAACTACCGGTAATAGTGTCCCTGCGAAAATGGAGGAGGAGCCGCGACCTCGAAGGGCGGTTGTTGGAGCTGCGCCCACGCTCCTCGTCCTCTCGAAGCTCTTTCCCGTCATCTTCCGACTCGTCATTTTAAAAATCACGCCGCAGATTATAAATATGCAAAAAACCGCCGCGCGTGGGTAGGAATACTTAATTTTGATTTTACACTTTTTAATGTCTACTTCAAGGATAATCGATATCGAAATCGCTTCCCAAAATCGTGGTGCGAAAAATCTCTCACAAAAATCCTAGATCTCGCGACGTCAAGCTAAGATTGCGATTATGATTACTTTTACTATGGTGTCGAAAATGAAATCTTACAATTGATAAGTGGTTTTGTTTTTCTTTTTTTCAAACCCGTAATAGAGTTAGAAGCAAAAAAAAAAAGATAGGATAGAGGCAAGTCAGCGGAAAAGAAGCCGCGGTCTTCCTCTTCAATAAAACTGTGTACAATAAAATATAAATAAGCCCGATATTACGATAGAAGCACGCAGCGTCTCCTCGATGAAGCCGTTTATTTTTTCTCAGTTGTGCACTTACTAGATGATGATGATCGGGGCCTACTGGTCGGTTTATTTGGGATGATCTTCTTGCTGGGAACCATAGTATCGATCCAGGTTTATTAATTTAAGCAGCTGCGCTGCGTGGGCGACAGAGTCGCAAGCCCTACTTTTGTTCCCCGGCTTTTTTTTCATGCCGCCCGCCGCCGGCCAATGCGCTCACTCTAACTAGCTTTCCGGCACGGCACAAATGCCCGCCCGGGCGACCGAAGTGATGCGAAACAGGCCTCGGGGCCCAGTGAGATTGTCTCGGTTCCTATTACAGGTTTTCCCGCTTCCCGTCTCGGGCCCCAGTGAGGTCTCTACACCGCACAGGCTCCGGGGCCCAGCGCGACGGGTTGACTGTGGCTCTAGGCAGGTCGCGGCCTGCTACCAGCTACCACCCCCTCACTGGCTCACTCTCGACACCCCGGCCGCCACGCCACGCGGCTGCGGGCTGGGTGATGATTTCATGCGCGGCGTGTTTTAGGTGCGAATTAATAGCCGTCGGGGCTTGTGGGTACGTAGCTTGCAAAACCAGCAAGGCGCTCGCACCTGCAACCAGCCCCCAGCCAGCCTGTACGCGTGAGGCCTGGCGCCCTGCTTTGTTTGCAAGGCACGCTGTCGGACTCGGTCTGTGTGTATGTATCTATTGGCTGCAACGTGATGAAGCCCGGGCTTCTATTGACAAACCCCCCCACAGGGGCCCCGACGTGCAAGGCCCGGGCCTCTGTTGACAAACCTCGCTCCCAGCGAATTCGAATGCAGCGGGCACATGCTAAACGAAAGCAAGAGGAAGTAGGGCAACAACATCCAGAGCCAGCCTAGTATCGTTTCAGGGCAGGGCTTTTATATGCCTTCTGCAAGTGCTGCTCTGGCACTGGCTCTTTATTTTCTTTGTGTGAAGTCCCAAAGCCACGTCTTGCCGCCTTGTTTTGCTTGCGTGATAACAATTGGCCTGCCGTGTCTCTTTGTTTTGTTGCTCTATCAATCCCGATGGTGCGACGTTTTGCAGCCTCCTGCGTATTACATAAACGAACCATAAGCACCAACGGCGTGTGGTGTGTCGGCCCGGGGTCCCTCGGGCTCACCCAAGCGGCGCCGGGGCCGGGCCAGTTCATAGGACCTATTCCGGGACAGCCCGCCGGCGGATAAGCCGGGGGGGGGCCCCCCCCGGCTTATCCGCCGCGGGGGCGGATAAGGATTTCATTGTTACCCCACTCTTACTAGATGATCGGGGCCTACTAGTCGGTTTATTTGGGATCTTCTTGCTGGGAACCATAGTACTATCGATCCAGTGTAGATCTGCTTGTGGTCCTACTTCTCCTTCCTTGTTTTGTACTAGCCCGTAGTGTACGTGTACGATAGCGATGCTGTAGTTGTGATGTGCGTGCCTAAAGATAAAAATAGCACGATGGATGATCTTCCGATAGATCACGATCATGCTCATGCTCATTTATTTCTGTTGAAAACGACTGCGTTGTGATTTCCTATCATCATCAATTCAGGAGAGTTAGAAGTACTATCAGTGCTAGTAGACTACGCACAGCGAGGAACAACTACACTTCAAATTCCATCACAATTTTCTATGGAGCTGCAAATTCTTGCAGCTAGTCTCGGTGTTGCACGTATCTTCGTCTTCCACGACCACGGACACATCGTGGTGGTCTTGATTGTTCATTTCCGACGCAAGTAGAACCAGAAGACACGACTTTTTCCTAAAAGCTCACCAACATGAGAGAAGTGCGCAACATCACAGCTTTGGTATGTAGTTTTCAAAAATCTTCCCGGGAAGACATATTATGATGGTCTGTTGAGAAGAAACTTTGCGTGCTGGTGAAGAAATACATACATACACGCTCCACGCGACTCTACGAGAGGTTTGTGGCGCTCTAAATTTGATCCTGTCACCTGGAAAGCGATCCACTCAACGGCGTACGAGCGAGCAAGAGTGTGAAGTAACCCTCTGTATTCGTGATTTGGCCGAACATCTCAAGAGGTGAACAAGGATCCGGGAGGTGCCTGGCCACCCTGCTGGGGGGGGCGTCTTAGAGCGCACCGGCGAGCTCTTATTCCAATGTTCCTGGTGGCAGCATCAATGCGTCTTCGCTACGAGCGTCGTGTTGATTGATTTTACCACGGTCTTTCGATGTCGGCGACGGGCTACGAGCCTTGTGTCGCGTTCATCGCGCATCCTGCACTCTAGCGGATGCTGCTGCCTTCTTACAGGAGCTGTGTGCAAAAATATATAAACTGACTGGCTGGTGAAGAAATAAAATAAGGAGCCCGTACAGCGGCCTCATGTCTCGTTAAAAGTGTTGAAGTTGACGTTGAGTATGTTGCAGTCATCTGTTGTTCTTTGTCATTTTACAAACACTATCCTACAGGTACAAACTCATATCTAGCTGGACAGCTTAATATCTTTTCATTGCAAAAACCGATCTTGATCTTCAAAATGTTGCGTTGGGATCATCATCATGCAGAAAGAGAAAATATAAACGTAAGTTAAGTGCGAGGATGTCAATGACAATAGGTCGTCGGCTCCTCATCTTCCGAAGTCGTCCAACCATGCTTCAAGCCAACTAGCTCCGGCATAGAACTTATGAGAGTGCACAACTCGCCCTCCCTCTCGTTTGCATGGCATGAGTGACCAGCAATACAAATGCCGGCACCTGTGGACGTGGTCGTGGAGCACCTGTGGAGCCTGTGCATGACAAGTTCATGCGCGTAATGTAGTAGTAGTGCTGCTACTGCTTGGGCTTCCGAAATTTATTGTCATTCAAACAGTTCAACAAAGCAGTAGCAGCGCTTGGATTTGGTAGGTGTTTTGCATGACAGATGAGGGGGAGGGAAGGTTGCGCGCTCTCATAAAACTTTCCTCGCTACCCCCACGGCTGCGGCGGAACAGGTTGCCCGCAAATCTCCGTGCCCCCCCTCGAGCACTACTTGCACCCCCGTCGCCACTGCTCGTCTCGTGCGCCGGACCTATGGGCTTATCATCCGTCTGCAAATGCATCAGCGGGTGAGACCCCGGCTCACAGGACCCGTCCGCAGCTTGAATCAAAAATGGCAGCCACAATTCATTGCGATTTCTCACGTCCACCGCACCGTTGTTTCCCATGCTTTCTGCAACACTTTTCCCGAACGCAACCCGGTGCCCTTGTGCGGCCGCTACTCCCAGCGAAAAGCAGCAACAAATACCGGCTGCTTGCGTCGTCGCGATCTGGCAAGGTGCACAGCAAGCGCAGCAGAGGAGCTTGTCTGCCCCACAGCAGACTGCCGGGACGGTCGGGGCCACGGCGGATGAACTTCCCATCTGGCTAAGCGTCACCCCCAGATGCGGGTTGCAGCAAAACTGCGCACAAGGCATACCTGCGGGCCCGACGTTGCTAGCACAGCACGGCTCTGCGGCAGGTAAAGCGCAGTTGTAACACGCGCACTGCAAGGTTTGTCCAGCGGCGCAACTCGCCATGCTGACCCCGCAGAGGGCTCCGTTCCGCATCTTCCGCTCGTGGTTGTTCACGCCAGGATTGCAAACTACGTCCACCATCTCCAAAAACGCGTAAAGACAGCAGCCCGCCTGTGCACAGTGACACACGGTGCGAGCATCCTCGGCGAGGTCCTCGCAGCAGGCCCCCGAGCGGTTGCGCAGCGCGGACGGTGTGGCGCCGCTGAGTCCCCGTTGGAGCAACGTGGATGGTGGTTTGCCGATAGGCTTATCCATATCCTCCTGCAGTGGAGCTCCTGTATAGGAGGTAGCGGCGAGAACCCCCGTGGGAAGTAAGTATTGTTGAAGTTGAAGTTGAGCAAGTCCTCCCAGCAGGAAAACTACCGGTAATAGTGTCCCTGCGAAAATGGAAGAGGAGGCGCGAGGACCTCGAAGGTTTCTTGGAGCCCCCACGCTGTTCTCGAAGCTCCTTCCGCTCATCTTCCGATTCGTCATTTTATTTTTCAAAAATTCACGCCGCAGGGATGCAAAAAAGCGCGCGTGAATACTAGGGACGTAATTTTTGATTTAGGCTTAGTGTTGATGTCAAGGACAATCGATTCCGGCGTGGTGCGAAAATTCTCACACCAAAATCCTGGAACGAAATTGCTCTCGCTCGTGCTGAAAATAATACTATGTCGTGGGTCAAGGTCTAGCGTCTAACCAAGATTTGGATTGATTAGAGTGTCGGAAATAAAATCTTACAGGTGATGAGTCGTTTTGTTTTTTAAAGCAAAAAAAAAGATATCAATGTGGAGGAAAGTCAGCGGAAAATAAGATAGAAGCCGTGGTCTTCAAAATCAAAACTGTGTACAAAATAAGCCCGATAGGTAGAACCACGGAGCATTATCTCCTCGATGAAGCCGTTTTCGTTTATTTCTCAGTTGTGCTAATGCGTACTAAAAATACTAGATGACCGGGGCCTAGTCAGTTTTGGATCTTCTTGCTCCGAACCATAGTATCCAGTGTAGATCTGCTTCTGGTCCTTCTCCTTCCTTGTTTTCTAGTCTCCGTGTCCGTAGTGTACGATAGCGATCATGTTGTGTGCCTAAAGATAAAAACAGCACGATGGATGATCTTCTGATAGATCAAGATCACGCTTAAGCTTTAGGCGCTTTTGCTGCTTTTTATAAAGCTCTTCGATGTTTAATTCAAGTCCTGTTGAAACATGATAAGTATTGACCGCCTCTGTTGTATGAGCTTACTGCAACTACAAATGCAGGCGAGCGGGGCGATTTAGTCGGCACTTGTTGGGGCTCGCGGGTTTACTACAGCACCTGCTTCGAACACCAACATACAAATGACTTAATTCCGCTATTGTTGCTTGTCATTCTGTATTCCTGTGCACGGAAGAAGGAGCTCTGAAAGGTTTAGTTTTGATGTGAGTCGCATTTTCATAGCGATCCGATCCATTATTAGAAGCGGCAGTCAAGCGCATAAAATTCACGTCGTGCTCATCCTGCTGGGCAGCCCCGCGTTGTTCACGGAAGTTCGTAAAAACGTGGCCAAACCCGTCATATTGCTGCCCTCTTGCCCGTCGTTTTTTCCACTCGCCATCCCTGCGCCGCCGCCCGAAGAAGATGTAGTTCCTACTGGCCCTGCACCGGAAGAACCCCCTCCCGCAAAGGAACTCGAGGCGTTATTCTGCCCTCCGAGCTGGATCCCGCTATTGGTAAACGCGGAGAAGGAGCTGGTACAACCTGACGATCCACCGCCACCCCCACCCCCTCCCCTACCGGCGGCTGTGCTTTGCGTCATTATGCATTGCAAAATCCACCGGTGCAGCTGCAGTACAAATCGCATCACAAATTTTTGTCAAGGTGGAAGAAGGTAGTAACTTGTCATCATGCAGCAGTGGAGTTAGGTAGGAAAGCACATCTGTCAATGTATCATAATCATGGAAATGATCTCATTCATAGTAGACCTACGATGCTTTTGCAGTGGGATAGTCGTATTTTCGCCACCATTGCTATTGTCCGCATTGTTCAGCTCCTGTTTCGCCGCCAACGCCCTCGCAAGCCGTTTCAACTGCTCTCTTCGATTGTTCTGGCAGCCGAGGTAGGTTCGGTAGACCGCGTTTGGTGGGGGCTCGATTTTGACACCCGCTTTGTAAATGAGGTCAAAGCCGCCGACCTGGGAGCAGGGGGAGGGGGGTTTTGTTGCATTTACATAAGCACTAATAAGCACTATACTTCTTGCGTTTCTCTTTCTTTATTGTTCACCTCCCGTTGTCTGTCCTGCCTAGTCTTGCATCGCAAAACGTGTTTGTCATGCACAAAAATGCATCTTCGCGAAAAAGCTATCTTCTGTACCTGATCCTCAATTTGTCCCTTGAAGTAATTTTCCAGTATGGAAGCGTCAGGATCGAAATCGACAAAGTTGAAATAATTTCTCACGCAGAAATTGCAAGGCATGAAGTACCTCTTTTGCAGGGATGGCAAGCGAAGCCGATTGTGAGCCTGTTTAGGGTTTGAAATAGAGCTACTAAACTAGCACGTCAAAAGCAGTCTTCTGTGCCCAAACAGCATGACAAATTGGATTCCGGCGCTCGGAAAATTTGTCATGCGCCGCTTGATAAGTGGGCTTCCGACTGGTATCGGTTTTATGCATGACAAAGTATTTCAACTTTGACGATTTCGATCCTGACACAGCCATATCCAGGTCCAAAACGGTGAATGTGTCGTCCAGCAAGCCAAATTTCAATTCGTAATCTTCTCTCGTGGTAGCCGTCAAACTCGGACTGGAGTTTACTTCCAATAGCCACGGCCGGAGGTCCGATATGCAAGACAAATCCACCATACACGTACGAAAAGCATCACAGATTTTGAAAGAAGAGCATGCCACTTATCATGCTGCATAAACTTGGCGGTCCAGCTTTGTCATGCAATACCAGCATGTGCTTGTGTACGTCGTGAGCGGGATCTTCACTGTGGGTATCCGACGACACAATCACGTCGAAGCCGTACAGTTCGAAGCAGTGTTTATCGCTGATGATCGCGCCCTGTACCGCGATATGAGAGTGCACAACTCCCCCTCCCCCTCATCTGTCATGCAAAACCCCAAATCCAAGCGCTTTCCTTTGGCACCGGTTGCATGACAGATTCCGGAAGCCCAAACAGTATCTATGTTTGTACTACACTAGAGCTGCATGAATTTGTCATGCGCAGGCTCCACGGGTGCTGGTGTTTGTATTGCTGGTCATGCAATACAAATGAGGGGGAGTTGTCGTTGTGCACCCTCATATGCGAATAAAGACCGCAGTATCACTTCCTGAATTTCGTGGAACATGTGATTCTATCCTGTGCAAAAGTACCGCACTCGTAGTAATAAATTGCAATCATGCATTACAAGTCACTTTCTTAAGGAAAATCAGCATTACAAATTTTATTTCTCATGCTGGGGAAATAAATATTAATTTGTAAATGCATTTATACGAGTGCGATACTTTTGCAGTTCATAGATTCACCTCGTCCCGGGAGTAGGCCGTGTACAAATATGATTTCAAATGCTGCAAATCCCACTTTCCTCCCCGCTTCTCGTCGTAGTTATCTTGGTGCTTCTGGATGGCGACGTTTGTCAAGTGGATCGCCAAATCGGCCGATTTTAAGTTGAATCTCCCCCCGGAAAACCGCGCGAACCCGGAACGATAGAGGTAAACGACGAGCGGAGACCAGGACGTGACCAACACGTACAGGCGGAGATCGAATTTCCTACCACCGATTAAAAGCGGGTTTGCAATGTACCGCTGGACGACGTAGGGTTCTATTTCTCTTGGTTGTTCGTCATCTTTGTCTTTCGATTTCTTGTTGTCCTGGTTTTTCCACCTTGGTTCGGCTGGCCGCCAATCCGAAATCGCTTTCAAGGAATCGAACAGAAAGATGCCCTGATAGTTGTGAATGTGATTTTGGTTTTGCGAATCAAAATTGGAACAACTTATTTGCAAAAACAGAGACGAAAACGAACCTGTCATGGTGACGAAAAGAAATGTTGAAGTCCTCGTGTCTACTGTCATGCATGATATCACTATCACAACTTGAACTTTATACCTTTCCCTGCGCCTTCCCGACTGGTTTCATGATCCAGTGTTTTCCTATTTTCTCCTTCGCGGATTTTTTGAACTCCTCAACAAACACGCTGTACTCCGTGGGTAAAGAAAAAGTCGTCGGGGTAATGTTCGCGTACAGCTCCGCCTCCTTACTGTTCGACCCGAACTGTTTTTCCGCGGCTTTTTTCGCCCGTTTCAAGTGCTTGATCAGCAAGTCTTTCCGTGTTAATTCGAAGTGGTTCCGGAAGTGGTTGACGCGTTGAAACGGCTGTAAATGGACATAGTCCAAATTATCGTGGATCCACTCCCGGTCACACCAGTGGATGTCCCACTCCAGTTCCGCGTCGGTTTCCTTGTAGCCCCGTGACCTCAAGACGTCTAAAACCGTGTTGTGAAAGGAAGTTTTGAACCGGATTTCCCGCGTTGGAATCTGGATCTGGTCATTCGCCTTGTCGGCGTCGTTTTGGTTGTTCGCCATGCGCGATTTGGATTGGTACCCGCCGATGTTGGTAATATTCCGGTCTCTATCCGCACCGCCGTACCCCATCGCGGTGTTGCCGCGGATTAGGTATTGACGAAGAAATTCGGACATGGTGTTTGTTTGTTTGGTGCTCTTCTTTCGCAAGTAGAGAAGAAAGGATACGCTCACGCAAAGAGTCTGCAGATGTAGGGGCCGTGTGGAGGTCCTCTGCGGCACCGCAAGAAGGGGCCACCACAAGAGCAACTGCTTCCAACTCTGACGAGCTCGTGGTGGAGAAACAAAAAGTTAATTGTTCAGTGCCGAAAATTAAACGCAGAAACCACACCGATCAACAAAATAAAAAGAAAATGCAGTGATGAAGCGAATAATAGTCTCTCCAAGAACAGGCTGGTGGCTCTACTTCATCAATTCTCTCTTTTCGCTCTCAAACTTGTCTGTTCCATCAACAAAAACGCATACGATGCTTTCTCTCATCCATGCGACGAGGAGACTTCGCAGTCGTTTCCTTCGTACTCGTTCTCACGATTATATTCACTTTCGCTTACCACGAAAAAAAAACTTGTCTTTCGCAGCCTACTAGAACGGATAAAGAAACTAACAACACCTGTTTAAGCCGCCGTAACGAAGCAAGCTGCAGCAGCGACGCAGTTTTTACTAGTGATTTTCATTTGAAAGATGGGAGATGATTTTTTGGTTACCAGATGACATGCGCTTTTATTGTGTTTGGAAGTTTTGTTCGTATTGATAACGCGGCGGAACACGTCAACGTTGACAATTACGGTGTGACAAAACTAGTAACATACACTTAGTACAAGGAATGGGGTGGATCATGAGCACAGCTCAATGGGTAGACGCTGTGGTACAACTAGTGTATTAAATAAGTGACTGTAGAGGCACCAGAAGTTCTCACGATAAAAGTAAAACTTGACACCTAAAGCATAAATCGAAGTTTACAGGCTTATGCAGATCTATTCTTCTTCAATCGGCACGAAATTTGCCGCCCCCGCACCCCCTCCCTGACAGCACGCCGCATCCTCGGCCGATTCAGGTCTTTCGTCGGGCAGCACCACGTATGCATTGCAAAAGTATCGCACTCGTATAAATGCATTACAAATGTCCTCAGCATGAAAAATTAAACTTGTATTGCGGATTTACCTTGAGAAAAAAATTTGTAATGCATGATTGCAATACGAGTACGATACTTTTGCACAGGATACCACCAGGGGGGTCTCACAGGTCTCGTGCTCCTCGTCGTAAACGCACTGTGGTAATTATCCACATTAAATTTCCCGTACACGTACAAATGCAGTCTCTGCATGACAAAACTTGCCTTCAATCCTAGTCTAGCATGACAAGTTGGACACTGCAAGTTAGCGAAATTTGTCATGCATTTTGTACATGTACAGGAAATTTACATTGCATAGTAATGCTTCACACGCGCCTTTGCTCACCTGTTCCGCGCACTTTTTGCTGCTTGCCGGTGCACTGGAGTCTCCACCCCCGCCCGAGCTCGACGAGAGAGCGATGGGCTCGCAAGTCTTCAATGGTTCAGCACCGTTATCGTTAACGTTATTAGTGTCCTCGACTGCTTTTTCTACCATGTGACAAATTTCCTTCCCCTCTGCGTCTGTCACCGCTTTACACTCTTCCTCGGATTCATCTTTCCCCAGACACAGGTTCTCCTTCATCGGCGCGTTTTTCGCTTGACAGCTAGGCGACCCGGAGAACGAAGCGGACATAACGATTGTGCACTGCTCTTCCCCATCTTATGCAATGCAAAGATGTCTGGGTCTGGAAGGATGCAGCTTGTCTTTGTCATGCTAATTCTGGATAGTGCAAAAATCTGTGTTGCATGATTGCCAAAAGCTCCTCACTTTTGACCAAGCTGGGAGGGAGTTTCTCATGCAGACGAGGCATGATAGACGCCGGACAGAATCTGTCATGCTAGGTGATGTATGACAGACCTCACGCGTCATGGAAAACCTGCATGACAAGTCTTCCAGCCTTCCAGACCCAGACATATTTGCATCTGATACATCTTCCCCTTTCACGGTTTCGCACTCTTCCACTGTCTTCGCTGCACAAACAACCGCCCAGGAGCCGAGGGGTTGGCAGGGGGTGTTGGGGTTTTGGTTCAGCCCGTGCCATTCGCATTTGAGGAGCCCAGAGTTGTTGGATGTTGAACCACCATCGTCGCTCGGCACCGTTTCACAGGCGTTTCGATCAAGTTGGTCCGCGCATTCCGGGACGGTTAAAGTCTCTTTTTCTTCACAATTGGAACTTCCCGCGATCCACTCGCACTGCCGCTGGTAGTGGACCGTTACTATTTGCTCGCATTGTTCCTGGGTTTTTCCAATTGCGCATCCAGGTGACGGATCTACTTCAAGTGGGTCGACGCAAATCCCTGCGCCGCTATCCCAATTGCACTTCGGCCCCCCGTAATTGCTAAATTGGAGGATTTTCGTGCACTGTGTTTCCGTGGTTGCGTCGACGCAGTTGTAGAGACCGGCTTCGCAAACATCCTCTAACATGGAGCACAGCCGGCTTCCATCCGAAAAATCCTTTACCGATTCACAGAGAGCTTTATTTCCATTTTCCACCTGGTCACAAGTGGTCGGGACGGAGTAAGCAGGGCCGTCTTCGTAGTTTACCAAGCCACCACCGTCTGGTGAAACAAGTCTCTCCTCGTAGACCGGGACAAACTCACCGGTTTTATCGTAACACCCACAGTCCTTCCCCATTTCGTTCCCGCTTCCCCAGAAACAGGAACTCAGCGTCGTGACAGTCGAAGCTTCGCAAATCCCTTTCTGGCAGCTCGGCGACCCGGCGATTTGCGTTGATTTCCGCGACGCGTCGCCGGTGCACCGGTTGGCGAACGGGTGGTCTTGCGCTTGTTGTTCTAACTTCGCCACCGCGACGGTCGTTGCCCACTCGGAATGGTAGTACCCAACTGTTCCGCAGCGTTCGCGGTTACTCCAGGTAGAACAGGGGTCGTAGGTCTGAACTTGTCCGGTGGCGCCGCTTTGTTCGCCCACACGACTCAAAACCCGATTCACAATTCTGTACACCTTCCCCGCATCCGCCTCTGACACGCTTTCCGGCCGCCAGCAGGAGTTAGAGATATTATTATTCTCGCACAGAAAACTCAAGTCTTTTTTCAAGACCACGGCAACCCAGGTACAAGCGACGATGTACTGCCCTAAATCCGTCAAATGAATATGGTCGACGAACAGCTCATCATCCGAGAAAGCGAGGTTATTAGCCACCCACTCAGCACTCGGCTTGTGCAAAACGTTGTAGCGAAATTGGTCGAGGATCTTTTCGTCTAACGGCTGGAATAAAGAGTTCAAATATTTCGTTTGTTTTCTCCCTTTGTGATTCAACCCTTGCAGCCTGCGCTCGCCCACGTTGAAATCGAAGGTCTCGCCGTTGTCGTACCCGTTTTTATGAAAGGCCTGGAAGTGCTCGGAACTCTCTTGAACTTTTTCGTGCTTGTTCCACCACCGGCTGTCCATGTCTTCGTCGCAGGTTTCCAAATCATCGGCATTCATCGTGACTCTATCCGCTTTTCTCGCGATGTGAACCGCTAGTCCAGCTGGCACGAAAGCCCCTGCCCCGTGCATCAAACTGTGGGCGCTGTTCCGAAATAGGCTGTAATTCCAACACGCGTGATTCTGAGTCGCGTACTTTCCGTAGCCAATGGACGGGTAGACGCGGCATTTTAGCTCGCTGTTTCTCTTGTACTTATTCTGAAGTGGTTGGATGTTTTTGAAGTCAAAGTTGGTGCCCTCCTTTGGCCAATCCGCCCCTTTTTCGAAATAAGCACTGGATTTAGTTTCTACACCCGGGCAGTTTTTGTAGTAGATCTTCTTGGAATTCGCATCCGGCTCTCTCTCGCCGTGTGGCATGTGGGAAACGATCAAAGCCTCCGGAAATTGCGCCTGGTAGAACTCGACACTGGACTGGTAGAAATGCTCAGCTGAGGTCGTAAACCCGGCATTGTCTGACTGCTCTTGTAAAGAGATAATATCGTACCGGCTTTGGACGTATTCTTTTTCCAAGAAAAGCTCCGTGTCGTACCAATCCGCAGAAGTTCCCATCCCCTTTTGCGGGCAACCTAGGGAATTGTGCCTGGAATTCCCCGCGTCATCCAGGGTTTCCGGTGCAAATGCGCACTTTGTGCGAAAATCGGTAAAACCAGCCAAAAACGCGTTGTGGGCCTTCATGTGGATAGTGGTAGAACCAGCCGTGTCCTCGTCGACGTCTAATCTCTCGTTAACCGACTCCGCTAACAATTGCACATACCTCGGCAACCCCGCGCGGTTTTTTCCGAGTTCTAATTTCGACGATTGCCCCACGGTGAGGCTGTTCCCGACGAATAACACGCGAATTCTTTGGGTTTTCTGTCTTGGGATGTTATCGTAGATCCGGTAGAAATCGGGAATTGGCGGAATTCCAGTCGCTGCTTCACTGGTTTTGAGACAGCATCGGGCTTTGCATTTTTCCCAAGTCGACCCAAGATTGCACTCGTGGTTGGGGAGGAAAATAAAGTTTTGATTGTCACCGCCATCGTTGCATTGAAAAGCCTCGTTCTCGCCGAACATGAAGCCGCAGGTCGCCCAGGGGTGGCAAACTCCGCCCATTGCATCTAAATTATCGCTTGTGCTGTGCTCGGTTCGTTGCCAATTGCACTCGGGAACTATTGCTGCTGTATCCAATTGCTTTTTCCGCCACCGAGGGCTCCAGCCGCCACCGATAACGCAACGGTTCTCCTCGTCGGCCGTCACGTTCCGCTGGAAACTCCAGACGTCGCACCCTTCCCTCTCGTGGCACTTTTCCCGACACCGTATCAATTGTAAAAATGTCTGGGTCCGGATGAAATCATGTTTGTCATGCTTGTCTGGCATGACTCCTAAATCTGTCATGCACGTTACCCAAGAGCTCCGTTTTTCTGTGATGCAGAAGCGCACTTTGTCGTGCAGAATAAGCAACACCTAGAAGCTCAGAAACTTGTCATGCTGAGCCAGCACTTGTGGCCTCCTCATGATACGCCACCCAGCATCACAACTTTCCAGACCAAGACATTTTTACAGTTGATACACCGCCGGTTCGAAGTAATGCTGTACCCTTTTGCGAGATAATCCCGTTTCCAACAGTAGTCGTCTACTTTAGAAGTCTCCCATTCGCTCGCGTCTGGGACATCCAGATCAAAGCTGACGTAGTCAATCTTGGTCAGAAACGCCTCGGGGCAGTGGTCGGTACTGGTTCGCTTAGCGACCATGGCGGATGCAGCGGCGTGGGGGGACAATTTCATCGAGGAGGACGATTGGTTCTTATTTTTCTTTCTTGATGTTGTTCTTTTAGAAGTGGCCGCTCCAACTCTTTTGCCTCTTCTTCCAACCTTGTACAACTTCGTTGCTGCAGTAGAAGTGCCAGCTACTTGTTCCTTTTGCGTCATCTTTTCAGATGAGGACCCAGAAGTCGCTTTACCTGCTTTTTTACTCCGCATATGATTAATTCCGGCCTTTGTTCCTTTACGTTGTACCTCGCTCTTCTTCGTACCGGCTAAAAAAAGTTCAATTTTCGTTGTCATTTTCGTTGCTAATGCTACTTTCTTCTTGTTGTGCAACATCATTGTGATGGCACGGCAGGGCCGCGGGGGAGAAACATGATCGCACAGAAGGACCAACGTAAAAATTGTAGCTCGAGCGGGAGACCGTGAAAACGGACCCGAAGACGTCGACGACGTGTAGTTCCCGGAACTGTTTGGGTTTGCCATGCTGACCAGCACCTGGTGCCGCGTGCAAGACGGAGGAGAAGGTCCTGCCGACATCTTGATCTTTCTTTCGGTTTTCACGCACTCCTCTACTTTGAACCTACATGCCATTTCACAACCACTTGGCTACTTCTTCTAGACGTCATCACGAAAGAACGACCACGCGGCCGACGGGGGGGAATCCATTCACAGAAGGAAATGGGCTTGGAGGCTTCTGCATTTACTTTCGGGGGTAGGCGTTGTTACTAGCAGGGGAGAAGAGGGAATAAATCTAGTTTGTCAATCTGGATCGATCTGTGACCTACGCATGGAGATCCTGTGGTGATTGCAAAAATGTTGAGAGAAGGTCAATGGTTATATTGATCTTTTAGAAACTGTAAACCTTAACCTTGGTTGTACTTGTTTTATGTCAACGACAACCAGTCGAACGAGACGAAGGAATGGAACGGTACGAAATGGAACGAAGAGGACGATAATCATTATTCTAATTGTGTTTGTGACAACGCGTAATATATAAACGTTGCTTTCTTATTGTTGTTTCAGAAACTTCTTGAACAAGCGTCGACGACGAGAAGGAACGAACGAGTGGTGACGTCGATTATCTATGCACCAAGAGACGCAGGGGCAGGCCAATCCTCGGCCCATTAGAAAAAAAACTTTCGTTATGCTTGTTGGTCATGGTCTTGCTCTTGTCTATGTCTTGACATCATTATCATAGCTGCAATGAATAATATTTTTGAAGTGGTAGCGCAACGAAACAAGGGTGGGAGGAGGTCTATTTGAGATTGATAAAGATATTTTCTGCTTGAGGGTAGTCGTAGTACTTACTTGTACGAGTATTTTTAAAATGCCAGAGGCAGAGCCAAGAAGATGTTCTTGCGATAATAAAGCAAACACGGAAGAACAAGTTGTCTAGTGTCATCTGTAGTGATATGAATCCACCTGGAACTTTACTGGACAACAACGGAACTCGGATCAACTTGCCCCTTCTTCAAGATGCACCTGCATGGTAGCTCTCGGTACTCTTCGATATTGCTCATCATGCTCGGGCGCTATCGTCCCGCCTCCGCCACCCCCAGACGGCGTCGACGAGGACCGGGTGTTCTCCTCGGGGGGTGGAGCCTGCGGCGCTTGACTTTCACTTTGGTCACCGTCACCATCTTCCACATCCTCGATGTTTGTTCCTTGTAGTTGCTGAGCCGTAGTAGTATCACCGTTGCTTGTTTCGGTTTCGTTGGACGGCATGCTGGACGATAGATCGTGCTGCTCTGGTGCAGACGACTCGTCATCATTCGCCAGCAGGGGCACCGCCATGGTATCCAGTGGAAAACAAGCTTGTATCGTATTTCATCGCTGCTGCAAGGAGCATGTAATTACGAACAGAGTTTTCGGAGGACAGGTGTGCGAGTGCGACGTGTGCTGCGACAACATAAAAGTACTAAAAAAGATGGATGTAGTAAAACTAGTTCATAGTCTTGCTCCATTCGTGTGTTTTGTGAAGTTGAAAACTAGACCACTCTCTCTTCTGCAAAACTTCGGGGGAAATCACTCTGAAGTTTGCGCAGATTTGAATGCATCTTTGACTAGCAGGTAACCCAGGCTCAGGCAGCAACCGAAAAATACGATGAAGACATTTACAACAGGTTCATTGCATACACGTCGTCCACAGTACCGTCGTCGCCGCAGCTGCCCTCTCCGCACCCGGTTTCGGCGCTAACGGTTTTGAACGGCACAGTGAAGGTGTTCATTCCGTTTCCGCCTAGTACAGGTGCGTGAGATCCTGATGTGACATTAGTGCCATTCATCACATCTCCCAAATTTCCTCCTGCAGTTACTTCTTCTTTTCCCAGACAAGTATACCGCTTTTCCGCCGCGTCAACTAAAGTGATGACACAGATCTGCTCTCCCGTCTCCACATCCACAACCCCTTCACAATCCGCACTATTTGTGGCGTCGTGACAAGGGCTTGGGCTTGCAGACGATGAAAGACTTTCTGAAGTTGTAGACACGGTATTAGTAGTACTAGTTGCGGTTGCCGTAGCGCTCACAGTTGTCGTGGTCGTGGTGGTAGTACTTGTTTCGGGTGACGGACTCGGAGACGGGCTCGGAGACGGGCTCGGAGACGGGCTTGGAGACGGACTCGGAGACGGACTCGGAGACGGACTCGGAGACGGGCTTGGAGACGGACTCGGAGACGGGCTTGGAGACGGGCTCGGAGACGGGCTCGGAGACGGGCTCGGAGACGGGGAAGGGGACGGGCTTGGAGACGGGGAAGGGGAAGGAGACGGCGCAGGAGTAGTGGGCGGGGTGGATCAAATGCAAAAGTGTCTGGGTCTGGAAGATTTTGACGACTTGTCATGCACGTTTTGCATGAGCCATGATGTCTGTGATGCGTGCCCTAGCATCACAGATTTTCTGACGGCTTCTTGATGCCTTCTATTCCGCATGACAAAGACAATTGCCCTCTACTCTGCGTCGCAAAAATTACATTTCCTTTGCTGCTCATGTAAAAGTACAGATTTTTTTGGAATCGAAATGCAGCATCACAGGTTGCATTCTTCCAGACCCAGACACATTTGCATTTGATACATCAGCGCCATCATTCCGATCTTCCAAATCCACACTATGCGTCCATTGCCAATCCGGGTAATTTGAGTACCCCACGGTTCCGCACCTCTCGCGGTTACTCCAAGTGAGACAGGGGTCGTAGTCGGAAAAACTGCCACTGGAGGACAGAATCCGCTTCACGATTCTGTACACTTTCTTGGCGTCCGTCCAAGAAACCGGGTTCGCCCCGACAGTAGGACGCCAACAGTCGTCGGCGTTTTGCCCACAGAGCTGGTCCAAATCCTTCTTCAAGACAACAGAAACCCAGGTGCAAGCCGCTAGATACTGGCCTAATTCCGTCACGTGAATCGAATCCGTGTACAACTCGTTCGAATTACTGAATTTGTAATTGTAGTCGCTCCAAACACTGCTAGACTTTTTCAACACATTTTCCCGGAAATGCGCGATGGTGTCGCTTGTTGGGGGATAAAATTTCGAAGCAGCCATTTCTTCCTGCTCGGCCAGAGTCCGCAGGGAGTTTACGTCTAAGTCAAACGTGTCCCCGTGGTCGTAACCGTTTTGGTGATAATTTTCCCAATCATCACCGGATAATTTTTCGTGGTCGTTCCAATACCGGTCGTCCATCTTTTCATCACACCCTTCTATCCCACGAAAAAAATGCTTCACTGTGATCGATGGTTTTGCAAGATCTGCATCACAAGTTTGCTACACATGACACAGAAAATTTGCCATGCGCGTTTCCCAAGGGAAAACACGCTTAAAAAGCCATTGTGTTCTTGCAGGTGTAGCAAGACAAGCACTTTGGTGTTTCGTTCTCTGCATCACAGGTTCACAGTGAAACAGTTTTTTCTTGCGATACCTTCTACACCACTCCCGCTGTCCGACGTCTCTTCCCAACCGCCATTACCGTTTTGCTTGTATTTCAGCATTCCCTTCAGCCCTCTCCCCACGTGGAACGCGAGTCCGACCGGGACAAAAACCGATTATGGAACTGTCAGGATTGAAATTAACAAAGTTGAAATAATTTGTGATGCATAAAATCTATACCAGTTGGACCCACAGTTTCCAATCGGCGCATGACAAATTTTCCTGGCCTCTGAAGCAAGTCTGTCATGCTGTTTAGGGAGAAATGCCTACTCCCTGTCATGCTAGTCAGCAGCCCAATTCTTGACCCTTACCAGCACTAGAATCTGCCTCCCTTGCGCCTTCAGCAATAGAGTCAGTCTTTGTGTCGCATTTTATGCATGGCAAATCATTTCAACTTTGTCGATTTCAACTCTGACACCTCCATACCGATCCCCCGTGGGTTAGAGCATGTGCGGCGCCCCGGAAGAGGGAATAGTGCCAACAGGCATGAGAGGCAACCGCGTATTTCCCGTACCCCGCGGTCGGGAAGGCCCGACAGGGTTTATCCTCGTCATTGCCGGCCCGGTACGGGTTGTTTTGAACATCCCCCCCGAAGGGGGTGCTGGTGTTCTCGCAATAGGAATTGTAGTGATCAAAATCCGCATCGTCTGTGGCCGCGCAGGCCAGATACCTTCCTTGGTCTGTATCGCCCGCGCACGGTTTGAATTCCTGGTCGCTCGTCATGTCCGCCATGGTTCTCTTAGTCTGCACCATGTGGGCAACCAACAAAGCGTCCGGGAACTGCCGCTTGTAAAACTCGATGGAAGATTGGTAGAAGTGTTCCTGCATGGAGGCCAGCCCAAGCATGGAAGATTGGTCTTGGAACGAGACAACGTCGTACCTTTTCTTCACGTAATCTTCCCTGGGGAATTGTTGTTCGGTTTTCTGCGGGCCTAGAACGACATCATCTTTGTCCACCGGCATTTGCGCGTCGGTTCCCAAGCCCTTCTGGGGACAGGCGAGTGCCGTGCCATGGTTGTGATCGCTTTCATCGAGCGATGATGGGCCAAATTTGCAGCTGTGAACAACATCGAGCAAACTCTCCGTCTTCGAGTTGCTCCTTCCGCTAGCCCTTTTCGCGTCGATGCCCTTGCCCCGCAAATAGCTGTTGTGCGCGGACATGTGGACACTGTTTCCACCCGCCGTATCCTCGTCGACATCTAGGTATTCCCCGAGACTGGCCGCTAACGATTGGATGTAGCGGGGGAGACTCCTTCTGTGGGATGTTCCGGAGCCCGCGATGTGGCCGAATGTGAGACTGTTGCCGACGAACAGCACCCGGATGCGGGCGGTTTTCGTAGGCCCGGATGTTGGCGGTGCTCCTGCACTAGTGCCGTCGTCGTGGAAATAAAACCCAGAGCTGTACTTGTGCCGACAGCATCGCACCCGGCATTTCTCCCAGGTGGACCCTAGATTGCACTCGTGGTGGTGCAGGAAGACTTCATCCTGTCCGCACGCGGTGTTTTCCACGCCGGAGAACATGAACCCACAAGTTGCCCACGGGTGGCACACACCGCTTTCCGCCTCGCCCTGGTTGTCTCTTCTTTCCCAGTCGCATGACAAATCGCCGCTGTTGTCGGAAAATTCTTGTTCCCGGAACCGTCGGCTCCAACCACCGCCAATGATGCACTCCTTGGTGACTTTTTTGTACGACCAGACGTCGCAATTTTCGTATTCCGCACACTTCTATGGATTGCAAATGTGTCTGGGTCTACTGAAAATTTGTGATGCTAAAGAAGTTTATTGGATAAGATTGGCGCTCTCAAGTGCAGCCAAGCATCACAAGTATCACTGACGCCGTCTGATGCGTAGCACGCATGACAACCTGCGTTATTTGCAGGACGAAATAAAAGTAGCGCCTTTTTTGCTGGCCCTGCAACACAGATTTTTCAGGAATGCAAGACATGCAACACAAGTTCCACTTTTCCAGACCCAGACATTTTTGCAGTTGATAACTTCTCCCGACACCGCCGGTTTGTTGAAATGGAATACCCCGCGTCTTTATCCAATGCAAAAATGTCTGGGTCTGGAAGAATGCGACTTGTAATGCGTATTTCAGAACACAGAAAAGTCTCTCATGCATACGTAGCAAAAGCTTCCACTTTTTGTCAGCAAAATAGGGGACTTGTCATGCGGATTCGGCATTGCGGAAGGTTCTCGAAACCTGTCATGCTAGAGCTTCCATGCCAGACCTTCTGTGTCATGCAAAAGCAGCATGACTCTTCCAGACCCAGACATTTTTGCATTTCATAGTCTTTGAAGTTCCGTTCCCAGCAGGGTAAAGTTTTGTCATTCCTCCCGTTTTTATTTTTCAAGGAAAACGTGGCCCCGTCGATTTTGGTGAGAAACGCTTCGGGACACATGTCGTTTCTGGTTCGGGAGAAAGCGGCTGGACTAGTGATAGTGTTTGTGGAGGACGAGGAGGAGGTAGATAATGACTGAGCTGCTTCCTTCACTGTTGTTTTCCGGTGTTTTCTGGTCAACGTAGAAGTTGTACTAGCCACGACTGACGCTTGGCTTCTTCTGGCAGAGGTTTTCATCTGCAGCGCGCTGTCTGGACCTGGTTCTTCTTGTCTAGGTTCATCTCCTTCTCCTCTTCTCGAAGAAGCTACGGGCAGCTGCTTCGTGTTGGTGTTCATTCCTACAACATCTTCATTACTGCTGTGCGTGTGCAGCCTCTTCCGTGGTCTACTCGCGACAAACGAGGACGCTGCTGTGTCTCCTGTGCCGCTGTTCGTCGAAACAAGGGCACCATCATCATCTCGACCACGACCACCAGGTGGGTCCTCAACATGTTCCGGCGAAGTTGTGGCGCAACTTCTCCCACCTGCTAGAGTCGCTTTATTCTTCAGCAAGCGACCCCCGCCTTGTTCCGTACTGCTTGACAACGTCGGCGGTAGTATCTTGCGTTTTATTTGTATGACTTCGACAACGTCGCACCCAAACAATAACGTACCCAAAAATTTTTCAAAAAGGAATTACTACAACCCCTATGGTATACTAATAAACCAGCTAGTTAATATTTTAGATAGAGAATTAATGTAGCTATTTAAGCTCTATATAGTTGAAGCATCCACCACCAGAGAGTACGACCCAGTCGCTCTACGGCTTCGCCTCGGGACACAACGTCTGGCCGCAGCTCACTTGCCGGGCCTTTTTCGGCGACCGTCGTCGCCTGCCCGGGATTTGTTCGAACCATGAGAGAAGACCTGTGCAGCGCGAAGCCAGTGCTGGTGGCTTTTCCAGCGCGTGAAGAGGACCCAGCGCAAACATCTACGCCTCCGGCCAGCCAGCCGCGCGACCATCCTTTTTCTTTAACGGCCAAACGGGCGCCGCCTATGCACCACACATCAGGGGGTGCGGGGATGCCCTGCCGCGATCCCCTTCCAAAGGGAGTCGCGGTCGCTTTACTTTTCAACGCAATCCCGACGCTATGGCCAGTTTCCCACTCGCCGCCACAGGGGGGTCGCGAGGGGGGTAGGCGATCCCCCTCCGGCCAAGAAAGGCCGCAGGCTGCCAGAGGATAGGCGGATGCGCAATGGGATTATCCTGTGGCAGTGCTCCTGCAGGAAATCAGAGTACGCACAAGAAGGAGCAGCGGGGGCCCAAGAGCCTGTATGCGCTAGAGGGGGCTGCGAAACACTTCCATGCCCTCCGGTTTTTTGATTACCCACGGCCTCGCCCACGGGAAACGCTGAGAAATTGCTACGGTTTGACCAGTGCCCCCGGCCCCGATACGAGGCGAAGCCGTGAACCAGCTGGGTCGTACTCTCCGGCGGTGGATGCTTATTATAGCGGCATTAACTACATATACATTCAGTAACTATCTTAACAAAGTAGCTAGTTTCTGCACTAGATAGTTTGGGTTTCTATACTAAAAAAATTTTTTTTGGGTACGATATCGTTTGGGTACGTTGTCGAAGTCATAATTTGGAGGTCGTCGTCTCGGCCTAGGGTCCTCGTGGAGCCGGAGGTACTACTACCGGTAGTACTAGAGGTGTGCTTTTGTTCCTTCTTGTACTTCTTAGAGTTGTTCTTGTACCGCAGGCGCCGCACAAACGCGGCGTTCGTTGCGGCGTAGTTCAAAATTACAAATATCGTTGTCACGACACTGCTACGTCGTCGAAATGTAAATGAGTTTGCCTTGCCGCAAAAACTACGGGGGAAGGGGGCGCGTTCATGATCATTCTTGTTGTGGCAGGGCAGTCGCCGATCAAGATCATGTTCTTGTTCTTTAGAACCGCACATCGTGGCCGTGCTTGTCTTCGCGTTCGCTTGCGTCTGCTACGTAGTCTAGCAGAAACAATTAATTACCAGAACGAAGCCGAAATCAAAATTATTATTATATGCGTTGGTCCAAATAGTGCAAAAAAAACAAAATTCGTGTACCTGACATACAATCTGAAAAGAAGGTTAACATTGAAGACCTGTATGTAAGATGGACCACATGCACAACTTTGATTGATTCGCGGATTTCGCTTTCGATGTGAAGAACAAGTTCTGAACGAAAATTAGAGGCACGTAAAGGAGACGAACTTTTGTTGAACCTTGAACGATTTTTCGGACGATACAAGAGTTATTGGCTTTGCACGACAAAAAAAATCACCGGAACGACAGGACGACATTGAAAGCTAGCTACTGCAACGACGGAATTGGACGATGACGAAAAAGTACAAAGCACAGATAAAATTCATGCCTGCTCAGGACGCGCTTGACCAGCTTGTAAACCCTTTTCGCCAAATCCATGTCCATTTTCTCCTTCGCGGAGTCGGACACGGTGGCGTAAATTTCCTTCATCGCCTTCCCCTGCACTAGCCCAGACGGGATCCAGCAGGTGACCTTACTAGCTACCCCGCATAGTTTGTCGTCACAACACTCCTTCTCCAGGTCCTTTTTCAACACAACAGCCACCCTATGAATTGCAAAAGTATCGTACTAGTAGTAATTGCAATACAAATTCGCTCACTGATGTGCCTTGGGAGCCAGATTATGTAATGCATGAATGCGATTACTACGAGTACGATACGTTTGCACGGGATACACCCACATACGAGGACCTGGTAGTGGAGACGGTACCTGCCGAGACCCTGCACGGGCCTGCAAAGAGACGTCGTTTATTTCGGAGTACAGTTTTTTTGCAGTAATCGACCGTCGGTCTTCTACTGGTCGGTTCCTGCAAAGAGAGGAGTACTTCTCTAAAATATCGGTTCCGCAAATTAGAGTTTATTTAGGAGAAGACGGCTCCGCAAAGTTTAATCCTCGGAGTACAGTCTTCTACTGGTACCGGAGTACTCCACTGCCGAGACGGTTTTATTTGGAGGGTCTCGACCGAAACTTGCACGGGGGTCGTGGAGCCGGTACTACTACTACCGGTAGTACTAGACTAGAGCTTTAACACCCGTTAGCATGAGAAGTGGTGAATTTGTAGTGAATTTTGCATGCCAAATTGCAGATGAGCCCGCCGGGACATTGTCCCTCTTGGCCCTGTTCTGGGATGAAGTAGAAGGCCCTGGCGCACCGCGCAGCAGCCGCGGGCTTTTGTGCAGTGGGCAGCCAGAGGACATGGCCCGGGCGCCGTTCTTTGGGCAGATTTTTGCGCCTCCCCGTTCTCGCAGAAGAGCACTGCAGCAGCCGCGGCAAAGACGCCAGAAATAAAGGCTGCGAAGCGCATACAACTAAGCAAGAAGGACGGCAAGGACGAAAGGACCCGGCCGAGAGCTTTGAAGCATTTTTCTGGCAGGCGCGTGAAATCTTGCGGCATTTTCAGCAGAATACAGACGCGGTTAGGGCAGCAGAGGACTCCGCTTTTTCCCCCTTTGCGTTCCTTCTCATGGCCTATCTGTGCACTTTTTTGAGCACTTTTCTGCGCTAAAGTTTGCTTATCACGGTCGAAAAGGGGCGCCCGGTGAATTTTGGGGTGAATTTTGAAAAGGGCGCCGGTGAGTTTTGGCCTCCGGCTCCTTTTCAAAATTCGCTAGCGCGTGAGAAACTCCGGGTTTTGGGGCTTCCAAAAAGTTTAACAAAAAGAAAAAGCCCGAAAATTCACCAAGAGAATTCCTGACCTGGGGGTCACGTCAAAGAAGACTACTAGAGGAACCGACCAAGATGAGGCAGGAACACAGCTGGGAAGAGGTTACTTACAGAGCAAAGCAGGCGATGCTAGCATCCGTAGTAACCTGTCTCCAGATAAGTATCCAAGCCGAGGCAGCCACAACCCGCGACGCGACTTCTCTACTTTGACATGTTGAGCTAGTACCTTTGACCCCCTTTTCAGGCATGACCCTCGTCCCGGTCGATCCGCCACTATCGGGTCGTCGTCTCGGCCTAGGGTCGTGGAGCCGGTACTACTACTACCGGTAGTACTAGGGGTGTGCTTTTGTTCCTTGTTGTACTTCGAGTTGTTCTTGTGCCGCAGGTGCCGCACAAACGCGAAGGAATAGGAACACCAGGTGAGGTCGTTCGCAGCGTGCAAAATTACAAATATCGTTGACGTTCTTGTGACGACACTGCTACGACGTCGTCGAAATGAGTTTGGCTTGCCGCAGAAACTACCACGCAAGGGGGCGCGTCGATCATTCTTGTTGTGGCCGGGCAGTCGCCAATGTTCTTGTTCCTGATCGCACTCGTATAAATGCATGACAAATTCCGCTAGCATGAGGGTAATGCAGATTTACCTTGAGAAAAAAATCTGTAATGCATGATTGCAATACGAGTACGATACTTTTGCACAGGATACCGGGCGGTGCGCGTGCACCATGTGGGCAACGATGATTGCATCGGGGTACTGCCGTTGGTAGAATTCCACGGAAGACTGGAAAAAATGCTCTCCGTGCGCCGTATACCCGACCGTTCTGGTTTCGTCCTGCAAGCTGATGATATCGTACCGTTTATTGACGTACTCTTCCCTCGGAAACTGCAGATCATTCGCCAAACCCCAATCCTTCAAACTCCCGTCCACTCCCAGTCCCTTCTGCGGGCAGCCGAGCGCCTGCGATCGCGTGCAGCTATCCTCGACCAACTCGTTCGGGCCAAATTCGCATTTTTTGAATTCGAGTAATTCCGGGCTTCGCCGCCGGCTGCCGTTCCCCGCTGCCTCCCGCCGCCTCCTCCGGTTTGTCGGGTGCTCCGACCTTCCGAACTTCGCCTCCAAATAACAAGTATGCGCGCGCATGTGAACGGACGTGCCGCCCGAAGTGTCTTCGTCCACGTCGAGGCGTTCTGGCGTCGCTAAACTCCACGCCAAATACTTCACGTACTTCGCCAAGGCCTTCCGGTCTGTTTCTTTTTTGTTCTTGTCTAGTTTCCCGAAGGTGACGGAGTTCCCCACGAACAAAACCCGGGTGCGTTGCGTTTTCGTCTTCAACGAAAAGTCGTGAATATGGGGTAGAGGTCGGTCAAATTCAAAATCTGGATCCGTCGTAGATTTGCAACATTTCTCCCTACAGTTTTCCCAACTGCTCCCGCGGTCACATTCGTGCTTCGGAAGAAACACTTCGTTATGTTCATGAAACAGAAACCCGCAGGTAAACCAGGGATGGCACAGACCCGCCATGACTTTTGGCCACAGCGTTTTTTCATCTTCGTGGTTCGAAGTTTCGTGTCTTACCCAGGGACAGGGCGGTGGGTTCAGCACCTGTTTGCTGTTCCACCTTGGGGAGAACCCACCACCGATGCGGCAAATCGCATTTTCCGCCTCTGCTCCTGGTTCGTAATACGTCCACATCTCACAATTCGCGTACTCGGAGCAGATTTGCATGCACTCCCGGTTACCGAAGGTTCTGCCGAATTCGGTAGCGCTCACGTCGCTGGTCTGGGAAAAGGTTTTGGACCAACAAGTTAAATCCTTCGAGTCGGTGGTGCCTTCTCCAAGATCGGTGTAGGAAGCAGCATCCCCGTCTTCCGCGAACTGGAAGCCAACGCCGTCGATTTTCGTGAGAAACGCCTGGGGGCACTTGTCATTCATCAAACGGTCGACGACACCGTAGGCGGAGTAGGGGGATTTATTCGAGTTTATTCTGATTTGCTCTTTCGATTGATGTAGTTCAGCATGCTCGTGCTCTGTCGTTTTCCTTTTCATCCTCGCAGCGTTCTTTTTGTGCAAAAGTGAAGACGTGGCAGTTTTGATGTCCCGCTGGGTGGTCTCTTCTTCTACCTGCGGGTCGGATGAATCTTCGACGTCCCGCCGAGAGTATGAGTAATGCCTCTGCCCGTGATGGTGGTTCTTCTCGACGGTCGTGGGAAGAACAGCGCCATGATCTCCATCCTCATCAGAGGAAGACGGGTCTTCATCGTGGTCCTGCTCTCGTGGAGGTCCGGCTTGGAGAAAGGAATGACGCTTTTGATCTTCATTTTTCGTAGACGAATCTACGCGATTCCGGTCCCACCTGTCTTTATTCCGCAAGAAAGACGAAGACGAAGTGGAGGCACTGAGGCTACTTGCGCCCTGGCCTTGACGTGGTCGCTGTACTACAGTTACAGGATTATCTGCTAATACCTGCTCACGTCGTCGCTTCAAAAACGTGGATCGCAAGTTGCCGCGCTGCGCTGCTGCGGTGCCACAATGCCAGGCCAAATTTGTCAGTGCAAAAATCCTTGTCACGACCGCCCACGTCTTGCGCGTGCAGCGAAGAACAGCAGATGCTGCACGAAGATCGGTCATACTTGTGAATGTAAAAATCGTATGCAGCTGTGGCTGTCAAAAAGTTGAAGTTCGATAAGCTTAGCTTCTACTTCATGTAACAGAAACAAAATGAATATGATGAGGACAACTGACCCTGTCAGGGGGTCTCGAAAGATAAAATATTAAGTTTTCTCTGTTGATATCAATTGATATCAAATGATATCAAAAGATATCACAGAGAAAGTTGAAAGCAAAACAGAGAAAAGTGTAAACAAGAAACAGAAACATAAACAGAATGAGAAGAAACAAAAACAAACATAAGCAAAAACATAAAGGATACACATATAAAAACAAACAGAAATGGCTGCTTGCGCATCACAAACTGCCATTTCTGCACAGAAATACCTGTCGCGGCCTCTGAGTTTTCTCTGTGGCGAGAGGAGTTTTCTCTGTGATACAGAGAAAACTTCCCTCCCACAGAGAAAAGTCGACCTTTGCCGAGGGCCGGCATTTCTACTGGAAATCAGAGTAGAAACGCCAGGAGGTCTGGAATTCCTACCGAAAATCCAAGAAGAAGTGCCAGCCTGGCGGAAATCCAGGTAGAAAAAATGCCAGGAGGCCCCCCCCTGGCATTCCTACCGAAAGTCCAGGTAGGTAGAAACGCCAGGAGGGCTGGCAATTCTACTGGAAATCAAGCTAGAAGCGCAAGCGCCATGGCATTCGTGCCAGAGATCGAAGATCCCTACAGGAAATTTAAGTAGAAATGCCAGCAGGCCTGGCATTCCTACAGGAAATCGAAGCAGAAATACCAGGAGGTCTGGCATTCCTACAGGGAATCCAGGCAGAAATACCACCTCAGCCGGCATTTCTACTGGGAATCAAGGCAGAAATGCAAGGCCCAGCATTTCTACTGAGAGAGAATCAAGGTAGGCAGAAAGGCCCGAGCCGGCATCCTCGCCCGGAATCCAGGTAGAAATGCCTCGGCCGGCATTAGGGTACCCGCATCGCGCGCGCAGCGCGCGCGAAGAATTATTTCGCATGGCCTACGGCGACACAGGCAGCCGCTTTTGCTTCCTTTGAAGGGCGTGGGTGGGAGCGCGCATGGACATGGGACATGCGCGACAACGCAAATTGCTTCTAATCCTGGAAAGGATTAGACAGGCGCGCGGCGCGCGCCGGCAAAATTGCAAAACCCAACAGGAGCTCGAAGGAGAAACACTGTACCGGGCCCGGCATTCTTGAAAAGCTCCGCCCTAGCACAAACGGGCCTGCCCTACCCCTAAGCAACCAGAAACCATATTAACTCGCGCGCGCAGCGCGCGCGGAGTTTTTTCTCGGCTTCCGGCTCCGAATCCGGTTCCCAGACAGTTTTTGCCGTCCGCCACTTCCCGGGCGGGGCCGTAGCAACAAAAAGCGCGCGAACCTAAAAAAACTTTTGCAACCCAGACGAGAACGAGAAGCGCCCCAAATGGGAATCCGGGGGGCTTTTTCGTGTTTGATTTTTCTATCGGCAAGAAAAGCCAAGGCGGGGCGGGTAGGCCGGCCCGGCGGACGGAGGGCGGGCCCCAGCAGAAAAAGTTACCCGCCGAAACCGCGCGCGAAGCGCGCGGACTAATTTTTTCGGCCAATAGCGGCGATGTCCCGGCCCTGCACGCAGGACACACGCAGCCCGCCAGGAATTTGCGCACGCGCGGGCCTGCGCGCTTGCTGCCACACGCCTGCACGTCGCGCGCCCCCAATAGCCTGAAGGCGCCGCCGCGCGCTTTTGTGGTTGCACACCCCGGCGAAGCCTAGCGGCCCTGTGGATGCACGTGCGCCGCCTCGGCCAACCCTTCCACAGCACCACACGGACTAGCTTCATTCAAAGGCGTGAAGGAACTCCGCGCCTACGTATTGAAGCCGCAAAGCAGCCACGGATGCCGCTCGGCGCGGAGTTTTTCCAAAAACAATAAAACGCACGCCGGCCGACCGCGCGAGGGTAGGCGTGCAGAAGCTGCGCCAGTGTCTCGCGTGCAGGTTAGTTCTGCGACCATGTTCACCGCGGGAAGTTTTCTCTGCACGACGGAAGTTTTTTATGTGTTGCGAAGTTTTCTCTGTGCGGGTTGGACTTTTCTCTGTCGGTTGATTTTTTATTTTTTTTTTCTAGACCCGTCAGGAACTGCAGAAAAAAACAACACCTCAACTGCGCCGAAAGTTCGTGCGTCAAGTCTACTGTAGCTTTTATTTACTAGGGTACTAGCTGAGTTATGTCTGAATGGTCTGGAGCACGCAGGCTAAGAAGCTGGTTATGGTTTAGAACTATGTCATCGGACGAAGCACGAGTAAATGAAATGTCAACGATGAGACGATCTTGAAGACGACTGAGTTTTTTTGCGAAATGTTTGCACTGCCACTGCACCCGGGAAGTGACTACGATTGTTATATTGTGTTGATATCACGGAACCGACAATTTGGTATCGTGGCAACTACGCCAACGCGACCACATAAAAAACCTTGCATTCAGTTTCAGATTCAATTCACGATGGTCGCGCATAGCAGTATTAAACAACGAATATCTTGTAGTTCTGACGATCTAGTACTACGACCCACTACTTCGAGAAGCTGAGAGAATAGACGTGGTTTATTTTGGAGGCCGTTCTTGTTGAGGCCGGGAGATGAACGGCCGCTGCTTGATGTTGCGTCGTATTTTTCGCATGATCCTTCGTTCTTTTAGCAGCTCTAGTACCAAGCTCTTTTCAGTCACTCCTTCAGCATCAAGCACACCATATTGATTCCTCCATTGAAAAAAAGGTTTGCCAGGTTCTTTTGACGTGCTAGAATGCAGTTCTTCGAGTTCGAGGTAATATCCGTAGAGGATAATAACTGCTGAAAAATATTTCGAATGTACTAGTGTTCAAGCTCATCAAGGGCTTTCTTGGAAATTGTATCAGAGTACCACATAATTCTACCATTGCCAATTTCGATTTAGAGCGGCCTGCTATTTCTCACCAGTATAGCAAAGTCTGACAGCACGACTAAAATTTGAATTTCAATTTGAATTTGGATATTAGTGTTGTAATTTTCTGCTTGCTTCACCAAGGAAGCTGCGAAGCCACCTCGTCATCTCACTTCTTCTTCATCTGCTTCCTCGTAATTCTTTCCTGCGGGCGTTTTTCCGGTAAAGGATTCTCGACACCGGCTTTCTCTTTCATCGAAGCTGTGTCCTCGTGGTCTTTCTCCGGCGGAAATTTGTGGACCCAAGCCGGAGCCGTGTTGTGGGAAGAAGTTCGCGAGAGGTTGGTGATAACGCCGTTATTTCCGTTACTAACCGAACTCTGATCTACAGGCGACGCTCTGCTCGACCCCGCGCCACCACCCCCACGGCCTAACGAAACCCGCATGATCCTCCCTGCACCGGGAGTCGTCACTCCTGAAGGGTGGTGTGGTTGATGGTGATCGCGCCCTGGCAGATGCGAAGTCTCATGCTGTTGCTGATTGTTCTCCCGGTAGTGATTCGACTCCCTCGTTTCCGTGCTGTCCAGCAAGTTCGACAACTTGCTCTTGCTTACCACCCCCGGCACCGCCCGCGCCTGCAGCGCGTCTAACTGCTCCCGAATCATCTGGTCGGGGATAGAGGTTTGGAAATTCTTGTCTACTTGATGATGTTGTTGCCCGGAGTTGTAACGGTAACCACGACGATAGTTGTGATGTAGTTCTGGTGAACTATACCCTGGGGAAGAAGCGGAAGACGAGGGAGATAGTTTGATGTGCGCTTGATAGTCCTCCAAGTTCCTTCTCTTCTCAACATCGTCAAACGGTGAAGGGGCTACTGACGATGAAGCGACGGAGGACCCGCCTCGTTTCTCCGGGTAGAACAGCATCGTGTTATCAGAGCCAACGGTTCCACCCAGCGGACCAGCGGCGCCACTGCCACTTTGTCGTTGCTGTTCTGCCAATCTCCGGTCGATGTTGGCCTGCATGCGGGTTAAGAGGTCCATGTGGCTTGTTCGTGGTTTTGAAGATGCTGTGGACTTCCTCGTGTTACTAGTACTAGCTCTTGCCGATTTGTTCCTACCCCCAGAAGAGGATCTTCTTGGACTCGGTTTCTTGTTCGCAGTAACACTTTGCCGACTGACACGAGACGGGGAAGAACTCTTTTTCAGATCCGGACTGCCCGTTGTCTTTTTTTGTTCAAATCTGCTCTTCAAATCGGAAACGCTTGGGGACTTCACCGTTTCTCGTTTTTGTTCCTGCTGCTGCTGCTGATTCGTCGACGACGCAGAGAGACTTGCCGATCCTGAGGAGCTACTGCTCTTCCGAGCGCTACTCCGTGGCCCCGTTCCCCGTTTTTTCAGCTGCACCTCCTTCCCGACAAAGTCGAAGACGGTTGAGACGGGTTTGATTTGTTCTCTACTATTTTGATTTCCTTCTTTCATCTCTTTCGAGCTTGAACTTGATCTTCTATTTTCCTTCACATAAACATCTTCTGGCTTCAAACTTGGCCGGCTCAAACTCTGCCGGTTCTGCACGATCTGTTGCCTCTCGCTGGCACTGAGACTTTCAAAACTTCCCGTCATCGAACTCGTTGCTCCTGCAGCACTCCCCTCTGGTTGTCCTACTCCTATCCTGTTGATCGTCGTGATTTCGAACTTGCCCTTCGGCAGTTGCTTGATCGCCGTCCCCCGTGCGAACTGGGAGACTTCTCGCAACAATTGCGACACCGTTCCTAGCCTGTCGATCACTTCCGATTCCAACCCGGTGATAGGTCGTAGTTCCAGATCCACCGCCTTCCGGAAGTGGAAGGAAATGAAACCGAAGGCGTGGACTAGCACCGCCTCGTGCGTATCCTGCACTTGCGGTAAGTGGAGTTTCTTCACTTTCTGACTGGAACCGAATGATCCTTTGGACGAGGACTTCCTTGAGGTTCCGAAGTCATCGTTCGCGCCATCACCATTACCCCCGTAGAAACTCGAAGCAGTTTCGATTAAATACCGGATCGCGGTTATGACAGTGCACAACTCCCCCTCCCCCTCATTTGTCTTGCATGAGCAGCAATACAAACGCCCGCACGTGTGGAGCTTGTGCATGGCAAGTTCATGCGCGTAATGTAGTACTGTTTGGGCTTCCGGAATTTGTCATGCAAACAGTGCCACATCAAGGCAGCGACTGGATTTGAGGCTTTGCATGACAAATCAGGGGGAGGGGGAGTTGTGCACTGTCATAGCGGTGTGCTTCACGTGGGCGGCACAGGAATTCAAAACCTCGGTGTATTGAAAGGAAAAATCCCCCCTCCCCATATCGAAAAGGTATGATTTCGAAAATTTGTATTGCTGATCTGAGGCCACAAATCATATGTATCTTGCAAGAAGACGAGGGCAGGAGTTTTCGCCCCATTATGAAGGCGATCTGTCATGCTGTTGGACCTAAAGGGGAGCCGTTTGCCATGCTGAGCAACTAGACACATACGCCCCTATCTAGCCTCGCGATCTGCCCGCAATGCCTCTCTACAATACAAAGCTGATTTGTGTACGCAAATCCAGCATCAGAAACTTCCTTTTGATATGGGGAGGTGGGATTTTTCGTCTCAATACGGTGAGTAGAAAAACCTCCGGGAAAACATCGGATGGCGGTTTGATGTTATCCTGGTTTATCGTTGTGTTTTCGCTGTGCGCATCCTGCAACTTCTGGTAAAGCATGGGATTTTGGATAAACTGCTCCGATTTCCCGACTTCACAGGCGTAGGTTGCGGCGCGTAAAATGATGATCAGATCCTGCACGTGGTATAGAAATTCCGGGCTGGCCTCCTGCAGGTAGTCGCAATACTCCTTCCGGGTCTCCTTACTGTCCTGTTTCTGCGTCTCTCCCTCCGCGTAAGCGACAAACAAGTCGGAAACTAGACCGGCGAGATCCTGCGCGTTTTCCAAAATGTTGGATGCTGTGATTTGCTTGATGGTGCTATTGCTTCTTGTACCGCCACTACTACTAGTAGTCCCGTTGTCATTCGCAACCCTATCCGGTACCGCGTAGGTGAGAACCCGCTGCAATTTGCTCCACTCTGTCATCTTCACGGCGTTTGTTTCTTGCTCAAAATCCATCGCCCGGACAAAGTATGCCTCGCGGGAGTAGTCTTGGACCAAATTCTGGAAATTCACCAAGTTCTTCTGGATCGTCTGCGGTTGGTTCGCGGTCTGGGGAAAGCTCTGCGCGTAAAACTCGGCCGGGGTTCCGTTTAAGTGGTATCTAATGTCGAGCAAGGACTCGTGCAGCTCTTCCAAAGACGTCTCTAACCCCTCGTCGAAGTGGTGTGTTGCGGAGTTCACATGGGAGAGGCAGACAATGGTTCTCGTGACGGGGTTCGTGGTAGAAGTGTAGACTCTCTCGATGTAGACGAATTCGCCACGAGGGATCAATAGTCCTTGGCTGTTGTCGACGGAATGTAAATCTTTTTCCAAAATCCCGTACACACCTGACATTATCTTCGGCTGCGCGCCCGTCACGAAATTCTTCTCCACTTCCACCTGATTTTTCGCCGACCCGTAGAAAACGTTGAAAATCTCCCGGTAAAGCTGCAAAGCCCGCCAGAATTTCAGCAGCTCTAACGTTACCCCCGATTGTTTCTGCGCGAGGTTGAGGAGGGAAAGTTGGGAGGGCTGGTCGTGGCGTGCTTTCATCACTTTCGCTAGAGAAGAAGCTGTTGAGCCGCCGCGTGCGTCGGGCGAGGAAGCTCTATTGTAGTTCCCGTCTTCTTGACTGGCGCCAATAGCGAATTTGTTGCTGCTTTTAATCGCCTGAGACGGCGAAGCCGGCTCGTTTCTACTTCTTTCTACACTCGTACTACCTCTTCTGTTCGGCGAAACCGGTGACACACTTCTCGACCCAGCGTTATCTTCTCGCCCGAACTGATCCAGACTATCTTTGCTTCCGTCCAAGACCGACACGTGCGGATCTGTAGAGGACAACATTCCTTGCGTAGAAGTTCCGCCCATATCCACCTGCTTCGCGGCGTTCTTTATCGCGAAAATCTGGCTCAATTCCGACGTCGGGGCGATAAACCCTCTTCCTCTCTTCCCGTGCACCTCCTCGTCGTGCGCGTGGATTTCGTGAATGGCTTGCTTCTTCAGCTTTTTCTGAATCGCGTCTTTTTCATGCTTCTCTAACAAAGCGAATTTATCCAGCTGCAAGTCCTCAACATTCCCGCCGGTACTAGTCGACTTGTTCGTGTTTGTCCCGAGCAAGTCCATTTCCGCAGCTTGCGATAAATCAATGTCGTCGAAACTCTTCGCGTTCACGTTGTGCAGGTCCATGATAGAAGATTTTGCCGTGGATCTTGGGTTGTTGTTCGACGTTCCAGTTGCAGTCGTTGACACCGTACCAAATGGGTAAGAAGAACTCTTCCCTTCCTCCTGCTCTTTTGTCACGACCTTCTGCATCACTTTCTCTAATAATTTCGGCTTCGTTTCGAGAAAATTTTGCAAATTCTTCGGTAGGTTCAACACCTTCCCGTCTCGGATCTGCTTCGCGTATTCGGAAATTAAGGTCTGGTAGGTTTCCGGATCCGTTTGTTGCTGTTCCTTCATGGTCCCAGCGAGGAAACCCTGCAAGAGAAGTTCCAAATCGTTCTGTAACTGTTCCTCTTCCGATTTTTCCACCGTTAATCTGATTCCCGTGTTTTCGTGCACAAAGTCGGCGCCGATTTTTGCGCGGGAGTTCGGGGATAAGGGGCTTGATACGCCGTTATCGGGTCCTCCGACAAGATCTTGCGCCACCTTAGTCGGGCTGAGATTCGTACTCCTGATTCGCTTGTTGGTGATCGTGTTTCGGTCCGTGATGGAAAGACCGCCAGTACTTGAAGATGCTCTTGCTCCCCCGCGGCCGGGTCCTGCAGATGAAGAAGATGAAGCAGCCGCATCTCCCTTCCCCACGTGATGCCCCCGCACCAAATTCAACAAAGCCATCCCCTCGGCGACGGAGTTGATCTGCGTGACATCGTCGGGTGAGGCGGGTTTGATGTCCACGGTGTTCTCTTGGTTGGAGAGATGTTGCAAGCTCATGTTGAACATACGGGATTCCTTGTTCGCGTGGAGGTGGTGCAGTTTGTGCTTGTTTTCTACTTCGTCGTCGTGCTTGTCATGCGCAGAATTAACACCACCCCCAGGACTCCTACTCGTCGGCGACAACGATCCACCGCCCCGGGAGGCAGACATCATATTACAATGAAAAATGCCCCCAACCCCGAAATTGAAAGCATTTGTATTGCAAACCTTTCCAAATGAAACATTCGCCCTCTTGCATTTATCAGCATCACAGATTTCCGATCGCGAATAGCAAAACTTTGTATTGCAAAAGATCCCAGCAAGAGCGGTGCTTGTCATGCAAGCGATGCGAAACACGACTAGACTCTACATCAGAAAGATTTATACTCCTTTCATGCATGACAAAAAGTTCTCATTTGGAAACTTCGCATCACAAATTTTTGCAACTTTGGGGGTGGGTGGCACTTTTCACTGTAATACATCATCAGCTCCCTTCTCACCTGCCCCTCCCGCTCCCCGGTCGCAGCGGCCGTGGTCGCGGACAAAACATCTTGGAGATAAGCGCACTTCGTTGCGAGCTGATTCCGATCCTCGGAAATCTCCTCGCACAGTTTTTTCCACGACTCCGACTCCAATTTCTGTGACTGGGTTAAATCGTCAAACTGAATTTCGTACTTCTGCTTCTTCGCGAAACTCGACCACAGCAGAAACACGGTGACCATCAAGTAGTGGTTTTTTTGACTCGAAAACCGGTTCGTCGCGTAGTAGTGGAGTAACGCCATAGAACTATTCTGCATCTTACAAACCTGGCGCCAGTTCGTGAAATAGGTGTCTTTACTGTTCAGCATTCTGCAGTGGTCCAGTTGCATCGCCAGCTGCGACCGCAAATACTTCGCTTCCCGTCGTTTCTGCACCCGGACTTGCCAGTTAAAGTACAGCTCCTCTACGTAACCGCACATCCTTTCAATCACGTTTTTCCGGTACAGTTATGAACTGCACAAGTATCGAGTACTCGTATTAAATTGCAACACAAAAAATTTTTACCTCAGCACGACAAACGGAATTTGTCATGCTGCTTTAACTTGAAAATGAAATTTGTCTTGCATGACGGCGATTAGTACGAGTTGTACGATGCTTTTGCACAGGATAACAATTGCGTCATCGCGATTTCCAACCGTTTGTTGGATTTTTTCAACTCCTGCTTATACGCAGTGTATATCAACTGCAAATATGTCTGGGTCTGCAAGGCTGCAACTTGTAATGCTGTCTCTGGATTCTGAAAAAAGTTGCATTGCATGACCAGCAAAAGGACTCCAGTTTGTGCTACGCGGAGAAAACCTCTCTCATGCGGTAGAGGTATCAGTCACAAAGCGCTCCAAAATAAAATCTGTGATGCTACGGCATGCATCACAGAGATAGATTGGTCATGGAAAATATGCATGACAAACAAGGTCATGGCGCGGGGACAGAGTCCCCGCGCTGCGACCTTGCGGCGAAGAAGGGCCACCCGCGGTGGCTTTTCTTGCCCATGATGCGGCAGGTTTTTTTTTTGCATGCGACAGAACGGGGTGGCTTGGCGCTCGTGGTGCCGGCGCCCCCCCTGGAAAAATGCGCCTTTTTCTGCGCCCCTGGGCGGGGCGCCCCCCCCAAAGGACTACCCACGACCAACCGAGGGCGCGGCCGTCCGGGTGGTTGTTCTCCCGAACCAGGGCGCGCGGGCCTGTTTCTGCGCCCCTGGGCGGGGCGCCCCCCCAAAGGACTACCCAAGACCAACCGGGCGGGGCGCGGCCTTACCAGGGAGCGTGGACCTGTTTCTGCGCCCCTGGGCGGGGCGCCCCCCCCAAAGGACTACCCACGACCAACCGAGGGCGCGGTCGTCCTGGAGGCTGTTCTCCCGAACCAGGGCGCGCGGGCCTGTCTCTGCGCCCCTGGCTTGGCGGGGCGCCCCCCCCCCCCAAAGGACTACCCAAGCCCAACCGGGGGCGCGGCCTTACCAGGGCGCGTGGACCTGTTTCTATCTGCGCCCCTGGGCGCGGCGCCCCCCCCCCCAAAGGACCACCCACGACCAACCGAGGGCGCGGCCTTCCTGGAGCCTGTTCTCCCGAACCAGGGTGGGCGCGCGGACCTGTTTCTGCGCCCCTGGGCGGGGCGCCCCCCCCAAAGGACTACCCACGACCAACCGAGGGCGCGGCCTTCCTGGAGCCTGTTCTCCCGAACCAGGGTGGGCGCGCGGACCTGTTTCTGCGCCCCTGGGCGGGGCGCCCCCCCCAAAGGACTACCCACGACCAACCGAGGGCGCGGCCTTCCTGGAGCCTGTTCTCCCGAACCAGGGGGGGCGCGCGGACCTGCTTCTGCGCCCCTGGGCGGGGCGCCCCCCCCAAAGGACTACCCACGACCATGCGAGGTTGGCGCGGCCACCTTCCTGGAGCCTGTTCTCCCGAACCAGGGCGCGCAGACCTGTTTCTGCGCCCCTGGGCGGGGCGCCCCCCCAACAGGACTACCCACGACCAAGTGAGGGGGGGCGCGGCCTTCCTGGGGGCTGTTAGTTCGCTTCGCACTCCCGAATCAGGCCGAGCGGACCTGTTTCTGCGCCCCTGGGCGGGGCGCCCCCCCCCCCAATGAATAGGCAGCCAACCTTTGGCCCCCGGGGTCGGGCCTGACTCTTGAAAAGCGGCCCCCGGGGTCGGGTATTCCTTTTCCGAAGTCAGGTGGGGGGCATGTTTTGAGTTGTGCAGGAGGTTTTTGCCGATTCGGGTCGTGTTTGATACCCCGGAACAGGGGTCGGAACATACCCCGGAACATACCCCAGAACACACCCCCAAACATACCCCAGACCATACCCCGGAACTCACTTTCCGACAGTCAGGCTCGGGGTCGAAGCTGACTCGCGAAAAGTGATGTCCGGGGTCGGGCGTCACTTTTCCAGAGTCAGGTGTGGGGTATGTTTTGGGGGGTGCATGAGGAAATGGCCGTGTTAGCTCGTGATTGATACCCCGGAACATGGGTCGGAACATACCCCGGAACACCCCCCGAAAACTCATTTTTGGGCAGTTGCTGCAGTTTAAATAGTAATCTGGAAATCTTCCAGACCCAGACAAATTTGCAATGCATAGTGTACAGCTCGTGGAGGGTGAAATGCGTGTTCGTCGCGTCCTTGTCCAGCTGAAGCCAGGAGTCTTTGAAAAGATTCAGGATTTGCTCCAACTGTTGCACCAACAGATTGATTTTCAAGTCGTGCTGCTCGGATGGTGTAGTTGCTGATGTTGGGGATTGTAGCCTGGTTGTGCTTATTGTTCCTGGCGAAGATCCACGAAGATGCTCCATCCCTGTGGTTGAAATCTGCCTCAGCAAATCCAGTATCTGCATCGACTCGTCTAACTTTGGTAAAACCACATCAATCATCCTCGACGTCTCCGCTTGCGGCACGGATTGGTCGTCTTGTTCGATCCCGCCAGAAATCGTTCCCTTCTGCAGCATCTGCTGGTGTTTGTTCAGAACGTGGTTTAGGTGGATGACGGATTTGCGGGACAGCGCGTTCGGAGGAATTTTCAATGGGTGCTCTACTTCTTGGCCGGGTGGAGGTGCGGCTCGTGGTTGTTGTCCTTGTCCTTGTCCTGCGGAAGTAGTTGTAGATGGTGCCGCTTTGGTTTTGGACGCCGGCTGCTTCTGCTGAACAAACTTGTTCCCGCCTGGTGCAGCTGGCGAAGGGGTCGTGATCATCTTGAATTGATACTCCACAGGAGCACTACTAGAACCTCCGGGACTCGAACCTCCGCTGGAAATAAGCCCACTTTTTTTCGACCTCGACGGCGGCTCCGCAAAAAACGCAAACGGCCTGGTATTCGATGACAAAACTGGACTCACACCCACTCCAGAAAACTGCGCTTCCTTCAAATCCCGGATGAATTTCATGGTTTCCTCCTCGGAAAACCGGGCGGATCGGTGCATTTCCCCCATCTTCACCAATTCGTGTTGGTGGTCGGGGATGGGGTGGAAGCTGGAAAGATATGCATTGCAAAAGTATGATCGTACTGGTACTAATTGCAGCCCTGCATTACAAATCTCTTTCCTAAGGGAAATCCGCATTACAAAGTCCGTTTGTCATGGTCATGAAGCAGGTCCGTCAGGAAATTTGTCATGCGATTTGTAGTACTAGTACGCTGCTTTTGCAATGCATAAGAGGGAGTGGTTATCGGAGGAAGAAGACGATCTTTCGAAATCCTTCGCCAAATCTCGATCCAAAGCCTCCTGCATCTCGCGCTCGCTGCGGAAGAGGAATGCTTGGTTGTTATTCGCGTTGTAAAAATTTGGCGGCTTCGGTTTATTGTTCTTTGCAGGACCACCTGCTCCTGTGCTGGTTCTACTGATGCGGTGGCCCCGGCCTGCTGCAGCTTTTGCGGTAGACGAAGACGATGAAGATCCACCACGACTTGCTTTCCCGTAGTTCACAATCATGTGGTCGTTTACTTCTCCCTGACTCATCCCTTCCCCGAAGGATATGTCGTCAATCATCTCTGCTTCGGGAATCGGGTTCATCAAGACCGATTTTTTCGCATCGCCATCCCGCAGCTTCACGGCCTGTTTAAACGCAAGAGAACTCGGGTCCGCGTCTAACTCATTTGCCAAACAACTATCAAGGTCGTCCCCTTCATCGTCTTCAATGTCGTCAACTAGGAAATCATCTAAGAATTCCGCGTTGTTACCGATGAAGTTATCCAAATTCAACATCGTGTTCGCCGGGTCCGCTATCTTCAACTTCTTGTTTAGTCGGAGTTTCTTCTTCCCATCCGCTGTCAACATGCTGTTCGCCACGTCCAAATCCCAATCGAGCAAATGCCGTGCGTCCTCGTGGTTCCCGAAGCTGGGGAGGTTTTCGATGTCGAGGTCGAGTCTCCTTTGCCGTGTTCTTTCGTGTTTGTCTAGCAGTTATGCATTGCAAAAGTATCCTACGCTACCGTAACCGTACTAGTAGCGATTGCATTACAGGTTCCTACTTGTACTTGTCGAGCAGGAGAAATCGAGTTTGTTATGCAGAGTCAGGTCGAGCACAAGATCTGTCATGCATGACTGCAATCAGACAGAAGTACGAGCACGATATTACTTTTGCAGAGCTTAGGAGTGTGCTCGGGTCCGCGTGTTCTTCCTCCATCAATTTTCTTTCCTCAATTTCCTTCTTCACTTTCCTCACTGCCTGTTTCTGGATAATCTTCATCTGCACCACGGAGTCCTCCGTATCCGCAACAGAAATTTCGTCATTTGTCTCTCCATCGTCGATAGAATTATTATTCATGGCGTGGTCGCTGCGGATAAACTTCTGCTTCTTCAGCTCTTTTATCTTCTTCTCAATCTTCTCACTGACGATGAGAATGAAGTTCTCGTGCTTCATCTTCTCTAGTTTTCTCCTCTCCTTGAAGGACTCTTCTTGCTTTATTTTTTCGCTGGTGGATTTATTTTGCTGGTTTTTCCTCTCCTCCTCTGCTTCTGGGTGATCCATATCAAATGCAAAAATGTCTGGGAGATTGATTGTGATGCAGTTTTTCCATGGCCCATGATGTTTGGAATGCAGGACCTACCATGACAGATTCTGTGCGATCTCTCTCAACATGCCTATCCTGCATGAGAAACTCCCTCCCGCCGACTTGGTCAAAACTGGACGACTTTTGGCAATCATGCAGCGCAGATTTTTGCATGCTTCAGATTTAGCATGACAAGCTGGACTCTTCCAGACCCAGACACTTTTGCATTTGATAATCCAGCGCGGAAAACAAAACTCCGTGGGGATTTTCCGCTGTGGGTTTTGTCAAGTACTCCTCTCCCGCAACGTGGGTTTTGAACTTGATCTTCTCCAGGATTTTCTCGTCTTCCAACTCGTGGATCCGGTCGATTAGAATCCTCAACAGCTCCTTTTTCTTCAAATTTCCAACTAATAATTTCTCGCTGTACTCGTTGTCCACAGCCAGTTCCGGAAACCCCTTGTTCACGATAGATTGTAAATGCATCTCCAATATGAACTGCAAAAGTATCGTAGTCGTATAAATGCATTACAAATTGCCTCAGCATGAGAAATAAAATCGAGTAGGCCAATTTCCCAACGACCCTTCTGTGCTATGATTGCAATACAAGAAAAAAAAAATGGCTGTCGAATCTGGAGCGAGTGCTGAATTGTCGCCCTGCATCGTGGCACGCCCCCGGGTCATTAGAACTCCCACGGCTGCAGTGTAGAGCTCCTCGCTGTTCGCTGGATAAGCGGCTGCTCCAGTTGGGCCCCCTGGCACCCTAGTCCTACTGCGGCCGCGCCCCCGCCTGCTGCGCGCAGTCAGGGTCGCAGAGAATCGGCCTAATGCCCACTCGTTGCTATGCGTACTATGCGTGCTATGCTTGCTATGTTTGCTGTGTCGGGGGTGCCACAGCACACATAGCACACAATTTTGGCCCGCGCACGGTGCTGTGCGTGCTATGCGTGCTGTGCGTGCTATGCGTGCTATCGTTGCTGTGGGCCGCTCGCTAATGCGACCACAGCAACGAGTGGCTCGGCCCTGCACCCCCCAGCAACGGCTCCAGGGAATGCCGCCGGAGCGCTGGGCCAAGTGCGAATGGTGTGGCGCGGGCCGCCGCAACGCGGCCGCCAACGGAAATTCCTAGCGCGCCTGCCTCTGGTGGTGGGCGGCTTTGCTTCTGCTTACCATCCGAATCGCCCGGCACAATCTGCGCCGGCTCTTTTTTCTTTTTGTGAATGCGATCATAGTGATTTAGGGTCGTTGGGAATTGACCTACATAAATAAAATTTGTAATGCGGATTTACCTTAAAAAAAAGACTTCTAATGCATGATCGCAATACGAGTACGATACTTTTGCACGGGATATCCAACTCCGTCACCCGCGCCATGAGCGCCAAATACGTATGGCGTTCTCAGACGTTACATTCTCAACTGTTACATGATTTGTCATGCCAAATTACAAGCAGAGTCGACGCGATCAAGCTGCTTCGCATGACAAATTCTAGGAAAGCCAAATAGGGTGAGAATCTGTGGCAAATCTGTGATGCGGGACGTGCAAGGTCACCCCTTTCACTTTTGCCCTTCTTGCATCACAGATTCTAATTCATGTAACAGTTGGGAATGTAACAGTTGAGAGCGCCATAATACGTCGTTTGCGTTTCGAACGGGTAGCGTAAGAAATTCTCCGACAGACACCGCTGGAAAAACAACTTATTCGAACTGGCCTTGTCCGCGTGCAGGAGCTCCAGTTTCTGCTCCAGATGGGAAACGTGGGTGACTAAATCCCTTTGTCGGTTCTTGAACTTCTGCTCAAAATAGGCCTGCATCCCGTGGTACTCCGTTTGAAACAAGTCGACTTTTTGATACAAAACTTGCGACGCTTTCGTCAAATGCTTCATCAAGGTCTTCTGCGACTCGAGGGAAGGGAGTAAGACTTTCTCCTTCGCGGTTAACTTCTCGTCGATCAGGTCCCGCAAGTCTTCGATCAGCAACAGGTGCTCGTCCCGAAAATGGAAAACCGAAGCGATCTCCGCTTCTGCCTGTTCTAGTTGTTTCTTCTCCTGCTTTTTTCTCTCGGTTGTTGTAGTATCCTGGCCATCTTCTCCGTCGTCGTCGAAAAACTGGTCGTTCAACTGCTGCATCTTCTGCTTCACGTAGTCGAGCACTTTTTGCAGTTTCTGGAAAAGCAGCTCGTAATTCTCGACCACCTGTTTCTTCATTTCGTCCAAAGACTGCATCCGAGCGTAGCGATTGACGTAGTCAGAGTTATTATTTGCGTCCTCCGACTGAGGATCCGGCTGTGTATCTTGTGGCGTGTCTTTTTTGTCCAGAAAATCGATGAATCTGAACTCTTTTTCCACATCCATTAAGTCCTGCGCTATTGGGAGCAACGCGAGGTGCTCTGCATGTAGCTCCCTATCCTGTGCAAAAGTATCGCACTCGTACTAATTGCATTTATGCATTACAAATCTTTTTCTTAAGCTAAATCAGCATTACAAATTTTATTTGTCATGCTGAGGAAATTTGTGATGCACTCATACGAGTAGGAGTACGATACTTTTGCAAACCATACTCCCTGACTTCTCTCGACTTCTGCAAGTACTGCCGGTTATCCTTTATCGGGTGCGGCCCGACCCTCTGTCGATCGAACTCGGAATAAGAATCCCGGAGCGCGGACTGCCATTGGTCAGTCAAATTCCCTTCCAAGGTGGCGAGGACGGCGTCGACCTGAGTTTCAAAAATTGGACAAGCATGTCGTTCTTTGTCATGCAGCAGCAGCTATGCAGTAACACTAACAACAAATACACGCATGGTTTCTGTTTGAATCTTTGTCATGCGGAACACGGAATAAAAGTAAAACATAATAAACGATTCTTACGTACGTATTCAGTACCTTCTCCTGCATCAGATCGTGGATTTCATTAATCCGCATCTCCACTGCCTTTTCCCGCTGCAGAATCGAGTCCTTTTATCAAATGTAAAACTGTCTGGGTCTGAAAGAGTCATGCTGTTTTTGCATGACACAGAAGGTTTTGCATGGAAGCTCTAGCGTCACAGGTTTCGAGAAGCTTCCGCAATGCCGAGCCCGCATGAGAAATCCCCCATGTTGGTGACAGCAAGTGGGCAGCTTTTGCTACCTATGCATGAGAGATTTTTCTGTGTCGTAAAATGCGCATCACAAGTTCGGATCCTTCCAGACCCAGACGCTTTTGCATTTGATACCTTTGTCGCCCCGACAATGTCCTCGGACACGAAAACTTGTTCCAGGTCTGAGAAAACCTTCCGTACGTAACTCCGGATTTCGTTCAACACAGGACTGCTACTCGCTGGGATTTTTGATTTGGCAAACAATTCTTCGGCGTGGTCGTCTCTTTCCTGAACTTCATTGTCCAATTCCTCATACCAATGCTTCAGCTTCTCCGTCACTTCATACAGCTGCTCGATTTCTCTTTCGTGCTTCACTTGCAAGTCCAGCCGTTTTTTGTTCTCCTGCTTCTCGATTTGGTCGACAAAATTCTCCGTTTTCTGTAGCAGCTTTGTGCAGGTTTGCAGGATGTTCGTGTGGTCCGTGGTGATCGGGATCTTTGCGCCACTGTTGAAAGGCTGTTGTCCGGACGTTGCGCCGGCCTGCTTCCCGCCTTTGATATTACTGCTTCCTCCAAAGGCACGCGAAGAGGAGGATGTGCCAGCTTGTCCACCGGTGCTGTTTCTGGTGCTGGTCCGCGTTTTCCTTTCCATCTCCAGCAACTGATCTTCTTCCTGTTTCCTCTTTTCCAAAATCGTCCTGCAGCGGTTCAAGTCCGACCGGAGCTGCTCGAAGGCAGTTTTCTCCTCCTGTTGGCCGGGATTGAGCAAATCGTGCAGCATGTTCTCTCTCTGCGTTGGCTTGATCCGGGCAGTAGTACCGTCGAACGCTTTTTCTTTCTGCTGGAGTAGCCTTTCCTGGTCCTCGATTTTCTGCCTTTTTTGGATTCGGTTGAGAAGACGGCTCTTGGCCTCGGCGTGGAGGGGGTTGGGAGGGGGAGGAGCTCCCGGGGCTGGTGACGAGGACATGGTGGGCGAGGATAGAAGTGTAGAGACGAGATGGAGGTGTTTCTAGATCTGGTCTCAAAAGGTTTATTTTTTCATACTTACAGCATAATGTTTAGGCTTTCCACTGAACATCGATGACGATGTAAAAAAACGCAGCAGACTGATAGTAGACACAACTGCTAAGGCGAAAGAGGTTCTTGACGACGCGGTTGTCCTCTCGTACAATTTCATTCTACCGAAGTAGTAGTTGCTGGCTCGTTCTTACGCTCCCCTCATCATGCCTCCACGATTTTGATTTTCTTCAAAACGACAGGCCGCATTCGACGTCAACGACGCGCCTCATCTCAGCACTCTGAATCACAACATGTCTCTCGTTTCGGAAGATTGTTACGACAAGCTGCTGCTGAAGAAGAAGAAGAAGACCCACATGATCTATCATACCTGGTACTACTAGCGAGTCAAGAAGCAAAACGATGCTGAGGCGAAGTCGAACATCTTCAAACACAGTTTTCCAACTTTTTCCAGTTACGAAGCGGCCCAAGGTTTCCGGACAGGTCGCGGGCCTGCTTCTCCAACGCAGCTGGCCACCGGGCGGAGCAAAAAATAGTGCGTCTCTTTTTCAGATATCAAGTGGGCCAAACCGCAAAAATGCTCTTTTTTCACCTTCTCCCGCTTGGTTTCTGCCATTTTTGCGACATTTTTGACCTCCTGGCCATTTTCCCATCTGGTCCGCTTTTTTTTCCTTCTCCCGCTTCATTTCTGGCCATTTCCCTGACCTTCACGCCTCCCGGCGGTTGCCCTATATGGTAACTGCAACTGCCTTCGCGCTGCGTTTGCTAAGCAATATCGCAAGCGCGCAGAGCGCGCGCGCCGGCTTCGCGCGCGCGCACGCATTTGGTTACCAGATAAAGCCATTCCCATTTTCATCTCTTTCAGTTTGTGCGCTAGTACAACTTGAGATAGTGGATGTAACATGATATTGATGGGCCGTACAAGTCAATCAAAGGAGTACAACTTCACAGAGTGAATGCAACATATTGATGGGCCGTGATTAAAGGGAAAGAATCTCATCTTGCTATAAGTTCCGCAAACGAAAACGACAGACCATGACTTGGTGCTGCAAGAAATCGGCGAACATGTTGAGTGCAGCTGCCGGTACGCACAAGGTAGTAGTTCTTGCGAGAAGTCTTGCATTCTTTTGTAGTTCTTCTTCTTGCCGAGCTGATCGTGGCTCTTCTTCAACAAAATTCAAATTGCGTATGGTACAGCGTGTTCAGATCCGTGCTTTGTACATCGACGATATGATCTTCGCACCTGCTCGTTCATTTATTCTTCCTGGATACAGTATTCTATGGAAGTTTTTGTTTTTCTCTTTCAACAAGTCGTGGTGCTTGTGGTTGTGCTATGATCAACAATAAACAATAAAGCAGCAAGATGCAGAAGGCCACAACATCAACATTGCTCAGCTGTTTCTGCTATTGCGTCCTCCGCAGCTCGCGCTAGAGAGCGAATAAATTTCTACCTGTCAAACCAGTTTAACTATTTCGAAGACGCTTTGCTAAAGTAGATTCAAGACCTCCGTCAAGGTGAGATACAATGACAATAAGTAAGTAACAGTGGATGATAACAACTTTTAGAGACTTTATTCACAAGAACTTTCGGCGCAGAGCACTAGACACGACAAGCGCGCACAGCACTCCGTCCGGTGCTCGTCGAGTAACGAAAACGATTATAACGATCCTGAAAGCACAAGAACGATCTTCTTAAAACTTGTTGTACAAATTCAAATTCAAATTATGCGACGAAAAGTATAGTGAAACTGTAACTGTAGCAGTAGCTGCGCGAAGGCACGAATTGATTAGGTAGGTACATTCTGCTGGTTCTGCTTTGATTTGGTTACGATATCTTTACCTTCATGGAAACCGCCTTGATATACGAAAAAATGATCTGCAAGATGTAAAATAGCGACGATAACAAATATTAAAACGACCGCTGTACAAAAATCAAGTCGGTCTCGATAATTTTGATTTTTACCGACTTGTGCAACAGCGTCTTTTTCTTTGGTAAAATTCATGGAATAAGAATACCAGTGAGGTTGGTGTATAAGCAAACTACTTTTTGGAAAAATGTATGAGAGAAAATCTGCGTCGATAGAATAGGTCTCGAGGAGGTACTAGCTGATGATAATTTACATTTGCTCAAGTGTGTTTCTTCAAAGAGTTACTGTTTGACGTCTGTCTCCTCTTGAAAAACTTAACTCTTGTGTGCTCCTCCGTGAAACTTCTACAGGAAGTACTAGGGGACCCACTACAACGGTCTGCTCAAGCTGACAGCACGGAGTTGCTGTTATCCATCGTGTTCATGATCTTCAACATCCCAAGAGCTTTAAGTGATGAGGTCAAATCCGGTCCGTGACCCGGACGGCTTTCTTGCTCCTGACCGGCGAAGAGTGGCGGGGCTCCAACTCGGGTCCCCCAGCAGGATGAACCGTTGATGCGGTAGTGCTGTTTCTCATGCTGCTATTCTTATTTGCACTGTTCCTGCTGTTTGGTACTACAGCTTCTCCGTTTTGTACTTTGTTCTTCCCTGTCGTTCCGCTGTTTTGCTTATTCGGAGAGGCCGCACTCGAGGCTTTATTGGAGTGAGCACTGTTTCTAATTGTACTAGTACCTGAAGACTTGTTGGGATGATCCGTTCTGCTTTTACCGTCTTTGGCCGTTGTTGACACTCCCTGCTGGTGCTCTCCACTAGCGGTTTTTTTGTTCACCCTGCCACATACATCTGCGACTCCCGATGTAACTACCAACTGTGGTGCTTTCAGCTGAGACGAATAATTTGTCCCGTTCGCCCCGGCAGTTTTTCCGGCATGATGCTGCTGGGGAACGAAGTTGTCGAAAAGATCTTGTTATGAACTGCAAAAGTATCGTACTCGTATCAATTTCAATGCATTACAAAATTCCTCAGCATGAGAAAGAAAATTTGCAATGCGGATTTACCTTGAGAAAAAAATTTGTAAATGCACGATTGCCATACGAGTACGATACTTTTGCACAGGATACTTGTTCCCTGCTGTCGTCTTCACTTTCCGAGAAAGCCACGCGGGCCGCCGGGTCAAAGGCTATCCTGTGCAAAAGTATCGCAATCGTACTCGTATTGCTATCATGCATTACAAATCTTTTTCCCTAAGGCCAATCAGCATTACAAATTTTATTTCTCACGCTGAGGAAATTTGTAATGCATCTATACGAGTACGATACTTTTGCACTGCATAAAGGCTTTTCGCCGCCGATTTTTCGACATGGCCCTGTCGATTCTCCTCCCGATCGCTCTTTTTTCCCTTTGCTTCTGCAGATACGAGGGCGACCGCGACAAATTCGGGGAAGGTGACCGAGAGGGGACCGATCTACTTCCGTTTTGACCGTAGTTCATCGTCCTGGCCCCCGCTGCTCTTCGATGGTAGTTGTACCCCGAAGCATGTTCTGTCGCTCCAGAAGTTCTGCTTCTTGGTCCCGCCGAGTGTTGCGGTTGTGAAGATGAAAACGGTCGTGTTCTGTTTTTGTTTTTTCCGAGTTCGTCCCGTAAGGATATACCAATGGTCCGCTCCTATCAAATGCAAAGATGTCAGGAGGGTCTGGAAGAGTGCAAGATTTGTCATGCATCTCGCGGACCAGGCGCACGGTCTGGAATGCACGCAAAAGCAAGACAAAGTTCGCCAGACCTTCCTCAAGCCTATTCCGCATGACAAGTCCGCTATTTGCATTTGCCTAGCGAGAATCGCGCATCTTTTGGCGTTCATGCAACACAGGTTTTTTTCTGATCGAGACTTCGCATGACAAGCTGCATTCCTCCCGAACCAGATGACATATTCGCAATGCATAGTTTCGGCGGCGGCGGCGGTGGTTCGATCATCGATGCCGAGAGGGATGTTGAGCTGGAGGATAAACTGCGACTCGTGCCGGAGAGACTCGCTTTCGATCTCCCGAACGCATCTTCTGGGTAAAACATCATGGAAGAACTCAGCTCGTCCTTGTGAATGTCGCTATTCGAATGGAAAGTCGTTCCGCCCTTCTGCTCCTTCTCCTCCCGCTTCAGGAACTTGTCCTCCTCCGCCTCAAATCTGGACAGCCGGTGCATCGACCTCCCCTTGCCCGTGCCCGGCGACCCCGGCTCGTGCGACGGGCTGGACTTCTTCTGCCGCCTCGCCGATTTCCCCGTTGCGGTTAACGATTTCGTATGCATTGCAAAAGTATCGCACTGGCACTCGTATAAATGCATTACAAATTTCCTCAGCATGAGAGATAAAAATTGTAATGCGGATTTGCCTTAAAAAAAGGATTTGTAATGCATGATTGCAATACGAGTGCGATACTTTTGCTTAGGATATTTCGGCGCCCGCGGCGGAAAATTGTCTTCGTCGATAAATTCGCCTTTCAGTTCCCGCAGTTCCTTTGCCCGTTCCTCCTTCATGAGTTTGATCAGTTGGTGTTCCCGTTTCTTCAAACTCCTTTCCTTTTTCGCCTCTTCCTTCTCGATCTCCTTTTCCTTCTATGAAAGTGCACAGCCCCCCCTCTCCCTCATTTGTCTTGCAGGAACAGCAATACAAGCGTCAGCAAGAATACAGGTTTTGCATGACAAATTTCGACTACAGGAGCGTAGTGCTATTTGGGTAGTTGCCACAACTTGTCATGCATAATTGTGACAGGAGGCAATGCGTACAGTAGGTATTTTGCATGAGAAATGAGAACGAGGGGGAGTTGTGCACTGTCATACCTTCTTCGGATCGTACCTGATTTTCCCGTTCGACGCGATTTGCAGCGCGATACCAAGTATCCACTGCAAAAATGTCTGGGTCTGGAAAGTTGTGATGCAAGGAAGGGAATACGAATAGTGGGCACACTGTAATGCGCTGCCCAGCATGACAAGTTTTTCCGTGGTTCACAATGAGAGTTGCGTACTCCGCATGAGAAACTGTGTTTTTGCATGACAGGTAAGAGGAGCTCTTTGCGGGCAAGCAATACAGAGTTGAGAGTCATGCCAGACTAGCATGACAAATTTTCCAGACCCAGACATATTTGCATTTGATACCGAGTTTGTTCGATGACAGCTTCTCTCGCTCGTCCGCTTCCAGAAAATGCAGCAACGGGCTGCCTATCCATTCCAAATGTGTCTGGGTCTGGAAGAAAATGCAAGTTTGCCATGCCTGTCTCGCATGACTCTTGAACCTGCAATGCGTGAGCAGCATCAGATTCAGAGCCTCTACTTGCCCGTCATGCAAAAATGTAGTTTGTCATGCGGAAAGGGAAAGAACACAAAGGAGCTGAGAAACTTGTCATGCGTGGCTGCCGATTTTTACAGTGTCCCCCCCATTCATAAAATAGCATCACAAGTTTCCAGACCCAGACATATTTGCAATGCATACTGCCGCTCGCTTCGATACTGCTGTACAAAACCAAATCCCCGCTCGTTCGGCCCGCACGAACGGAATGGAGCCCGGACAAGTGGTTGTGTTGCTGCGTCGCGGGAACTTCGTCGTTCCACTCCTTCAGTTTGCTGGTGTCATGCACGTCGTTTCCCATCATCATTGTCGGGTGGGACATCGTCAACTGCGGATCGGCGTGGGCGAGCATTCCGTGCGCGTCGTCTTCGTCCGTGGGCGACCACGGCTTCATCAATTTTTCCGCTGGATATCAAAAGGAAAAATCCCCCCTCCCCATATCGAAAACGAAATTTGTGATACTGTATTTAACTACACAAATCGACTTGTCATGCTAGAAGGCCAAGAGCCGCAGTTTTGGCCTCGTCTGCAGGCACTTTGTCATGCTGTTTCCCACTTTCAGCTGCCTCCTGTTATGCTGAAGACGCAAAGGCTTATTCCCACGCCAACCAGCACTACAGTCCGCATCTTTTCCCTTCTAGCATGACAAAGCTGATTTGTGACCACAAATCTGCATCACAGATTTCCGTTTTGATATGGGGAGGGGGGATTTTTCCTCACAATACTGGACTTGGGGTGATCATGGGGTCGAACAGAATTCTCTCCCCCGCGTTTTCCCGCCGGTTGCTGTAGTGAAAAATGTCTTTCGCCACGTGGTCCCGCGGGGTCAAGCCCCGCCACGCCGGGATAGTATCGTGCTCAAACGTGCCCTTCTGCATGATCCGGTGGTCATGGGCTTTATGCATTGCAAAAGTATCATACTAAGATAAATCGCATGACAAATTTTATCAGGAAGAAAAGTGGAATTTGTAATGCAGATTTGGGTAGGAAACCAGATTTGTCATGCATACCTGCAATTCACACGAGTACGATACTTTTGCACAGGATAGGCTTGTCTTCGGTGCAACAGCCGCGTCGGGCTCATGTCGGCCTCCTGTTTCTTGTTCTTCCCCGGGTATGGACGCGTCAGGTTTGAAATCAGCAAAGTGGAAATGATTTGTCATGCATGAAATGCATGACGCGACTTCCGTGTGTTGCAGAGCAGGCAAGTGAGGCCGATTGTAAGCCTGTTTGGGGGTAGAGCTTGAGCTGCTGAAGTAGCATGAGAAAATCGGTCCTCTTTGCCTAAACAGCATGACAAACTGGATTGCGGTAACGCCGGAATTTGTCATGCGCCAATTGGAAACTGTGGGTCCAACTGGTATAGATTTTATGCATCACAAATTAATTTCAACTTTGTTAATTTCAATCCTGACACTCCCATACCGGGCCGGAGTAGGTTAGGGTGCCGGGTTTGCTGTCTCCGGCATAGTCCAACCGGCCGGGGTCCGAGACGAAAGGGGCGGTTTATTGTGAGGAAAAACGTCCCCACACCAGAATCAAGGTGGGAAATCTGCTAGACAAATCTGTCAGCTTTTGCTGTTGCGCATGACAAGTTTGGCATTTCGTAGTGCAATCCTGTTTAGCTTGTTCAGCAGCATCACAGATCTAGCACATCATGCTGATTCTAGCATCACAAATCCGAAACCACGACTAGGAACTCCTTCTCATGGGTCTCCGCATGGGAAACATTTTCACCAGCATGCAGATTTGCATTACAACTCTGGGGTGGGAAGGTTTTTACAAATGATACGGTTTGAAACCGGTTCACGCGATCCTGGTCCTCTTCGGGGCCAAGCTGGTACGCGGGTTTGTTGCCCTGAGGATGGTGGAACATGACATGAGGTTTTGCTCCTTTTGTATCATGTGACAGTGACGCCCACGTCGTTTGGATTTTGCAGTTCTTAAACTTGTCATGCACGGTCACGCAAAACAAATCAAGCCTGTCATGCACGGTCACACATCAAATACTGTACCTGTCCCGTTCCCACCGAGCTCGACAACCCGCCGGGAAGAGTATCAACCGTTAAAATGTCTGGGTCTAGAAGATTCTGAGACTTGTCATGCACGTGTTGCATGAGCCATGATGTCTGTGATGCAAGCCCTAGCATCACAGATATTTTGAGGGCTTCTTGATCCTTATTCGGCATGACAAATGCCCTCCCCGCGTAGCAAAAAATGCGTTCCCCTTGCTTCTCATGCAATACAGATTTTTTTGGAATCCAAATGCAGCATCACAAGCTGCATTCTTCCAGACCCAGACACTTTTGCATTTGATAAAGAGTGTGTGGGTGCAAGATCAACAGCTGCGATTCGATCATTCTCGTGAACATTAACGCGTTTTGCAAAATCAATTGCAACTCCAATTTCATGGACAACGGCATGAACTTGATGAAGCTGATCGCGTTATCCTGAGGAAACACGTCCACGCCCCAGAGTTGCCATGCAAATGTGCAATGACAGGAGCATTTGTAATGCGCGTCTCCATGAGTAAAGGCATTTTCAGTCGCGTTTTGGCATTTGTCATGCATACCCGACTGCACCACATCGAAAACCTTTGCACCGTCGCCGCAAGCAGCTACGGCCGCAGGAGATTGGCATTTGTCATGCTGTAAACAGGATGAGAAAGCACCTTTGTCATGCAGCTTCCCTTGTTAATCACCACTACACTGCAGATGGAAACTTGTCATGCACAACTCCCAGCAATTGAGGATTTGTGTTGCAGATTTACCAACGAACTTGACTATGGGGTGGGGACATTTTTGCTCGGGATACGCGTCCGCCTGCGGAATCAAGTGCCGCTCCCGCATGTCTTGTAAGTTCGACCGCATCATGGAAAAGTACTGGTAGTTCGCATCGTGTTCCGTCATCGCTTTCGCCACCTGCTTTCTCGCCATGATCAAGTTACTCGTCCGGAGATTCATGCTGGCCGCGCACGCGAACTCGACCTTCTGCATCAACTCCTCTAACTCTTCGACCCCGGGTACTATCGGCACGTGTTTGAATTCCTTCAAACCATGATACAGTCGGTAGTTCATGTGGTCAAACTGCTTCCCCGTTGTCCCCTCCACCTGCTTGTCGAAGAGGAACAGCAAGTGCTTCCACACCCGGACTAAGTCCACCCCGCAGACCGTCGGGGGAAGTAACCCCATGATCTTCACCGCGCCCTTGTTGCCGCCGTGCAGCTTGTCAAAATATCAAAGTGAAAGAAGCCCACACCGCATACAAAACAGAAACTTTCTGTTGCTGGATTTCTGTACACAGATCAGAACTGTAATGCACGAAGCGCTTGGAGGCATTTTCTAAGCCTGGTTTGGATTGCAAAAGGCTAGCGGTTAGGCATGGCAGACCGCTTTGCAGGAGGCAAAAGCGCATGACAGATTGGCCGTGGAATGCTCCCAATGGCTCCAACTTGCCCACTAGGCAAGACAGCCCCGATTTGTGATCACAAATCAGCATCACAAATTTCCATTGCAAGTATGGGGAGGGGGGACTTCTCCTTGCAATACAAAATCGGCCGTGTTCCGGCTGTAGACCGGCGTTTCGAGCAGCATGCTCATGACTTCCGATTCCGTGACGAAATCTGGGTTCGGGGATTTCCCTCCTTTGGTAGTTTGGTTCGCCAGAGAGACCACCTTCAGTAGGTGTTGTTCGAAATGCTTCTGGATCACCTCCCGCCCGATAACGATCAACACGGAGAGAATCATGTTTGCGGAGAAAATGTCGTAGTTGAAGGGCTCGATGTTTAAGACCGCGCCGTACCGAAGTCTGACCTCTTTCACCACATCCTCTAACAGCTCCGCGTCCAAGAGTAAAGCGGTCACTTCATCCGAAACGATGTCCAAGACGCCCCTGATCTATGAAAGTGTCAGAATCGAAATATAACAAAATTAAAAAATTTGTGATGCACAGAATCGATGTCAGTTGGAGCCTCAGTTTCCAAGTGGCGCATGACAAATTTCGGGAGTACCCCAATCAAGTCTGTCATGCTGTTTGGGAACAGAAGACTCCTCCTGTAATGCTACTCTGGCAGCACATTGTATACCCCTAAACAGGCTTACGATCGGTCTCATTTGCCTGCTCCCCAATACAGGCCATCAGTGCCCTACATTTTATGCATCACAAATTCTTCGATTTTGTCGATTTTGATCCTGACACATCCATACGATCGTCCCCCGTAATATCGCCGAATGGTTGTTCGCATACGCGTTTTTCAAAGCTGAGGATAAAGACAGGTGAAAAGCACTGGCCAGTCTGACAATCGCGTCCGGCCGGTACTTGAACTCGCTCGGGTCCTGGTTCAAATACAATTTCTCCTATGCATTGCAATTATTTCTGGGTCTGGAACGTTGCAACTTGTGATGCGCATTTCAGATCAGACAACAATTTGTCTTGCATAAACAGCAAAAGTTGTTTACTTTTGGCCATGGTGAGAGCGGATTTGTATTGCAGAATAGGCATCATGGAGCTCCCGAAGAACCTGTGATGCTGGTCCCTGCATGCCAGACACTCTGGGTCATGCAAAACCTGCATTACAAACATGATCTGCATTTATCCAGACCCAGACATATTTGCAGTTCATATCTCCCTGCCGTAGTCAATCTGTTTCTCGGCCATGTCTTTCGGCGCACCCTTCCGAAGTATGGAATGCAAAAGCATCGCACTCGTATATTAAATGCATTACAAATTTCCTCAGCATGAGAAATAAAATTTGTAATGCGGATTTACCTAAAGAGCAAGATTTGTAAATGCATGTTTGCAATTACTACGAGTACGATACTTTTGCACAGGATACGAAGATATTCCACCCAATTCTTCTCCGGCTTTTTCTTCCGGTCTTTTTCGGGTAAAATCCCGGGCTGCCCCTCCTTTTTCGCGAAGGCGTACACTTGGAGGTTGAAGAGTTTCACCGAGTCTTGATTTTCTTCCTCAGTGAAGATATCGTCGAAGTTCCGGTATGCAGTGCAAAAGCATTGTGCTCGTACTTCTAATCGTAATCGCATTTACGCATTACAATTTTTTTATTTTTTGTCAAGTTAAATCAGCAGTGCAATTTTTTACTTTTGCAGTGCATATCCGGTGGATCGCGTAGATCACGGCCTGTTCGTCTTCGAAGAGCATCTCGGAAAACTGCTTGTATATCGCAAGAAAAAACTGTTTCACTGTGAACTTGTCATGCAGAAAACGAAACACCAAAGTGTTTGTCTTGCTACACCTGCAACCCAATGGATTTTTAAGCGTGTTTTCCCTTGGGAAACGCGCATGGCAAATTTTTTGTGTCATGTGTAGCAAACTTGTGATGTGGATCTTGCAAAACCATCACAGTGAAACAGTTTTTTCGTGGGATATTGTAGTACTTGATCCCAGTCCGCTCCGCTTCGTTACAGAGCTGCTTCAACAATGGCATGTGATCGGAGGATTTCACGAACTTGCTGTAGGGGAAGAGAAACCGTAAATTTCCGACAAACGGCTGCAACAAGCTGGACTTCAGCACCGACTTCCTCACGTTGAGCATCATTTCGTGGATGGAAGATAGTTATGCAATGCAAAAGTATCGCACTCGTATAAAATGCATTACAAATTCCCTCAGCATGAAAGATAAAATTTGTAATGCTGATTTACCTTCGGAAAAAAATTTGTAATGCATGACTGCAATTACTACGAGTACGATACTTTTGCACAGGATAATAGTGGAATCCTCGACCGGTTTTGGATCTTCCGCAGCAGCTTATCCATTGCAAATATGTCTGGGTCTGGAAACTTGTGATGCAAGTCCGTGAACAGTAAGTGCTCATCTGTAATGCACCGCCAAGCATGACAGGTCTTTTCGTGATTCTGTGCTGCGTATTTCGCATGAGAAACTGCGCGTTTGCATGGCAGGCACGCGCACGTCTTGGTGGCAACGCAATACAGAGTGCATAGTCATGTTAGACTAGCATGACAAATCTTGCAATCATCCAGACCCAGACGTATGTGCATTTGATACAGCTGTCCGTGTTCGTATTCTCTTTGTGTTCGGTACGTTTTGTCGCCCATTCCGTACATGTCCTTTTTCCCCCCTTTCGTGGCCTTGTCGTTGTCGGGTAGGCCGTCCGCTAGATCGAAGTCCTCCTGCCGTTCCCCGATCTCGAAGTCGTCTAACTCAGAATCGTATCAAATGCAAATATTATGTCTGGGTCGAGAAGACGTGGGGAGTTTGTCATGCAAATTGTACATGGCCTCCGATGCCTGTGATGCATTCTCCAGCATCACAGCTTTCCAAAGGTAAAGGTTTGATGTTCATGCCTATTCTGCATGAGGAATGCCCTCTTTGAATGGCAACAATCTGAGTGCCTGTTGCCTCTCATGCAAGACAGATTTTTGTGTGATCGACAGCTAGCATCACAAGTCCCACTCTTTCCAGATGACCCAGACATATTTGCAATGCATAAATCGCGCTTTTTCTTCTTTTTCTTCTTCGACCCGTCCTGGTCCTCTGCACCTTCCCTCGCGATTTTTCCCTCTTCCTGGTCTTTATGCAATACAAATTTCCCGCACATGTACAACATGCATCACAAATTTCACTAAGCTTAGAACAGACAACGTGTCATGCTGAACAGGATCGAAGGGAAGCTTTTTCATGCAGACACGGCATTTGTATGTCGTGTACGGGAAATTTCCTGTGGATAGTCTTTCAGGAAATTCAACAAAGGGTTTCTCTTCGTGTTTTGCTGGGAAATGTTCAGTAAAACGTCCCTTTTCAAGTCGTGAGAATCCACCCCGTACACGGCGTCTTCGTTCACGTCAATCACCGCTCTTATCAGGTTGGTCAACTCCGTATCCGTCGCGTTCTCCTTTTTCTGTGCCTCATCCAGCACCACTTGCTGAATCGATTTTTCCAAGTTTTTCTGTTGCGAAGCGTTATCGAAGCGGACGTTTTTCATCCTACTAGTCGAAGCTCCTGCGAGGTTCATCGTGTTCCAATCCTTGTTGTTTTTCAGTACCCCCTTCGCGTCGTTTGCCTGCTTAAACAGATCCATATCGGCTAAAGCGAAGTCCGTTTCGTCGTGGAAGGGTAACGGCTGGCTCGCCATGGTCCGGATACTGTCGTCAAACTCTCCTTTCCTTGGATCCGCCAGGGAAACGGCCGCGCGGAGTGCGCTGGGTCTGGTAGAGACTCCTCTGGAGGAAGGAAGTTGCTGTTGGGAAGATTGATGTTGTTCGGGGTAGAAAAGAAGCGGGGCGTGGACACTGTTGGAATCAAGATCACCGTCTTTTTTGTCATTTGTTCCAACTTCTACAGCGACTGCTTCGCCTCGGATCGATGAAGACGATGATGAAGTCGTCTGCTTTTTTAATATTGCCGCACGAACTACATCTGCTGCCTTTAAGTCTTGGTTCTCGTGGCTCCCTTCGGCGTAGTGTGGGTATTGTGTTTGCGAAGCCGTCAAAGTCGTGTTCTGAACTTCTTGTTTTGCTTTCCCTGCAGCAGGTTTGGCATCGTCATTCCCGTCACTAGCGGAGGATGAAGCACTCGAACTAGAACTGCCGCTTTTCTCCTTCTTTTTGTTTTTCTTTCTCTTCGCCGCTTTCGGACTCCGCGACCTTGTTCGCTTTTTCTTTCGGCCAGGACTCGAGGAGCTCCTATTTCGTTTTTTCGATTTTTTCCGAGATTTGGAAGAAGATTTCGTATTCGTTTCGTCTTCCACTATTGTTTTCATCTCCGGTTCCTCTTCCTCCTCATTTTCCGGTGGTTCTGGGTAAAAACTCGATGGATTTCCGCCCCCACTTGAGGAAGACGAACTGCTACTGCTACTGGAGGAGTTGTTCGCCTTCTTTCCACCACCCCCACCTGCTTTTGACCCCGACGCCGGTCGAATATTGGACCCCAACGCGCTCCCGAAGCTCGACGGTTGGTTGATGCTGCTCTGTCGCTGCTGACTCTGCCTGACCACGTCCGCGAAACCACCACTGCCCGCCCGGTTCAATCCACTCCCGGCTGGAGGCCCCACGGGTTTATTATTCGCTGGAGCACCACCTCCACCCCCGCCGGACCCAAAACCAGGCGCACCTCCTCCGCCTCCGGAGCCAAATCCCGGCGCAGCAGGAGCCTGTTCTGCGACGCTGTTGCCGATGCTGCCGTGGGAACCCGGGTTATGCGGAACCTCGTGGCTCATCATGGTTTGACTCGCAGGCGCGTTGGACTTGATGTTCGCGAGCTGGTTTTGGAAACCCTGCGACGGCCGCTGCGTCGACTGGATCGACGCTGAAGGTTTTGGTTTGATTTGCAGGTTCCAAAAATTTTGCTTTTCTTGCGGTGAGGAGCTCAATAATTTTATATTTTATCTTGCACACAAGACCACAGACATTAGACGCACACTGACTAACATACTCATGTTGTGTTGGTACTGTTGCAGCAGCAATATATAAAATTTGTACCAGGTTGCGTCATATCCAAGTTTGGATCCAGTGCGTTGAAATCCCCCGCCTCCTGTTGCACCACGCCCTGCGCAAAAAACGTCTGGTACCCGTCGGGTAAATTTGTGTCGTGTAGCGGTCTATGAACTGCAAAAGCAACGTACTAGTATGAATAGCATCACAAATTCCCTCAGCATTAGAAATGGAATTTGTGATGCTGTTTCACTTTAGGAAGCAGATTTGTCATGCATTCTTGCAATTAGTACGAGTGCGATGCTTTTGCAGTTCATACGGTCGCCCGTCGTTGTCCAACAACGGTGTCATTCCCTCCGTCGTCGCAATGTATCCTGTGCAAAAGTATCGCACTCGTAGTAATTGCAATCCAGCATTACAAATCTTGTTCTTAAGCTAAATCTGCATTACAAATTTTATTGCTCATGCTGAGGAAATTTCTAATGCACTTATACGAGTACGATACTTTTGCAGTGCATACAATGTTCCCGGCGCCGAAATTCCGCACGCCGAACTTTTTCGGGTCTAGACTGCCATCTCCCACCGCTCGCCCCTGCGCATCCACGGGAACATAGATGATCCGGTCCCGTATAACCGTTCCCTGCGGTGACATCAAGGGGGAATGGGTTTTCGCCCGGGTCACCGCGTCCGCGACCATTTCTCCGTCGGGTTCCCGGTGCACTCCCAAAGCCGAGTAGACGCCCTCGGATAGAATGGTCCGGATGTTTCCCTTGATCGTGTCTTCATTCAGGTAATCCGCTTGGAGGTAGCCCTTCCTCAAAACTTCCGTCCCGACATTCTCCAACAGAGTGGACGAGCCCGCTAACCCAGATCGCTTCTATGACAGTCCACAACTCCCCCCCTATTGCTATTGCATGAACAGCAATACAAACACCAGCACACGTGGAGCCTGTGCATGACAAATTCATGCGCCTAGTGTACTGTTTGGGCTTCCGGCGGAATCTGTCATGCAAGCAGTGCCACAGGGAAGCACTTGGGTATGGGGTTTTGCATGACAAATGAGGGGGAGGGGGAGTTGTGCAAGGTCATAGCTCCATCGCCGTGTCCAAAGAAACCGTCGGGGCGTTATGGCGTTCTCAAGCGTTACACTCTCAACTGTTGCGCGATTTCTTGTCATGCAAATTTACAATCAGAATCGACACGATCAAGCTGCTTCGCATGACAAATTCTCGAAGAGCCAAACAGGCTTGGAATCTGTGGCAAATTTGTCATGCAAGACGCGCAAGGTGGGCACCCCTTTCACTATTGCCATTCTTGCATCACAAATTCACGTAACAGCGAGCTGGGAATGTAACAGTTGAGAAGGCCATAGGCGTCGTAGTAGACTTGCAGCGAGGGATCCGACCGCAAATCCTGCAAGTCCTGCAACATGGTTCGGAACCTCTCTTCCTTGTGCTGTTCCTTCACTTGGTTCAACTGTTCTGTGCTGAGTAAAAACGTCCCCACACCAGAGTCAAGATGGGGATTTTGCAACACAAACCCAAGAGCTTTGGACGTCACGCATGACAAGTTGCATTCCATAGTGTAGTGCAGGTTAGCAAGTGCAGCCGCATCACAGATCCATGTGCTTATCCTGTTCACAGCATCACAAATTTCAAAACACAATTGGAAATGGCTACCATGGGTATGCGCATCACAAATGTCCTCGTCAATGCAAATCTGCATGACAACTCTGGGGTGGGGACGTTTTTCCTTATGATATGTTCTTTCAAATCTTTAAATTCCCGATCCGTGTCCTGATCGACCCTGTGCTTCCAGGACTCCTTATTACAATGAAAAATGCCCCCACCCCAAAAGTTGCAATAATTTGTGATGCAAAGTTTCCAAATGAAAACTTTTTGTCATGCATGAAAGGACTATGAATCTTTCTGATGCAGAGTCTAGGCGTATATCGCATTGGTTGCATGACAAGCGCCGCTCTTGCTGGGATCTTGCGCAATACAAATTTTTTCTATTCAGGATTGGAAACCTGTGATGCTGATAGATGCAAGAGGGCGAATGCTTCATTTGCAAAGGTTTGCAATACAAATGGTCCTAAGTTCGGGGGTGTGGGCATTTTTCATGGTAATACTCCTGAATCATCCGCTCGACCGAGTGATCCGCGATGTCGTGTAACGTTTTCTGCTATCAAATGCAAACATGTCTGGGTCTGGAAACTTGTGATGCAAATCTGTGAATGGAGGTGGGCGCACTACGATATGCAGCCAAGCATGACAAGTTTTTGTACTGTCATGTGTTTCGCTTTCCGCATGGCAAACTGCGTTTTTGCATGGCATGCCAGACAAGCATGACAAGTCCTGCATTCATCTTCCAGGCCCAGACAATTTTGCAATGCATATTTGCGACACGAGGCCGCCTCTTCTTGAAATCGACCCGGACACAGCTTTTCCGTCCGGGCCTTTCTCCTGGCCGCCGAGTCCCGCTTCCTCGTATCCTGAGTAAAAACGTCCCCACACCAGAGTCCAGTTGGTAAATCTGCAACACAAATCTCCAAGTTTTGGGATTTTTGCATGACAAGTTTACATCTGTAGCGTCGTGCTGTTTAGCAAGGGTAGCCGCATGAGAAAGCCAGTCATCCCGTTTACAGCATTACAAAGTCCAAAACACAATTGGAAATGCCTCTCATGCAGATCCGCATTACAAATGTTCCTGTCATTGCACATTTGCATGACAACTCTGGGGTGGGGACGTTTTTACACAGGATACCTCGGTCCGTTCCATCATCCGCTTGATCAGCTCGTTTTTCTCCTTCACAGTATGCATTGCAAATTTGTCCGGAAAGAATGGGATTTGTGATGCTAGCATGTCGATCACACAAAAGTCTGTATTGCATGAGAGGCAAAAGGCGCTCAGATTGGTGCCACTCAAAGAGGGCATTTCTCATGCAGAAGTAGGCAACATGAGCAAACCTTTGCGAAAGCTGTGATGCTAGAGAATGCATCACAGGCATCTTCGGACGAGGCCATGCTGTACAATTTGCATGGCAAAGTCTTCAAATCTGCAAGACCCCGACATATTTGCATTTGATACACAACCGCTTGCAGCGATTCTGCTCGCTTCTTCAATTCCGCTTCCTTCTCCAAAGCCTCCGCTTCTTCAATTTCGACTGGGTCCGGTTGTTCCAAGAAGTCAACCAGGTTGATGCCGGAGGATAATTGCTGGTGTAACAAATCATCCCCCCGTAACTGGCCTTTGTAGTAGTCAATCTTCGCCCGGTTATATCCTATGTAAAAACGTCCCCAGCCCATATCTGCTAGACAAATCAACAAGCTTTGGTTGCTGCGCATGACAAGTTTGGCCTCGTAGTGTAATCCTGTTTAGCTTGTTCAGCAGCATCACAAACCTAAGCGCATCATGCGTATTTGAGCATGACAAATTCCGAAACACTGCTAGAAAATGCTTCTCATGGGGCCCCGCATGAGAAACATTTTCAGCATGCAGAGTTGCATTACAACTTACTATGGGGTGGGGCCGTTTTGCTCAGGATAAGTTAAACGCGTGCTTCTCCTGCACCGTCCTTGCTTGTCCGTGCAACCTATCCTGTGCAAAAGTATCGCACTCGTAGCAATTGCATTCATGCATTGCAAATCTCCTTTTTTTAGCGGAATCCGCATGACAAATTCCATTTCGTCATGTTGCTGAGCTAATTTGTATTGCAACACGACAAGCACAAGTACGATGCTTTTGCAATGCATACAACCCCTGCGCATCTGGAATCATCCGTGCGAGCTGCGCTTCCAGAGGACTCAATCCCCCTGCTCGGTTCACACTGGTGGACAAAAAAGCTGACTCGTTACTCCCCTGCATGTGGAACGAGTGGTCCCCCGGGGCGTGGCTCGCTTTCTTCGCGGCCTGCATCGCACCGGACAGGACTTCGAAATCGTGAGCGATTAACGAGCGGATGTTGACCCTTTCCTCCTGCAATTCCCGTTTCTGTTTCATCAGCGCGTCGCGGCGGATCATCAAATTCTCTAGCAACTGCCTCTGCGATACCGGGTCAATGCCGCGGTTCAGTCTCGCAACGCCGTAGGAGGGCGAGTTCGGGTCTTCGACCGCCTCGTAGCCCTCTTCGGCTAGTTCCAAAGCCTGTTTCTCCATCTGGTCGATCGCGTGATCCACGTCTTCAATCGCCGCCCGCAGCCTCACGTCCGCTCGCTGCAGCTCGTGGGTTTCCTCGGAGAGAAAATACGGGTTCACACGGAGCTTCTCGGGAGTACCCCGGTGGGTCTCGTAGATCGCGACCTGGGCCGGACGCCGGGTGTGGTCTGGAATAGTAAAGTGAGATATTAATCCGGAATGTCTTTCACTCTGTATTTGCAAATGAAATTGCAACTGCAAAGCTGCACCGTGCATAGTACTCATAAAACAGGCATGACAAACACGGTCCGTGTTGGACCAGGTAAGTACTGCCACTAAACGATGGAATGGTTAAGCAATACCTGATTGGTACGCGCCCCCGCTTGGTCCGCCGTATTTCGAGCTTCGCATCGACGGTGACGACGGGTTGGACCTTCCGCTGTTATACATCATTTGGCTGCCCTGCTGGCCACCGTGGCCGCTTTGGTGGCTGCTCTGGCTCGCGTGGCTTTCCGCCGATTTGATGTAGTGACTTCCGCCTACCGAAGATTGCCCCGACATGTTATTTTGACTAGCAAACCCGGCTGCAGGTCCTGTTGGTCCCGGTGGTCTTTGCTGCTGCTGCATTTGCTGTTGCATGACTGGCGGTGGGCCCATTTGCATTGCGTTGCCCATCATTCCGCCGCCACCAACTATCGTACGAAAAAAGTGTTTCACTGTAAGGACTTTGCAGGTTTTGCGTGTTCTACATGACAGATAAAATTAGCTATGCAAGGTTCCGCAGGCAAAACTACACAGCGAAAAACCCACTGTCGTGCATGTGCTGTAGCAAGACAAACACTTGCGAGATACATTTTCTGCATGACAAGTCTACAGTGAAAGACAAACAGTTTTTTCTTGCGATACCAACGTCGTCGATAGGGTTTCCGTCGTCGTCAAAGCTCGCGAGCAGATCGTCGTTATCAACCTCCGATACGGCCCTGCTCTGTCGGGACATCCTCCCGGCAGCTCCACCGCCGCTCATGGGTCCCTGGTTGTTCAAGTAGTTGCTCATGCGCTGCGGTCCGGGACCCCCACCTCCCCCGCCCCCCACTGGTTGCTGAAACCCCGATCCGAATATCCCCCCACTAGCGCCGGAAGTGATATGGCTTTCTCAACTGTTACACTCTCAACTGTTACATGGATTTGTGATGCAAGAATGGGAAAAGTGAAAGGGGGGAGATTGCGCCTGTAGCATTACAAATTCCGCACAGATTTAGGTGCTGTTTAGCCCTAGGCAAATTTGTCATGCGAAGCAGCTTCATCATCATCATGTAGTGGACACCCGCACCCAGCGCCACAGGTCAAGGATCCCCTCCCCGGGGGGTGGGCGGGGAAGCACTTTCGGCGACCTCAACATACAAAAGCCGAGCGCTACCACAGCTTGATCGAGTGGATGACGATGGTGCTTTTGCATGACAACTTCATGTAACTACAGCTCAGAATGTAACGATTGAGAACGCCATAGGTGAGACTCTCCTGCTGTCTTCGAGCCGCTTTGGGGTTGCCGGGGTACCGCATGGCGTTGACATTCTCTTTCACGACCTTCTCCGCGGTCTCGGCCTCGGAGGCCTCCTTGGATTCTTCACCACCCATGGTAGTTTACGATGTTCCACTCGTAGTCGCAGCTCCAAAGAAAGACAAAGAGGTCCTTCCTGCTAATACAGAACGACAGAGAACTTTTGCGACTTCACTCTCATCATCAACTAATGTGCCGTGGTCGTGGTACTACAACAGCATCGCCACGACGCCGACCATTTATCTCTGTACTTCCTGTTCCCAAAAAAAAAACCTCTTTTGTACACTGGATAGATTTCATTTTGACTTGAAACTAACTACTTGGCTGGTTTCCATGCTGGTGCGAGAGGACACGACGACGACTTCAAAACGTCCGTCTTACGAAAGCGACACATGGGTACAACACGACGACAGAGACTACATTATGCGACGACAGCCTCGATCACAGATGCGACGGCGACAGATCGAGGAAAGAAGCCTTCTGGTGATTACGACCCTAAAGCAGCTCATTGTGCATAGCATACGAAAATGAGTGACGACGTTCTTCGATCTTTCTTTGCGAAGGGCCACGAAGTGAAACGAGTTTTTGCGCTACGAAGTAGTAGCAATCATCTGGATGCAACTTCATCAATGGCTGCGAGGATACATTTTTGTCCTTTTGCTTCTTCACGACTAGTTTTGAAGAAAGCTCATATCATGAGGAGCGCAATGTTGACGAGGAGGTGGCGCTAAAGATTGCAGGCCATTTATACCTTGGAACACATTTATTTGGCAGAGGTGAGTCTGTCGCAATCGAGATCGACAAAAACGCGTCAGTAGAATTAGAATTGTCAGCCATTACTTAATGCATTAAAAACATCGGGAAGGGGAACTATCACGGAGCGAGAGCTTAATATTATTTCCTTGTTGACATAAAATTCGTGTGCGCAAGAACAAATGAGCTACACCTCAGGACCCACAGGGTCTACAACTCCTGAAGAAAGCCTATCTGCAAGAACCACGTCAACATCATCTGTGGCCTGTTCTTGCGCAGGAGCTCCACCTACTTGCGCTTGTTGCAATTTCAGTGCTTGAATATCCGCAATGACGTTCATAATACGGTAGGGCACGTTGTATCCACGCGTGTATTCTTGTAGGGTCTCGTCGTACTCCTCATCCTCATTATCCCCGTCCACAAACTCGGCCTCAATCGTTTCTACGGCCTCGTTTCTGGCCCTTTCCGCGGCCGCGGCAATCTCGCGCAAAAGGCCAACGTCGTCGAGGAGCCAGAGATCGATCGGAACCGCCTCTATCAGGTCGGCCGCCATCAGAAAACCGCACGCAGGTTCCTTTGGTAAATTATGCGCCAAGCCCCGCGTGGGGTGCTTGCGACAGTACCAGGAGCTGCGGCCGCGGCCGTATTTCTCATCGGCATTCCCCAGTATTTCACATCGGATACTTGGTCCGAATTCCGCGCGGGCCGAGGGTTCTTTAAGTAGTGATCGGCAAAGGATTCTCACGTAGTAAAAGCTCTGCCAGAATGCGCTCACGCCGCGCTTGAAGATCGGGTCAACGTCAAGTCCCTCCCAAGCCTTATTGTCTTTAAAAAAAACGCTCATGGCTGGGGTAATTCTGTCCCATATCGTGGTTGTGAACATTGCGTGAAACGCGTCGTAGCAGAAGAAGACTTGGCGCTCGCGGTCTACATGACGGATCTGATTGTGCAGAACGGCGTCTAGCGATCGGTTGAACGGCGTCAAGGGCGGAGGGTTTCCATTTTCGTCGACCTCCGCGCGAACCTGGTGCCATTCGTCGTCGTTCGGTGCCTCGGCGTCATAATCGAAGGAGGGCCGCAACGGATCCACAGTCGGGCCGTCCCAATCGACAATTAAAAGGCCCAGGAGGAAGACTATCGCATCCACTCCCTCAGTGTAGTACCACCAACCCGGCTTCTCACTCGCAGGCAGTGCTTTTAGGACTGCGGTATCAATGACACCTTCCCGTACTCCGTAGAGATCCGGGCCAGCGACGAGCACCCGCATTTCGCGCGACGCTGGAATTTGCGACACTTCCGTGATGGGCTCAGCCGTTTCCAAATCCAGAAACCGGATGAGGCAAGGTGGCATGGGAGGTGTGCGCAAGCTACCCTTGTTAGGGTCCAGTCTTTGCTCAGATAGTTCCTTCGCGGCAGCCGCTTGTATGGCATGCAAGGAGGTTGGCACTGCGGAAAACTGAATCTCATCACCACTGGCCTTCGTGCAAACGAACCTCACCGCCTGCTCCCTGCTGGTCGTGTCAATGGCGGCCCGCGCAGGAGAGCCAGCGACAGCGTTGAGGTTGGAACTGGTAGTTTGTTCTTCATCCGCCATGTTCGTTGTTCGTACAACAAAGCGTTGATTCGACCTAGAAGGACTAAAGCAATGGAGGTCTTTTCTAGGTTATATGATTTTCTAGTGCGTATAGCGTTTCTATCCATCAAATCCCAGGTAAGAGGACACGGCTTTTCCTGTCTCTAGCATCACAATTCGACTAACCCCTTGACGATGCGTTAGAAAGAAGAGCGAAACTACGAGTGACTAGCAGGGACGATCACGACAGAGATGAACGAAGATCACAATTTTACATTCTTGTACTAACAAACAGAACATCTTGTTACATAGATACAATTTGAAACCGAGGGAGCAAGCAGATCATCAAAGACTGCGCATGGGCATCGAGATCGAAAAGCATTAAAGATCGTAAAAAATTCAACTTCAAGGAGCGGATCAACAAGATTTTCGTCGCCAACTTCAGATTTGTGCTTTAGATGACCAGTTCGTGCCTGACGATTACTATGGAGGGACAGAAATGCTTTCATTTTTGCTGACAAGATCTTGAATTTCTAGGACTTGGTGGTGTGGTATGCATGATTCATCTTACTGCAAAAAAATTTCATGACGACGATGGACTTACACACCGACGACAATTTCTGGCTCCTATGTGACTGCGGCAAGCGAGAACCGCGCATGATCCTGACCATATCCATCCGCATTCATTGACGAAGAAATTCGTTGAGTATTATGTGCTGGACGAACAGATGCGGAAAGCACCTCGGGGTCAAATAGGACTACGTCTGCGGAGTTCATCACACGAGCAACATCATTATGAAGATGCGTTTGCGTACTAGGTGCCTTCAAAAATGCATTCATTTTCTTCGTAAAGTAACCACGAGCTTTTCACAGCTGGGGGCGCGCCGGTCATGAACGTGATTCTTCAGTATGGCAATTCAAAATCAGGACGAGCACCGACTAGCTTATCCTGAGGCTACTTCATCCCCACTATCCTCGCCTTCTTCCTCTTCAGAATCGTCCTCGTCGCAAGAACTTCCGTCATCTTCGCTACTGCCCGTCGCATCCTCCTCTTCGTCCTCGTCCTCGACGTGCGCGAAAAGATATCCTGTGCAGACGTATCGCACTCGTAGGTACTAGTCGCATTCATGCATCACAATTTTCCATCTTAAGCTACAACCGCACTACAAAAACGTATCCCATTTCGTCTCACGCTGAGAAAATTTGTCTTGCGACAATTTTGTTTTTTTTTTCTAGGCTTTGGCTTCTCAGGAAGGAAAGCTTGGCATGAAATTTCTAGTTGTACTACCACGACACTTCTGCGATTCATAAAAGAATATCCGCGACGACATCCAGGATACTGCCTTGCGCGTCGGAATACAAATGTTCTTGTCTATCGCAAAGGAAAAAAGTTGCGCCAGGTGTACTGCAAGTGCGAGAAGTGATCCATCGATGAGCATCAACATTACACATTCATCAGTATTTGATGCCTTGCGTGACAAGTATCCCTGCAGTTCTTGTTCTGAATCATGATGGTCGGCAACTACACAGAGCTTTAGATGAACTAGCGCAGCTTTTTTCGGGAGTATTTGCACATAGCAACGACACCCGCATCCTCTTCGCCATCAAGAAGCAAATCCTTAGCAAGCCTCTGTTGCTTAAACGCCGCTGTTGCGACGTCGCGCAAAATGCTAGCGTCGTCGACGGTCCATTGCTCTGTGGGAACCCATTCAACCAGGTCCGCCGCAATCAAAAAAATGCTCGCAGGTTCGTATTTTTCTGGGACATCAAAACTTACGGTGTCGTCCAAGCAACAAGGCCAGGGACTGCCCTCTCGGTACTTTTCCTTGCACGTGTCCAGCAGGACTTCCCGGATCCTAGAGATGGCGTATGGGGTTCTCAAACGTTACACTCTCACCTGTAGAGCGCGCTTTTATCATGCAAAATTGCCACAAGCCGCCGCACGAACTCGATCATCAAGGTGCCTCGCGTGACAAATTCGCGAAGGGCTAAACAGCAACGGAATCCATCCAGCAGAATTTGTAATGCAAGACACCCAATCTTCCCGCTTCCCCTTTTGCTGTTCTTGCGTCACAAATTTATGTCGTAGTTGAGAATGTAACATTTGGGAACTCCATATGGCAGCTCTGCCGCGTATCAGGTCGTTTTCCAGGTCCTCCACCAGCAGCGATAATCCGAGGTTCCGAATATAAAAAAACGATTCCCAAAACGACTGCGCGTACACGTCGAAAGCTTCTCGCGTGTAGGGCTCCTGGGTGGAAAAAACCCTCTGGTTGATAATTGGTTCCAAATTGTTCCAAATCTTCCCGAGGAAGATTAGCTCAAAGGCCTCCAAGAAAAAATCCAATTGCTGATCGTCGCTGGCGTGGCCGAGGTAGCTGTGCAATACAAAATCCAGCTCCTGCTCTTGGTGGTCCTCGTTTATTCCTGGAACGCCGTGCCGATCGTAGTTGAAGCTCGGATTCGCGCTGCTGCCGCGCGGGCAATTCTCGTCAAAAATGACCGCCGCCAGAAATTCTGTTACGTCGATTTTTCCTTCCACGTAGTAGAAAAAACCCGGCCTGTCATCCGGCGGAAGCCTCACCAGAGCTTCATAATCTTTTCCTCCGCCAAAGTTGTCTGCGCCGGCAACGACAATTTGCATGTGGTGATTTTCCGGAAGCGGCGTCGTTTTGGTGATGGGTTCCGAAGTTTCGATATCCAAAAGCCGGATTAGACACGCCGGGATCGGCTTATTTTTATTTTGACCCGGAAGATGATCCTCCTGCCGCGCAGACAGTTCCTTCGCAGCAGCTTCTTTCACCGCTTGCAACCGCGGCGCGGCATTGACGTGAATTTCATCCCCGCTTGCATTCGTGAGAATGAAGGGGATAGTGATTTCAGCTGGAGGTGCCGCTCCTGTCCCACGCGGGCTCGATGGGTTGGTGTCCGTCATGATGATAGATCTTTTTTTCCAAAAGCGAGTAGATGAAAACGTCGAATCGCGGAGGTCAAGGTGACGGGCTTGTAGTTGCTGCGTAAACAAAAATTTCAACGATCCAGATTTGGTGCATCGCCTTGCTGCAACCAGTACAACCTCACACACGCACCTGAGTCTACATAGTAACCAAAACTTCGACCGGGACGGAGACCGCTGAAACAAGTAAGTATCTAATCTACTCCGCGCCTGCGGCTGGGACCAGTTGTCGCCGAGGTAAGTATGGATACATCACGAGAGAACGAATGGACAGTGGTTTCCGTCTTGTTGTTGAGAGATCGTCTTCACGACAACGCTTGTGGAACCAGAAAATGAACCAGAGATCGCGCTCATCTGCTTCAAGGATCCTCCACAACGGTCGTATACGAAAACGTCTTATTCGTGAGAACACGCCCTACAGCTTTGGATTGCGGCAGTCGCGCCACCAAAAATAGCCGTCAAGATATCTGTCGTCTTGTACGCAGGATAATGCTGTTTTTTACAAGGATGCTTGCGCTTCTAATCATCATGGAGTTCTGCTGCTGCTAGATAGCTGTACTAGGGGAAACAAACTTTCATTCACACATAGTACACGCACGGCATTTTCACATTCATTTTCTCGTTCGCAAAATTCTCTTTTCTAGTTTTGGTTGTAAACCGTCTGTATTCTCAACATCATTTCAACACTGTTGAATAGGAATCTCTCTCTTACAGGGTGTGGAGGTCCATCCTTTCCTCGTTTGAAAGGAATTGAAATTGTCTTAGGGTATTTGAAGTTTCCTGTTACTTTCTCGTACAAATGGATTATCGTTACTTTGCTTTAGTATGTAGATGTACTTTGACGCTTTTCTTTTTCTTTCATTTCGCCACGACAATCTATCCACTCCTCATTAATTTCAGCTCAGTTCTCTACTTCACACACCACCGCATCCTACTGCGCCCGCAACTGCATCATCGCCGGACCGCCGATGGGGTAGTATGGTGTTCTCAAATGTTACATTCTCAACTGTTACACGAATTATGGCAAAAGTGAAAGGACAAGGAGGAAGATTGCGCCTTCTGCATTACAGATTTGGGACGGATTGTAGTGCTATTTAGCGCGTCGAGAAGTTGTCATGCTGAGAAGGCTTGATCGTGTGCAGAGAGATAGTGTTTTTGCATGACAAATTCATGCAACAGCTGAGAATGTAACAGTTGAGAACCGCATAGGTAGGCAAACGACCTTGGCCTCTGCTGCCCTTGCGCGTTTGACGGGAGCTGAAAGCCCTGCGGGTGGTGTAGCTGGGTTGGGGGAACCTGTGGACAAGGTCAAATGTGAGTTTGTAGTGCTTTATCCGATTTGTATATTTTCATCATGCACGCAGGAACTGCAATGTGAAAGAAGAAGAACTTCCGATTCTACAATAGCACGACCGAATTTCTTCATCTGTCCTACATCCTCAAACCTGCTGCATCCCACCACCGCCGCCCATCACGCTGGCCTGCTGCTGCGGTGTTGGCTGCTGACTCGAGGATGCGTATTGTGGTGTTGCGGCGCTAGCACCGGTCGTGGGGAGTCTTGAGGAGCCGTAGGTTAGCATGTTCTCCTCGACCGTTCTCTGGAGATTTGTCTGTTGGCTCGTCATCAGCTTCTGAAACTCGTGGAACTCGCGGGATAGGTCCCGTAGGGGTATGCATTGCAAAAGCAAAAGCATCGCACTTGTACAAATTGCATGACAAATTTTCCCAGCATGAGAAATGAAACTTGTTATGTAGATTGAACTTGCGCAAGAGATTTGTAATGCAGGAATGCGATGAGATAGTTTTGCAATGCATAATTGTGTCATTCCATCTGTTCATGTTGTCCGCGAGATTTGCGATTGCCTGGTCGTGATCCACTCGCGTGCGCTTCAACTCCGTGGCGGTGTTCCTGGAGGGGTTTGCTTTGTTATTGGGTTGTTGTTTCTCATGCAAGATGCTGCATGCGAAGGCGACTTTGTCATGCAGCACAACAAGCACAATTTAAAATAAGTGATCGCCGTGTTTGTACTGTGAATTGAGCTCCAGCTCCGCGTAGTTCTTCATTAGACTTTGACTACTGTCCGCGGCTTATCAAATGTAAAAATGTCTGGGTCTGGAAGATTCTGAGACTTGTCATGCACGTTTTGCATGGGCCATGATGTCTGTGATGCATGCCCTAGCATCACAGACTTTTTGAGGGCTTCGTGCTACCTACTCCGCATGACAAATGCCCTCTCCGCGTAGCCAAAATTGCATTCCCGTTGCTGGTCATGCATTACAGATTTTTTTTGCAATCCAAATGCAGCATCACAAGTTCGGATTCTTCCAGACCCAGACATTTTCACATTTGATACGGCTAGCCGGTGCGTTTCCTCCCGTTGCACGCGGACCTGGGGTTATTTGTGGTGGAATTGTTTGTGTTTGACATTGATGACAGACTTTAATACAGACTCGCTGTGTCCTCCTCCTCGTCACTCTCTGAAATACTTACACATGAAGATCCACACTTTTAGGTCAATGCCTCTATTCCCCTCTTCTCAGACTTCGCTCGATGTGATTTACAAATTCCTTTGAAATTGTATCTAGCGCTTGCACAGCCGCTTGGGCGCTCTGAAGTAGAGCACCTTCCCAAACGGTGTAAGTAGAGGACGCAGAAAATTTAGTTTTGGAAGACCTTTCTGACTCACTTTGGTACAAGAAAACCAAGCGAGCAAACGAGGTTCCGTGTTTTTAGTTCTGCGTGGCGGCGGCCTATTTCACTTCTAGTACTTCATTTTCCCCCTACCCCCCAGCGTGCATTTTTGCATTTTCTTTCACGTGAGACAACAATTGTATCTAGCGCTTGCACAGCCGCTTGCGCGCTCGAAGGAGCATATCGCGAAACGGTGTAGAGGACGCAGAAAATTTAGTTTTGGAAGACCTTTCTGACTCACTTTGGTAGAAGGGAAGACCAAGCGAGCAAACGAGGTTCCGTATTTTAGAAGTTCTGCGAGGCCTATTTGACTTCTACTTCATTTTCCCCCTGCCCCCCCAGAGTGCATTTTTGCATCTTTTTACACGTGGTGAGAAAAGGATAATAATTGTATCTAGCGCTTGCACAGCCGCTTGCGCGCTCGAAAGAACATATCGCGAAACGGTGTAGAGGACGCAGAAAATTTTAGTTTGGGAAGACCTTTCTGACTCACTTTGGTACAGGAAAAACCAAGCGAGCAAACGAGGTTCCACAGAGGTGATTTAGATTTTGTCTTCTTCTAGCAAGACTGACAATTCAAAGTTGGATTTTGTATTCTAGCATGACTTGTCATCTCTCAGAAAATCTAGACCACCTGCTTCTTCTTGTTCTTCACTATCACTTCTTGCACTCAATTTCAGCATATACAACAGCACCATTCCGAAACAAAAGAGTTTCCAGTACCTCATTCAGCTCCGTCTGTAGCTGCAGTATCTGCGCCTGCTGCTGCTGTAGTGTTGAACTGTACTGCTTTTTCAGCCCCTCTATCTCGACCTGTCTATACTGCAACTGCTCGACCAGGGACTGATATGAACTGCAAAAGTATCGTACTAGTATAAATCGCATGACAAATTTCCTCAGCATGACAAAGAAAATTTGTAATGCGGATTTCACCTGAGAAATAAATTTGTAATGCATGAATGCGATTAGTACGAGTACGATACTTTTGCACGGGATAACTGGTAGTCCGCCGCGATTTCCTGGTCCGACTGCGCTTTGGACTTCTTATCCTGTGCAAAAGTATCGCACTCGTATTGCAGTCATGCATTACAAATCTTTTTGTTAAGGTAAATCAACATTACAAATTTTATTTCTCATGCTGAGAAAATTTGTGATGGTGCACTTGTGCGACTACGAGACTTTTGCAATGCATACTTCTTCAGGGCCTGGAGCTCGTTTATCGTGTCCTGCAATCGCTCGCGGAGGTCGACGAGCTGTTGCTGCTGCTGTTGTTGCACAGTCGTGGCGTTGCGCTTGAAGTCCGAAAGCTCTTGGTTGTTGGAGGAAATACCTGAAGATTTAGGGAGGAAGATTTTGGAGTTCATTTTCAGATTCGTATTCAGTTTCAGATGCATTTTTCGCGCCTGTGCAACATGACAACACAAGCCATAAAGATGTGTCCATCACCAGCAACTACGTTCTAACGTTCTTCTGTAAAAAAAAATCATACCATTCCTAACGATTCCCATCTCGGCTAGTATCTGCTGGAGATTCCCGTTTGTCCTGTTTCTCATCTCCGAAAGCCATTGCGCGAACGCGAGGACTATGCATTGCAAAAGTATCGCACTAGTATAATTTGCATGACAAATTTTCTCAAGAACAAAAATGCAATTTGTAATGCTGTTTTCCCTTAGAAAATAGATCTGTCATGCATGGCTGCAATTAGTACGCGTACGATACTTTTGCACTGGATAAGGACGGTGACGTCCACGTTTTCCATACTTTGCGAGGATGACGCGGCCATGGGATCGTTCATGGTATTTGCGCTGCCTCAGCGAAGGAGCCTGAGTGGATCGGATCTGCGATCTTGTTGTTCCGTCGTGGTGTGCAATTCTAAAAATTATATGCAGATCTACTCTTGCTCTTGCAGCTGAAACTCCGTTGCGTCTCTCACTATTACAACGGATTGCTCATCAATACGGATATTCTGTTGCTTTTGTTCTTGTGACTAAAGATGCTAGTACCGGTTGTAAACTACATGGATCTTCCGTGCAGGTGCAGGTCTCTCGCCTCGGGGCATGCTAATAAAGCCAGCTCCATCAGCCTCATCCTCTGTAGGGGAATGAATATTTCTAGCTCCTGCAACGACCCTCAAAACAACTCCGCACACGTGACCTTTTCTCTCGCTGTACTCTCATCCCTGCACTGCAGGCTTAACGAAAGAAAAGAAAGACGAAAAAACAGCAAACACCCCCGCCACCGCCTGAACAACAAAACTATTCTGCCGAGCCTTGAAACTCTCGTGTAGTTCTTCCGCATCATCATAGTGCGGCATTGATTTTTTTTCCTTTTTTCAAGTTTTTAGTTTTAGAAGTGTAGTTTGCGCGTTGATTGTTAGACTATGCGTGGCTCCAGACAAAGAAAACTAGCTGCTCGTAACAAAGTGGTCCTAAAGATAGCAACGAAGGTGTTTTTTTTTCCGAAATTAGCTCTGGCGGAGCGAGTTCGAAAAATAAATCCCTGTTCGTATAGTCATCAAACGATGCCATAAAAGCCAGCTCGATGCTGATGCTCATGTACCAACGTAATCTATCTCCGCTGCCTCGTGCCTCACTTCAATTTGCCAACATTGATGCCAACTGTTCTGGAAATCAGACCCGAAAGCCTTTCACTCCTTATTTATCGCCAACCTTGCTGCGTGAAGCAGTCTTTCTTGTGCCAACAAATTCTGCTTTGCCTTTCCAAATCTGAATCAGCCAACATCAAACCTATTCTTGCATCTCAATTGAAGATCAAGCAACATAAGCATGTCTTCAACAGCTGCACACAGTTTACTTGAGCTTCCGCTCATGTTCCTGACATCTTATTCGCCAACATGTTTTGCCAACTGACAAGCAGCGAAGCTACTTGCCCTCCGACTCAACGCCAACTTTTTTTGCCTGCAAGAATCCCTATCTATTGTATGTGCTAACCAGACCTGAAGCTCGACAAAGCCGCGTTTTTTATTTCTGCCTTTCCTTTGATCCTTCCCAATCTTCGCGTCAAGAAAAAGACCGCAGCATAGTACGTCGTCGCTAATATGACGCCGACGTAAAAACGCTGCAGCTTTCTCTTCTTGCTTTGTGTACTATACCACCTGTTTGTCACTGCTTTTTCTTTTTTTACTATTTTTTGTGACAGAACAAGCGGTTCGTGACAGTGTTCCACCTAAAGTCGTACTTAGAGCGATAAAAATAGTGTGCCTGTGTTCGTTTTCAAAATATCACCTTCGTTCTTCCATTAAAAATCGGTATATCGGTTCTTCTAGCACGCTGAGCTTTCAGCTGTTCTTTCACGGCAGCCAAACACAACGTACTAGAGGGAAACCGGAGGTGGTGCGCGCTTGAGGACATTTCAGGGTTGCAAGTAGTAAAGAGAGAAAGATGATGAGCTAAGATTCCGTAAAAGCTGTTCGTAAAAACCTCGTGGTCGTAAGTTGATAAATCCGTTGTAAATCCGTATCCGCGTGAAGTAGAAATAAAATCGCTTGTCTTTAAATGTTGAATGCATGTATCTTGATCGTGACAATTCTTCTCGAAATAAAGCACCTCTTCCGAAGCACTTTATCCCCGCTCCAAATACAACCGGAGGCAGCTACTGTTCGCTCAATCGGAGTCGGAATCGAAGGTCTTCACGGTTCCCTGCGCCTCCTGGATGGAGCCGTTGTTGGCCGCCTTGATCGGATCCGAGCCCTTCTTTCCCTTTTTGCCCTTTCCCTTGCCCTTACCGTCCTTTCCCTTCTTACCGCCCTTGCCACCCTTATCACCCGCTTCGCGGGGAGCGGAATAGTCGACCGCGATCTTCTTCCCGTCGAGCTCGGTGTTGTTGCAATCCTTAATCGCCGCGTCGACCGCTTCCGTCGTTTCGAAATCGACAAAAGCCATACCACGACTAGCGCCGGTCTCACGGTCCATGATGATCTTGATGTTAGAAATCCCCCCGCAGTTCTCGAAGTGCGTGCGAATGGAATCCTCCACGGTCTCGTAGTTCATGTACTTGACCATAATCGACTTGCAATTTTCCGGTTTTTCCTGGGGGACGAAATCTTTCCCCTTTCCCTTCTTGCCCTTACCGTCCTTTCCCTTCCCCTTTTTACCGTCCTTACCTTTCTTGCCATTCCCTTTATCGCCGTTGTCCTCGCAGTAGCGGACACGGAGGGTTCTTCCGCCGTACTCCGTCTCGTTGTACTCTAACGCTTTTTTACTCCCCTCCGCGGTTTCGTAATCGACGAACGCAATGCCCTTGTACTGCCCAGTTTCCTTGTCCTGCGGCATGCGGAAGGAGACGATGGTGCCGCACTCCTCAAAATCCTTCTTAACCGTCTCCTCATCGGCAGACCAGGGAAGGCCGAAGATGATCACCGACTTGTTCTCCTTCTCAGTGGAAGTTGTAGCGGAGTCATCTTCCTTCTTCTCCTCCGCGGCAGGAGAAGCTTCGGCGGACGGAGATTCATCGGACTTCTTCTCATCATCGCCTTCATCAGCGGATGTGGAGGACTCGGAGTCTTCCTTCTTCTCAACAGCAACCGGTTCCGGAGCAGGAGCTGCGACTTCTTCCTCCTTCTTGGACTTCTTCTTTTTCTTCGGAGCTTCCTCCTCCTTCTTTTCCTCGGAATCAACTTCCATAGCGACCGGGGCAGCTTCTTCGGTCTTGGACTTCTTCTTCTTTTTCTTCTCGGAAACGACCTCGGCAGCCGGCTCTTCAGCCTTGGGTTGTTCCTCAACCGCGGCTTCAGTAGCCTCCTTGTTCTTCTTCTTCTTCTTTTTCGCCGGTTCCTCGGCAGCAGGAACTTCCTCCGCCTCACGCTTGGTCACAACCGGTTCGGCAACAGCGGCTTCCTCGGAAGATTTCTTCTTCTTTTTCTTCTTCTCCGCCACGGCGGCAACGGCTTCGACCGGGACCTCGGCGGTCGCGACGGTGGTATCCTTGGATTTCTTGGCCATTTTGAAAATGTTGGGGGTGGTTGCTCGTGTATCAACTTGCTCAACAAAGTGAAGATGAAAACAGTGTGTTGTCAAGTAGACAGACTTTCTTAAGATGCAGTTTGTTGTAAAAAGAGGAACTCTTCAACAACGTAGTAGATAACGCCTGTTGTGGTCGAGTGGGAATGACAATTGGATTTGGTTTTGGAATGAATGATATATTTCGAGAACTTCGACGCACAAGTACATGTTCATACAATAAAACTCTCGTCTTTCATTTAGATCTGCTGAGGTGGATCTTGATTTTGTCTTGCTGGTGATCTCGTCGTCGCTAGATCCTGAGCTGTCACTAGACGACCCTCTGTACTGGAGCTCGAGCTGGTGTGTTCTTTGCACGAACGCAATTCGATTCGTGATTCAAGATCGTGCTTCTACCATTCCATCTGATCGTCTTCACCAGGGGGATTTTCTTGTTGATCCTTATTATCGAGGAGCGGTTGCGGTTCCCTCATGATGAGCTTCAATTTTTTCAAGCAGCTGACTTTTTCCTCGATCCTTTCGTAGCTGTCGCTGATCCTGATAGTAAGTCGGGATGTAAAATCGTCAACATGGTGTAAAACACAGAGACTTAATTTGTGAACAACGTGAAGACTACGCGCGCGTTTCTTGAGAAAAGCGCTTCTGTGCTGCAGTGCCTTTGTGTACTCGGCTCATGTATTCTATATGCGACGCTAGTAGTGCTCGTAAAAGGGTCACATTCAAAGATCTACCTCTGTGCAAAATCTACAGGGGAAAAAGCCTTGCAGTCATGAGGAGGCGAAATTTATGCACTATGCACCGGGCTGTTCTGCTTCGAGTTCTTCCTTGATTTAGATTGGGGTTGCGTTACCGGGGGTGTACTTCAAATTGATTTAGGTTGCGTCACGAAGTTTGAATTTCAAACTCGCTTTCGCATACTTTGCATACATAGACATGTGCTACAACTATTACTTTTCTGCTTGTTCATTTTACTACCACATGGTGGAAGCTTGCACCACACTACTTTCATGGTGCGCTCCACCGTTTTCTAAGCACGACCATGAAGCGCAATTACACTTCAATGAAGGTAGGTCACATATGGAAATCGTACATCATGCTCTTGTTCATGCATAAACTGTATATTGCTCGTCTTAAATACTTTTGGTTTTGTGCCGACTGTTCTCATTCTGAAAAAATCATACATTGGTTGTAGTTCTGCATAGGAAAATAATAGGTACCGACAGAGGCACCACTGAAAAAAATCCTCACCCACCAATGGTTAATAGCGGAGCCAGAACTAAACACTGTTCAGGACGTCACTGCATCTACGGGCGAATTTGCTCCCCGAGCCGCGCGTTTGGAAGTCCTCGCATCTGTGCGGCAACTGCGGCCCTGTACACAGCGTTAGGGCCCGTGGTCACCCCGAGACCTGATTCCTGGATCACTTTGTTAAATTCCCCCTGCAGGTGTGGCCATTGCTCTCCCGCTGTAAGACGGCGACCAGCTGACTGTCTCGCTGAATATCTGGGACTGGCACTTCGCGATGAGGAGCGACCATGGCGTCCCCGACTACCGCTCCGGCTAGAAGACGATGTAACAGTATCACGAGCGGCGTTGTAGGTGGGGACAGCATCGTCATCGCCGTCTGCGTTGTTGAGGGCAACAAGTTTCGGAGTCAGGGTGTTCCAGAATTGTTCCGTGAGAGACAGAGCGCTAGTTGTATTCTCCCCCTCCTCGCTCTTCTTTCCCGATCCAGACTCTGGGTCTGCATTTGCCAGAGACGCCATCACACTGTCCCACACTGCTTGAATCACGGGCGCAGCTATGACCTGCTTTCGGTGCGGCTGCTTGAACAAAAAAATGTCTGCGAAGAACCAGAAGGCTTCCGCTGTCGGCAGCGCATCCCAATATTTCGTTGCCAGCTTCGTTTGCCACGCTCGCAGCAGCTCTTCGAAATTCTGGGGAGGGGGACCCTGCGCGTCCGAGGGCAAAATTGCTTCTAGCACTGTTTGAAGAGAAAAGAAGAGCGCGATGAAGACGGCATCGAAGAAGCGCGTGGTCACGACCATCCCATAAAGCCGCCAGTCCAAGTTCGGCAATTTTTCAACAGTCACAGGGCTCAGGTTGATATTTCTCCACACTCTCCCGACATGGGCGTAGACCGGCGGATAGAAGGTCCCGGTCAACAGCGCACCAATCAGGGTCGCGCGGGCAGCACGCTTGAGGTCGTATTTTCCGAGGGTGCTGCTCTGGATGTAGGCAAGAAAGCCACCCTCGAAGACGGAGTCAAAGTCATCAGTCTCCTTTGCGAGATCAACCTTGGGCAGTTGCTTCTGCAGCTCGGACAGTGACAAGGGTTGTGCCTTTATCATCTCGATAGTTCGGCCAAAATTCTGCATGTACCCACGCAACGGATTCAAGTCCAGCCTCGACGACGCTCCTGCACCACGAGCACTGGTACTAGGGACCGTCCATGGTGCAGCCGCATGTATTCCGGAAACCTCCTGTCCTTGCTTTCCGCTTGTGATGTGTTGCACAGCTAAGTCACTTACTCCGGCACTGAGACCGTATCGCGCCATGTTTGTCGCAACCTTACGTGCACCAGCCCAACCGCGCTGCGCTTTCTTCTTTTTCAATTTCAGCTTCTTCCCAAGCGCAACACCAAACTGCACTCCTGGCTGCAGCACAGACGTCTGGCTCAACAGGAACACGAGTACAACGTGAACGTGGCGCATCTTTTTTTGCGTTTTTGTTTATGTTTTCGAGGCTAATTACAATTAGTTTCCAAGATGAAAAAAGGTAGGAGTAAATCAACTCTTGGCTCCGAAGGAGAAGGACTACTTTGACTATTCTTAATGTTAATTTTTGCGAACTACAATACTAACAGCGTTTTCAATCTTAGAGGGGGCTGAGAAACTGACAATAGCAATACTTTTACTTCATTGCGCACAATCAATGCAATCACTTTCAGTTTCACCGTGGTCAGCGCAGCTTCCTCTTGATGAGATGTCGCGCGAGTAGGTAAAGGTAAACGAAAGTTGTAAAGCTTTCAGGCGCGAACGGCTACCGAAAAAAAGTATAAATAATAAACTTTGGTTTTGATTGCGAGCTGCGCTATGCACACAATGTCAAGGTGAATTCGTTTTCAAAAGGGTCGCTTCTACTCAAGTACAGTGGTAGAGGTTTAGCACACAAGATCAAGAGACAGCAGCTGGTAGAAGTTTTTTTGAATCTAGAGTCGATGTCCACTACTAGTGGTCACGAACTCGTCCTGGTTCATTTCCGGATCAAGAGTACAGAGTACTATATTTGCATTTCGAACAGATCTTCGTCAGGATCCCGAAAGGATCTCAGCACTCCGTGCATTTTCTTTTTCATCGTTGCAACTATTTTGCTCTGCGCATTCTCTGTTCAGACCGATCTGACTAGGCCTGGAGACCGACTGACCTGATTCCCGTAGGAACTTCTGCACGTCTATTGGTAGAGACCAAAACCGACTGCTATCGTGTACAAGAGCATCCAATTTTCTTTCATGCGGTACCGAAAAAATCAAAATGCTGAAAAAGTCACAAAGAATCGCAAAGCCAAAGTGATGCATTTCAATTTTCAATTTTTTCAATTTCAATTTATTCACGAGGGAAACTCGCGAGACTACAACCCTATTTGTTCAACAGAGGAGTCAAAATGAGAGGAGACTCGATCTTTCAGTCCTCGCGCGCGCAGGGACTAGTCGCATTTCATCAATTTCAAGAAACAGGCTTCGGCTTCACAAAGTACTAGCTCGCACGGGCCCGCTTGCTGTGCGCAGCTTTTGCACCGGAAGTAGTGTTGAGATGACGATGATGTGCTTCTAGAGTCATTTCTTCTTTTGCTGTGCTTATCATTATTTTGCGTCTAAGTGGCCACGATGAAAGGAAAAGAAGGTACTTAGCCCTGGGAGACGAGGGGAGGATGAGCCTCGTCCTGTGCCTCGTCCTATGCCAAAACTACCTTTATCTTCTCAAATAGGAAAATTGAAACTGCTGCTCCAGACGAAATTTTTCGTTGATCTTCATTTTCACGTGAAAAGGAACGTAGAACTGCTACGTCGATTTTCATATTTGTTTTCTTTTTCTTCGACTTTATTCTTATTGCAAATGTTTCTTTATTCTCAGACAAACAGAGTGTGATAACAAAGGAAAACTTCGCCGGTGCGAAAAATTTCGGATTGGTATTGCTATTGTAGATCAGGAGTACACATACAGATACAGGTTTACAACTTGAAACAAAATGCCAAAACACAAAAGGGTCTACGACAGCTACAAAACGACCCTCCCATCCTTGTCATCCTCCTTCGTCATTACAGTACTGTATTCTCAAAAAAACTTGTCTAGGACCACTAGCCCCCGCCGCGGGTAAAAAATCTACTTATGCCCATGATCCTGGCACTTCTGGTCCTTTAGCTCGTTTTGCTATTGTCGCGTAAGTATCGAAGTGAAGTGGAGGTGAAGGTATATAAGTACAAGTAGAAGGCTTCACTCGTCTTCGTCTAGCCAAAATCGATTGCTCTTCGCCGCAAGAGCAAGCTCGTCCGTGCCAATTGTAGATGAAGAAGATGCGCTGTTTGCAGGGGACAATATCGGTGACGACGGTTGATTTTGTGCTCCATCTTCGCTAACATCAAGGCCGCGAAGCAGGAGCTCGTCCCACTTGCTGCCCTTTCCGAACCCGACTACACTGTTGGTCTTCAGAAACGGCTTCGAAGTAAAATCCGGTTCTTCTCGTGCACGAACAGCATAAAGAGTTTCCCCTCCCAGACCGAGAAGTTGTTCTTGTTCTTCGGGCCAAAATTCCCCATCAGAGATTTGTTGCAGCTGCTCCCGATCGGCACTACTCCTGCTGCTGAACTCCTCCATCCCGTCGGCCTTCTTCCCGTTGTCCAAAAACGACAAAAAAGTGGTCCACAAAGCGCCGCACGCGCTCGCGAAATACACTCGATTTTTCATCGGTAGTTGGTAGGTGATCAAATCCACAAAGTATCAAACGCAAATATGTCTGGGTCTGGAAACTTGTGATGCTGGGTGGCGTATCACGAGGAGGCCACAGGTGCTGGCTCAGCATGACAAGTTTCTGAGCTTCTAAGTGTTGCCTATTCTGCATGACAAACTGCGTTTCTGCATGACAGAAAAATGGCGCGCTTGGGTAACGTGCATGACAGATTTGAGAGTCATGCTAGACAAGCATGACGAACATGCTTCCTTCCAGACCCAGACATATATGCATTTAATACAAAGCCCCAGAAGACGATGGATTTCTTGCACGCTTCCGGCCACTGGTTGGACAATTTCTCGTCGATTTTGGACTTGCAGGCGTCGGTGAGATGAAAGGGGAACTCGTGGTCGAGAAGAAGTGCGGCGTCGAAGGTGGTGTGGTCTGGGGCTGTAGTTCCTGTTGCACTACTTTTCGCTCTACTTCCTTCTTGTCCAGCATTAGCATTACCGTTCGTACAGAAGTCTTCCACGATGCTCGAATACGTGAAGAAAATCGCCAGGAAAACCGGGTTGACAAGGAATTGCTGTGACAAATTCTTCAACACTAACTGCAGCTTCCCGTATTTCAGCAAATTGTTCGTGCCGAACACAATTTCGCTCTTCCAAAACCGCTCCACCACTTCGTAAGCGACCCGGTAATAGGGTCCGGTCAAACTCGCCCCGACAAAACCCCAACGGAGAGTGCGGGCAAGGTCGAGTTCCTTTTCTGGAGTGATCAGTGTGTTCTTTGCCGGTACGGTAGCACACACAACCGCTGGCGTTGAGAGAACATCTTCAAGTGGCATCTTCGTAGTTGCAGAGGCAGATGCAGTGGTCAAAGTCGAGCTCGAACAATCTACCGGCCGCATCATGATGTCTGTACTTCTTTGTGGTGCCCAAACGAGGTGGTCGGCTTGCTTAATCTGTTTGCTCTCACACTCGACGTAGGACTTGGATTTTGATTTGCCCTTCCCCCGGCCCTTGTGGCTGACAAGAAAGCACGGATTCGTCGGCAGCACCCGGCTGTAATTGGTACGGTAAACAGTTCCGAAGGATGTTGAGGGGACGGGAGCGCAACCGGGTGATGGTTGCCCGTCTTTCAGCGCAGGAAGACCGCCTGCGCCCGTCACCTGTGCTAGCCTACTGGATTTTGCAGTTGCACCAGTGCTAGCTCCTGCTGCTCTTGCTCTTCCTTCATCCCTGGTACTGGTGGAAACAGGAAGGGAAAGTTGCGGTGCGAGTGCGACGGCCGGCGTGTCCGCATTGCAGCCGAGCAGGAGTTTTGCGTTTTCTGGATGGTCTTGCAATACACTCAAATATTTCAACTCCCGCTTCTCACACAGCAGCTGGGAAGCGATATCGCTGCCCGCGGAAAGAGCGCCGTAGGAGAGACCTGCGCGGAGAAGAGAGGACTTTTTGTTCAGCTTTATTCTCGTCACGCCGAGCTTCTTCCCGTTGCATGCTTGTAGTGGAGTAAAAGTGCCGGTCGTGCTGCTGGAAAACAAGCTGTTACTACAGCAGTCAGAAACTAGGAGCAGAAACGAGAGGAAAACCTTGGCTCTCTGCAACAGAGCCAAAGCCTTCTGCGAGTGAAAGTCCAAGTCGTACATCTTTTTGAAAAAAAGTGAATGTGCTTTGCGTTTCAAAATTGGGGCAGCCAACAGTATTTTGAAGAGTTTGTGGTGGTAACTTAGGAGTGTAAGTCAGAAGATGTTTTCACAGACATAATTGGAACAAAAGTAATGATTAGCTAGTTCGCTAGGGCGAAGACGTCCCCTATGGTTAAAATTTTTTGCAGCGGAAAATTCGTATATACGATGACGTGTAAGTCCCACGGAAAAACGAAAAAATTTGAGAAGCAAAAATGCCGTTCACGTGGGTACAGAAATTGATGCGTAGCGGTTGCAGGAACGATGTAAAAATTGCCGAACAAAAATCGAAAAACTTTTCGGCGTAAACTAGACGTAGACGCAGCCTGTGAGCACTGACACAGGAGTGGAAGAGGATCAAGATGCTGGTGCTTCGTGTAGATCACGTTGGCTCACGTCCTCCTTACTCTGACCATATACAGGTCCATGTTAGTTTGACCTCCCAGCACAATTCAGATTTCATCATGTCAAGCATTCATTGATTTGAGGTGCGGGGCGACCTACAGTTCACAGTTTTAGTTTTTTCAACCTTCATAGCAAACTGTCAGATCCAATAGAGCTTGTACTCGGTGGAAGTCGATCTGATTCTTGATCTAGCCTCGCTCTCATCGCACGGGTGTAAAAATAACCAGACACGAGGACCATTTGAATGCGCAGATTTTGTCTAGCGTGCTAAAGCTTCAATACTGCTCATCCCCCCGCAAGGTCAAGCTTCTCAAATCGTGCCGCAATTCCTCGTCCTGCCTCAACTCCACCAGGTCCTCTGTATCCAGCCGCGCCCGCTGTCGCTGCTCGTCATCGGAAGAAGAAGAAGCACCACCTTCATTGTTCTCATCGTCATCCACGTCCGAATACAACACCCGCGGCCCACCACGATCTCCGTGAAGAAAAACTTGCCCGCTTTCCGACAAATCATCTTCATTCGCCTCAATTTGAAATTCCTCTTCGAAATCATCCAGTGGTGCGGAGGTCGGAAGAAAGACTGGAACAGCAGGGCCTGCAGTCGCAGTTGTACCAGCGGCTTTCTTCTTCGATGCAGTTGCCCCCACTTTGGATGAAGCTGATGCTCCATTCACCGCATAATTCAACATCCCTGACGACGACGTGGTTACAACATTGCTCGGCGCAGCCTGCGTTTTCCGATCCTTCACGACCCCGCCCACCTGGTTCGCGTAGTAGCACCAGGCCGGCTGCGCAATGGAAATCCAGTCCCGACCAAGAATTCCGTGGTTTTCTAATAAGCCAGTGCGAATGCTACAAGTCAGCTCCACAACACAGGTGTGGGGGCTCTGAGGCTGCTGTTGTAGTTGTTGACCAGTTCCAGTTCCCGGTCCTCCACCAGCTGCCAAAACTGCTTGCTGCTCTCCGTTAAAACTGCCATTTCTCGGAATCACAGATGCCGCGCTGCTAGCCGGACTCGTCCAAGAGGGGCTGTTAGTTGGAAAATTACTGGAACTGTTGCTCCCAAACGCGCTCAACTCCTCGATCCTAACCCTCGCAAGCTCCCGTTGCGATTTTCCATCCGTCGTCTTCACCGTGACCGTTTTTCCCTCCAGCGGTTTCAATTTCAACACCTCAAACGCGTCCACAGGGGACAAGACCGTTCGCTTCGCCCCGGTATCGACCAACATTTGGCGTTTGATGAAGCCGGTGTTTGTTTTTGAAGGAGGTGCAGGGTCTGTGTTGGTCGTGCTGGCGGACTTGGTTGATTTGGGGTTTGCTGGGTTTTGCGAGTTAGCAGGAGTGCTGCTGGTTGCAGCCCTAGTGATTCTCACCCAAGCCTTCCACTTTCCGTCGGGCTGTTGCTGCACCTTGCATTTGCCCCGGTTTTGGACGAGGATGGGCGGTTGCTTTTTCTTCATTGTGATATTGTTTAGCGCTAGACACAGAAGCAGGCTTTTTTCAAAGACGGGGATGTATGATGTGCGCAAATTACCGACGCGCGAGCTGTTGTCTCAAAGACAGCAATGACTACCAATTTCAAGGATCTGACCCGGCAGACTTTTCTCAACAGAAATGACACTGCCAACACGGTCACCAGGAAGTCCTCATGAGAAGACACGGAGGAAGCACAATGCTGTCGGACACACGGCTCACAAGAACGGGTCCCATGACCTCGAGATGAACCAACATGCGCGCAACCTCGGCGACAAAAGTATAAAACTTTCTTAGAGACACTGGCGGCCATAGAGCTGAGATACGGCGGGCCACGCAAGCGACTGACACGACGGGAATAAACAAAGCAACCGCCCGCCGGCGGGCTGCAACGGCAAAACCCAGGCTGGGGACCATGATCCGCTCCACCCACCGGGACGCGCCCGCGCCGCGCCTAGACAGAAAATGGGCTGGCGGCCACGCACGCGTGCGCGCCGCCTGCCCAGAGTGCTCGCAATCGAGTCGCCGGCCCGTTCGGATAACAAGGCCGGGCGGGGGGGGCGGGCGCCGCAAGACAAAAAGAGGCCCCGGGCCGAAGCTGCAGGCCAGAGCCCGACGCACGAACCGGGGCAACGTACGCGGCCGACGCTCTCGGCCGTCTCTTCAAGGAAACGGACCCGCCGCAGGAGGGGCGCGGATCGCGAAATGTGGGCGCCACAAACAAAGGCCGGGCGGGGCGGGGGGGGCACGCCACGGGCGGCGAGGCAGGGCGCACAAGCTCGCCGGGCAACCCAGGACCCGGCAAAATGGAAGAACTTGTGGCCCGCCCCGTCGACCAACACCGCACGGCCGAAGTCGCCTACGAGGGCAGCCCGCTTGCTGCTCTGTTCGGCTTCTTTGTGGCTGTTCGGCTCTGCGGTGATTTATACCGCCCCCCTATGCCATCCGCAAGCCTGGGGCGGCCACCGCCGTGTGTGTCGGTGGCGTGTCGGGATGCGCGCGGGCCGATTTTCGGGCATGCCCGGCATGCGCGGGCGAAAGAGCGGGCGCGGCCTTCGGCAGTTTGTTGGACCGACCGGCCACACAGGCGGCACGGCGTGCCTCAGCTGCACGACCTTCGGCAGCGCCGTCTTTTCCAGCTTGCCGACGTGCAAGGTGGTGCCTACGCTCAAACTCTTACCGCCCGCCTCGGTCCCTCGGTCAAATTTGATCGGTTCCGGTCGGGTAAAGATTGGGCGACCTTGATAGAATTGAAAACACAGAGGCTATTTAGTACCTTTGTGGGCGGCCTGGTGGTGGTAGATTTTTACGGTGCACCAGCCTGGCACGGCCGGCCGGCCGCGCATACTAGCACCCGAGGCCGAAGCCGGCCCCAGTATGGTGGGGCGCCGGCGTCCGTGCCCCGCCGAACTGCCGCGCCCCCCCCCCCCCCCCCCCCCCCCCCGCGGCGGCCCATTGGCCCGCCTCCCCGTCTGGCGGCCTGGCCACCGGCGCCCCGCGGGCGACCACGCAAAAAGGCCCCACCGAACTCCCTCAGGCAGCCAATAGCCTCGCAGCGGCCCAGGGGGGGGCCGGGACAGAACACGGCACGAGCGACACAGCCCGGCGCAGATCCACCGCGCACGCCGATACCAGCCAGACCACACCGGGCGGCGGCCGGCCCGTGCGAGGCGAAGGGAGGCGCTGCCGGTCGATCGTTGCGCGCGCGTTGGCTTGCGCGGCGCTTGCCTGCTCAGACAGACCGCGCCGGCAGGCCGGCGCCCCCACAATGTTGCCACGCCGGGCGAGCGGACGCAAAGGCCCCGGCTCGGCGCACTCTGTCGCCTCTCTTTAACTTTACGAAAGTTGTGGCACGAAAACAACACTCCCTCAGCGGGGTTGGTGTCTGTCTGCACACAGGCCGCATGTTTGTCCAATACTTAGCGCAAGAACATACCGTCAAAAATGCTGCGACGCTGCCGCCAGCTCTCTTTACGTTGTGGTTTGCGCAAGCGCAACGTGGCCTCAACACGCTCACCAACGCCGCTGCAATCTCGTGAATTTTCAAGCAGATTTCGAAATCAAATTTCCAAGACAATTGGATTAGCTAGACTTGTCGCACTATCCCCCAAAATTCAGAATTCCTCACTAACAACTCCTCATCATTTCCATCGCGCTTTCCATTGCAGATCGTTTCAGCCGCTCTGCCTCGGTTCCCCCCTGCCGTTCAAACTCGTCCTTCCACCGCTTCTTCCACTCAGACCGCACCGGATCAAGGTTCGGATCCATGCTGCCATACGTGATTCGAGGTCTATTTCCCTTGTTTTTGCTATCCCGCCCGTAGTACGTCGCATCATACTGCCGCGCCCTCGCCAGGTTTCGTTCCATCAGCCGGCTCTTCACCTTCACCCACTGTCTCTGCTTATACATTGCAAATATGTCTGGGTCTGGAAGATTGTCATGCTAGTCTGGGATGACTCTGCACTCTGTATTGCGCGGCCACTAATAGGTCCTCTTGCCTGTCATGCAAAAGCGCAGTTTCTCATGCGAAATACGCATCACAGAAGCACGAAAAAACTTGTCATGCTTGGCGGCGCATTACAGGGCACTCATTGTTCACGGACTTGCATCACAAGTTTCCAGACCCAGACATTTTTGCAGTTGATACTGCTTCTTCATCGACAAAAACGCGTGGTCGTCCTCCCCGAGCTTGTGTAGTTTGAACTTTCCCTTTATCAAATGTAAAAATGTCTGGGTCTGGAAACTTGTGATGCTGCGTGGCGTCTCATGATGAGGTCACAAATGCTGGCTCAGCATGACATCAAGTTTCTGAGATTCTAGGCGTTGCCTATTCTGCATGACAGACTGCGTTTCTGCATCACAGAAAAATGGAGCTCATGGGTAACGTGCATGACAGATTTAAGAGTTATGCTAGACAAGCATGACAAACATGCATTCTTCCAGACCCAGACATTTTTACATTTGATACCCTTCTCAAACTCCTTATCGACCTGCCGTTCTGTTGGCTGGATCTTGATCCGTTTTGGCTTCTTTATCTTCTTGTGATGTTGCAGTGCTGCCGCAGTACCAACAGTCGACACGCAAGCGGCTGGTGTTCTATTCGTAGAAGTAATTGTTGCCAGGGCCGACAACAGCCGGTCCTGCTCGACCGGCCGCAACCTTTCTTCCCAGATTATGGAGCTCTCAAACGTTACATTCTCAACTGTTACATGGGTTTGTGATGCAAAAACAGCAATAGGGAAAGGGGCGCTTGCAAGTCTCGCATCACAAATTTGGCACAGGTTTAGATGCTGTCTAGCCCTTCGAGAATTTGTCATGCGAATCAGCTTGATAGGCTGGCGGCTCATGATCATTTTGCATGACAAATCATGTATACAGTTGAGAATGTAACGTTTGAGAATGCCATACAGATACTGAGCTCCGTGAGGATTCGCTGGATTTCGAAAACATGGGGAAGTAGGAACTGCTGCGTTCTCTGCTTCATCCCGGCGTCGCGATAGGCGTCTGCGAACGTTCTCGCCTGCTCTTTATCCTGCAGCCGGATCTTGAAAAGCGACCCCAGTCGGTGGACGAGTCGCTGGATGGATTTCGGGTGGTTATGGAGGTTGATTTTTTTGAAAAAGGGTTGATGTTCGTCCATGATTTCTTCGTCGTCGAGGCTGTGGTCTTCTTCATCTTCAAATGAAGACTCCTCGTCGACTTCTACTTCGTGCTGCTCCTCATCCTCACTGCACTTCTCTGTGCTCCTAGCTTCGTCCTCATTGTTTTCCGCAGACTGCAATAATTCCGAGGAAGATGTAACAGAAGTTCCAACAAGATCGTTTTCGTCATCTTCATCTCCAACGGCTTCCTGGCTGCTGTTGTCTCCACCATCGCGCAGTGAAGAACGTCTTGCCGATGCTGCACCATTTACATTTTCCACATCTAGCTGTTCGCCTTCCCGTTCTCTCTCAACCAGCAATGCATGCACCGTTTTCAAAATCTGCAGCAACTCCCCGGTCGCGCACTGGGGAAGAATCTCGCTGATCTTTTCCGTGAGTCTCTTCGCGTCGGGAGTGTTAGAGCAGTAATGGTAGTTGATGGTATTTGTTTCCCCACAGAACGACGTGGTGGCGATCCCATCTGATGACGCCAGCATCGTGAAAGCCCGGATGAGGAACAACAGTTGGAGTGGAGGAATGGGGCGGGAGATGACAGCCCTGCGCTCTCCGAAGATAAATTTTGGACTCATCTTCGCACGGTTCCCATTCCTGTTTGCCGCCGACCGTTGCAGCTCGTAGACCGAAAAATCTTCAGGTCCTCCGCAGTGCCGGTTCACGAAAGCTTTGAAGAGCTTTTGTCGATCAGTTCCGGTGAGGACGGAAAAATCTTCTGCATTTGCTCCGGCAAACACCCTCGGACTGGTGAAGAAAAAGACGTCAAGAGCGGAGATAATGTGTGTTGCGTCCGCCTCGGTGCTGGCGTCTTTCTTGTTCCCCGAAGCAACAAGAATCCTGTAATCCCTATCGTGTACTAGCTTCTTATCGACAAACTCCATGATCCTCTTCCGCAACACAAGTTTCGTCTCCAAAGAGAGGATTTTTTCATTCAGACACCCGATGAGGCACAGCTTCTTCAGGTCGTTCACCTTCAAAATGCTCGGGTTCTGCACAATTTTCGCCGGTGGACACAAAAACTTCCGCACGGGTTCTTCTTGAACGCCCGACATTGCGTAGAGTTTCAAAGCGGTGATCCGGCTGCGCCAAGAAATGAGCGGAGGGGGAATAGTACAGTCTGCTCGATTTCTAGACGATGTTGGTGAAGTAGACACGCTACAAGAACTGCCGTATGTGATCAGTCTTCGGAAGAGTTGCACGAGTAAAAATTGCCTGCGCATCTTCAAATCCTCGATGAAGGTTGATAAGAGGGAGAGCAGGGTTTCGGGCTTCAAAACCCTATGGTCGTGAGAAGGGCGGGAGCTCTCGCCCTCGAGGACATCATCGCTCCTGCCGTAGAAGTATTCCCCGTTCGCAGTCACGTTGGCACACGACACCAAGTCCTGCTTCAGCAACCTCTCCACCTGGGCAGACAGCTGCGCGACCATTTCTAGATGAGTCCGCAAATTTCCTTCCCTCCTTTTCAGCGCCCGGGGATCCATGGGAATTCTTAATCCGCTATTCCGCGCAATCGTTGTCGTATTTGTCAACATTCCAGTTCCTGCGCCAACAACTCCACTTCTCCGCATCATGGTCTGTCTTTTCTGCAGTTTGAGGATGTTCATCCGCGCCACCGACCGATTTGCCGTCGTGTTGGCCGAAACTAGTTTCGCGGCGCGGGAGATGCGGTGCTGCGACAACCTTTCCGGCTGGTGCTTGGCTATCCACTGGATTTTCTTGATTTCCGCCTTGATCCTCGCATTCAACTGCCCCCCCTTGCACTTCTGGGCGAGGAGCGCGAACGGACGGGAATTTTGCAGCACTCGGGGTAGGGCGCGGTGATTGAAGAGGTGGGATTCGGCCTTTCCGGAGGTGGTCGTCGTTGTGCCAGAACTATCACGACCCGTCAAACCGCCTTGTTTCGACAAAGACTGAGCCGCGAAGAGACTGGATCGCGGCATTTGCCGAGCGAGGGAGTTCGAGGCGCTGGTTGTAGTAGTGCTGGTTGTCGGCTTGATGTTCCCAAAACCGCGGGGGCCGCGGCCACGTGTTGAAGTATGGATTGCAAATATGTCTGGGTCTGGAAGAGTGGAACTTGTAATGCTGTCTGCGGATTCTAAAAATATCTGTGTTGCATGAGCAGAAAGAGGGGTCAGTTCTTGGCACGCGGGGGGGGTGTTTCTCATGCGTAATTAGCATCACGAAGCTCTCAAAAAAACTGTCATGCTAGCACCAGCATCACAGACCTCGCGGGTCATGCCAAATCCGCATGACAAGCCCCGACTCTTCCAGAACCAGACATTTTTGCAGCTGATATGAAGATGCATTGTTCAATTTCGCGGCCAACCAGGAACGGGCCGCTTGGTCGACGGGACTGGTGCTAACCGTCGATGACGATGAGTCGTCCAGAAACAAGTCGCGATGAAGATGATCTCCTTCTGTTTCTAAATCTACTTCTGCGCCACCCAGCGCCGACACCGACTTTGCTTCCGCAAGATGATCAACATCCAAAACTGGCATGCCCACAAGCGGAAACCAGGACTCCAACTCTTCACCGCCGCGCGTGCAGCCCTGTGGAGTAGACAACATGTTCTTTTTTCCGGAAGTAGAAAACAGGCCTCCCAATTTTCCCGCCCCTTTCCCGTACGCATAGAGTAACTGCGCGATATCTTTCGCGTTGTAATCCTTTGCAAGATTATGCTTTGTCACGGACGGGATTAAGCTGTAAAAAAGCCACCCGGGGAACTTGCCCGCGATCGCGAAGCTGTAGGCTGTGAGCGCGACATCCGCTGGAAACAGCAGTAACGTATTCGAGGTGACCCAAGTGGCCGCTTTTTTTCCCAGTTCCGGCACGGTTCTCAGCAAGCCCAGTTTCGCGTAGTAGTGAAGGCAGGAGGCAAAGAGGGACAGCTTTTGCTTGCTGATGTTCTCTTGCTGGTGGTGGTGCGATAGAGCAGACGTCGAAGCAGGCTGTGTTTTATTAATATCTCCCCTGAGAGAAGAAGGAAATTTCGTCACGTGACCCATTCTTGCTGATGTTGTTGCTGGTGCCTCTATTTGAATGTGCTGCTCTGCGAAACTATTAGTTTTCAGCCCATTCGCAGAGGCAGAGGTCGCGCTGGCCGCGTGGTCCTCGCTCTGTTTCACAAAATAGTGCAGCAAGTCTGTATAAAGCGGCAGCAAAGTCGCTTTTCTTCTCACTCCCTCCGGACCAGTTTCTGCGCGGAAAAGTAACAGCAAATCTTTGAGCAATTGGTGGTGCTGGAACGGCGTCAGTATCCATAGGAAATTTCCCGTACACGTAGACGTACAAATGCGGTCTCTGCATAACAAAACTTGGCTTCGATCCTAGTTCGGCATGACAGGTTTTACACTCCGAAGAAATTGCAACTCGGTGAAATTTGCGATGCAAGAATTTGTACATGTACGGGAAATTTGTATTGCATAGTCAGGCTATGGAAGTTTCGTTTCAGCTCGAACAAAAGCCAGTCGACAAGGTCGGTTTTTTATGAAATGCAAATATGTCTGGGTCTGGAACAAAGCAACTTGTCATGCTAAATCCGGATCATGTAAAAATCTGTGTTGCATGAGTGCCAAAAGCTGTCCACTTTTGGCATAATCGCGAGGCAGTTTCTCATGCAGGATAGACATGATAGAACTCGCACAGAATCTGTCATGCTATGTCCTACATATCAGGCCTCATGGGTCACGGAAAACCAGCATGACAAGTCTGGCATTCTTCCAGACCCTGACCCAGACATATTTGCAATGGATATTTTTTCCTCGGAGGTGAAATGGTTTTGATGTTCTGCTCCTTCTCCTCCTCGTGTGCTGGCTGTAGGACCAGTAGTACTACACGTTGAGCCGTTCGCTTCCGATAAAACGGCTCCCTTCCCCCTGGTGGTGCTCGTTCTCCGCGAGGAGCTACTACTATTTGGGAAGCTGCAGGCGCATATGGAATGCAAAAGCATCCATCGTACTCGTATAAATGCGTTACAAATTTCCTCAGCATGACAAATAAGATCTGTTATGCAGATTTGCCTTGGGAACAAGCTTTGTAATGCAAGACTTGCATTTATACGAGTACGATACTTTTGCACAGGATAGCGCAGTAGTGCAAGGCTGTCAGCGCGTCCAAGACATTTAACTCCATCGCTTGCTTCTGCAGTTCCAGAAGGGCTTTTCTTGCAAGCGGGAAATGTATCCTATGTAAAAACGTCCCCACCCCATTACTATCTATTATATTCATGCGAAAGTAGAGGTCTACAGAGGGTCGGAGAGAGGTGGCCGAGAGGTCAAAAAGAGGTGGGAAGAGGTCAAAAAGAGGTCAACAGAGGTGGAGAGGTGGCGCGGGAGGTCATTCGAGAGGGTGGCCGAGAGGTGGCGCGGGTATAGCCCGCTGAAGGACTCACTCTAAAGCTGCGCCTATAGGGACCAGAGGTGGCCGAGAGGGTGCCAAGAGGGTAAGCGAGAGGGGGACAGAGGTGCCGAGAGGTTGCGCGAATAAGGGCGAACCTCTCGCGCACCCTCTGGGCCACCTCTCGGCCACCTCTGTAGACCTCTACCGGCGAGTATAGCCGGATTATTAGCAACACCTCTCGGGAGAGGTGAAAAAGAGGGTCTGCGAGAGGGTTAACAGAAGCCGAATCCGCTTGGCACAGAGCTGATTTCTTTGGGGCATTTTCATGCGTAGGCCCGCACCCTCTCGCGCCACCCTCTCGCGCCACCCCCCGCGGGAACAGATTCTTCCTGGGAATCAGATGGGCGGGCGCGGGAGGGTGGTCAACAAAGGTCAGCGCGGTCCCCGTTCTGCTTCGGCACCTATGTCGTGGCGGTTTCTCCTCGCCCCCAAGCTTCGCTGCAGTTGCTCCCTGCGCATAGCGCCTAAAGGCGCGGGAAGCGCGCCGAGGCTCCTGCGGGTTGACATGGCGCAACGCGGCGCCAGTACTTTCCTCGGCCTGTCGTCGCGGTCCGATCCGCCAATAGTCACACCCCAGCACAACAGCCGTGCGCTCCGGCGTTAGCCGGAGCATGGCTGGTAGTTGTCATGCAGATCTGCATGCTAAAAATGTTTGTCATGCGGAGCCCCATGAGAAGCATTCTCTAGTCGTGTTTTGGAACTTGTAGTGCTCCAATCAGCATAATGGGCCAGACCTGTGATGCTGCTGAACGAGCTAAACAGCATTACGCTACGAGACCAAACCTGTCACGCGCAACAAGAACCAAAGCTGGTAGATTTGTCTAGCAGATCCCCCATCTTGACTATGGGTTGGGGACGTTTTTGCTCAGGATAGAATAAGTCTCATGTTCATCCGCGTGTCTGTTCTTTCGTTTTTGTCTTTTCAAGCACCATTTCAGCAGCAGACACAAATCCTTCGGCGGCGTGCGCGCCCAGTCGTTGGTGGTTTGGGTTTCTGGATCGATGTGGAGAATTTTTGATGATTTATTCTTGCGAGTACAAGAACTTGTCATGCTGTTTGACGTCGCGCCGTGCAGTTCTTCTTCTTGAACTGGTGGTGCTAAAAAAGCACGATCGTCCAATACGTACAAGGTCCGGATGTAGTGGCGGAGTGGGAGCTGATCGTCCTCGTGCGAAGATGAAGATGGTTGAATGGATATTGCATCACCTCCACCCGAAGAACTTTCTAAAGTGGTCGCCCTTGTAGTTTTCAACATCCAGCTCTTCATACTATCGCCTACTTGCGCAGCGAACAACTTCGTCCGCAGAAAGGGCTCCAGATTCACTTCTGTTTGATGTTCAAGAACGGCTGGTGTTGCAGCTTTGTTTCCTCTTGCGGTCGTGCCTAGACAAACCTCGGACATCGGTTTATTTTTTCCCGCTCCGTCGTGGAACAAGCACCACACCAATTTGCAGGCCTGCGTTCGCGGAATCGTAGACAAGTAGAAATTTTTCTGCAACAAGGCAGCCGCAACTTCTGCCATGGCGGGCGGAAGGAGAAAATCATCTTCTTCCGCATGGTTTTTCACCATTCCAAGTGACGTAGAAGGACATCTGTTACTGTTTGTCCTGCCCCCGTTGGTCCTACCGGCGTGATTTAAGGTTATTTTTCGTAGTCTGCAGTAGCTGAAGAGTAGGTCCCCGAGTTCTCCCGGTTTGAAGATTGGAGGTGGGAGCTGCATATGATCTTCATGACGTGACGACTCGCCGGGGCTGCGGGAATTACAATTAGGCTCCATTGTGGTTGTTTCGTTTGTTCCGACGAGGAATGCTTCCAAGTCCAGATTCATCCACCTCTCCTCAATGGTTTCAAGCAACGGGAACAAGTCGAAATTTATTCCCTGCTGGTTTGTCATCATATGATCTCCAGGATCTGCCAGCAGCACAATCTCGCAGCAGTCCTTCGCTAAATCCGGTAGTTTCTCGGAGGGCAGGAACGGAGCCGCTTCGAGGCAGGCCGGCAGAATTTGCGTTCTGACGAAATTGAAAATTTCGTACTCGTAGTCGATTTTGCGGTGGATGTCAGCGGCACCCTGCTGCGACGCAGTCGAAGCAGGAGGGACGTCGACCCTGGTCCTGTCTCGAAAGATTCTACTCCGCGAAGAACCCTTCTCCGACATGATCTGCTCGGTCGTGCACATCTGCGTAGAAGCCAAACCCTTCCACTTTTTCGCCTCTGCCGGGTATGCATTGCACAAGTTCAAGTACTATCAATCGCACTTGTATAGAATTATGTGCCTGTCAACACGCATGTTGACAAATCTGCTTTTCTGCTTGAATCCGCAGGACAAAGTTGATTTTTCTTCTTGAAAATCAAAAAAACCTGTGATGCAATAATTCCTACACCACTAGTACGACGCTTTTGCAGTGCATACCGCTAGTTCCTCCGCGATTTCTAGGTCGGCTTTTTGCTTTCTCAAAACAAGAGAGCTCCACATCGATTTCCAAGGTGAAGTTGTAGCGCCACCTCCTCTCTTACGGGAAGACGATGAACCGTAGTCAACTGCCACGACGGCTTGTTCAACGCCAGGACAACTATCTCCATCCCCGGCAAAAAGGTGCAGGATATCGCACATCCGCTGGGCACCCATTTCGTCAAACGAGGCTGTCAGACGAGCGAGCAAGTGTTCGTTCCAGGGATGAGCATAATTGTTCATCTCGTCCGGGCTCTCAACATCCGCCTCAGCACGCATCCCTGGATTCATCCTTCCTTCCTGGCGAGAAGTAGAATTATTTTGTGATGCAATAAAAAGCGCACGACGGAGGTCTGCTATCAGCTTTTGTTCGCGTTCCAGCTGGAGTTCAAAAAAGGAGCTGTAGGACGAGCCTTCGGGAGGGTCGCCGTCCTCGTGGTCGCGCACATGTGGTGTTTGATCTTCCTGGTAGAGCAGCGGAGGCACGGTAGCTGTTGAGGGTTCTGGCAGTCCCGTCATACCAATAGTAGCCGCGTCCGCGGAGGTAGTGAGGTCATGGCGGTCCTTTTGTCTTCACGCCAAAAAAGACGCAACTTCTCTGCCCACCATGCCATCGTGAGTAATGCTATGCACGACGGCACGGCAGTCGCTAAAAATTCCACTCCAGAGCTGGCCTCCATTTGGTTTCGAATTTAAAAACCTTCCCCGCATGCTATGGCCCCGCCAGGGCCCGCGCCAGGGTCGGACCCTTGGGAGCCCCAAATCGGGCCCATAGCATGCGGATTGGCTTTTTGCTTTTGGCGGGCTTTCTTTTTTTGTTTTTTTTTGGCAAAATGCTGCATCTTCTGGCCTTCAGTCCGCCTCTGAAGTGGCGGATTTTGGTGGCGTATTTTGCGAGGCCCGAATGTGGGCCAAAATGAGGCCCATACCATGCGGATTCGCTGTCTTTTTCGGAGTGCTGCGTTTTGGGCATCCCTTTTTGGGCGCCCCAAACCGCCAGAAACCAAGGCGGTGGGCGCCTCAGAAGGGCGCCCCTTTTGCCGGCTCCCCTGCGTCGTTTTATCAAGCGGGGATCGATAGTTTTCGACCGGGCTTGTTTGCCGGCAAAGCCCCGCCCGCTTGATAATTGGAAATTTTTTATGCCCAAAAACACTGCCGGCCGCTTGCAAACTGCCGGTCGTTTTGCGTAATGACTGTCAAAAAGATCGCTAGATTAGAACGTTCGTGACCTCACTACATACAATTCGCGGTTTCAAGCAGCAGCTCGCCGTCGTGGTTACTACACCATGGCCCAACTACACCTCCTGGTGCACGAGGATCTGCTCCCGGTGTCGTCCTCGTTCTTGCACTAGATGATGAAAACTGTCGCTTTATTTCTTCCGGTTGATTTGTTTTACTGCCTCGTGCTCTTGGTCTTGGCAGAGCTAGCCGTTTGCTGCTGTCGAAGTTGCCCAACGACTCGGTGGTCCTCGCAGGAGGTAGTACAGTGAAAACCTTGGTGTGACTTATTGTCGAAGTCGTGCACCTCCTCGGGGACACCAGCAGTTCTCCTAGCGGAACTCGGTCATCTGGAGCAGCCGTCTATTCTGAGTAAAAACATCCCCACCCCAGAGTCAAGATGGGCGACATCTCGCAACACAAATCGAGAAGTTTTGGAAGTCAAGCATGACAAGTTCGTCTCTGTATTGTAGTGCAGTTTGGCAAGTACAGCCGCAACACAAATCCATCTGCTCATCCTGTCTAGAGCATTACAAAGTCTAAAACACGATTGGAGCTGCCTCTCATGGGGATGCACATTACAAATCTTCCTGTGACTGGAAATCTGCATGACAACTCTGGGGTGGGGACGTTTCTACTCAGGATACCGTCTTCAAGATGTAGTCGCCGTGGTCCTCGTGGTCGTGCTCGTGCACATGTGCTTCCTGCTGCTGGTAGAGCACCAGCGGAGGCACGGTAGCTGCTGTTGGGAGTTCTACTTCTTGCTGCTGTGCATGAGAATCTGCATCTGCTCCTGCGCCTCCTGTCGGCATCGGTGCAGCACTGGACGATGAAGAGAACTGTCGCTGCTTCTGCGGCATTTTTCCTGCAGTTCTTGTACCTCTGCGTGAATAAATGGGTTGTAGCCGTTTGCTGTAGAAGTTGCCGGCCAACGAGGACCCGTTCACAGGCAGAGTGACCTTGGTGTTGTTCTTACTTATCGCAGAACTACTCCATCTCCTCGAGCTCGACAAGGACCCCATCATGTTCCCGGAGCTTCTAATACCTGTTTTCATCGCTTTCGTTCCGGTTACCCTATGAATTTTGCGGCTTCGGTGGGTTACAAGTCCTCCTACCGGAAGTCGTTCATTTGGAGCCGTCTTCAAGGTGTAGTTCTTGAGCGAACTACATTTCGAGCTACTGCTCCCGCCAGCGGTCACAGTGCCCAGGGGCGGAAAAAGCTTGGTAGACGGGGCGGAATAGGCTGCACGACTTCGGGGTGTAACAGATATTATGGACATCTTCGACGTTGTAATGACCACCATTATTGAAATTTTTCTTGCAATGAAACTACAAACATGTACATCGTGTAAAACGATGTGAGAAAAACAACAACAAAAATCCACGACCTGGTGAATAATACACGATGAGATAAACCTACTTACCTTTAGACGACGACCTACGCCGCGCTGCGCGTAACATATTTTTTAGCGCCTCAACAGACTTTGTCGTTCGCAACTAGTGCCAACAGGTGACGAAGATCACTTTTACCACCAATTCCATCTTGCGGTGCACAAGAACTAAAGACGACCTCGAGCAGGACATCGTTCACCAGCTGGTGAAAAAAAATGTCTCGAAATGTGCTGGATGAACAAGAACTGGAAAAGTTTTAGTACCATAGCTGCGCCATCACAAGAACTTCAATAGACAGATCACGCCGAAAGGACCTCGCGGAAAGAAAAAGATCCAAGCGGCCCTCACCTCTATTTTCCAGTCCTGGTTTCTTGTTTCCTTTGTCGCATCAATCATACGCAATAAATAGAAGAGTTTTTCATCCACAAGACCCTACTTCAAAAATTGAGGAAAGGAGAAGAAGATCGTGGCCGCGTGAAGATGAGGGCAGAAAAACCGGTGATCTTCTTTGAACACCAACACATCAAGCCACGAATAAGAATAACAGATAAAACAACGCCAGATCTTGAAAAATATTAAAATCCGACCCTGGTCCTATTTTCCGCAACATGCAGGAACGAGGATCGGCTCCAACAGAAGAGGGACAAGATGAACTGTGTGATCTAGCAAGATGACCACGCGGACAACAACTGCTCGAGCAGCAGTGAAGAACATCGGGGCATGTGCGACGTCCCGCCGTCCCGAGGGAACTAGGGGCGGATTGTAGCGCACCCGTAAAAATCGTAAACTCCTTGGAGTTCCGGATGGCAGGTATTCGTTTTTCGCTTCTAGGGTTGTGTTGTAATTGTGTAGATTCATTCTACCAAAGTTTTTCGATGCAGCGTGGGACGAGCAACGACAGCTAGTACGAGCCCAACTGCTGATGTCAGTCGTGCGCAACATCGCGCATCCTGCCCTCTAGCGGATGCTGCTGCCTGGTTAATATGGGCGACCAGAAGGAGCCTTATCATACAAAATGCTGTGGACATCATGAGCTCTGACTGTCCCCTGCGAGGGGTAATGTCCCCCTCTCGCACTACTACTCCGGGGTTCGATATAGCAAAACCAACCCTTATCTCCAGCGTCGCAGCTGCATCTACTGCAAGCACTAGAGCAGGAAGGAGCTCATTTTTCAAAACAAAACAAAACAAAACAAAAACCAGCACTTTCCCGCCCGTCGGGGGATGCAATTGTAAAGCGCTGGTGTTTGTTGACATAATATCTTCTTCCAAAAGTAGCGAAACATCAACATCTTTGTACTAGAGGTCCATCGTGTAGGAGTGGTTTTCTTTTTTCAATTTCAACAAACGTAGAGAAACCTACTTCACCAAGGGGAGTTCGACATGGTGCGGGGTTCTTTTCTACCTGAAACTGAATGGAGCTCGACCTTCCATAGTACATCACATAAATAAGTACATAATTTTGGCATGTTGATTTTTGTTTGATGACATTCTTGTTTTTCATCCCTTCTACTTGTTTGTTCCCGTTGTACATGTACTTCTAAGTGCGGGAAAAAAATAATCATCGTAGCCAATAAACGCGTGCTGATCCACTTCCACTCATGGTGGGACTGCTCGACCTAGCGCATCTTTATCCACTGCAAATATGTGGTCTGGGTCCTCTGGATGACGAGTGCACAAGTTTGTCATGCAGGTTCTTTTGCGTTACCATAGATACCCAGTAGAAGGTCTGGCATGCAAGCCATAGCATGACGCGTCTTGTTGAGATGGTGTCATCTCAATGCCGAGTTATACGCATCACATCAAATTCCCTTTATAATTTCTGGTGCCAAGTTTATTTGGGCCGCACTTGCTGCTCATGCATGACAGACACAGATCAAGATCTTGGTGATGTGTTGTCTGAAATGAATTGCATAAACAAGTTGCACCCTCGATTATATAATTTCACCTTCTCTGCGCAATTCACCCATAGAGTGAACGCGCGCGCAACCAACGGAAGCGAATGACGTGCAGAAGCGCGTCGCAGTGATAGTCGCAAGACCTCGAGCGACAGTCACAATGGCAGCCAAGAGAGAACCCGGCCGGCACAGCGAGCTACGGGTAGCAGGCCATGCAAGCCAGGCTCTCGACCCCCACAGAGCCATGCCCCGGACATAGAGGTGGTCCAAGCCGCGAGGCGCGACTGGGACCGCCGAATATCTTGGGCGGGCTTGCGAGGGGTGCCGCAAGGGGTCTCGCAACCTCAAGTCGGGTGGGAGGGTGGGAAAAAACGCAAAATCTAGGCGAGCCAAGACAATGCGGTATTTCTGGACAAAGGACAGAGACCCAGCCGAAGCTGGTCGACACCGGACAGCCAGCCCGGTGTCGGACTGTGCAACCCTCTTGCTTGATCATGTGAACTGATATAATCGCTACGCGTCGCATATAATTTCACCTTCTCTGCGCAATTCACCCATAGAGTGAACGCGCGCGCAACCAACGGAAGCTCATGCATGACAGACACAGATCAAGATCTTTGTGATGTGTTGTCTGAAAGGAATTCAGCATAACAAGTTGCACCCTCAAAAATTATATCCAGACCCAGACAACATATTTGCAATGCATAACCTTGTTCTGGGATTTCTTCTTCAAGACCAGGGGTTCCTCGCGAGGCAACGCTAAACCCGACTGCATGCGGTTCGCGAAACTCTTCAAGTATCCTGAGTAAAAACGTACCCACACCAGAGTTGTAATGCAGATTTGCAAGGACAGGACGACTTGTAATACGCATCCCCATGAGGTCCATTTCTAATCGTGTTTTGGAAGTTGTGATGCTGTGAACAGGATGAGCAAATGAATCTGTGATGCGGCTGCACTTGCTAACCTGCACTACACTGCATAGTGCAACTTGTCATGCGTGACTCACAAAACTCCTAGGTTTGTGTTGCAAATCCCCATCCTGACTCTGGTGTGGGGACGTTTTTACTCACGGTATCAAGGCTTTCTCCTTCAAGACTTTGGATAGAAATTTTTCCCACGCTTCGTGGTTCCACGTCCCTTATCCTGTGCGAAAGAATCTTTATCGTCCAACTACTCGTGGTATTTTAGCTGCAATCATGCATTACAAACCTTTCCACTCTCAAGCAAATAACTCCGCATTAGCATTTTTCACAAAAACCCATTTTTCCCGTTGAGAAAAATAGTTGTTGTAATGCGAGAATAAATGCAAAGAATACCACTTATCCTGTGCAAAAGTATCGTACTCGAACTCGTATAAATGCAAGTCTTGCATTACAAATCTTGTTCCCAAGGCAAATGTGCATTACAAACTTTATTACTCATGCTAAGGAAATTTGTAATGCATTTATACGAGTACGGTGCTTTTGCAATTCATACCACTCGTAGAAGTACGATAAATTATTTTGCAAAAATGGATATCCATTCCCATTCGCCTTTCTGGGCGTCATAGTACCAGTGCCAAGCATCGCGATCCTCGACCACCAGGTCGGGAACGGGAGAGACGAACGGGATCTTAGAAGCCGCTGATAGCCCGCCGACAATCACGGCCCCGGGTTTGAAGAAGGGCTTGCCTTTCTCGATGCCTTCTAGCATTCGTATTGTGAGGAAAAATCCCCCTCCCCATATTGAAAGCGCGCCCTTGTCATGCAGATTTGTGACCACAAATCCTGTCTGTCTTGCAAGAGAGCAAAGTCAGAGATCCCAGATCCGTTATGCAGGCGGTCTGTGGTGCTGCAAGGCCTACAGGTCGGCAGCCGCCTGCCACGTTAAGCGCCCAGCACCCCTCAGCGCGGCCCCTCTCCAGGCTTTGCATCTACCTGCTGTCCTCTACTGCAACACAAATCTGATTTGTGAACAGACGAATCAGCATGACAAATTTCCATTTTGATATGGGGAGGGGAGAATTTTCCTTGTGATAATTCGACTCCACTCTTCTTGGTTCCACGTCCATTCCCACTCACCTTCTTGTTCATTGAAGTACCAGTGCGAGATATCGCAAGAAAAAACTGTTTCACTGTAAACTTGTGATGCATAGAACGGAGCGTAAATGTGTTTGTCTTGCAGCTACACATGCAAGACATTGGATTTTTAGCTGTGTTTTCCCTTAGGAAGCACGCATGCCAAGCTTTCTTTGTCATGTGTAACAAACTTGTAATGCAAAACTTGCAAAATCCTTTATACAGTGAAACAGTTTTTTCTTGCGATACGAGACACCGTCGCCATACCTCTTCTCCGCCTCGGGGCATCGACAAAATTTTTTCATTCCCGGAGTACCTGAGCAGCTGCTCACCACCTGCTGGACGAGAGCCTGTTCGCCGGAAGTCGGAGCAGGTGCACCCGCCGTCGAAGTTTTTTGCTCTTCGAGTTTCCCGACAAGGTCCAAAAACTTTTCTTTTTCCCCGGTGGTCTCCCACGCACTTTTGTCGTTTTTGAACAACGTCTTCGCCTTCTCGTAGGTGGGGGCGTTTTCGGGCCAAAGCGCAATAGCTTGGTCGTACAAACCCACAATGCCGGGGCTCCGGGGAAAAACGGGGGTGGATTCATCTTTTTTCACCTTGGTCAGGGGACTGGTCTGCTGTGTCTGTAGTTTGTTGTTTTCTTTAACGAATTTGTTGTTGACACGATGTTCCTCCTCCTTCACGACTTTGTTCACATGTTTCACGACTTTGCTCAGCATTTTCTCCCAGGCGTCGTGATTCCACGTCCACTCCCGACCGCCCTTCCGGGGATCATAGTACCAGTGCCAAGCATCGCGATCCTCGACAAAGTCTTCCTGTTTCACGTCGGGAACCAGGTCGGGAAAGGGATAAACGCCGCGATTATAAGCGGAAAGTCCGCCGACAATCACGGTCCCGGGTTGGAAACGGGGCTTGCCTTTCACGATGCCGCTCAGCATTTCTTCCCACACTTGGCGGTCAAACGTCCATGCCCGCGACTCGCGTATATTTTCCCGTTTAACATCTTCGAGGTAGTACCAGTGCGAAACACCGTCACGGCGAGTTATTTCCGTGACCGCGTCTGCTCCTCGGTCCACTGAAGTAGTTGTAGTGCTACAGCCCGGCTTATGCTTTTCGAGTTTCCCGACAAGGTCCAAAAACTTTTCTTTTTCTCCGGTGGTCTCCCACGCACCTGGGTCGGTTTTGAACAACCTCTTCGCCTTCTCGTAGGTGGGGGCGTTTTCGGGCCAAAGCGCAATAGCTTGGTCGTACAAACCCACAATGCCGGGGCTCCGGGGAAAAACGGGAGCGGATTCATCTTTTTCCACCTTGTTCGCGGTCTGCTCGGCGGAACTTTTACGACGAGCCCCGTCAACATCGCCAATGTTGAGGTTCGTTCCGAGGAGGAGCTGCTCCGCGTGGACGCCACAGGTGACATTTCCGAGGGAAGTTGTGCAAAGAAGAAGAGACACGGCGCAACTTCCGCTCGAGAGCACAATTTTCTTGGTCGTGCCAAACATTGTCACTTTCAGTATAGTTTTACGTAGAAAACAGTCTTTTTTCGATCAGAAGAACAAGAGGAGGCAGAGGCACAAGATGAATTTATTGGGTGTGGAAGGACGAGGTAAAACAAGATGAAGATACTACTGCTAGCACTTTGACGCAATACTTCTGTAGCGCCGGGGAAGATTTTTGAGTTCAATATCTTACGCAAGAGGGCCGACTTTAGTTTTCTTGCAAAAGAAGGGAAGAACTCAGAAAAGTGATTTTTTATATGTAAAGTAGTCGCTTGCAAGCTTTTCAGAATTTTGGTTTTGTCTGCGGTCAAAAGCTTTGGATCATTTGCTGGCGCTGTGCAAGAGCAAAACGCTCACTATGGTTCAAGACTTCAAGGTTGATTTTTTGGTTCAAAATACTCAAGGTTGGTTTTTTGGTTCAAGACTTGTTTGACTATTGTGAGAGGTTAATCACTAGGATAATCAGGGGCCTGGTGTTGGTGTTTTTGGTGGAGGAAGTGTAAGAAGTAGTGTCGTTTTGTTATGAACAAGTACAAGATCGCGATGCTTTGTCAAAATATGTAATTCATTTTTATTATCCTGCTTCGTTCGATCTCATCATCATGATTTAGATTTACCAAGATGAACTTTATTTGCTGGCTACCGACTTTTAGTCCGTTCTTTGGAGGTCGTGCGTCACCGACATCAGGTAATTGTAACTCAAACTATGATCCGACACATGCATCGATGCTCAGATCCACCTGAGGGTGAGGGACGAAAAGAGCTGTGTGTTGATCTAGCAAACGCATATAGAGAACCAGCAGGAGGAAAGCGAAAAAAGATGTTGACCTTCGGTCTTCGGAGAGCAAGAACGAACACCGTTCCCGCTCGCGACCGCCCCATCCAATTTTTATATGATCGCGAAGTTGTAGCTTCCAATGAGGTCCTCTTTCAATCATACAAGCAAGAAAAATTATTCTCACACGACCTTCATCTGCTTGTTTCTTTTTTTCGTCCAAAATTCCGCATTTTTTTTTCCGGAAGTAAAAATACAACCGGCTTTATAAGTGCGGGGCAAACATGATTTCGATCATGCTCATGGTCAACAAACGTAGCGCCCTCTGCGATCACTTCTTTGTGTCACAAACAAAACACCAGCGCGTGAAGAAGGAGACTTCATCTCCTTGAAGGAGATTTCATCTCCTTTGACAAATGTAACATCAAAGCCGTGCTAGTACCCTTGTCGACAATAGATTCTATGTTACACATGCAAATACATGTTGGGCATAGAGATAAACCTTGAAGAGCCTCTTTGTCCTTATCCAGGCCTGCCGCGCTCCCGAGACAAGGAAGCCATCAAGTCTTTTGATTTCTTTTGTTTTTGCGTACCATAATCTAGTATCGCCCCGCGAAGTCAGGGTTGATTCAGGATAGCTGTGTCAAGCTGACGGGAGAGAGCGGAAGATTGATTCATATAGTTAGAAGAATGGAAAATTTATCATCTTCATGATGCGAGCCGTCTAGCACGAATCGGAATAAACAACAAGTTGAAATCCAAATCCGCCAATACAGCAGAAGATAAATAAAGCGACCATGGATCGCGGCGCTGCTTCTGTACCTTCCCCTTTCAATCATCCAGAGAAGCTCGCTTGAGCTTAGGGGGAAATCTACAATAGTTCGGCGTTAATTTCACCAAGCTTTTTTTGCAGCGTATTCGCAATCCTGGCCTCCTCGGCTTCAGCTGTGGCGTGAATTGTGGCTTGCGCGGTTTGAAGATCTGCCTGAATCGTGGCAAGCTCGGTCTTATCAAATGTAAAAGTGTCTGGGTCTGGAAGGTCGTTGGAGCTTGTGATGCTAACTCTGGACTCTAAAAAAATCTGTATTGCATGATGATCAGCAAGAAGAGCCTAGTTTGTGCAGCTAAGGGGGGAGGGCATTTGTCATGCGGATTGGGCATCAGGCAGCCCTGTAAAAATGAAAATCTGCGAAGATGCTAAGTCATGCATTGCAGACATCCTGGGCACACATGCAAAACAAGCATGATAAGCCTGGCAAAATTCCAGACCCAGACATTTTTGCATTTGATAGGTCTCAAGCTCGGCGTCAATCTTGGCAATCTCCGTGCGTAGCGTACGGTCAATACTGGGAAGCTCCGCCCTCAGCCGAGTGTCGATCTCGGCAAGCTCGGCTCGAAGTCCTTCATCCTCGCACGCTTCCGAGCTCGGTTTGACCGGGTTATCAACTGTAAAAATGTCTGGGTCTGGAAGAATGCAACTTGTCATGCTAAATCTGAATCATGTAAAAATCTGTGTTGCATGATTACCAAAAGCTGTCCACTTTTGACCTAGTCGAGAGGCAGTTTCTCATGCAGGATAGGCATGATAGAACTCTCACAGAATCTGTCATGCTCTGTCCTACATGCCAGACCTCATTGGTCATGTAAAATCTGCATGACAAGTCTGGCATTCTTCCAGACCCAGACATTTTTACAGTTGATACGGGTTCCTCCCCAACAATTCCGCGATCGCATCGTTGCCCTGGGTTTGACACAGTTCCTCAGTCCACCTCATCAGCTTCCGATGCCGTTCCACTGGAGTCGCGTTCATGATCTCGTCCCGCGCAGATACGCGTTGCTGCGCGGACTGCCTCTCCTTAGCGGCTCTTTTCTCGGCGTCATGTTTGTCCGAATCGGCTTGTTTCTTGGCGTCGCGCTTGTCCGAATCGGCTTGTTTCTTGGCGTCGCGCTCGGCCGACGCGGCTGTCTTCTCGGCATCACTCAGGCCTTTCTTCAAATCCTTCAGACGCTCTTGCTCGGCTGCCTTCGCTAATTTTTCGGCCTCCTTGACAGCATCCAAGCGTTCTTTTTCGGCCGCCTTCGCCGTTTTTTCGGCCTCCTTGACAGCATTCAAGCGTTCTTTTTCGGCCTCTCTCGCGGCCCTACTGGCCTGTCTCGCGGCTTCGCCACGATCGGCCGTGAACTGCAGTGCATGAACCACGCCTGGCGCAGTTGCCGCGAGGGAACTAAACAGGACACTAATGCACGCCGCACCTGCGGTCAGAGACATTTTCATGGTCGTGGATCCGATTTTCATCTTTTCCACTCGTTTTCAAACGAAACACAAATAAGTATGTTGCAATGTAAAATCAATATCAAAACACAAATAATAAATATAGAAAAATTCTTAGTTCTGCTTGGGAAAGTCGAAGTCGAAGTTTGTTTTTCTTTTTGTACACCAGCTGTAGTTCGCTAGAACTCTTTTAGTTCTTCGCTGTAAAAAAACTTTAAAAATCCACTTCTGTCGTCACGATGATGAAGGAAAATTCAGTTCCAGAAGATCCAGTTGCCAAAAAACTATCCTATGTAAAAACGTCCCCACCCCATAGCTGTTATGCAAATCTGCATGCCCAAAATGGTTCTCATGCGAAACCCCATGAAAAGCTTTTCCTGGTCGTGTTTTGGCATTTGTAGTGCTCCAATCAACACAATAAGCTAGACTTGTGATGCTACTGGACGACGTGAACAACATTGCACTACGTGGCCAAATTTGTCATGCGCGACAACCTAAGGTTGTTGATTTGTCTAGCAGATTTCCAACCTTGTTGACTATGGGGTGGGGGTGCTTTTCCTTCTCAGGATAAAAACCGAGTGCGATCTCCTTACTCCCATGCTAATCCAGATCCTCAACATTTGCAGCAGCATTATAAGATTTCAGCTGCTTTGATGTTCCTTGATGGTTGATCTCCCATTGCTCCTGCTGTCGTGGTGCCCTCACATCATCATGATCTACTGGTCGTTGTCTAGGAGCTAGACAACGACCAAGGAACAGGAGGCTGAGCGAAGACAGACACAGCCTGCATGCTGACCTGCGTGATGATCTTTTCTCGTGCAGCAGTAAGTAGTAGTACAAGTAGTAGTGATTCCCAGCATCAAGGGGAGAGAAGGGGGGAAGAACATCGGAGCATGTGTGTCGTCCCATCCTGAGGGAACTACGGGCGTCTTGGACTAGCGCGGCAGCGGTAAAAATCTAAACTCCGTGCAGTTCCGGGTGGTAGCATGAAGATCTTCAATGCGTTTTTCGCTTCTAGTAGGGTTGTGTAGTTGATTCATTCTACTAAAGTTTTTCGATGCAGCGCAGGAGCAACGACAGCTACAAGCTCAGCTGTCGGTGGTGCGCAACATCGCGCATCCTGGTGCTCTCACCATGCAACGAGGAGCTTCAGCAATTTTTGTTCCACCTTTTTCTTTGAATCTTCAGAAGCCTTCATCCTCCTTTATCTTTTGGTCGTGGAGTACAAAAAATAACCGCCAACAGTATAAACAGTTTATTTCAGGCCAAAAATGGAGAAGATTATATCAGCAGAGCTATTAACTCGCAACGGCGGCGAGCAGAGAGATGACTGCTTAAAACTTGATGCACATTGTAACTCTAATCTTTGATGTACTAGAGGTTGGTTGCTTGGCTATAATAAATTTGTCAAGCCCTCTTCAGGTACTCTTTGTCTATCGCGTAGAAAGGAGCACTGAAGAATGGGCGGGACGATATGGATTGCAAATATCAATATGTCTGGGTCTGGAAGGTTGCAAGCCTTGTCATGCAGGTTTTCCATGACCTCCTCTGGCATACAGAACCTAGCATGACAGATTTCTCGTCTCTCCTCTGGCCTAGGAAGGACTACCAAGTCCTTCCTCGCACGCTTCCGAGCTCGGTTTGAGCGGGTTATGGATTGCAAAAATGTCTGGGTCTGGAAACTTGTAATGCTAAAAGTGAATGATAGACGCAGTGCAATACGCAGCTATGCATGACAAATTTTTTGGCTGCCATGTCTTACGTATTCCGCATGGCAAACTGCGTTTTTGCATGACAGGTGAGAGGGCCTTTTCGTGCCTATGCAACACAGATTCTCGAGTCATGCCAGACAAGCATGACAAACTTGCATTCTTCCAGACCCAGACATTTTTACATTTGATACGGGTTCCTCGCCAAGAATTCCGCGATCGCATCGTTGCCCTGGGTTTGACACAGTTCCTCAGTCCACCTCATCAGCTTCCGATGCCGTTCCACTGCAGTCGCTGTCGCGTTCGTCTCGTCCCGCTCAGATAGTACGCGTTGCTGCGCGGACTGCCTCTCCTCAGCGGCTCTTTTCTCGGCGTCATGTTTGTCCGACTTGGCTTTCTGCTCGGCCTCGTGCTTGTCCGACGTGGCATTTTGCTCGGCGTCGCGCTTTTTCGACGTGGCTGTCTTCTCGGCATCATTCAGGCCTTCCTTTAACTCCTTCAGACGCTCCTCCTCGGCCTCTCTCGCGGCTCTACGGGCCTCCTTCGCGGCTTCATGGGCCTCTCTCGCAGCTTCGCCACGATCGGCCGTCAACTGCACCGCATGAACCACAACGCCCGGCGCAGGAGTTGCCGCGAGAGAACTAAACAGGAAACTAATGCACGCCGGAGCTGCGGCCAGAGACATTTTCAACATGGTCGTGGTGGATCCGATTTTCATCTTATTTTCCGCCGGTTTTCAAAAACAGTAACAGATATGTTGCAATGCCAATGTAATAAAATCAAAACACCAATAAAAATATAGAAAACTTTCTTAGTTCTGCTTGGGAAAGTCGAAGTCGGAGTTTGTTCTTCTTTTTGATGTTCTCCAGCTGTAGTTACTCGCTAGAACTCTTTTGGTTCTTCGCTGTTGTAAAACTTTAAAAATCCATGGAGGAAAATATAAAGAATTCAGCTCCAGAAGATCCAGTTCTTGCCGAAAATAAACCGATTGCGATCTACTTACTTCCATGCTGATCCTCCAGATCCTCATTTGCAGCAGCATGTAAGACAAAAGATCAAGATTTTTGCTTTGACGCTCCTCGATTGTTTGAATTTGAATTTGTTGGTCTCCCCTTGGCATTGCTCCTGTCGTGGTGCCCTCACAAGATCGTGATCGTGCCTCGGTTTACTTTCCGAAACCGAATCCGAGTCTCACGTAAAATATAAAATTGGTGATGATGTTAAATCTAGACCGAAAGTACATCCACATACGAAGAACAAGAACGACGAAAGAGAGAGAGATGGGGGGAAAATAAAAAATCAACCGGGTGCTCGCTTCTTTAGGCGAGCGAGTGACTGTTGTACGTGCTAATTGAGTTCCTGAGAGTAAGTGGCAGGCAAGCTGTGTTTCAACAATTTGCCACCAGAACTTGACTAAAAAACACCCGTTTTGATGTCGAACAGCCAAGACTGGGGAGTTGCCTCGGAAAAATTGCACCGGGATGCTCTTAGTCCTTGGCTTCAGGCGGGACTTGCACTACCTCCTCATCCGTGCTAGTCCTACCAACCTCCGCGCAGCCACGAGGTCCAAAACAAGCCGCCTCTGCTTGCCCTTCCTCGTGTCCAACAGGCTCCTCAAAGCTGGCAGGTCCTAAGAGAGCCTCCTCTGCTCTCCCTTCCTGTCAACACCGCCGCAGCCGAGGCTTTAGCGATGGCACGCAAACGCCACCGGGAAACACTGGAAAACACGAAGTTACACCCAGCATCGCCCAGTTGCCTTGCCCCTAAACCCTTTACCCTACCCTGAAACCCTTGCCCCCCCCCGACCGAGATTTTTAATAAAAAAAAACCCAAAAGCTATTGACCCTTTTTCCCTGCTCTCCCCCCCCAAATGATTTCCCTTAGCCGGCTCCAGAGCACAGAGCGGTTAGGGCAGAGATTGTTGTGATTCTGTAGGAGGAAAAGCGCTAATCTAATCTACTTGCGTCTGTCGAATATCTTTATCTTAGATGCTGACGAAGTGCATCTCTCAGCGATAAAGTTGAAGGTTTTGAAGCATGCAAATGGCCTTTTTTGCATCTCTCAGCGATAAAGAAAAACTATAGCTTTTCTATCTCTCAAGCGAAAGCAAAGATTTATATCGTGCTACTACGCTTGCGCGGTTCACACGACAGAATTCTTGCTTGCGCGGAACACAAGGCAAAAATCAATTCGGGCTTTCAAAATTCAAAAAACAAGCAAGAAATCAAACCACGGAAAATAAAAAATCAAAAAGTAGCGGATCTTCCTTGTCACACTCAAACACGCCGCGAACTCTACCTTAGCGTTCTGACTTCTAGCAGGCGGTGGTGTATCCACCCTTCACGACCATGCGACGTTGAGCTCCGGCGGCTTATTAAGCTTATTTTGCTCTACCTTATTTGTCTTTGAATCTTCAGCAGCCTTCCTCCTTTTGGTCCTCGTGGAGTACAAAAAATAACCGTCAACAGTAACTGTTCACTTCAGGCCAAAAATAAATGGTGAAGATTATGTCACCAGAGCTACTAACTCGCATCGGACTCCTTTGAAATTTGCATAACTGTAATTATTTTTGATTTTGTACGTAGTCGGTTGCTTGGTTATAATAACGTTGTAGTCAACCCCTCAATTACTCTTTGTCTATCGCGTAGTAGAAAGGAGCACTGTAGAGTGAGCAGGACTCGACGTAACCATACAACAACTTCAGGCGGCTGGCTGGAGCAGCAGCCCGCCGCTGCAGTAACTCAAAGTCCTCAATTATGGGGTTGGCCGACCACGGTGCACCGGCTGTACATGTTGACGAGAAGCAGAGGCCCGACGACGCTCGCCCGGTTGTAGTAGCTCACGACCGAAACCTCCAACGGGCGGAGGCTGTTCGGGGATGCCGAGTATATCCCGCAGCTCCCGGCTTGCCCTCGCGTTCCTCGCCTGCTCTTCCTCACCGCGTCCCTCGTTATAACGCAGCTGGTTGGTAGTTGGTCCCGGTGCCGTCCTCACGGCTCCAGTATTCTGTGGTGCCGGTGCCGCACGATCGCCATGGTTGTGGAGGTACTGGGCGCGGTGTTGATGCTGGCGTCTTTCCGGTTGTACCACAGGGGCGGCCCCTTGCTGTTCTCCTCGTCCCGGTGGTTCTTGCGCATCATCTACAACAACAGCGCCTGCCTCTCCCCCGTAGTTTTCACCTACTTCATCCACACGAGCCGCAGTAGCAGCCATGCGCCCCTGCTCCTGCAGCTCCTGCAAATGCCGTTGCGCTTGTGTTTGCAATGCCCCAACATTGTTGGCGACTACGGTTCCACCTCCAGAGCCCAACCCGAGACGGCCGCTTCTGGGTCCTTCTTCCAAAACGCGAGGAAGTCTATCTCCTTCCAATATCGCTTCTGGGCTGACGCGGGTCAGACTCAGCTTTAGCGCGTGAACCGCGAATGTGGTGTTCGGTGTGCTGGGAAAAATACTGTAAAAATTGTCAGGCACAAGGGCTGCGAAGAGAAGCTTGAATCCAAGCAGGACGAGGCGTTGCTGTATCATTTTCAATGTTTATGTTAGTTTAAAGATTTTGAGTTTGACAAGGACAAAGAACTTCTATAGGGCGTTGGGTTGTGAAGTAAAAATATGCGAGAGCGAGAATTGAAAAATAATACTAGTAGCAGGCGTACGAGTACGTGGGGAAGTGTACTAGAAGAAGAGTTTCGCTTCAAAATGTAGGTCGTGAAATCAAGAAAGTTCGCTTCGTAACCGATAGTCAAAGCACTGGAAATAAAGCTCGAGAAGATGAAGAAGGCGACCAGTAGTAAATCAAAATGAAAATACAGTTGTGCTGCTTAGTCTCCATAAAGCTGCTTCTAGTTCTAACGAGGCGACAATTTTCTTTCGGTTATCACATGAAGCCGGACACGAGATTTAGATTTTTCACCGAGCTTGTTATTGATCATGATCTTTGCTTCCGCATAACTACAAAAATGTCTTCACGACCGAACGCATGTGCGGCGAGCCGCGATTCTTATTCTTATGGGTGACCGAAATTTTCATTTACTGATACCAGGTTTTACGACCAAGTTTACCTCGGGTTGATCGACAGGCTTGCGCCTGACAGATCCTCGTCAATTCCAATTGCTTCAGAGAAACATCGAGTCTTGTGAACCGACCTTTTTTCGCGATCTTCACGACCGAAAATGCAGGATCGCATTTATTTCTCGAATTCACAGCGGTCGGAGTGCTACAACTACAGGTCGTGCTCTCAATGAATCTTTTCATTCGCATCCAGACGTGACGCGATGATCGTCCTGATCTTGATTTGCGACGTTGTCCACCAGCTCTAGATATCCACGCCTTACTACACGCGAGCTGTAGTATCTATACGAATACCAGACGTCTAGCTGCTTTGATGTTCCTTGATTCTTGTTGATGATCTCCCATTGCTCCTGTCGTGGCGCCCTCACATCATCATGATCGTGGCTCGATTTACTTTCCGTAAATTTTTTCGAAATGGAGACACGACTTGAACACGAGTTCATTGAAGGCCGCAATTAGGTCTAGGTGCGTGTTCCCAGTGCTTTTATTTTCTTTCCCAAAACTAATACGAAGCAACTCTCCAAACAAATCCAACATACTTAATCCCCCATGGGTAATGCTAGTTTACCCTTTTCATTTCCCGAATAAGCTAACCCGATGATGCGACTTGTAATGCTCCCTATACGATTGCGATTCAGGGAGGTCCTTGGCGATTCGATTGAAAGTGCGCAAATTTGTTTGTTTGTACGAATGGAAGCGCGGACTTCCACTCGAAGGTTTTGCCTTCTGCTCACGTTCTAGCTCTGCTCAACACAAACACGAGCGGTTGAGTGACTTTGCACCGAAGCCTGATGGAAAACAAAAAAGGAGGGACGATAAGAGTTAATCAAAAGTGGACTGCTTTTGGAAAAGTTGCTCGCTACAAAGACAACTGCGAAAAGAGATACTAGAAAAAAAAGACAAATTTGTTGTTGAGGAGTTTTGAACTTGTTGTCGAAAACAAAGCGAGAGTCTGTTAGTTAATTGATGAGAGGGGAATGGATGTCCTGAGGGGCATCCGGGGTGATGTTTGATCAATGCGCCAAGAAGCAGCAACACCACATCCGTTCATGTGCCCCTCTCGGCTAGTATCTTGTTGAAGGCTTTCCTTTTATTTTTCTAGCCAATGATCGGGCACGATTCTAACGCAGGTAACCGCGCTAAGAAACTGCAGTCGATTCTATCTTTTCTCCTCTTCGCCTCCTATTCGAAAACTCATTCGAAAACTTCATTCGAAAATACTTTTTAGTTATCCAAAACCATGAAAAACCGTACACGAAGATCAAAAAACCCATCTAAAATCATACACGATTTAATACCGATGAAAGAGCATGCTGAACCATTAAGAATCATGTACACATGCTCCGGTGGTCGCACACCACCACATCCATATAGGCGCCTCCAATCTGCTCTCTCCGTCGTTCAGGAGGCTGCGCTGCGGAGCAGTATCTGGCCCTTGTTAAGAAAAGGATGGATGGCCCAGCAGGTGATTCGGACGAAACGTACCGAGCGCAGGTGCTTGACCGCCATCAGCATTCGCTTGCCCAGCACCAGGATTCGCTTGCCCAACAGGAGCCGGGTTCGCTTGATGCCCAATCGCCCCATCATTTGCTGCCTGATTGGCTTGGCCAACCCCCCCGGGAGCCGGATCATTGTTCGCTGCGCCACCACCTCGTCCAGCTGCGGCTGCGGCAGCCATGCGCGCGTCCCTCATCTGCTCTCGCACAGCCCAGACGTTGTTGGCAACTACGGTCGCACCGTTGTTAGTGGTTCCCCGATTGTACGAGTCGTCGCGGCCCAAGAAGTCAGGATCTCCGGCGCCTGGACTGACACGGGTGAGGCTCAACTTTAGCCCGTGAACGCCGGTTAATGTGGTTCTCGTCGTCGTGGGATAAATAGGCACCAGAGCTGCGAAGAAAAACTTCGCCGCAAGAAGGACGAGGCGTTGTTGCATCATCTTCATTTTTGCAGGGGTCTGGATTCTGAGGGTGAGCAGTGTCACAGAACCGAAATCGAGTGACAATATTTAGACAGAAGTTTACAACAAGCAGGATAAGCGATTTATTGCACAGGACAGGAAATTAAAGTAGGTATAAATGTGTAAGGACTTCGCCACCTCGAGGCTATTTGAGAAATCAGAAGACAGCACGTTACCTGGATGGTCTTACCAACCCGAAGCAAAAAGAAAAAGCCACTGTAAATATAGATAGCCCTTCTTACTCGGTTGTAGTACGTTCATCAGAAGAAGCGGCTTATGAGGCGACATGTGTCGCTCAAGCAACCGAACTGCTATGCTGATCTCCAATCTGCATTTCCACACAAAAATATTTTACTGACCGACTCCGTTAGATGTAGATCGCGCTTTTTCAATGCGTAGAGACAGAGGCTCGAGGATCATTTTTCTTTGAGCTGATTTTCATTCAGCACCACATTTCCACTGATCGTTCTGGTGCTTGTTCTCGTAATGGAATTAATAAACCGATTCCTGCAAAAGTATCGTACTCGTAGGATTGCAATACAAATTAGTTCAGCATGACAAATGGAATCTCTCATGCTGATTTAGCTTGAAAAAGAAATCTGTGTTGCATGACTGCGATTAGTACGAGTGTGGATTCGTTCTACTAAAGTTTTTCGATGCAGCGCGGGAGCAACGACAGCTTCGAGATCAGCTGTCAAGAAGCGCAACATCGCGCATCCTGCCCTCTAGCGGATGCAACTGCTGCCTCATGATTCATTCACTCTTTCATTTGTGTACTATGGGGATTTGATTTGAATTTGATTTGAAGATGGTGCAATGACGGTCGCGCAAGTTCATCTTCATCCACACTTCTGATGGCGCAGCGCAAGCACTGCCGCCAGTTCCGCACTTCTGATGGTGCGCGTCTGGTGTTGTAGCCATCGTACGTACTGACTTCCGCACTTCTGATGGACATCGTCGTCATCGTGAGGTGTTATATCAAACGGGCTCGGGGCCTAATTCCATTTCAAACCAACTTCAAACTCATTTCAAACATTTTCGAAATTGCGCTTTTTAGATAAGAGTGAGCGGCCTGCTTGGGCTCTCCGAAGCCCTCACCGACGGCGCCAAAGGGGCCCGCTTTGGAACGCAGGAGAGCCCAATCTTCAGCCAGCAAACAATTATCCTGCCACACAATTATAGAGTCCTCCCTAGGCTAAATTGGAACGACATACCGCCACGAATGTCCCCAGTCAAAGAACCCGAATTCCAGTGCCTGCGCCCCCCGCGGCCCTGCGTAAGAAATACATAATTCCCCAAAATAGAAACTTCTGCCACCCCTCTTGCATGCCGGATCATTTTTCTTTGAGCTGATTTTCATTCAGCACCACATTTCCACTGATCGTTCTGGTGCTTCTTCTCATGGACTCAATATAACCTAAAGGAAGGCCCCTAAAAGTGTAATGACGCTTTTGTGTGCAGTCCAGATCTAGTTCATGCAGAAACAAGACAGATGCGTGACAGGTCTGGGACTCTTCCAGACCGAAGCATATTTGCACTGGATACCGTGCCGCGACCCCACCACCCATCATTGCTTTCTCGAACGAATCTTCCCGGCTGGGCGAGCTGCGTCGGAGTGGGGAATCTCCATCATGATCATCTAAAAAGCCGGAATCAACGCCATGGTCCTACTGCTGCGCCCCGCCGCTTGCTGTGGTGCTGGGGATGGTTGGTCCTCGAGGAAGTTTATCTGCTTCGGTGCCATCTGTTTGCGCTCACGCTTCTGCTGATCTTCCGCGCGATCCGTCATATGCACTGCAAAGATGTCTGGGTCTCCTGGAAAGATTGGAACTCTGTCATGCACATTTCGCCTGGGCCATGGAGATGATGTCTGCCCCTGCGCTGCAAATCTTTATCGCCCAAGGCCCATCCTGCATGACAAATGCCCTCTCCATGAGTCAAGAAGTGGACTACTTCAGCTGCTCCTGCAATTACAGAGAGACAGGGAGAGAGAGATGCAGAGAGACAGGGAGAGAGAGATGCAGAGAAAGAGAGAGAGAGAGATGCAGAAAAAGAGAGAGAGAGAGAGAGATACAGAGAGATACAGAGAAGAGGCCCCGAAAAGGTCTTCTCGGGAAATTTGTTACCGGAAAATCTGGAAGCCATCCCCGACAGGAAGCACAGCAGCTACCCAACCACGACCCCTACGCCAGCTGGCGTCAGAGTACACAATCACCGAGGGCAAATCGACAGAGCGGAACATCACCGGCGGTAGGCATGTCAAGCATTCTTTCATGAAACCCAGGGCGAAAACAGCGGACTTCGTCAGCGCAAGCTCCACGGACCGGTGGGGATGCGCCGCCCGCCGGAAGAGAACCTTCAATAACCCATTCACCCGCCGCCCAACAGTTAAGGAAAGGGGGAAAAGAAACCGCCCCAGCCAGACTTGAAGCACCACATTTCCACTGATCGTTCTGGTGCTTCTCGTGATTGACTTAATAAAACCGATTCCTACTTTTAACTTTTCACGAACGAAAAATATATTTTTATTTACAGAACCACGTTTGCAAAATGATCAGTCTGCAGCTGCGGCTCGCGGTGATATCCTTTTCACTGTTCCACCGTGGCCACACATCAACTCAGATCGTCTGTCTCTACCTTCGTGTTGAAGGCTTTTGGTTGAATTTCACAGGGTTTTTGATTCAATTTCACATTGTCCATACCTACACAGGGCTTTGGAATGAATCTCCCACGGTATCCGTTCTCAAACGACGAAATAAACAACGAGCAAATGAACAGGAGGCTGAGTGAAGACAGACACAGCCTGCATGCTGATCTTTCCTACCTTCAGATCGAGATACTGCCGCTTTCTTCCAAGCACTCAAATAAGTACTTCTGCTTGAGCGATCAATAACAGCGCAAATCATACATGTAGAGCAACCGTGTCTCTTTTTCAACTGTGTGTTTCTTTTTCGGTGCGATCACCAACAGCGGCCTCATGCTCTTCTCCTTCAGAGAGATTTCTTTTCGCGATGGAGTCGAGGAACTATTTCTGTTTCTGGTGGTCAGCATTTGCATTAGGAATACTAGTGTAAAATAATGAATAATATAACGGTAGACTAGTGGAGTGTTGACCTTTTTAATTAAAATACTCAGCCCGCAGGGGCTGTACGTACGCGTTTGTACAATATTGTACTGTACAAACGCGTACGTACAGCCCCTGCGGGTTCGAGTTGTGTGATTTCAATTTCTCTACTCGTCTGCAAGAGGTTCTTGGGGCACCTACTTGATTTTCTCTCGTTCGCATGATTGTCCACTTCCTATGCTTGCTCGCCGGCAGCTGGTCGTGGGCCGTCAACAGCAGGGGCATTTTCTCCACCTCCTCGATGACGAGGATGACCCGCCCCCGCGGTAGCCGCTGCAGCCTGCTGCTGCAACCGCAGTTGTTGGCGTTCGCGAAGACCTTGTTGGTATTCTCGAGCCGCGACACGGATGTTGTTGGCGTGTACAGGACCAAGCGTAGGGTCCTGTCCAAAGCGGTGGTTATGAAGGTAATGCGCTGCACCTGCAGCTGCTATCAAGTGCAAATATTTATGTATCGGCCTGGAAGCGTTGTACAAGATCTGTCATGCATGTCTGACATGACTTCAGACCCTGTCACGCAGGGGCACGAATAAAAGGCCTTCTTTTTATCTGTCGTGAGAAAACACACTCATCTGCCATGCGGAATACACTGGACACAGCAGCCCGCGTATGTTATGCTTGGCTGCCGCGTATCTTTATTGAAGTGCGTTTATCATATCATTCACTCCCACGACTCGTAGCATTGCAACTTTCCCGACTGACCCAGACATATTTTCATTTGATAGCATGATCATCCCCGGCAGCTGGAGCTGCGCCCTCCCCAGGCAGCCCCTGATGACCCGCGCCGGCAGCCGCTCCAGCCTGCTGCGGCCAAACGTTGTTGGGTGGTACACGTACAAGACCACCACGCGTGGCGACATATGCATCGCGGGGATCATGTTGTCCCCCTGCGTTGTTCGCGGCACCACCGGGACTTGTGCGGGTGAGACTCACCTGTAGTCCGTGAACTAGGGTGAGCGTGGTGTTCTTCGGTGTGCTGGGAAAAATACTGTAATTGTCAGGCGCAAGGGCTGCAAGGAGAAACTTGAGGAACCCAAACAGGACGAGGCGTTGCTGTATAATCTTCATCTTTTTTCTTTTTTCTCGTAAGGGTTGTGATGGAGGTCAGAAATAAAAAAATGTAGTAGCAAGTATCAATCCGTAGAAAAGGAAAACAGAAAAGTGGAAACGAGCTTGAAGCTCGCTTGTTAAGGCGTTTGAAATTAATTGATAGATGCAAATCTGTTCGAGGTAGTCCCCTCAGATAGATTATCCTCTTCCGTCCTCTAAGTCTCACGATTTCTTGGATTGGCATTGGTAGTCTTTCGTTTGAGATTAATTAACATCAAGGAAGTAGGGCGCCCAGTGGTCACGCACCTTGCCAAAGAACCGCAGAGATTTTTCACCGAACTGGCTTGATCTTCATTTCAACACCCTTACTTCGGCACACGAGATACACTGATTTGGCTCACCGACTCCAGCCGATTTATGGATCGCATTCATTTTCGATGATCTTAGCTGTTCTGTCAACCGAGGGTACATACTATCACCGTCGTGGAGATCTTCGAAAATAATTTGAATTTCGCTTGTTTCGCTATGCCGTACTTACTCGGGCCACAGATCTTCATCTGCAGTGACGATTCAGTGAGCACCACATTTCCACTGATCGTTCTGGTGCTTCTGCTTCTCATGGACTCAATACTGGTGCTTCATCCCGCCAGCTGGTGGTGGTGTTGGAGGAGGAGTTGCTGCGGGTGGACCCGCCCCCGCCGGAGGAGCAGGCGGTGGGGGAATCGCCGGTGGCGGCCCCGCCCCCGCCGGAGGAGCCGGTGGTGGAGGAATTGCCGGTGGTGGCCCCGCCCCCGCCGGAGGAGCCGGTGGTATCCCAGCCGGAGGTGGTGCCCCCGCGCCCGCCCCGATCGGTGGTGCTGGTGGCGCCGGAGGAGCAGGTGGAGGCCCGCCAGCTCCAGCTGCCGGCGGTGCAGGAGTCGGCGGAGTTCCCGTGCTGGCGATGGTCGGCCAAGCGAACGACGGAACCTTGATTCAGTACACGGTCGAAGACGTCAACAACAACACGAACAAGGTCCGGCTGTATGAGCTGCTGAATGCGGCCGAGCGGCAAGCCCTGACCGCCAACAACACAGCCTTCGAGAACTGCGACACGTCGATCGAAACGAAGCTGGAAGAGTTCAACCGCGACGAGTTGCGGGTCATCTACCAGCGGATCCATGCTGACCGGCGGGCTGCGGCGTTTCCCAACAATGGTCCGAACCAGGTCCAGAAGGCAGCCCTGGTCGACGGCATCCAGCAGTGCTTCAACCGACAGCACGACCAGTACCCAGTGCAGTAGAACAAGCGATCGAGTAGAACAGTAGTACAGAACAGCCGAGGAACACAGTAGTAGCAGTGCAGCGAGGCCTTGTTTCCCCTCTACATCTTTCCCTCCCGCCCTTGGGTTTACACGCCGACTGAAGTGAACCGCAAGACTAGCTTGCAGCTGTGAGTTCGAGTAAAACGCGACAGATGTTCCTGCGTCCCTGTACATCTCTATTATCGTGGTAGTTCCGTACGCTCTGGTAGTTATCGTCGGCACTATTCGGCTTTGGACACGACAGTAATTCGGCGACAGATCGGTACCAGTAAAACTGCCCACATGTGCCACGTGTGTCAGTTTCCCGTGCTCGGTCTGATGTCGTAGCAATTTCAATTTCTGTTGTCCTGTTATTTGGTTTCTAGTTGCTCTCAAAACGACGAAGTAGTTCCACCAGCAAGAAGATCGTCCGCCAGCATGACAGACGGCGACTACAGTGCAGAGCACCACATTTCCACTGATCGTTCTGGTGCTTCTGCTTCTCATGGACTTAATGAATTAATATAACCGACCGCTGCTTTATTTCACGAACGAAAAATCACTAGGACCACGTTTGCAAAATGATCGGATTGCACTTGCACCGCGGCTTGTTCCGAGAATTATTTTCTCATGCAGCTATTCAACACGCATGGTGTTCTTGATCACATGAAAATTCAGCAAACCATACAGTAGTTCATCATCATAGTATGTACAAAAACCTTTGAAGACAAAAGGAAGTCTACTTCGCAAAAATGGGTAGATCAAATATTTAATGCGATTGTGACTGTAAAAAACTGCTCGCAAAAAAGTGAGAATAAAGCTGGAACAGAAAACTCAAAAAATCCTGATTCCCAAATCACCTTTTCCGCTTCATCGCAAACGTCGCGTTGGACTCGTAGTAACTGAAATAGCCGTCGTTGAACCGCTATCAAATGTAAAAATGTCTGGGTCTGGAAGATTGCAACTTGTCATGCTAAATCTGCAGCATGCAAAAATCTGCGTTGCATGATTACCAAAAGTCGTCCAGTTTTGACCAAGTCGGGAGGTAGTTTCTCATGCAGGATAGGCATTAGAAAGGTCTCGCAGAATCTGTCATGCTAGGTCCTGCATTCCAAACCTCATGGGTCATGGAAAACTAGCATGACAAATCGCGCATTCTTCCAGACCCAGACATTTTTACATTTGATAACCGCGTTCTCCCGGCTTCCTTCTGGCTGTGCGTGTTTAAGTTGAAGAACGGCTGGCACGTATGCATTGCAAAAGTACTATCGTGGTAGTAGTATAATTTGCATTACAAATTTGCTTTAAGCATGACAAATGAAATTTCTCATGCTGTTTTCGCTTAGGAAGAGGAACGACGAGATTTGTCATGCATAGCCGCAATTAGTACGAGTACGACTACACTTTTGCAGTGCATAGCCCGCGTTCCCGTGCAACTTTTTCGCCACCTCGTCTTCCTCGTCGATCACACTGCTCGCCCGCGCGGATTCCAGGTTCCTCTGGATTTCCCTTAACGAGTTCAGCCGGTTTTCGCGGATCTGTTTCTGGTCCATGCCCTCATTCAGCGTCTTCGCCTTCACAAACGTCCCCCGCGCGTTCTGCACCGGGGAAGTGTTAAAGGGAGGGCGCTGCTGTTGACCACCTGCCGCGGTAGTTCTAGAAGTTGTACTTTCGACAACTTCGTTTTGATGTTGTTCTTTTTCCGCACCATAATTATGCGCCTGCTGCGCGAAATTCGTCCGACTTTGCGGCGTGAACATGTGCGTCTTCGCCTGTCCCAGCCCGGTGGAGATCTTCTTGTGCTCCAACACCCGTGTCACAACAGTCATGTCGTCGGAGGAAATAAATGGCTTCCACCCTCGCCCACCTAAAGTCACCACCGCGGTCGCCAAATCCAACCCCTTCGGGATTTCGAACCCGCAGATTTTCGCGAACTGGATGAATCGTTTATGCGATACCCCCTCGGAAGAAGAGTTTTGCGGCGTGGGTTTTACCATCTCCTTTAACTTTTTCCAGGCGTGCTTTTTGTTGTTCACCAAGTGGTACAAATACACGTTCTCGTTTTTCTCCTTGTTACTCCCGGAAGCGGAAAAATCCCCGCCGTACGACCCCTTGCCGGCGGAGTTTCTTAGAGTGTACGGGAATTTCCGCGCCGGGTTTTGCTCGGGGGTAATGCCCAAAGTTTTCTCCACCTGTTCATGTTCCAAATTCGACGACCCACCGTAATTTAGTATACCAGGTTCCCCAATAAACGAACTGTGATGACTTTGCACCGCGGAGTTCTTCTTGTGTAAGGTTTTCATGCTCGCGGCCGCGTTTTTCCCATATTGCTGGATCTTCAACCTGTCAAACTGCTCCCTGTCGATCAGAAACTGGTCTTTTCCGCGGTACCGTGCGATGACGAAATCAAAAGCAAACCGCGTGATTTTCAGCTCGGACAGGGATTTTATCTTGTTATACGCCATGTACTATGGATTGCAAAAATGTCTGGGTCTGGAAAATTGGAACTTGTAATGCTAGCTTTACATTCCTGGAAAATCTGTATTGCATAACCGACAAAAGCCATAGCCATTTTTGCCATGCAAAAACGTAGTTTCTCATGCGGACTGCCTATGAGAAAGCGCTCCGGAAAGTTGTCATGCTGGGCTACATTCGGAAGTGTTTCCATCATGCACATTTTAGCATCACAAGTTTATTCCAGACCCAGACATTTTTACAGTTGATATGTACTTTGCCAAAAACTCCAAATCCAGCCGCTTCTGCCGGCGGACATAGACGTTGCGGTTATTTTCAGCTTGTTGTTGGAGAAGTTTTTGATCGACGGCTAGAGATTGTGTGGTTGTTGGTGATGCAGCTCCTCCTGCGGTCGTTCCGGCTCCCAGCATCGCGGAGTTCACATCTTTTTCCAGAAACAAATCCTCCAAACTCGGGACTTTCCCGAATTTTTCCACGTGAAACAGGATCAAAAACAGCCGGACAAAGTCCGTCTTCAGCTGGAAGGCCTTCAAAATCGTCGAAAATTGCCGGAAATCGACGGAGATTCTATTCAGTTTTGACACGGCAGCAGCTGCCCTATTCGCGAGGAACGAAGAAGTTGATGTTCCTGCGACCTTCTTCGTTCTTGTCGGTATGCTATCGTCTTGTGTTGTAGGTCCTCCTGCTTCTCCCTCGGGCTTGATCTTGCTTGTGTTTTTGAACTGTCTCGTCGGTATGCTATCGTAGGTCGTGTTGGATAGCTTGTTAGTGCTGGTTTTAGAGGTAGAAGCGGTTGGCGACCCCGAAGTCGTTGTATTCGACGCTGTCACAGAAGTCGTTCCAGATGCACTGGAAGACGCCGCAGAGGAGGAGGAAGACCCGCTCGACGTCCCAGAACTCGCGGCGGATGAACTACTCCTCGCGGTGCTCTGCTCATTTGTATTGCTCCTTTGCGTCCCGGAGGTATTGTCCTCAGCCTCGCCTTGAGCGGATGAGGAATTATCTGCAGAAGAGGAGGCATCTGTCCTCGCCCCGCCTCGTAATTTCGGGATTTGGAGTGAAGCGGATACGGCAGCGACAGGGACACCGTCTCGCATAAAGTTCTCGTCGTCCTCTGTAGGCTCGTTGTAGAAAGCCAATCCGCCGAATGTGCTAGAGTTGTTGGCTTTTATTTTCCCAACACCTCCAAGGCTTCCCTCCATGAACTTCATAATTTTCCGTCTCTTCGCCCGTTGCTCCTTCTCACTTTCATATAATTTCACAGAGTCTTCCAAATCGTCCCAGAGTCGAATCAACGTCGCATGTTGGTTCAGCACCTCTGTCGTGTTCCACTCTTCTTGTTTCTCCTCGGCTTCTTCGTTTTGTGGGCTATCGAACTGTTGAAAAATTTTCTTCACGCCGTGTTCGAAGACTAGATGCCGTGCGAAATGCAGCAAGAAATCCTCGTTGGTGTAGTAGTCCGGTCGCATGGTCGGGAAGTAGTTGTTCAGGAATTGAAAGTGTTCGACGGTTAGGGATTGAAGAAACGCCTTTTCAGACAACAAAGTCGGCCTTAAAGTGAGGAAGACTTCCAGGAGGAGATCTTCCCAATTCAGGCGGAGATTTTGGTTGTCTAGCGGTTGTGTAGCTGCAGCACCAGAGGTAACAACTCCTGCCGTCGCATCTTTTTGTTCGTGGTCCCCACCAGCAGCACTATTCACCCTCTTCACCCATTCCGCCAATGGTAGATGCGTCAACGCTTTCGACAGATTCGAAGAGGAGTTGTTCGCGTTTTCTTTTCTATTTTTCCGGAAAAGTTTCTTCCCAAGCTCCTTCTCCTCGGGGGAGAAATCGGTAAACAAATCGTGATGAACAACCTCCGTGTTAGCAGCCGGAAGTCTTCCGATGCTCGGGCGGGAGGTCGACGTTGGGATGATCCCCGCAGACTGGCACATTTTTTCCGCAGTGACTGCTAAGTTCTTGAAGCCGTAATTTTGTAGGGTTTTGTCCGATAAGTTGTACGCGTGCTGGGAGAGAAGAAGCTGTTGCTTCAATTTTTTTTGCTCCGGAGATGTTGAGTCACCTTCTCCAAGTTGTAGATCGTTTTCGTGGTCCGAATTATTTCTGGTGTAGTTGTTTTTACCAGTTCTTATGGCGTGTTGCTGCTGCCCCACTTTCAAGTACAGCGGTGATCCAAAATTGCAGTAGTGGGAGAGCTGCGCAATGGCTTTCTTTTTGTCTAGCCGGCTCGTCTCGGTGAGCAAAAACCGCACAAAGTCGTTGGAGAGGGACTGGTATTTTTTCGTGTTGAGATTGGAAAAGTGCGGGCCTGTGGTTCCGGCCGCGCCTTGGCCTTCCGTGTAGGTGGCCCGCTCGGTTTCTTGGTCATAGTTGTCATGATCTCCTGCGGCTGCCGTGAACGCTGGACTCACTGGTTGCACGCTCTCAGGATGGGGCGCTTCTCCTTCAGGTAGTAGTATACCTGGTGAAGGTGTTAACTCCTCATCGTCTGGCATTCCGAGTTGTGCACCAGCAGCAGCTTTACCAGCCGCATCACCCGCTTCGTCCTCTGGTAAACCGAGTCCTAGCTCGTCATCAAGCTCTAATCCAAGTTCATCGGGCAAGGCAGTTTGCTCCAGGTTCGTAGTCGCCGCGCCCACGGTGGCGTTGCCCAGAAGCGGATCATCTACACCTGGGCTCAATTCGGTATCACTTGGACTCGGATTGATGTTCCCTTCAGTCTCTCCACTACCTTCATCAGGGTAAAACGCCATAGCACCGAAAGGGTCTTGTTCGTCTTCTACTTCGTCGATTGTGCCCTTTTCTTCAATACCGGCCGGAGACCCTAGCTCGTCCACGACACCGTCCATGGCGTTTTGCCAAGCGGGACTGGCTGCGGAGAGACCACTCGCACTCGAAGCATTGACTGCACGAGGACCGGCTAAAAAATTATCATCAACCGGAGAAGCGGATGGTGTTTCGTCGACAATCCCTGGTGAAGATGCGGCGCTTGCTATGGCTTCGCCTGTCTTTGTTGACATCACCACCGGGTTCGAAAAGTCACTCAACGAGTCCCCACCAACGCTGTCGTGCGACACCGCAACAGCGTTCGCCGATCCCTCCAGCGCACTTTCTTCGAACAGCCCGGCCATGCCCTCCACCTGCCGTTCCTTTTTCCGTTGCACCACGCTCTTCCGCCACCGCTGCGCCATGCGCTTCGCACGCATAGGCGCGACGAAGGTTTGGAGCCGCGTTTCTCTAATCGCATCCCTTTTCGCCTGTTCTTCGGGGGAAAGGATAGGTTCAGCTTGCTTCGCGGCTTTTGCTTTTTCCGCTTCCTTTTCCGCTTTTGCTTTCTCCGCGGCTGCGAGAAGCTCGCCGTAAAGTTCCAGGCTTTTCTTGTTCACACCCACGCAAAACGGGTCGAACGGCTTCTTTTTAGAAGAAATTGTATAATCCTGCTGCTGTTGTCCACCATGAGTAGAGCCTCCTTCTGCAGCCTGTGGATCATAAATCCCGTCGTAACTCAAATACTCGCATAATTCCCTCCCCTCCTCAACACTCACCGGCATTTTTGCCTGCAACGCTTCCCAGAACTTCGTGTCGTGCGTCACAACCGCCTCTGGACTATCGTCGGACAAAATTTGCGTCGACAAAACCTGGTTTACCAAAAATTCCAAAACGTACACACTATCCACGATCGCCGGGCCGAACAGCTCGATGCAGAGGAGGAAAAACTGCTCCATCGAAACGTTCCCGGTCGAGGGGCTGATGCTGTGAATCGCTTTTTCCAAATTCCCTCCGTAAAGTAGCCATAGTTGCCGCGTGAACAGACCTAAACAACAGTCCCCGTGCGGATTCCAGGATTTGTAGGTCAGGGGGTTCTCGTTAATGAAGTCTCGCGTATCAAGCGCAAACATGTCTGGGTCACTGGGAAAGTGCAAGGTTTGTCATGCACATTTTGTATCATGGCCCATGATGTCTGTGATGCATGTCCTAGCATCACAGATTTTTTGAGGGCTTCTTGATGCCTATCAGGCATGACGAATGCCCTCTCCGCGGACTAGCAACAAGTGGAGTCCTCTTGCTCTTCATGCAATGCAAATTTTTTTAGAATCCAAAGGCAGCATCACAAGTTGCTCTTAAAGCCCGACCCAGATATATTTGCAATGCATACCGCGAAAACTGCTGCCAATCTGACCGGTTTTTCGTCAACAATTTCTATCCTGTGCAAAAGTATCGCACTCGTAGTAATTCTTGCAGTCATGCATTACAAATCTTTTTCTTAACGTAGATCCGCATGACAAATTCTATTTCTCATGCTGAGAAAATTTGTCATGCATTTATACGAGTACGATACTTTTGCAGTTCATAATTTCTTTCGGATCGAGGCGATAGGGTTGTTCATCTCGGGGACCGCTCCAGTGACAGTGTCTTCCAATGTTGAGTCACCTCCTGCGTAGAAGTTCTTCGCAGAAGTAGTACCATACTGGTTGCAATCCAGTTCCTTCTGCAACAGATGACTCGCCGCGGTTAAATCAATCGTCAGATCTAGTTTCGTCGTATGTGTGAAGAAGATCAACGTCTCGTACACCCGGCTGATGTTAATCTTATCATGAAACTCCCGCGTCGCCCTCGAAAACGGCAAAAACCCGACCGTGTCACACCCGGCTAACAAGTTCGACCCATTCGTTTTTCTCGGTACCACGGTTTTCCCGTTTCTGAACAAGTGTCGCCAGATCAAACCTAAAGAGCCGTATTTCCGAAGTAATAAAGAGAGAAAGCTGTGCACCTCGTGGTCTAACGCACCTGGATAGGCTTCGAGGAGGAAGTGGCTGGTGTTCGTCAAAGCATTATTTTCCATCCCCGCGTTCGCGCTGTTCAAGTAGTTGTTATTCCGTTTCAACTTGTATGAAATGCAAAAATGTCTGGGTCTGGAAGAATGCGCGACTTGTCATGCTGCTTTTCCATGACCCATGAGGTCTGGAATGCAGGACCTAGCACGACAGATTCTGCGAGACCTTTCTAAATCTAATGCCTATCCTGCATGACAAACTACCTCCAGACTTGGCCAAAACTGGACGACTTTTGGTAATCATGCAACACAGAATTTTGCATGCTGCAGATTTAGCATGACAAGTTGCATTCTTCCAGACCCAGACATTTTTACATTTGATAACTTGCAGAACCGCTCCAAGTGCAAAACATCTTCCAATCCCCAATAAGGGTGGTAGATTTTCTGGCCGCAATCCAAATACGAGCTGTCCTCCTGTCCGTGCACCGCTGCGGGGAAATAACTGGTCACCATAAACCGGAAAACCAGTTCGCAGGAACCGGAGTACTTGTTCAGTTTCAACCAGCGGATGAAAAGATGTTTTGGGAGTTTGTTGCTATTCTTGTTCGCGTTGGAATCCCCGGTCGAATGGAGAGCAGCTTTTGAAGCCGACGCCACCGCACTACTTGTCATCCCTACTTTTGCATCCGACGGACTGGCCGCGGATGTTTTATTCGAACTGAGAAAAAAGGAGTGGAAATACTCCCGCAAATCCTGCCAATTCCTCCCATACGAATCGTTCATCCATCGGCCGAATTCGAAAACCACCTGGTTCTTATGGAATGCAGATATGTCTGGGTCTGGAAGAGTGGGAGTCATGCTGTTTTTGCATGACACAGAAGGTCTGGCATGGAAGCTCTAGCATTACAGGTTTCGAGAAGCTTCCGCAATGTCGAATCCGCATGACAAATCCCCCACTTTGGTGACAGAAAGTGGGCAGCTTTTGCTACCCATGCATGAGAGATTTTTCTGTGTTCTGAAATGTGCATCACAAGTTCGGATTCTTCCAGACCCAGACATTTTTACATTTGATAGTTCTGGATCTTTTGCAATTCGTCCGCGTGGCTGGAGTGGTAAAAATTCGACGACCGAACCGTTTGTTGCGACAGTCGCGCGAGCTGGGACGATTTCTCGCTTCCGTCGAAATAATTCAGGAATTTCCGGTCCTGCGGGTGATTCAGCAGCGGGCAGATCAGCATCACAGAATTGTAGAACTCGACGAGGGCGAGGCCGGTTAGGATGATGGTGTGCGAAGATGGTCGTGCAGTTGTGCCTGCAGAAGTAGCTGCATCTCGCGTCTTTTGCTTTTCTTCTTGCCCGCTCAACATCTGCTTGTTCTTCACCACCCCAGACATCAATGCTCCTGCTCCTGGCGGGGTTGTACTGTTTTTGTCAGCCCGCGGCCGCTCCGCTAAATTTAAGCATACTAAGAGGGGATCCTCTACCGGTTCTTGCTGTTCATCTGGAAGAAAGGCCTCGCTTTGCTCTTTCGCGTCCTTATCGAATGCAAATATGTCTGGGTCTGGTTCTGGAAGATTCTGAGACTTGGTTGGTTGGTTGGTTGGTTGGGTAGCGCCTGTCGCCGGTGCAGGTCCCGCCCCCCATCGATTGCGAGCTGGAGGAGCCGGAACACAAGGCCCTCCACTACGAAGGGACTTATGGAGACCTCATCGCTGGTCTCCGACGCGGAGCCCGTTCTGTTGTCCAAAATAAGAAAGGCCCGCGCGCCTGCTGGCGCAGGTTGGGCCCATGCCTCTGCTGCAGATAGAGGGCCAGAACGATCCGAAAGGGCGCAGGCCAAAATAAACGAAACCGGAACGAGGCCAAAACGGAACCAAAACGAAGCCAAAGCCACCCGGAAAAAAAGCGGCCACCCATTGCAACTTTTCGCCGGAAAGGCAAGCCCAGAATTAGATCGCTGGGCCTCGTTTTGGCCTCGTCTGGGCCTCGTTTTGGCGTCGCTTCCACGACGGCACGGCAGCGCGAGCCGGGCGACGGCAAAAATGCAAAATTTTTCGCGTTCCCCTTCCAGACACGAGACGCGCCTGCGTGGCCTCGTTTTGGCCTCTTTTTGGCTTCGTTTTGGCCTCGGCTTTTTTTCCCTTTGGCTTCGTTTTGGCCTCGTTTTGATTGGCTTCGGTTTTCCGGCAATGCCGGCCTGGGGTGGTCGCGTGCAAATATCTAATGGGCCAGAGTGCGGCCACAGCGTGACCATTTGAATATGGCAGGCACTGCGCGGAACGCTGGGGCTTCGCATAGTAGCCGCAGACAGGAAAGACGAAGGCGGCGCCCCCTGGGCATGTGGGAAGCGCAAAACGCTGCGACGGCCGGGGCTTTCTGCGTTTGTTGTAGTGCCATGCGGCTCAAAAATTGAGCCCGGCGGCACGCTGCGTCGCCGGCTCTTCCCTATGCTAGCTTAACGCGATGCGCCCGGGCCCGCAGAGCGCACAACACAAATGGCGCCCCCACTTACTTGCAGCAGAAATCCCACACACTGGGGGCCCTGTAAACGTCTCGGCCGACCACTATGGGAAAGCTTGCCGGCGTTTTGCGTTGCCAGAGGTGGGCCCTTGTAAAAGCTGCCCGACTGGCTTCATCGTTTTGGCTTCGTCCTGGTCTCGTTATCGTGCGAGGACGGTACCGGGGGTCGCCGTTTGTAAGCTGGTCTCCGACGCGGAGCCCGTTCTGTTGTTGTCATGTCAGGAGGAGATGACAACAACATCGCCCGGCCTCTCTCAGCGACTAGGGTGTAGCGGTCCGGTCCTGACAACCCATGCGCCCTTCACCCGTCTATTACATGTCCATCGGGATTTCCAATCGTATTGTCCCGCGAGACAATACAATGGGCAACACAACGGAAGCGTCCCTGACAGAAAAACAAGCTCCATTTTCACACACAGGGACCGACGGTGCCGGATAAGAAAGAAACGACAGCAAACGACCAAGGCCTGAGCGGGCGGCGGCAAAGATAACAATAACAGGTCAGGGCCAAACGCTACAAGAAGCAGGCGGGCCTGCCATCTCAGCCCCTACGCCACAGAACACAAAACATGAAAAGCGGGGCGCCACCAGAAACGGGGAAACGGCCCCAGAAGTGTCCTCCTGCAACCTGGGAAAGCGGCGCAGCGCGAAAAACGCCAACACAAAATTTTTCTAGGCATTCGATAAGGCCCCTGGCGCAACGGCTGGCCCTGGGTGACGATTGCGAGCTGGAGAAGCCGGAACGCAAGGCCCTAGTGGCACAATCGATCGACGAGGAAGCCCTCTATAACCATCCGGCTGCCTTGGAGTCTGTCATTCGCGGGCCTGGCAACCAACGCCTAGGAGCAAGCTACGGAATAGGTGCTTTGATGGGAGGGCGAGACAGGTCACGGCCATCCGCCTGCCCATCGAAGAAGAGCCAGGTCACAATCACATCCAGCTGCGTTCACAAGACCAGCCAGGTCACAGCCATCCAGCTGACCGCACACAAATGTCCCCGGCGGCAATCATCGAAGCGCATCTATGGGACTGGGAGGAGCCGGGAATTGCCAAAGGCAGGAACCCCCTGACACATGCCAACAGAACCCAATAACCACATATGACGACGCGGAGAAAGGGCATGCCTCGACTGGCTTACGGATCAGCCCGATTGCCCCGCTGCGTGTTATTTTCCCGGGCAAGTTCATTCATACTGAACCCCGGGCACGCCACCCGGAGACGGGCGAAGAAGTCCTCCAGTTTTTACAAAACGCCCCGCATAGCGGCCAACTAAATGGGGCGGGGTCAGTTAGCCATCGAGTTGCTTACTTCGCTAAACGGCGATGGGTGGACCCCATATACAAAAAGCCCCATTGGACTGCCCTTCTTTGCGTTAAGACCCTTTTATACTAAGTATCTACACTTGTCACGCACGTTTTGCATGAGCTGCCATGATGTCTGTGATGCATGACCTAAACAACACCGATTTTTTGAGGGCTTCTTGATCTTGTTAATGCCTATTCCGCATGACAAATGCCCTCTCCGCGTAGCAAAAATTAGATTCCTTTCGATGCTGCTCATGCAATACAGATTTTTTTGGAATCCAAATGCAGCATCACAACAAGTTGCATTCTTCCAGAGCCAGACCCAGACATATTTGCACTTAATAGTCCTTCTTCAGCAACAATTCCGATAATCTTCGAAACTGCAAATGGGCCTTTTCCCGGCTAGCCAGCATCTTCACGACTCTCACCGGGTTTTCGTAACCTCGCAAGCTTAACTCCCGCTGCAACTGCTCAGATGAACAAACAAATTCCTGCTTTTTCCCGTGTTTCCCCGTGATGGATTTCCAGAGGTTATACGGGTTTCCGTAGCAGTACTTCACCCACTTGCAGAAGTGCAGCCCGATCTCCTCGTCGGTAATGTTACTCGTGGAACTGTTCGGGTTCTTGAAGTAGTAGTTGGTCAAAATACTGCAAAAGGTCGGTTTTACAATCACGGAGTGACTCGTAAAAGAATCCGACAGCTGCAGCCACAATTCCACCCAGCAATCGGAGTGTAGACCCAAATCCGAGCAGAGGTTCTCGAACTGGAGTTTGTCGATTTGGTTCTTCTCGTTCAGATCGTACTCGTACCAGCACTGCTCTGCGGTTAGATAGTTTTTGAAAACGAGTCTTCCCAAGTCTTCTATCAACTGAAACGACTGTTGATCAAACGATTCTAAAGTGAGTAATTGCTGGTTACTGAACCGGTTATCCGTCACTTTCACCGGGTCCGGCATGAGGAAATCCCAAATAAACCGGACGTTTTTTTCCGTAATCATCGCCATTTTCGATCGGAACAAAGCCCAATTAATCCCAATCCCCTTGCATTCCCTGTCAAACAAGTTCCGCCAAGCAGAGCTCAAAGAACCGTATTTCCGCTATCCCACGAAAAAACTGCTTCTCTGTGATGATATATTTGCAAGATCTGCATCACAAGTTTGACACACATGACACTGAAAATCTGTCATGCGCTCTTCCCAAGGGAAAATACGCTTGAAAATCCAATGCCTTGTAGGTGCAGCAAGACAAATAGTTCTGTGTTCCATTTTCTGCATCACAAGTTCCCAGTGAAACAGTTTTTTCTTGCGATATCCGCACTAAAAGGTTCAAAATCCCCTCTAAACCATCGTACTCGTGGCGGAGTTGAGAACGGTATGGAAGCGTCAGAATCGAAATCGACTAAGTTGAAATAATCTGTAATGCATAAAACGGATAGCAGTTGGCGCCCAATTTTCAAGTGGCGCATGGCAAATTTGGATAGAACCCAAATCCAGTTTGTCATGCTGTTTGGGGAAGGAAGACACTTTTTGTCATGCTACTTTAGCAGCTCTATGCATTTCTACTTCTCAACAGGCTTCTAATCTGCCTCACTTGTCTACTCTGCAAGACAGGCATTTTGTGGATTGCATTTTTTGCATGACAAATCATTTTAACTTTGTCGATTTCAATCCTGACACTCCCATAAACGACAAGCATCCCGGAGATTTCGATTCGTTGTGGATATGAACCGCCGGAAACGGTCGCGGGTCAGGTATAGTTTCGGGGTGGTAGTGTTGTTGAAGGATAATCGTTCTTGCAGCTTTTGCTTCATTTCGGGCGGTGATGGTACCGCAGGAGTCCTCTGGACCACAAGGTCTTTCGCGTCGATCTGAAATTTCGATTTCTTGCCCTCTACCCCGTTGCCAGCAGATGCACCTCCGGAAGAAGTAGATGAAAACACCAGCGGTATGTGATTTTCCGGCTGTAGCCAGAAAAGAATGTTCGTATCCGTGACCGTAACTGGGTTCAAAATCTCGTAGAACAACAGTTCCGCGTCACTCCTACTCAACCTTTGCTTGTCGCTCTCTCTCGTCCCGGTCTGGAGTAAGATCGGGCCCCCTTGAATAGTATCAAATGCAAAAATGTCTGGGTCTGGAAGAATGCAAGATCTGTCATGCATATTTCTCATGACCCAGGATGCCTGTAATGCATGACCTAGCATCGCAGACTTTTAGACGGCTTCCAGATGCACCTTCCGCATGAGAAATGCCCTGTCCGTGTAGCACAAATTCCACCCCTCTTGCTGGTCATGCAATACAAATTTTTTTCGAGTCCAAAAACAGCATGACAAGCTGCAATCTTCCAGACCCAGACATTTTTGCAATTGATAAACAGCCGGCCGGTTGTTGAAAAAGTTGTAGATGTTTTCCTATCAACTGCAAAAGTATCGTACTCGTATATTAAATGCATAATTTCCTCAGCATGAGAAATAAAATTTGTAATGCAGATTTGCCTTGGAAACAAGACTTGTAATGCATGATTGCAATTAGAATTACTACGAGTACTATACTTTTGCACAGGATATTTCCACAAAATCTACGAAAGTAACCCCGGGCTTCATAGAGGCGTAGTTGATCTGACGGCGGCTACTGCTGCTGCTGCTGGTGCTGTTGTTTCGTGTAGATGTCGTGGTCTGCTCCCCGCCGTCGGTCGTTTGCTCCTGCGTTGCAGCCGCCGAAGATGTTGACAAAGCCGGTTTGCTTGTTACTTTAAACACCGCTCGCTCCACTTCTACCTGCAGGGACTTCCTTCCCGGGAACGTCAAGTAATTCGAGTCAAACAGCTGACAAAACCCGGCCGCTAATGCGGTCACGTTGTCCGGGATGTGGCTCTATCAAATGCAAATATGTCTGGGTCTGGAAGAATGCAACTTTGTCATGCTTGTCTGGCATGACTCATAAATCTGTAATGCATGAGCAGGAAAATGGCCTCTTGCCTGTCATGCAGAAACGCAATTTGCCATGCGGAAAACGAAACACAGTAGTAGTTGAAAAATTTGTCATGCTTGGCTGCGTATTGCAGTCCGCCCACCAGTCACATTTTAGCATCACAAGTTTCTAGACCCAGACATTTTTGCAGTTGATAGGCTATGGGGTCGAAAAGCGGCTTGGAGATACGTCGATTCCATGTAGTGCCGCTGCGCGACATTATCCTGTGCAAAAGTATCGTACTCGTACTAATTGCATTTATGCATTACAAATCTAGTTCCCAAGGCAAATCCGCATTACAACAAATTCAATTTGTAATGCTGAGCCAATTTGTATTGCAATTTATACTAGTACGTTACTTTTGCAATTCATAGACATGCTGGATGTGCGCGACCTCGCGGACGTGGTGCGAGGTTTGTTTTATCAATTTGTTCAGCTGGTGCGGGGTTTTCAGGAAACGGAACCGGGTGGTGGGGTCTACTTTCGACGGAGAAGTAGTGCTATTTGTTCTCATCTTGTTGGCCTGTGCTGTTGTATTTGCCGACAAATTATCGCCAGGTTGTTGCGCGTGCTCGAAGAGAAAATCGTCTGGCTCCAGATTACTGGGCTCGTCGGGATCGTCATTGAGTTGTTGCACTGTGGAATCATGCAGCTCGCTGCTGTCCATTGTTCCTTCCAGGTCGTTGGTGGCATTATTTGCCTCTAATGGCGCTGCTGCTGCTGATCCTCCGACGGTAGAGCGCTCCTCTTCGCCCGAGGAAGAGAATTGAATGTCGTCGGGGTCAGCAGACATGGTCGTTTTTCAAGTGTGTTGGTCTCAATTTCAAAAAGTAAAAGATTGAGATACTTATGCCAAAAATAAAACTCAGCTGGTGCCGAAAGGCGGGCGACACGACAAAAAGCAACAATACCAAAATGACACGAAACACGGTACAAACGAGAAAAAGAAAATGAGATATGAATAAAAGTTAGCAGTGGATGATGAAAGCAGTAGCTCACTGGAAAATGATGGAAATAAGGGGCAACAGGCTAGTAAAAGAAGCAGTTTCAACACTTCTTTCATCACGAAGCCAGACGATTGTTTTTCACGAATGAGCAGGTTGCGTCTTGCCAGGCATCAAGGGACCACGAACGACTTGTTTTTCTTGTCAGAGATTGCATTCGATGTACGAAGATTCTGTTTTTTATTTTTGCACGACATGAAGAACGAAGTTGACCTTAACTTTCGGTGTGCACGGTGTCGAACTACGACTGACGACGACGAGTGCTATCAAGACCACGAAAGAGTATCAAAGTACTTAGTGACCGCGTCGAAATGTTCCATCAAAACGATGAATTTCAGAATCATATCAGAACACGATGCATTTCTCGGTCTTTCCATAGACATTGCACTCGTAGGAGCACGACTTGTTTGATTTTTCATTCCACTTATCATGCGCAATCGCACGTATGCAATTGATGATGCCTAAAGCGAAAAAAACATGACCGTTATCCTGGATTTCTTAACATGTCCAAAAGTACTACTGTGGTAGGTACTCGAGGCTATGAAGCGTCAAAACCGTGCAAAGTAGGATCAGGAAGCATATTCTTTACTTAATTCTTTGCAAAGGATGATGTTAATTCTGCGACCTAACGCCACGAAAAACGGTTTTTAATTGGTTAGGGATTATAACTATTGTGTTTGTGATGTGCATGAAAGCTTCTAAGCCAAACAAAACCTTGCTAAAGGTATGTACCTATAAGGACTGTCCTTCAAAATACGTGCGTCTTGCTTCAAAAAAAAATCCTCAGGCTTTTTTACTTCAATTAGTGCGCACTACATGTAGCGAGAAAACTAGTATGTGTACTATGCATGATTCATGGTTTGATCTTCTTTATTTGTATGCAGGATTAGATGCACCACGAACATGGGTGCGTGTGTACAGAACATGTTTCCACACGTAGTCTGAAGAAGACATGAAATATTTCCTCTATCACAGACGCCTGTTGCAGTTCTCCTAAAGACTTCTTGTGTTTGCGACCAATATCTTCACTCAAACTCCACGTTGTCTAGTCCGTTTTTCGAAAACAGAAAGTGCCTCAGCGCCAACTCCTCTCCCACCGCGTTTGCCGGCAGCGCTATGAAATTGTAATCAACTACCTGCGCTTCCCGGAACGCGTAAAATTCCTTGCGCATCTGCTGCGCCCGGCGGATCGCGCGGGACTTGGGGGAAAGAGAGTGAGAAGTAGGGGATGACCGGCTCCTTCTACGGGGGGCCGCTTTAGGAGTACTAGAAGCGGCGGCGTTATGATGAGTGTTCTCCTGCTGTTCCTCGACTTCTGTGGCAGCGTCCATGTGGAAGTGGGACGACGTGGCGGTACTACCAGAAGCCCCGTTGCGCGGCGCAGCATCAACAAGATCTCGTTCGTTTTCGTCACCGACAAGAGAGGTCGCACTGCCTCGGGCTGCTGTAGTCATCTGTACCTCCTGAGTAGGACCTCCAGTCGTCCCAGGAATGTCAAAGCGGAGGAGGGTCTGCAGGCGAGTCACCAATTTGTCATGCTGGCCGACAGTAGACGAATCACGACCTTGCAGCGCCCCAAGCTTCTTCAACGTTTTCGCTAGTTCGTACTTCAAAAACTCCACACGCATCAAATCCTCGTAGGACAATTGTTCGATTTTCTTTTTCCAGGAGTCGAAATTAGAATATAACGGTGCACAACTCCCCCTCCCCTCATTTGTATAGCATGAACGGCAATACAAGTGTCAGCAAGAATGCAGGTTTTGCATCACAAATTTGCACAGGAGTGTAGTGCTATTTGGGCTGCCAGAACTTGTCATGCATAAATAGTGACAGGAGGGAAAGCGTGGATTGGGTATTTTGCATGAGAAATGAGAACGAGGGGGAGTTGTGCACTCTCATATAGAAACAGCCTTTTCCACGATCCATTCCGGAATGTTGTGCGCTCTTGCCTCCACACCGTGCTGCAGAAGGTGGTTCTGGTGGTTCCCGATAGTGGTGATCCCTGCGGCCGTGATCATTGTCTGTCCGTTGACACCATGACCGGCTAATTGCTTCGACAACGCCAGACCCGCGAACAATTTGTGCCGCGTGCGCAAGTACCGCTTCGGGTCGTGGAAAACGTGATCTCCTTCGGTCGGAAAAGTCGCCCAGAAGTCGTCTCGGTGATTGCGGGTAGGGTACTTCGCGGTCAGAACCCAGGAATATTGCTCCATCAGCTGCTTCAGAATGCTGGCCTTCTGCTCGGCGAGAGTAATCAGACGGTTGAACACCCGGGCTGGGAGTAACTTCGAATGATCCTGCTGCGCATCAAGAACATTGACCTGCTGCGCGTCCCGCAGTTTCTCGTGCAAACGCACGAGCTCCGCCTGATTTTTCGCCCAGTCTTGCTGAACCCGGATGAACAGCGGGTTAAACGCCTCCGCCAGTTGCAAGCGAAAGCTTTTCGAGATGTCAAACTGGACGAGCATGGCGCGAAACAGCGTCCATTCCACGTTGCGCCGTTGGATTTGCTGCTGCTGGAAAAGTTGCTCCATTTCTTGCTGTTGCTGCTGGAGCATAAGCGCCTCCTGCTGCTGCTGTTGCTGCTGCAGCCGCTGTTCCTGAATCCAGAGTAGGACTTCCTGGTCCGGCGTAAGCCGCCCGCCCCGAATCATGTCAGCGGGAAGGGGTTGCCCAATGTCGCGACGACGCCGCTTCTTCTGCACCTTTTTAGCAAGGGAGAGTTTGGTAGCGGAGACGGAGACAAGACCGCCAACGGTGGCTGCAGAGGGCATTATACTAGAGTCACCAAATAAATGTTCACCTGGCGCGGCCTGGGAAGAAGATGTTGCAGACAGGTTGGTGCTCATCTCCAAGACACCAGCACAGGTTAAATAAGTGACCGCACAGAGACGGCGCAGGCCAACCTGCTCTACCCTAAAGAAACGTTGCATCGCCATGATGTAAATGTTTAATACGTATGAATTGGAGTTGATACTGTAGTTGTGGAGGAAATTATATTACGAGGGCACAAATGATATCTGTGACTAGTAGCGACTCGCCTGTTCTAGGAGAAAATCACTGTTTCTGTTGATCGACGAAGCAGACCAGAACTACAACTACTTCTCGGTGGATCTTGTTGTTTATAATTGCCCAATATTTTCCAAAGTGTCAACGTGTGTACTAGTAACAGTAAGCAGGTTGAAAGGAGTTTTATCTATGCATACATGCACGACTACACTAGATGTTGTTCTCAAGCCTGGAAGGACCTGGAAGTAGAGAGGGTGTAATTAAGCGTTTAAGATCATTTTTTCGACGTCATTTCGATACCGATACTTAGCTCTGACAAATATTTGTATTTGGGCATCCGCATTGTAGCTTTTCCAAGCAGTAGCAGATGCAGATCCTCCAGTCTTGAAGATCATCATTTTTCACTTCATTTACTTGCTCTACTGCTACTTCACCGAAGATTCGTCGAACACGTGATCTTCTTGCGCATTTTGTTTTTTGACTTGATCGATTTGGCGGACTAGCCGCAGGGAACGTACGAAGATATTCTTCGTGATTTCATCTTGCGATGATTTGTTTGTCAATTTTCGTGCAACGAGGACCGAGGTTGATTGCCTACTTTGTGCTAGATGAAAGAACATAGCACTGCCTTGTCTACTGCTGACCACATTTCGCGCCCAGGTCAGCCGCCAATATCAAACTGGGATGATCTGGCTCGTGCGCTCTGTCTGCGGTTAGACTTAGATGATCTGATGTTGAGAACACGAAATTAAAATAGGTAGAAAACTGGTCTTCACCGGCAACCATCAGAGTCAGTGTTGAAAATAAGCACTTTTTCCTTTTGGCAAGTGTTCGAGTTCGAGTTCGAGGCGTTACCTTCTGAGCGTCTATCTGCCCAGATAGGTAGACTCGAAACTGAAGCCACGCACTCGCAACTCCAGCCTCGCACTCGCAACTGAAGGGCGTCATCTTCAGAATGCTGGTCTTACATGATCGTGGTGTTCTTTAACCTGTAAAAATGAAGAGGCTACAAAAGTGCCAGCGGCTAAAAAGAAAGATAAAGATAGTGTGCGGCACCAGACAGGCGGCGTTCAGCCGACTCGGTATGATTTCCTGTTGTACTACGTACAACTCGCAAGTACTAGTACATTTTAATTCTTATTTTTCAGTAGGTCCTTCTCCTTACGTTAAACTCACCCTCTGCGCCGCGAGGAGTGATAGCGGAAAACATGAACAACTTCCACTTCGGGTTGGCGTTGGAAAATAATGATAAAAACCTATCGGGTGCTCGTTTCTACTTTAGGCGAGCGACTAACTGCTCAGCGTACTACTTATGTTCCTGCTTGTAAGTAGCTGAGTGTCTCAACTGACCACCACCGAAGCTTGCCGAAACACCACCGTTTTGGGCTGTGAACGGCCAAGCACGGGGAGTTGCCGGGGAGAGAGAAAGCCGAAACCCTCAGGCAGCCCCAGCTTCAGAAAGGTGCAATACTACCTCCTCATCCGTACAGCACCAATCAACCTCCGCAATAAAGCCGCAAATAATAAGAAATACCTCCAAAACGCATTCGTATAAAAGATATAAAAAAATCATCAAAATATACATGTAGCTTTACTACTAGGCGATACCCCTTTACCTTTTCCTCCCTGCACCTCCATAGGCGAAGCAGGGAGGAAAGAAATTATCGATGAACGGCAGGCGAGCGCCGATCTCCACCTGGATCATTGTCCACCTCTGCACCAACTCCTGCGGCGCAATTCCACCACGGAGCGAATTCAATTGTTGTACCGCGTATTATTATCTTCGGGTGGAACAACAAGAACAACAATGTGAATGGCCGCCATAATTATAATACGTCAATAGATTTTGATTTACAAAGGCTGCCGCTGAGTGAGAAGCCTGTCTTCAGCTGACATGCGGCCGCGCTGTGGCACTGCCTCTGGTACTCCTTCAGGCAATCCAAAACCCTACGCAAACGGGCGATCCGCTCTTCCCGGGTACGCTTATCCGCTCTTATTGTATCGCTATGATGGCTGCTCTGCTGGACTTCCAACCACCCCCGTTGCAGCACCTGCCTTTCTTGATCCTCCCGGTGCACGGCGTGCATCTCTGTACACACATATATCCCGAACCCGAGGTAGATAGCAGGTGCTATTCTTGTGAAGGCGTCACTCATGGAGTCCCATCCTCGGCCGTCGTACGCCGCGTAGCAACAAAAGAAGGTGGGCCAAAACGCGGCCGCGCCTAACAGAAGAGCCGTGTACCCAATCTGTTCGCGCAACGTCAGGGGAGAGATCGTGGACAAGTCCTCGATCTCTTTTTCTATCGCCGCAACCATCTTGCCGAGCACGATGTTTTCATCAGGCTTTGCATTTTGATTATCAAAATCTTCTACCACAACGAAACAGTTTTTCATGCTCAAGGAACCCGAAGACAGCGGGTGGTTGCACAGTGGGCAAGAACCACGCTGCGGCTCTTCTGCGGGGTCAAAACCAGGTTCGCAAAGAAAACCACGCCTCTTCTTCAGATCTATGAACTGCAAATATGTCTGGGTCCTCTGGGAGATTGCGAGATTTCTCGTCACGCTAGTCAGGGGGCATGACTCTGAACTCTCCTCGATAAGTATTGCGTGCCCGCGAAGAGCTCATCTCTTCGATCTGTGGTCATGCAAAAACGCAGTTTCTCATGCGGACGCGTAAGTACGCAACTGTGAACCACGGAAGAACTTGTCATGCTGGGGAGCGCGTCCTTGCAGTAGTGTGCCTGTGGCTGTGCTCACTCTTCCATTCCTTGTATGACAAGCTTCCAGACCCAGACATGTTTGCGATGCATAGGCTCCCCTACTGCACACTTTCGATGGAACTTGTGCAGGGCTGTCTCCTTTATTCTGAGCAAAAGCGTCCCCACCTCCCTATAGAGGATAAAAAAATATTAATATTTTTTTGATAAAAAAATGGCAAATCTGCATGCTAAATACTTAAGATGGTTCATGTCATGCTGAGCCCCATGAGAAGCATTTTCTAGTCACGGTTTCCAGCTTGTCATGCACATGCTCCAGTCAGCATGATGCGCTAGATCTGTGACGCTGCTGAACTAGCTCAACAGGATTCCACTACATCAAGGCCAGGCTTGTCATGCGCAACAACCAAAGCTTGTGGTATCTGTGTAAGTAGCAGCAGATTCCCCATCTTGATATGATAATATGGACAACTGGGGACGTTTTTACACAAGATATGCTTCAGACGCTCCTCAACCTCCTTTGATCCGCTCGCATTTGGATCTCGGATATGAACTGCAAATGATTCTGGGTCTGGAAGGCGGGTGCAACACTTGTCATGCAAATCATCTTACATGAGCCATGACGCCGGTAATGTATAATCTACCATCACAGACTTGTAGAGGGCTTCCTGATGCCTATGCCGCAAGAGAAATGCCTTCTACTCCATGTAGCGCAAACAAGACCCCTCTTGCTGGGAATGCAATACAGATTTTTTTAGAATGCAAAGACAGCATCACAACTTGCAACCTTCCAGACGCAGACAAATTTGCAATGCATATGGCAGGTGGAGGAGCGAAACCACGTCGTCCTCTGAGTTTGTACTAGTGCCATGCAGTTTACCAAGACAAATCGCACACGTTTGCTCCTCTTCTTCGCCTTTAGTATTTTTCCATCCGATGTTGTCCTGTGCGGCAGGAGCAAGCGGAGCAGAAGCTCGTCCACCTGCTGTTGTAGCACCAGAAGATGAAGCAGCAGCACCAGCAGGACTTTGTTCTTTTTTACGACCACGTTCTTGTTTTATTCTGCGGCCAGTGCTGGACCTGGAGCTCCTACCTCGAGAGGATGATGTTGAGGGTGATCGGGGAGGAGAAGCGTTGCGGGATTTTTGCTCTTCTTGCAACAAGGGGGATGATCGAGAAGTACTTCTTGTTCTTCTTCCGCCTCTACTTCGCGGAGCATGAGAGGCTTTAACGCTGGCAACTACCTTGGAGGTCGTCAAGCTGGTGTGCAGCCCCAACAACAAGTAGTGCACGACGGTCATATGAAGAAGGACACCAGACAAAAAACCAGGCATCACGGCAACCCAACTGCGTGCTGTAGTCCTCTGGAAAGACGGAGAGGAGCAGTGCCGGCGCGCCATCGGCTATCAGTTAAACTGACTTACTTATTGTTATATGCAAAACAAAAGTAATTGAAATCAATAAAATCAAATTGATAATGCGCGACGTGCTTCTATCTGGTACGTAGATAAACAAATACGAATACCACTAATTACCCGCCAACTTCTTGATGAAGTAGTAGCAGGAGCGGTTACTGAAGGCAGTTCTTTAGGGTTTGTTATATAGGTAATCAAAGCTATAACTATGCTAGAGCTTGTTTCGTGCAATAAAATCAAATCTGGAAGTGTTGCAACACTTTTGTCATCGGGAATACATGAAATCAGAAACAGTTTCTGCCTTTTCTTTGCAGTACCCATCATGCGAATACTACATGAGCAACTGAAACAGCAAAGCGATCCGGGGACCACGTGCTGGGATCCAGAATTTTCTTTTCGCGACGACATCCCAATCACCCTGACTTTTTGAACCGAAGTGGTACGTGATAGTTCTGACTATTTATGTTTGAACATCCGTACAGCTTTTCCAAGCAGTAGCAGATGCAGATCGATCCTCCACTCCTGATCATGTGTCACTTCATTTACTTGCCCTTCACAGAAGATTGATTCTAACAGGTGATCTTCTTGCGCATTTTGTTTTTTGACCTGATCTGATCAATTTGGCGGACCAGCCACACGGGACGAGATTTGACATCTTACATTGATTTGACAGTTCCAATATTCGTGCTGCGAGGACCTGGGTAGTTTTTGCTAGAAAGATAGCACTGCCTTTTTCTGCTGGGCAGCAGGGCAGCAGCAACAGCAGGGCAGCAGCAACACTGGGATGATCTGTTTCGTGTTCATCTTGCGGTTAGAGAACACAATAGGTGGAAGAAAACTGGTACTCACCGGCGACCAGGAGCGTTTCGTTCGCGCTTCACGAAGAATGAAGCACCACCAGCGGATTTGCGGCTTTTCACTGTTAACTCTGTCTACTTAATGTTAATTTTGATTAAGTACTTATACGCTCCCGTCCTTCGATTCCTAGCGATAGAAAGCTGTTGTAGGTTCTGGATTTGGTTTGGTTTCTCATTGTTGTTGTTCGATTTTTGTTCCCTCATAACTTTTCAAGCGACAGTGCATTGATGCTACAGAGCAGATCATGTTGGTTCATTCTGCATGCAAAAGCGCACGAAGAGAAGTAAACGCTCTTATAATGCTCCCAACATCACGTGCTCCTGTGGTGGACCGCTTTTTTTTTTCATCCAGTAGTACAACCTACTTCGTCGTGCAGCAGGGATTTTTTTACACACACCCTGATAGATAGCTGCCCACAGAAAAGTGCAGAAATTTCTGCAGCGCTATTTTTCTACCTGCCTGCACAAACTGAATGCCTACACGAGATTCTTGATCTTGTGTGACAATATGGAAAAGTAAAAGACTAGTAGAGATAGGCTGCTACAGCGAGAAAAACGTGATTAGTTGAGGAGATGCGTTAATAAACAGTTATAAGCGTGGTCTCGCTCTAGTACTAGTCAGTGCCAAATTCTGATTTTCGACGGCTTGCAGCTTCGATTGATGCAATAAAAATGCTTATCCTGAAAAAGCACGGCCCGCAAAGCAAAAAATCCATCTTACTCCACAACTCAACAACACTATGCCAAGAATAAAACCCAGTTCTTGCGGATCTTCAAACTTTTTAAAGAAAATCTTGATTTAATTGTGCACAGATACTACAGACTCTTTAATTTTTCATTCTGGATCAGCTTGCTTGTTTGTTTGGTAAATGTTGATTTCGAGAGAAATTCATCAATGCAGTCGCCTACCGCTGCTGTCCTCCGCCTTGTGTCGCGAACTCACTAAGGCGCCGATTCACAATTCCACGGCGCTGGGGTCGTGCCGGTGCCGATGCTAATTGTGCGGCAGGAGCTGCAGCCTGTGGTTCTTGCGCTGCTCGAGGTTCTACTTCGCGCGCCCGAGAAGTACCAGCAACCTGTCGCTCTGCTGCACCGGCGGAGGATTGTACTGGTTCTGTTTGGACATGAACTTCGAGAGCAGGCCCGAGATAAGTCACGCCGCCGCGGCCGCTGCTACTTCCAGCAACTTGTGGTTGTGGTCCAGCAGGAGCAGGTGCAGCACCAGTAGTTCTGTAAATGCTGTGCTGCTGCTGGCTAGAAGTACTGGACGAGGAAGCGGTTGTACTAGGGTTCAAACCTGCACGTCCACCGCCCGAAGCCGTCGACGAAGACGGCGGTACAAAACCTCCACCCAGATGAACTTCCGGCATGTCATTTTCAAGAATGATCTCCTTAAAAAACCTCTCCTTCATCAGCGGCACAGTCAGCCGCAAGCCGGCCCGCCCCACAATGTTGCGCGGGAGGGCTTGGGAGACCAGCAAGTTCTGCACCTGGACCGGCGGGGAGTTGTTGTCAGCGCTGTTGGGCGGAACAACTGGTCGAATTGCCTCGTCCAGTTCCGACTTTAACCGGCGGCTCGCCTCTGCGAGCACGTGTTGGAACTTCCGCTGCAGCGCTTGCAAAAAGGATTGCCTAAAAATCCTGTTGTCTTCAGAACTTGCCTGGTGCTGTTGCTGTTGGTGTTGTTCTCTGGTGTCTGTGTCAGCGTTTGTAGTATAATTTCTACTATCCAGGCGCGTCATCAAACTCGTTCGCCGCACTTTTTCCTTGAAGTTTTTGTCCGGCCAGGGAAAAAATACGGTCATGGGCTCCCAGGACGGGCGGTTGCTGTCTCGCCGTCGATCGTCCCCTGTCCGCAATTCTTGTCCGGCTTCATTACGATCGGGCTGGAAAAACTCCTGCAAGTACTTCAACTCCTTCCGCACTCGCACCAGCTTCGCTCGTTCTTCTTCCGTCAGCTGTGTGTTTGTCCACTGGTTCTGCAACTCCAATATTTTCCCCGTCACGATCCGGGTTTCTTCCTGGATCATCTCCTGTATTAGACGAGCCTTCTCCGCGCGTGTTCGCTCCTCGTCAATAGCAAAAGCGCCGTTCACGTTCACGACGGCGGGCAGATAGTCCCGCCTGGGATAGCTTCTTATTCCCGCTTCTTCACGCTCTTCGATCCACTTGGCCAGATGCTCGTCCACGTAGGGTTCCCGGCGGGCGAGGAATTCTGTTTCCAAAATCAGTATCCGCTTCAAAAGTTCCTGTTTGACAAACTCGAGCTTCAGCACCCAGAGAAAAGCGGCTTCGTTGATGTTTTTCTGCCACTCGGCCAGGAGCTGGCCGAGGTCCTTGATGTTGTCCAATAAAGTCCCTTCGTTTCTTGTTGTTGCTGGCGCTCCTCTGGGAAAACTTGTACTACCTGTGCTACCCAGCAACACCTGCTCCATGATCCACTCGCGGGTGCTGGAGAACCCGGCGAGGCGTGGGTCTGTGCGAGTATCGGGGCGAAAAAAAGTCTCGTTCCGCGCCTGTCTGTCTATCCTGAGTAAAAACGTCCCCACACCAGAGTTGTCATGCAAATCTGCATGCCAAAAAAGTTTGTCATGCGGAGCGTCATGAGAGACATGTTCTAGTCGTGTTTTGGAATTGTGATGCTATAATCTGCATGATATACTAGATCTGTGATGCTGCTGAACTACCTAAATCGAGGATTACACTACGAGGAGAAACTTGTCATGCCAAATGACCAAAGCTGGCTGATTTGTCTAGCAGATTTCCCATCTTGACTCTGGTGTGGGGACGTTTTTACAGATGATACTGTCCCTCTCAACTTCTTCCAAGTACCTCGCGGTTGTCCCCTGCTGCCCTTTATCAAATGCAAAAATGTCTGGGTCTGGAAAAATGCAGACTTGTCATGCATATTTTGTATGATGATTGATGCCTCTAATACATAATCTAGCAACACAGATTTTTAGAGCGCTTCCTAATGCCTATTCCGCATGAGAAATGCCCTCTCCACGTAACACAAACTGGAGTCCTGTTGCTGGTCATGCAATACAGATTTTTTTGGAATCCAAAGACAGCATTACAAGTTACAATCTTCCAGACCCAGACATTTTTGCAATCCATACCCTTTTTTCGCATACTGATGTGTGAATCGCTGACGGATTGAGTTTATCAAATGTAAAAATGTCTGGGTCTGGAAGATTCTGAGATTTGTCATGCATGTTTTGCATGACCCAGGACGTCTGTAATGCACGACCGCGCGTCACAGATTTTGAGAGGGCTTCCTGATGCCTACTCCGCATGACAAACGCCCTCCCCGCGTAGCACAAACTAGACTCCTCTTGCTGGTCATGCAATACAGATTTTTCTAGAGTCCAAAGATAGCATGACAAATTCGGATTCTTCCAGACCCAGACATTTTTACATTTGATAGAGTTCTCCCTCACGACGGAGCCCGCGAAGGACATTTCGGCTGGGAGAGCCGGCGCGTATCCTGTGCAAAAGTATCGTAATATTCGTATAAATGCATTACAAATTTCCTCAGCATGAGAAAATAGAGTTCGTAATGGAGATTCGCCTTGGAAACAAGATTTGTAATGCAGGACTTCGACTTGCATTTATACGAGTACGATACTTTTGCACAGGATAGCGCGCCAAATTGGTCCATGTAGGTCGTCTCGAATGTTAAATCATTTCTACGTCGGTCGCGCTGTTCTTCGGGAGTGGGCAAGGGTTCGTGCCTGGAAGCAAATAGCAACGCGAAAAATTTTCTGTGCTCGTTGTCCAGAATCGGCTTCACCGAAGGATCATCGTTCTGTCCCGGAAAATGTCCTCTTCTTGCTGCGTATGCATTGCAAATATGTCTGGGTCTGGGAGAGTTGGAACTTGTGATGCAAATTTCGGATAACGCAAAGATCTGTCATGCATAGAAAGCAAATGCGTCTCAGAACTTGGTACCATAAGGGGGGATTTGTCATGCGGAGTAGGCATTGAGACACCTTCTACTCAAGCTGTGTGATGCTAGGGCTTGCATGGCAGACCTCCTGAGTCATGCAAGAGCAGCATGACAAACATCTGCACTCATCCAGACCCAGAAACTTTTGCAATGCATACTGCGTCGACGTCCAAGTTCGGCGCAGTCTCTTTGAAAACTTTTTGCCCATTCTCCGGAAGTATCAAATGTAAAAATGTCTGGGTCTGGAAGGTTAGAACTTGTCATGCTAAATTTTTTTTTTTTGCTAGGCAATTCGCACGCCGGTCGGTTTTCGCTGATTTCTTTTTTCTTTTCTTTTTATTTTTTCTTTTTTTTTTTTTGTTGCGTCCTCTTTCTTTTCTTTTTTTCTTTTATTCCGACACAGCTGACGAACCTGTGATGCTGCATTTGGATTCCAAAAAAATCTGTATTGCATGAGTACCAAAGGAAATGCAATTTTTGCTACGCTGAGCTGAGCAGAAGGCATTTGTCATGCGGAATACGCATCAAGAAGCCCGCAAAAAAATTGTATTGCTAGGGTATGCATCATAGACATCATGGCTCATGCAAAACGCGCATGACAAGTGTCAGAATCTTCCAGACCCAGACACTTTTACAGTTGATAGGAAGTGCAGCAGAAATCAACTGGAATCGGGCCTCTATGCTCAGGTGCGAAAATACATTGTACTTCAGCGCGGCGACTTTTTCCAAATGTTTTCTGGCGGCTCGTAACCCCTTGCGTAAGTCGTCTCGACGAGAACATCTTCTCGTCGGTATTTCTGTTGTTCGCCGGGTCGTGGACGTGGTCGAGGTCGTGCTGGTTCTTTCTGGTTCTACTGTGGGCAGGTATTGGCAATACTGATCTTCACCAACCAGCTGTTGCCAAACCCATTTTCCCAATTGTCGGCTTTCTACCTCCGGACGGGTGACAAACACGGGCACGGGCTCCTGAGGACTGCTCGATGGTGGCGCAGGTTTTGCCTTTGCTGCGCTTTTTTTCCCGCCACGACGACGAGAGGAGCTGCCCGTAGCTTTGCTTTTGGGAGGAGGTAGTAGTACTCGGATCAAAATTTGCTGCATTTTCTTCGCATTTTCCGACTGTTCCGCCCACAGCTTGCCGGCAAATGCGCTGCCTTCCTCTTTAGATTGCTTTTCGTGGCTTTCGAACTTTTCATTTACTTCTTTGAAAACTTGATGCAACTTCACCCGAAACCCCGTTCGCAGGTCCCAAACTTTGATTGCCTGAAGGAACTCGGTCCAATTCGCGCGGGCGTGCAACTTGGCATGCGCAAGCTCATCCCGCCGGCGCTGGAGATTCTGTTGGGCATTCCCGTCCGCTATCAAATGCAAAAATGTCTGGGTCTGGAAGAATGAAACTTGTGATGCCGCACTTGGATTCCAAAAAAATCTGCATTGCATGAGCAGCAAAGAGAACGCAATTTGTGCTACGCGGAGAGGGCATTTGTCATGCGGAATAGGCATCAAGAAGCCCTCAACAAATCTGTGAAGCGAGGGCATGCATCACCGACATCATGGCTCATGCAAAACGTGCATGACAACTATCAGAATCTTCCAGACCCAGACATTTTTACAATCCATATCCGCGCGTCTCTCCCGCGTCTCCAGCTCTGGGCTGTACGCAAGACGCCAATTCTCGAACCGCTGGCGCATCTCCTGCATGCGTGCTGCCTCTTCTTTTTTCTCCTGCGGCGACAGAGTAGCCGTTCTTTTCGCTGGTGTTTTGTCTTGGTACAGGTTGTCCAAGTCAGTTTTTAAGAACTTTCTGCCCAGTTTCTTATGCAGCTTCACCTTCACCGCCGAAACGAAGAAGAGATGATCAACATGATCTCCGGCTGGAGATGGTGATCCCACTCCGAAAATGCTAAGGCTCTGTAGTTCGGAGGATTTGCTTTGCAGCTGCAAACATGCAGCAGCTGCGAACAAAGAAATCCGCTGCCGCGTCAACATGTTTGATAAAAAGGACTTGACTCACTGCAAGATGATGGATGCTACTAGTACTACTGTGATTAATGAATTTCTTTGCGTCGGCAATAGAACAGAAAACGCTCGGTTTGAGAAGAGAACAAAACCACTTACTTTAATTTTTAGAATAGAAAATCACGCGAAAAAAAACTGTTAGTGTGTGCTCTCTGCAGTTCAAATTCTTGGATGCAACATTAATCTCACTTGGAGTCTACGAATATTGCGAAGATCTTTTGTGCAAGCGAATTAGTAGAACCGATTCAGTGTAACAAACAGTCTCCTCTCTTAACCTTATGCAGCACGACACAATGCTTGTAGGAATTTTTTCCGAAAGCGAAAATTGTTGCAGATGTTGAATTTGTGAAGTGACGTTATGCTGGCTGGTAGAGATTATAGATAGTTCGTTGAATTTGTGAAGGTAGTAGAGATTATACACGTAAAAAACGATGAGAAAGTAGTTGTAGGTTTGCGCGAGCTGCTCCAAAACTGTTTTGGTTCTTGATTCGATATGAGTAGCAAACAACAACAAATGCATGGGATGGATCATTGGTTATTTTATCTCACTCCGAACCGCCGCCCGAAGGTGGTTCTATAATTTGGGATCTTGAAGCTTTCCGATTCTGCTTTTTTTTCTACTGTACACATGCAACTACAATTGAGCAACCGAAACAGCAAAACGATCCGAGAGCCACGTGCTGGGATCAAGAATTTTCTTTTCGCGACGAGGTCACACACATCCTAATTTTCTGAACCGAAGTGGAGATCGTAATATTTCTTGATCCATTTTATTTTCGTTAAAGATCTCGCTGTGCTTCAACATCTTTGTGTGACATTTCCTCGGTCTGCTTTGATCGGAGGTCGCAGGAGGAGCCTTTATTTCAAGCCATTCATTATTCGAGATCGAAGATGAGGTCTTCCATTCATCAAAATTATAACCTCAACAAAGACAAAAAGACGCACGCGTGCTCTTTGGTTTTGCCCTGCTGTATGGAAGCAGGCAACTTCTAGACCAGCACCAGCTCCTGTGCGGAGGATCTCGGGCTACATCTTCTGCCGATGATTTTTGCGAAGATATTGAGTCGTAAGTTCATCCTTTCCGATAATGTACAGATGCATTTATTATTCGATTTAAGAGTTGTGTAGTTCACAAGTACTATCAAAGCTTCCTGTTCCATTGCCCCTACGAGTATGTAAGTTGTCGTCGTATTTTCTTTTCATTCTCCATCGCACCATTTACATAATTTTCGATGTAGTAGAAGTTCTTGTCAACTCTTGTCTGCCGTAGTTGCTGCTACTTTTTTACCCATGAGCTCATGGCTGCAATGCGCCATGTGATATCGACGAGTTCATTTTGTGTATATAGTGGACGGTGATGATGAAACCTGTGCTCGTACAATTCTACTGATATTAGTGTCTGGCAATGCGAAACCTATCTCCTGGGTCATGAAAATACAATTGGTGTTACAGTGGTGAAGTTCTGAACTCACCTAAAGTTTTCTGTGCAATCAAGTGGTATAATGATCCGATATAACAATTCTGCTAAACTCTGCTCGTGTCAAAGGTAAAAGGTAAAAACTGTAAAATGGTTAATATTGGTTGAAGTTTCTCGGTAGAAACAAGCACATAAAACATCAAATTTCGCTCTCCCCAGGGAAACGAATTTTCCGGTATCTTACCTGTACAGGCCGTTGTCGGAAGTAGATTCTTGTGGTGTTTTTCGTTCTACATTCGTCGTAGTTGATCCGGATGAAACTAAATAAACAGGAAAAATCGAGATTTGTCCATTTGGTTCTTCCGTCTCTTCTTCCTCCTGATGTTGAGAATTCGAACTTATTACCATTTTTTGAAAATGAAGTCATGCACCTGGTGCATGCGAAAAGAAATCCATTCGTAACAAAAACAAATACATGCAAGCAGTGCACGCATGACATAATTTCAGCCTACGCATGATAGTTAAGATGCCGTGGTCACTGAAGACTAGTACGCATCACAAATAACGACATTCTATACCGTCTGCGCTTAATCGTGACCGATCTCCTCTTCGATCTCCTCGATGCGGCGCTGCAGAGCGATGATCTGCTGGTGGACGGACGTCTTCTCACCCTTGAGGGTGGTCAGCTGCTGCTGCAATCGCACTATGAAATGCAAAAGCATCGTACACGTACTAGTACAAATCGCATGACAAATTTCCTCAGCAACATGAGAAATAGAATTTGTAATGCAGCGGATTCAACGTGAGAAAGAAATTTGCAATGCATGACTGCGATTACTACGAGTACTATACTTTTGCACAGGATACGCACGTTCTCGGATTTCTGCAAGTTCGCCTGCACCCGGAACTCCTCCTCCATACGCTAGTTTGTCATGCGGAAATGGGTAGCATAGGGCTTTTTGTCATGCGCATTTTGCAATATGCTGGCATGCTTTCTTCCGTTGTACTTGTACTAGTCGTCAAGCCAGTTGTGCAATACAGATACAGAACCTCTCTCTCGTATCCTAAATTCCGCATGACAGAGACAATCTGCTATGCTACAAACCCGTTTCACCAAGATAGGGACGTCCGCGGCGAAGTAGCGCTTGATGTCACCGAGCTGCCCTTGGAGACTGAGTGGTTTGATTCATTGATTTGTTTACGTTTGTATTGCTGTGCTTCTATGCGGATTTATGCATGACAAAAAGTTTCTCATGTGGTAGATTATGCATGACAAAAAAATCTTCAACTCTAGTTCTATACCCATTCGACGAAGACAAGTTCTCGGACTTGATGGTTTATCCCGTGTAAAAACTTCCCCACCCCAGAATCAAATTGGTAAATCTGCATCACAAATCTCCAAGTTTTGGGAGTTATGCATGACAAGTTTCCCTCAATCTGTAGCGTAGTGCTGTTTCTGTTTAGCAAGGAGAGCAGCATCACAAAGACGCCTCCCTGCTTATCCCGTCAGCATGACAAATCAAAGGAACACAACTAGAAATCAAATTCGAATTCCTCTCGTGCGGACGTGCATTACAGATTTTTCTGTAGATGCAAATCTGCATGACAACTATGGGATGGGCACGTTTTTACTCAGGATATGGTTTCGAGTTGGTTCTTCTCGATGCCGATTTCTTCGTTTTGCATCTGCAGGGGGTATATCAAATGCAAAAGCCTCGTACTAGTAAAAATCGCATGACAAATCCCCTCAGCATGAAAAATGAAATTTGTAATGCGGATTTAGGTTAAGAAGGAGATTTCTAATGCATGACTGCGATTTTTACTACGAGTACGATACTTTTGCAGAGCATAAAGTAGGCCATATCCTGGACCTTTCCCTTCAACCCGGTGGACCGCTTGCGGTCGAACCCATCGGTCTGGTACTGGGAGGCGTTCATTTTGATAGTGGTTTTTGTTTTCAAAAAATGAAAACAACCGGTTTATTTCCCCTTCCTTCAAGAAAAAAAATCTGCTGGATTTTTGGTGATGATGATGATTAATTTTGAGATGTTTTATGATTTTGAAATCACTTCCAACGTGGGGGACCTCAACGTAGTGATGGTCAACTACTAAGGCTAAGCGGGCACATCAAATTGCACTTACTATTAAACCAGGACTTCTACTTGCCTTACGAAGAAGGGGGCGCATGCACAACTAGCTAATGTTGGGGGGACGATAAATATTCTTATTCGCACAAAAAACACGACCCACCGACATTCTTCATTCCTGAAGACATTGACGTTTATTCCTCACAAAAATCCTCGTATCCAGTAGATCGAGTGCTACTCTCTACGTACGGCTTGGCTTGTACGTACAATCCCCTTAAGGTTGGATTCGCTCCCGCTCAGCAAAAATTATGCAAAACAACCATACCGGACGGCACCAACTCCAACAACTAAGCACCCAGGAGGCAAATTAGCATGACAGATTTGCATAGGAAAAAGCAAAAGCGATTATGAGAGCGAATATTTTCATGTGTGGGTTCTTGCGGTCTGCTGGTGGTGAACGTCTTCACCTATCGCCTTAAGCACCGGCCTAAACCTGCACCCCGTTTGCCGACAGGGTGCAGATCGATCATGATCCGCGGCTCCAGCCCTGAGTAATTCGCATAAAGAAAAAGTAAAAGATCCTAAAGACTCAGCGCATGTTCCTAGCGTAGAACTCATCTCTCATTGGCATTTTCACTCGCGGATTCTCTCCTGGAACAAACTCTACCAATGCAATACAAAGCAAGTTTTTTCCCCTTGTGCTAAGTTCTTCATGTGCTTTGTGAGATGCTTTGCATTTTTCAAAAAAGATAATTGTAACTTGGAGAGAGCTTCAGCCTGACTCTTATCCATGTGCAAAATCTACCTTTGTAGGACTCTCAAACTGGACTCTCGAGAAAAGAGGGCACAACCAGACGCATGCAGAATGTACTCTCAGGTGCAAAAGGACAGGAATTTTCTGTCAACCATGAATAGAAACATAGAAATAA